AGCCGAGCTGGGAGGACGCTTCGCCCACTGTACAGAGATTCTCGAGCCGTCGATAGATCGGCCATGCCTAGTCAGATCAGTCAAGACAACGCATTCGGAATGCGGGGCCACCCACATGTCGTAATAAGCATCTTCGGCGTCATCTTCTCTACGGAATTCGACAAAAGCAAATGCTGTAAAGGACCATGAATGAGCGTTTTCGCAAGGATAAGATCGTTGTCCATCTTGACATTCCCGTCTGCTCTGTACAGCTGCTCAATGACAGCCTGGCCACCGGGACAATTGGGAGTCGCTCCGACAGTTCGGAGGACGACATGGCGAGCGAATCGTATCATGCCAATGTAACTCACGAGCAGATGTCGGGGTCTTCAAAGCAGGAATATCGCAACGTACGAGGCGTCCATATCTCTCAAACTCATACGCAAGATCTCTCGCGCGAAGGTCAGGCGAGAATCCCGACACATGTAGAACACTGAATGGGAGGCAGAGACATGGGTCAGATCCGCGACCAGCGATATAGAGGGCCGACACTCACGTTCGGTTCGCCTAGATTACACGAGCTAGTCAGCGGGATATGCAAGAGTCTTTGATACAGGCGGACTTGCCATCTTATGAGTTTGCAATGAGCAAGGTATTCGTACGAGGAGTCAAGTCAGTAGTGTTGACCCGGAATCAAAAAAGATGGATGACCAAATTGCCTCAGGTTGAAAGCCACGTGGATTGAACCCGGTCACCGCACTCCGTGCCCGTCGCTCTGTGTTTATCTTGGCAGCTTTTGCTGCGAGTCTCACCTTTTCTTCTCTCTCACCTCTTTGCAACTCTTTCTTTGTCAAGCGACGTCTTCATCAACCATAGCGCATACACTTCCCATCATCCAGTCCAACGGCATCCGAAATCTCTCTGTAGGCCGGCGAGAGAGCTCAACCTCCTCTCTCCCTGTTGCTCGGGCTCAAAGGGGGGGTTTTGACGGTACTGCCTCCTCGGCGAGCGAGAACTTTTTTCCCCTCTGACCGTCATCACCGACACTATCCACATCGTCTTCGATGTAGCTCGTCCTGACAATATCGCTAATTCCTTCCATCGACACACCACTTCCACACACTCACGACGCGACGATGCCGTCCTTTCCTACCACCCTCATTGGAGCAAGAAATTTGATCAATTCTTGGGGATCACTTGGAGTCTGGCCGAATGAGTCTGAGCCACAAACCGATAAAGAGCATCAGGAAGGATCAGCTACATCCAAGACCCCATTTTATTCGCCAGACTCACAGGTCTCGCCATCAGATCACTCACTCGCTGGACAACTACGGCCTAGTGAGACATCCAACCTATCAGCAGACTCGACTCACGCCGTCAAAATAGTGCCTCCTTTAGCACATGACAGCGGACGTGGTGCGACGGACTCGCAGGAGCGGGGATCAACAAAGGCCGGAGATCCGAGGCGTCTAAGTGTCATCAGCACCGTCACCGAGAGATCCATCGAGGGTCTTCCGCGCCGTCGCGTACCTTTAGACGTGAGCCTCATTCCTCCGCGTTGCTGATCGTTTCCTGCAGACGTATGTGATTGTCAAACCACCCTCCACGGCTGCGAAGAACCCACTCAATCTCCAGATACAGCTTGTAGTGCGACCAAGCGGGAGACCCCGAAACCCCTCCCCTAGCGCCGACTCACAAAGCCTCCTTGTCGCCAGCGACCGGGAAACATCGGCAGCGACAACGCCGGTGGGCTCTTTCGCGGAGGAAACCACCGCGACTCCCATGATGAGGTCACACTCGGACGGATCTCGGTCTGATGCGTCTCGATCAGACTTCCACTCCGGTCCTAGGACCAACAGGGCTGGGTCTATAAAGTCCACCACTAGTGCGGAGACGAATACTTCAAGCTTGACAGGAGGCGCAAAGAAACGCGTCGAGCCCATGTTCAATTTGACGATACACAATGTCATGCAACCCACGGTCGTCACTGACGCTGCGACAGACGCAAAGGTGGCAAAAGTGAGAGAACTCGGCATTCCCCGTATTCAGGCTGATCATTTCGGCACAGTTCATGAAGCGCTCGGTGGACATTCTCGGGGTAGGCACTGTGGAACCAACCGAAATTTGGTCGCCTGTCCCTCGAGAGGGACTACAACGCCCTCTATCAGCCACTGGGGGTTTGCACTCCGATATCGATTCAAGCGGATCTGCTCAGATTGCTACACTTCAGAAGCGCTCACCAGCGGCCGAACATCAAGGCGAAGCGGAGAGAGGGTCGGTCACTGCTTCGGGATCTCTCAGACAGAGTCTAGATTCCGCTTCGCTCTCCATCGATACGCGACGTCAAGAGCGCACATCGCGTAACTTTTTAGGCCGAATCTTCAAGAAGCGAGGAGGAGATCAGGAAGTCGTGACATCACCTGGTGTGGATTCCAAAAACTGCAAAGCGGAAGATATCAGTTCTAACCGCTCAGCCAAAAAACGGGCTCCTCGATCTCTGTCGCCGAATCCAGCCGTTATGATCCAGCCTACACTCAGTGATGCTTCTAAGGATGAGTCGGTTCATCTACCGGTATCCATCGGCCAGCCAACATTTGGAACGACTCCTTCTATCCAATCAGCAGATCGAGCTTGCGCGATCGTGACCGAGTCCGGAGCGGTTGGCGGTCTTACATCGTTGGCCTTGCCGCCGCCCATAGATTCTCGTGCCCCTAATGGGAAGAATGTGGGTGGTACGCAGTACTTTTCATTGTGCCAATCATCTCGGCCAGTCGGATATTCTTGGAAAATCAGCAAATGGTCCAAGAAGCGCTTGGAAAAGTGGATTCGGCAGCTGGGTGGATCAGGAGGAAATACACTCTTGCAGACTGCTGAAGGCGGAGTCGTGTTTGAATGGGTGAAACTCAGAATGCCGCAGGACGCGCTGAATGGCGCATTGAGCAGGAAGCTGGCGCAAGCTGGAGCGCAGCCGACCGTTGTCATTGGTAATCAGCCAGGCTCAAATCGCAAAACCCCTACCGCTCCCCTCACGCCTTCCTTCTCGCTAGATGCAGAGACAAGGGAGGCAGCCTCTGTTTCGCCGAGCGAAGTGGAGGATGATGCCGGCAGTCATACTTCACGGTCCAACTCTCACGTTGGATCTGCCTCAATAGATCAACCCGACGGCTCCCTCTCCGACCACACGATCGACAGTGGGGACGAGTCCGAACCAGAGGACTCTGAGACTCCATGGACGTGCTCAGTATGGATAAAGCGCACTGGTCTCAGAATCCCGTTGGCGACGTTGACTCCCGCCCCTCATCATCCCAAAGTCATTGGCGTCCTGAAAATTCCTACAGAGCTCGATCTTGTCAGATTGGGTTTTGGTGCAGACGCTGTTGAGAGACGATCCCTCGAAGCCATTGGCCTGTCTGAAGAGAATGTCAAGGATGTTGTTTGCGTGACGGCCATGTGGCTCGTTGCCAGAGAAGAGTTTGGAGGTTTGGGGAAGAAGAGGAGAGGCTCCAAGATTTGAGAGCTCTGGGGCTTTTTTGACTGCTTTGTACAAATTATTACACTCACATCACCCATAATTATTTGTATCGCATATTCTCTCATCATCACTTGTCGAATGATCATGCAGTCATGCAGAGGATCTGTGCCGCAGCTTCAAGGAGCGGCATGAGCTTGCAGAGAGCTGCTTTGGAACGCATCTTTCAAACAAGATCTCCGAAATACATGCATTCTACCGCCAGAATGAAGACACCGATTCCCGTCATAAAGACCCTGTCCGAGCTCAGACATTGGAGGCAAGCGGCGCGAATGGCAAACAACGATGTAGCGATTGTACCAACGGTACGCATGACCATCCTCAGTCAGGATAGTCTCCTGACTCTGCTCGCTAGATGGGCGCACTGCACCAAGGCCATCTCGATCTCGGTGGGCTCAAAGGTGATGGGGCAGTCTCTGATCTCAGCGTAGTCCGACACGCACTCAATCGGCACGCCTTGACTGTCATGACCCTGTTTGTGAACCCCATGCAGGTGAGAGAGGTCGCATCTTGGTCAATAGCTTGAGCAGTGTCTTTCGCAGTTTGCCCCGACCGAAGACTTGTCGAAATACCCACGTACTCTCGAACAGGATCTCGCACTTTTGGCTGAGGTGGTCACAAAGCATGCTTCCACAAGGTCCACCATAACGGGGACTCAGTGGGGTCTCGCTGAGGCTCACGTCGACTGACGCACCGTTCAGGGCAGCAGCGTATGAAATTGCCTCGGCGCAATCGCCTCTGATAGTTTTCAATCCCCATCAATACGAAATGTACCCTTTACGTGGGGAGTTGCAAGACATGAACAAGCACAGTGGTTTGCGTATTGAGATGCGGGGCATAGGCAATGTCCTTGAGGGGCAAAGCAGACGTACGTTGACATGCAAGCAACTCTCCTGCCTCCGTAATGACCACGCATATAATCTGACACGCTTCGATAGCTCAATTTTTCACAGGTGTCGCTACCGTCTGCACTAAACTCTTTAACGCTGTCGAGGTGAGCTCATGGCTCTGTCAGGCTCATCCATGACTGAAATAGACAGCCGGATCATGCGTACTTTGGTCAAAAAGACATACAGCAGGCTCTGCTTCTCAAATTGAGTGCGTGGTGGATCATCCCTAAAGCTTCTTCTCACTCGGCCCAACAGTGGTGACTGACCTACTGCTGGCGCATCCTAAACCGTCCAATCTCCACATTCTTCCAACTACCCGTGATCCCACTTCTTCTCTGGCTCTATCTAGCCGCAACGCGTATTTGTCGCCGGAAGAGTTGAAAGTTGCGCCAGTCCTGTACAAAGCGCTGACTGCTTCGCACACATTATGGAAGGAAAAGGGAGCGATAGTTACTGGCGAACAATTGGTTGAATGCTCCAAATCCATCATATCGGAGGAAATGGCCGCTGTAGCTGCATCTGGACAGGCCGTCACATTACGCCTAGACTATATAGAACTATTCGACAGAGACACCTTCACAATCATCCGAGGCCCAGTGCAGGATTGGAAGACAATGGTCCTTGCTGGAGCAGTCTTTGTAGGCAACACACGTCTGATCGATAATGTCCTGTTGGGCTGGACTGTAGATTAGAATTCTCAATGAAAAATCTGGACGCGTTCTTTGAGTCCCGACATTCGACCATCAACGTCTTCCTGCACTCATGGGCGCTCTAAGGAGCCCAGTTCGTATGGATCGGTAATGTCACTTGACATCGACTGGCAGCTACTGCTCTCGCCAGATTGTTCTCTCGCCGAGAAACTCATAGATATTCTCAACGATCATCTCATCTCCGCCTCCCGTCCGTCTTTCATTGGCCCCATTCAGGTCACCAATTTTGCTTTCGGGAGCGCTGGCCCAGACCTGGAGATCAGGGATATACGAGACGTGTGGCGCGCTTTCGAAGAAGCAGACGATGCGGGCGACCAAGATCAGGCTTCGCTGCACCGAAAGACTCCTCCCGTATCACAACTCGATGATGAGGCGTACGATATCATCTCCGCAAACGATGCGAGAGACTATTTCAGCGAAGATGACGGCACAGGATTGGACGATACATCTATATACTCTGGTCTAGCATCTCCTCGGCAGTCCGTTGGTGCTGTGGGCATCGGGATTGGGTCGTCAGCGCTGCATTTTGGCATGGGCAGAGATTATGCCTCGGCGATCATGTCTTCACTGCCTGCACAACAAAATCCTTCGTTGTTCTCGCAGCCTCATTTACGGCCTCGGAGGGGCCCCAGGGGTCTTTCGGTTCCCTCGATGGTTCAACATGCTGTCCCTCCCTCGTCTGGCAATTCGCCATCGAAGCGGTCGGGAGGCACATCAGCTTCACCGAAGAGCCCTCTTCCTTCTGTGCAATTGCATTTCAGACTCTCGCACCGGTCAAACTTGACCTTGACACTTCTCACGTCTCTTTCCATCAACTACCCGGCTCCCTCGTTCATGTCGTTGCCTCTGCGCCTTACTGTGACTGGACTCGAGCTAAATGCGGATATTGTTCTGGCATATTCGAGCGATAGGAACAGAGTCTATGTTACATTGGTGGACGAAGATGAAGCGGCAATCAATTTGCCTTTGGGTGAGCGACTCTTGCCGTCACTATCAATTGAGAGCGAGATTGGACATACGGATGCGCATGTCCTGCGCAATGTGGGCAAGGTGGAAAAGTTCATCGCGGATGTGATCCGAAAGACGCTGGTGGAGGAGCTCGCTTTTCCCAGCTTTCAGACGATTGCTTTGTAAGAGATCGTTAGTACACAGAAAGTCTCCCAATCCAAATCATGACCTTGAGAACTAAACATAATTTGCATGCAACCTCCACCCACGCATGAGGCCACAGGAGAGCTCCGGATCCACAAGTGACGAAGCAGGGCTACGGTCGTATCTTGTTCAGCCAGGCAGAATCGAAGGCAGTTTCACTCACAGCTTATGCGATGACACACATGGCAGATCCTCCAACAGGCCAGCTGGGGTCCTCGGCGTTGACTGGAGCGTCTCGGGCGATGACGCACATGGCGGATCCTCCGACAGGCCAGCTGGGGTCCTCGGCGTTGACTGGAGCGTCTCGGGCGATGACACACATGGCGGATCCTCCGACGTTCTCACTGATGTCTTCGAAGTTGACGGGAGCCATTGTAAAAGTTGGGCGGTGTTTGTGAAGAAGGCGGTCTGGTAGGAGGAGTTGGAAGACAAGGTAGTGATTTGAGAGATGGGCTTCAGCATTGCAAGGTATTTATATGTCCGCAACACCTCTTGCTGGCACCTATGGCTCCATTAGAACAATAGACACTCGCCAACTCGGTCAAGAGAACAATAGCGGCGACCATGCTGATGAGCCCATTGTTCAGCTGAGGTCACAGAAGGCGCTCTAACGCAGACCGTATGGCATGCCTGGCTGTGAGAACGGTGCTCTTATTGTATGGATCTGTAGCGCAGGTCCACAGCTCTGAAGAGTCTCTATTGTATGCATGCAACACACGATGCACAATGAAGTTCAATTCGCCGGCCGCGACCGGTGGACGGGCGTTCTTTTTTTGTTTCTTGTGTTTCTTATTGTTCACATAACTGCTGGTCTTGGCAGATCAAAAGGCATCAGGATAGTTACGATTGGAAGCGAGAAAATTTACCTGTACAGGAGAATGTAAGCCACAGACGCTTCGCCTCCTCCATTCAAGGATAGGACCTTGGCGCTGCAGGGTCAGGACCGGCTCCGAGGGAGAGCTCACCTGTCAACTGGCGTGACCTTATCATCTATGCCAGATTAGAAAGAATAAGCGACCAAGTTTAGGCTCACCGTCAAACTGGTCCCAAGTCTTCGAATCTGTCTCCTGGGAAGCATTGCGCGTCCACGCAATGTAGTGTCCCGAATCAGAAGATGCACCTTTATGCGTAATCATGCCTTGAAAGTCGAGTCAAAAAACCGCGATAACCGCAATCAACGGGGTGACTTACCACAAAGCTCATATATAGCTGTCGGGTTCGCCCCAACATCAACGCCGACATTTGACGAGATGATGCCATCGAGGCGCCTCCTCTCCTCTTCTCTTAGAGAGGTTTCCTCATCTCCGCCTGATATATTGGCATCCCGTTTCCTCAAAGCGGCTCCTCGCGCATCTCGATTCTGTATGATCTCACGGGCAGCGTGATGCACAGTTTGTATTCGGGCTCGATAGTCATCCGTAACCTTGTTTCCATGAGATGAATATCACATCTCAAGGCTTACCAAGTCAAGCAGATCTAGTCGATCAGGAAAGACTACTTTTCGCATGATTTTTGCCTTTTTGCTGATGGTAAGCAGTCGATATCCGTGTTGAGACCCACCCGATGTCTCGACGCCAGTAAAATCGGACCTAATGTTGATGAGCAAGACCTCATGCAAGCGAAGGAGACGAACAAGATGAACAGCGAGATATGCGGGCAACCTTGAAAGCTTTGTGTGTCTGTGAATTAGCTCAGCAGACGTACTAATTCCTACTGGTCGTAGAGCGCTGTCCTGCCAAGCGCAGAGCTGCGTTTTTCGATACGTTCGTCGAAATGCTGGGGAGGGACATCAAAAGTGACTCTGAGTTGGACTCACAGATTGAATCCCGGAGACCAGAAAATTCGTATCGATTGCAATATTGCATTCGAGCTTGAAAATTTTCTCAGTTGCGATTGTAGGCTCCTCTTCGGCCTCCACACATCGTTGACTACGAAGTCGTCTCGTCAGTCCTTCCGTGCAATGAATAGTCTGATCACCCACGTCTTAGTCATCTCGATTGACATGTACCTGTTGATGACAGTTGCAACATCTGTGTCCTCCATGATCCCGCTTCGCAGGGCTGTCAGGATTTGGGTGAATGCCTCGTCGGCATCTTATGGTCAGACTTTGAGTAATTAGGTCATTCACCTTGTTGCGCGAAATTGCCCCGTTCATCGCGTTCTGCAAACTGAGGGGCGATGTCCCGAAGACAGCCGAGGAGTTCGAGGGGGATGATTGGTTTTGACGATGTTTGAAGATTTTTTGAGAGCGTTCTGACGGACGAGGCGAATCGCCCCTCGGGCGTTGATCGAGAAACCTCCAGCCTATTCTATCAGCATTTCAAACATGGCAGCGTACTTCTCCAAAGCTGTCTGTAGTTCAGGAATCTGTTGTATTAATTGAATGCTGGAGTTTAGGTAGCAAGTTTGCCCTAAATTGACCAGTCCCACCGGTTCATGCGGCTGTCATCAGGAGATGCCATCGAGAGGATCTCACGGTCTGTGGAGCTGGCTCATGATCTGAATCTGAGGAAACGGTTAATATTTGGCGACCGTGTCTACACACCTTGGCGTATGACCTGTGCGGGGGCTCTGGGGATTGGATCCGCAGTACCAATAACCTGACATCAGGACGCGTCCGTGGAGAAACTAACGGTGACTGTCTGCCTCTGTCCATCCTCGTCAATCTCGTCGACCCAGAGTCCTCACATCTTTCAAGCCCGTACTTGTCAAGTGCTCCGAGTCCTGAGCATGTTGTCAGTCTGTGGGTCTCAGTGAAGCGATCATGAAGACATCACTTTCAGCAGACCGGATTTGAGCATGACCTTCATTCGCTCTGTATGTTCTGGGTCAGCACTGGAAGTCTGAGCCCGGTAATATCCACCAATGGGTACACCAGTCGCCTCGACCAAGCTCTGCTTGAGGACCAGGGAAGATTGATCGATATCCACTCGGATCTCGTGAAGGCGTCCGCCATGCTTAGCGAAGACTGTAAAATGGTGGCAGCTGGGTCAACCAGGGAGATCTCTTACCCGTGATAATGTTGGACATGATGCGTTTCGGATGTCGACAACGTCGAAACGAAGATAGACGTTCAAAATGACTGGCTCGGATCTTTTATCCCAACCGCGCTGTGCGGGCCAAACATTGCCAAAAAGACAATTTACACGCGGTGATCCTTTAATGACTACAGGCTATGCATGACTTGATACAATTGACTCGCTCAGGGCTCAACTGCAACCTTTTGCTGGTCAGCTGGTCAGAGAAGGCAAGGCAAATCTCTGATCTCCTGACGTTATGAGCATATCTGAGAACTTGGCTTTTCTCGATCGCAATCTTGATCATTGTACTGATCAAGGGTATGTCAGTAGTGTCTCTAGGATGTTCAGAATTTTGCTCACGCAAGGGGTCCCTGAAGTCTGCCACAAATGTCAACACCTTTGCGTTTGGGATAGGCCAAAGACTCACGCTTCTGGTTGTTGTGCACAAACGCTACACGTGTACGCTGGGCTTCTCGTCGCCTTGATTCATTGAAAGACCGGCCTTGCTTTTTGGCCCATTTTGCTTCACCGGCATTTCGGGCTTTGATCACCTCCAGACCTCGGCCAAACGAGCCCGCTCCTCCGGCAGTAGGGACCAGAGCCTTGTTCGAGTCTTGGAGCAGCAATTTGACGCCCTTGGCCTTCTCCGAGCGATCGGTCAAGGAGGGGAGAGGGTTGGATCTCAGCCGCTGCCGGTAATAGACTTGAAGAGCCTTGTGACCGAGGATTCGACCATTGGGCAAGGTTAAAGAGAATCCCCCCGGCGCCAATAAGAATCCATGGTGACCCTGGATGGTCAGCTCAGCCTGGTCAGCCTTACAACTCACTCGGTCCTCGGTGGCGAAGCGGTTGCTCTCATCACCATCAACGTCCTCCCAATCGGACTCTGAGCCTTCAGCGACAACTTCGTTCTTGTAGAATTCCGAGACTTCATTCCTGTCCTCCTCGGTATCGAAAGCGATCTTGCAGTGTGACTTGTCAATCATATGTCGTCTCACTGCCTCCAACGAGCCAAATTCTCGACCTCCATCCGGGCAGTATAGGCAAAGATTGCCGATGAAGACCTTTTCTCCTAAATAGGAGAGGAGGCCTTCCAGATCTTCGAGCTGCTCCTGTAGCGGTATATAAAAGCTGTGCTCGGATCTCATGTGAGCCAGGACTGCCTCTGTCGTACGTGCCCTTTCCGGGCAGAACAGACAATCGGTGGGTCGAGCACGGCGCCGGGCAGTGGCCAGTCTGTCTTCAATATCCTCCTCGGAAGACTCTGAGTCCGGCTGCACATCCGCATTCTCCCGTTCTTGTTCCACAGCCGATATTGATTTCGCCTTGGACTTGGAGGAGCGACCGGCAGGATACTGTAAGCTATTGTCCCTATGTTTCCGGGATTGGAGGTGTGATTGGTAAGAATTGTCACTGCCAAAGGTTTTGCTACAATAGGTCAGGATTTACTGCTTATTGGCCAGCCACTCACTTGCAAACTTGGCAAGATAGCTCCCTAGGGTCCAAACGGACAGCATTCTGCTCGCGCCTCTCAACGACCTTCTCGTTGAAGGCAGCTGCGTGGACGGGTGGCAAGTTGGCTACCCGTCTTTTCATATTGTATCTGTGCCAATCTGTAGCGAAGTGCGACCTCTGCTCTGCAGCGGTCTCGAAGGCCACCCGGCAGGATATACAGGTGAACATGCTTGGAGATTGCACGAAGGTAGGGATACTGATGGAGCAGATCTCAAGAAGTAATCGAGCAGGAGCTGACTTATTATAATAAGTGGGACCTCGCAAATTCTCATTTCGGATCCGAAAAAACTCAGCTTGAAAAAATTCCACAATGAATACAGTCCCTGTTTTGGTCTAACTCAACTATGGCAGACGAATCAGCATCGACGCCTGGACCATCCAAGCGTCGGACACGGCCACAGGGGGACAAGTCCATCCAGAGATGGCTTGCAGTCGGTGGGTGATAGGTTGGACGAGATCATGCCGTGCTGAAATACCTCCAAAGGCGTAAATGGACCGCTGTCGGAAGCCTTGGTCGCTCGTGGCCTCAAGCAGCCCACGCCAATCCAGCGTGCGTGTCTGCCGACTGCATTTTCTGTTCCTCACAGGGATCTGATTGGCATGAGCCGGACGGGATCGGGGAAAACGTTAGCCTACCTCATCCCGGTCATCCAGCACATCCTCAATCTACCTTCAGGCTCTCGACCTAGTCCTTCAGCCATCATCCTGTGTCCAAATCGAGAACTCGCTCTTCAGATTCTGAGAGTTGGGAAAGCCATCTGCCGTAGTGCGAACTCAGTTCTCAGAACGGCAGAAGAGAAAGTGGACGTCCAATGGACTCTAGCAATCGGAGGTGATGCCATGGAAACCCAATTCTCGGCTCTGTCAAGCAATCCAGACATGTGAGCCGCGGTCAAGAGGGCTCTGTATTGACTGATCTCTCCATCAGCATCGTCGCAACTCCAGGAAGATTCCTGCATCTTGTGGTCGAAATGGATTTCGACCTTCGTCATGTACAGCATGTTGTTTACGATGAGGCCGATCGGTGAGTGACTGCCTGTGCCCGTTGAATTGAGATCAGTCTATTCGAAATGGGCTTTAGACCGCAGCTCGACGAAATCCTGTCTCGTCTACCGAGCAGTCGTCAAAACTACCTATTCTCGGCCACTATCCCGGCCATGGTCGCCGAATTTGCTCGCGCAGGCTTGACGAATCCGATCTTCCATCAGTTGGATAGCGAAAACAAGTTGAGCCCGGACTTGACGATGTCTTTCTTTTGGACGACATTCGCCGAGAAGACGGCAGCTCTACTAGGCGTAATGCAGACTGCTCTGGGTTTAGGATCTAAGGAGCCCTCAGATGAGATTCGTCCGCAGGTGATAATATTCGTTGCAACCAAACATCACGTCGAATATCTTGCCACGTTACTGAATCTCTTGGACTATCGGGTGTCTTTCATATATGGATCGCTCCACCAAGTGGCTCGTAAAGAACAGCTGGCTGCTTTCCGTGCGAAATCGACCGACGTCTTGGTGGTGACGGATGTCGCAGCCCGAGGATTAGACATTCCAGTCATCGACTACGTCATTAATTATGATCTGCCCACTTCTTCGCAGCAATTTGTACACCGAGTGGGCAGGACAGCTCGAGCTGGACAAAAGGGAGAAGCCTTATCTTTTGTCACTAGGGAGGATCTCCCGCATCTTGTGGACCTCGACAGTTCGCTGAATCTTGGTCTGCGTCAGTGGTGCCAGCATGACATCGGCACAATCCCCCGTGACGTCCTGGAAGATCGAACTGAAGCTCTACGCAGTCTGCAGGAGGGGAATGGAGACATTGCTGGGCTGTATCAGGTGCTTTTGAAGAGTCAATCTCTCTTTGAGAAGACCAAGAATAGGGCATCAACCACCGCATATCGAATCGCTAAAGAAGAGTTCGCAACCGGAAATACTCGTCTTAGGGATCAGATCAATCCGCGCTTTGATAAGGGCCAGGAGAAATCAGATACAGAAGTCGCTAGAGACCGAGCTGTCCTGCTCCACTCTCTCGGGAGCTTTCGCCCTAGTAACGCTAGGCGTGACGCCCCCTCAAATCCCAGCTTCAAGTCTGCCAAGCGGATTACAACTTCTGCTGTTCCATCAGCCGCGGCGGAGAGAGTATCTGCATCCTCCAAGGTTCAATCTTCAACGGGCGTGAGTCTCCATGAGCCGACCGATGTTTTGCTCCCCATTCTAATGACGGATAGTTCCAGGATGCAACATTTTGGATAGGCAGCACGCCTGGTGCTGACAGGGCGTGGGTCTAGTTGTGGAAGTGCCGCACTTCGCTCACGCGAATGCCAGGTTTGACAACACTACCAGGATTGCGTCATATATCACAGCAGCCACGACCGACGAAGGTCAGCAGGCAGCTGCGCCTGGAAAGGCCAGCCAACTCAAATGGGATAGGAAACGAAAGCGTTTCACAAATGCAACAGACGGAGAGAAAGGGCAGAGCAAGAAAATTCGCACTGAGAGCGGCTCGGTTATCCCAGCTTCTTTCAAGAGCGGGAAATACCAGGCGTGGCGATCAACGCAGGGCAAACTTGGACTCTTCAGCTCTACGAGCACGAGAACACGGAATCCGAGCCAGACAGGCTCTCGTAAGGTGCGCAAATTTCCCACGCATGGCGGAACAGGAATTGACGAATTTGGCTAGGTGACAGCCCCAAGCGGGGTAATGGGTGACCATGGACGGAAAAGCGAATTACGGACTTCGTCATCCATTCTCAACGACAAACGGCGGTCGAAGAGACACAAGCGCTAAGCTAATGGGACCTCGGCGAGTTATCGTGAGCTAGACAGCAGGATTTGGTCACTCAGCCTACAGATCTGCTTCGGGGTAGCTGCCATGCTGCCGGACACGTCACGCTGCGACATTGGAATGCATGCTTGATCAGGATCAGAATGCACCGTGCGAAATCCAATGCCACCAAGCCCACCATGTAAAACCTACAACTGTCCGACCCCGCTAAATCTGCTTGAATTTGAGCAATGGAGCCAGTTCTTGCACAGTGCAAGCCATACGCAAGAAGTCGTGCTTGGAGAAGATCTATCAGCTACATGTCCGCGACACCAAGAACTCCGTACCTTCAGAAGTTCTGTGGAAGTGGCCCGAAAAGAGACATCGACGCAGAGGCAAACGCTCAGAAAGTGTTTCAGATCTTGACTCAGAGTCTCCGGAGCCTTCAAAGTGGGCGTTCCGTTTGTCGCAATCAAATATAGCGCCTTCAGAGGTTCTTCGTCCAAATAAGGAGGCTCGTTCTCGATCATCTCGATCGCCATGATACCTAGAGACCAGATGTCCACCTTTGGTCCGTAGTCCTTCTGTTTGACGACTTCGGGCGCCATCCAGTACGGGGTTCCGACCATCGTAGCTCGCTTCGATTTCTGATCGGTCAGTTTGGCACAGAAACCGAAATCCGCTGAATTCTTAGTCAGCGAGGCGCTCTAAGGATTTCATGACGATCGTGACTTGTCGCGCCAATAAACCTGGGCATGACGTACTTATCTTGACTTCGCCCTGTGTGTTCATCAAGATATTGTCTGATTTGATGTCACGATGAATTATGGACCTCGAATGGAGATGCTGGAGCCCGCGGCACGTCTGCAATCGAACGTCAGCTAATCGACAGGGAGACTCTGCCCAGCATCCTTCCACGAACCTCCAAGCAGATGGCAGAGATCTGACGTTCCTCCATTTTGTTGTTCTCGATGACGTCCGTCAAAGCTCCTCCCTCCATGTATTCCAGAATGATCCATAGCTCGGAGGAGCGTATCAGAAATGCATCGAGAAAATTGACAACATTCGGATGCTGCGATTCTTTCATGACAATGATCTCATTGACGATGAGCTCCTTCCGAGGCTGTTGCGCGAGATCCATCTGCTTGATAGCCACCTTTTTGCCTGTCGCTAGCGTTTTAGCCACGAAAACCATACCAGAAGCGCTTTAAAGATCAAGAATCGTCAGTGAGAAGCGCACGCCTATAAGCTATCTCGCCTACCCTTGTCCGACTTTCTTGATTTTGGAGTATCGCTGATTGGGATCGGTAGGACTGACAACGCTGCGAAGCTTTTCCATGATTTGCGTCTCGTTCATCGTGCTGATGCGCCGTTCCTGCCGAGTCGTACTGCTCGAGTTCTCGCCGACGCGGTCGGGCTGCCCGGCAACCCTCGAAGCTTCCGCAACGGGTTCAACGACACCTGGTTTGGGATCTCTTGTAGGCGCTGCTCTCGGAGGTGGAGGGGCCTTTCTCTCCGCCACCAGGGGCTTCGCCACCTCCCAAAAATCAGCTTGTCGTACGGCGAACGCCAGAAGGCTCACCTCATGCGGTACCACACGCGCAGTCTGGTCTGTTCTCGATGATGAGCTACCGTTCACATCTCGATTGCGTGCCGCTCTGACGGAATCGTGACTTTCATGGCCTGACAAAATCTTCTTGCCATCGGCCTGAGATCGCTGTAGCTGTCCCCCTAGTCCCACCCCGTTGAATCTGGATGCAGCACTCGTCTCGTTTAGATTACTTCTCAATTCAGCAGCAGATGACTGATCCGACAGGACTTGACTTTCTTGGCCAATCTGCTGCTGAGTATAGAATTGGAGTACATCCAGCACCGCTTCAGGATGCCTAGCAGCGTCTTCCTTGGTTATAGCCGATGAGGTCAATAACTTGCTCCATTGAGGTGGCAGACCCTGCAAGAATGACTCAGCGACTGCAGTCAAGCCGCAGACTAGTAAACGCACAGTGAATCCTCCAGATATGGGGTCAAAACCGACGTGGACTTGATGTACAAAGTTTGTGGGTTGACTGACACCCATTAGGGGTGACCGGGAGTAAATGTCCTCCATCCAAGCGTACACCTCCTCGTCGGTCCGAAACGCTAGATACACCAGCTTGTCCTTGATCTCTACTTCGATACAGAAGGGCTTCAAGTCGACTCGCTGAACATCGACCACATCTGCCAAGGGAAGCAGGGAGCTAGGAGAAGCTGAGTGCTACAATTGTGTGAGCAAGTTTGGCCAGTGGACTCCCAGCCGGCTGCGTCGGCAGGCACATGGAGGTTCACACACCTCATTTTTGAATACAGCAAGACTTTGGGAATCAAGAACTAGCCAACGCTTACTCCATAAGAAGCTGCGGAGTCCCTCTTCCTTCATACTAGTGGGACCGGTTCGCAGGACTTCATTTTGTCGGGTCTTAGGCGGTGACGGCCCCAAAGCCGCTGAGCCACCGAGTGTAGGGAAGGAAGATGAGTATGCTGTGGACGAGAAGGCCGACGCAGGCTTATCCACAGGAATTTGAGGCCTCTGAGCGTATCGCTCTGATGACTGGCCGTTGCTAGAACGCAAGGGCGGGGTAGGAGCTGGCCGGGAAGGCGTCAAGGATGAAATATCGTTGTATGACATAGCAATCGCGAAGCGTTGCAATCGTGGCAATCGTGGCACGGATGACGGCCCTTGTCGCAGAGTCTCGCTCAGATGTTGCGGTTTTGCCGAATTGACGTTTGAAGGAGATGTCGTGAGCAGGATCAGACCGGCGAACAAAGCAAAGCGAGGGAAAGGAAGTCAATGAAACGCGTACACGCGGGGCTGATGAGCGGAGATCTCCGCCGCCTTGCTGCGCAGAGGCCTTGTGGCCGCAGGCTTGTTTGATATCCAGATGGATTGCTCATGCACGAATGGACGTCCGCGGTCCTGTAGGTTGGTCTAACTTTACAACTGATACAGTCTGAAGTATTTGGTTCAAAAAATCTTGGGTGCCGGGCCTGAAACGAAAGATCAGGGGATATGATGCTCATCATGATACTTACCGCATCCGAAGAATCCTCATTATCATCTCCGAGCTGCCTACATTCTCAGGCCGCCGTCTAGCATGTTTCGCTGATTTACGCGCTCGGATGCTACCCAAATTTCTCTGTGACAGTACAGTCTTGCTTGGCTTCAATGATTTGTATTTTAATGTTGTTTGAAGTCCTCTGACGCATTCCTGATAGCATGTGGCTCAGCGATTTGAAGCAGAATGGCTCACCTCCATGAGATCATCGGTGCTCCAGTCGTAATAAAGGCTTATGCGAAGAAGCTCGTGGTATTTGTCGTTATTCAGCACAGATTCAGAAAGACCCCGTTCGTCTCCGTCCAGATGCAAGAAGTTGCGGAGAAACGTAAGCCATTTCAGGACAATTTCGAGTTCGACGGCTCTTAGCGGTCGCATCGAGGATGGTCTATCCGAAAGAGGTGGCACCACTAGTCTCTCGATCGTATCAAGAATTTGTTTCCAGAGCTTGATCATCACATTTTTGAGTGATACATCCGATAAGCTGGATGCTAGAGTATACATATTGGCCTCCAGATAGTCGAACAAGGGATGAATCGCCAATTCAATATCGCTATCCTTGAGAGCTCTGGTACGGGGGCCAGTCGCTCCAGTAAAGGCTGATGTATTCGCACTGGACTCTGAAGCACCTTGCTCCGTCAAAGGCAACGGTATCGCGTACTCATTCGCTCCGACTGCCGTTTTATACGCAGCAGACACATTACCGAGTGCTTTGTTGTAATCCACTGATTTGTACATAGCGGATAATTTGCCAAGGGTTTCGTGGTAGTCGATTGCTGCGGCATTGGACGGCTTGAGTATCATTTTTATGGACGAGCGGGACAGGGTGTGTCGCAGAACAGGCGTCATCTAAGAGGATTTTAAGCTCTTATAGTCGACCCAGGATTCACCTTGTCGACAAAAGTACGAATCATGTCGGACTCTGTCCGCCCTAAGATTCTGAAAGCCCTGCCGAAGTGGTACGGCGTGTCATCGCGCTCGCCCTCCATGCTTACACGCAGAAGCAAATGGCCACCAGTGTCTAAGGACAGAAGAAGGTCATTAGACAACATATTGGAATACTCGGCGGGATCTAGCCGGAAGTATGCTCTTCCCAACAAGTCATGGCCAATTCCAAGCTGTCTGTGCTTGATGGATGCCATGAGCCAGGTCGGCGACTGCAAAGAAACGTCGAAAGTTTCATCCCATCGCGGATCGGCCTCGTCATACACAGTCCTTGTCTTGGCAAGGCGAGCTCCGGTCTCGTTCGAAAGTATAACGAAGGCCTCAGGCGGTTTCAAGGATCCTTCGAGGACTAGTCCTTCAGCTAAGACGATCTTGATGGAGAAGAGGTATTTTGATCCAACCCCGGGTTGGTCTGTCGGATTTGAAGCCACAACTTCGGGGAGACTGTCCACCCCCAATCTCTGGTATAAATCATCGAGCCGAACCCTAGTCGCTTCGATGTTGTTGAGTTTGACACAGCTCTGCGGCGATGTGAGCTTGCAGATAAAGTCCAGCAGCGGAGCTCACTTTCGGCGAAAAATTATAAAAGACTTGCAGGCGTTTCTCGCCTTGAATGCTGGCCAGTGCTGATTTGGCCTTCTCTAACCAAACGTGCGCGCGTTCGTTCTGGACATTGCCCGGTGCAGGGTCCGCTGTTGACATGTCACCAACGAAAAGCCGCTCGATCTTTGAACAGTAGCTCTGGACGGACAGGGCAAATATCTTCCATCGATCAGCTTATGCATCAGAGAAGGCTTCACCTCACCTTCGATATTTTCAGGACAAAATATGCCTGCTGACCTTGATCCAACCAATCCAGATTCAGGACAAAATCCGAAACGCTTTGAAGAGACTCCGACAGATCAGTCACCGAGGACGATGGACCATTCTCAGATATGGCACTGAACTGATGTATGTCGTCAGTTTGCAGCCTGAATGGTGATTGAGACCTACAGTGTCGACGGCGAGGGCCTGTCTCTCATCAGCCCAGCCTAGATCTCGACGTCCTCACCTCGTCGACCCATGCTTGTGTTTTTGACGATGCTGTGTCCAGCCAAGACGACACTGCTGGAAAGAACATGAGGGCGATCTGCAGATCTACCGGTGACCTGCAAAGGATTAGTACGGAATGGGCATTCTCTTACTCTGCAAAGCTCGTTTTCAGGTCCATCATCGCCCTTGTCCTCCAATAGAGATCCAGCCAAGAATGATTCACGTCGTGATCATGAGTGTTGATTGACAATTTCTTCACATCGGCGGCCCAGAGATCGTAATACTCCTCAACGGCAATGGACAACATGTCCACAGTTCTGTGATCGCAGTGATTAGCGCTCGGCGCTGTCACAAGACTTACGGTACAAATCCATTATGGAAATTCTTGTGAAGACGTTTCACTCTCTTCTCGACCCACTTCGATAAATGTACAGCCAGCTCCATACTCATGCTTCCAGAACCCTCCAGCGAGCTGCACAGCTCAGACTTGTAGTCTCCGGCCACGATTCTTCTGATATGAGTACCGATGTCACCTAGGATTCGGCTTATCTCTGCTGATTTTACTGTATCCTCAATCCCCGCGTTCTGACAGTCTTTGACGGCCATCAATAAAGTGTCATCCCCAAGAGTTGCATTCGGATCTTCAAGCGCATTCGCCACGCGAGCGACCAGACAGAGATCCCGGTGCTGCAAGGTAAGGCGGAGACCCTCTTGCTGTACAAAATCTGTCAGATTTGATAAGATACGGACTCACGTCTGGTATTGGCCAAGTTTCCACCGGAGTCTGTTGGGTTACCTTGGCCAGCATTCCAATTGCCTCGTGAACGCACTCTGCCGGGATCATCCCAAGCTCTAAACGCTGCACCAGAGCTGCGAGGAAAGACCATGCTCTGAAAGTCTCTGGTAAACGCCAGGTCCGGGAGCATTCCAACAGGAGATGTTGATGCTCTGCGGACAGGATGCCCAGACTAACTTCTTGATCCTCGGGCAAGAGCTGAAGCTCGTCCAGGTCTCGGTCCAAGCAGATGTTTAGCAATGCTTGGTATTGATTGCGCGGATGCGGGGGAATGAATGTGAAGAGGCTAGAGAGCGAATGCCGCGACCTATCATCCAGGCCTAGACTGCTCATCTTCACTGATAGATCGCTTGCGATTCCGCGTTCGTTTGACTGCGTCAAATTTGGATTCGCTTTGAGGAGGTAGAGCATCTCATTCTGAATCGCTTCACTCTCTGCCGTCTTGTACGAGAGCCAATCGGCCGCTTCGCGGAAGTCATCGGAGGTATACACGGGCGAGACATTGGCAGCAAGCATAGTCAAAGCGAGCTGCAATTCAGGCTTGGTAAGCTGAAACGTCACTCAGGTCTCACCTTCATGTCGTTCAGCGCGGCCTGTGCGAGTCAGCCTGGAACTCATGCAGCAATGAAGAGCTTACCTCCTCAGAGCAAATTGACTTGATGGACCTCAGATATGTCTCCTTGTCTTCTGGGGAGAGGGCAAAGGTTTTGACGACAACCAGGAGGAGCGAGTCGCCCGCTGACAGATCCGATACGCCTGGTCCTGATAAGGAGCTTGTTATGTCGTCCGATGGGTGAGCTCCTTCTGCACTTGAGTATGATGTGTGGGGGGAGGCGCTATCGCGCAGATGTCGCTTATAGCCCTCAATGCGACTGACCAAATCCGCCGTGCTAGGTCCCATGTCTCGAAGCAGATCTACCAGAAGTTCCATAAATGTCGTTATCTGGCGATTGAGCTCTGCCATCAACAAGCCTTCGCCAAGGCCGTCGTCTTTCCTGAGTGTCCTTGAAGCCACCGAAACAAATTGTATGACAAGATCCTCGACCTTTCGTGACTCCTTCATCTGCTTCTGAAAGCCCCTCTCCGGCCAGGCTGAACTCCAGAAAGCTGCCACGATCCGTCGAAAACGCTGCTCGACATATCTGCGCACATCAGTGTCAAGACACCGAGAGGCGTTACTTTTTGTGTTGTCCCATAGCTATACGGGGCAATTCGCCATCTAATGCTTTGATGAGCTTCTCAGGATAGCGCGGCATTCTTGCGGAATCCCGAGACAGCAAAGACGATAAGTCTGGCGCTCTGGACACGCTCGCCTGACTCGGTTTGAGTGCATAGTTGGGACCCGTGGAAGCATCGGAGATAGGACGCTGCTTGTGACTAGCGTGTCTATAGTCAGTTAGGTAACTGTTCTTGTCAGCTACGTCGCAAAGACACGGGACCTGACACACGCTACTCGAAGGGAGTACCTATATGCGAGAGTCAGTCGGTGCCCAAAGACTTCAACTCACTCCAGGCTCAAGTCCCCTGACATATCGCATTCAGTTCATCTTAACGAGCTTTATAGGCAACTGAACATCTTGATTTAGGGCTACCATGATCAGATCAGTTGTCGTCGAAAGGTGATCCGAGGCAGATTTCAAATGACGTGGTAAATTGCAGAACGCAGATTCTGTTTGGTAGAGGGGAGTCCGGGATGGACCTTTGCTCATGGCGCTGTCATTGCTTGCAAAGTTTCCGCGATCAGGTCCGCGTCTTATCTGCATGAATGATCGAATGATCGTGCACTGCCAGGCTCCTGGCGAGATGAGCTGCTGCGGCACAAGAGGGTCATTGGGCTTGACTATCAGAGCCGTACTTCGCTCGACGCGCCACATCGTCTTGAAATTAATGTAAACAAGCTGTTAATTCGAGATCTGATATTTCAACCTCAACCTCTATGGACACCAGGATGCGAGCTCTCGCCTCAGACGGCCCCATAGGTAACTCTGGTGCTCCTCAAGCAGCACATCTCCATGTCGTCAATGACAAACAACCTCCGCCGTCGTCTATTCCATTGCCCAAACAGACGAGGGTAGGAGGAGGCAGGATGTCAATCGCGCCTGCAGCTCAGCCCTCTGCTCGGAGGACGTCTACCATGCCAGGTGCTCCCCTTGGAGGACCCGCTGGACCCTCTGTACTTCGACACTCCAATTCTCAAGAGGGATTGAGACGATCGACAATGGCCTCTGGTGGCCTGGCGAGTGGGACGCGTGGAGATGCAGGTTTTCTCAATAGACAATCTCAGACAGCGCGAAATCCTCCGGGAAGGTGGGTCATGCGGTACTCTGATTGATGAACTCACTTGCATAGCGTACGAAGAAGCTCCATCTTCCCCTCGGCTGGTCGACAATCTATGGCTCCGGGCATGTTCACTCCGGCTGTAAGGGATACGCGACCGTACAAGGACAAGACGTTTGGTTTGAATTGCATCAATAATTTGACCGAATTCTTGATCAACAACCGATGCCCTGTTCCCATCACACCACGGACGTTTGCAGTCGTCTCGACGAAGGACGTTCAAGCGATATTCAGATTCCTGGTGTCGGATTTTGTTGACCCACAGACGGCCTGGAATAAAAAGTTTGAGGACGACGCGATCCAGATCCTCAAGGATCTCCGTTACCCATCTATGGAGCATTGTGGAAAGACGGCTTTGGCTGCTCCTGGTGGAACACTGAACTGGCCAGGGGTATTGGCAATGCTGGACTGGCTCGTCGAGTTGAACAAGGTGAGCAAGAGGTGTTATAGCGATGCTAAAGCGCTGGCAGGCTGGTCAGAGATGGGATGATATTGGGTTGGTCGCGGATCCTCTGAGAATGCCGGCAAAGGATCTCCCTCTGGACTCGCCAAACATTGAGACGCGTCTCGTCTGGGACTTTTTATCAAAGACCTATCTGCAGTGGTTCGAGTTTGGATTGGAGGACTTTCCCGAGGCGGAGATGGAGGTCATGGAGGTCTACGGTGAGCAGCTGACTGCATGACAAGACTGATTTTTGTCAGACAGGATGACACAAGCTGCCTTGGAACAATGCGAAAAGGTCGAGACAGAGGTACAAAAGCGCAATGTGGAACTGCAGCAGCTCCAAGCACAAGAAGTAAGGTTCTTTGAAGGCATTGCTGATCCCCTAGCCCCCCCTCAAAGCACTCGAGGAAGAATACATCCAGTTGATGAGCGACAAGACTAAGTTTATCGACTTTATCGAGATGCACAGACAAAAGGCAGAGAAAACCAGGGGTGTCCTGCAGCGAGCAAGAGAGGCCATGGCAGTTCAAGGTAAGAGAAATGGATCGCGTCCCCCGCTAACACGCCAGACCAAGAATTAGAAGCCGCTCGAGCCGAACTGGCTCGAATCGAGGCAGCTGTGGCTGCTCAAAACCTTTCGCCGGATGAGGTCCAACGGATGAATTATGAACGAGAAACATTGACCCGTACCCTGGATGAGATGCGTATCAAGACAATGGAGGCGAGTCAATTCTCGTACGATCAGGAACTTCAAGTCACCAAATCGATGGATCGCTTCGAGCAACTCTACGCTGATTATACATCATTGGCGCACCAGATTGGACTCGTTAAACCTGGCAGTCGGCAGAGTCTGTTGGCTGGCAAGGTGGACTTTACGATTGATGTCGAGCTACAGGCCGAGGACATGGCCGATGTGCAGAAGGAGGCGAAACGACTGAGAGAGCAATTGCGACCTGAACTTTCAGCCTTTGGCGAAAAATTCAGGAAGGAGGAGCTAGAACTGGGTAATCAGGTCATCGAGCTTGAGGATCAACACGATCGCCTGACTCAAGAGGTTGAGAAGCACAAGCAGCAAGTAGAGATGTCTGAGATGCGAGTCAAGGCGCAGAATGATTCTGCCGAGGATGCGAAGAACGTGAGTCCGAGCTGTATGATGGCGCTAATGACCTCAGACTCTGCTTTCCGAAACGGCTTTGGCCAATGCCAAGATTGCAAAGCTCGAGAAGGACGTTGCTGACATGTCAAACGCGAGTCAAAAAGGTGTACTGGATGCGGAACACGAGTTGGAAATGTCGAGGATTAGGTGGGTTAGCAGGGGAGTGTTGAATGGTCAGAGCTGACGCGTTTCTTCTCCAGATTCAACGAGCTTCGTCACAAGACCAGTCTGCTCCAAGAGAATGTCACTGCGCAGTTGCTCAAGCATATTGAGATCATTGCGAACACGAGACAGCACACTGCTGACAGTCTCAAGTCTTTGAGGTTGTTCGCAGAGGGCCATGGCGTGTAACTCAAGGAACGGCTGGCGGGGATTTGGGTTCAAATGCTTGTATTTACGATGAATATTTTGCTTCCGTGGTTTTCCCCTCTTTACGTCACGCGCCGTTGTTTTCTTGGACGGTCGAAGCCACCGACCCAAAGGCCAATCGCTCAGACCAACAACAACTGAAAAGTTATGCAAAGGTCGGACTGGATCATGCTCAGGACGACGACGACGACGACACTCAACACCTCATGTGGACACTAGAATGAACAGCCATGCAGCAGCTTCTACCTCGCGGCATGGAGTGGGCACCGCCATCACATCTCCGAATCCAAGCGGCAGTCGCAAAACAACCAGTCTGAATAATAATGTCAAACGAGGATTCGATCCAACATCTTCGAATGACAGAGACATCCCCTGTGTAGAAGAGAGGGTCGCAGAGAGCTTATCAGTCTGGGCAAAGGAGCTCAGAGCATTGTTTGATCATGCGAAAGAGAGATTTGGAGATGTCACTTGGGAGAATGAGGATGATTCAAGTGGGAGGAGCCGTATCTGGGGACACAAAGGTGGGGGCATTGGGGGGTATGAAGGGACTGACGAATTGTTTAGCTGTGATCTATGCGCGAGCTCCGAGTAAGCTTGATACTACTTGTGAGGCTGATCAGGCTGACTCTTACCACAGAAGCTTTCAAAGACCGATATTTTATCTCTCGACCATTCTCTCGATCCCCGGCATCACTCAGGTCGCCCTCGCCCTCCTTTCCTTCTCAGTTCCCTGATACCCCTTCCTCCCCTCATCCATCTTCCGCTACCAACTCCTTCCATCGACCCAGCCCTGTACCTGCTCATTCCGGTCGAACGAGCACGCTCTCTGTCAATACAATAAAGAGCGAAGGAACACTACGTGCCAACGGTGATGGTGTGCTGCGTCTGACCCATGGAGACACGCCGGAACTGTTCCAAGCTCAACTTGAGTGAGTTGGGCGAGGTGTGTGTGCTTCGGAGTATCTGCTGACGTCTCGGAGATGGCTCTACACGGGTGAAGGCTTTGGTGACGTTGTCGAATGGATTTCTGCAGAGGATGACTCAGGCATCGGCGGCAGTATACGAGATTCCCTCGGACGAAGAGGCAACCTCACCGAACGTAGAGACAAGCTCGGACAAGATCTGACTTACATGTGGAGATCCAAGCTCTATGCCGATGCGCGGATACACCTCGCCCCTCCTCTACCTGGACAGGAGGATTCATCCTCTTCAGATTCAGACGATTCCTCGGACTCTCTGTCTTCTACTGCCGTCTTCACAGCACATCGGTTTATACTCGCTTCTCGCTCACCCTATTTTGCTTCTGTTCTCCTGAACGGCTCCACCTTCAAGCCGCATACGTCGGATATTCATTTACCCACCCCACCTTTCACACCTGCTGCCCTGCATTTCTGCCTCGGCTACATCTACGCAGGCCATCTCGACTTTTCAAATCGGACATTTGACCTGATCACGGCTTTCGCCATCCATCGAGCGGCTTCTTATCTTCAGCTGGATACTCTACAAGCGGAGATAGAATCCAGAATAGCACACGAGTTTTGTCATGCCTTCGATCCGGCCAAAGTGCATTGTCGTCGATGTCCGGCGCGAATCGCTCGCGTTTGGCGATTCGCCTCTTCTCCGGACGTTGGATCTGTCGACCTGCTGATGAAGTCAAGAGCGTACGTTGTCCGACGTTGGGGCGACACTTGGGGTCGAGACGTGGCGTTGGCCGAGCCACAGGACCGACAAGCGTTAGTCAAGGACGTTGTGACTTCGATCGGACCCCGCAACATTGTCGCAGCGTTTCGATCCCTGGGGATGATTCAAGATCGCATAGATCATGCGGTCCGCTCAAAAGGGCGAGCGTGGACCGCATGGGCCGAGCCGATCGAGGAGATGTTGCAGGTTATTCAGAAGCATGTCCAGACCATCCTCGTGGATCGCTTTGCGGAGGTCGCTGAGAGTCCCGAGTTTTGGCATCTAGTCTCTGGGCAAGGCTTCAGTCATGATCTGCTGGAGACCATTTCCAAGGCTCTGGTGGAATCCGTCGGTACGGCTCAAGAATGCGTGGAGGGACCTAGAATATACCAAGCACTGGTATCTTCATTGTTACTCAGGGTCGAGCCGAATACCTTGCAAACGGCTTTACCGCCTCGGTCGAGGGGTCGACTGCAGATCGAAGAAGCCAAAGAGGGAATCCTCGGGCATGTGAGACGACGATGGATGCAGATCAGGGACGGGGGCGGGTTCGATGGGTTGGAGAATTGGTCACTCAAGGAGATCAGCGATGGTGAGTGACACTTGTCAGAACGAGCTTACAATGAAGAAATCGAAGTCCCAATCGAAGATCTCCTTGCTGGTCAACCTTTTACTCCTGCGAAAGTTCCGCGTCTTCCACCGACCACTGGAGGTCGATTGCCAATCCCGAAGTCTCATTTGCCGCGAGCAGGCCCATCAATTCCAGCTAGTGAAGCCAAATCTGTCCGAAGCTTAAGCGCGCGATCGACAGCTTCACCCGTGGGCGGTCCATCCAGTATCCGTCGATCATCTCCGTCAACACCTGAAAAATCAGGACTCCGACACCTTCGATTATCGAGCGCGGCGTCGACAAACTCCGCCTCTAGTACTCCCTCCGCTGTCGCCACACCGTCCCGACGTCCAGCGATTCAGATGCTCGGACCCCAAGCCAGGAGTCCAACAGCAGCTCTACGTGGTCACACCGTTTCTGTAGGTAGTGCTGCCCGAAGAGCCGTGCAGTCTGCAAGTCCAGAAGGCTCAGCTCGTCCATCACCGCGCACGCTCGCAAAGCCCATGTCTGGTCCTCCTAAAGCTTTGGTCACGCGCGGATCCGTCAGCAACGCAAAGGACTCCGATACAAAGTCTCTCGCTCCATCACTCGCTTCCCAAAGGACGACAAGGACATCTAAGTCAACCGCAACCATCACTAAGCCGACAGATGGGTCACACAGCAAGCCTGGACCCAGTCAGTCCAAGACCACACCTCGAAGGGCTAAACCTGATAAGCCTGTTCGGACTGTTCCAACGCCAAAGAGCGCTCGGAAAGTCGAAGAGGAGTCTCGTATACGGAAGCTGAGCACCGCGTCGACAGCTTCCACGCGTGGCAAAGCATTTCGCAAAGGCGAGTCTCCGCCGCCTCTTCCTCTCCCCGTACCACACCCTGCAGATAGTAAAGTTTCAGGTCCTCGCCCGTCCGGCGTGTCCGTTGCCTCTACTCGAAGTCGAGTGCCTGCGCCTTCCATCGCTCCTTCCATTCGATCTACCGCGCCGTCCGTTAAGAGTATAGCCGCTGCATTTGACAACAGGTCCAAACCGGGAACGACAATTCCTACTCGTGCGCCGGCTAGACCCAGTATCCCTCCAAAATCTCCCAGTCGACCGCCTCTGGCGAAACAAAGCCGTTTGGACCCATCCATGATGCCAAAGTCCCGCCAGCCGCCTCTCATCCCCGATTCCCGGACACGAACCACCTCGCTCAATTCAAATGCCTCGCAGCGTGCTCTACCGAAAAATGGTGACTCGCTCGCCCCTGCTTTACCCATCGGTACTGCTCGTCCGACGATGCGATCCGCATCCTCTTCGACTGATGGGACGGAAGCTCGTACACCCCGACTATCTGAGGATGTCATGCCATCCATTGAGCCATTGATCAGACGAGATGGGTCAGACGCCTCAGATCTCATCTCTCGCGGTCCGCCATCATCCACCCACTCTTCGCCTACGAAACTGCCAAGGTTTACAGCGTCCAAGTCTTCGCCCTCCAAGTCCTCGGTGATAAGTCCTTCTCTCCATTCTCCGACCTCTCAATCCAATCTCCCTCCTCCAGTCTCCATGGCTCGTGCTGGTCGAAAAATTTCCACGTCTTCCGCCAAATCCAATCAATCATACCGTGCGCATCCGGCATCTGCGTTCGATCCGCCTCGACGACCTCTGATTGTCAACCTGCCTGAGAAACAGGCTCCAGAAGGGACGACCCCATTTCAGGGACGAGGCGTGGCTCTGCGCATGGGCATACCGTGTATCGTGTCGCTCAAATCCAAGCGAGCGAGGTTCAGAGCCATGGTCAAATACATTGGCCATATACAAGACGTGAGTGCTGCACCCTGTTACGGGCCTTCTACTGACCCCGACACAGTCTCGCGGACCTTGGCTCGGTATAGAGACGGAAGAACTGGACAGGTTCAATGTGTCTACCCTTGATAGTGGCTCTCTTGATGGGATACACTACTTTCACTTATCCTCTCAGGAGGGGAACATGGAGGACGTGGATGTCCGACTAGCAAGGCAACGACGCATCGAGGTGATTCGTGAAGGACTCGAGAGACCTGTAGGCCTTGGATTGGGTACGATTGGGCGACATCGCGCTGCTGGATTGCCTGCTCCTGGGACGTTTGGACTCGGTGTTGATAATCTTGGGACGAAAAGGAGCAAGAGTCCAACTCCATTTACAGATGGTTTCGGGACGATTGTCAACCCTCGCGTCTTATTCGTCAGGCCGAGCGAAGTGGTCTTCGTTCTTGGAGCGGAATAGAGTCAGTGGGTCGCACCCGGCCCGAATGGCGGCGAATCTTGCACCTTTTTCTTTTCGTGTATAATACACTCATATCTCGAATGATGATCTTCTCTCCTTCTTGACGACGGTTTGTAAACGACCTCTTATAACGATCACACACATGTCTGGAAACGTTTAATGTCATGCAATGAATGCCAATGCCATGATGCTTCGAGATCAAGCGCTGCAGCAACTCTGAGGTGATGCAATGCATGGTCATTATCATGTCGGAAATCAAGGACAACTAGAGCTATGTCAGACCGGTCGCCTAGGACACAATGTCAGCATCTCTCAAGGCCTCATTTACGCACCTTTTCATACAACCCTTTGACGACTTCTCCCATTTGTTTGAGTGTATCCAACGCGGTACTGTACATTGGCTTTTGGGATTGTCAGCTCATGAAGGTGTCCGGCATGCGGACTGACGTCTTCCACTGGCTCCTCGTACACCTCCAGCGTGCCGACGTTCTCGTTCAACACGCCATAAAATACTTGATCGAGAATCATCTGACTCAGTCTAGCAAAATGACATCAGCGAATATGATTCGATTTTGTCGATCTCGCTCACTTTTCCTCGACCACTTGAAGTGGTTGACCAACTTCCTGCGCGATCCATGATAGCTCGACGGATGAATACGGCTCAATGACGCGGACAAGATTTTGCTCCAGCAACGTATCGTAGAGGATGGACAGGTGAGATCGGATCAATGGATCTTGTTGCAGTTCTGAGGAATGGATCGTCAGATCACCGCCCTAGTACCATGTGTGGTGAAAACTTACGCTCCTGATACTCTTTCAGAGCGACCTTGAACAGATCCAGACTCCTCTCTTTCAGTGCCGTTCCTGTTGCTCGCATGGCATCGAGATCCTTGCCCAGGAAAGGCTGAGCACTCTTCAAGAGCAATAATGGCGGGACATCATCCGGCTGGGCGGCGTGTCAAATATGAGTCAGATTGATCGACTCACTAATCCCATCATAATCTTGCACAGCAACATGTACTTCAAGGCCCTTAATGCCCTTGGATCCTTGTCATCTGCCTGTGTGAATCCTTCAAATGCTTCGAAAAAGTATGAATAAGCCGTCTTGTAATCCTTGTCATCGGCATTGACAGCTCCTGATTGGAGATCGAGTTGAGCTTGGAGTAGAGGAGGGCAGTAGATAGAGTTGGCAGTGGTTCGAGCGGAAGTCAGGGCGGTCTGATGCGGATGCGTCAGACGATCACTTCAGACTGAGGCTCACCTTTGCACGGGGCATATTCTGGATAGCGTGAGACGCTCTTGATTCCAAGAGATACACCTCTGTCAGGATGATCTTGTCATCTAGCAATTTGAGCTCTTTCAAGAGGTTATCCGTCATGTTCAACGCTGTTCGGTACTGTTCTGTATCGATTTGTCTAGCCGTGTGTAAGCATACACAGTAGCCCTTAGATGAGCTTACAGGCCGATCAACTTGATTTCCAAGCTTTGCCGAAGGAACACTCTCTTCTCTTCTCTCGCCCACGTAATGTTATCCCGGGTCACTTGCATCTGTAATTCTCGAGCAGTCGGTGGGAAGTAATCAATGAGGGTACGGACTGAGCATGGTGAGTTTGGTTTCCAAAGCAGCTAGCTTACTCAGTTTCGCAGTCTTTGCCTTGGCGATCTGTGACATGAACGTCCTTGAGTCAGTCACGAGCTGAGCGAGTTCCTGCGATTTGCTGAACGAATCGGATAAGCTGATGTAGTGAATACACCTGACAAGTAACTCACCCATGATCTCTATATAGCCCAGCAAGCTTGACCAAGCCTGATTCCTGATCCCTCAACTCATCTTCATCCGCTATTCCAGTACCCATCGTCAGTCTCTCTCTCGCTCGCGAGTGCAGCACCGTGAGTCATCCATTGAGACCCTTCCCACTGACCTGCTTTCCGGCTCAGAATCCCCCTATACAGCTCTTCAGCCTTTGCAGGGTCGGATTTGGTCATTGAGGAAGCCTGATCCAGCGCTTCGGAAGTCGAAGCTATGGCTTGAACGCCCGCCATGATTTGGAGAAGGAATGGTGGCTATGGATGGGATTGTGTAACGATGAATGCGCTCTCGCGTCTGAGATGGAATTGACGCCGATGGGATAAATTGAATGGGGAAAATAAGGCTCGGATAAATATTCTGGAACATGTGGAGACCCCGCGGCACAAATGTTCAGCTCTGGACTACATAAAGTGTGAAGACTTCGATCAGCTTCTCTTCTCCACTTGACTCTCGATCATCCCGCACCATGTCACAGACAGATCTACCACTACCGGTCTTCTATTCTAAGACGCTATCTTCCCTGCTACCTATATTCGATGACTCGCTGTCCCTTTCGGATCCAAACGCAGTGGCGATTCTGTCGAAAGCCTTGGAGGATCTACACCTCATAGCGAGGATGATCACTTCCTTAGGTCAGTGATGGTGACTGGCTACTGGCTGCGGAGGCTTCAGCTGAGTAGGAGTTTCAGGTGTGTTCTCCGATAACGAATCAGTGGAAGAGCTGGGCAATGGCGAATTAGTCTTCATGAGTCTAGGATGGGTCATTGGTGAAGCCGAATCCAAGGGGGGTCTGGGAGGTATCCAAGATCGTCTAGCTGCCCTGAAGCGAGCGGATGTGAGTCGAAAGACATTGTGACGCGGCTAACCAGCCGTTAAGCATGCTTTCAATCTCTTTCTGAGTCTGCTGTCCACCTACTCTATCGTCACGCCCTCTGAGCAAGCGGAAAGTTCCGCAATGGGAGTGGAAGCCGGTCTTCCTAGAGATCCAGCCAAACGCAGAGAAGCAAAGATTGCACAATACAAGAGGGAGAAGCAGCTGAGGGAGCAGATCTCGGTCAGTGCATGCGTGCTGTCGTGCTGTTTCTCCTTTTTGACATTCGGTCCAGACACGATGTCCTGGCCAACCAGACTCATCATCCAATCCTCTATCCTTCATCCTTTCCCTTCTACCATCTTCCGATTCTAGACCTTCCTCTACAGCCGTCAATGCGGAAGAAGACGACCAGCGGACAGTCTCCCTGTCTGTCCTTCAGCTGCTGTACACTCTGACCTTATCGTCCCTCGCCTCCATCAAGATGGAGCTCGACATTTTGGCCTCTGCACCGCCTGAACCTACTTCTTCACAGCCTCCACAGACAGGCGAGACGGACAACACATGGCGGCTTGATCGCACGCCGGCTTCGCACGTCAAACCCCGTCAGTTGATCTCAGGTGGAGGTCGAGTCTTGCGGCCGTTTACAATCCTCCCGTCGACCATCGCCATGTCGGATAGGGAGAGGTTACGGAGTGAAGTGTTCAGGAGCGGACACAGATTACCGACCATGACTATTGACGAATACCTCGAGGAAGAGCAGGCGAGGGGGAATATCATAACGGGTGGAGGGTATGTTCCGACCATTTTCCCAGACCTCCCCTTTGCTGACTCCAAGCTCTCAGGCAAGCGTCAGCGGACGCTCCAACGGAATCTGAACTCCTCCAGCTCGCAGCCGAAGAGGACGGAACGATGGAAGGAGACGCCAAGGCGGAGCAAAAGCGCTTAAAAGATGAAAATTGGGCACAGTACGCCGAGGCGAATCCTAGGGGGGCAGGGAACAGGATGAACCGCGGATAAGGTGTTGCATTTGATAAAGCAAGCAAAGAGGCAAGATCTATACTGAGCTGGTTGATTGGGCGATTACTCACAGTCTTCATTTGCGACGGCGGGTCCTTTCTCCTTTCTCGTCATCTCCTGGAGGTGGCAGTCTGCAAAACGAGTTTCGTGCATGACACACTCAGTTCCTTTGAGTGCTCCTGGTGGTGTAGGTGGCTCACGCTGGATGCTTGTGTGTATCAACTACTCATGAGAGATCAAGGTTGAGACCGGCTTTGTCAATTCTACTTATTCGTCTGAAGACTTGACTCACTCGAGATGCCTATTACACTGACACAAGGTCCCATCTCGGCGAAGACGCCAACCGATCTCTTTGCCACCCTTGCGTTATCTCCTCCTCTTGGGTCGATTCTGCCCTCGGCAGTACCCACGATAGCATTCTCCCCCCCTACCCCGCCAACTGCGATCTCACTGACCCAGGCCCAAGCTTACCTGCTGGAACAGCATCTGGACTCTGAGGGTGTCGACGACAGGGACAAGAACGGAATGTCTGAAGATGGGGGCGATTCTATTCTCCCGAGCGCATCATTTAATCCACCACCAACCATGCCTGGGCCTGTCCATCGTCCTCTCGCGTCGAATGAAGCTCGACAATTGTCCCTGTTGCTCACTCAGCATTTCTTCCCACTCCGATCTCAACCTCGATCCATGATGAAGGAATCGATCCATTTAGCTGAAAAACTACACGAGGCAGGTATACGATGGGACACAAAGCGGCGAGTCATGGGATTGCATCTGAGAGGGATATGGGAAGAAGGACAAAAGTTGAGTTATACAAGGACTGCGATTGGAGGCCACGGGCCAATGGAGTGAGTTCGGATGGGCCTGTGACTGAAACTATGTAGCTTGACAGGTGTTTCAGGGGAGACAAGACACTTACTGATGAGTGCTTAGCCTTTACGTTCAGGGCTCATTCCTCAGTATCGCCGAGGAACCACACCCACTTGATCCTATGTACGTGAGAGTCGTTTGAGATGGCGCCCCAGCACTTCCCTTTTCGCCACTTTGATGACTGAAGCATGTTTCGCAGGCCGATTCCACTTGAACTTCACCCGGCCTCTTTCGCGGCTCTGCCCAAACTCACACTCCAAGCTGGTCTCGCAAATGCCTTGCCCGTCGCTGCTACCCACATGGACCACCATACCATGGGGGACGGTCCCCACCAAGTGATCCATAGGGATTTTGCACGTGACCCCAGTGAAATGGTCCATGCTGTCCATGGAGAAGTTGGAGATAGACACGTCGGTCTGGAAATTCAGGTGGAGATGATGCCTGATAAGGAGGCGGCGCCTGTCCATAAGAGCGTGAAGGATAAGTGGAGGGATAGGAAGGCGAAAAGTCTGAGGATCCATACAGACGGGTGCGTTGAATGCTCGCTTCGGCTCAATTCCATCCTTCTACATACATACACCACGCGTAAGAGGCAGAAATCTTTCCATTCAAAGGTCAGGCTTTCATGCTGATCCCTTGCTTTGATCTAGACACTCTCGTCTGACAACCCGAACGAAAGCTCTACAACTCTACCCTTCATCCGCCACTTTATCCGCAACGAAATATCAAGCCTGCTCACGCAATCGTCCATTTTGGGCCGCCCTGCGATTTCGCGCACGGCATCACCAGCATCATCATCAGCGCTACACACCGATCCGAGCAGGTCCTCTTTCCGCAAAGTATACCAAGAGAAGATTCTCAAAAGATGTCCAGATGCGCGTCAAGAAATGGATGGGAAATGCCCCGAAGAGCGCAGCGAGTGCACGATTGACCTTTGGAGCGTGGGAGGTGAGGTGAGGTTAGGTGAGGTGAGGTGCAAGGGCAGGGGCCAGGAACCTCAACGCCTGTCTCTAAGTCTGGTCGTTGAATGATTGGATCGCCCGTCAGTGTACTCCGTTCACGGCTTGTTCCCGATGCATGCATGCATCAAAGTGAAATCCTCCACCAATCATTCACGGCGCCTCATTCGGCGCGTGTACGATACAGTAGTCAACCCTTCAACATCATCCCATGTTCGGTACATTGTACATACATGAATATAGACGTCTCCATGTATGTGAAAAGTGTACAAGGCTTAAGGGAACTACTACACCAGCTCCGCTCACACCCATCGTGCGACCTGGACAACCTCTCCGTTCTCATCCAGTTGACCGTTCATCGACCCCTCCGCGAAATGATCGTACACGCTGTCTCCGTATCCATTCCCGTTCGTCAGAGCCGTCTGATCTGAATTCTGATACGCGACCATCTGAGCTCTCATCTCATCCGGAAGTCTCGCCGCAGCTTCCAAGGCCGCCCTTACTTCCCCTGGATCAAGGTATTCAATTGATGTTCGCAACCCTGCACTGCTTGTACTCACGGCCCATCTGACCTATTCCATCCCACATCACGCCGTAAGCCTCCAGACCCGCCACGATAACCTTGACATTTGTCAACAGCCCCTCAATCTGCTCGACCGCCTCTTTGCTCGGTGTCTGGTAGGCGTGTTCAGCTTGAACAGCCAAAGCCAAAAGGAGGAAAGCGTAGGCTCCAACGACGAGACCACAGGAGCAAAATGGCATCCATCGGGGCCTATTCCGTTAGCCGAATACTGACAACACTTCACTCACGCTCCATCGTACATGGCGATCTGGGCACTTCGATGCAGTACTTCCAAACGAATGATGGCCCGAGCAGCCGTTGCGCACCGCTCGAGCGAAACACCCGGCGGAAAGACCGTCATGGGATGGCTCTCGTATTCTGAGACCTTTTCCGGCTTATCGTCGTCATCCACTCCCCAGGGTTTGCTAGGCTTGGACGATGCGGCAGACTGAGTAGAGGGCACTGGACTGCCTCCGCTCGAGCTCCCCTTGTTGGCCACTGGTCGACCATCTTGACCAGAGTATGCGCCCGGAGGGATGATCTGTGCAGCCGGAGCGAGAGGGACAAAAGGAGCAGGGATGATGTCCACGGGGGCATATAATGCGCCTGCGCCTCCAGAGTGAGCGAACCAGGGTTCTGGAAGATGCTCCGGGAACGTCTCGGGTTGCCAAAGTGCCTCCATATCGGTGTACTCGTCCGCAACATAGTCCGATATCAAGGTATCGGATCCGGGCGTCGAGTTGACCTGCTGCACGCTATTCGAGACTGCAGGTGCCATGTTTGAAGCTGTGCCACTGGAAGAAGGCAAAGCTGACATATCGGTGGATCCTACTGGAGAATCCGAAGACACCTCCACATTTTGGTGCAATCCAGGAAGTCCACACATGATCTTGCTGAAAAGTGACACTTCAGGGAATGCCTGATGTCGATGAATGTGGATATGGACAGCGGCCATTCCAAATTTGACGGCAAGTTGGAGATTTCGGACCACTTCTTCTTCGCCACCGGGCACAAATTCCACGACGAGATCTTGCTCTGTCTTTTTGAGCATGTTGAGGATCTCGGTATCCATGTTGATCATTTGCCGACGAGTGTCGATATCTCTTTGCACTTCCTCTGCCGTGTTGAACGAGGTCATACCGTGCGTCGAGGCTTGCAGAGCTGCCCGCTGGTAGTAGACGGAGCCGACAGCTTCGAGAACCGCTTGAATTCGCCTCTGAGCATTGATCCATTGTGACCAGGATCGATCATTTATGGTACAGGCCGGGAAGTCGATCTCGAATTGAGACTCGTCAGTATAAGGCATGAAAGCTGGTAGACCGGCGGACAATGTCGTGACCATTTGCTGGGCATATGCGACCCAGAACGTCCGCCTGATCATGTCCTTTTGCCACTCGCCATCTTCCACGGCGTTGCCTGTCGGCGAGCGATTGCCATGATCTAAAAAGTTCATGCCGAGCTGAATGGAGAGGTTGATGGCTCTTTCAGCGTACGTGTTGGTGAGTCCTAGATTCAGGGTGGCTCCCCAAGTGTACATCGACAACATTGTCAAGGCCTGTACACACTCCACGTTGGCTTGACCCGCGCTGATGAGCTGGTCGACTGTCGTGATAGTTTCCTGGGCCAATTGATGCGCAGCGGCGGACCGGAGTCGCTTGGAATTCGGTGACCCTGGTGCAGGATCTTGGGTGTGTGGCGCGAGGACGAGGAGGGTTGATGAAGCGAGGAGGAAAGGCGATTTCGGTAAGAGGATACCGGAAACTTCATGTATCCATTTGCGCAAAGGCATGACGGGGAGGAAAGGGTGAAGTTCAGTGTAGTAGCACCGGAGACTTGAGGAACAAGGAGCTCAGCTGGAAGACATCTTCCTTTCACTCTGGGGCCACTCACATCTCGTCCCGTGAGGAAAAGGTTCGAACGATATTGGTCGTGTCCTCATTCTCGCTGGCTTGACCACACGGCACACCATCGCCACGATCCACCCAGAATGCGTCGAGTTTGGACAAGAACTGTCGAAGAGCAGAAGGCGGAGGCGCTGCAGAGGAGGAATTGTTGACATGACGTGAGCCTCGATCACCTCGGATCAAAAAAAAAAAAAAGGACAGCCAAAGGAGAGAGAGAGACAGAGAGAGATCCATCTACTCACGTCGTCTGACACGGGGCCCACCTCGACGAGATTTGACATACTCGCACAATAAGCCTTTCTTTGCGCACTGCCAGACATTGATCAGCGATCACTGCCACCATGGAAGAGAGACACACGCCTCTTCACTCACCGCTGCGCAAACTGGTTTGACCCCATCACATTTGGCCTTTTTGCTCCTACAGCTCAGGCACGCAGCTTTGACTGGACCTTCCTTCGGCGAGGAGTCTCCGACCCCATTAGTCGAGACCATCTTGACATTCTTCTTCTTTCCATGATCGAATCTACCAAATGGTGATTCTGATTGGTAAGGGTGGTGATGGACAGTTGGATGATGCCCATTCGTCGGATGTGAAGGTGGATCTGATGAAGCGCCTCTGACGCTTGATGGCGAAGCTGAATCTGATCCTGATATCGGATAGATGGATGCCATGATGGGAACGCGAGCGACGCAGTAGGGACTGTGAAGGAGGAGGGGAGGGGGTAGAGAGTGTCACGATCCCCTCAAGATAGATAGAGGAGATTCAGAGGTAAAAGCTGCTGAGCTACTACTCCTGCTGTGTGTATGATCTATGTGGCGATCTTCGGGGGTGAAAAAAGAAGAGTGACGGCAGCGGATGCAAATTTCGCAATGTGGGTCTGGATTGGGTTGGTCTGTTTCCGCGAGTGTCAACGAGTGTCAAGAAGAAGAAAGGCTAGGTAGCGATGCATCCAAACCCCTCCCACATCCTCCTGCTTCCTTCCCCCCTTCCTCTCTGAATCATTCAGCCTAGCTGCTCCTGCTGTTGCTGCCAATGTCTCTCATTTTTTGGACTGGAGCCATTTAAAAAAAACAGCTCCTCTCTCTCCCCCGGGTTCTTTTTCATACCCGTTTTCAAATTTTCGTTCAATTGCCACCTCGAGTAATTCATCCTTCACATGCATAAAACGGACTTATGGTGATCACAATGACGATTGTCGTTCTTGGTCAATCATCTGCTGTATCCACAAAGCCCTATGCTTGACCTCCTTGGCATGCGCTGCTCGCCTCTTGATGGCATGTCGTATCACCCCGTGCTGCTCCTTCGATGTATTATCAATGTTCTGCAGCATGTTGATCACATCATGTAATCGATCACAGTGATATCTCACGTCGATGGGTTCGTCTCCTCGTTTGACATTGGCAAAGCGGACACGATCACGGTACTGGACAGATCCAGCGTCCTCGGACGACAAAGTGAAAGATGGAGGGGCACTGAACAGTGTAGCGAGAGGCGCATCAGGATTCGAAATCGGCGTCCTGTACATGGTCATGTGGTATTGACCAGGGGTTATACGCTCCTTCAGAGGTTGCCGGCCAGTCAACAGGACATGTTCCTCTTTTAATCTCGCCAAGGCTGAACGAACCATTCGGTCAATGAACGCCAGCAATGAAGTCGGTTTATAACGCTTTGTGTGATAACGTTCCCGTGCCACCGATCGGACTTGAAGGATGTTCGCAACGACGACGGATGTCTTGGGGGGTTGAAGATCCGTAATCCAATCATAAGGATCCGTTACCGGGTCACCACCAGACTGTGTCTCTTGCTCCAGACGCTCGAGAGCCTCTTGATGTCGGATCACCACTTGTCGTACGAAAAGTGATTGATGTGACAGAGCTGCCTCCATGTAGGATCGCATGATGACTTTGATAGCCAGCAGATCGTTTGCTTCAATGGCCCAGTGGAGCATACGGCTGAACAGATGGTTCGAGAGGAGGTCTTTCGGATACAACTGACTTTCCGGTCGGATCGGAGAATCCCGGTTGAACATGGCTGCTGAGGAAGGGGGGCTGGGGTAAAAAGCCCTAAACTTCAGGGGTTTACCGCCCTTCGTTAGTTGCTGCTGTGCTTTCGACTCGTTAGTGTCGCCTGCACTATGGGAAGCCTTTCGCGAGAGCGGTTTCGCAGGCCAATGCTCGAAGCCACTGCAGTCGGCGCCAGGGCTTTGCTGAGAGACATCCACCACCTGCGGAGGTTGGACCGACGAGCTCGACTGTGGCGACACTCCTGAGTCAGACTTGAAAGACTCCTGAGTCATCTCCAGCGTATCACTCCTTCCGTCCGCGTCTGCAGGATCTCGAGCAGAGTCAGAGCGAGGGCTGCCTGATGACAAGACGCCTTTCACATATCGTCGGCGTCTCGAGAGATAGGACGGCAATTGAGGAAGAGGTTGGAATTTGCCGAAGATCTCCGACGCAGCTATCATCTTCCATGTTTCACCATTCTGCCCAAGGAGGTTACACAATGCGAGGAGAGAATCTTGGTTAAGATGGACCGCCGGGTTCACTTGAGGAGCCAGACTCTGTAGATTCAGTCCCAGTAGTCCTTGGAAGACATCCACGAGCATCTTGTCGACATCCTTTCGTTCATCTCGATGCTGGAAAACGTCTCGTATGTAATTCAGAGATTTGATGATATCGTTCACAATCTCCGGAGTGAACAGCTCTGGCTTCTCATTGACATCCCGCAGGACAGACCACAGGACTTGAAGTAGACTTCCAGCGACCGAGTCTATACGTTCGCCCCATTCTAAAGGAACCACAGGTTTGTAAAAGTCACGTCTCCTGGCCTTCTTCGCTAGGGCCAGAGGATCCTTGGCAGACCTGTCGTCTGTTCCTACTGTCCCGAAACTTCCTCCAGTGAGCTCGTTCCGCTCCATGACACTCATTTCCCAAGCAGCAGCTGTGCTTATAGGCTTTGAGCTCGCCCGATGGGCTCGACACCAAGTCTCCAAGGCTAATAAACGAGTTCGTAGGGTATGGACGAAGATTTCCGGACGCAGGGCTGATTCGGGGACCCTTTCGAGCAAAAGTGTATGAATGCGAGAGACAGCCACTATGCCACCGTAGAGTGCCACTCTGTGCATCGCAACTGCATAGTCGAGCTGAGTGATCGACATGGAGAATTCCAGGTCCGCAATGATGGCTTGGAGTCGCCTCTCGCACCTTGATGACCGGTCCATTTGAAGCGAGTATCTGTCCTCGGATTTTTGATAGGGAACAGGAGCATGAGGCGTGACGATGAAGAGGATTTTGCGTAAAATCTCGGGGTCAAGAGACCGGCGAGTAGGGATGGGAAGTTGACTGTAGAGAGACCAGACAGTGCTGGAGCGTGATGACAACCTTCGCGCCGATAATTCGATCAGGGGGAACGGCGGGTAATCTGATAATGGCGCGGATCCGACAACTTCGACTAGCTGGTCGAGAATCTCGTCTTCGGACATTTGGGTACCTTGACGGAAGACATCCTTGCCTTTGGAGTCTTGACGGGAGCTTGACAATGTCGCTTCGGCATATTGCTCGCGATCGACTGTTCTTGAAGGTCCAGCTTCGGGCGAGGCTCTCTCACTCCAGGGGATCCGGGGAGCGCTGATTCTGAGCGAGGTGGGTTGAGGTGGATGATACTCTGCGCTCGGTTCAAGCTCGACTTCGTCTACCCTTTCTGCGGTGATCGTTGCCATTTTTCGACTCAGCGATGGCCTAGTCATGAAACATCAGCCAGGTAATAGTGGCAGGACATCGGTATGAACTCACGACAGTGACCATGTCTGGCGTATGGCCAGTCGTCTCAGTCTGAGCACCCCTCGCATCGTGGAGGAAGGTCAATGATTGCGTAGAGAGTATGCGAAGTAGCTCAGAGCCGTCAAATGTCTGCTCTAGCTCGACATGATGCTGATTCACCACAACATGAGGTTATTACTCGTGGATGTGGACCTCAATCTCAAAAAATCCCAACGGGGATGGACCGACTATCAATTCAAGTCTTAAAAAAGCCCACGTCATTTTGACCCGGCCAGTGGTGCCACACTTTTATATCGCCGCGGCGAAATTTCCACTAATAACCGAGCTTTTTTCGGGTCTCCCATTTTTGCAGCAAAGCTAGGCGATAGGTGGTTCTTTAACCTTCAAGTGTGGACGATCTGAAGTAACGATGGTGAGTGTTCGGAAGGTCATGCAGGCAGTTGCGAGTCAGGAAATGGACCTGGCGTGCATGTTCGTGTGGACATTCGGTGTATGATGTGGAAGATGTCCACAGGTAAAGGAGTCAGAGCCTCGATCATCGGTCGAGGTTGGATCGCCCGTCTGGAGTGATCGTATTGGGGGCATTCGGAGGGGCATGTGCTGTTCGCAGGATCCCTAGGAGCTAGCTATCGAGGCTTTTGTTCAGAGCTAGTGGGGGACAGCATCGGAGAGAGTGACAGAAGCACGGGATCTGGGTCAACATCAGATGGATAGACGCCAACCGCCCCGATCAATATATAAATGTCCACTGACACCTTGCTTCAGCCCTCCCAAAAGACCTTCAAGATCAAGCAGAAGCTGGCCAAGGCCGCCAAGCAGAACCGACCTGTTCCTCAGTGGTTCCGTCTGAAGACAGATAGTGAGTGGAACTCTCTTCCGCTCATTCATCTCTTCTCCAACTTCCCCCCGCTTGCCCTGCCTGCCGATCGTGAACCCCGCTGACCTTCCGACTTTGCAGACAAAATCCAAGTGAGATGCCCACGCTAGCCGTCTCATGGCTTTATACTGACTCCTACATCAGTGGAACGCCAAGAGACGTCACTGGAGACGAACCAAGCTCAACCTCTAATTCTTTTTCATGCATTTGGATTGGATCAGAGACGGAGAGGAGAAGCTGTTTGAAGATGGGATGTGTGGTAGAAGCGGTTCCCTGTTGCAGGGACATGCTCTTACCGGATCAAGGTTGACACATGTTGACTGTGTACGCATAAAACCATGCTAGATGAGAACTGGATGCATTCGTCTAGTTCTCTGCCGAATCCAGCAGGGGTGTATTGGGTTTATGAGAACACCTCGGGATGACATGGGAGAGAAGTCTGATCGTAGTGATTGGCTCTTCGAGTCCACCACAGCAGGAACGCTATAGCCTTGCTGTCTTGCTCTTTATGTCCTTAACCATGCCACCTGCTTCACGCTTCTGAAACCCGCTTGCGAGCTCGAGCGCAGACGCCTCGCCCTGCATGACACCATGATTACGTCGTGCATGTCATGAGCAATGTATACAATCAATCAGCTCGTCTTTGATTCTCGACACCTCCGATCTAGTTCTCCCTAAGACACTTGATCAGCACAGCTCTCCATCCGTCAAGTCGAGACGGACCCGAACTCACGGTATTCTAAATATGGTGATCTCCTGTTGCTTAAAGTACCGCCTATTCTCTTCATCGATCAGTACCAAGTTGAGATAATACCTCGTCGAAAACTTCTTGTTCACTTCTCGGAATGTCGGAGTCAATTCGAAACCACCAAGGAATAACCTGATAGGGATGGTCTCTCCTCTCGCAGGTGCTCCATCCATGATTTCGAATTTTGTTATGGTCTCTGATTCGTTATATGCGTTGGGAGCTGATCCTGTGGTCTCTCGTCGGATAATGGAGAGCTCCATATGTTTGATTTTGATCCGTACTAGAAGAAAGTAAATCTTGCCAACGATGACATCTTTCAGGTGATATCTGAAAAGAGGAAGAATGACAGAAACATAGATTTCAGCAATGGTGTTCTGCGATGGCTCGGGGTGACCGGCCAACCGACCACTCACTTCGCCTTGTTGTACTCAAATTCAATGTGCAGACAATCTTCAATACCGACCTCCATCTTGATACTGGTGTTGGAATCCGGCGGCATCCGATACGAATGAACCCAGATCTCCCGCTCCTTGAGGACCTCGCCCATTCTTCTCGCCAAGGTCACACGGAGGTAGTATCTGCCAGCGTCGATCAGCCATTGGAGACAGCTTGCGTCTGTACATCGTTGTCGCGCTCTCTCACCTTAGCTTGACATTGATTCCCGAGTACGATTCATATTGCTTTTCCACATTTTTGAATGTAAAGTCGTACGTTTGAGCTTGCCTCAATTCACCGCCCGAAGCCAGCTCCTGAGCCATAGAGACGAACTCGTAATGGTTTCCTCGGTCATAGAACAGCTCTGCAAGGTGTCAATCCGCATCACTCATGGTCGCCAAAGGCTTGTCTAGCGACGATATCCCCCTGAAAACTTACCAATCGACCCTATCAGTTCTATCCTCACACCATCATGTTGAAACTTTTTCCCATCTTTAACTCTGACATTCACTTGACCCGTCACACTCTCTCCATCATAGTATACAGGACACATCTCCTTCTTGTCCTTTTCACCTTTGACTTCTACTTGACGTCTATCATCTTCGCCGGTGAGCTTGATCTCGACCTCTACAGGCTGAGCGGCAAAATTGAAGAAGGATGCCATCGCGAAGGGTGGAGGAAGGTGCCGAGTCGGGCTGGGAAGAGGTGCTCAAAGAGACCTGTTAGCTCCTGTCGCGGCTCGAGATGGTCTCTGTGAATGCTCAAACCACCTGCACTGGATGTGGTCGGTGCTGTCCATACGCATCTCAATGCGCCTCGCAAGCCCGTCAACGTCGCGCGATGACGAGACATCACGTGACTTGAGCTAATTTTTCCAAAACCCGGCCCGACGGTTAACAAGATAATTTTGCATCGTTGATCATTCAGGTTGCTAGGTAGCTTTGTCACGAACACAGCTGAATCGTGACGGTCGCAAAGGCCTAGGGCCAGGGCACCGAGCTTGAGTGGAGCGTCTGAAACAACCTCAATCCTCACCATGCACGCCGCTGTCCGCCGCTCAGCTCGACTCGGCTCACCACTCATCTCAACTCCTGCTCGAGCTGGACCTTCCAGACTGTCGCCTCCCAGCCGGTATGTTTCATCCTCGACATATCGTCCAGCTCCTGCGACTCAGTACTCACAAGAGGTGGACAATCATCTCCCTCCGCACCTCATTCAAGGTAACACCACCGCCGAGGCTGTGCCTTCCCAATTTGCCTGGCGTCGACCTTTGATCTACCTTCCACCTCCCATTCCCGACGATGCGTATCAAGAAGCAGACCCTCTTCAACGTGCTTTCTATCCGACTTCGAGACTCTTAGAGTCGGTATCAATGATATCAATGTGTCTGCGCCGGAAAGAACACATCCCACGAGCTTATCAGATCTTCCAGACCATTCTCAAAGACTTGGACAGTGGATCTTCAGGTATCCCAGACGCTCAAGTCTTTGGCAAGGTCGCTGAAGGTATTGGAAGCTTGGCGGAAGGGGTGGACATCGAATTATGGAAATCAAGAACAATGGCTATCGTCCGAAGATGGGAAACATTGCACGGTTCAGATCCTGATGTACCGTATCTCGGTCAAGGGGGTCTCAAAGTGTACGCCGGTTGGGTCACTGGTTGCATACGGTAGGTCGTGCGCCACAGCTCGCTTGACGGAATACTGACGACTAGCAGCTCAAACTACTCACTCGATGACTTCACACCTTATCTCGCTAGCGAAGAAATGCCAGTCGAGGACCTGATCGCCGCTGTGCCAATCGAGCACCGGGAGCAAGTCTTGATCAGACTCTTAGATCTTGCCAGGAAAAACGATCTAAGGCGTACTGCCGAGACCATGCAAGGCATCTTGGACGAGTTCCAAGGTGTATCTGACGATAAAGATCCAGTGCCAGAGTTGACACCGGTCAAACAGGCGAGTCCCGCAGCCTGAAGGGTTGCCTCATCAACTGACACTAAACTCTCATCAGAACGCTTATCGCGCTCCCGATGCGGAGCGAGAAACCCCTCGACACGAAGTCACCAGTCTCCGCAGAACCCTCAATTCGATCGACGATGTCCGTGATCCTGTCAAGCGGCAATACAGGCTCGAGTCAATGGCGTATCACAGTGTCAAAGACGACCTTCAATCGTCAGCGGACAGCATGGCGCCTTCTCTCGTGCGAGATCTCAAGCTCAAAAGCCCTCAGCTTCAATCATGGATGTACAAATGGGTAGAGTTGCTCCAGAGCCACTTGGAATCGGAGATCAAGGACATGGCAGTGCGGGTGGCAAATGGGGAGAAATCGTCAGAGAGACGGAGACCTGGTGGAGCGCATCGACGGACAGTTGCGGAGCACGAGCTGTTGCTCTATCTTCAGCTACTACCAGCTGATCGAGTGGCCCTGATCGCGGTGACGGAAGTCATGCGCCTGGTGGGGATGGGTTTCGGACCAGCCGGTACCAAAGCCATCACGCTGATGGTCGGCATTGGCAAAGGAGTCGAGGCGGAATTCCAAGCGGAAATGATCAGGTCGAATTTCGGTTCAGAGTCCAAGACTTGGCTCAACCTACAAGAGCAAATGAGGACACAGAATAGACAAGCCATCGCCAAAAAATGGGAGTTCATCGGCAAGAAGATGCAGGAAGACGGTGTAGACGGTCTCTATTCGACCTTTAAGGATATTTGGTCCCCAAAGTGGCCGGTCAAGGCTCACGTCGATCTCGGAGGATACCTCTTAAATCACGTCGTGAATATCGCCAAGGTTATGAGATCGTCAGTCGACCCTGCTACTGGCGAGGAAGTGTGAGTGACATGAGGAAGCGAACGGATGGCTGATTAATTCCACAGAATAGAGGAACAGCAGGCTTTCTCACATGGCTATGAGTACATTCGGGGACACAAATTGGGTATTATACAGACCAATCCCGTTATCATGGACCGTTTATCAACGGACAAAATCATGGCTCTGCTGCCTCCAAAGTATCTACCGATGCTCGTGCCACCTCGACCTTGGCAAGATCACTCGGAGGGAGGCTATTTGTTTCACAACAGTGAGTTCAGCATTATCTGAGCGTCAGCTTACTAATCTTGTAGCCCCCGTCATGCGCCATAAGGAGTCCGTTGAGCAAGCCGAATACCTCAAAGCAGCTATTCGGCGCCGTGATGTTGAACCTGTCCTCCAGGGCCTCGACGTCCTGTCATCAACGCCTTGGACTGTCAACAAACAGGTCTATGATGTAGTCTATCAAGTCTGGCAAAGTGGCGAGCGACTAGCTGCCATTCCACCTTCCGAAGGCGCTGGGGCAAATCAACGGCCTGAACCTCCCAAGACCAACGATCCAGCTGCCAAAGCTTCATACATGCTTGACCTACAAGCTGCGGTCCTACAAGAACGGAAGGATCACGCGGAGCGATGTCGGATCAATTACGCACTCGAAGTCGCCAGTAAATTCCAGGGCGAGACTTTCTACCTCCCTCATAACGTTGATTTCCGAGGTCGAGCGTATCCCATTCCACCACATCTCAGTCCCGTCGGCGATGATCTGAATCGTGGATTATTGAAGTTTGCAAAGAAGAAGGCTTTGGGAGAGACTGGTCTCAAGTGGCTCAGAATTCATTGTTCCAACTTGTACGGTTTCGACAAGGCCAGTTTCGCGGAACGAGTCAAATTTGCAGAGGACCACGAAGCGGATATCTTTGATTCTGCCGAGAGGCCGTTGGAGGTGAGCTCGAAGAGGAGCTTGAAATGTGCGCTGACTCAGACTCTAGGGCAAACGCTGGTGGCTGAAAGCTGAAGACCCTTGGCAATGCCTTGCGACCTGTTTCGAGCTTCATGCCGCTCTCAAGTCTCCGGACCCTACCGCCTTTGAGTCCAGCATACCTGTTCATCAAGACGGAACGTGTAATGGAATGCAACACTACGCCGCGCTCGGAGGTGATGTCCGAGGAGCCAAAGCTGTCAATCTGGAAAACGGAGATCGACCTGCAGATATCTACACTCGAGTCGTGGAAATCGTCAACCATGTCATCGATCAAGACAAAGCGGCGGGCAACAAGGTAGCGCTCCTCATCTCCGAACCGCTGTCTCGAAAGATTGTCAAGCAGACTGTCATGACAACAGTGTATGGAGTCACGTTCATTGGAGCCAGAGACCAGATCGCCAAGCAGCTCATCGAGAGAACCGACGTGGCTCGCGATAGGGTATACGACGTATCTGCGTACATTGCCAAAGTGGTAAGTGAATAGAACTGTGTCAGACAGCCGCTTACACTGCCGTTAGGTCCTGTCCTGCATCGGAGATCTATTCAGTGGCGCCAAAGACATCCAAGATTGGCTCACCAGCTCTGCACGCCTCATTTCGCGAAGTATTCCTCCGAACCGTCTCGAACAGGCCGCTAAACGACACAACTCTAGATCGAAAGACGGTCTAAATCTCCAACGCAAAGAGATGATGTCGTCTGTCATCTGGACGACTCCATTGAATCTTCCCATCGTTCAACCCTACCGAAAACCCAAAGCCAAGCAAGTCATGACAGCTCTTCAGAGTGTCTACGTGACGGATCCGACGCAAGCTATGGAGGTTTCTGCTCAAAAGCAGGCTTCGGCTTTCCCGCCAAACTTTGTTCATTCGCTCGATGCCACGCACATGTTCTTGACTGCTCTGGCTTGTGATGTGAGTTTTGACGCGAAGCGATGCGATGGCGTGCAACTTGCTGATGAATGATTCCAGCGTGCCGGGATCTCTTTTGCATCGGTACATGACTCTTATTGGACCCATGCGGCCACCGTCGAGGGAATGGCCGATTTGATTCGTGACGCCTTTATCAGTCTTCACAGTCAAGACTTGATTGGCGAGCTGAGGAAGGAAGTGAGTGCACTCGTGAAGTCTATTTGTGTACTGCAGTGGCTCACAAGGTTCTCAGTTCCTGCTGCGGTACGGAGAGAGCTACGTTCTGTTGAAAGATGCCCGAACTCTACATCAAAATGTTCTCAAACGACGCATAGAGGAAGATCGTCGACGAGCCAAAGTCCGAGCAGCTATGGAAAAGATCAACACACGATCTGACGACAAGAAAGCAGCCAGTATGTCCAAGGACGAACAGATGATCAAGGAGGTCGTTACTGCCGCTCAGGACGTCATGGAGCAGGGAGAATTGAAACTCGCTGAACCGGCCAGTGAGGTTGATCCCGATCTCTCTCATTCGGATCAAGATTCGATTGTCATAGAGGGTGTCTCAGAATGGGAACAGACCATCAAGCCTGGAATCAAAGAAATTGATGGACAAGTCTACGTTCAGTTCAAGTATCTACTTTGGGAGGCTCCTAGACGAGGACTGTTTGACGTGACGAGGATCAAGGAGTCTGCCTACTTTTTCTCATAGGCCGAAGAGTGGGAGGGAGGAAGGAAGGAGGACAATTAGAGAATCAGCATTCCTGCACACCGCCCAATCTGTACTGTTGTGTTACCATCTCTCGTAGCATCTTAGCCCTGCTCATAGGACTCATTCACTGCATTACTGCATTGCATCGCTTTGTACTCCTCCTCCCTTGAGATAGAGTGATCATCGTAAACCACAGCCATGATTTCGGTCGGACATTTCATCTGCAAATGGGATTTTATCATTTCGACGTTTCACTTCGTCCTCTGCCTCGTCTATAGGACAGCGAACAACGAGTGGGTGGCACAAGGAAGCTGTATACGACAGAGTTAAGGCTGTGACGTGATTAGGGGTTCAACCAGCTGGCTTAGCCCCTGTTCGCTTCGATCATCGCTCTGCCGAACAGAGGAGGACCATCATTCCAGTCCACCTGCCACAGGAACGTCTACGTCTTGTTATCTTGCCCCACGACGTTGTCTCCACCTCCTATCCAGCTTAGCCCTGGGAATATGGTGACCCAATCTTACAAGGTCAAATCTGCGAAGCTGGCTAATGGCGAGACTGTCTTTGTGAATGGTAGGCATTACCCGCTCGTCGTACTGAGCAGCCAGCTGATCAGAGGCCCCCAGATCACGTCTATGTCTCTCCGCCTTGGTCTGAACGTGATGGTGCGTCCCAGACTCGCTTCGCTTCGTAGAAACGAACGGAGCGGTATTGATGTTGTCCCAGGTACACCTTACAATGTCGCTCGAATCATAGAATTCATACCACCAGACTCTACGCCTCGAAAAGGGCGAGGTCCATCTCAAGAAATATCCGTCAGACTATCTCTCTACTATCGTCAAACCGATGTACGCCAGACTGTCTTTCTCTCTCTGATTTTCTTTTCGAATCCATTGCTGATAGAGCTCTGATTATAGATATCTGCTCGAAACGTTTCCGACTTTCGGCTCTTACTGGCCACTATACACACCGACGTTCATCCACTCGCCAACGTCAGAGGGAAATGTTATGTGCGACACAAGGATCGCATAGAGGATCTCATAAAGTGGAAGAGGTTGCCAGACCATTTCTACTTTGCGAAATTTTTCGATCCCTATATCAGGAAAGAGTATGAGGTGATCAGGACGGAGAATGTCAGGAACAGTGAGCTACTCTCTGAGGATCCAATTTTTGGGACGTTGCTGAGAGCCTTCATAGTTCCTCCCGAAGTCCGGGAAGTCCTGCTGTCTCGTTACGAGTACCTCGTCGCTGAACGTGAAATCGTTCCTGACCTGACCGACTCTTTCCGAGCATGTTGCGTGTGCGACAAATGGGCTGCATCGCAAGACTCGGTCCGCTGCGAGTGAGTCATTGAAACTCCGTCCCGCAGAGCACCAGTTCATTCTCTCTAGAGCGTGTAAGAATCACTATCACATGGCTTGCGTCACTCCGCCCATCACCGCCAAACCTGCAAAAGGATATTCTTGGGTCTGTCTTCCTTGCTCGCTTCAACGGCGGAAAGACGTGGAGGATCAAAAATTCCACTACGGTGCAAGCTCCGCTCCAGCTCCAAAACCCAAAGCTGGGCTCAGCAAATCAAAAGACAAAGTCCCAATGGATCTTGAGAGACCAGACGTCAGCTATCGTGGCTGGCCTTGGCGATACTTTGGGTGCGTCGTCTTGACCCCTCGACCGTCAATGATAGCTAACCTAGTCCAAGTCTCTACACGCGAGCTGAAGATACGTTAGACCCTGACGATCTGATCTTTCCGAGAGCTGCGACTCGAATCGGACGAAACTTTCAGACCCATGTTCCAACTTGGGAGGAGCAGCAAGAAGCGGAGTCACATCGGGTTTCTGGCGAGGCGGAGGCGGGTCCATCGAGGCATATCGGAGGTGAGGCAACGATGACGATGACGAGTACCGCTGAATGCGATAGTCGAACGCGGGCACGACGTCGGCGAGAGAAGACACGAATCATCCATTGACATTTGGTGTACTCCCAGTGCTGATCGTAAGCTATCCGGAAGAGCAATTCTGACCTATAGTGAACACCTACATGAATGACTTACAGTCTCTGAAGATGCCAGTGCCACCGTACAATGTGGACAGACTGAACAGGGGGGTGTTATTATACACCACACTCGGCCACGATCGAGCCCTGAAGATCATGAGAGGCATGAGACTGGACGATTTTCCGCCAAAAATGGTATGCACAAAGCATGCCTGACCACGCTGAGACCAAAACAGTTCACCCCGGAGGAGGTAGCCATCTTTGAAGCTCAATTAGAGGAGAATGGCGGTCTCGACACACATAAAACGGCTCAACTCATTAATCGCACCCCGGCGGAAGTGCTGCGTTTCTCGTACATCTGGAAGAACGGAAAGCTGAAGGAGGAGAATGAAGCACTTCGAGCCCATCATAAAGTTTCTCATTCCCACGCTAGGCAGAACAAGACGCTTGGTGCACCTTCACTGGGTCGAATCAGGGGCCACGCGAGCAGCACGCCCACGGATGATGAAGTATCGCTGTACGATGCCAGTTTCATCAGTACAAACAAGCTCCAATGCGCTGCTTGCTCCACCAAGATTTCTAGTGCTTGGTGGCGATGTCCCAGGACCGTACCTGGTAATGCTATGTGCGAGGATTGCGGGTGAGCTTCAATTGGCGAGAAGGTGTGCTCATCTGCTCAGATCTAACTACCGCAAATACGGGGTCATCTCCTTTGTCAAGGCAGACGACGTGAAGAAGTCTGACAAGGACAAGTTGAAGAAGAAAGTCGATGGAGTCAGTGGGGCGTCCACTCCAGTTCCTCCAGCACCCAAGTTGCCTCCTTGCGCCTCTTGTCGGCGGATGGAGCCAAAATCTAACATGGCGAGGTGCAAAATATGCACTTACTCTGTGCATTCTGGTGAATACAATGGCGTGGGAAGTCAGCTGAACAATCGACAGGTTGTTATGGCATCGCTCCACAGGACATAGGACTGGAATGGGTATGCGAGCTGTGCCACAATGTCGAGACAGAGATGGACCGACTGGTACGTCCTCCTTTCGCTCAAGAGAGCAAAATTGACGGTATACAGGAACCTCATTGCGTGCTGTGCCCGCGAGAACAATCTTCCGTCAAGAACATAAAGTCGAAGAAACCTTTACCCGATTTCGACCTGCTCAGCGCTCTCAAACCTACCGAGGGGAACCTATGGTGTCACATCATCTGCTCCATATTCTGGTCAGAAATCCTCTATCGCGATACCAAAACATTCAAAGAGATTGAAGGCGTGACGCTGATACCGGAAGAGTCGTGGTCTCCAGTGAGTCCGCCGTCTGTGTCTCCCGTCCTTAGTGACTCATTCCGCAGTCTTGCACTTTGTGTAATCAGGTGGACGGGGCCGTGATCGCCTGTGTGGATTGTCTGTTACCGTTCCATCCGTCTTGTGCTTGGCTCTCTGGTTACAAGATAGGTTTCGAATTTACATTGGTGAGCATGTTTTGGAGCTCTGGAAACCTTGGATCTAACGAACGGACTTGTTCAGGCCAAAGCTGGGAAGCGCGAGGTAATCACTACTGCTTTCAAGGAGCATGAAGGGGTCATGTTGCCTGGCTGTTGGTGCAAATCGCACGATCTGGAAGGGAGAACCATCTATGATCCGTTTGAGATTGATCCGGAACTCAACGAGGTGAATGGAGCAAGCTTGCGACCGAAGACAGTACTGATCCCGCTCCTCTAGACTGCTCTTCAAGTGTACGCCGCGTCATACAAGGGCGTACCGGCGGACGATTCGTTCCCGTTACTTCGGAAAGCTCGAGGGCTGGCTCACGTTCTACCTGCTGTGCCAGTGCACGAGGAGTACGAGAGCAAGTCCTGTAAGGAGTGCGGTATCGATGTCTCTCCAATATGGCATAAGGGCCATGGTGTTTCAAAGGTCGAGGCGATGGAAGTGGACCTGCAGACGGCCAATGGCAACGGAGCACACGGGCTCGCCAATGGTCATGCGCATGATCAGATGGACATCGATAGTCTTCAAAACGGAGTACAGGATAAGGGACCCTCATCTTTATGGCTCTGCCACCAGTGTTCGTTTAAATCTTGAAATGCCCTTTCAGTGATGCATCTGAAGCCACGAAACAGAATGACAACATTTAGGATTAGACCACGACTTCCTCCGTTTCATCGATCAACTCCTCGATCCATTCCTCGACCTTTTCTTCCTCCTCAACGTGTTCCACAGCCTTGTGAATCTCTTTACCTCGGCTCTTTCGAGCATCTGCCAATTTCGACACATTCCTCGAGCGCCAAGCGTCCCATTCTGCAATATCACGTTGACGTTGAGCGAGTTTCTCTGCACTTCCTCTGTTCTCCTCCGCTGCATCGTCCTCATCGAATTGCCTAGAGTATTCTTTGAGCTCTTTTCGGACTTTGCGCTGAGTGTCTTTGGAGAGAAGAGTAGGAGGTCGAGATCGCCAGAGAAATTGCTTGAATCGATCTAGTTGGTTGGCAACAAGCTCGGTACCTTTGAAGTCGAAGATTTTGAATCCAGGTTCAGGCTGCGAATGACATATCAGCAGGGGAAAAGGATTGCATCCAAGTCTCAGTCAGTGCTCACAGATTGACGCCAAGCGGAAGCAGAAGTGGCGAGATATCGACCTGATGGGTCCCAAGCAATATCTGTAATTCCGTAATGCTCTCCAGTACCCAACAAAGTCACGTTGGCACCTGGCTCAGCTTCTCTCCGTGAGGGGTTGTCATCCGTAGTCAAATCGAGGTCCCAGAATTCAATGTCGTATTTGGTCGAGGACCCAATAGTCGCAAGGACAATGTGACGACCCTTGGGGGACCAAATGAGAGTGTTGGCCATCTTGCCATCGAGATGGCGGATACAGGCGAAGTCGCCCTTTTTGGTGTCAAGTTGGTAGAAATCAATGTTGTACTTGACGACAACACCGGGAATCTGTTGGCCGTAGTTGGGGTCGTTACTGGAGACGATGGCAAAGCGGTTGCCCTGAGGTTCCCAAGCGAATTGAGGGACATAGTCTGAGGCTCAGTACAATTCCGCACTTGAAGGCCTCACCTTTGTGCTCGATGACTTCAATAGGAAAATCTTTCTCTCGGACCCGGAAGAGCTCCAAGTTGCAAAAGGTGGCCTTCTTCGACTTTGCCTTTCGAGCGTGTCGATCGACCTTGACACAGAGATAGTCTCCTTGGTTTTGCCAGTAGAATTTGCACTAGGTACAGTTAGATACGTGTGACCTGGTGACCTGCACTCACGTCTGTCACATTGAACAGATTCTTCGATCGAAGCACATTTCGAGAGGGAATGCCCATGACGCTGACACGTGCAGGCTGGTTCGCAGCTTCGGGCTGCCAGTAGACAAACATGCACTCTCTGCCCTTGCCGGCCTTCCTAGCCTCCCAGTCTTTTTCACTCATAGGGCACCATTCAAAGTCTTGTACACCTTCGATTTTGATTGTCTTCTTGTCGAGCAGTCCCATGGACGGCAACTCATATACTTGGATGGCTTGGTTGACCAAACATCTCGCGACGTACTTGTCGTCGGGGGACCACTTGAACGCGGGCCATTGCAGACGAGGAGGCTCATCGCCTTTTTGAACAGGCTTTTCCGCTGCAAACGTTCTCAGAACTCGACAAGTCTTGACGTCCCAGACGACGTATTGGCTGCCCTCATCATCGGCACTGAAAGTCTCTCGCAAAGCGGGATTGGCATGGTCCTCATAATTCTCCAGCGGCTCCTCTGCCCAGGTGACGAGATAATTCTCACAAGGAGAGAATTGAACCAATCGCACGCCAGGATGGGTAAATCGGAGCATGTGGACCCCAACGGGTCCATCGAGTTTGGGTCCGGACCATAGCGCAACTCCAACACGGTGAAGCGATGCGAGGTAGGTTCCGAGGGGTGACCATTGGAGGTAGAGTTCACCCCACTTGCTGTTCTTCACGACTTTACCATCTGTATCTCGAAGAGGCTCAGCACTTCCATTCCTGCCGTTCCACAGGATGTTGACTTCTTGATCACGGAAAGTGAGGTATTGGTCACGTCCTGCAGGGTCGGCTAGCCAGCTTCGGAGATGTTCCTGGAGATCATGTCAGCAACGACCGGTCTGTAGGGACCATATAATCACCTTCTCCACATAAGGCTTGTCGCGCCAGCCTGTTGGCAACTCGCCCTCTCCGACGGGCAAGTTCGCGTATCGCTCAATGTCTCCAAATCGGTTGGCGTAGAGGGTGTTTTTCTTTCCAAATGCCAAACCGTCGAGAGCGCGAAGAGCGTTTTCAGCTTCTTGAGCAGTGGGGTAGGTCAAGAAGAGAAAGCTGAATGCGTGTCAGCTGGGTGTGTTGACCTCAGCAGTCACCAACTGACCCTTTATTGGTCTTTGCCTCATCATCCCACGGCATCTGAATTCTGTCCTCCTCGATAGGAGCACCACTGTTGACGAACTTCTCTCGTAGACGCTTGAGCAGCAAATCCTTCTTTGAGTCGTCGACAATGGGCGTGTTGTCCACCACAATGACATTTTCAAATCCTTGTTGAGTGTCCACAGCGTACCTACTTGAGGTCAGTATCTGGACGGATGAAGAATTTCATAGATGACCCACTTGAGTTCTATGTCTGCGAATCCCGCATCGAGCTCAGCTTGAAGGTCGATCTGCTCCTCTTCATCATAGTCTGCAGTGTATCCATTGGCTTCCGAGGTCATGATGTTGTGCCGCCGCGAGGTGTCTGAAGCAGATGAGTGAAGGTAGTCAAAGCCAAACTTTCGAAACAAAGAGACCGACCACGCGGCGGCGGCGATTCATTGGGAATGTGGCACATTTTCCATCAGGTGGGGGGGCAGAAATGTTGGAGGATTTGGATTCCTTCCGTGTCGGCTGTCGCACCCAAGCATCCTTGATGAAGGTGATTGCATTGTAGCTTATGGATCTCACCAGCACCAGCTGTTCATGTCCGAGGAGCCACTCAGAAAGATGGGATGGTAACAATTCAGACCACTAAACACCCCAGGACCCACTCACTCCAAATGCCACCTCCCTCTGAACGGCTATTTTCTAGTTCCGTGTCGGTTCGGCTCTTGACCGATCGTCTATCCGATTCAATTGTTAGAAGTCACATTCGCTCATCTTGACATAGCCTGTATCGAGGACACTACCTCAACAATGCTGCTCAGACAAGTCGCATCCGCCAGCAGACTCTCAAGAAGTCTCACTGCATCAACTTCCACCGCTTCATCGCAGAGATTTGCCTCTTCTCTCGTCTTCTTAGAACACAAGGGGGGTAAACTGAATGACAGTAGTTTGAGTGCAGTCACTGCTGCTCAGGCAATAGATAGTAATGTGAGCGAGGATGAAGATGGGAACTCTGCTAATGAACAGGCGTCAGGCATCGTGATTGGATCGAAGAAGGACGTGGATGGTGTATTGGAACAGGCCAAGAAGTGTGTGACCTTGTGCATTTAGGGTGAATTCCATTGACGTTCTGCCTCATCAGGATCTCTGGCCTCAAGACCATTTACACAGCGTCTCACGACTCTTTCGATCACACACTGGCAGAGAGTGAGTTCAGCCGTGCATTTTACACCTGCTGACAGCGCCAGCCGTTGCCCCTTTCTTGGCCAAATTCCTCCCTTCCAAATCCATCACCCACCTCTTTGCGGCCCATACAGCCGTTGGCAAGAATGTTTTCCCAAGAACAGCCGGAATCTTGGACACCTCAATGGTAGGTCTTTGATCTTTGAAGCTCCAACTGACCCTAGATCGCCGATATCATCGCTGTGGAGTCTGACGGAAACACATTCACTCGACCGATATACGCCGGGAATGCCATCTTGAAGCTAAAGTGCAATGACGAGATCAAAGTCGTGACCGTCAGAACTACCGCTTTCGACAAGGCCAAACTGGAAGGATCTGCTAGTGTCGAGGAAGTTCAGCCACAGACCGAGGAAGGTGAGCCATGAATATACTTTCGATGGCTCATATGACAGCCGCGACCAAGTTCGTCTCAGAGGAACTCACTGTGTCATCTCGACCAGACTTGTCCTCGGCTCCTCGAGTCGTATCGGGTGGACGAGCGCTCAAGAGCAAAGAGACATTTGACGAAGTCATGGACCCCTTAGCTGATGCTCTCGGAGCTGGTGAGCAGATCTCTCCATTTCAAGTGGAAACCACTTATGTCGTGTTTCAGCTGTCGGTGCATCTCGGGCGGCTGTTGATGCTGGATACGCCGACAACTCGCTCCAAGTCGGACAGACCGGCAAGGTGGGCCACATCACCATTTTCATCTGAACCTGACACTCTTCTCAGGTCGTCGCGCCGGAGCTCTACGTTGCCGTCGGTATCTCCGGAGCCATCCAACATCTCGCTGGAATGAAAGAATCAAAGATGATCGTCGCCATCAACAAGGATCCGGATGCGCCAATCTTCCAAGTTGCAGATGCCGGCCTCGTCGCTGATCTGTTTACTGCGGTTCCGGAGCTAGTCCAAAAGCTGCCAAAGGCCAATGCTTAGTGAATTGAGCCTCGGATCACGGGTCACTCCCCGTCTGTATGCATACGTTCCCGCTGGACACATTGAGGCCAGTCGGGGACTGATCGGGATTGACCATTGTCTGTGAGACCTCGGACCCAAATGGTCAGAAATCTCGCTGTGCCGTGTGCTAGGATTCTGGTCGTCCATACGAGTTCGGAAAGGATTCAATCCGCTTCCGCTCCATCCAACCCTCCGTGTGTCCTCTTCGAAGACCTCGCCAAGCACTCGAATGAGCCAAGTCAGCGCCCTATACGATGGTCTGCACCTGGAGGTTGTACCAGCCTTTTAAATGCAGCCGACCGCCACTATCGATTCGGATGCCGCACGAGACCTTTAGACACGTCTGTCTGGCCAGATATCAGCTGTCATGGAGCATATACAAGAGGGGAGGCTGCACAGATCGTCTGTTGAGCACTGTTCAGGCAATCCATTGCCCTGCCTGTGCTTCCGGCAAACGGCCAGAGTCGATGTCAATCAGAAGAACAATAAAGGGACCGAGTCCCACTTTTGAATGGTCGCGCGTGTTGCCGGTTGAAAAGTCAAAAGTCAAAGAGAGCATGACATTATTAGCTTTCATTCCTCAGAGTACATTATCTTCTTTGACGGCACAAGTAGGCCTGGGTCGCATGTTGTTGCAAGAGTCTCCCGACGTGAGATGACAGCCACACTGCGACCCCATGGGTCACAAGCCCAGCATTCTCCCACTTCCCCCGCGTCCTCAGTGACCACAACGCCGACATCTCCACATTTTATGACTACTCAGGCGACCGGTATACCGCGATACGCTTCTCACCCTTTCGCAGCAGCTTCAACCGCATCCTCAGAACACACACGTACGCCTTCACGCCCTCCTTCACCTCCTCTGTTCCGCCCACCTCCGAATCAGCTCTTCTCGACGTATCTCAAGTCATGGGGACCTCAAGAAATGACCTCCTTTCTGAGTCTGTACAAGTGTGCCCATTACGCCCCAGTATTCCAACGCAATGATATCGATGGCAAGGTCCTTCTGGACCTAGACATGGCAAGTTTGAAAGAGATGGGTATATCAAAGGTCGGCGAGAGGGTAAAGCTTCTAGGTGGAATAAAGGAATTGCGCAAGAGGGCAGCGGCGACGGGACCGATCAGCCTGTCACGGATCGAGTTACGTCTCAATGGTGCTGCTACACCCCCATTAGACGACTCGACCTCTCCCCTCGCTTTGAAAGCGCCTGAAAAGTCTGGCAGAAGATTACATACTGGTCGACCACCGCCATTGGATTTGCAGCCGCATGCTGGGTCGCGACCTCTTCCACAGGCCTATCAAAACCCTCCTTCCGCTACGCGGTCCACGACACCTCGCCCAAGACCGGGTCCTCCCTCCCATGCGTCTAGCTCAAGCACGACTATTCGTCCTGTACACTCAGAGACACCTTCAAACCAAGCTAGCCAGGCAGCATCTTCCAGCTCTGTCCCTGCTCCTTCAAGGCCTAATCTAAGAGCCCCGCCTCCACGCTTCAATGCGAATCGTCGTTCACCTAGTCCAAATGCTGAGGTCGCCAACTTTGCCGGCAGACCATTGCCGCCTGCTCCGGGTCAATCTTCCGCCGCGGAATATGCTAATGCGATCACCCAACAGCGAGAAACCAGCGACGGACGGGCGACTCCGTCATGGGCTCAGACCGATGCTCAGTATGGCCTGCCGAAAGGTCCTGCCCCTCGAGCTCCACCGGCAAAGCCGGACCATCGGAAGCAAGCCAGTATGGGGACCCCTTCAAAGACATCGCCCATGAAGACAAAATTCTCTGCGATCATCGGTAGACCTAATACGAATTCAGGGCCAGTACATCCTTTTGCTGCGAACAGAGCAGCGCGTGACGAAGAGCATCCTAGACGTGCTTCGCCTCCGTCAGATGGTCTGAACTACAAACGAGCAGCGCCTGGATACGTTGTCGGCTCGGGCGGTATGACCAACACAAAGGGGACTATGGGAGATAGGACAAAGATGACTTCCAGTATGCAAGCGCAGTTGCCGTTGGAGGACATTCGGCGTCAGGTGGTCAAGTTTATCAATAAGGAAGACAATACCAGCAGGACGGTCAATGTAGCGAGCTGCAGCAGCGGTGTGGAAGTTCTGGAGAGGGTCCTAAAGAAGTTTGGCAAGTGGAACACTGGTACGAGTGTTAGCACGGACGGTGAAAGCGATGAGGATGGTGATAGACTGGAGGTGGACGGCTGGGGAGTCTATGCAGAGTCTGATCCAGATGACGATGGTGAGTCAATGATGACGGCTTCGCTAATGCCATAGCCAAACCACTTTCAGAGGCCAGTCTACTTGGTATCTGTCTGTCTCATCGGGATGGCAGCGTTATGCGGGAGAAGGGCTTGGTCCTCCGTCGTACCCGACAGCAGAAGTATCGCAAAAACATGGAGGAATTTTTTGGCGACACTCCCCCACCAGCCACTTCCCCGACTTCACCCACATATTATGGTCCACGTCTTGGAGCTGCGGAGAACGACGAGATGCTGTCGCCTTCACGGAACGCTCTCAAAAAGACGAACCGAGCGAGCACGGTCTCCGTCATGTCGGGACTGGGAGTAGCAATGTTGGACGACGTGCCGCCGTCTCCTTCCAGTCTTCGTGTGCCGCCCAGTGGCTCATTCCTCGCATCAAAGAGCAGGAGAATGTATAACTTTTTCGGTCATCGACCTCCCAGTGAACTCATCGCAAATCACCTAGGAGAGTACTTCCCAGCAGCGAAGAGGAGGGAGTTGGAAAAGTCGCGTCATTCTATGCTTCGGCTGTCTGGACCGCCTCGGAGATCGTCCGTCATGTCGAGCGAGCACCGTGATTCCCGGCGGGACACCATATCTTCAACCCCGAGACGTAGCCAGACGAGTCATCGGACAAATCTCTCCTCTCCGCCCGCAGCTTCGATACCGGAAGAAGGGGAGGAAGACAGTCTGCCTCGAGTCTCCATATCCAACGAGACAGGAGAGAACGTTCGCTTCGACTCGGACCTCGACTCAACACACTCAACAGACTCCAAGCCTCCCTTGTTACCACCTTTCGTTCCGTCAAAAGAATCCCTGTCCGATCAGCTTGGTGCCTATTCGCCCCTGCCCCAAACCAATAGAGCGAAATCAATCCATCATGTTCGACGAGGCTCGGGAGGATCCACCAAATCTCGCATGTCCACGCTGTCTCAACTGCGTCGCAATCGAGATCGATCCGATACGGCTTCTATGCTCACTGTCGATGAGATCACTGCGGAGGTGGAAAACCGTCGTGCGAGTACGATCACATTCGATGAGAGCGATGAGGATATTCCTGCGCCGCCGCCCGTTATTGATCCAGGGGTGATCCCGAGCAGTGAAGCAGAAGACGATAGCACAGCGGATGAGGAGAGTGAGGAAGAGAGTTTCAGCGAAGACGATGAAGATGAAGACGAGGAAGACGATGATGATGATGACGAAGCGGATCAACATGGTAAAGCATTCACTTCGACGGGCTCCAAGCGGATCATCAAATGGATCAAAGGGGCTTTGATTGGAGCTGGTTCATTCGGATCAGTGTTCCTCGGGATGGATGCGCACTCTGGGTTGTTGATGGCCGTCAAGCAAGTCGAGTTGCCGACTGGATCAGCGAGGAACGAGGAGCGTAAGAGATCCATGGTGGACGCCCTGGAAAGAGAAATTGAGTTGCTCAAAGAGCTGCAGCATGAGAATATCGTGCAGTATCTAGGTACGCGACTTTTCTGCTATGGCCAGGACTGATCGATGTCAGACTCATCCGCCGATGCGAATCATCTCAACATTTTCCTCGAATACGTCCCGGGAGGCTCTGTGGCGGCTCTACTGAACAATTATGGAGCGTTTGAAGAAGCCTTGGTTCGAAATTTTGTCAGGCAGATCCTCGAGGGTCTGAACTATCTGCATCAGCGAGAAATCATCCATCGCGATATTAAGGGTGCAAATATTCTCGTAGACAACAAAGGGGGGATCAAGATATCCGATTTCGGTATCTCGAAGAAAGTCGAGAACAGTGGGCTGAATCTCTCAATGGCTTCCAAAGCTGACACCTGCAGACCTTTTGACGGGAATACGGACACATAGACCGTCACTTCAAGGTTCAGTCTTCTGGATGGCGCCTGAGATTGTCAAGCAGACTTCTTATACTTCCAAAGCGGATATATGGAGTGTCGGTTGTTTGGTCGTGGAGATGTTGACGGGGACCCATCCATGGGCCGAATTGACTCAGATGCAGGCCATCTTCAGGGTGAGTGGAGCGAATGTATGTGGTATCGCGGTGATTAAATCTGTCTCTTAGATCGGCTCATCGGCTCGACCCGCCATGCCAAATGACATTTCGTCCGAGGCATCTGATTTCCTCAACAAGTCTTTCGAGGTTGATCATGCTGCTCGACCCACAGCTGCTCATTTACTTGAACACGCATTTATAGCTCCCAAGATTGGCACGGGCGCAGGTACCATCTCAGCCGCGCAAGCTAGGTCCGCAATGGCAGCTGCGAATAAGACGAGGGAAGCGATGATGGGCGGGATGCAGAGTCTGAGCGCTTTTGCAGAAGTGCGATAGAGAAACGTACCATCGGTCGAAGTGTTACGAGGGTCTTCAAGCTTTAATTTGATCAAGGGATCCTCAGACAAAATTATGAATGACGATCATCATGCATCTTAGATTTGTACAACAAGAGACATCCGAATCACAGAGTTTTGCTCAGTGTGGTCATACCTCGATCATCATCTCGTCTGCCTTGTCTCCCTCTCCAGCTTGAGTTTTGTAGTCCTCCGACCATTTGGGATACTGCCGCTTGTACAGATTCATACAGATGGTGTCCATTTGATTGATGGGACCATCGAAATGTGCTTTGAAATATCCGTGGGTGCCCAGTGGTTCTGTAATGTGACCTACGCGACCGAATTTGGTATGAAGCTCGACAGACTGGAAATACTCCACATCGGGCCGGTTGAAAAACATGTATCGGATCGTAGCGGTCTTTTTGTGGATCTTGAGCGGATGACCTGTGAGGATGATTCGCTTGGCGATGATCCTCCTCGGGTCCGGAGGAAGCGTGCTCCCCATTGCCACTAGACTCGGGACTGAAAATGTCAGCTCGTGATGAAAGTTGGAGACTCACCTTTACCCTCCCCTTCATTCTTCAGAAGCAGACACGGCACTTTGCCGAACGATACTGGTCCATAGAACGTAGCAACGGCAGCAGCGCCAGATCGCAAAAACTTCTCCGACTTGTGCACATTGTTGACGCCCTTGCCTCCGCCCTTGACGTGCTGCGAGAACAACGGATGAATGGTATAGCGACGAGGTCCGACACTCAGAATCAACGGATCCTGCGGGTCTTAGCAAAGTCATTAGCGCTGGCTTCTCACCTTGGCTTTGACAGGTTCAGAGTATTCCGTGTTCCGTTGGACGACAAGGTGAGAAACAGTCTGCTTGTGCTCGTGCTGCAAGAGTCCGTGGACAATGAAGGGGAGGGGCGAGTCGCGGGTGACGTCGGCCGGGACGTTCCTTATGACGAGCACGACACGCGTGCCGGGCTGAGGCTTAGCAATGTTCTCGCTGCTATGCTCACCTTTACACCTTGTCTCGCTTCTTTTTCTATACGCTTGCTGGTCGCTCCAAAGTTTTCGAATTGAAAGATTCTGGCGTAGTCCTCCGGCAGATTCTCGTAAGGGTCCCATGGACTCGTACGGAAGGATTTTAAACCTCGATACCTCTGGAATCGAGTTCGAGCTGGAATGTGCCGCGGAGTGTCGATCTCATCGGGGAACATCATGTCCTCCGCTTGCGCATTCTCTCTTTGTTTCAGGTATTCCTCATACCTGCTCAGGTCAGCAGAATAACCCAGAGAAAGACTCACTCTCTATCCTCCTCCTCTGGGTCAAGGTCATCATGGGCTCGGTCGTCATGTGTTGTGATTTCCTCCGTATCGTCGGCAAGAACAAGATCCGGTACGGAATCATTGTCATCCTCGTCATCTTCCATGTCCATCTCGTCATCCTCCTCATCTTCGTCATCGTCATCTTCATCCTCATCATCATCCTCGTCCACTATCCATGCGGCCTGATAAGCGCTCGTTCCCTTTGGGACCCTCTTGGTCGATCTCAGAGCTTGCTCATGCGGTGCATCCGCGATATCGTCCTCTGTCGGCCAGGTCTGATCATTAGCCATAGGATCAATCTCGTTAGTCGCTGTGAGATCGTCTGCTTGTTCCGTCGGGGTGGATAACGGATCCGAGGCGATATCCACGGACATGCCATTTTGAAGCGGCCGACTTGCTCGACCGATTGACGAAGGACCAGCGGCTAGAATCTGGGGGATCAGATATGCGGACTCGGTCAATACTTACAGAATCAATTTCGAAATCTCCTACACCGGGTATGTGCACCAGCCGGTCCGCGCTGAGATGCCCTCCGCGGACTGTCCCTTCCACTCTCAATGTCCCTAGACCACCTTCTTGCTCCGTCCAGTGGACCGCGTTGCTACCCTCTGCTACAACGAATCCCCGAGCGTCGCCCTTCCTGTCCGTCTTCGGTGCAGCCTCACAAATGGCGCGTGCCAGCAATGCCGCATCGTTGGGCGACTCCGATGAATAGATTTTGGAGATTGATGGGAAAAAGTATCTCGAGAAAGACAGGAGGGATTTATGAATGAGCTGTTTAGTATTCGGGACAATAGGTTTATCCTCAGGAGCCTGTATTGAGTGAGATGGCATCAGACGTACGGTTCTCACCTGAACAGCTACGACCATTTCGACACCTCCAGCTTGACCCTGCAGACATCGCAGGACGGCTTCACCTTCGAGCTGGACTTCGTCCACTGAGCTCAGCAGCAGAACGACATAGTCGCTGACGAGGGCTGCGTCGAGGGCAGGAAAGACAGAGAGAGAGGGGAGGAGGTTGATCTGGAGCGAAGTCTTGTACTTTGGTGCGCGAACGAGGTACGAGCCCGTCTCGTTAAGGGATTCGATGGTCGATTGTTGTTCATCCTCAGGTAGACCGAGCGAAGGGATCAAGTCGGCCAAGAAGCGACGAGGCGACAAGGACGGCAACAGAGGTACGATAGACACTATCCGCGGCGCTTGACCTTCACAATTTTAGTTCATCTTCCTGGTACATGGCTCACCTCCACCAGAGGATGTCGAGAAGAACTTGACATCCTCCACTACGTGTTGCCTTTTGAGCTCTCTTTTTTGAGCGTTGGCATTGAGTCGAGCTTTCTTGGATGAGACAGACACTTTGGCATGATTTGAAGTCGAAGGTGCCGTCTTGCCTAAGGAGGAGAGTTGAGTTACATTAACCCACAACGATCTGGCCGACCGCACCTTTTGCCTGAGCTTTCAGCGATCCTTTACTTGCGTGCTTGGATTTGAATGGTTTGTTCGACTGAACAGACGATGTCAGCCGCGGAAGAAACGCTGCATGCTGCATGGCTCACCTGCTTGAGCGTAGCTCTGTGGTGATGCTGAGTCGTCCCAGCCATGATACAGCGAGCTAGATAGGGATAGGTTACAGAACTGTACAGACACTTCGCAACAGCCGGTTCAAACTTTTGTATGGATTACGGCATAGCCACGTGATTATTCCTGCGGTTCGGATCCGAACGCAGCCAGTTGAGCGGCGCCGAATTCTTCGTTCTTCGCTGGATAGCAGCTTTTCTCGAGGATACTTCGACGGCACAGACTACTAGATCGCACGATGGACGAGGCCTTGTTCCTCTTCTCATTGTTTTGTGGAGCTCTCTTGTAAGTCAGCACCCGCACCTTCGAGCCATTAGCGTGCTAAGGTCAACAGATTCTTCGCGGTCATCTGGTGTTTCCTCTCCACATGCCTCGGTATAAAGATCCGTCGATCAGATATATGGGAAGCATTCTCACTACCATCGATGGAGAAGATCAAAGAGCGCGATAGGCAAAGAAGAGCGAGAGCCGCTAGAATGCACGAAGCAGGAGAATATGAGCTGGATACGCTGGACGGAGGGGGTATAGGACCAGGTATGGGACCAAGGGCCGGATTGAGCATGGGAGGTTTAGGGACAAACGAGGATCTGGAATTCTTACGGCGACCTGGATCAAGGTACTATTGAACGATTGAAAGTACGAGCGTGGGGCGTGAGGGACGTGCATGAAATGTGTATATGCCATGTACAAACAGCCAAAAACGGACAGAGCGATCAAAATTAGGGAAGTGAAAGATGCGTTGAAATTTCTCTATGACACGGAGATCGCCAACCTTCTCACGAGAGGAACGTTCAGCCATGCAGGGACGTCTAGACATTAGAAAGTATACCATGGGGACAGACTCACATGTCTCGAGTCCGACCACTTCTCTCGGCGGCGGTAGCTGATATGGCCCCACATCATCGGTCTCTGGAGTAAGCAGCAAGTGATCAGACTTGTCTTCGGGTCTGACTCTCGCCGCAACCGCTTTGAGAATGTCGGAAGATATGGGGTTCTCGTAATCGGCAGTATGGTACTGCGAGATGAGTTTCTGGATCTGCGTTGGTGACAAAATCCAGCAAACGTCAAATAGGATCTCGATATCGCCCATTGTTGCCTGGTATCAGCAGCGTCTCGACTCAATGCTCACCTTCTTGAGCTGCAAGAGTTTGGTAGCTTGCATGAGATGTTCAAGCTGCAGGAGACCCTCAGGCATGTCGTGAGATTTGCACCATTCTGTTCGTCAGCACATATCTCCCGAATCCGACTCACCCTCGATACGTGTAACGTTGTATTGTATTTGCATGGCTATTGATCAGCTTTGATGCCGTGAATTTTCGCTCACCTCTCTTCCACGAACAGAAGTTTCTCCTCATAATGAGATCGTTGAACGCCACTTGACCGACAAGCTTGAGCAGCTCTGTAATGACTTGCTGAATGACGCTCTCCTCCATGTAATAGCTCTTCAAGCACTTCCAGACCTTGTTCAACAAGTTCAAAATGTCGTCCATTGAAAATTCGGGACCGGCTGTGTTACCCATGCCCAACACCCGCGAAAACATTCGACCACTGACATCGGATGTCACAAAGCCAGGGAGGGACTGAGATTCGATCAAAGCGGGAATGACAAGCTTGGCGAGCCTCTTCTTTGTTTCCAACATCCATGTGTGATACACGTTGTATTCTAACGAGTCGAGATCGTGTTTAACGACACTGACCAGACGTTCGTATGCCTCCCAATCGAGTTCGCGACCGCCATCTTCAGGTCCAGGTGCAATGCCTTGAGAGGCATCTGACTCAGCGAGGCAGACGAATGACAGAATCTCCTGAACGTTGGATAGCCAAAAGATGCCAGGAACAATGACGTCTTCTCCTTTGAATGACTATGAGGTGTAAGAGGCGGATCCGTACGGAGACTCACCATGACGTAAGATTGGATGTTCTGCATGACATTGGCGAGGAAAGTCTCGGATTCCGGGATCATGCCCAACTTCCACATCTCGTTGGAGACTAAGCTGATGAGATGGGCAGGGAAGATGACTTCCTTGACCAATGGCGGATTGTGTAGGCTCGCCGGGGGGATCTTGAGCTCCTTGATCAGGCCTCTCAGAACATCGTCGTTGAGACCCTGCTCGTCTTCCAACAGCCGCATCACCTCGTCGTAGCCACCATCGCTGAGTGTCGGCAGACCATTCGAGTCGCGAGGACGGTCCTTGCCGTTTTGAGGCAGCATGACCGAAACAGCGCGGTGATTGGCCTTCCCTGCCAAGATATCCTCCTGAGAAAGGTTTCGAGCGTGTTGTTGTGGTCCACTGTGTCTCCTATTCCGACGACGAGGCGCTGTACTAGGACCTTGCGAATTGTTGACATGATCGCCAAACGATTTGAGACCGTTGACCATGGTCGGAGACGGTGGCTCGACCGGACGAGAGCCCTTGGTTAGGGCTTGCAAGGCATTAGCTCGACTGACTTGCTCCTTCAGGCTCTGCAGTTCGGCGCGGAGCGAAGCGATTGTTGAAGTGTCCTCCACTCCCTTGGCGACGGCTGTGTCGATGGTGAATTGGTGCTGTTCAATCTCGCTAGTATGCGTGGTCAATTCTGCGGTCAAACGCTCAATCTCCCGCTCTTGCTCTTGAACGCGTTTCGTCGCCTCGGCCATCTTGCGTTCAGTCTCCTGTCGCAAGGCGACGGCCTCTTCATACTGCTTGGCAGGTACCGTAGGTTTCGCCAACTCCAATTCCATACTTTGCGCTTTGGCATGAGCCTCGTCATGCTTGCCTTGCCAGGTCAATAAGGAAGCCTCAAGCGAAGTGACACGAGCCTCGAGCTCCCGATTCTGAGCGCTCCGCTTTTGCAGTGTCTGAGTGAGCTCGACCACCTTGTTCTCAAGTTGATAAGAGATCTCCTTGAATTTCGTAGCGGATTTCGCTTCGGCTCGAAGGCCACGCAGCTCGCGGATGGCAAGTTTGCGTCGCCATTGAGATTGCAAAACGACCACTTTGCGAATCTCGGTTTGAGCGCGACGACGAGCGGCCCTAAGCTTTAGCAGAATCTCCTTGCGCCAACTCACAGTCCACGGAACAAGCTTTGCAAGGTAATTACCGCAGTCGCCTTGCGCTCCTCTCGAGCCCGAGCGCGAGCTTGATGTCCTCGAATAACTGCAGATCAGCGGCGTCAATACATCCGACTCACCCGACTGGATCTTGATGACCGCCTGCCGTGTTTCGGTGTACTTCTTCCTCGCAAGATACCCCCTTGCTACCCGTTGAATCTTGGTCGCCGCAGTTTGTCGTCGGAGATCCTCAGTATACCGAACAGCCAGGATTCCACGCCACCAGGATTGGATCTTGATAGACTTTCGGCGCTTGTCCTGATATTCTTTGTACGCAAGGTATCGCCTGACATTCTTCTGAACCAAGGTAACCAACTCATTGAGTCGATTCGAGCGTAGCGATTCGAGGTACGCCAGCATTCCGGCTCGGAAGAAGATCTTGGTGAGACCAATCTGGTACTTGTCTTCGTCCTTGATCGTCTTTGCCAGGATTGACGAGCAAAGATTCTTGACATCGTCTGTCCATTCCGTCGAGCGCACGAGAGGATAGTACCTGATTCTCAGTGGCATCTCGTGCGGGACTCACCTTTCGGCAAACTCTGCAAAGGTCCATCTCGAGGGATATCCTGCACAAGAGATTCGAATAGTCTCAAGAACACCACAAGCTCTGAGTTGGGACAGGACGTGCTGCTGATCAAGCACCCAAGCTTTCTTCGCCTCGTTTGGCTTGATGCATCGGATGTAATGCACGTTCGTCGAGTTGATAGTATCCATCAGGCTGATAAGGGACACCTTGAATATGGATCCAAGCGTAGGCTTTTTCGCACTCGCGCCTGGGCGCTTTCCAGGCGCTGCCGCAGCTTTGCCATCACCGTTGGCTTTATTGCTCGCCGCAACCAGAGCGGCATCCAACACTTCTTTGAGGAACTCATTGGAAGAATCCTGGAGCAAGGCAAGCTGCTCATCCGGCACAGTATCGCGATTCTTCTCAATGAATCCGTCGACGTCATAGGTGACATCGTGGGCATAATGAGCAATGGTGAACGCATTTTGATTGAATCGAGGCTTCTTGAAAACATCCTTGTGCTCTGGCTTGGCGAGCTGCTGATGAAGCTTGCTGGCGAAGGATGCGTCCGCACCGGCGGGTAGACGTGACTCTTCATCCAATAAGGTGAGGACACCCATCTTGCCTTCAATGACATCGATACACGCTTGATTGTCCGCAAAGTCGATGAACGTCCAATTGATCTGCTCCCGAACGTACTCCTCTTGTTCGAGCTACTTGTCAGCCGGGTCCATCTCAATGCTCACCTTGAAGACGTGCGCGTTGAATTCCTGCTGCAGCTTCTCGTTGGCCCAATTGATACAGAATTGTTCGAAAGAGTTCTATTTGTCAGCAGAGCAGCGTTCTCTACGAACCTTTTTGAAGTGTTCAAAGCCATACTGGCTGTCAGCGATGATTTCTGAGGCGCACCCACGATATCCAGCACACCGATGAACTTGGTAGCTTTTTGTGCCCCAGCTCCACCCTCCCCTCCGAGACTCTCGTTGACAACACCGACAAGCCACTGCAGGTCAGCCAAGGCTACAATACCTTACTCACGTCAAACAGACACGAGTAGACGAACTTGGCGACCGAGTCCCGGACCACCAGGGCCTGAGCCGAGTTCAGGGCAGTGATAATCTTTTCGCTCCGCGTCACGAGTTGCTTCTTGATGAGCCACTTTTTGAAATCGGCAGGAGCTAGACCAAGCAGATTTGTCGCGAGCGCGAGAGCCGGATCGTCATCCGCCAAGACAGCATCCGTGCGCGACTGAGTGATCTTGATGTTTCCAAGGTGCAATAGACCTGCCAGGAGCTTGAAGACGTGCCACTGTCGCTCGACGGCGATACCGACGGTCGAGAGGGCGTTCTGAGTCTCTCGGAATTCCTTCGCGTCATCCACGCCGGATATAGGGGTCGAAGATGGGCCACCTCCAGCGAGGTACGCGAAGGCTCCAGGATCAGACGTTATAGAGAAATCTTTTCTCTCCTTTGACGGAGCCCCGGCAAGAAGCTGGTAGAAAATATGGTAATTTCGCTCCGATTCAGGCTGGAAGACCAATCGAGATCGCTCCAAGAGGTACGTGCGTATGCGAGCGCCGACGATTTCGTTGGAATTGTCGAAGAGGACCTGAGATTAGCTTTGACAAGAATCGATGCCTACCTCGATGTACTTCCCGAAACGTGACGAGTTGTCATTCCTCGTAGTCTTTGCATTGCCAAACGCTTCCATGATCGGATTGCTGGCCAATATCTGCTTCTCCACCTCACTCATCTCCTCTGACGCATTTTCTTTCCGTCGCGCTGGGTTTGGCCGGGAAGGGTCCTCCACAGACGCAAAATATCGAAGGATGAATTTGGCAGACACAGTCTTACCAGCACCACTGCGAGGGTCAACGGGGTCGACCTCTCCCGACTTGCCTTTCTCCGCTGACGACGATAGTCTGATCACCGGCACCAGTTGGGTCCGTCCCTCCCGTCCCTGAGCCTCTCCTCATGCAATCAAGGGCTTCCTCAGCGATGGCAAACAGGTGGGGCTCCAGTTCTCCCTTCTTGCGACCTGAATAGGCCTGAATGATTTCGGGACCGTCTGAACCTATCAGCAGGGGTAGGAGATTCCGGCTCACAGATTGATATTGGGCTGAAAGGATTCAAGGCGACCTACATGAAATGTCAGGCTGCAACTCCTCATACCGATGGGCTACTCACAAGGACGATACCCGAGTAAGTGTAAGGGAGATGAAGGGCGTAACGAGTGGCGATTGCATGCAAGACTGCCATGTGTCAGAACAGGAACCAACTTTGACGGTATTTCAGACTCACCACTGGGCTCATTCAAGTTACTCAGACTCGCAAGATCCTCTGAACTCTCCAACAATGGAGGGTTTCTCAGCGGTGGCGGAGCGTCTTGTCCAGCGGCAGGTGCACTGGACAGTGCATCGCCAGCAGTCTCGAGAGCAGAAAGTGGGAACTTCAATGTCCTCGTCTCATCCTCTCCGTCCAACTGGACGACTACCACGACCTCAGAGGTCGAATTGCCATCGGACGGCAAGGTGATGGAGGAGACTGTACCTGCTACCCAGCCAGTAGCGTCGTCCGGGAGCCAGACTCGAGTACCCTTGGAGTAAGTCGAAGACATGGTGGAAATGGAGGCGAATCTGGACTATGCAGTGCGTTGAAGACCGAACGAGTCAGGCTCGATAGAAAGACGAGGATCGGACCTGAACTGAAGCAGGAATGTGTTATATACCGAGAGGTGACAATAGGGGAATTCGTAGCAAGCAAGGCCTTAGGACGTCTAAAGGTGGGAGCGCCACGCCTCCAGCGCCTTCTACAGCTGACTTTGCGCTTCCCTAAGCAGCTTTTCCACAGCCTTGTAAGGTTGTCTGGTCCAATATCATGTACAGCTCGCAGGTTTAGAAAATCAATGGGCTCACACAGTCCCCAAAACGCGCGACGCAGCAAACGCGCTCGGGAACACTTTGATAGCGTGCCAATGTCAAGCTTGTAATGACACGTCATTGAATCATGTGATAAGCGGCTAACCTGAAACCAGGACCAGGAATGGGCAATGCATCTACAGCTGGGAGTTGCCATACGATATATGGCGAGATGATCAGCAACGGAGATCTTTGGCGCAGAGGCGACAGCAAGAAGGGCTTGAGAATATGGCTCACCGCTGATCACAGATGGTCTACACAGATACATTCCTATAGCCAGATTGGAAAGCGTTCGTTTCAGATTCAAACGCGGCCAGTGCCGATGATGGCGGCGGCTAATTGAGCGCGCGTCACAGTTCAACCACTCATTTCCACTCTGCTCATATACAGAGATGCCAACCATACTACAATTTCAACCTCTATCATCTCAGCCATCGCCTGCATTCTGGTCTGCGTTGAACAATTTCAAGCTTGAAAAGCTCAAATTGGATGACACGCGGCAACCTATCACTGCTTGGTTGGAGGAAGGCAGAGAGATTGCCGACAGAGAAGCGAAGGGTGGTGAGGGGTTGATAGGGGTCGATGGGTCCGTCGGGTTAGGCTCAGCAGCTTTCGGCGAGGAGGGTGAGAGGTCAGCCTTGAAATCCTCGGAAGAGAAGAGGTTCTCATTCGTTTAGACCTCCGCTGGGCTCAACATCGCTTAAAGGGGTATTCAAGAATTTCAATACAGTAGAAGAATTCAAAGCGACTGATCCGAAGAAGGACCTTTTCAACTCGATAGTAGACGAGGTGGGCGGCTCAGCATCCTCTTCTTCATAAATTGATGGCCCTAGATGCTTGACTCATTCGCAACGGACTCGCCAAACCTCAATCCTTTCCTACTCGTCACATTCGCCGACCTAAAGAAATATGTCTACCATTATTGGTTCGCATTTCCTGCACTCGTCTCCAAGCCAGCTTGGGAGATGGAGGATCGAGGGCTTCAAGCGGCGGAACAAGTAGTGAGAGATACGTTCGGACTCTCCTGACGCTTCAGGACGTCGCGGAGATCCGAGCGCTCGCGAAGAACATGTCGTTCAGTGACGGCGCGTACCTTATCAAGGGGCCTCGGGGTCAGCGCTCAGCTGGCCCTTTGAGCTCCGCCAAAAGCTTCTTCGAGGGAGTCATAGACGAGGAGGTGTGTTTTGAGATAAGAAAGATGACGCTGAGGTACAGCGTACGGTGGCATTCCACGACCCTTCCTCTATTGTATCCGCTCCGGGTTGGCCTCTGCGTAATATCCTGGTCTACCTCCACCGAGTCCATTCCATCTCATCTATCACGGTATTCTGTCTACGAGCCGGTTCAAGCCGCGTCTGTCGAGCCAGCCTACCCAGTCCGGAAACAAGTGACAAGCCTTCAGCAGTGGGGTGGGAGAGGAACAAGGTGGGCAAGCTGGCCAGTAGAGTGGCGGATCTTGGACCTATGATGGATCCAATGAGGTATGTCCGAGGTATGGTGACCATCTGACTGTAACAGACTCGCGGATCAAGCTGTGGATTTGAATCTCAAGCTGATGCGATGGCGAATCATGCCGACACTGGAACTTGACAAGGTCGCGTCTACCAAGTGTCTCTTGCTTGGAGCAGGCACTCTGGGATGCTACGTCGCAAGGGCTTTAATGGTTGGTCGTCTGTTGTACTGTCTCTGCTGATGACCAGGGCTGGGGCGTCAGAAACATAACATTTGTCGATTCTGCTCGGGTTTCATATTCCAACCCCGTTCGTCAACCGCTCTTCGAGTTTGAGGACTGCTTGGACGGCGGCAAACCCAAAGCACAATGTGCCGCAGATCACCTCAAGAGGATCTTCCCCGGTGTCGTGAGTGCTCTTCTTCAGACCACACCGCTGATTCCATAGAACGCCAACGCTCACTCCTTCCTTATTCCTATGCCTGGCCATCCAATCCCATCTGCCTCTATCGCCGAAACCAAAGCAAGCGTCGCCCAGCTCGAGTCTCTAATCTCCTCTCATGATGCGATCTTCCTTTTGATGGACTCACGCGAGTCCAGATGGCTGCCTACCGTCATTTCTTCCAGTCAGAACAAGATTGTCATCAATGCTGCATTGGGCTTCGACTCGTACCTTGTCATGAGGCACGGAGCTTCGCCAAGCTCTCAGGGCAAGCGATTAGGCTGTTATTACTGCAACGACATCGTTGCACCGACGGATGTGAGCCCTACCCAAGTCCAGACTTTGTCGCGGAGCTCATTTTCCTGCAGTCCTTGAGCGACCGAACGCTTGATCAAATGTGCACAGTCACCCGGCCTGGTATAGCACCGATCGCCTCGGCGACCGCGGTCGAGCTCTTGACATCGCTTGTGCAGCATCCGCTTGGGTGAGAGCTCGAAACAAAGGATATGCTGACGTTAGAATCAACGCTCCTGCCGAAGTCACCGATGCTTATCGCGACGAAGAAGCAGGCTCGCCTCTCGGTATCGTCCCACATCAACTGCGCGGCCAGCTCAGTCAATGGAAGACGCATTTGATCGAAGGTGCGGCATATGACAGATGTACGGGATGTTCAAACATTGTAGGTCTGGAGATTCTAGCTCCAGCTGATGGGCCTTTCAGGTCGTCGACGCTTATAGAAAAGACGCATTCGACATGCTGATACGGGCTTTCAATGAAGTTGATTATTTGGAAAAGCTCACGGGTCTCGATGAGCTCCACAAAGACAGCGAAGCAATGATGGAGAATTTGGATTGGGAGGAGGGTAGTGAGGAGGACTTTTAGGTTGGCTATTCTTATCGTGTACCACCATAGTGGGCACCTTTGTATGATGACGATTAGTCCATGTACATCACATAATACAAGTCGCCGGACGTGCCGCGAATGCTACAACGTTATTGAAGGGGGGGGTAATGCTGGATCGCGAAAAGTCTTGCAAGTGATAGACTCAGAGCTGGCTTTCGATCACACTTTGGCGTTGATCCACCAATACAAGAGTAAGGCCAGATGAACAGCGTCCGAGACCATCTCGGACGACCATGAACCCGTATGAAATGTCAAGATATCGAAACAGAGGAGCGAATTTGTCCAAAACCAGTGGGTGCTCGCTGGATAGAGTCCGTACTTGAATGACAGCATCTGCAAGAGTACAAGGTAAGGATGGGTCGTTCCATTCTCTACACCAAGCTCACCTTGATGACAAACAAGTAAATGTACGCGAATCGTCGCAGATCGTAAAGTTTATCGACAAAGAACGGAGAGACCCTGTTCGAGCTCTCCAGAGGTGGACTGGGTAACGCCAACATGGATCTGACGGGGGATACCGTCTCCCATTTCTGATCACATCCACGTCAGTTCGAATTTTCCGAATGGTACTGGAATCTCACCCGGTCTGTCGAATCTTCCCTCTGCATCGTTTCAGATTCGGAACGTCGGGGTCCCTTGAACCTCGTCACCAGGCCCCCTAGCCTGCTTGACAAGGACGATGACGATGTCTGAGGTGTCAGTGCAGGTCGTGAAGTGTCACTGACTAGGCCCTGTATCCCGGCTCGGACCTTTTCCGCTGACGGCCTGGATTCAGGTAGAGTATTCAGCAGACTGGACAACACGAGGAGCAGATCCCGCGGAAGATGTCGCCTCCTGCATGAATCGATCAATTCGGCGGAGGGCATAAAGCTGGAGGTATCAGACCATGGCGATAGGCAGCTATTTACCCTTGGTAGGCTAGGATCTCCTCTTGGAGTTGTTCAAAATCATCTGTATCGGAATACGGAAGATGCAAGAATAGCAGCTTGTGGAGGATCATTCCTGGGGCGTCAGGGGATCACACGCTTTAGAAAGACCTACCAAGCGACCACATGTCTGCGTGAGAGTCGGAAGGACGATATGACCCTTTACCATCGATCATCAAAGTTTCAGGAGCCTGGAGTAAGCTTGGATTTATGGTCCACGCTCACCATATACTCCATTGTACCCGTGTGACCCGTTCGTTCCCTCTTCCCGCGCAGCATCTCCTCGGAGGTGCCGAAATCAGACAGCATGGCTTTTGGTCTGGAGGTGAATTGATGCCCCGATATGTCTGCTCACATCAATCTCCCATCGTCCCAGTGAAGGAGAACATTGCTGCACTTGAGATCGAGGTGCAGGATAGAGCTGCCATGCTGCAGGGGTGAGCAAGGTCGGGTGTGTGCTTGACTCACCAAAAACGCCAGACCATTGACGATATCCCCAAATAGCGTGAGGATCTCTTCGAGACCTAGGAGCAAGACTCCTCGGGTCTCCTCCTTTTTGCGATTATTACCACTCTGGCGACGCTTTTTAAACGCTTTGATTCGCTCCGCTCGAGGCAGCTGTCCTGAAGATATCAACGAAAGTCCGCCAAGTGCGCCTTACCAATAGACTCGGAGTCGGCAATGTCACCCGCAGTCAAATCAGGTCGAGATGGTTGCGAAGAGTGAGATCGTGTGATGAGGAACGAGTCGAGATTCCCAGCCGTGGCATACATCATCAAGACGTGCAGGGCGTTTATTGGGGGTCCGAATCTGTTCATCAGAACAAAATGTTCATGATAACTCACGAGGAGAATCTGGTGTGCTCTATCCAGGCATGATGGTATGGTATGATATTCGGGTGCCTTAGTGTCTCGAGAAGCCGGACCTCTCTCAACATTCTGACGAGGTAAGACTTGCTGGTCCCTACGGCAATCTTTTTCACTGCATATGTTCCTATCACGTCAACAAGCGCCTCGCCGCAGGACGCACCGAGAACGTTCCCGCCGATGACATGAGTAGCCAAGTAAACGCTTCCTTCAGCACCTATGCCTAGCCTTGACTCTTCTCTAAAGAACCTTTCATAGTATCCCTTTCCCGGTAAGTCCTCCAGCTCATCACTGTCTGAAACTTCTGGCTGTGGCGTGACACTGGGGCTCTTCTCTCGCAACCGTGGAGATGGTGGTCTTGAACCTTCATGTGCTCTTTCCAGAATTTGAAAGTATCCCCCAGTCACTGTATTTCCTTCGCCGCCAGGAAAAGTGCTAGACGATCCAGCTGAATCACTCCGCAAATGCTGGAACCTCGAATGGTTGAAAAGAGCAGCAGTTGGCTCGGGCAGCGTCTGCTGGCAGTACGGGCACGTCGCTCGGATAGTCTCGATGGGGTCATCGCTTTCTGTATCAGCCCTATAGGGAAGAAGTAGGGGCCGCGGACGGGATGAGGATGCTGCTGAAGAGGTTGGATGAGGTTGCACGGACAAGGCATGTGAAGGCGGATGGTATAGGATCAACTGGTTGGAAGTTTGGCTAAACACCGAGTGAATCAGCATTCAGTCACGCGCAGATGCTCTCTTACCCTATAGGATGCCATTCGATGCCTCCAAGCACCATCCGCTGCTCCATTGCCGAACATTGAGTCACGTCTGACGAGATCTGTAGTTAAGGAGTTGCGCCGGTATTTCGGACAGTCCGGGTTAGGGCGTGTTGCTGGATTTACGTAAAGACCGGAGCTCAGGTCGCATCGTCGAAGGGGGACGGACGTCTCGGCTAGACTTCCACGAGCACGAGTTGGAGAATCTCAAGACAGCATGGCATCGGATACGTTCAGCAGGCTGGAGTCTGCATCGACTCAGGATGAAACATTGCGACAGCTGAAGGAGTTGAAGAATGCCATTATCGGCAATACTTGGAGAAAGGTCGAAGTTGCACAGGATGAGCATCTGATCCAGTTGTAAGCGGGTCGGCAGACAGAGACAGAGGCATCAATCTGACGTAGTCAGTCTTCTAGGACTCATTGGAGTTCCATCCATCGGTGCTGGGAAACCGCAGCTGGACATCATCAACGAGACGGTCGTTATTTTCGCTTCATTAGCAAATGGTGAGCAGCTCATGTCTGGTTCCTCGTCCCTCATACTGATTCCCTTCAAGTCGGCCCTCTGACACTACGACCGCTACTCGCCGCAGAGGTTCCGGCTCACCTGCTGAATCTGGTCAATTCTATCAATCGTCGATCTGTTGGCTCTCCAACAAGTTCCGGTACTCGCTTACTCGCTCCTGTCCTCCGAGCCTTGCGGAATATCCTTGTTTCGACTGCAGATACTATCTGGGGCCAGCCATGGGGAGTGGGAGTGGAGAGAAAGGTCGTGGATACCGGCTTGATGAGAGAGGAAGATGAACAGAGTGTCCAGAGTCGGAAAGGGAAGGGTGTGGCCAGCAGCAAAGGTCCAGAATGGAGCGATATGGTGTCTCAGACTCTACCTCTGATCTTTGAGGTGAGCTCGTCCAAATGCTGTTCTGACCTCTTTCAGCCGGATAATCTTGATTCTTTACTGTCACTGATCTATATTGACGGAGATCCTCAAACCCTGCTTCCCCTCTTTCAACTTCTCGCCAGACTCATCGCGCTGCCATATCATCGCAGGATTCTGGCCTCATGGACTCCCCCAGAATATATTCTCGACGGTGAGACTTGCCCTGGCGTTTCGCCAGGCTCTTGTCCTGTCGTTGTGGATTATCTTTTACAGAGTCTGACCACGACGACTGCCGTCCCTGGACGGAAATCTAATGCAAAATACCTCGAAGCGATCCTCGACCTAGTCGCTGCGACTGTCAAAGGCCAGCCTAAGCTTGCAAACCTGGTCCGGAAATGGAGTCCGAGTGGTACGCGAACGCCAGACTCAGGGGACCAACATGAATCAGCAGAAAAGGATCAAAGTGGAACTGTACCCATCCTGGTGGACCTCCTGCGCTCAAACTTTACGTCCGTCCGGATCGCAGCTGCAGCTTGCCTTACCAATCTTGTAAAGGCTGAAAAAGGCTCCAGATCTGTCGAGAGGATTCGATCAGCCGTGATGACGCTTCAGATCCTGGTGGGGGTTGTCGGACTTTTGAGATCAGAGGGACTGGAAGAGAAAGTGAAGCTATGTTTCATCCTGGGTGAGCTCAGAGGATCGGCAGCTGCCTGCTGATAACCAGCTGCTCTCGTATCCGACGACGCACGTCTTCAGAAGAGCGCCGCGGATCAGGGTTGCTCGACACTGATTATGGAATTCTACTTTGACGTGGACAAAGGCCTTGAAAGGGGAGATTTTGGCATAGACGTAGCGTCAAGAGGCAAAGAGGTGTGTCGGGTATGGTGCTCCGCTCACTGTAGGCCGCTTTGCTGGCTCTAGCTGCTCTGTCATTCCAGCACGAGCCGACCAGAGCCATGATTGCCGAAGCTGTTCCAGCCTTCTTACCCCAAATACTCAAATGTCTGTCTCACCCTTCCTATGGTGTCCGAGCTGCCGCCTGTCAACTCACTCGAGCTCTATCAAGGACAGTCGCTATCCTGCGGACGAGTCTGGTCGATAGCGGCGTGGGTGAAGAAGTCATCATGACGCTCAAAAGGGAAGTAGAAAATCATTCGAAGTTGGCCAAGGATCCGAGTTCCATTGGAGAAGACGATGCGGAGGGTAGCCAGGACCATACCGTTGAAGTCGCCGCTACTGCGACCCTGTGCAATCTCATAGCTGATTATTCTCCTCTCAAAATGGTGAGCTGGGGTGCAAACAGCGGCCGCTGATATTTATTAGGCACTTCTTCGAGAGGGCGGTTTGGAACTACTGTGCAGCCTCACACATTCACCCTCGGAACCACTGGCATTGAACGCTCTGTGGGCTCTGAAGAACCTTGTCTTCCACGGGCTTGAGAGTCTGAAGAGCCAAGTGATGTCTGTTCTCACCTGGTCCTCGCTGAGAGAGTAAGCTGGTTCAAGTCTATCAAGGCTAATCATTGGCAGTTTCATCGATTCGACCACTTCTCTGCCACTCCGCGTACAAGCAATGGAGATTCTGCAGAATATCCTCGCTGATGCAACACCTGCCGAGATATCTAAAGCCGTAGATCATCTCGGCGAGGAAGACACCATTCATCTCCTCAAGGAAGCGGTTGGGACTGGCAGCAACACCGAATTGAGAGTATCGGTGAGTGGGACTTTTCCGCGGGACGTTATTGACGGCAACATAGGCTCTGTTCGTGTTCTCGAATCTCGCATTAGGAAATGACAAGGCTAGGGCAATGATGACTTCTCGGCCAGAGATTTTGAATCTCCTATCTGAGGCTTTGGTACGCTCAGTGACCCCTGTCCGGTGAGGATAATATGCTGACATGAAACACAGAATGCAAAGGAGAATGCCGTCAAGATCCCCGCACTGCGATGCCTAAGACATCTCGTCGAGACCAATGCCAAATCCCGTCGACCTCGTCAAGCTGTCGTAGACCTTCTCGGTCCTTATGGTCTTAAAGGGAGACTAAAGAATCTAGCCGATCATAATCCATCTCTTGATGTGTGTCACGCAGCTACGAACCTGTTGGAAGTGTTAGAGCGGAGCAGAGAGAGTGGGGTCACCTCGCCGACCGGTACACCTACCCGAGCCATAGATGTCAGATGAGCGCGCGAATACGCTTGTGTCCCATTCTCACCTCGCTGCTCAATTCGGATTCGTCCAGAATGTTATACATGCGCTTTTTGTCCACCGCATCTAGCAGTGTGACCGGTATCTCCAGGTAAAGATATGGATCTTTTATAAACGAGACGACAAAAGGGTTGTAGAGGATCGATTATACTATTCACAGTTGCCCTATCCCATCATTCGAGCCCAAGAAAAGATGTCCTCTGATTGTCCTTGCACGAAACATCACTCTCCGTATTCTACGGAACAAAGACGCAAAACAAGCCTAAGGTCATTGCAGCCTTTCAGCGAGAAGGAGCATGGCCAAAAGACCAGCTCCGAGAGCACGGCCTTGAAGGTTGCCAGACATCTCCAGTGCATCCACGAGCGACGACGGTGCCGCAGATGTCAGAGGGTACAGAAGCAGAGCGAAGCGGAACAGGGCGAAGGTGAATGGGTCGGGTCGAGGAAGGCCAGATTGAGATGCTGGAAGGGTGTCAGTCGAGCAAAAGCAGGGTCTAGCTCACTCGTTCCTCGACCGGCGTGACTTGAGCGCGCCTTGTGGGTCTTTCCAAAGGTGATCACCGTAGAACCAGCCAAAGCGGGAAGGACGGTGGTGCTGAACCTGAAGATGTGTAAGCCGGGTCAAAGTTCTCCTTCCCTACACGCACCACCAAGAGACTGCTGGCCAGATTTCAGCCCTGTAGCCGAGACCGATGGCATCAGGGATTCGCATGTCCAAATGGAATTTCGGCATCCAGAAGAATAAGCTATGGAAGAGCGAGGGGAATGTTCCCGAGGCCCCGCCAGGAGGAGGAAAGAAGATGGTGTGGTCGTAAAATTGCAACACATGAGCGAAGAGGAAAGCGAGCTCGACTGCGAGGGCTGAAGCGACAATGTGCTCAGGATTAGAGAGATACTAGTGGTGAGCGGGATAAGTCAAGGATTGCTCACCTCCCGCAAGAGACTGACACCCTTGTCTACTCGACTCTGGGAATCCCGGCCAATCTTGACGAGTTTATTCGAAACTTGTCGAGCGCGCACAGAGACGTCCTTGGGCAGTCCGTTCGAGGGGACGAGTGCCTTGGAGAGTTGTTGAGCTTCGTGCTGGATTTTGGAGCTGACACAAGCATCAGTCATGACCTGAGTCCTCCAACGCACACGTTGATAGGACTTTCTGGCAGGGCAATGTTGGCAGGATCAATAGCATCCGCAATTCTGTCCAAAGCTTTGTTCATGGATTTTCGAGGTTTCTTGACAGTCCCTTCGACGGTTTTGACAACCTCCGGCGCAGGCGTCTCAGTGTCGTGATGGCGGCTGAGGGTACTGTAAGCTTGACATGTCACGGAGCCACGAGCACTACTCGCCCTTTCCTGACGTAGAGGCCCTTGTACTTTGGCGTTGACATCAAGTCCTTCTCATTCTTCTCGAGATGATCTTGAATCGTCTTGATCAATTCTGTCATCTTTGCATCTGGATCTGCAAGCCCTAGACTCGATGCAATCTCGGAGAGCTCAGCCTTGCGCTTGTTCAGCAGCGAGCCACTGTACTGGGTATCACTGTGGCGACAAAGTCAGTACGTGGCTTTTGTAATGTTGAGGAAATCCCACTGACGACATGGTGTATCCGAAGCGAATTCGTGAAAACGGGCAGGAGGGACGACAAAGTCACAGACTTCTGCGGGGCTTTGAGCTGGTGTCAAGTGGGTCACACTGTATACCGAGAGACTGAAAGGCCAAAGACGGACAGGAAGACACAGGAGTTGGAGGAATGAAAGGGAGAACGGCAAGCAATATCGGAGAGAGATGGCTTGTTTGTTATTGCCAGTCGCGTTGAAAAGATCAATCATTGATTTTTGCCACTTTACGTTATTGCCACGTGTATTCTGAGCTTACGTCAGCAGATTCCCTGCCGTTCAAGTCTTGCTGGCAATCTGAAATACCTGGGACACTCACCGTCGAATCCTACGCTACAAAGGCCCTTCACGATGGCCCAAGTACCTCCCATGCCGATGCCTATGCGGCCGCTCATGCCAGGCCAAGGTATGCCACCTCAAGCTATGCAAGTTCGACCTGGCATGATGCCACCCGGTATGGGTCCACCCATGCAGATTCCCGTCAACCCCGCCATGCAAACCTTACTCGACTCTTTACCGCATCATCCTGTACCCATTTTCCTCGCCAATGTTCAGATTCCCAACTCTCAGCCGCCTCAGATCAACACTATTGCCGTGTGTCCGGAGCATAAGCAATCGATCTGTGAAGCCTGTGGAGTCGACTTTAACGGTTTGAATTATATGCATCAATTTCTGCGAGGTGCTCCAGATGAAGCTATCCCTCCCCCGCCCAATGTCCAACCTCCTCCTCAACGAGCGGAGATGATCAAAAACATGAAGGAACAGGGAAACGTGAGTCACTATTCGAGTCCATGCTGATAGCCTCTTCAGACCGCGTTCAAAGAGGGCAAATTCCCGATCGCCATCCAGCACTATTCCAAATCGGCAGACATGGCGTTGTCAAGAGCGCCGTGGGAGCTAGCTGCCGTATCGAGAGAGGAAACAGCTATTGCTTTATGTAATCGCTCGGCTGCCTTTGCCATCGCCGGTGCATGGTGGGCATCGCGAGATCAGAGATGGGCCGATCACATGCTGACAGACTCTAGGCAAAACGCTTTGGCGGACGCGGAAGCCGTTGTTGCCCTCAAGAGACCTTGGGGCAAAGGTCATTTCAGGTGAGGTCAATATTTTCATCGCTCCCGCCTCTTTTCTTACTAGGCTCGCAGGAAAGCTCGTGCTTTGCTCGGTCTGGAACGTCTGGAGGACGCTCGACAAGCCATCATTGACGGTCTGCAATTTGAACCGAATGACGATGTAAGTCCACATTTTCTGCATTCCAGCGGTTCTCGCTGATCTTGTCCACAGGAGCTCAACAAAGTCTTGAAGGAGATTGACGAAAAGATATTAGAAGCTGACGAAGCCTGAGTTACCCCTTGCGCAATGTTGTTCTGTTGTATATCTCGCATGAATATATACCCAGCAGTGGGTCAGCTCATCAACGTCCCAACTCGTTGGTAGAATCCGCATCGTAAGGCAGTACATGAGATACATAATCATGACAGTCAGCGTTAAGCAGACCGGAGCCACTATCGACAGGAGCCCGCGATAGGTATCACGCTAATTCATCACCATCTGACTTTTTCTCGGTTACAATCATTCCGCAGTGTGTTGCACATTGCCGCTACCGAGAGAAGGCGAGGCGGCTGCAGTGGGGCTGGAAGCTGAGGATGCAGAGGCATGAGCAGTGGGAGGTGTCTTTAACGAGGATCCAGTGTTGCTAATGAACAATGGCTTGAAGACCATGTTGTGCAGTTTCAATGCTCCCTGTGTTTTGGGGTGCAACAAGTACGCGAGGAAGACGAGCTTGAGTGTGTAGTATTGAGCTATCTTTTGAGTAAGCGGCAAAGTCTAGTGAGTGGATTTGTCTGGCTCACGAATCTTGCTGTAAAGTATTCCCGCAGCGAGGGATTCAAGGAACTGGATGAAACCCAACGCCACAAAGTAGCTCAGTAGGGCTCTGGTGGCGGCTTCATTGGCGGCCGAGGTCTTCTCTTCCAGGATACCGAAAGCAATGAAGCTGGGAGGGACGAGAGCCAGGAGGGTCGTGACGGGGAGAGCTAGGCCCAAGAAATTGAAAGGGATGACGAGGATGTATCTGAGGCGAACAGTATCAGACTCCTCCCTTTGTCTCTACGTTGGTCATCTTGCTGAACTCACGCTAAGATACCTCCTACGACGAGAATGACCCGGTCGACACCAGTGCTTCGCTCCAGATTGACGAGAGGAGGTGACCTTCCCAAGACCTCTCTGAGTTTTGAGACCTGCTTCTGCGCTGTCACTTTGACATTCTTGACAGCGGGATGATCGGTGGCTGCATCGAGCTGATCACCAAGAGCGTGTACTCGCTGTCTGACACCCGTGGCGGTTGGAGTGGATCGTGAGGATGATTTCGCTCCGGCACCACCCGAAGTCGTCGAGGCCCCAGTTTGAGGAGTAACGCCTGCGTGAAGCGAAGGGATCCCACCGGTTCCCGTGGCAGGTTCTTGGTGGAGCGAAGTTGGCTCGAGATGAGCATTGATAGCGTCTTCTGCCATGATTGGGAGGGAGATGAGATTGAGTTGAGCCCGATAAGAGAAGATGGATATGCTGTTGAGCAGGATAGCTTGTGCTATGTGTCAGCTGTGAGAAGGCAGAGTCAGGACTTTTGTTCCGCCAGTTCACCCGCCAAATGTCAGCGTCAAACGCGTCATATTGCCCTTCGGGGTTACGTCACCCCAGTGAGTTTCTCTGGAATCACTGTGGCAGAGTGGCGCCTTCGAACAACGGATAGAGGGTCCATCATGACACAAAGGATAGAGGGCGGTCCATCATGACTGCGCTGGGTCTGTCCTGCTCCACCGTATCCCCACAGGACGACAGTCTCTCTCCTTCACATCACACAAAGCAGCCCTCGCTGATCGCCTGAACAGAAGCTTTTCTTGACGTTGATACGATGGGCAGAGACGAAGATTCCACTGCATCCGCGATAGAGGCGATGAGCCATCTGTCCGTTCGAAGCGATACGCATGGCAAGAATGCTCCTTCCAACAGCCCCGCCGAATTCGCTGTCGGGGACGGTACAGTCGTTCACGCGCGAATCAGTCATTCAGTCGAGGCCTGCCCAGTGATCCCAGCAGCGAATCTTCCAGTGACATCTGGAGCGATTTCGCAAGCAGGATTGCAAGAGTTTCTCAGTCCTAGAATCTCAAAAGACCGGAGGTGGCCGGGATATAGCTCTCATAGCACAAGGAAGGGAGTAGATCACGATAAGCGATGGGAAGAGGAATGTCACACGGTGTCCGGATGAATTTGATAGAGTTCAATTCAGGATGCATGTGTCGAGGTGATGATGCAGAAGTGAGAGCTCGGATCAAAGAGTTTTGCCCCGCTATCGACATGCTAATGGGTCTAAGCATGCCTTCGCCACCGAGTCTGTGCGAATCATTGATGAGAGCTGACAACGACGTTTGACGCTGCCACTGACTGCTATGCGACGCAATTCGCCAGCAGAAGACCAATCCATTCTGAGAGACATGATTGAAAGGATCCTGCACCATCCTTTCAGCTGTTAGCGACTTCGGTGACCGATTCTCCCATTGCAGTGACACAGAAGAAATCGGGGTTGTTTGATACAAGCTCGCCGCCAGCTGGCTGATGCTCGATCCTGTTGATCAGCATACGTTTGGTCAGACATCATCATGTCGACTGTCTCAGAGGACTCTACTCCCGATGGGCAGTCCCATAGCTCGACGACCCACGCTCAAGAAGAAGAGATTCCTCAGCCTCCTCCTGAAGACGTCTGGAACCCTCCAGATTCAGAAGAAGAATGGGATTCCCGTTCCCGAGCTGCATCGGATGACGATGGCGAAGATGAATCTTCCGTCAGATCTCAGGAAGAGGATGAATCAAACACCAAGACAGGCTCGGTGGAAGCCACGCATCCAACCCTCGAACAAGCCAGATCCAATCTGCGGACTCTCAGTTATGTCGAAATGGCTGATGAGGAGTTAGGAGACGGTCAAGCTCGGAGCTTTGATTCAAGGCGGCCTCGAGGCCGTCTCGCCAGCCTCGACCTACCCACCATACCTGAGGATGAGGTCTCTCGCGAATCCTCCGTAGTTCGATCAGTCCAGTGCAATGAAAGCGACTCGGGCTGAGGCGGCGCGAGACGGACCCGTAGCAGGCATAGTATGTTGGCTTTCTTCCGTATGATCCCATGCATGGCATCTCAACCCACACGAGATTGATTCACACTCGCCCAAGTGCCTTAGTACGCAGCGGCGACACCATGCTTCCTTGAATCACTAGCAGCCCATAAAGTTCCATTGTCCAGGATGACTCCTTGCACTATCGGCGACGTCAGTCTCAGCTCCATGAAACGGAGGCCACTTACCTTCTGCGATACCCAGATTGACGTCGAACAGCAACAACTCGTGACCTTTCGCTCTGAGTGACTTCGACAACCCCTTGTCTTCCCCCTCTGGTCCTACTTCGATCGTAGTGATCTGAGGGACGATTTGATTATGTATTCTCGGTCTCTCGATCGCTGCCGAGATGTCGTATCCGCATTCAAGGTTTAGAATGACTTGAACAATGGAAGGGAAGATGCGTGATCCGCCGGAGCCGCCCAAAACCGCGTGCAGTGAGCCATCGTCGTTGAGTATAATAGTGGCAGCGGTGGACGAGAGAGGTCTTAGCAGTATGGCACGGTCAGACTTGCTTCTCAGGATGGATCTTGGCTCACTTCTTCCCCGGTGCCGGGTAGTTCCAAGGGCTGGGCTGGAGGCCAAACTGATCCGCTGCACCAGGAATTGCAAAGTCGTCTGCATCTCCGTCAGCCTCCGTGATGACGTTGGGTGAATCACACCCACCCTGCTCATTGTTGAAGATGATACCCGTCTCAGGATCCATGACCTTGCTTCCCCATATTCCGTTGACCTGACACCATCAGCCCCGGCCTGCGGTCTCATGACTCACCGTGCTGGTCACACTGGCTGCCCCGCCCCACTGGTCAACGACACTGAGATGCGTAGTTCCTTTATCAATTGGTGTGTCATGAACGAGACCATAGTATTTGTAGTCGTGTGTCGTGTTCTAAAAGCTCAGCAAGAAGGTCTAGGTTGGTTCAGACAACTAACATCGGTGATCAAGGGTCGGATAGCGTCTGCCCATTCCTTCGAGTAAAATTCATCGAATCTTGAGGCGTTTTGCGCAAAGGCAGGATCACAGACTTCCGATCGGGCCCCAAATCCAAATTTCATGGCCTCTACCAGGCGATGCTGATTGATGTGAGAATCCAGGCAAGATGACTCTTGGAAGTTGTACGGTTCGAGAAGGTTCAAGATTCCAAGCATGACACCTCCACTGAATAGAGGAATCAGCACCGAAGCCCTTATCGCCGTGGTGCTCACGATGTTGGCGCCGAGGTTGTATAGATCGTCTTCCCATGGTATGTCTGATGAATGGCAGGGTATCGACGAGCTTTGAAGCTCTTGAGCTGCGAACCGTCAGCTCCGTCTGATACTATCGGACCAACATCTTCCTCATCCATTATTCCATCGTATCCTTGGATGGTCCTAACGCTCTTCTTGGCTATTTCACCCTCGTAGAAGGCAGAAGCGCCGTGCCTGGCAATTGTCTCGAGGGTCTTTCCATAATTCTTCCGTGCGATCCAATCGCCCTCGACGACGAATTGACCATCCGGTGCATAGACTTGTTTCCACGCGTCAAAGTTCTTCATCCAGGATTCACTGCTTGAGTTGTCAGACAGGCCAGAATGTCAGCGTTACAATTACATACCCCATGGACTACATTTGTCAGCATCACGCATGGCAGGGACTCAGCTTACCCTTATACGCTTCGCTAGGATTCTACTAACTTGATATCGTTTAGCTAGCTCAGCGACAGGCATGACCAGCTCCTCCCAAGGCAAGGTCCCGTACATCTCGTGTGCTAGCTCGTAAGCAACAGTCCAGAGAGGCTGACTACGTACCCATTTCCAGACCTCTGAGCTCTCCAGGCACGCCAATGGCTAATCCGCCATTCTGAGCAGCCACTCTTCCTGCCTTTTTCTCCCCGTACATCTCCTTCTGACTTTTGGCCGGACTCGTCTCCCTAAAGTCAACGGCCCAGATCCCGGCCTCTCGAGCTTTGTGGTGAGGTAGCGGGGAATGTTCTGGGATTCGAATGACCATGAAACCTCCACCTCCGATACCAGATGCAAAGGCGTTCAGGAGTCCGACGCATAGAGCCGTAGTGACAGCGGCATCTACAGCCGTGCCGTTTTTATCTTTAAGAATGGATAGACCAAGGTTCGAACAGGTCACCTCTTCGGAAGCGACTGCGCCGTGTGTCCCATTGACAAGGTATGCGGGAGGTCTCGGAAGACCGCTCGGCTAGTGGATCTTCAGCTTATTTTCCCAACGTTCCGACTCACAGGAGGTATCTTGGGATATCCTGCTTCTGTGGGGAATCCGTTGCCTCGAGACGCCTTGATCTCTCTGTGCATCTTTGACGCCACGAGACCCAGGAAAATTCCAGTGACGAGGATAACAAGGTAAGTCGAGGATTGGATCCAGAATTTGCTGCTTGATCGCTTTGGATAGCGTGATGGTACACCATCCTCTTCGTCCTCCTCTACCGAATTCGGATCGTTGCACCCGGAAAACATTCGAGGAGTCCACCACGAGCTTGGGGTTCGTTGATTGTCGGGACCATTGCGCTCGTTCTCGTTCGGCAGCAGTCTCTCCCTCTCTGCTCTATCCTGAGCCTCACGAGAGGATGAGGAAGGCATTCTTGCTGTCCCGTCTGCACTTCACGAGCGTAGAGACAAGAGGAACGGTAGGATGTCACAAGGACTGATTCGGGCTTCCCCTATAATGCTAGATCCGAACACGGCGGCTACCGCCGACAGACCGACCGCCGGGCCGAATGCGAGTTGAATGACGTTTGAGATGGGATGTCGAATAGCTCTGAACGGTAAACACGATGTCGAGAGCTCTGGCAAGGTGTTCACGAGCTCTGTTACGGCCTCAGAGGCAGTCTAAAGTGATCGTCAACAGCTCTTGTCCGGTCAAGGGGTCAAGCAGTCTCGTTGCCCTGTCAAAAGTTGGACCTCTCACCTGGCACACCGGGCATAATGTCGTCGTCTCGCAGAGAAGATACGCTTCGAACGTGCCCAAGACTAGCAGCAAGAATCCAGTAGGTGCCATAAAGCTTCAAAGAGGCATGCCGTCTTTTAATACTGACGCTGCTTCTCCCCAGCTTGGCCTAGACGACCCGACATTGCTCATTACACATGGAGTCATTGGCGGCAAGTCCGCCAAGGCCGAGGATGGTTCGACGTTTGACGTTGAAGGTGAGTGTCACTTGAAAACGATCGATATGTTAAGCAACATAGATCCTGCTACTGGGAAGACTATCGGTACCTGCCCCGATATGACCCGTAACGACACCGAACAAGCCATCAAAGTCGCTCACGACACATTCCAAACGTTCAAGACGACTACTCCGAACGACCGACACGGGTACCTCTTGAAGCTCTACCAGCTCATCCTTGACAATCGGAAGGACCTTACACGACTGATTGTATGGGAGAATGGCAAATCTTGGACCGACGCAGATGCTGAAGTGACCTACGCGGCGGGATATATTGGCTGGTTCGCGGGTGAAGCACTGAGAACGAATGGAGAGACGATACCGTGCAGTATGCCGGGAACTAGGAACTTTACCATCAAGCAGCCCATTGGAGTCTGCTCTTTGCTTGTGCCGTGGGTCTCTGACTCGTCGTTGTAGCTGGCTAACGCGGACTAGGTGGAACTTTCCAGCTGGAATGATAGCGAGGAAGATGGGTCCCGTGATTGCTACAGGGTGTACGGCCGTCATAAAGACACCGGCCGAAACGCCATATACAAATCTCGCCCTAGTCGAGGTACGCTTGCAGCTCTGAAAGGCTCACTAAGACCCTCGCTCTCAGCTTGCCAGTCGAGCCGGCGTCCCTGATGGAGTCCTGAATGTCGTCACGACACACAAACATATTCAAGAGGTCGGAGAGGAGCTCACCACGAATCCACTAGTCAAAAAGGTCTCGTTTACTGGATCTACAAAGGTCGGCAAGATGCTCGCGAAGAACGCCACCGATACGCTCAAAAAGCTCTCCTTGGAGTTAGGCGGGTGAGCGATTGACGTGGAGGTCTGGCTCATTTGGATCTTAGGAACGCGCCGTTGATCGTCTTTGAGGATGCTCATTTACCAACTGCGGTGGCGGGAACTATCGCCAGTAAATTCAGAGGATCAGGACAGACCTGCGTCTGTGGTGGGTCTTCAACCAGATCGGACCAGACTGATCGAATCTAGCAAATAGAATATACGTTCAGTGAGTCGCTGTGCTTCGGTTCATTTACTGACCCTGAAGTGAGGCGATATACGATGAATTCGCCTCGGCCTTGGCTGAAAAGGTCAAAGCTTTCAAAGTAGGATCTGGATTCGAAGACGGCGTGTGAGGCTGCTCTCTGAGGCACCATTGGGGGCCCGCGCTCATGTGTCTCTCTTCCCAGGACTCATGGACCACTCATACATTCCCGTCAAGTCGACAAGGTCCAACAGGTACGCCGGGTGAAGTCAGCTTGTCCAGCAAATGGTCTCACTGTCTTGATATAGCATCTGGATGATGCCCTATCAAAGGGAGCCAAAGTACTCGCTGGAGGCAAAAAGCTCTCTGGAAACATGTTCCAACCTACTGTCCTGGCGAATGTCCCTCAGGACTGTGTGAGTGAACAAGTCACCTTCGGCCACTGGCTCATAAACACTATTCTCATCACAGTTGATCACTGCCGAAGAGACTTTTGGCCCATTAGCAGCTTTGATCAAGTTCTCTTCAGAGGAAGAAGTCATCGTGAGAATTGCCGGACATAAGCGCCGCTCGCCCTCGTCCTCGCCCTCCTCCGTACACGCATCTCTAACGTCGCCCATGCTCTAGCGACTCGCCAATAATGCCGAAGTGGGACTTTCAGGCTACTTTTTCTCTCAAGATACCGATAGAATATGGAGAGTCGCAGAGGCATTACAAGTAGGCATAGTAGGTGCCAATACTGGCGCCATATCGCAGCCCGTCATGTGAGTGCTTGAGGATTCCTGAGGACTTCTTCTTGTCTGACCGTGTCCTAGACCCTTTGGAGGTGTCAAAGAATCTGGGTACGGTAAAGAAGGTGGACATCAAGGAACGGAAGAGTACCTTGTGACGAAGTACATTGCCGTCGGGTCAAAGCAGGAATGAACCCAGGCGATTTCTAGGCACTCATGAGAGCCAAAAAGAAAGATTGTATCTATGCGACTAGTCGGACACGAGAATCAGATTGTAGCATTGTGACCTTGCATATGTTCATGCAGACATCTATGACAGGTCGGTAGTGCTTTTTCTTCTCATGAATGCCTGGCTCAAGGTGAGGCATCACATTGCAGCCGGCAGCTATGCTCCATTCAGTGCTCCCCACTCTCATCAGTTTTCCTTGGCTTCGAAATGCAGTGTCCAAGTAGACAACAATTTTCTCGCACTGACTTGAGTCTCCGTAAGGCTATCCAGCGTCTCAGCGTAAGTTCTATCTCAGGATACCAAGTTAAAGGACTCACGTCAAGCCATACGTGAAAGGCGCAGTGTATGCCCATATACCCACGACGGTAAATAACAGACCCATCAATACCGCCAAAGCCTTGTCATTCAATTTGGCCCTGACCATGGGTCTCAGTCGAGTTGCTTGACCCGCCACGGAAATGGGGTAATTGACAGTCTCGACAAGGATAAAGTTGAGGACCGATCCTGCGATGAGGGCAGAAGCGAGATGAGCAGGGAGGTAGTGATGTAAGAATCGTTGACGAGCCATGAGGTAGAAGGGAAAGTAATGGAACGCCCAGGTTCCGCAGAAGAAACCAGTATTGCGGTACATCCTGTTGCGGATGCCTAAAGGACAGAGGGTGTGAGCAATTAGCTGAACGCAAGATGCGAGGACAGGTAGCCTCGCGGTGCATCCACCTCACTCACCATCCTCAATGGGATCCAACCCTCTTCTTCTCGCCAACATATCAGCTCCCAAGATCCCGATGAAAACCGAGACAGACACGGCACAGATCCACCATCCTATCAGATTCCCAATCATGTAAATCTGTTGATTGGTCTTCCCATCCGTCCAGAAACTGATTCCACTGAGACAGAAAGGCCATTCGACCGGACTAGAGGCGTAGGGATGTTCGCTGGTCAATCCTGCGTTGTGCTGTAACATGAGGATCTGAAGCTCGACGAATTTCTTGATAAAAGATCGAGTTTTGATCTGTTTCTGTTCGACTACGGCCGTTCTGTTCTTGAAGTCTCTGCCGGTACCATCCGAGATGATATCGTTGACGAACCATGCGTTGGATTTGTCGTTTGGACTCTTGTTTCCATTGACTTCTTGCTGTCCAAAGGCCCATTCTGGCAGGTGGGTAGGATGAGTCCAAAGATTGACTTTTGTAGGGATGTGAACGAGTTTGAAGTGGCCAGCCAAAGATTTCCAAGCTTCCCCCTCGTGGGCATCAATAATCTGGACTTGGAACAAGGTATCGTTGTGGCGATTCGGTTCGTCCTCTTTCGAGACGGTCGTGAACTCCTGGTTTGTGGGCATGAGGGGTGAAGCGACGTCGTGAGTCAACAGAATGGTATTACTGCCGACATGCAAGAGCTGAATCACGTCGTTTTGTCGGACGACACGACCTCGGCCAGTTTCTGGGATCTCCCTCGTTGGCAGGATCTGCCAGTGATTGTTGGTGTCGTTGTGAGGGTAGCATGTGACTTGTTGGCCTGACGACTGTCAGTTCGACGCATTCGCTAGAGACTTACCTTGAGAACTGATTCGACCGTCATCATACCGCAAGGGGTAGTTTGCTTCATGCGAGTGCAGGAAGGCCTTGGTATCCTTGTGCTTGATAGTGACAGTGTCAAAGTATCGGATCTCTGTGCCGAAGTCAGTGAGTGCTGCCGCTATGGCAACTCGCCCTGTGCATTGAGCAGCAACTCGTTGCCTTGCAGAGTCTCTTGGAATGCCGGACTCATGAATGTGTCACCAGGACCAGAGTAGATGAGGATCTTGAAATGGATCCAGAAGAAGGATAGGTAGATGATGAACGGGATGACGACGAGACCAACGACACGATACCAAAAGTGCTTCCAGACGTACGACTGGTGATGTCGAAATGAGCTACTGCCGCAGCAGAAAGGCCACTCACCATCGGATGTCCCTTCTTGATATCCATGATCATCCACAAGTCCCAGAGGACAGCCACGCCGATACTTGCAAATGTGAACAAACCGACCATCTTACATCCGAGGGTACAGGCAAGACTTGCACCAGTTGCGACGAGCCAGAACCACCATGAAGTGGAGAACTCGCGGTATCGCTGTTGATGGAATTTGACGTAACAGTAGAGGGAGAGAGCCATGAAGAGGACGAGAGCGGCATCAAGGAGGATCAATCGGGTTTGAGTAATGTGTCCGTTGTCTGCTCCGGCCGTCAGCCAGTCGCAAACGACTGGACTGTGCCTGTTCAAAGACTTACCGAACATGACGAGCCAGGCGGAGAACAAAGCGATACCGATGGGGTATCCTGATTCCCTCATGATGGCGTAAACGATAGGAACAGTGATACTGCCCATGATGGCGCAAAAGGATCTCATGCCAATATATGGGACCTGATGAAGTGGTTAACAAGTCCCCACTCCATGTCCTTTTTGAGCATCCCTGCGGACCTTACCTCCTCACCTTGTGATCTGTATAACTGTCTCCGATCGAATCAAATCCAAATTCTCCATCAAATCCTACGAGGTATCCCGCAAGTCCATTCAACATCTTTGCAAGTGGAGGATGGACGTCAAAGTAATACTCTCGACGAAGGTATTGACCTGCAAAAGCTCCAAAGTGAACTTCGTCAAAGACTACTTGATCAGGATGAGAGATTCGCCAGAATCGAAGTGCGAACGCTCCAACGAACAAGGCAGTCGCAGTGATGAGAGATTGAAAACGCTCGGCCCGCAGGGAAGGAGGTGGTGGGAGAGGTTTGAATGGTCGTCGCTGGAGTCGGAACAACAGCAAAGAGCAGAGCGAGTGGGTTGGGGGAGGGGGACGACGGTGAGGACGAGAGCAATGATCGGGTTCAAGCCAGCACGTCAGCGAGGAAGATCATGGTAAAGACATCTTCTCTCTACGACTCACCTTTTCATCTTCCGAGCTCTGTTGCGTATGAGCAGGCAAAGGCGAACTCTCAGTCCTCTCGGTCTTGCGCTTCCTCGCAAGTGACATGGTGGAGCTAAAGGGCAGGGAAAGTGACCAAGTATCTATTGCAGCTGTCCAGCGAGCGGAATTCTTGCGTCGTGATGTGAGGAAGAGAGGGAGGTGAGAAAAGCAGTAACCCCTGATATGTTATGCCTTGAGTTGCTCGCTCCTCCTTACAGGTCCAAAAGGCAATCAACCAACTGAAGACAATCAATAAATAAATGACGGGTCGAGCGAGGTATAATCGCGCGTCCTTTTTGCTGTTCAGGTATTTTGGACGTGGCGCTTTTTCGGATCCTGTTCGGTATCTACTCCAAGCAGCGTGTCTGTCAATTCGTTACATGGTCAACATGCATAGACAAGAACAAGAGAAACAGAGCAAGATGGTGCACACACAGAGTCACACTGTTCAAGCTCGTCGTCAAAAAGACATCACACGCACACTCGATCGTATTAAATATGAAGACAAAGACTTCGAGGCTTCCTTTCTTTCCCCTTTCGAGCCTCGGTGAGATCGACCACAACTGTCCACCCTTCTCAAGCGACGATACCTGCACTTCCACTCCCTTCCCATAGACCCTCCTTCGCCTTGACATTGATATCGCCGAATGGCTTCGGTTGCTTGAGCTGAATCATATCTTTCGTCCCGAGGACCAAGAGCTCAAAGAAGAATGCAGAAGCGGCGCGTCGATTCGCCTGAAAAGTGTCAGTCAGTCGGTGGACCGCTAGCAGGACACGAAACTCACCCCTTGGGCGATCTCCTTGAAGTTGACCACTTTTGGCTCCTCGTCCTCTGCTTCGATCGCCTCGAGCTCACGCCTCAGTAGTCCCATGGCCATGCCTGTATTCCTGGATACACCTCGGTTTCCGTCATCCCTGGGTGCGCCCACAACGCTCTTTGTCGGCGTGTCGGGGATGCTTTGCGACTCTGTACGTGAAGAGGAGGCGAACATAGCCAAAGGATAATCCCCAGAATCACCAAATTGGATCTCTCGAGCTAAACTCTCGGCTCGAGACGGGGCGAGCGATTGACCACGCGGAGGCGTTCGTACCTCCACTTGATCGAATGCACCAAGATCCATCTCCCCTCCTCCTATGTCCATTGTATGATCCTCGAAACCACTTGGCCCGACGTCAAACGCTTGTTCAGATAGGCGAAGAGAGTCTCGTCGCGCAGCCTCGACATCTTGCTCGAGTCGTGGTCGCTTGTTCGCACTTGGGTCCGTTGTCTCCTCCTCACGATTCCGGCGAAGGATATTGGCGGGGAACGTGAAGAGGGAAGCGAGATCCGGAGCAAGGCCTGGTGGTCCGGCGTAGATCATTGGGACATTGTCGACCAAGATCTTTGGCAAAAAATAGTCGTCAGGTCTTGAGATCATCTCGGCGTATCTGATAGAGTCGAGGTCCGATGCGATGAATCGTTCAGTCGTCAAAATGTCGGAATCTTCACCAGGGAGGGCAAATGCATCTTCGGGCAATTCGAGCTCTTGATCGGCCGTTAAGAACCGAGCTCGCTTGGGTTTGGGTGCAGCATCTTTCTGTACTCGAGCAGCGGTACGAGGCGTCACATCGAGCTGTGCTTGAGATGGAGAAGCAGGTGGAGGAGTAGAAAGGGCGGAGGCTACATGATCAGGGTCTGGCAATGTGCGATACCACTCACATTCCCTACGAGATCGTTCTTCGAGTCTCGGTAGTTCAAGCGAGTCATCTCCAAAGTTGAGATCCAAGTCGACGGGTCCAAACGAGTCGTCCATACCCTGCAGACCGACAGATCCGAGGCGACTTCCTCGCATGGATGGTTCTTTCGAGAACGCTCGTTGGCTCGGCTCAACGCTGACGTGTCTTCCTTGCTCCATCGACACGTCCATATCGTCCAATTGAAGTCCCAAGTCCACGCCTGAGAAGTCGCCTGAATCAATGTGAGACGAAGTCTCCCCGTCGTGCGAGGCGTGTCGAGATGACTGGGATCCACCGTAGATGGAGGGAGCTCTGGGTCGCCCAAAGTTGTAGGCTCCGAATTCGCGAGTGGTTGGGCGCAAGTTGGGCAGAGGAGGTGCGGGGAGGTCGACGTTTGGCGCTGTCCAGTTCCTATGACCGATGAGCTCGTGTCTGGGTCTGGTCAGACCTACCAGTCCATGACGTTGAAATCTGTTGGCAGATCAGAGAACGTGATGGCATTCTTGTTGGCTCGGATCTGGTCCTCGGGCAGATCAACAATACCAGGTCGGAAGGCCTAGAGAAAGGGTCTGAGCACTGCCTCACGCGCGTCAAGCGTACTATTGAAATCTTCTCCCGCGTCTCTTTACAATCATCCAACAGGTATTGAACTTTTCGCGAATAGATCCTCGTCACCCCCAGCATTAATTGACCTGATAATCTGAGTGTTGTGGGTCCTTCGTCTTGTTCAAGGATGGCATCTGGTACCCGACCTCTAATCAGCATGGCACTGTGAGTGAGAAGTAGCCGACTGACCACACGATTCCTCCACGTCTACACCGAGGGCTTGTTGCTTGCTCAGTTTACGTTCTTGATGGGCTGATAACCAGACTTTGGCCAGGGGTCCACGCTTGGACAGGATGAGTTCGGTGAGGAGCATGGTGGATAGCGAGGTGCAAGGCGAGGTGACAAGGAATCAGACACAGCGGATTTCGTTGATGCAAGAAAGACAAATGATGGCGGTCGGTCGTCGCGCCAGAAATGTCTAAGAGGTCGTCTCGTTGTAATGGTCAAAAATCTCGTCCGTTTCGTCCAGCGAGCGTGTCGAGGCGTTTATCTATCAATCGCAGAACACAGAGGAAGAGCGAGACAGTCAGGTCGATCTGTCGTTGACTTTCTGGATCAGACTGACAGGAGAATGGTCATGAAATGAACAGAAAGAGACTTTTTCCCAAAATGTGACGAACATTGAAAAAAGCAGACGCGAGTCCAATCAACCCTGCACACAACGACGCCTCCAAAAGAGGTAAGAGGCAGCCACGCGACGTGAAGCTGACGTAAGGCAGCAAATCTGACGTAAGATATATTGAGCAGGTTGGAGCGTGGGAGAGCACGGTTTATGAGGTATTGCAGTTGGTATGGACCTGAGAAGTATCAAGTATATGGTACAGAGGCGAGGCGAGGCGAGGCGAGGCGAGCGCCTAGACATAGACATGAATCTGAGGACTAACAACTATGCAACTTGTGTATCCAGGTCTCTCTACCCCTTAGCCGTCGAAGCGGGCGAGGCGAGCGAATCTACAAGGAGGAGATGGGTCCCACGTTTGGCCACCCGCTTCGAAACGGATTGAGGTTGGACACATCAAAGCGCAGTCTGTACCGTCACTCAAAGTGACAAGTCCACTGACGCTTACCCCACACCGCCCCTTCTTTTGGAGTCTTACGGTGAACGGTGAAACTGCCGGGTCAGTCAATCGGTATTGAAGGCGTGGCGACGGAGAACTTTTCATACTCCATTGGCCGCGATTATCCTTCATTCGTGCAGTGCTGGCAAATGAGCCAATAGCCAATACATTGGCATCCCACGTTTCATTCTCCGTTCCACGCACCACCTGGGTCTAGACTCACCACACACATGTCCAGACCCAGGCACTCGTTCATTAAGCTGATCCACAACTCCATGACGTTTCAGGTCCAAAAGCCGAAACGCCAGATTGAGATTTTGGGGTCCGTCTCGGATGAATGTTCTTACTCGGATCAATAGTGAATATTCACCCCCCCGTGGCCGTGGCTTTCGTTTCATTTCATTTTGGTCATGAAAGCCCCCCCCCCCCCCGAGGTATGAGCTCCACGACTGTGCTTTCAAACTGTGCACCATGCTCGTATTCACCGGCAGACCCGACGATCAATCTCCAGGATAGACTTTCTTTTATTAGACTTTTTTTCTCCTTCGGCAGAGAAGATCGGCACAAATCCCAAGTCGCTGCGGAGTGACATTCTCCGGGTGCGAAGCTGCTTTCAAGAAATACCTCAGTTCACTGAAGATGATGATGTCGGTAGCCCTGGCCCCCAAGTGCTACATACCCTGATGCATGGTCTATACCCACACGTCCCATCTCTCATGTCCCACCGTTTCCCCCTTCTCTGTGTGTGTGTGTGCGTTGCAACCACACAGTCCCCCCTCCCCCCGCCACAGTGCCTCACACACGAGACGCGGTAAAATTGAAACATAACCCCGCCCACCCGCTGTTTATTTGGTGTCTTACCACTTTGGGTAATCCTGGCTCATTTGCACCGCTTTGACCTTTTCCAACCCCCCCCTCGTCCCCTCGAATTCTGTCATCTCACTCTTCATCTCTCTTCTCTCCACTTTCAATCGATTTGACGACGGTCTGGACTCTTTTTGTTTCTGTGGTACGTGGTAGTAGGAACACAGCATCTGCCAACAGAACCCAGCAACGACTTCGACAGCTTCGACCTTGGGATTGCGCGTCTAGCTCTCTCAGCTCGCCAGGCGAAAACAGAACGGATCAAAAATAGCAACAACTCCCCCTTCTCCCACGCTCTGCCCCTTCACCCTGTAACAACTCGCCGCCCATCTCTATCAAATCATACATATAACACGCAGTTCATCGACCTACTTACCCTCGTATCTCATCGACTTGATTGATCGTCGATACCTAGTGACTGGGCTCTGTATCACACAGAGTGACCCCTTTGTTAGAAACCTCTCCTTTCACCGTAGAAAGAGCAGAAAGTGTTTGGGACCTTTTCGGGCGCCAAATCCACTCATTTTCCCTTCACCCCCCACCCCTTTTCCTCGTCGACTCGCTACCACATCTCACGTCGGCGATCCAATGGCTACCATTGCCAACGCCGCGCCTCTCTCCTTCCTCTCCTCCCTCGACAAGATCCATCCTGCTCCTCCCCCTGCCTACACCACATTCCCATCACCCCCAGACAGCGACGTCGAATTTGATATCGAGTCTTTTACCCACTGTTCACCCGAAGCGCCATCCATCACCGCGTCGTCTTCGACCTCCATCGAGACATCTCCTAGATCATCTACCACTCTAGGCACGCCTCCAGCTTTCTCATATCCTTTCGGAGCAGGCAGTCTCGAGCTAGACGTCAACGAACCCTCCACCACAGACGCCATCGCTCTCAGTAATCACCACTTTCAACGCTACCTTCACTACAAGGCTCTCGCCGCTCAAGCCGAGGAACAAGCAGCCGCCGCCGCCTCGTTACAAAACGAACAGATTGAAGCTTTCCTCGCATCCATTTCCATGCCCGAGAAAGAAGACATGTCTACCAACATGATGTCTTCCTACCAAGCGTTCGCCCCCTCTTTCCAACCCTATTCCTTTTCAGCGCCTCAACCCGCTGCCACTGGCACCATGCCTATTGTCGCGCCTGCCGCTTCCGCCACGGCCGCAATGGCTCACGCTCAAGCTCAGGCCCACATGCAGGCTCATGATGCCGTGCTTGCTCGTGCTCAACATCAACGATCTCTCTCGATGCATTCCACTGCATCTATGCAAGCTCCCGCCATGTGGTCCAGGACGTCGACCTCAACTCAATCGACTACGTCGCCCACCTTTCCAACTACACCGAGCTTCTCTGCTCCCATTCAAATGGTTCCTGCCGCACCTATGCCCAATGTTGAGATCATCACCGCGGCGCCGCTCCAACCCATTCCTGTTAAGGTTCAGCCCACGGTGGCCACCGCCTTAGCCAGTAGCGTCGAAGGGGAGAATGAACTCGACTCGGAAGCAGATACCGATATGGGCGACTCGGACGTCAAGCCAGCGCTCACCGGTCTTACCAACCTTCACGGCGGCGGTCGAGGCTATGTACCTGGCAAGACTCCTGATGACCCCAAGAAGAGACATAAGTGCCAGATCTGTGGGCGAGGCTTTGCACGCGCCTTCAACCTCAAAGTGAGTAGCATCTTCATACATTTTAGACCCTTCTCGCTAACCCTCCTCCTCAGTCCCACGTTCAAACACATAACCCCATGAGATCGAAACCCCATCAATGCCCCCACGCCTCTTGCAAGCGAGGTTTCTCTCGACTCCACGACCTCGAGCGTCATCGCCAGGGTATCCACTCTGACGGACCTCTGGTCGATGCAAAGCGACACGGCGTCGCGCCTGCTGTTGCCCGTGCACAAGGTCGAATCCAGTCCCGAGCGGAGAATGGAAGTCTCGTCTAAGCCCCGGTCATCCGCGGCACTCAATAAACAAGGGGTCGCTTTGCGCTTCCCCCGAGACTTTTCCACCGCTAGTCTGGATTCCGATCCACGTCTAACATCTCAACTTTCTCCTTTCCGACTCACCTCCCCCACCATCCGATCATACCGAGTCTACAATCCGACATGAATGAAAAACAACTCCAAAACGCAGCGCCGCCGCCTTCCCTGCGGCGCAGCTCAAAATCCTGGAGGTTTTGTTTTCCAAATCAGTTCTTTGTCCACGACAAATGGATTAGCCTGTTCTTCGAACAGGTATAGATACGGGGTATGAACGGCTTTGATAGTCGGCCCTAAAAACACAACCATCAACACATTACCACCATCCCTTGTTTCCCCCCAAACCTCGTCCGAATTTTGTTCTCTCTCTCACCCTTTTTCACCTCGACCGCCTCATCCATCCCGCGAACCCTCGAGTCAACATGTACCTGTTCCTCTACCTTTCCAACCTCTTTCCCTTCACAACACGCAAGGGGTACATGTTCTCGTTTGGGTGAGCCTAGCGATAGGATCTTTGGACCGTCGATGGAGATGATTTTTTCTTTGTTTTGCTTTCTTCCACGATACACGAGGGGAAGATGATTGCAAGCGTTTTGTCAGAGTATGTAGCGTTGTCTGGTTTGTCTTTATGTAGTATAGAGTTGAGAAAAAACACACACGAAAAACACCCTTTTACTCGGGGCATGCATAGTGTCTCGAGACGTGGTCAAGTTTGTTCATAGCATCGCAGTCGCGGTCACGTCATGGCTTGGCGAATTGGATTGACATCCAATATAAATAGCTCTTCGCTGATGAAACGTGATTGTGTTCACGACCGGCCAGCAGTCAATTCTAGCCGCGGACATGAGGCTCTGAGGCTAGAGTTCTGGTCTCGATGGACTAAACGATCACCCAATGCAATGCTTAAAAAAATGGCAGGTATAAGATGATGGACGCTACTACAACAATGACTGCTCGGGTGGGCGTCGACCTCCCGACATGAGTCCCGGAAAACACGTCTCAGTACCTCTCCCGATCCCAAGTGGTCAGATCCTCATCCCACGGTACCCAACCTCTAAAGATTTCGAAACCTTCGACGACGGCTCCACCATCTTTCAGGTCCCACCCTTCTTGTTCCGCCGCAGGAAGATCTACAGATCTCGTCGGAGGGCACCATTCGAAGAGATCTGAAAGTTCCGGTACGGAAGTGTGGTACGGATGATATCGTATGAATGGGTTTCTGAGTAATCGCTTGGTGGATAGTGGTGGGTGACAGCCTGAAGGATTATGAACAAATGGACCGAAACCGTATTGCAGCTGTAGCGTAGGAAGAGATCATCAGCCAAACAACTCAGAGAGCGGAAAGACGCCGTCGGCTCACCTCGCCAGCATAGTGCTCTGTCGTATCTCCCTCATCGTCGATCCCAACATAGTCAAAGTGTTCGAGAGGGAATCGTATAGCAGCACGATGAAGTTGTTCGAATCTGTTCCTCGTGTGATCAGTTCACTTCGTGTATCTGGACGATCCCTACACCCACCTTCTCCTCTTCATGCCGTACCCTACCACAGTGATTTTAACTGGCCATCGGCCAGTGAACTCTTTGAACCGCGCAAGGGCAAACAATAAATTCTCATACGAATCCAACGCGTACTCTTCAGTGGTCGTCCGAGCATTCAAAGGGAGAGGATCGTGATTGGATGCGGTTGAATGTGGTGGGAATGGAGTGGAAGGGATGAGAGACAGTGTTTGCGCGAGAGATAAATACGTTTGAGATTCCGTCAATAATGGTGATGGTGGAGGTCGAGTAGCACCACTGAGAAGCACAACGCGAGAGCTGTCAGCATGCTTCCCCCAAGGAGAGTAACCTCGTGACGACAAGGACTCACCCCGAAAACACCAACAAAGCCTTTTCATCCTCTTTCAACTGCTTCACACCTTCTCTCACGTGCTGTATGTACGTCTTGACACTTCCTCCCTTCTGTATCGGCTCCAAGATCCAATCTTCATCATCTTCCACCGAGACTGCGTCATGTCCGATCCACAAGGCGTGACCTGGCACTAGAATCAAATGGTCCAACAGACCAAGTTTTGGATCTCGATCAATCGTCGCTTCTATACTTGCTGGAACGTGAGTTTTCGCGTCTTCCACTCCATCATATCCATATCCATATCCCATCGATGAGCTCCTCATACGTCTCTCTGATCCAGCCAAGTATCCCGAGACGTTGAACAAGAGGGAGATGATCAACGTGAGGCATAAAATGAACACGGCCAAATTTGTCAATCGTGTTCGGGTTCGAAGAAGGTTGATGAGGGAAGTCGTAGAGGGAGATTGAGGAGGATAAGGATAAGAAGGCCGCGCTCGTCTCTTCGAAGAACCTGGAAGAGGGAGCATCGTGAAGAAGAGCCCCTCTAAGCCCAGAGGACGGAGCTCGAAGGTCGTGATATGAAGGGTTTGGACAGATCCAGAAAAGATGAGATAGCAGTTGAGCAATTTTGGCATTTCGGACGGGAAATATGCCGGCATCACTCGGGACACAAAAGCTCAGCGGCGGCAGGGGTGGACGGGGGAATTGGGGGGCTGTTACGAGGTTGATGAATGAGTAAGGCTCGACAGCCATACAAGCCAAGCGGAATGGGCTTGGTCAATTGAGAGAAGGAGAGGATATACATGGTCCATGTATGAACCCCCGGCCTCTCGCACTTTTAATGGAGTGAGGGAATTGTGCCAGGATCGAGATCGAGACAAGCAAAGGTTGGCAATGCGAACGTGACGGATCGGTCCCGGGTCCTTGCAGACTCAATGACCTCTCCCGCGCTCCACCCATAGTCGCCTGGCATCCTCTTCGCATGGCTGCCCTTAGTCCAAGCTCGTACGCCCATCCCCAGCACTAGGGCCACGCCTCGCCCGATCGACCGCCAAGTGCCACACTTTTTTTTTGGGTGACGAACTCGTTAGCAACCATTGTTCATTCCAAAGGTGTACCTTGAGTGTCCCTTGTTGAGCATGACCATCTCGGGCTTATAGTCTATCCTATATACTATGGTGGCCGATCCTCCTCATGGTGCAGGCGATGAGCGATCGCAGCATACTCGAGTTCCTAGCGATAAATCATCCCCATCCCAACTTTCTACCGGTACAACCTCGTCTCTTCTCCATCAGGCCCTGGAAACATTGACATTCCATGATTCACCTCCGCCTTCACTAGCTGCTCGATCAGCATTCCAGCGAACCAAGATTCCAGATTTTCGAAGTGGAAGTTTGACGCCTGAGCTGGGTTCCCTAGACGCTGCGAGTCACGATGAAGAATATGAAAGGGAGAGGGTGGCCCTGGTATGTGGTGGTGGTGGTGGTGGTCTTCGAGCTGCCCGTCCAATCAAATTAGTCAAGCACTGACTCCCCAGCTCATCAGCTCATTAAACACTTGACACATACCGATCGAGATGATTCTGAAGCGCATCTCCTAGCTATAGGATACGAGCTCGAAGCGCTTGTATCGATCTATTCTTCCGACGCTATCAAGCTCGCAGCCGTGACCTCTCGTCCAGCATCCATCATTGAATCTCGAGACGAACATGAGGACGCGTCTTTCAACTTGGTCAACGGACTCAACACTGCGTCTAGTCGGCATAGTCAATCTCATCCGTCTGAAGCTTGGACCGATGCTGTACTACATGAAAACCTTGGCATTTCCCCGATTGATCGCATACGGTATGAACTGTCAATTCCATTATGGGAACCAAACGATACATTGGAAGGCGTAAAGTCTGAGGACATGCCAACATCTGCACCGCTCATGCGGATCTTGGTCAGTCTTGGACCTAGTTATCCAACACGAGGCCCGCCTCAGCTCCAATTATTGGGCAGATACCTCGGATCTTTCCCCATCGATTCTGGACTGTGTGAGTCTAGAGGGACATGACAACGAGTCAAATGAAATGCTTATTCCGGTTCTCACGCAGTCGGAGACATCACCCGCACCTATATCTCCTCCTCCGGCGTCCCCTTTACCCCTGGTGACGTGTGCGTGTTCGAAGGCCTGACCCATGTTCAGATTCTCTGCCGAAAATGGTACGCTGCACACCTAGCAGCAAGTGCCAAGCGAGAAGAAGAGCGACAATCAAAGCCTATTCCGACGACGAGGGAAGAGGAAGAAGAAGAAGACGTCGACGATGGAAATCACCTCTCTCGTCCTTCACCATCCCGACCTACGTTCTCGTACACTGCCACTCATCCCAATGGATCGACAGAGGCTCAAGGTGAACCTTCAGCTGGACTCAAGATACATCATTCGGAGCCTATCGTCGATCGAAAATCTACGTTCGTAGGACACGCAGTCAGGATTACAGATGAACGAGAAGTCCCTTTGATCATTCACGAATTGCTGAGCGACAAAAAGATCGCGAGGGCTGCCCATCCCGCTATCTTTGCGTATCGCGTAGTCAGGGACGTAGGTGGGGCAGCTGGTAAAGTGACCACAACGGGTGAGGGAACATTGGTATGATCAGAGGGCCTCGGCTGACATTCATCCGACGACGACAGACCATGATGACGATGGCGAGACACAAGCTGGATCACGACTTAAACATCTCCTGGAGATCCTTGAGCTCGATAACGTCCTGGTCGTCGTAACGCGGTGGTATGGCGGCACACTCCTCGGTGCAGACCGTTTCAAGCATATCAACCAAGCTGCACGGGACGCCTTACAGGTTGGCGGTTTCCTCGATGAGGTGTCAAAGGATAAAGACAAGGATAAGAAAAAGCGAAAGTAGAACCGACAGGTGACGATGATGACTATGATGATGATGCTGAGACGAATAAGTGCTCGCTCTTATACTGTTGATGATGACTGCTGTGACGAGTTGCCCATGTGTCTCCTGCATGATATTATGCTACTTGTACCACACCTCTCGTGTTACGCCTTGCCTCTGGCTCTACGCTTCCCAAAATACTTTCTCCGTCCACCGAATGACTTCCATGGCTTCCCTCGCGCATTAGAACTTGAGGCGTTTGCACGTCGCTTCGTGTTCCCTCTATCTGGGCTGTCCATCTGCATAGCCTTGGACGAGTCTGCTCCCCGCCTCCAATGTTCCCTGAAGAAATCCGCGTACTCCTCGGGAAGCTCGTGAATCAGCACAATGGGACTGACGACTCCCCCAGTCTTGGACAGAGGCTCAACTTCACTAGGTCCAGTCATACCTAAGAGGCCGAAATCGTCGTCATCATCAAACAAATCCACTCCACTCAGATCGTACTGTGTAAGAGGGAGAATCGAATTTTCATCCTCCAAGCCATCGGGGATGCTCGGGTCGTCATCTGGGGTTACTGCTTTGGAGAGACTCGGTCCCGAGGACGACGTGAATGAATCCGGGTCAACGTCCATGAAAGCAGAATCGAAGTCGTCCTGACCCTCGAATTGCGAATGTCCGTTCAACTCATCGAGTCGTCTTCGATCAGCCGTGTCTCCGTCATCATTCTGGAATAAGTCGGCAAGAGACGCCTCTTTGCCTTTGCCTTTGCCTTTGTCTAACTTCGGCGATGGTGGATGTGCCACCTCCTCTGACTCCGTTATTGACGCGTTCGATATGTCAGGTGGAGGGGACTGGAGAACAAGCTCGCGTCTCGCCGACATCATTCCTTCCATCCCTTCTCCAGATGGTTTCGGGATGCCGTGCTTGATATCCCGAGGAGAGCCAACAGGACTTGGCGACCATTCCAATTCAGCGCCACTGTCCGCTACCTCATTCCCCAGGGCAAAGTCAACACGGTCGTATGGGGTCGTCGGCTGAGTGATACTGTCGGAAGTTTGCGGTACTGAAGATCCTAACTCATCTGCCATGGGACCAGGGGATGCCGATGGCGATGGCGATAGAAAGACTTTACGCCGTTTCGCTTGCAGTTCAGCTACAGAAACGCAGATCAGACTAGACTCAGGAGATCGGCCACGCGGAGAATCCCACCTAATCGAGACTGTCTGGTATCATCTCGTTTCCTCCTTTCAGACATCCTCGTATCTGCTCCGATCCACCTCTTCGCCGTGTCCTGCAACTCCAGAACACTTTGCTTCCTGCCCCCGCCCCCTATGTCTCCCATGTCTAGCGCTTCTGACAATGGAGGTATTCTATCTTCGTCCGAATCATCCATCTCCTCTCTATGCTTTCCCTTTCCTTTCATACTATGTGCCGAGGTTGAGTCCGACCCCAGTCGACTAGATTTGACAGGCGAGGACAAGCAGACGATACTCTCCGATCGCTCGCGTCTAGTTTTTAGAGGAGATTCGGGATTTGGGGGAAGCTCCATAGGTCTATGCCGAGGAGATGACGATGAAGACGACGCGTGAGGTAAAGAGTCAGCACCGGCAGCAACTCTTGTTGACGAGGGGGCTTCCACTGTCGTCGTCGTTGTACTAGCTGTCGCCGCTGCCACCGCCGCCACCGCCGTCGCGCGAGACCATGGAGAAATGGGTAAATCCAGATGTGGATGCGTTGGGGTCCTTCTGGGATCTTTTCGAGATACAAAGGTAGATGGAGGATCAGATGTGATCTTGATGATGCGCCTTGGTGGTGTCAAGGCAGAACATGACATGGAGACCAAAGTATCGACACTGAACAGAAGGTTGCATGTACGCCAAAAAGTCCAAGGCTTCGCGCACAGACCACCGCGTTTGATTACGTCAGCTGTATCAAACTGAGCTGGGAAACCATCTTTCGTAGCTCGCCTTACTAGTCGGTCCTTCCTCAACGCATCGTCCCCGATCTCTGCATCATGGGCTGGTATAGTGGTGTCTGGACCACGGGAAGGAGGGACGAGTGTCGTCTCGTTTCTAAAGACATCTGGCGCTGCGATGAGTGCAACAGCGCCTCAAGGCTAGGACACGTAGTCAAGGAAAGATGGTCGTCATGGAGAAGTTCCTCATGCTGTTCGACGCATTTTGGGTCAATATGAATGCCTTGTCCTCTACGACCTCTGGTCGCTACTCATTTGATCTCATCTCTTCATTCAGGTCTAGCTCCTCTGAACCTCATATCATGCCATCCTCACTCGCCGCGAGGCTCTCCCGAGTTCCCAAACGAATGCTCCGAGGCTCCAATGTGTCCTTCGAAGCGATGCCAGTCCCACTGATGATGAACAACTTGTCCAATTCGACTCTCGATAGCCACGTCCTAGAGCGCCGACCGACCCTCGACTCGGGGAAGAGCATCGACTTCGTGGAACCGGACAGATCCGTGAGGGAGGGACCGACCTTCTTGAATAGAAACAAGACGGAAAAGGTTCGTCTGCAGGGTCTTACTCATACCATGTCGAATCTCAAAGAGGAGACAGAGACTGTTAATGGTCCTGCCAAAAACGGGATGACCATAGCTGGACGGGTGTCCGTATGGATTGTGAATGAAGGTAAGTCGCGCGTGTGGGAAAGGCCATCTAATCTCGATACAGGGGCTAAGCACTTCTTCATGGCGACATGGACGATCCTCAACTTGGTCGGCTTTGCCTTTGCTCTCGTCAATTACAGTCTCAAGGACAATTTCGTTGGCGCTAGAGCCATCTTCGGGTCAACCTATGGTGAGGAAGGTCCCATGCCTCTTTGTCCCCCTCTGACGACACCTCCCACAGTCATTGCTCGTGGTGCTGCTCAGATCCTTCACATCGACGTCGCTTTCATTCTTTTGCCCGTATGTCGGAACTTCATCTCGTTACTCCGAAGGACCCCTCTGAACGATATCATACCGTTCGACAGGAGCATTTCGTTTCATAGTGGGTTTGTACAACTCGAGGTTGGCTCACATGCCCAGAACAAGTGGGATGGGCGATCGTCGTCTACAGCTTGGTTCACATCATTGCGCACATGGTCAACTTTGTGAGTTCATGTCTCTGGCTTATCTGATAACTTTCAGGCAAAGCTGGCCATTGCTTCAAAGTCGTGAGCACGCTTGAAAAGGCTTCTCTGGCTGAGATCCCAGCGGCTTTACCGGTTTCCTCATGTACAACTTTGCGACCGGACCCGGCGTCACAGGCTGGGTAATGACTGCGATCCTAGGCATCATGGTCTTCTTCGCCACGGAGAAGAACAGACGATCTCACTTTGAGAGATTTTGGTACTCGCATCATGTACGTGGCGTAGAAAAGGTCGTCTGCTGAACGCGACGCTGGGCAGCTCTTTGTCCTATTCTTCATTGGCTGGCAGCTACACGGCATGTTTTGTGAGCGATTCAAGGGAAGACTGCCCTAATTGGCAGGTATGATTCAACCTGATCGTCCCCCTTTCTGCTCTGCCGGTCAGATTGGAGTTTTCTGGGTATGCTCACGATCCTTGTTCAGGCTGACAAATGCAGAAATACTTCATCCCTGGAGGCGTTGTCTGGATCATTGAGCGGATCCTACGTGAGGTCAGAGGTGAGCGTGCGAGATGCAGAGACCATTCTGACCTATGAGCTCGACACATCACCTACATCTCAAAGGTCATTCAACATCCATCAAAGGTCATTGAAGTCCAAATCAAGAAAGATCACACGACTCGTCGCGCCGGCCAATACATATTTGTGAGAACGAACGTCAGACTATAAGTCCGGACTGATGTTCTACAGATCAATTGCCCCGAGATCAGCTACTTTCAGTATCACCCGTTCACTCTCACTTCCGCTCCAGAGGAAGACTACATCTCCGTGCATATCCGAGTGGTGGGCGATTGGACCACAGCCTTTGCGAAAGCTCTCGGGGCCGATCTCGGGGACTCGCAGCAGAAGAAGATTGAGGAGACGGGAGGGGCACGAGAGCTCGTGCTTTCGCCTTCTGTGGGCAAAGTGTTACCTCGGATCATGATCGATGGGTGAGCTCGACGCTGGATTATGTCTGATGCGATGCAGACCGTTTGGATCGGCAAGCGAAGACTTCACCAAATTTGAGACAGTTCTGCTGGTTGGAGGTGGGCAACCATATCATGAAGTATGCTGACGGTACGGTCAGCTGGTATCGGCGTCACACCGTTCGCTTCCATCCTCAAGTCGATCTGGTGAGCTCGGTGCTGCGTTCATTGCTCATCGGCATCAGGTACCGCTTGAATAAGTTTGGCAAGGACAAAAAGACGCGCCTGAGCAAAGTCTACTTTGTCTGGGTCATCCGGGACTTTGGCTCAGCAGAGTGTGAGGGATCAAGCCGATCGACATTCGCCGATCGACGTTCTGACCTGGACTGTAGGGTTTCATTCCCTTCTTCAGGCCGTCGAAGCCGAGGATGAAGGGCACAAGATCGAGATTCACATCTATCTAACTGCTCGCATTGAGTAAGCGGGTTCAAGACCGACACAACTGACGAGTTCCTCAAGTGAAAACAAGATGAACAATCTCTTGATCCAAGATGTCGGTGCAGACAAAGACTCTATCACCAATCTTCGAGCACCAACCCATTTCGGCAGGCCCAACGTGAGTCTGTGGCTGGAGGTCTTAAAGCATGCTGAGAACTACGCAGTGGGATCGAGTGTTTGAGTCTATCGCCAACAAACACCCTGACACTGACTGTGGGGTGTTCTTTTGTGGTCCACCCATGCTGTCCAAGACTTTGCACCAGATGAGTAACAAGTATACTTCGCCCATGGGATGCCGCTTCATCTTTGGCAAAGAAGTCAGTGTGGCAGAAAACGTTCCACTGCTGATCCCCTATAGAACTTCTGAACGGCTCTCGGCGTCCTGAGCGCAACGCGACCTGCGTCTCTCACTTCACCTGTATGACTCATAGTCGAAATCGCTGTACAGCTATGCATGATCAGTGACTGTCAGGCTCCCCTGGACCCCTCGATTACATCCATCATATCGGGTGGCAAAACTCCCCCGGTTATCCAAAGTTGAATCAACCTCCACTTCGCATCTCTCAAAAGTTTGCGTTTGTGCGCATTATCTCGTCTCTTCTCATACTTGACACAAGAAGGGTGCTGGGTGGCTTCTAGCTCGAGTGAGCTCGATATAGCGCTCGCTTGGGCCTGCTTGCATGGCTTGACCAGTCAGCAGTGTAAGCCATGTCAGTCCTCCCTTCCCAAAGCTCGGTCGTCTACGAGCTCGATCACCACCGGTATGATCTTCGTCAGCTAGAGAAGGCTGTGAGGGATACTTTGAGGATTCGCACAGCCTTAGGGGCTCCCCCGCGTAAGCATGAGATCATATCCCCTTATCCGATCTGCTGATCTTCCTTGATAGCTACTGCATCCACTTCGAGCTTGGACACTTCCCTGTTCCACTTGTCGACACTCAACCTCGACTTTGCGCTCCGACCTCCAGAACCCTGGGAACAGAGGTACAATGCCCCTCCGCGAGCCAACCCAGCCCACGAGATGTTCGACCTCATGCGGACGTCCCTCTCGACGGCGATTGATCCCATGACACCTCTAACGCTACAGCCACCCACGCGTGGTCTTATTGATGCGGGCAAAAACGAGGGATACTACTCTTATCAACGAGGGCTCGTCAATGTCCTCCTTCACCCCTTGTACCAGCCCAGGCCCATTTTGAGAATCAAGGATCTACCTGTCCAAGCCGCAAAAGAGTGGATGCCGCATTCGTCAGCCCAGGACATGCAACATTGGCTGACTGCCATTCTCGCTTTGGACCCAGACCTATCCCCGTCGAGAAAAGTCAAATACAGGGACTCTCTGAAGAGGTTCTTCATGGAGACGGAGGTCAAGATCTGCTGGGTTCCAGATGGAGAAGGTGCAGGATCCGGCATAGAAATCAAGATCCTCGTTACAGTCGAGGTCTTTGCGGATTGGAAAGCTATCACGACGCCACTCCCCGAGATTGGGAGAGACATGCTAGGCTTGATCTTACACTCCCTGATCCCTAGTCCCACACCATCGAGACAGCTTTCCGAGTCTAAAGCCCGAGCTCAAGCCCTCCAATATTTCTTCACGTGCCTTCAGCCCGCTCCAGATCACCCACTGCATTTTAATGCCAGCAGTCTTCAACCGGCAGAAATGAAGTCTTCCCTTCTGCCTTTTCAGGCCCGCACACTCCGTCTACTGTTGCAGAGAGAGGGCTCAAATATCGTTCCTCCACTCCCTCAGCAAGCAAACCAAGATCCGAGAGGATTTTGGGAAACCTACGATATTGAAGGACATGGTCAGATTGCTTTCAGAAGAACCACTGGCGATATTGTGCACACCGCTCGAGACGAATCAGACCAGGGCAAAGGGAAGGCGGTCGACAAGAACATCATTCAATCTGCCAAATTGCCTTGCGTGGTAGATCTGTCTAATGTTCAGGGGACCATGCTCTGTGAGGAGATGGGTACGTCTAGCGTTCGCTTCGACTGATAGATTGCTGATGACCATCATCAGGACTCGGCAAAACCATCGAAGCCATGGCTTTGGTGATGCTCCACGCACATCCTCGGTCGATTCCACGAACAACCAATTCTCACCTCTCGATCGCCAATGCTGTCAAGGTTGAGATTCCGGCGGGGCATGAGATGGTTGATGACCAAGCCGGAATTGTGCCTGTGATCGACCTCTTGAGAGGCGCTCCGCTGCCAGAGGACAGGGACAGCGCCATGGAGTATGCTGAATGGTTAGCAGCTGAGAAGGAGGCTTTTGAAGGCGCCACAGCTTGGGACGAGGAGGCAAAGCTCAGTGTCACCGAGGTTGGCGTGAGTGGAGGATGCTCCACGCAGTGCTCACCTCACCGTCCAGGCCACCTTGATTGTCACCCCTCCTTCGCTGCTCAAACAATGGGTATCAGAAATGCGGCGACATGCTCCTGAACTCCGGGTGTGTGTTTACGAGGGATGGAAGTCGTTGCAGAAGGGTATAGGCAAAACTCGAGCCGCCAGGATCAAGGCCAGAGAAGCTAAATCTGCCAAGCGGAAGCTTGCAGAGTATATGAAAGTCAAGGCAAAATACAGGAAGTCAAACAGGGGATCCCGAGTCAAGAAGGATCCTGATGAAGAGACGTCCGAAGACGAAGAGGAAGAGCAGGACGATGACGAGGAGACCTCGCTGCATTTCTGTCAGCGCAAGTTCGTCGAATACGTCAGAGCTCACGATGTGGTGGTGACAACATATAAGTGAGCGACCTGTAGCGGGACTGATTGAAGAAAGCTGACATCCCTGTAGTGATTGTGAGGTGTCTTGGTATTGATACACTGACTTTGCAAGTATCTTCCGATCTCAAGGTGGCTCTGCCGGCGCCTCCGCGCGCTCGACGAACGAATGCCGCGTATGGACTAGAAGAGAGACCTAGGAGCCCGCTAGTCATGGTCGAGTGAGTCATCCAATTCTATACTCAGCTGACCACGCAGGTGGTGGAGGGTCATCATGGACGAGGTCCAGCTACATGGTGATTCATCGGATGCTGCGTGAGTCTTCCACAAGAATTCGGTGATTCTGACATCTCACAGCAACATGGTATCTCTCATTCCCCGACGGCACTCCCTCGCTGTCTCCGGAACCCCAGCGAGAAATGACATTAAAGATCTCATGGGATCGCTCAAATTCTTGCGTGTACCAGTCATTCCCAAAGATAATCGCCTGTGGCATCGACTTCAGCAACCCTCCATGCGCTTCTCTTTCGAAGGCTTGTTCCAGTCTCTAGCTGTTCGAACAACCAAGAAAGCGGTGAGTGCAAGCGCTGTCCAGGCAACACACTAAATAGAGCAGGTGGCTGGCGAGTTTAATCTGCCCCGTCAATCTCGATACGTCGTTCCAATCGAGCTTTCACCTGTCGAGGTGGCCTATTACAATGACACACTCGACCGTCAGCGCGAGCTTCTTCACTTACCTCACGATGATATAGCGGTCCGAGATCCGGACTGGGTATTAGACAGAGCTTTGTTTCGCTCCTGTCTCGTTCATCTGAGGCAAATTTGCACCCATTTGCAGGTTGGTCAACTCAACGCAGGACCTGGAATCCGCGCCGAACGTCTCAATTTGGGTCGTCAGCTCATGACCATGACGGAAGCGCTTGACAAGATGAAGAATGATCATTCTCAGGAATTCATCAGCGAATCCAGAGCTCAGGTGGGTGCATCATCGTACTGGGACATGCTGATGCTTGGCAGATGCGTCTGATGATCAGGAAGGCCCAATTGATGATGCTGAAAGAGGATGACGATACCCGATTCGACAACGCATGTTTGGTGAGCATGAGGGATGGCACAGGCTGATTAGGTTAAGCAATACACTAAAGTACGGGAGAGAATCAATGCGCAGATTGGACCAATGCGGCAGCATCTTGTGCAGCTTCTAGCGAATCGTCGCGCTGGACGGGACGAAGGCGGCTCCTCGGTGGATAGTGATGACGAGGATGTCCGAGATCGAGGGCTTTCGCAGCATCAGCGTGAGGCTGTCGCAACTATTAATGCGGCAAGGCAGAGGTTCGTCGTAACCAATAGCCTTGTGGGCTGACAGGAATTAGTGTTCGTGAGACCCTCTTGATCGAGCACCAGTGTTGGTTCTTTGAGGGCGACGTGCATCATATCCGAAAAGAGGTTGAGGCAGAGAGTGAGTCAAGTGAAGTCTGAGCTCCGCTGACCGTGTAGCCGATTGCTATGAGAAGGCGGAAGCTGTACGACGGGAACTGTTGAGCAACCCTCTGCGGGTTGCCAATTCTTCTGTCGACCGGCTCGAGAAGCAATTGAGCAAAGAGAAAGCAATCAGGCACGCTTCGGATTTGCAGGACAAGAACACCTCGATGCCGAGTGGCATCTTCTCACAGGACGCCGTGTCCCAGGCGAATTCTTTGGTCAAGATTCTCAATGGACAGTAAGGCTTTGCGTCCTTTCAGTGCTGAATCTCAGGGCTGAGCTTGTCTATGCTTGGCGAAACAAAATCATTGCTGCCCTCTCTGCGAAGATCGAATCTGAAGCCACGGACCCGCAAAGTGGACCAGATGTCGAAGATCCAGAAAAGGAGTATTACGCTGAAGCTCTCAACGCTCAGGGAGAGAGTGAGCCTTCAAACAATGTGCGAGCTGACCATGTCGCAGTCGAGGCACTACTTAACGCGTACGCTGCAGTCATAGCAGATCGAAGAGGTAGGTGCGCCAGCCTTCACTCTGGCCTGATGAAAAGAATTCCTGCTTGAGGAGAGAAGTCTGCTAGCAGAGCACGATGACCGAGGCAAGAAGACAGTGAGATTCTGGCATCATCTCCCCGCTCACTTTCCAGCGGACGACGGTCGCCGCGAAGCAAGCTCAGGAGGATGTCGAAGAGGAAGCTCAAGGGGAGATCGAAGAGCAGACTGCTGCTCTCATGCAGGAGAGACAGGTAAAACTCAAACATTGATACTAGCTAATCTTGCAGGCGTTTCGAAAGGCAAGAGATATCAAGCAATGCAAAAGGCCCATGAAAGGCCTGCTGATCGACTTGAATGGTGAGTATTTGTCGAAGGCTTGAGCTTACTTGCCAGCCATCGCTCGGGGAGACTATCGAGCAGAGGAATTGGCAATAGCCCGATCTGCCGCGACTCATATCAAGAATTACATTGAACGACAAGGTGAGTTCAAGGTCATGAATGATGCCGAGCTAACAGTTGTGCAGTGCTTTACGTCAAATCGCTTAGTTCCGAGCTTGATTCTTTCCGAGAGCTGTTCAACCGCCGAGTGTTGTACTTCAAGGCTTTGCAAGAGATCTCCGATCTGGTAACCGCGCCAGAGACCAAGGATGTGAACAGAGACATCCTCGATTGCACGAAGGACATTGCCGATTTGGAGGTGAAGCTTGGTCGAATGGTCGTCAAGGGCCGTTATCTGCAGTATCTGGGAACAAAGACCGGTGATCAGGATGATGAACTGAGAGATGACTGTATCATCTGCATGGGGTCGTCTGATGACTCTAAGGGAGTCTTGCTGGAGTGTGGACACTTCTTCTGTCAAGTGAGCAGATGGCTTTCAATAAGTATGCTCATAATTAGTCGTGCTTCAAAGAATATAGGAAGTCGATGATGGGCCGCAAGTGTCCTTCCTGTCGTGCAGAGAGTGAGTCGAATTCACTGTTGTCGCTTACTGTCCTCAGTCGACACAAGGGCCATTAAAAATGTCAAATTGGCCGGTGCCGCCCCAATGAAGTCACAAGAAGGAAATCCAGCTCTTGGAGCGACTTCTTCCATGGACGATATCCCGGCAAGTCAAGAAGCTGAGCAATCCGTTGGAGTCTCTGATGCGGAGACCGAACGTCAACGACGTCAAGACGATTTGGCGCAGCTGAAATACGTTGATCTGTCGCTTCTGCGGGAGGTAAACTCCATTGATATGATGGGAGAGTATGGCTCCAAGGTGAGAACCCCAGTGCACATGCAAGTCTGACAAACAGATCAATTTTCTGGTCAAGCATTTGATGTGGTTTCTTGCCCGCGAGCCAGAAAGTGAGTCTGCTTCGGGGTGCAAGTATGCTGAGAGTATAGCTCGTCATGTCATCTTCTCCAATTGGTCAGACTCTATGAGGAGTCAGTGAGATCCGTCGGCATTTGTTGACAGATCGCAGTCGTTGAGAGAGCTCTGCGCGAGAATCGAATCTCGTACACCTCTTTTGACCAAGGTACCAAGACGAAAGACGTGGTCGATCAATTCATCCGGCATGCTGATATCTCCGTGTTCCTCCTCCACGCGGAGCGAGAGAGGTGAGCCGCAACTCACAGTTGCAGAGCTGATTCCCACAGTTCTGGTCTGACTTTGACTTCTTGTCGGGTTGTGCATTTGCTTGAACCTGTTCTACAACACTCCTTTGAGCTTCAAGGTGAGCTTCCTGCGGGGCGCGACAAATTTGCGGTGCTGATACGCACAAAAGCTATTGGAAGGGTCGATCGGTGAGCTATCGCCTCGATGCGTATGGTCAGCTGAAACGGTTTCTAGCCTTGGCCAGAAGAGAGAGACGGAAGTGTATTGGTGGGTACTCATGCTTTGTAGTTGAGCTTGCAAAACCTGATCTCGCGTAGTTACGCCACCCTTGAGACTGTCGAATCTCGAATCCTCTCTCAAGGTGTTCGTAACGGGACCAGCATTTACCTGAAGGACGAAGACGCCGACACTGTGGTAGCGAGTATGCCCAATGTCGTCAGCTCGGCCCACAAGGGCGGCGACTTGTTTACCGGGAACGAAGAAGAATTGTTGAAATTGATATTGTGATATAATCCTAGACCCAGCCCTCCTTGTTGTACATCCTCATTTGAACCCAGTTGGAGACCCATGATAGCATGACTCGGAGCTCCCATGTTGTGTCATATGCAGATTGCATGGTAGATATGCGTACAATCGATATCTTTTTTGGCTCCATCTTATACAGGACGTGATTCAAGAACCCTACTCGACGACTTCAGCCAGGACTCCACCAGACTTGACCTGAACAAGGAGTCAGCCGGAATCTGCATGAGAGGGTGTTCTACTCACCTTGCCCCATCCGATCAGACGCCAATGCTTGTCGATACGTCTACTGAGGGCGATCTTTTCGCCCTTCTCTGTGCATGCCGGGGTGGTCAAGGCGATAGTGACGTCTCCTCCCTTGAGAGCCACGATACGTCCTCCAGTCTGGGAAGCACCAATGTTGACGAACAAGTTCTCCCCGACGACCAATTTGGTGACTTTGGCTTTTTTGCTATCGTCCGTTTTGACTCCCAACAATCGTCGAAGCAGGAATACTGAAAAAGGGTTTAGGTAATGTCAAAGTGAAAGATCGTCAAGACTCACCCTCTGCCTTGACCTCAGTATATATAGAGGGTCCTTTCCCAACTGCAGACATGACCATACCCAACAAACGATCCGCTCGACAAAGAGCAGGGTCAACCAATGTTCCCACTCCGATCAGACCTCCCGGGACCGCGAATTGAAGATGGTTTTGCTCGGCGAGAAGGGAAACGATCCGTGATCTCAGGGGTCGGCAAGTGCACACGCCATTGGCATCCCTAGTGATCAACCCAGGTCGAATCTCGACCTCCATGCCGACCTGGCAAAGGTCAACAAAGCGACAAGCCAAAAAAATGAGCATTTCTCACCTTGAACACTCCCTGCAGGATACTTCCTCCCGCTACACCTCCCTTGAGCTCATCGACCTCTGCTCCTGGCTTGTTGACATCGAATGATCGAATGACGACCATACGGGGATCAGCCGTAAAATCGTAATTCGGCGGAGCGACTTTGCACAGGGCCTCGACCACAGCATCGATGTTGAATTTGAGCTGAGCAGAAACGGGAATGATCGGTGCGAGTCGGGCAGTGGTACCTGAAGCCCAACATGAGTATCCTGCACTTCGGCGCGCGAATCAGACCCACCCTCCACGAATTTCTTTATGCTCTCATAGTGCTCGTTCGCTTCGCTCTGCCTGACCAAATCCATCTTGTTTTGTAGGATGACAATGTTTTTCGGATCAACTCCGATGATTTCCAACGCTGCCAGATGTTCTCCGGTCTGAGGTTGTGGGCAAGATTCGTTTCCAGCGATCAAAAGCAAAGCTCCGTTCACTAAAACAGGTCTCAGTGAGGACTTGATGAAAAAGGTCGCGTGACTTACTAACGGCGGCGCCAGTCAACATGGTAGCCATGAGAATGTCGTGTCCGGGACAGTCGACGAAAGAGACATGCCTTTGGGCTGTGAGCTTATGAAATCATGTGCCTTCTGAGATCCGAAACCCACCGTTGCAACTCCATGGTACCTCCACACCCTGGCCTCTCGCATTTTGGGTCGGAATCTTTACTTGATGGGAAGGATTTGTAGTTACCCGGAGGGGGACACGCAGGGTTGTTGCATTTGAAGATCTGACGTGGCATCAGCAGTTCGAAAGACTGCGAGTTGTGCATGACGGACCTTGGCGTTGGCGTAACCAAGCTTGATGGTGATATTTCTTTCCAATTCATTCTTGAATCGGACAGTCTGGACACCAGAGATGGCTCGGACAGTGGACGATTTGCCATGAGCGACATGACCGATGGTACCTGCGAGAAGATCTGATCAACCATGGACTCTCAATCATCAGCAGACTTCTTCCAACCCACCGATGTTAATCTGTGAATCGATAGTCAGCAAGAATTCTTTTGACATGGCTCTTCGCACTCACAGTTGCCTGCTTTGAGATGACTTCGGGAGACAACGCGTTGAGCTTTGTCAGATCCACTTTGACCTCCTCAGTGGGTACGACCATGGAGGCCGAGGCCGCGGCGGCAGCGGGATCGTTGATCGCGTCCGCCATGATGTAGGAACTCAAAAGTAGCCACTAAGCGGTCTATTTGCCCCTTTCAGTGGGTGTCAAACGTCGGTGTCGAGGGCTTTCCAATGCGTTATAGCCTGCTCTGTCAATGCCAAGAAGATCTCTGAGACTGGGCTATTCGGCGCTCGCTGCTGAAGATGAGGAAGGACAGATGAACGGATAGAGTGTGGTCTTTGGACAATGAATTTTTGGCATTCATGCCAGACTCGAAGGTCTCTCTTGTCCCATTCACATTTATATAACGTGGCAATGACAAATAACACGTCATGCATCTTATAGTTCATTATCAATCGCGAGCTCATACCCTTTGTTCTTCCGTCCAGTCCATCAACTCCATCCCAGTCACAGCGTTCATGATGGGAGGTGAGTCGCAAGCATCCGATCCTCGATTTTGTAATGCTTATCGTTCTTGACAGCCCGACCACTGCTACCCCCTGCTCCTCTCTTCCACAGAGTGCTCGCTAAGGGAATGGGAGCGACAATGTGGTTCTTTGTATTTTACCGTGCAAGGTGAGCACTACAACAAGTCCCGAGCTGGACCTAGACTGACGGTGTGTTCTTCTCACAGGCAAGATGGTGCTGTCATGCTGGTTTGTGACTGTTTGACTTGGAGGACAAGAAAATACTGACGCTCTTATCAGGGCTGGAGACATCCTTGGGAGGGGCATGGACATGACGATGATCACCATTAAATTCAGCAAAGAGTACAAGAGACGGCATGTATCAACAGCGCTATCGGGCATGACGATGTGCTATGGCGTGGTGAGAGGTTAACGGGAGGTTTAACGAGGTGCTTGCCTCCCGGACCGAGTATTTGGTGCTCAAGACCTCAATAATCTGATCTAACGTGCAACTGAAGTGGACTCAGGCTGATCCCCGGATTTACTCCATCTTCTTGTCAAAACACTCGACTTTTGCAGCAATCCACTCTATCTACTCCTTTGAGAACAGCTTCCCTTTTTAACCCCGCCGGAAGGGTGCCCTCACGTTCGCACTGAAGCTCAACTTACGATCAGCTATGAGTGGGGTCGCAGGCTTGACCCCAAAAATGCCGTTCGAGAAATGATCTATCACGAATCCGAAGATAGATGGATTTGAAGGTGCTCAAGGCGACACGAACGGATATTGGCTTCGAGGCGTGTATGCTACCGCTGCGCGGCTGGCTCCGATCCGTCCATCTGAGGGCTGTCGTCCGGCGAGGCTTTGGATGCGGCTTCACTCCTTTCTGGCCTTCAAGCCTGTTCGCATCAAAGGAAATATACAGTTTGTGACTGTGTTATACGGCTTGATGCTTGCACTTTGCGGTTACCACCGGATACAGATCGAAGCCCATCATCACTTTTGATCAGCATTCTTCGTTCACCTCCTGAAAATGGACTCTGACTACTGGACATGTGAGCAGTATGACCATGACTTCTGACCCGTGTGCTCATCAGCCTCTAGATGGCATCGCAGCAGGCATCACAGTCACCACACTCTCGTCAATTTTCGGTCATTATGGCATTGTGGACGACTGCCTGGAGGTGTATATCGTGTCTCTTGTAGACTCAGACCAAAGGGCAGGTTCGAGTACGTCGTTCCGCGGAGAAATTGGTTCGGCCCTCGGGGTGTCACAAGTGCGGAAGGCCAGGGGATGGGTCTCTCATGAGAGCAGAAGCTCATGGAGGCGCCGCAACGGACTTTTTACGATTATTACAATAAGGACGGGCCGGATGAGTGAGACTATCGAAGAGAGTGCACCTCCCTGTTGCTCCGAAGAAGATCCTTGGTCTGTGCGATCGCGGAGTTCAGGCAACAAGGCTGGCGGGCAACGTCGGCTGTGTCTACCGTAGGCCCGACTTAATGGAGGATGCCCAACCACCCATATAGACCCGATCCGTTGATGGGAGCACACCCTGCCACTTCTAAAAGGGAGCCTAATCATGCCTTTTCGCTATGCAGGACTTAGGTTCTGACTCATGACTTCATTTGCGCGGGCCTGGGGCCCGGACTGCCTGGCGGTCTCTTGAACCACTCTCCGTTGTTTTCAATCACCTGGACGACTTCCATTCATGCAGATGGAAAAAGGATGCAATGTTTGAGATAGAGCCATGGGAGTTCTTGCGTGTACGTGTACGTCTCAGTTCGACTCTTGAGCTGCAGAGATGGTCGTACACCAGGGACATTTAGGGTACGACAAGTACTGCGATCCGGATTCGCTGTGGTATGATCCATCAAGATGTCATCGGTCAAAGATGACTCCGCTTCAAGCGGGTAAGTCTCATACCAGCTTGCATGCTTCACAATGCTCATGTCTAAGTCTCAAGGTCTTATTGTTGGTTCGGTGTTTGCGTTACTCTTCGTTGCTCTCCTGTTCCGAAGTTGGAAAAATCAGTCATGGCCATTCAAACGGAAGTGTACGAAGTGTGGAGAGAAAGGCAAGGCTGCTGATGGCTTCGAGTTCGGCTCGCCGGAGATGAGAACGTTCAGAGCCGGTGAGGGCTGCTGTACAACGAGACGCATCGTAACATGCCCTGCCTGTCGTGGGAAGTTTGGAACATCGGAAGAGACGGCGTGACACGGTTCAGAGCCATGCATCGCGTCTTCCACCTCGGAGATGACCGTGAACGGGGGCGGACAGCGCCTATGCTGATGCGGCGATGTCTGCGAGGGTAAGAAATAGTATCCTTGATCTGTCCCTGGAGCCTTTGTCGCTAAGCCTCAGGAGCCCATGTCATAACAAAATAAAGCCTGATTTCCATCATTCTCCGCCGGGACTGAGTGGGGCTCACCGGTCAACCGGAACTCGGTGCGGCAGGGATGTCTCTCCTACGACCGCACAGCTAGACCGAGCATTATTAGAGTTGTACAGACGTTTCGCAGTGGGGCATCGATGCTTTGTCCGCTCCACGCCATGCCCCCATCCGCCCGATCAGACTGAATACAGTGAGGCGTAAGATCACCACTAGAAATGGTTCGGTCATGGAACTTTTTACATAGAGTTGGAGCTAGCGGAGATTCGATTCGGCGCACAAGTGGCCACTGAGATCTGTCTTGACGGGAATTTCTGAACAGTAAGGGCGAAGTTGGGGCGGGGTAGGGATGCTATATAAGATGAGTAAGCTGGTGGGTCTGCTAGGCCTTGAAACCATATCATCATCAACATGTCCCCCATTCTTCCTTATGCCGCCTCGCTCGTTGCTCGATGGACTGCCGCAGACTACATTTCCAACGCGCAAGCTGGATTTCAAGGCCTGCAAGGATGGTACAACGAGGCTACGGGTCTTTATGACACGTGCGGCTGGTGGAACGGTGCCAATGACCTCACTGCCATCGGAGATCTCGCCAAGGTGGATTCAAGCATCGTTGACCAGGTCACGACCATCTTTGCCAACAGTTATTCAGTCACTCCTGCCCAGAACCCTCAGCCACTGAGCCCTGGTGATCACAATTCTGCTGATCCAATCGCGTGGTGTGATCACTGTTACGATGACAATGGTTGGTGGGCACTGGCTTGGATCAATGCGTATGATATCACAAACAATCAAGACTACTTGACCCTCGCGCAAGGTATCTTTGATCAGAACATGGTCAAGGGTGGACCTTCCAATTGCTCCAATGGTGGTATCGTATGGTGCGACTACAACCCTTACGTCAACGCCATTGCCAATGAGCTCTACTTGTCTGTCTCGGCTCATCTTGCCAACCGAGTCGCCGAGTCTGACAGAGCACACTACACCACTATTGCTCAGGATCAGTGGACTTGGTTCCAGAAATCCGGTCTCATCAACCCTCAAAATCTTATCAACGACGGTCTGGAGGCAAACTGCACCAACACCTACAAGCGGACCATCTGGAGCTACAATCAGGGAGGTGAGCTCGAATGCTTCGCGAACAAGCTATACTCCGACTGACAATCCCAAGTCATACTCGGAGGCCTTGTGGAGCTAAACAAAGCTGCACCTGACTCGTCGCTCTTGGACAGCGCCAACACTCTCGCCAAGGCCTCCATCGGCTACCTCGCTGATTCGAATCAAATCATTCACGATGTCTGTGAACCAGATTGCGCCCCAGATGCTACACAATTCAAGGGTATTTACATCCGAAATCTCGCAGCACTGTACCAGGCCTCACCTTCCTCGCTTCTCCAAAGCGTACTCACTGCTAACGCCAACAGCATCTGGAACAATGACAGGATCACATCCAATAATACGTTCGGTGTTGACTGGGCGGTTTTGGAGGAAGGAACCGTCGTCCGGAATGGCATTGTCAAGGGAGAGACCGACGCCAGTACATCGGGATCAGCGTTGGACGGTCTCGTTGGAGGCATCATTGCCAGCAGCTAAAAGAGCCACATTCTGTATCACAAACCAAAAAGTGTTCTCGAGGGACGAGAATTAATGCATACAAACTTTCGTCACTTTCCCTGTCGCTTGCCGTCCCCACTTCTGAACGCGCCTAGTCGGATTCGTCCACCGATACTAGACCCGTCTTTCAGCGATTCAGATGTCGAGCCTTCTCGTCCTCGGAACAGTCGTCCCTTGAGGTCATCGGCTCGATTCAGAGGCCGTAAGTCAGGTCCGGTCGTAGGGAACGCATCAACGTCCTGCTGAGATAGGCTGGGCGAATCTTCACGAGATCCCCAGTGGATACCACGATCCCAACCGAGCCAGCCGCTCGACGGAGGCGGCAGCAGATCGGCAGTCTTGGGAGGTGAAATGGACTCCTCTGGACTCAGACCGAGGGCTGATACGTCCGATGACGCTTCGTTCTCGCGTATAGTCTTGAGAGAAGCGTTGCCCATTCGATTGGTAGTCGTACTGATATTCAGAGGGTTGATGGAGGGACGGCCGGTCGCGCGGGAGGGCATCGGATTCGGTTGAATCACCGGTTGCACACTGACCGACGCAATGGTCACGCCACCGTCAGCAACGCACTCGCACAGGCACGCGGGACATTTTGTGGTTCGGGCGTTCGTCCCAAAGTGTTTCTTGTAGCAACTGTGGTGCGTGCGGTGAGCACAGAGAGCACAGCATGTCGATAAGCCTGTAGGAACGTCAGGCTGAGCGCGATCAAGTCTACTCACCTTTGATGGGCAAATGACAATAGGTGCAAACCGGTCTTATAGGCTGACGCGCACAAGCAGGACATTTGTGGCTCTTCGCAACGCAAGAGGCGCAAACTCCAACGTCAGCGATGAAACAAACCATCCGCTCACCTGTTATGGGTTTCTGGTCGGATGGTAGCCGCACTTTTGGCGTAAACGACGTTGGGAGATCTCCAGATGCGGCCCGAGTTCCTGGAGTTTCTTGCTCGAGGAACTTGAATTGAAGCAGAGAGGCACGAAGGGTGTATAGCTCTGCGCGCAGCAGAAAGTCCGCATATGCGAGCTTGAAGCCTTCGAATTGAAGCCGCATTTCAGGCGTCATTAATCCGGGGACAGAGCTGAACACCACGGTAAGTACGCGGGGAGGTTTCAGTACCGCTCACTGATCGCTCAAAAACTCCATTTTTACATTACACGCTGGGCGCCTGATTGATTTGACAGGTTCCTCTGAAGGAGTGCGACCGGAATGCTTCATAGGCGATGCAGATGACAAATTCTTCACGCTACCATGTGATTGGCCATGCGACGAGACGGAAGCATGTTGAGGGTTCAGATCGGGTCGAAGCTCGTCAGAACTCCGATTACCTGCGCTCTTGCCCGCCGATCGCAGGGGTGTGTATTGCGGACTTGCCGAGACAATCCCAGTTCCAGATCTAGTCCGCTCTCTCGCTCTCGGACTCTGGCTATCGCTGATGCGGAAGGGGACGGGGATCGACCTGCCATGAGATCCAGCAGTATCGGGGAATGTGGGCTCGATTGGTGTCGTGATATCTACAGAGGTTCTCTGACCCGGGGTGTGGAGAGACACGCTGGATCCGTTGAGGATCTGAGACCAGCCAGAAGTGGAGGCACCAGTCAAAGACTTGCGGGGTCGACGACGAGACGGAGTCATTTCGATGGACCCGCCCGACAATCGAGGAAGAGCGAAATAATCCTGTTCTGGGGATTTGAGAAGGAGTGGCTGAGGCGTAGAGGGATCAGGATTCTTCTGGACGTGTTGCAGAATGCAACAGCCAACGAGAGCAAGCAGTTGAATGTCGCGAACGGCGATGAGATCGGTAAGTCTGGCCGAGGATTAGTCAATTCATAAACGAATGACTCACATTTGGTTCAAGACAGACTGCTTTCGAGCCATGCTGCGCTCCCATTCGACTCGTTCCGCACGCCTGTCGAGGAAGTCGGGACGCGGAGGATGAACAGAATAAGGCGGTGGGGGGTCACTGAGCAGACCCTCAAGCGTGGACCATAATTGCGCATGATCCAGTCGCTTGGCATCGAATGCGATATGCAAATTGCGACGCAACGAAGTAGATGTCCCGTAAGCCTTTGCGAGAGCCAGATCGGGATGACCTAAGCGGAAGACGTTGTGGATCGTGAGGGTAGAAGCAGACTGTATAGCGACGGGCAGGGCTTCGACAGCGCGAATTCTCGCCTGTCAAAAGTCAGCAGTGATATGGATCTCTGACTTGCCTTGACCCGATGGATGTTACGCTGACGTGGGTTTTCCAGACGGCTCAACGCGTTGATGGCTCTAGACAGTGGGGACTTGGGATCGTTGTAACCGGCCGGGGAACGAGAGATATGCCTGACTCGAGGCAAGACGGTCTGTTTGGGGAAGAAGCAAACGAGTTGACCTAGACAGGTCAGATTTTTCCGCTGGGAGATCCTCACCATTCGGTCCAAAGGTAGCACCGGTTGTGCGTATCAACATCGGCACATTGGCCAATTTGACCTCCTTTTCTGACTCTGAATCGCTTTCTTCGTCTGGCATTCGCCTTCCAATCCGCTCATCGGACCCAAGCAGGAAAGCAGACGTTGTCAGAAGGCATTGCCTGTTGGCAGCTCTCATCTCTTTTATAGTCTTTACGAGCTTAGACCGCGTGGGGATGGAGACAGTCGGATTCCGCTCGAGCTCAAACGTCGGCGGCTCCGGTGTGTATGGGTAAGTCGCGGGGAAAGACCAATGGATCCGGAGGAAAGCCATCCTGTCACCGTTCGCCCACGGACCATTCATAGATATCGTGAGCTTGCGATGGTGCAGATCAATCTGACTGTCAGCGAGATGTCGTAGCAAACGAATCATACCTTCTCGAAGTTGATGCGAGGTCTTGGGAAAATTCGATTGACTAGTAAGACCTCTTCTTTGAGACTGATGTAATCACCCCTGCCCTCAATGCTCTCTCCATTGCTACCCTTACGGACCTTTGACCCTGACCGACTCTGCATGGCCGAGGAGTCAGGCGAATCTAAGACCGATCGATTCTTGACGACTTTGCTGAGCCACTCTAGCTGGTCGACGGCTCTCGTTCTCCCACCTCCGCGAGTCATACCCGTTTCAGCTTGAGCCAACTTTTGCCTCGCTATTCCGCTCGGATTGACGACTGGTGGAGGAAGGTGCGACTGGGCTTTGATATCAGGTAGTCGGGTGTAGGTGATATCGGCTGCACCTTGTCGGGTCATCAAGACTCGAATCGGTCGGCCATATTGATAGCCCACTCTTTCCGTCACTTGTCGGCTGACGGGCCAAATCCGCAATGTGCGATCTTTGGACCACGAGACAAGCTGGAACTCGCGATCATCGAACTCAGAGTTTAAACCGCCTCGATTCCTCCAGACGAATTCCTTGACCACGTCGTCATGCCCTTCGAACCGCTCGACTGGTCTGAAGCCATCTCCGTCGAGGCCAAACATCTCGAGGGCTTGTTCTCCGCGTTGGGGAAGCGCAAGTACACCTCGACCGAAAGGTAGATTTCTAGCTCGCCAGACAGGATAATTCGTGGTGATTGTATGCGTGGGCGAAGCAGGCGGATTCGGAATGCTGTAAAAGTCCGCAAGAGCAGATCGAGACGTCGCTAGCTCGGGAATTGTCCAGAATTTGATGGACTTGTCTAGCGAGCAAGTCACAAATTTGTCCCTATACTGTCTATCCCAATCCAGGCCGTAAATCTTGGAATCATGAGCTTGGACCGACACCAGAGGGACACTGCCTTTCCTGGTGTCCCAGATGATAGCCTGTTTTCCGTTTGCCGTAGCTAGGATGTACTCGTGCTGTCGATTCCATTTCACTTGCGTTCCCGCTTGACCCCAAGCTGCCATCCGCATGAATGGCTTATCCCCCGTCCTGAGATCCCAACCGCGAATACCAGAGTCCATGGAGATGGTTGCCATTAGGTTTGGGTTTAGAGCGTGCCACTGGATATCTGTGATAGCTCGAGCATGCGCGTCAATGCTGGAATGCAAGGACTTGGGGGCTGCCAGATCCCAGACCAAGAGCTTTTGGGAGGAGGTCGAGAGGATGAGATTGGATGTAACGGGATGAGGCGACCATTGACAACTTGTAGCATCAGGAAAGAGATCCCAGCACCGACTTACTCAGCAATCTGCCATGTCCCTCCCTGTGGAATGAACCTCGGTGCATTGTTGAGATTAGCTAAGTCGAGGATATACAGACCCTTTCGTGAGGCCAGGCAGACGTCCCTGTTACTCGGACTGATACTCAAGGATCCCACAGGTTGATTTACAGAGATGGTCGAGCCTTCCAAGAATGGATCTGTGGGGCCATTCTGTCGGACAGTAGCTGACGTCTCCTGCCGGTCAAAGTGAGGGCGAATAGGTTGGATAGGCGATATCAGCGAAGTTGATACCCAGGAATGAGAGGAGAGGGAGGATCGTTGTGAAGAGCCGGATCGAGGAGAGTGAGGAAGGGGAATCCGGGATGGTGATACCTCCATCTCGATCAGAGGTCGTGAAATCTACATGACTCTCGTTGTAGCTGCCGTCCTTATCATTGCGAGAATCAAGTCTTCACAGGAAGAGAACGAGGTGCCGGTGGACCGCTCTCGGTCGTCGCGGAGTTACGTAAATTGTCATGTCGATGGTTCTTTGAGTAGCTCATGCATATGCAACTCTGCTTGGAGTCTATACAGCAAGGCCTACAAAGGGAGAAGCTAAGGGAAGAGATCCAAGACTCGCCGTCGCGCAGTGGAAGCGTCCAGTCAGTACTTGCGAAAAACGTGCACCATCTTGAAATGGCTCGAGATCCATATGTTGACGTCAAGAAGTCAGTGTCGCGGCTGGTCTTGAGTATCTGGGCTAAGACTTGATCACAGGGAGGTCGAGCAGAACCTGAGGGCTACGCATACTCTACTCGAGTCATACGACAGGCTATCGGACACATCGACCTCATCAACGTTTGCTGAAGCGCAGGAAGAGCTCCGAGGAACATTGGCTCTTCTGGAAGCGGATTTGGAGGATCTCGAGGAATCCGTCAGAGTTGTCGAAGCGACGGGCGATAGATGGGGGATAGAAGAATCAGAAGTAAAGCGTCGGCGGGGTTTTGTAGAGAGAGTCAAGGCAGAAGTCAGAGTGAGTTACGTCTGATTCCTTCGCAAATCGGGGCGCGACTGACTGAGCTGCCTTCAGGACCTAAGGGGGAAGATACATGGAAATGGCCAGGGAAACGCACACAGTCGCAGCAAAGGCAAGGGAAAAGAAAGGGGACCTTATAGAGATCTACCGGACGATCTGGAGGCCGGACCAGAGGATGATGCAGAAGAAGCGAGGAGGTGGGAGATGGAGGAGCAGCAGGTGCGTTCAAGAGGTGGAGGATTCGGGCTGAAATCTTCGACAGACCTTGATACGGCAACAAGACGATACGCTCGGGTTCATTTCAGGGACGTTGACTACGCTGGCGTCGCAGGCTGGACTGATAGGGCAGGAAGTGGGCGAACAGACTGAGTGAGCGGGCCTCCAGGAGACCGATCATACCAGTCTCTGAGAGTCTTTCCGATAGGATGCTTGACGATTTAGGGAGCCGAGTGGATACCACAACCTCGCGATTGAAACGAGTACAACGCCAGATGAACGACTTTATTCGGCGGAACGAAGGTGCGTCCTGGTTTTGCGCTATTGCTCACCATTCACTGAAGAAACGAAGAGCGGCTGGTGCATTTGTATACTGATCTTCGTTCTCATAGCTTTGCTCATAGCTGTAATCATTACATAGGCTAGCAGACATCATGCATAGAGTTCAATGCCGTGTTTCTCGCATCAGAATCGCACACCGATTCCATGGAAAGGCACAACCAGATATCATTCCGCCAACCCGGAATATCGGTCGCGTCCAACACCAACATTGCTTCATTGGACTTCAACCTCTTCGCATCTCCAATATGGCTATTCAACCGTCGCCTGAAGCTGGACCATCGACCCCTCCCAATGGCAGACTCCCCAATTACAAGCTGTGTCATTCTCTAAGCGGGCATTCCCGTGCGGTCACGGCATGTTGCTTCTCAGCCGACGGCTCGGAACTGATATCTGCGGGTATGACCACAGTCAACTCGAGACAAGAAGCTAACGTAGAGCCATAGGTGCTGACGGGACTGTCAATATCTGGTGAGGCCACTTAGAGTCGGAGATTCACCGCCGAACTGACCTGCCGTCGTTAGGGACCCTAAGGTCGGCGCTCACAAGAGCTCTTTTCAAGCTCATCGTGCTGGTCAGTGTTCCATTTCGATTCGGCCCGTTCTGGTCACCCACAGCTGACTTTTGCGTCAAGGCATTAACGACATTTCCCTCTCGCCTGACTCGCTCTATCTCGCGACAGCCTCGGATGATAATACAATCCTAGTCTTTCACACTACGTCCACATCCACAGCTAGGCACCCGACGCCACTCCGGCGACTTGTCGGGCATACAGCCCCAGTCCTCAGCGTCGCCTTTAGTCCCAAGTCCAACTTGGTAGTCAGCGGATCTATCGATGAAAGCGCAATCATCTGGGACGTCAGGGGTGGTCGAGTGCTCCGGACTCTACCGGCGCACTCGGACATGGTGTGGACTGTAGGCTGGGACAACGAAGGCGGGATGGTCATAACGGGCAGTGCGGATGGCCTCATGTGAGTTCAGGCTGCCGCTTACGCGCGGGACTCATTATTTGAAAGACGTCTATGGGACGCGAGTACGGGACAATGTCTGAAAACCTTGGACAATGAGTCGAATTCTCCATTGTGAGCCAGGCCATTACTCACACTTGCGCTCACCCGCACAGTTCATATGCCGCGTTCACACCTTCATCAACGTTTCTGCTCTCTTCCACCTTGTCCTCTACAATAAGGATCCACAACATATACACTTCGAAAGTGCTCAAGACACTTCGAGCGCCGGGGACATTAGTCTCGGAGCGATTCCCCTGTCCTGTGGTCATTATACCGGCTCTTGAAGGGTCGACACCTCTCGATCGACCAGATAAGCCTGATGCTCCAAGACTAGGGTATAGCGTCGACTCGCGGGCAGCGTGGATAGGGAGCGGATCTGAGAATGGCAAGTTTGTCATATGGGAGCTGTCATCACGGCGCGTGATCCAAGTCCTGGAGACTCCCGAACCTAGCACTATCCCCAGTCCCATCGTTGCGGTTGCAGCGAGTCCAGACGGTCGGACGATAGTGACTGGACATCTCGAGCCGGAAAAGGTCATTCGCATATGGCGTGACGATGCATGATGACCTGTTCCAATGCCCAAATGCTCAGATCATGGACCCTTCTTTCCTCCCCCTTTTCCTCTGACGCCTTTCCACACATTATCCACCCACTCCTTTTCTTCTCTTTCAACCATGACAAAGTCGCCTCCTCCTGTTGAGCTAGGTACAGAGACTACATTCTGTGACGGCTGATCCTGGGCTCGATCGGCGCTTCCAGACTGCGCAATTTTTGACGGGGAAGCTCTGGCATCTGTTTCGTAGAATAGCCCTGTACGCGACGGTGTGCCTGTTCTGGGAGTGCCAAAGGGAAGGGACAGAGGCGACGGCTGAGAGGGCGTGCTATTGAGTCGAGATGGTGTTGTTGTTAATTGGTGGGAAGGAGTGCTGGGTCCAGCTTTGCTCGGGGATGAGGCGTATGCGCGAGTCTGAAGGCGTCAGTTGAGGGTATCTCGATAAACGGGACGCTCTCACCAGCGGCGATGATCGCGCTATGGGTGTAAAGGTCTTCCCAGCTGGCACACTAGGTGTCTTGGGGACTGGAGCTGGAAAGTGTAGACAATATGCAGCTTCTGCCGAGTTCCACACAAAGATTGCGGTCAGAGCAGTCTCTAATGAAGCCTCACATGAGCACTGAGCTAGCTACACATCAAAGTCGCACGAGCGGACTCACCCAAAAGCCATAACGTGTAACTAGCTCTCTTTGAGCCCATTGGTTCACTCAACAGCCATAGTGTCGCTCTCCTGAGTGCTAGATACGGCGTGAAGACCGTCCGAAAGATCAGAGAGAGCAGGAGAAGGAATAAGTTGGACTTGAGCCTGCTCAGAGCGAGATGCCGCGGAAGCGCCTTGAAGAGACCCATGACATTGACGCGTCAGAACGATCTCGAGCCCAAAGGCGGCTCTTCTGCGATCCTGAGATAGAACGAGATGGTTGTTCAGCGTTTCAACGATTCAAGGGATATAGTGTGATGTGCTGTTGACCTCGACATTTCGGGATGGACGGGATCAATATTGTTAGCAAGTGGCATCGCCACCTTGACCATTCGTGTCCTGCATGCCCTATTTGGCGACCACAGATGTCTCTCAATGCAGCACAGACAGTCCCGACCCTACATCTTATCAAAGGTATCCCAGGTGATCATAGCCATATCATCGCTCCTGCGCTGTTCATGGAAATCGTCGTAATTGTCAGAAGGTGGCAGAGACGCAAGTGCTTCGGAAAGGGTAACTCATTTGGGCACAACTGTCCGGCGAATCTCTAGACTTTGATATCAAGCTCTTCATTGAACTGCTGATCATCCAAGAAGCCCGGTCCGATACATCCAACGTCAAGATCTGGGTTCAAAGGAGCTGCACCGTCAGAGATTGCTCCTTTCATGCCAGTGTTATGGAGGTTGTCTTCGGAGGGGCTCGCATAGACATAGAGAGTGACACCGGCTGAAGTGGGTCCGGACGAGTGCATCGAGGCGGGATAGACTCCTGACGCCCAATCACCTCCGATCTTCTTGCATGACATGCTGTCCGTAGCCCCAGGCAGTACTGCAACATATACTGTATGGTGCTGCGGTCGGTATGACGCGAGGGCACAATGCCACTTGTGCAAAGGGCATGTGCCAGAGATTGCCTGTGGATCATATATGCAAGTGATTTGTATTGCAAGGTGATTGTTATGAATGTCGTAACTCGCTGCCTACGTCACTGCTGGTCCAAGTTCAGCCATAGGCGAACTGTTGTCTCAGGCTGTCATACCGTCGGCTTCTTCGTCGGTATCTGGCTTCGCTCTACTGCACCTTTGCCTCCTTGTCCAGCTTCTTCGAAGCGCTTACCCGCTGGGTTCTCAGACCCTCGACCCGGCGGCGACACTCCCATCTTCTCGAAATTGTTTGCTAGAGCATCTACCAATTCGCCGCCATTCTTTGCGGTGGGATCGTCACCGCTTGGCGGTAAAGCTTTCGTCTCCTGTGGTGGAGATAGTAGCGTACTCGGTGAGATGTACGATGCTGGCTCTCCGTTAAGCGGTTGAAGGAGACTCTTGCGATTGTCCGGCGACCAAGGTGCGAATGCTGGAGGAGGGGATGTTCCTAGTTCGGAGCCGACAGGCGCAGGCAAGCCAGCCGAACCAGGAGCGGCTGATGATCCTGAACGGTTCGGAGCCGAGCGGGATGACCCAGAACCGATCGCAGGATTGACAGGCAGACCTGTACTACTGTGTGATCTTGGGTCGTAACCTACAGAGGTGGACCAATTCGGCTGCCCAGGCAAAGGGCCTTTACCCATTTCCAGTTGAGCGTATAAGCGATGAGGGCTGAGCGGAGCTGAGATGGACCCAGAGCCAGCACCGTCATTGGGCTCGTACGCGGAGACTGCCCTTCTTTGTCCCCTGTAACCAGGTGTCTCGTGCCCGCCTCGCTGTACGTTATCCCTCCCACGAGAGTCGGTGTGATCCAATCCAAACCCAAGGGTAGACATGCCTCCAAGATTGGGGCCTTGACTGGCAAGCCATTGCTCCTGAGCAGTGTACGAGTCCACATCGCCCTCGCTCTGACGGCCTCTTCTAGGTCCAGAGCCAAATGGGTCCGTGAGGCCTGTGGGTGCCATCCGGTCATAGGGCGCCAAAGACTGACTACGCCAAGGTCCGTTCTGCATCGGCGCAGTGAAGGCTCCTCCCCCACGATTGTTGGACAGTGACCTCGCTGCAGGTGATGATGAGCGTCCCCCGCGATGGACATCTTCTTCGCGTTCTTGACACAGCTCGGCAAGTGCAAGTACGGCCCGATCGGGCCGCTGGGTAAGAATCTGAGATAATGTCAGCCCTAGTTTGAGGCAGCAATGACCTCGCTCACCCTGGTCGCCCGCATGAATTCCCCTCGTATCTTCGTGAAAGTTAGCGATGTTTCCCAGGCCTTCAAAGCACTCACAGTATATAAGCCGTCCTTCGTGACGGTTCTAGCAACGTTGTATGTGATTTCAAATGGATCCTGCGAGGTCAGCAGCAGTGATGATCCAAGGACCTACTTCTATGCACAGTCTATTTCTATCTCTTGCCATTTCGTTCAGACCACCGACATCGATCTGGCTCGTGTCAGTATGCTATCAGCGTCAACTCTCACATCGTTGACCCATCCCTTGCTTTCTTTCGTTAAGGGTCCTGCACGTATGGATAAGACTGAATTGTTGAATTGGAAGTCGTGCGAGAAGAATCGGAAAAAGTCGATGAGCCTTTAGTCAGTCGATAGCCGGAGTCAGGCTCTCACAGTTCACCGACGGTCTCGAAGTTGATGGAAGACCACTCTTGGCGTAATGTCTCGACGTCATCAAAAAAGTAGACATTCCGCCCTTGCAGCATGACTTGCTCTTCGGTTAGTGGGCGGACCGGAGCGATTCGTTGGAGATTGGGGAGGACGGGCGGTTGTTTGACGTGTACAAGGTAGTAGAGAACCATGAGTGTGAAGCCATCTGAGCGCATTGAGCTCTCTAATGTTCTGGTAGAGGAGACTTACAGGAAGACAAAGTGCCACGGTAAGGCGAATTTATCCGCCGTCGCTTAGCCCAAACTTTCACTGTTGCAATGTCAGGCTGCACGATCGTTCGGGAACTTACAAAACAAAACAAGCGTTCTGACACGGGCGGGGTCGATGGTAGCATAAGTCAACAGCAGCCGAGTATTCTCAATTGCCAATCGGTTTTCAATACCAATATCACAAGCGATGCCTGAATATATAAGTCAGTCGATGCTGGGGAAAGATGGCCGACGCACCGAAGGGGAGAGCGGGAGATGGAGCAAGAGTAAGCTTGAGGATGGGAATACGGGCTTTGGGCAGGGGTTTGACCTATGCGGCGAGACGAAATCAGCGGCGGCCGTACAGCAGGCGACCGGACGCACGTCAAAATTTGTCTCTCTTTCGAGCAGGTCGCCCATCATGGCCACCAGGTGGGACGACTCCAGTCCGGCATCTGGGTCATCGATAAGGACAACGAGGTCCATGTCTGGTCAGAGCAGTCTGTCAACGTCTATTCCGGAGAGGAGCCGTAAAAGCACATGCCTGAATTCCTCAGTCCAAACGAATTGCAGCTGCTGCCAAAACTCAACAGTCTTGCAGAAGGCTCAATGGTTTTTATGAGCTTCTCGATCAGTCCCCGGACTCTGTAGACGGTGTCAGACGATGTAGAGACTGACAATAAGGATACTCACTCCTCCTTGACTGTGAGCTCTTCATTGGTCGGCAAGAGGGGAAGGACGAATGAGAAGAGGGATGACGACAAGTCGTTGAGGAAGCGGCGGTGATGAGTTCCCGGATGCATTGCGGAGGACGTGTGAAGCGCTGCAGAGACTTTTAGGATTGTATCCCGTGCGATGCGCGAGTTCGAACAGGGTATGGAGAATTGATTCCACTTGCTGACGGCGACGGATTTGAGAGCCTCCTTTGGACCGTCTGTTTCCTGCTCAAGTGACCAAGACGACGACGAAGAAGAGGTCTGAGGCGGAGTCAGTGTAAACTTATGACAGCTCGTAATCGATACAAGAGGACGAGAGTCATGGACTCGAAATTTGCGCCCGTCAAGACAAGAAAACCTGGATCTGTGCTAGATGACGCAGTGTAGCATTATGCTCGAGCTGTCCGGGCCGATTCTGAATCAACCGGAGGGGAGTTGCAGGGGAGCAGGCCACAATGCGACCCAAGATGAATAAACTGAGCTCACTTCAGGTGTATCCACTGATCGATCTCAAGCACAGATCGAGTCCTCGCAAAGTAAGACCAGCAGGCGAACTTTTCGTCGAGAGGGTCGTGCAGAAAAGCAAGCTGCAGGTGTCGAACGAAGGAAGAGGGTGAGGCAACGGGTTTGAGCTCGCGGGTTGACACGAGAAGCTTTTCTCGAGATGTTCCCTTACTATTTGGGAGCTTTCAGACGAGTGCGCTGTGTCCCGACCCTCTCACACAATAGGTTTATCAACGTGATGAAGTCAGGACCATGGAACCGTCGCGGCGAAACTTGTCGAAAAGTGGTTCGGATCCGAAAAACTGATAAAGTGACACGTGGGAATGGACCTGCCCCTATAACCGGAGTACTGATCTTGCACAGTGCCCACAACGATCCGCTATGTGACTCAGGCGGCTGGACAGTGAGCGCAGACGTGCACGACGAGTGCATGCAATGGTAGAAAATGGATGATTCCTAGAAACAAATTTTGCCCATTAAAATCAAGTTTTACAGTCTATGTGAGCCGCCAAAGAGTCGCATGGCTGGCAGAGGGCGGAAAAACAGACACCATGATCATTTGTTGTTGCGATACAGTCTTCTCTCCTTCGTTCTTGCGGACCGAAATCGATTCTTCATCAACGGTTCGTGCTTCGATCACTTCCAGCCAATAACGACTCGAACAATCCCGCTGCCGAGTTTTCGTTTCGTAATTGGATCATGTAAATGATCCCTGTGCGTTTTCCCTTGTCGCTGATTTCCACTGCAACCCCCGTCTTGGCCACTCGCTCCACTCCGTCAGTCAGCACGATGGTCGAGATAAGCATGGCTTTGCTACTTGAATCGCTTTCTACGACCAACTGCTTGACGTTTCCATGGGCTTGTGCGTACAGCTTCAATCTGCCAGACCCAAGGGCTTTCCACTGTTGGTGGGATTGCTTCAGGAACACTTTGCACTTCATCTGAGCAGAGATGATGGCCGGGCCAGTCAGAGTTGCCGCTTCTTCCTCGACGGGTGACATGGGCGGCGAGTCGTCATCGTCATCTTGCAGAGGACTGGCGAAACTACCGTAGCGAGCAGAGGGAGGCGGAGCGTTCAGCGGTCGTAATGGCTCTGCAGATTTGGATCGAGACGGCGGTGCGTGACCTTGCCATGAAGCTCCACTGCCGTCAGAGTAGTGGGATCCAGGTCCACGCATGATGGGCAGCGGTGGCGCAGGATCAATCTCCAGAGGCCGTGGAGCCGATTGGACCGATCTTCCGGACGCAGACCTAGGAATAGTGGCACCAGGCACGACTTGCCCCGGTTGGAAACCATAGCTATTATTGTCGGGCATAGAAGGAACTCGGGTCCTGCCACTCAGACTAGCTCCTCGGGGCGGCGGAGAAGCGACATCTCCGAGGGGTGATGGACCTCTTCCAGGCGCGATCTCGCCCGGTTCCAGAGATAGCTGGTGCATCTGGGACACCAGGGCATTGCCTTGCATCGTTGGAGGCGGAATATGCGGTACGTCACTGGGCCGAGGACTAACACTAGGTGACGAGTCGGCAGAGAAAGGGCTTGGCTGTCGGAATGGCGGCATGTGACCATCTGCGGACCGGTGATCCGAGAAAGACGACGGAGATCGCGCATCGACAGGGGATGGTAGGCCTCGGCGGGCAGCTGCGCAAGTCAGTCGCTCGTGTCACCGGTGATATGCTCACCAGTACTAGCCGCAAAGTCGATGCATTCGTACAGATCGTGCAAGATCTTGTCCCGGGCGACTTCGGATTCAGCGTGAATGACAAATGTCTCCTTTTTCATGATGGTAACGGTGAGGATGTTGGCTGAGGCTCAGCCGGACTCTTCCACAACCACTCACGTTGATGACCCTCCGCCACACTGAGATGCTTGCCGGCTAGAGGAGGGTAGCTCAGCCACATTTCAGGCATCGGCCCTCCTTGTCCAACCCTCTCAGGTTGCTCCTGGGCGACTTCCTGAGCCTTTGCAGCTTTATCCAATGCGTCCATCCATTCGGCCATGAGGAAGAGATCAGAGAGAATGAAAACGTGTGCACGTTGATGCACGACTTGTTGACCCGTACAGCGTGGCGTGAAATAGACGGAAACATCATGAGACGAGCGGAGGAAGCGAGTGAAGGGGAGATTCGGCGGGTTCATTTGCAGTTTGCATTTCTGAAACGTCAGCTACAACCCTGGACTCTCCATACTCACTTTCAGCTTCATCGTGAACAAGTCTATGGTACGCTCGGGATCGATTCTGAGCTCCAAATCTGTCAAAGGGGATCCAGATGATGGGGTAGATATGGTTGGTCGAGGTACGACAGACATTTTGGGGATCTGTACGGCTGGCGGTGGGCGCTTGGTTGGCGATTCCTTATAACTCGTAGCTGCAGATTCCCCAGAGTTACGACCGTCATCGCGACTGAAAGGCGAGACGCTGAATCAGTGAGACAATGTCGTAAGGGTGAGAATCGACTCACTTGGAGTGTCCGTCGCCCGAGCTCTCCCTGACGGAGCTTGTCCGACTGGCCCTCCCATTGACAGGCCAACTGCCTTCACGGGATTGATGTTCGTTGTCAGCGCTCTCTGCTCCGTCGGACTCGGCGACGTCCACATCCAGCCTGGACTCGACCTCGCTGACCAACGCTTCCAGACGCTGATTTGCGGTGACGAGCAATTTGTGATCGCTCCTGCCTTCTTTGGTGGAGCGAAGAAGTCTGGCGTATAGTTTACGATAGTACCGCAGCCGGGCATATGGAAGAATGAACAAGGCATCCAGCGACCATGTAGATAGGGGAGGGGTCGGGGTGGAGATGGTGGAAATGTCGGTGAGAATATTTGGTAGAAGGACGTTGCGCGTCACAGCCTCGTAGGAGTCAAAACCGCTCATGAAGGTGGAGCAGTATTTAGAATAGGATGGTTCGAGGTCGTCGATCTTTGTCATTAGTCGACAATTTGTACCGAAAGCTCACCCAGCGCATCAGCAAGTCGCCCAGGGCTTTCGGGCTGGATGGATTCGGACCGATCTCTTTCAGTTTCTGACGAGATGGTCAGCGGCAAGCTGTATTGGCGGACTCACGTTTCCAAACGCCCTGTTCGCTCTGTAGACCGCTTCCACCGCTCTAAACATTGTGTCCAGCTTTGGCGGTGGGAAATCTTTCCGGGACCACGCAGCAGCGACTCGCTTGAGGTCAAAATCAGCATTGACCTCCAGCCAAGGATGGAAGACTCACCCGGATGACCAGACCTAGTTGCTCCACGTAGGTTTTCTCACTATCTATCAAGTCGACCAATGGGTTTCGCCTGCTTGCAGAGTCATGATTGTCGGCCCCTGACGAAGGTCTGGGAATCTCGCCTCCACCGTTTGGCCAAGCACCGTGCATATGCCCGTCGTTATCCGCCTGAGAACTCAATCCATTGCGAAACGAATTGGACGGGGATGTCGATTTGGGAGGTAGAGCAGGTGGAGACTGATCAAAGTGACGCGATGGACCTGCATTGGACAGGTATTCGTCCGTTACCGACGCCATGGTGGACTTTCGAGGCGAGCACAATAGCGTTGTTGCGACGCGCTCTTGCTGAAAGGGGCTTACAAGTGGTGACGAGAAGGCATGAAGTTGTAGGCGGTGATGGCAAGCTCACTGAGATAGAGGAGTCGATAAATGATCGATATTGTGAAAGTTTAAAGACCAAGGCGACTTCTTGGTCAAGTGTTCCAGACAAAGGTTGTTCCAAAGGCAGGCACAGTGTACCAAGGGGCTCGAAGCGTTTGAGCTAGCAACAGGGAGCTCTCAAGGTTGGTCGAGGTATTCGTGCTTTGAAGAATAAAGCACCGGGCGTTACGTGGACGTGTCGGGATAGTTCCCCCTCCTCCAGCGAATGTCAGCAGCGGTTCAAAGTTGATGATATGGATAGCGATTAGTGACCCCCGACGCTAAAAGACCAGGCGATCCGTGTGTTGGTGTCGCGGAAGAACTTGAAACCACGTGGCTGCCTGATTTTTGATTCCAGTCGCGAACGACCTACGCCACATATGCAATCACATTCTCGCGAGGGGGGCCGGCGAGTTGACACGGAATGTACGATGTACAGCTGTGCGGGAGGGCTGCACTGATGGAGACATGCGAGGATGAGCATAAGGGCCTCGACGCTGTGTGAAACGTATGCGAAGCGCGGCAACACTACTGCCACAACACTTCTCTCCTCTTAGTCATGGCTGAATCTGCCACTCCGCTGCCAAATCTCCGCTGCTTGGCCGATGCATGGCCCGTATCGGGGGAAGAGGGCCATTGATTGCATAGGGGTCGAGCTCTGATGCCAGACGGGCGTGTTCCGCCAGGCCTTGGACCTCGATCAGAAGGTAGAGAGATCAATCGATTGACTGTTTCTTCTGGGCGATCGCCATGCTAGAGATCAACAGGCTCCGAGCTGCTCGCATTCTGTGATCTGACTCCCCCCAAGACGGCCCTCAGTCGGGTAGAAGTAAGCCTCAAGATGCTTGTATTGCAAAACCGTCGGCTCTACAAGGCATTAGGACTTACCCAAAGCAGCCGGCCCATGAGAAGGATACAGATCCCATTAGGCCGCAGACAGTCGGGTCGCTTTTCCTGCAGTCTCAGTTCTGAATTGTATGGTGCTTGACTGTACCGTCAGCGTCTCCTTGCCACTGCAGCCTTCAGCAGCCACTGATACAATCCATCCCAGCTCACGATGCCACCTTCTTCCTGACGTGTTAATTGATATGTTGATTCGATCCCATCACTGATAAGATTACGCTCAGATCCCAGAAGGGTTGTACGTAAGCAACTTCCGTAGATTGCAGCTCGTCTCACCCGGTGACCTTTGAGAGCGGCCCTTTGCTCTTCGTTTGCTTTCTGTACCTTCAGAGCGATTCGACCACTGACTCTACTACCACTTTTACTGTCTTTAACTCGGTTCTTTCCCTTACGCCTGGCTCCAAAGCACTCCACCTTCGATTTGCAGGTAAGGTTCCATTGATTGTCCATCTCACGTTTCCCAATTATCTGACCCCCCGGCTCAGAACTTTTGCTCGCGCATCTCTTTTGTCGATTTCCACCGGGAATCATTTGGCTCATATGAAGTCACTGTGAATAAAGGAATTCAGCCAAGATGGAATTGCGAAAGAGCTCCGGCAGTCCAAGCTCATCGGGGGCTGGTGCAATGGCTAACGGTACCTCGCCCCGGCCTCGTTTGTCCACACCTCCGAAGCCTCCCAATGGGATTGCCAGCGGCGGCGGTCTTGGCCGAACTGCTTCAAAGACCCAAAGGTCCAATAGAGCCGATCGTCAGAGAGCCAAGCCACTCGTCACTCGAAGTATGGCATTCCCTGAAGCTCTGCCAACACCACTGTTCAGCCAGGGGGATGCGGAACTGGACCGCAGCAAGAGGAGGTCAAAGGTCGAAGCCATCTCCAAGTTGGATAAAGCTGGTACTCCTGTGTCGACCTCTGGTCCGGCAGGGACATCCTTCATACCCACCGCCACGACCAGTTCTGCTGGACAATCTGGACCATCTTCGTCTCGAAACCCATTGCACCGACCTCCCGTTGTCAATCCGCCATTTGATATCAACAGTGTCAAGACGGAAGCTCCACGCCACCCTCCATCTCGATCTGGTTCAAGGCTGTTCGGCCTCGAAGAATGTCCAGTCTTCTATCCCACTGCCGAAGAGTTCTTAGATCCGATGCGATACATCGACTCGATCGGTGAGGCTGCAAAACCCTACGGCATATGCAAAGTAATCCCACCGGAAGGGTGGAGGATGCCTTTTGCACTCGAGACCGACACCTTCCAGTTCCACACCCGTCTACAACGGCTCAATTCGCTCGAAGCTGCATCCAGAGCAAGGATTAACTTCCTGGATCAGCTCAGCATGTTTCACTGGCAAAGGGATGACAAGCCTATCTCTGTTCCAACGATCAATCGTCGACCCGTCGATCTTTGGAGTCTCCGAAAAGAGGTCAACAAGCTCGGTGGACATCTCGAAATCGACCGGACAAGAAGCTGGTCCGCCGTGGCCGAGCTTTTAGGTTATGATGCGTCTTATGACACCGAGCTACGAGACGCCTACATCACCATTGTCCTACCATTTGACAACTTCGCCGTCCGGGCAAGATCGGTTTCCGCTTCCCCGGTGACTCCGCTTCAGAGTGCCGCGGGTCCCCGAGCGGTCCCGCCAGGATTCAAGAATGAAAGTCCAGCGTCTCCAAGCGCACCGAGAACCCGAATGTCTGGCGCTCCACCATCACGCATGCGAGGCTTCCCATCTGCAGTATTCGCATCGGAGCATCCTTCATCGTCATTCACACCGCCCTCTGCTGAACACACGTGGGCCTCGGGACCAGCAGGATTACCTTCAGTCCAGATCAATGTTCCTGGATTCTCGAACCGTGATGGCAGTGAAAGCGAACTGAGCGAGGAAGAGTCACCGATCAAGCGGCGCGCAGAGGAAAAGCCAGAGTATCAGAAGGGCGAGGTGAGGTCCAGCTTTGCGGATCCAGCTGACAATAAGGTCTGTGAGGTGTGTCGACGCGGAGATGGCGCAGACAAGATCCTTCTTTGTGATCAGTGCGATAGAGGTGAGCACGAGATGCGGGGAAAAGTCCCTAATTCTTAGGTTTCCACACATACTGTTTGGACCCACCACTATCACACGTTCCATCCTGGGAATGGTTCTGTACGCCCTGTGTCCTGAGTCAAGGCGATGACTATGGATTTGGCGAGGGAGAAGATCACTCGATCCCATCGTTCCAAGCTCGAGATGCTGCATTCGCCTATGCATGGTTCAACACCCGCTGGGAGGGATGCTCGAGGCGGCGAGCCAGATCGACTTCTGATTCTACTAGCTCGATTCCCGCAGCTCCGCCAACTGCACCGCAGAATCGTCATTTCGGTCGAGCCGTCGTTTCAGAGGACGATGTGGAGAAAGAATTCTGGCGCTTGACAGAGAGCGACATTGACACGGTTGAGATCGAGTACGGCGCGGATATCCATTCAACCACTCATGGCAGGTGAGTCGAGGCGTTGCTGAGCTTCGCTGATACATCAGCGCCTCCCCAACAACCGAAACGCACCCGATGGACAAGTATGCTAGGGATGGGTGGAACCTCAACAACATGCCGATCGTACCGGACTCATTGCTGAGATATATCAAATCCGATATATCTGGCATGACAGTCCCTTGGATCTATATCGGGATGCTGTTTTCGACATTTTGCTGGCATAACGAGGATCACTACACATATTCCATCAATTACAGTAGGTCCGATGTGCCTGTGCATCACTGATCTCTAGTGCATTGGGGCGAGACAAAGACATGGTACGGTATACCGGGATGCGATGCCGACAAGTTTGAGGCAGCCATCAAGTCTGAAGCTCCCGAATTGTTCGAACAACAACCGACGCTCATGTATCAATTGGTCACCATGATGAATCCGGGCAAAGTACGAGAGGCCGGGGTCCGAGTGGTGGCCTGTGATCAACGACCCAACGAGTTTGTGATTACTTTCCCCAAAGCTTATCACTGTGGCTTCAATCACGGCGTGAGTGACTCTCTGTGTGAAGTCATCCATGTTCTTACGAGGGACATAGATCAATGTGAACGAGGCGGTGAATTTCGCGCTTCCTGACTGGCTGCCGGATGGCAAGGAGTGCGTGACTCGATACAAGGAACACAGCAAGCAGCCAGTTTTTTCGCACAATGAGCTACTCATCACCATCACGTTGTTCTCAGATACCATCAAGACTGCTCTATGGTGAGTTCTGCCAGATAGGATCGTGCTGATTTGCTAGGGTTCAAGATAGTCTAGCCCAAATGGTCACGGAGGAAACGGATCGTCGGGAAAAATTGCGCTCAGCTATTCCTTTGCTCAATGAAGTGCTGGTCGAGGAAGACACGCCAGAATCTCAATACCAATGCTGCCAGTGCAAGGGCTTCTGCTATTTGTCTCAGATAACCTGCAAATGTACAAAGCTGGTCACCTGTCTCGATCACGCCGACCTGCTGTGCGGCTGTCCGCCGTCGAAACGCACCCTTCGACTTCGATACTCCGAGGCTCAATTAGAGGAGATTCTCGCTGCTGTGCAGATGAGGGCACAGCTGCCAGGAGCCTGGCGATCGCGCTTCCATGCCCTTCTCAACGAGTCTCCAAGACCTCCTTTGAAGACTATGCGAGCTCTGCTGGCGGATGGAGAGCGGATATCCTACCCTTTGCCCGAGTTGAGTCCCCTGAGGTCCTTGGTCGATCGGGCGAATTCATGGGTGGATCGTGCAACTGCACTGACGACTCGAAAGTCGACTGGCCGTCGCCGCAAAGGCCGTCAGGCGACAGAGGAGGAAGAAGAGAGTCGGACTCCGGAAGCCATAACCCGCTTGCTTGACGAGGTCAATTTGCTCGCTTTCGATTCTCCAGAAATACACCAACTCCGACAAATCCAGATGGCCATCGATGGCTTTCGATCAGAGGCAGCCATCATTCTGTCAACACCTGAGAATGAGCTGGATCGCGAAAAGTGCAAGACCGCTTTGGTCCTCGGGGAAGGAATTGGAATCGACCTCGACGACGTGCAAAAAATTCGCATTCTGGTCAATCGCCTCGACTGGATCCGAAAAGTCGGCTGGGAAGTGGATGATCGTGAGATTCAGTACCCGGAAGTGGTCGAGCTCTTGGAGGAAGCCAAAGCATGCGAGATTCCTCCGGATAATCAGTTCCTTGTGGATCTGCAGAAGCTTGAGACGAAGGGCAGGGCATGGAGAGATTCTGCCGATAATTTGTTGTCATCAACAATCATTGAGCTGGACGAGATTACTTCTCTGGTGGAGGGTCAAGAATACACGCCGACGATATTGGACACCATGACTCTGTTGGAGACAATTCGAAAGACGGCTCTCAATTGGCAAGCCTCGGCGAGACAGCAGCTCGAAGGCCAAGGTTCAGCCACTTCAGCACAGAGATTGTGCAAAGCTGTCAACGCCGCACAAGGTCCACAGGGCAGAATACGCATCCCAGAGATTGCACGAATCCAAGGCGAATTGGATGATCAGACAAATTGGCTCAAAAAGGTCGCCGAAGTCCTCAAGGTGCCTGCCAAGCAGGTCTCCAATACCCTGGAAGACATCCATCTCTCTCTACAGCAACAGCTTCAGCCGGAAGACGATCGACCCAACGATCGGCACAGTTGTTTCTGCCGCACAGAGCCTTTGGACCCGATGGTCAAGTGCGGGGTGTGCCGTGGTCTCTATCACGCTAAATGCGTCAGTGTGCCTCTGAAGAACATCGGTCAGCCGTTCAAATGTGCCATGTGTGAGGGTCAGCCGTATGACGATCGACCTTCGTTGCACCATCTTGCCGAGTTCGAGGACAAGCATCACTTCAACTTTTTGTTCCCGACGCCAGAGATAGAGACCATTTCCAAAATTGTCGACCTGGCTATCCAATTCGCACGGACCGTCCAGCCTTATCTCGACCCGTTAGGGTTGGCTGTCGCTTGTCGAGATACCGAGCTTCTGTCGCATTTCGCGAGGAAGCTGTACAATTTGCCTATCTCTTTCGACACATACAATCCCGTCACGAATCAGCGGATTGTATTTGAAGATTGGCTCTACAAGCGAATTCATGATGCCCGTAATCCTGCAAAAGCACGGACTCGACCTAGGAAACCGAGGTTGATCCTCAAGGAAGCGAACGAACGGCAGTTCTCGTGTATCTGCACAGTTCCACCAGTGGATGAACTGGTCCGAGTGACATGTGGTAAATGCGCTCAAGAGTACCATGCTACATGCGTGTATGCTCCTGAGGAGTGTATTGGGACTGAGGGCAAGATGTGGAGATGCCCTTGCTGTACGGTCAAAGAGGGCAAGCACTATCACAAAGGGGCAGAAGTAAGGGTGCAAATGACGGGTGAGTGAGGTGTGAAAAGACTACAATCTTCGTAAACTCACATGTCCGCTAGATCGCCTGGGAACTGACCTGTATGTTGACTACCGGACCACCATCAACGCCTTTTCACTAGGTGTTCTCGAGTACAAACTTCCTCCGAATCGGGATCAGGTCATCACTCTCGAGTGCACCAAGTTCGTGCCGCCAGTCATCCCCGACGACTATGAACCTCCTGTACTTCCACCAGAGGACGACGATCTCGAGAACGGGGATGGACCGCAGAAGAAAAAGCGAAGAACGAAGACTGCAGTGTCCAAACTCGTCGCGCCCCTCGCAAATGGCCATCTAGTCACCGCGTCGGATGAGCATTCCCTACCACCAATGCCCGTCACTGCTACCATGGACCAAGTCATTCACCGTCACCACGGTCCAATCCTCACTACGCAAACCGTCACACCAGTGACTCCACCTCAATCGCACCGTCTTCCACTTCCTGTTCCATCTTCGGGCTCGCCTCGAAGGCCTGAATCATCCAAAGCTCCTCATCCGTCGACACCACGGAGCATTCTAGATACTCAACCCATTCACCGCGCGCAAAACCATCCGTTCGGTTCACCCACCATGCATTCGCTGTCTCCCAACCGGCCCAGCTTTGCATATGGATCTCAATCGACAATTCCCGCCTACTCGAACGGCGATCCATCGTCTCATGCGTCGAGTCTGCCCATTTCATCAGGGACTGGCTTGATGGATCGCCAATTGCCCTTGATGGACTCCAAGGGACACCATAGACCGCTCTCGACAGATCGAGATAGGGTGTCTCAGCCAAGATCCTACGACACGCTTCAAGATGCCTTCTCAGCGGATTCGACCGCGAGACCAAACGCAATGGCGACGGGGGCCACATCGCAAGTCAATGGGTCTCATTAGTCTGCCGATGTAGGCTTTGGGCCAGTTGTTTCGTGTAGGCCCTGTGGCTCACAGTTTTCAGAACGTGTATGACTTGTTGTAAGATATAGTCTCAGCAGTGTACATCTATGTACAGACTGATGCAATCTAGTTCTTTGCAGTTTCGTTGCATCCTTGGGCCTGGAGAGAACCCGCGATGTGCATGTGACCTCCATTAACATCTCTCTGTCTTGAAGGCTCCCATTCGAGCTCATCGCCTGAGCCGGACGACTGGCTCGCCATACGTCCTCGGCCTGGCCCCAGCTACCCAGATGGTGGGCGTAGCAGCTATGAAATGGACCTCCCATGTCCCGCTATCTTTTCTCCTACTTGATCTTCTCGATTCCACTTCCATATCCCTTCTACGCCTTCTATCCCTACGTCTGGCTCTCATTCGTTCGTCGCGCCTTACCTCCCTTTCCCTTCGGGGAAGATAAGCATCATCTCGTCTAGCTCGAGATTCCTCTTCCGCCCAATCGCTTTCGTCCTCTTCATCCGAGAGACCATCTTCATCACTCCATTCATCGGGTCGTGAATATCCTCTTTTTGTACTGCTCGGATCGATAGGTAGAGGGATCACCCGCTTGCCGTCTTGTGCCGCATAGACTCGAATACCTCTAGGCGCGAAGAATGCCACAGCCCAGCTTGCGAGAAGAGAATGCACCGCGTCAGAGAGGACCGGAGCTGGTCCTCGACCCAAGGTCCCTTCGTTTCGTCCGCCTCGAGCCCAGTTGTGCGGGGCATTCTGAAGCGCTTCTCGTGCCAGATCGTTGACAAACTTCTCCCTGCGAGTCTGTTTGTAAGTGCCAACGACGTCATGTGCCACCTCTCAGGCTCACCAATCCTCTTCGCTGACATCGTGCCCGACAAATTCACGGGACAGATGCAGCTCCCATATATGATTCAGTGACGAGGCAGGTAATGAGAACGGCTCGAAATCAGCGTAACGGAAGTATGAATCAGCAGGAGCCGGTGGCCGATCAAAGCAGGAAGGTCTGCTCCCACTTCAGTTGAGGATCCAACAGTGCCATCCCTGAGTGCTCACTGATCTGGTCTCCCTGTCCCAGTGGAACTCGAGGTCGACTGAGTGACGGTGAATGGAGCATCTCGTGTATTGGTCGGTGCGAAACCAGGTTGAGCTTCGCCAGCGCCTTGAGGTTGAGGTTGGACACCGCCAGCAGGTGGAATGTTGGGCGGTTGAGCGCCACCAGGTTGAGCGTTTGCTCCGACCAGTGGTCGACCCCAACCGTCCCATCCTGAGCGCTGTAAGCTTCAACCGTCTCGTCGACAGCAGCGTAAGCTCTCACCTTCAGGTAGCTCTGGCGGGACTTATGCCGTCATCAGTCACGTCCCTCAGGCCCGCCAGCACTGCTCACTCATTCGTCCATATTGGTCGAAACCCTCTTGTCCAGGCCGGGCTATGAAAGGTAGCCCGAACGGCATGGGTCTGAGTCCAGGTATCAGCGGCCACGATTATTCCCCCCTTGTGAGACTCACGGTAGAGCAGCAGGATCAGGCGGTCGATACGGTTGACTGCGAAGCTGTCAGAGTTGCATCCCTCTCTCCCAGAGTTTTGAAATGTTTGTCACCTCGAACCGACTCCACCGGGTCCAGCAAAGTCTGCCTCGATTAGTAGACGGTCCGATGTGCTCGATGGGATGCTGCTCACCCCGCCCAAGCATGTCACGTCCAAACCGCCCAGGCAAGGAATTATAAAACCCCATTCCTGGCATACCGGGGATCACACCTGGCGTAGGCATCATCATGGGCATAGGCATACCCATCATGGGCATCCCCATCCCCATCCCCATTCCCATGCCGAAAGGGCTGAACATGAGCCTAGTTGATGCGATGAGCAGTCCGGTCCCCAATGACTGAGTAGTCGCAAAGGGTATCGATCCAGAGATCAAAACGAGGCAAATGAGCTATCAGCACGATCTGAAGCGAGCGTTGGCACCAGTCTAGACAGCAAGAGAATGGTCTGGACATTCTCTCAATTAACTCCTGAGGCAGGAAAGGAGATCATATGCCCGCATGCGGTATGGTTAATGTGTCCCAAAGGGTGACCTTGATGACAGCGCGTCGAAAGGGCCCCTTTTCCATGAGCAGGTGGAGCATCGCTCAAAGGGAGGGTCAGTGTGCGGATCAGTGTGTCCATCGACGTCAGCCACGCGAGCGGGCGATCTTGATGATCGTGAGCACCAGCCTAATGATCTCTCGAGTAGGAGCATGGCACTGCGGCATGAAAGTGGCCAGATAGTAGTGTAGTGCAGCGGATTGCCGGGAGGATGAGGGGTCTGAGGATGCTCTGGCGCCAAAGTGGCACACTTTGGATAGCAGATACGAGTATAATGCAAGATAGTATTTGAACGACTGCCTCCGCCCTACGTATCAGAACCTCCCCCCATATCCAGGCATCATCCCGTATCCCATTCCAGCAACGGGAGCATAGGGCATTCCCATCCGGGGCATCGGCATGCCCATGAGGCCCATCGCTCCGCCCATTCCACCCATCCCATGTCCTCCGCCTTCACCCGTCCCCATGCCCATGAGCATAGGGTTCATCATGGGCGGTCCGAACATTGGTGGCCGGGATCCCATGAGAGGCGTCGGTGCAGGCATGGTCATGGGACCAGGGGTAGGATATGGAGCTAGCGGGGGATATGCTGGGCTGGAACTGTCAGAAGGGAAATGGGACTTATGAACATACCCTCCATAGCCTCCTATTGCTGGCCCTCCTGGTCCTGGCATTGGTGGATCAGGCCGTTGTCCTCCCATACCGAATCGGTTCCAGAATCGCTCTTTCGCGTTCTTGGCGATGTCTGTCGGTGCGGGTGGGTAGGCGTATCCTGGAAGGCTTGAGCTTCGACAGACTGCCACGAAATGGATGTACTCACGCTCGGACTTTGGAGGTGGCGCCGCATCCGATAGCGGACGATAGACTGGTCTCCGATGCTTCTTCTTATCTCCTCTGGTTTGACTTGGAGTGTCATCGTCTTCTTCTCGATCTCGCCCATCCACGATCTCCTCTACGATCTTATACCTTTTGCCCGTCTTGTGAGCCGTGTCCATCTCTTCGATGATCTTGTACTTGCCAGCCCCTCTTGTCTTCCAAGATTGGCTTGGTGAGAACACCTTATCCTCCGGAATCTCTTCAATGATACGATATCGTCGGCCTTTGGAACTTGTATAGTGCGTTGGGGCGGCAGTCATCTCCTCGACGTCTTTGACGACTCCAGTATGGTCTCTCAGTCTCGCGTGAAGATGTTCGTTACCCCGACTATCTACGTCGAGGTGCGCTGACATGGTAGCGACAGTCTGAGGTACTCGAGGAGGGTCTGGAAGGGCCGGCAGAGGGACAGGCTCTGGTGCAGGGAGTGAGAGTGCTTTCTTCCGAGACACAGGAGATGCGCGGAGAATCTCGTCATGGTCGACTGCAACGCCAGTCGACTAGTCAGCTCAAGACCGACAAGTGCCACAATAACTCACCTAACGAGATCGGCTTGAGACCAGCCTTCGTTCCCGTCCTGCCACCGCTGGTCGTAGTGAGCAATGCTGACCTCGCCGCTCCAAGTCCCTTCGTCGTGGCATTCCCCAATGTCGTCGCCGAAGTATCCACGTGGATGGGGTACGACACGGTCTCCACAGTAGTCGTCTCCACAAACCGCTGTGGAGAGCCTCGAGGAGGGCTGAGTTCGGGTGCTGGTGGAGTTGGAGGCGCCGGAGGAGGGGGCGGAGCTACGGAACCTGCCTTTGGAGGGGTGTACTTCCAGCTTGGATCATTCTCCACGATACCTTTACTCGGATCCATGACCATCGGAATGGCGATTTCTTCGGGCGGAGTCGCTGGTCGACGTGTAGTTGTAGTTGTAGTGATGACCTTGGTCACGACTTCATCTCCCGGTGCCACTTCCATAACGTTCTCCTCTTCAGCCTCTGGAATAGGCTGAACAAGTAGGGGTGCAGCAGTACCTCCTTTCGAAAAGATCGTCTTGGGCAGTCGCATGCTTCTTACAGAGGCGGTAGGTGACGATGGTACGACTGTAGGTGCCCGAGAAGCTGGCAGCGGGATATTGTGAGGTTCGAAAAGAGGTGCGACAGGAGCGACCGCGGGCGCTGCGTTGACGTTGACGATGATCTCTGGATGATGGTGGTGAGATCGATGAGACCGATCAGAATGATGGGTATGATGAGATCGGTGAGAGTGAGTTGGAGATCCAGGTACGACGGTAGTAGGAACAGCCACAGCCTCTTCGACGGCCTTTTCAGCTTCTGCAGCAGCGACAAGAGCAGCAGCAGCAGCCTCCCTTGCCTTCTTATTGGCCTTCTTTCGCTGAGTCTTGGAGAGACCGGCCCCGGCACCGGCACCTCCTTTCTCTTCCTGTGACGATGGATCGTGTCCTTCTTCACCGGCTGGAGTCTCTTTGATTTCTTCGGTGATGGTCTTCTCAATCACTGTGCCGTCCGGTTGGACCTCTCGCTCGTAGTGTGAATGGGTATGATGATGCTCATGATCGTGATGATGGTGTTGCGAAGGAGGCGAATTAGAGAGATGAGAGTGCACAGAGACTGTGTCCTTGTCCACTACGACGGCTGGCTTTGGTTTGGCCATCGTGGGATAGACGGGCGGAGCACCGGTAGGCTTTGGGACAACAACAAGGGAATAACTTGGAGGATAGGATGGCGAGAAAGTCGGATATGAATGTCTTATCAGGTTCGAAATTGACAATGGAGTCCAGGGGAATCAGGGGCAAGTCGATCCTTTGGGCTCTACGCTAAAAGGTCTGGTCTGAACGATTCCGGTCGATGTTGATTTCGCAGGTACCCTTCTGCCAAAGCTGGGACTTGTATAGTAAGGAAGCCAGACGACATAGCGGTGGCAAGAGTAGAAGTACACACCGATCGATGGTGCCCTTTCCCTGTGTGTAGAGTCTTTGACCTCGGACGAGCCTCGAGGTTCCAGCCAGCGTAAGCCATCACACTCCTTTGGCTCAACCCCTCATCCTTCGCTTGAAATATCCGAGGCGACTGCGCGGCATCGTCGACCAAGGCCGCGTCGGGCGCAGTAGCTGGGGTATTCCAAGATCAACGTCTCGTGGGCCTCAAGCTGTCGATATAGAGGACTGTAGATCATGCTGTGTGTAGACTAACGAAAGCGAGTCAGAGCCACCGGGCGAATTTCATCTTTGTGCAGAATACTGAAACGAGTGACGAATGTGGCACAGCGTTTCATCAGGCATCCACTGTACAGATGATGTCTATCTTTGATCATGTACAGAGGTTCATCGACGTCTCCTCGCTCCCTGAGGATCGCCAGTAAAGTAAGTTATACCCTGAGATGATGGTTAAGCTGCTATTCACTCGTAACAGCGTATACACACGACCACGCTCACCTGTAAATCAAGAAATCTCGCCAATTGACCTTTCCACCCGACCGCTTCGATCCCTCTCCGAATAGCCTTCGCGACGAGTTCGTCAAAGCTCATGGGCTGGAACGATCAGTGAGAATTCTTTCAAAATTGGGACTCACCTCGTATCTCAGTATCCTCACGTACATCTCTTCGTCCTCCAAGATCATCGTTTTGAACGCCTTTTCCAGATCCTTCTCAACGAACATGGGATAAATCAAAGCTCGCGCCCGATCCTGTGGCGTGATCTCTGGAACATTCGTCGAGCTCTCAGCCCTTTTTCTCCTGACAGTGGTCCCGCCGGACCTTTTAGATCTCGAGGACTTTCCTTGAACCATCGCCAATGGGATATCCTCAGACGATTCGGCAGATTCCCCCGACTCGGACAAATGCGTCATGATCCGTCTATGACGCGCTTTGGCGGTCGGCGAGGATCCCGGATGATGGATAGCAGTCCAGCAGTCCTCAGCAACGCGAACAAGAGTGTCTTTCTTGTTGAATATTTTGTATCCATAAGACTCGACAAGGGCCTGGAGTCAATCAGCATAGGAGGACCGTAAGACAGGCTCACTTTGAGCTCCTTCAGCTTCCACTTTTTGAAGTCTGGCATAGTCTCGCTGGTTGAGGAATGATCACTCGCATTTCCACCGCTGACTCGTTCTACATCAAAGCCGTTGCCTTCAGCGGGAAAGAGGGCTGGGATGTCAGGGTCGAACTCGAGTATCGCGTCTGCTCCCCAATCGTCCTCAGAGCCGACCATATCCGAAGCACTGTCGACCGAGGACGAGGTGGCAGACTCGTCAAAGACAGTGTAGGCACCACATGCAGCCTCGACGCGAGTGGCTGTGGCTCGACGCGGGCTCTTTGAGGCCGATTTCGATGCCGCTCTCCCTTTGCCTTTGTCGACAATGGGCGTGATGGATACGTCGGAACTGGGTGATCTGGCTTTCCGAGAGGTCTTCTTGACCGTGGCCGGCTCGTCTGACGATATCGGCGAGGCGATGACGTTCAGAGGGGCAGATTTGGTTGTCGATTTGCGAACTCGCGGTGTCTTGGGCGTCGGTGTAGCAGAGTCTACATCCCGCAACCGAGTACCAGCCTTCCGAGCAAGAGGCGAGGTGCTATTTACAGACACCGTAGAAGAAGGCGACACTACGGTGATAGGTGATGAAGCGATGACGGGCTCCGAAGTGCGATATTCGACGACCTCTATCTCTTCATCACTCCCAGAGCCGCTTGATTCCTTCATTGACGACTCGACCGTCCCAGCCTTTTTCCGCGTTATCCGTGCCTTTCTCGACTTAGATCCTGATTCGTTTGGCTGATCCCCAGTTTCCGTATCTCCCTCCTTGTCTAAACTCTTGCTCCGCCGAATTGACTTTCTCGGAGAGATACCCTTCGGCCTGCGTACCTCTCCTCCATTGAAAGGGCTGTATGCTGTCTTCCTCCTGATCTGACCTGATGGTCGGAGATCCAGCAGAGTCTGCCGAGGGCGATCGAGTACGCTTTTGAGCTGAAGGCGGTAGAGAGGGTTGATCGTCGTTCGTAATGTCGAGGGAGGAGATCCAGTCTTTCGGAGATGAGCTGGGTGCGATATCGTCTGCAGACGCGAGGGAAGAGCCAGCGTCAGAAGCAGAATCAAGGTTTGACGACGGAGACCGGCGGTATCTAGCTGCGAGAGATGACTCGCCCATCGGCTGAGTGGAGGGGAATTGACTGGAGAAAGCAGGAGTCGGCGTAGGATCCTCTGGCTGCCCTGTTGTTGAGGAGGGGCTCGATAGCCCAATGAGTTCTTTCACGCGGTCTCCCACTTGGTCGTCCCACCCATCTCCACGATCCTGAGCAGCTTGTACAGTGGTGATGTTGAGACCCAAGCTTGGTCCATTCTTTGTCTTGGATTTTGCTTTCGTGGCCTTTGTGGGGTTACCCCATCCCGGTAAGGAGGAGATGGTGACGTTTTCACCAGGTATGATCCTCCTGTCATCGACATTTTCAGGCAAAGCGTTGACATGTAGATCGAGCAATGACGGTGTATCGCGTATACCATCAACGTTGTGTAGAACGTCATGTATGAGCCGAGGGAGATCAGGAGGGGCGTTGGGGGGTCGATACAGTGGTGGAAGGCAGGTCGATATGTGTCTCTAAGCACGCACGAGCTCTTATTCAGCTACACCCAACGCTTCTTGCACATTCGTGAACCGTCGTGACACTCACCCACCGCGCTGCTCCACTGTCAGACTTTTTAAACTCCTTTGTACACAACGGACAATCCCGGACTTTTAGCAAGACCGCAGTCTTGCCCAACCACGAGGGAACAGGTAAAGGTTCTTTCGTGGGTGATGGCGCTCGCAAGACCAATCTCTTTGTCGAGCTCTCTGTGGAGGCTGAAGGCGGCAAAGCCGAATTCTCAGGCGCTGATTTCCCAGCTACCCTTGACGTTGTCGACAATGAACGGAAAGCAAATTTGTTTGCCAAGTTGGTAGCTGCTGTCCCGCCTAAGAAGATCGGCTCATCATCCGATCCATCCGCGATAGGAGCAGCTACGGTCTTTCCTTTTTTGGGCGAGATGCCGGTAGCTCGGGAGGCAGAGGCAGCAGAAACACTTCGTATGGCTGCTCTAGCACTCGCAAAAGGCCTCATACTGGCCATATTCGGTCGACTGATGAGGATCGGTTCGTCCGATGAAGAAGAAGAAGAGGAGGAGGACGAAGCGGTAGGCTCTAGCGCGGCCATGGAGCTGACAGAGCTGGTCTCGAAGGAGCTTCAAGAGAACTTGCGTCCTTTCATCTCTGCGTAACGACCTTGCTGGAGGTGCCCTGATGCCCGATGAGCTGTCGTGCAAATGTACCGTGATGTAGGTGGTAGGATATGCTGAATTTCAAGCCAAAGAGTCGCGTCAACGCGGAAAATTATTAAATCTCAGCCGGCCATCGTCAAACTCACTGCAATAAGAAGCGATTGCTCTTGAGGACTCAAAACCAGATATGCTACGAGGAGACGGATGATGGCTCGGCTCACACGCTGATAGCCTTGCCATGGGACTGACTCCTACTCCTCGTCATGCCGTCCGTGTGGACACTGCCCTGTCCAGTTATCCCTCACCGTTCATCACCCGATGCGTCTTTCGCCACTTTGCCACTTTTGGCTTGGCGTGTATATGTGTCGGAGACGAGCCTTCAAGCGACGTCTCTCTCGAATCATCGAAGCTCGCTGGCATCTTCGCTCGTCTTTTCAAAGGTCTTTGACTCACCATGTCAACAGGTCCACCACCATACGCTCCTAGGGAACATGCTCAAGGTGAGATCATACTCACTACAATCTACATACACCATCAGTAATGCACCGCGCGGCTGATCCTCCCCTGACGCAGTACAACCTCCGGCACCGTCCTCTTCTACATCCGGAGCGCAAGCGACCACCTCTTCGACCCCATTAGAATTCTCGGAGACGACGTCTGTATGTCTTGAATGGCGTCTGAGTGGCCTCAAAGCCATGTACGATAGTACAAAAGGTGAAGCGAAATCGTGAGTGTACTTGCTGCCTGTCGTCATCTCGGGTTTGATCATTGATCGCTGACACTGAGTTTGCCATGAAAGCAAATGTATCAAGTCGGCAGTGTTTGGCGATGCGGACAACCTCTGGGAGGTACTCTGGTATCCGAACTCTGGGGCTGCAGGAGGAGAATTCGCCAGTCTGTATCTGTCCTGCGTGGTGGGTGGTCTCATCTTCTGTTGCTCCTCTGTTCCGTGAACTCCGTCCCGTCTGACGGTGTCTACAGCCCACGGCGCAGGAACGAGAATCCAGTATCGGCTCCAAATGGACACGTAAAGGTCTTTGGTGGTTCCGATTCGAGATTCGCTCCACTGTTCCCGATGAGAGAGTCAACAAGATCGTTACACTCGCCACGAAGGACGCATCAGATCACACATTTGCAGTCAAGACTGCCAATTGGGGATGGCAACAGTTCGCAAAGAGAGATTCACTGTTCATTCATCCTACTGTCCAACTTTCAGACTCCTTCTTGATCGTATGCACGATTCAAGCCCAACCTCAACCTCCGGCTGGATACTGGCTCGGGATGGGTCTACCTCCCCCTGCACCTTATACAACGGCAAATACCACCGTCAATGGACGTAATGTTGGTAGTGGCGGTGGTCTGAGTGCTTGGGCCGGTGGTCAAGGAGCCAGTGGAGGTGTGGCTGGGGGTACAACAGCCGCTGGAGGAGTTAAACGGGTTGTTCCTCGGGATCTGCTGTCCTCTGTTGGTGCTCTGCTAGACGATCCTCGTGAGTGCAAACTTTATCCTCCGGAGGGCCTCCGTTTGCTGACACGCTCATAGTTTACTGTGACATTGAATTCATCATCCCTCCTTCGACATCAAATAAACGGGGCATGGTCATCGAGCCAGAAGTGACGTCGGAACCCAAGCGGATCTACGCCAGCAAGAAGCTTCTTGTCCGATGCGAGTACTTTGAAGCCATGTTCAATGGCGGTTTCCGGGATACTGAGGGTGCCATGGAAGATGTGGGTGACTGGTTTGCTCCCTTTTTGGTCTCAGACGGGATGTGAACTGACCTGACACTGTAGGAGGAGATGGACGACGATCTCGACATGCTGTCAGACTCTGATGTCGAAGATGAAGCTATCGAAGCGTCCTCGTCGTCTGGGCTTCACTTGACAACCACGATGAGCCGGCAGTCCGATGCTCGCGTCTCGCCTCATAATTCCTCTCCTCCCGCTGTGAACTCTCACGAGCAAGAGACGGAGCATGGTCCAGGCGATGACAGCATTATGGAGGAACAAGGTCCAAATCAAGGAGGAGGAGCGGGAGGTGGTGGTGGAGCAGGCGGCGGCGAAGGACATGCCGATTCAGCGATGGAAGAGGAGGTGCCTGTTGTACCTGATGAGGTCATCCAATCGAAGAGAGATCCCACCATGTCCAGTGGAACGACGCCGACTCCAGGTAGTCAGCTCGGCATTGGTCCGATATCGGGACCGAGGAAGACAAAGGTCATGATTAGAGATGCAGCTTGGAGCACATGGTGGGCTGTCTTGTACTGGGTGAGTGCGCCGACCGATCAGTCTGTATCAAAACTGATCTTCCCCGCCCAGCTCTATACCGACATCATCTACTTTGCCCCTCTGACCTCTTCATTCCCCAAATCCTCATCCTCCACACCATCCCACCATCGATCTCTATCCCAATCAGCCATCGTTCAAGTCGATGCGCAGACTCGACGTGAATGGATTCGACAATGGATGGAGGAAAGAGGCATGAAGTCTCCATCGAATCCCAGCGGCCCACTTGGCCCTCGACCCGTCAGCGCCAAAGCAGTCTACAGGCTAGCAGACAAATTGGTCTTACCTGCTCTGAAACTCAGAGCATTCCAGCACATCTGTGGGCAATTGTCCTCACAGAATATACCCGCAGAGGTGTTTTCAAGATTCTCCTCGACATTCGAGGATGTTCGAAAGGTCGGCTCGCTTTGAAGTTGACCTCGTATGGGGATGTTGAGCTGACTTTTCTGGCCCAGGTTCAAGTAGCATTCTTCCTCGCTCATTGGCAAGAGATCAAGAAGTCAGAGACCATGACTCAGATCTGGCAACAGATCCGTCTGGGCAAACATATTGGATTCGAGGAGGGTGAGTTGACAGGAGCAGGCAGAAGAGGGAGGACGATTGCTGATGTCCGGCGCGCCGACTCAGTGTGGCCGCTCATCGTTTCTCAGTTGGAATTCAGGCAGTCATAAGGGGGGCCAAAGTGATCGGCATGTACAGATAAGAAAGTCACGGACATGCAGTAGATCTTGTAGGCTGACACCGAGAGTCGTTCGCCGAATATGATGAGATATATATATTCATAGTGACAAACACACACATATATTGATCTGAGTCTGCGGCCGATCGCCGGATTTTGATTGACGAATTGAATGGAGGCTTGTACTCAACTAATTTCTTGACATCAGCGCGTATTCATCCATCGCAGAGCTGCTATTCCCCTTCCAAAACCCACAATCAACCCTCTAGCATACAATGATCCTCGCCAGCTCGTCCAGAATCACACTCGATCATTTGGCTCGATGGTCGACTCGACCTACCCTCCAGCAATGTCGAACTCTCGCATCCGATGCGTACTTCAAACGTCCCCCGCAGACGTCAACGACACCTGGTCCTGCTTCCTCGACGTCTTCGTCTACGGTCCCTGATGAGGCTACGAACGACACGCCTTCGAACCTCACACCCGCTCAGAAAGAGCTGATAGACCGGATCATCCGAGTAGATCAAGCGGGTGAAGTGGGAGCCAATTGGATATACAGGGGACAAAAGTTGGCTATGCAATTAAAGGGGGATAATAAGTCTGCAGCTCAGATCGAGGTTCGTACCTCGTCTCTTTCTCTGATTCTTTTACTTCTATCTCTCCTCTCTATCAATACTTCCGCTCTAAATCGAATCGCTGACGCATTTTCCCCTCCCTTTCTGCCCCCTTCTAGGCGATGTGGGAAACTGAACGACATCATCTCGCCACGATGGATCTCTTGCGAAAACAACACAATGTCAGACCTACTGCCCTGTACCCATTATGGCAAGCAATGGCGTTGGCACTAGGCACAAGTACAGGGTTAATGGGTCGAGAGGCAGCCATGGCATGTACCGAGGCTGTAGAAACGGTCATAGGGGAGCATTATGATGAGTGAGTGAGGACAAGATTGTCTACTGTTCAACATCCCTGTGCTAGATCTCCACGTTGGTCTTGTCGATATGATGCTGACAAAAATTTGTTGATACCCTCAGCCAATTGAAAGCCCTCAAACCACTCATCGAGACGCTATCCATTTCAGACCCTGCTCATCCTTCACTCCCTCTTCTCCGAGACATCCTCACGGAATTCAGGGACGATGAATTGGAACATCTAGATACAGCAGTGGAAGAAGGAGCTCAAAAGGCTCCAGGCCATGCGTTGCTCAGTGCCGTCATTGAATTGGGGTGCAAAGCAGCCATAAAAGTATGCGAGAGAATCTAGCTCAATTCTAGTCAGTGATTCAGATCTCCATTGTAGCCATAGCGAAACCTCCGTGCATTGTGATACATTGGATATAAACACTTCTATGATCTCTTCAAGTCGCACAAACTTCCATCACTCTAATAGACGAGGATGGGGGACTGCCTCTGTCTGATCTCCGTTTTTATTGAGCCCGCGACCGTCTCTACCCTAAACATCGACCTTGACCTTCTTGTTTGGCGAATCTCTCGTTGGCGAGCCTTCTCGGGATGGCATGTGCTATTCATGATCTCAGCAGTGATTTCTATGCGGGCCCCGCTGCGTACTCACCTTCTGCAACAACTTGTCAAGCACAGCGGATTGTCCGACCTTGAGATCTCCAGAGTGTATACCAGTGTGGTAGATACGTAGAATCATATCGACATCTTCCATAGACTGGGTTCGAACGTCGGCAAGCTCCTTGATCTTGGCAGTGGCGTCCTTGATCTGTAATGACAAGTCAGGCATACCTCTGCAAAACGATAGAAAGATCATCTACCTGCTCGTCTGTCATGTTGAGATTTAGTTGCTCCACACGGCTCTTGACGGCATTCCATCCTGTCAATCGATGTCTGGTTTAGACGAGGATCAGCTTTGCACTGCCAGTCGACAGGACTCTGGGACTCACCCAATGGAAACGTATCGGGTCATACCGAAATCAGCCGGGTTCAAGATCTCATATGTCGAAGGGTTGGCAAGAATTGCCTTGGCATGAATACCGGCCTTGTGAGTGAAAGCGCAGAATCCAGTGATGTAATTGTTGCTTGCGTCAAATGAGCAAACATATCTCGCGAGATCTGCTGGGAGACTGCCTCACAATGGCACGGAGATCTCGACAGCCTCGGCAACCAAGTTTTCAATTTCTCTCAGCATTGGCAAGTTGTACTTGCTCTTGACGTATTCAGGATCGGCGACCATCATTCGAGCGATCAGTCCTCCGAGCGGTGTGATTCCATTACGCTCTCCGATACCGAGCTGAGAAGGGCATCAGAACGTTTTTGTGTCGCCGCAAGGTGCATCACTCACGACCGATGTATCGACGTGAGTTGCTCCAGCTTCTAGCGCAGCATAAGCGTTCGCAATGGCTATTAATTGTCGGTCAATCTGATTCTCTCTGAAGCGCTTGGTCACTTACCGCATCCCGTGTCATTGTGGAAATGAGTCTCAATATCACAACTGACAACTCCTCTCAATGTTCTGACAAGGTCGTAGACCTGTCTTGAATCTGCGCATCCGACGGTATCCGCAACTCCGACTCGATTGACTCCAATCTTGTCGACTGTGCGGTAGATAGATAGCAGGTCGACCAATTCAGATCGGAACGAGTCTTCAGATGAGAATCGAATCTCGATGCCCTTCGACTTGACGAATTCGATGACTTCGATGGCACTAGATACGAGAAGTCAGTAAGGGGAAAGTTGCGCCACGGCATACTCACGTCTTGGTGATCCAAGTCATGTCCTTGCCGTGAGAATGATCTCTCAAGAAGGACGAAGTCCCAATGACGACATCCACACCATCGACACCTGACCCAAGCATCAGTCACACGACCAGAATCCTGGGACGCCAGAAATCGGACTTGCCCGTCTCAACGGCCAACCTAGCATCATCCATGTGACATCTGATATGGGTCAGAATCTTGGTCCTCTTGAGTCCGAGCTTGCAAATGGCCTCGCAGTGGGCTCTTGATTCGGGCGAAGCGGCAGGTGAGGTGAGTTCAATGTACTCGACTCCGAATTCGTCGAGCCTGTAAGCGAGGTGTCAGCGGAAGCCACCAACCGAGGTCAGAGATGCAGCGCACATCTGAGCAATCTTGATCTTGGTCTCAAGCGTGAAAAAGGCATTTGCGAACTGTTCTCCCTCTGATGGACGAAAACGTCAGCTCTGGCATGGCGCCGGTTCCACCATCTCGCTTCTTCTACTCGCCTCTAAGGGTAGACTCGATGATCTGGTGCAGAGCCATTGGCGTTAGCAGTGCAAGCAGACGTATGGGACGCGCATTTGACCTTCGCGGCTCTTGATACGCCGACTCACCTTCCAATTGCTCGTGTTACTCAAGAAATCACTCGCTCTCCCGTACATATCTTTGTGGCTCTTGACCTTGGGTGGGGCGCTGTGATGATTCGTATCGACGCCATTGGATTGATGTCCATTCGGTTGAGTACCATTCGTTCCGGCAGGTACGGGTGGTGGGATATGAGGTTGAGAAGAGGTGTTGATGGGTACCATCTCTTCCCCGTTGGGATTGGATTGGTCGGGGACGTGAGGGCACATGATGGAGGAGGCGAGGTGGGGTGCAAGTCTTTCAAAAACGGTGTCACTTGATTTGAAGTCCTTCCAAGATCAGTTTGGGATGTTTAGATGCTTTCCAATCGTATGCTGTCCAAAGATCAAAAGTCCAATAGAATGGTTGATTGGCTTGCAAACAGTAGTTGGTCGGTGTCAAGCTGCTGCTCCCAAAGTTTGAACGAACGGCTGGAAATTTCAAACCCGAGAGTCATCCGCCAATTCGAGTCAAAATTAAAAATGGACCAATCACGAGACGCTATAATGAATCATTCCCGATATCGGAGAGAGGAGCGTTTGGGTGAGGGCGGGCAGCCATCAGTAAACGGGGGACATGATAAATAATATATACACGGGAATACTTGGTAATGAACCTCATGTACTAGACGTCGACCATGCCATGCTTGCGACCATAGCTCTCGAGCTACTCATCACTTCTTCCCCTTCTTCTTCGCACCTCCCTTGTCCTTCTCGACCGCTCCACCTTTACGCTTATCTCCAGCCTTTTTCCCATTCGCTTCTGGCTCTTTCGGTTTGACCGTGAAGAATCCATCGAGTCGCCCTTGCTGTTTCGCAGTGATCATCTTGGCCAATTTCGCAGCTCCAGCGCGGACACGATCCTCACTGATGACAAGGTCAGGTATATCCAAGAGATGCAACGGTATCACGGCTCAAGGGTTCGACTCACTTGAATCCCTTGTCGCGACAGAGGAAGTCCACCAATCCATCCGTGTCAGGGACTTTCCAATCGAGCTGAAGCACACGTCAGGGCTGATGCCACCATTCATGACGCCGCACTCACCTCGAGATCCTCTCCCTTGACCACATCAGGTTTCAAAAACACCTTTTTGGCCTCCTCCCAAGGCCAGAATTCCGGAATTTGCATCCCTGCACTCGTGACTTTCTTCTTTTTCGGGCTCTTGGCAGGCGCCGCTGGCTTCTTCTTCATTGGACTTGAGGAAGGTCCACCACTCTCCTCTCCCCAGTCTCCACCACCGCCTTCTTCGCTCTCTCGATCAGAGTGAATGGGCTCGTCCTCGGATTCAGATTGTTGAGCTATCGCTTCCGCATTGTCATGCGCTTTTTCAGCCATCTTGCCACGGACAAAGTCTACCACATTGCCTAGTCCACCGTGTTCTCTCAACAGTTTGAGCGCGGTCTTCGGGCCGATCCCTTTACATGGTTCTAGGTAATCACATCCGAGGAGAATACACAGCTCGATGAACTGAGCTGAGGGTCATTTCTTTTGCCATCAGAGGGTATGTGTCTCCACACCCACCTGGTCCATAGTCATCTTCAGATCCTCCAGGGCCGTCTGCAAGTGGATCTCAGAGATGGGCATCTTTTTCGCCTCGCTAAAGGTGAGATGTCGAAGGAGGATGGGAGAGTTGAATGTCAATGTATCCATATCTTCAGAACCAGCCGCATAGACTTTCCCGGCTCGAGCTAGTTCAGCGCACTGTGCTTCTGCTTCACCGGGAGCCTTGAAAGGGATGTGAGCTTTGAGCCTTTTTCACGGATGGGATATAGCTCACGGTGACGACTGGAATGCCCATGAGTGCCAAAAGCTTCTTACACTCGTCATTGTGCTCTTTGGTAACTCTGACTTGTCGTCGAGCCAGTCGATCAATGTCCTCGGCGGTACCTATCCAGAGTGAGCTATACTCAACAACAAAATGGATAAGGCAGCGCACCAGTCTCCTTTGCCTCTTCTTCTCCAGCTTTGGCCTCTTCCCGTCTTTCGAATCGTTTTGCGAGCTAAGGCGAAGCATCAGATCCTGCTTTTTCTACCGTCGAAGGCTCGCAACACACCGTCCTGCTCTTCAAATCTGGAGGCTTGCCATCGAAGATATAGCACGGTTTGATCCCATGTTCAACCATTCGAATGGTACGGTAGAAAAATCCCATCAGATGACTGGCAAAGGGTCAGCTCATCCTTATCGAGGAACGACGCACCTCGTCACGTCACCTGATTCATTCATCAACATTTGACCATCTTGCTGTCTGACAGCGATGAGGAATTGATAGATGGACCTAGTAATTTCACCAGATCAGTCACTCCCGTGTATTTCTATAGGTTTGGCAGCCTACATAGATGCGTCAATGGCGACTTTGCGGCCAAAGAGCTGTCGAGGGAAGATTCGATTCAGCCAAGATCCATGTCACTGTTCATCTCAGACCCTCACCGTCTTCATCTCGTGATCCCTCATGGCTCGAGGTGCATGCTCACTGAGCAAGCCCGTAAGACCTAGAGGAAGCATTCAGCAGACGTCATGGCTCGCGTCATGCAGTGGTGAGAAGCCGCAAGAGTTCTGTTGGCTTAGGAATCGTAAGTCATACTCACCCTTGATACCCATTTTGCGCGAGATGGGCTAGCGTCTTGAAACCAGCTCCAAGGTCGCGATAGCTATCTGAACATTGAGCATCTCGTCGGGTTACTCGATCGGAAAAAGGTCAAAAATCCATGACGCGTCTGATCCACCGTGAGAAAGCCTTCAAGAGGATTACAAGTACTGGCAGAGTCTGTGTAGATGAAGGATGAGAAGATGCAATAGACATTTTGCAGAATGAGCCCAGCGTTCAGAAGTCATGGCCCTACTGCTGAGAACACCAGGAGCTCGCCTTGAAAGACTTTCATTCATACTTGACCGCAACTACCAACTTTTGACTGGACTCGACTGGGCTTCGCACTTATCCTTTACGTTTCATCCCTTAGATAGCACTCGGCTCATCGTGCACCTTTCTGAGCCTAATTGGCGATACCACTGGGGAGAAGATCAGTCAATGAGCTTTGGTGCTTATACCATTCGTCACTCACATGACTCCACAGGCGGCTCGACCACCAGCATTTCCAGTCTTGAGCGAGTCGGCGTGCCCGCCCTTTCCGAGATCATCGGTACCTTCGTGAACGACGACGGATCGACCGATAATCGAATGGGCGCCAAAGAGGGAGATGTGTTTGTCTGTTGAAATCGTGTCAGAGAGCTTCAGCAAGCAGAAGGTGAGAGATAAAGTAGCGATCGAAGCGGGTGATTTGGGGTGGTACAGACGGGATTAATCCCAAGGATGTACGATACCCACCAGTGATGTTGACGCTGGCGTTACCAGATCCATCAGTCTTGACATTTCCTGAAGTGCGATTTCATCAGCCCAGCATCACCGCACAAGACATTGGTTGACTTGCCGAGGTCTCCGACGTGTCTCTCTTCATCGTCTGGACCTCCGTGGTTCTTCTTGTTAGGGTTGAAGTGGGATCCAGCAGAGGTGCAGCCGTTACTGTGTGAGACATAATCAGCTTCAGGTGGCGTCAAGTGACCGTATTAAGCTGACGTGTTGTCACCGAATTCGCTAGGTTGAGAGTCAGTCTCGATTTTTGCATTCCGGAGACCACGAGTGATTCTCAAGGCCACTCACTGGATGTGGAATCCCCTTTCGGCGTTCGCAGAGAGGTTCTTGATCTGCCCATCGATGTGTCAGTGATCTGATTTATCCAATTTTCCACACGGTTCACTTACGTCTCCAGATACAGTCACTGGGGAACCCTCGGCATCTTGAGTAAAGGTAATGACTCCAGAAACGGAAGAGTCTCCCTTGAGGACAGCGACGGCCTAGAGTGGTACAAGTTATACACATTGTGCGGTGGATGTACAGATCGATCAAACAGAGAGGCAGATCAGGTTGGACGGGACAAGGATACGATGGAGGGTATTATGGAGTGAGTTGTCGTGATCGAAAGGAAAGCCAAACGAGGTACAGCAGTGATCAACTCCTGGTACTTGATCAACGAGACAACGCCTCACCTTGACCATGGTTGCAAATAGCTACGATAAGAAGTGTTGATAGATCCCGTTGAGATGAGAGAGATGAGGCAAGAAAGTAGAGAAGCGAATGGCGAGGATGAGGCCTTTTCAACCCAACCCCGCTGGACCTCCACCGGCTCGGGTGACGTGACCCGAAAGGCGCAGTCGGTGTTTTAATCCATTGTGGCAGCTCATTTTGAAGTCTGTCTACTCTATATATGTCTATACTGCATGCTGATACGGGCGTGCACCTCACACACCCACACGACAATTATCCAAAGCGAATATCAAGACATCCTCCGCGCCTACAGTCTCCAACTCGTCCATCACCTCTGCCATTTTCTTCCTCTCCACCATGGCGCTCACCGCCACCCAACCTTCTTCATCTAAAGGACTGACCGTGGGAGCTCTTCGGCCAGGCGTGATGCTGAGCGCAGCATCCAATTTTGCCCGTTGAATATTATACGAAGCGTAGACGAATTTTTTAGCTGCGAGGACACCGGCGAAACGTGATTTGATGAGAGGGATGATGGGTGCCAAGGCCGGCGTGATGGATTCGTGAGGGACACGTTGGGTGATGAGGACAGCTTCAGAAGTTATGAGGGTATGGATGGCGTGAAGACCAGCAGCTCGCATCGTGTCGCCGGATTCTGTACAGCGTCAGCGAATCATTGGAGGTGGCAGGGGCGAGCGTCAAGCTTCCCTACTCACCGACTAGATCCACTGAGATATCGCATCAGCATTCATTCTACGGCGTGTTCGACACCACTCACCGATACCATCTGCCATACCTAAAGCACAAGCAGCCTCAACGCTTCCACCGACATACTCGACTTTTGTAGTCTGCTGGCCGCCAAGTTTAGCGTCTACATCCTTGAAAAAAGCCCCTGCGAGGACCTCGAAACTCGTCGCTATACGACCTCCGCTGAGACCCTCAACACTCTGTATAGGACCACTGACGGGCACTTGAACCTGAAGAGCGCATTTACCGAAACCCAATGGCAACAGTTGAGTGATATCCTCTGCATGAGTTGATTCGGCAATCACATCTTGGCCTGTGATACCGAGGGCGACGGATCCAAGGGCTACAAATCGTGGAATATCGGAGGCGGGCAAAAAGACTCTGCGACAAGGCATAAGCTCAGAAGCCTCAAAAGCTGAAAAGCTCACAAAGCGATTGGGAGGTTCTGGACCAAAGCGACATCTAATCGGTGTGCTCGGTTGTATTTGATGTCGGCGCCTGGGAAGCAGATATCAGTAGACTCACACTAATACAATGACATCTGCGCTATCCCATGACGGCAGTGACCACATGAAGTGGTAGATTGGGTCACATTGAAAGCATGGCCAACTCCCGCAGGATCTCTCCCTCACCGCAGTGCCTCCTGGCGCACTCCCCCTACTCACCAGACAACAGCTCCAAACACTTTTCGTGCAGTCTCCCTTTCTTCGGAACAGCCATCAAGAGTCTGTCTTTCAAACTATCCACCAGCAGACTCATCGTACTGTCCACCCCAAATCTTGATTTCTGACCTTGCGCCGACGGTCCTGTCGTTGCGGAGAACGGTACGGATATGGATCCAGAGGATGAGTGCTGGGTAGACATGGGCCTCGATCCTTCACCAGTACCGTTAGGGCTGGATACAGGCAGGAAAGTTGTTGGCGGATTGCTTGACATGGCGTGCGGACCGGATGTGGTGGGCCTATAAGTAAACGTGCGAGATTGGTGATGACGACTCTGACGTTGATGAGCTGAGACGTTGTCAGGCCAAAAAATAGGAATGTAGAGCTTGGTGATGTGACCTTGCGATGACAAGATGATATAGTAGCTAGAGAACCCAAGACTTCCGTTGACGATCTATTGATGCTGTTGTTGTTATGAGTCATGGAATTGACTCGACAGCATGTAGTCGGTCCGAAAAGTTGGGAAATCTTGCCACGTGGTGAAATAGGCTTCTGTTGCTGTTCAAGCTGTCGAGCCACAAGCCTATCTGATGAACGCGTGCACGCGGAGCACAAAGCCTGGACCCGCTCAGAGTTGCGAGGGGGTTGATAGGATTCTATTGGTAACATACCAACCTTGCAATTCGCTCCATTTGCAGAAGATTCGAGGGCAGACGGCTCAAGAGACAGACTTCGGACTGCAGGAGTCTTGTATCCTGAAATCTTCGCGCTTCGGATTGTAAGTGACATTCATCCACTCAACGCTCTCCTTGCAGAACACGGTGATGCCCGACAGAATCGCCCAAGCTGACTCGGCCCTCCAGGCGACCTTTGGGATATCGCTACATTTTGGCAATAGCAGTGGGATCAGACTTTGGACCCCCTTGATCAAAAACTATCACATCATGAGCTCCGAATTAGACGGACGGGCTAAGCTTCCGAATGAGATCCATTCGCCAAGCTCTCCGACTTCACTTCAGAGGTCAAAAGATGCGTCGGACAGTGAGTGTCTTTGTACCGTGATCCTGTGTGAGAGACTGAGATGCGCCTGAACTCTGCCGTCGCTGACGTCGTCTCCTCGCAAGGTAATAATCCTACACCGACGAGACCTTCGCCTTCTCTGAATACATCTCAATCCAGCACACCATCCTCCATGACGCCTTCCAACTCTATTCCATCTGGTTTGAAAGTCAATCAACAAGGTACCGTCGACTTATCCCAATCGGAGACTTCGTTACCGTCCCACACTGGTCCCATTCATTCTACGAGCCCTATTGCTCGCCGTGTTTCGGTCTCTGAAGCCAGTACCAATCCGGTCCACCGTGTACCTAAACCCAGGTCAAATTCCGCTCTTCAGTCATCTCGACCTGCACCTCCTTCCCCCGCTTCCTCCAGACCAGCTTCAGGTATCTTCTCACTCGATGGCAAATCTTCACCTGTTCCCAGCTCTCCAGGGCTCGACACGGTCCACCCACCAAGAGACAGATCGAGCAGTACCTCTTCTTCTCGAGCTAGCGCAGCAGCAGCGGCAGTCATGGGCGCAGTGGGTCGAAGATCAAGTCTCGGGACAGGTCGAGTGTCCTCCAAATCTCGTCCAAAGAGTGCACTGGGAGCATCCTTTATCGCTCAGGCTGACGCTCCTTATTTGCCTGAAAGCGGAGCTAGTACAGTTTTTTCAACCTCACATTCTGCTCCTTCTGCTGCGATCTCTGGACTGCCTTCGACGACCCCCAGCACCAATCTACCTGACTCTTCTTTGACCACTACTGCCATTCCCGAATATCCTTCTCCACGTTCATCTACCACCCAGGCTCCTCCTCAGGGATCAATCATCGCTTTAGGTTCTCCTGACCCCACTAGCCCTGGTTCGACTGCCAACCCTACTCCAACACCAACTTCGCCCACTACTGCCGTCGGAAGCACGCCCACCACACCGCCCCTTCCAGCGGTTATCATCCGAGACTACGCCTTTCCGCCCACTGATCCCCGTTTTCAAGGACCTGGCCTGCCGTTATCCGGCCCAGGAGGGTCCTCAGCACGCCGTTCATCGAGCAGGTGGTTTGGCCTTGGTTCAGACGACAACAGCCATGGGAATGGTGGAAGTGGACCGTCGAAGAAGTCTTGGGGCGGTTTCGGATTCATGTCGTTTCGGAACCTTATCCGTCGAAAGGATTCGTCCGATTCAAATGCGAGTGGCTTGAGCGGGATGGGAACGACAGAAGGTGATGAGGAGTATCGCCTACCAGTGCCTGAACCAGATCACGACGAGGATGACTATGCCTTCTCATCAGATTCTGGTTTGGAAGAAGATGAACCTTGGGGTTTGTACCGCGCAGTGTACCCTTTCGAAGCGGTTGGAGAGCATGAGATTGGAATGGAAGAAGGTGATTTGGTAGATGTTCGAGGAAGAGGAGGTGGAGAAGGATGGGTCGTAGGCGTGAGGAAAATTCTAAGTTCAGATGGGAGAGTCGTCTCTCCATTGGGACGTGGAGAAGAGGAGAAAGAAGGACTGGTTCCCGAGAGTTATCTCGAAAAAGTTGATCTGAAAGCCTTGGAGGGGAAACGAGAGAAAATCAGGAGGTCGGGCGAGAAGGACATTGCGAATCCCTCGAGCAGCACTTCCGGCAGTACAGATGATTTCGGAAGAGCTAGACAGGCTGAGGACACAATCATGGAGGAGGGGGAGGAGGCTTCGATCCCGACGGGAACCACTACCTTCTCAAAACTCCAGGCCGGCGGGGCAACTACGCAGGGATAGGGCTACCCTGCGGCATGAGAGCAGGCCGGAGACGAGATCGAGGGACGTAGGGCTCGGAAAGGACCTGAGCCAACAGGATACGAAATTCAATTAGCTGGGCACAGATTGTATCATTCGACATGTCCAGAGGGCGCAAGATAGGCTTTAGCCATTAGGGGTGGGAAAAGCACACCCAAAAACCAGGCAATGTATCGATCTCATGTTGCTCGTTGAGCCGGAACGACACAATGTGCATGCAGATCTCATCGCGAATTCTGCAATGCCCCATCTTTTCGCTTATCCCCGCGCTTCCCACATTGTATGACCTGATCTCTAGAAGTTGATGGGCTGATCGTAACTAGACAAAGCAGCCTCTTTGAAGGCTAAACGGGGGTAGACGGTCAGTACTTGAAGATCGATCAGTCATCACGGACGTACCCTCTGACAATGTAGGGTGAGCATGGCATGTCCTGGCAATGTCTTCCGCAGACGCCCTGTATTCAATGGCAAGAGTGGCAGAAGCGATCATTTCACCAGCGTTGGGGCCTGATCAAATGTGAGCCTGAATACGCAAGAGTAAGCTCTCGGGCTTACCGATAATATGACATCCGAGGACCTGGTCAGTATCCTTCTCGACGATCTAGAATGCCTTGTAAGCTATTATATGAACCAGATAATTAGGTCAGCTTACAAATTTGACGAAACCGCTAGGGGCATCGTCAGCAAGCTTGCTAGTCGAAATGCGGCTCGTCACTCACTCGGCATCCTGATTGGTCTTGGCTCGAGAGTTGGCAGCGAAGGGGAATTTGCCAATCTTGTAGTTGACTCCAGCGGCCTTGAGCTCTTCCTCATTCTTTCCAACCCAGGCGACTTCAGGGTGGGTGTAGACGACAGAGGGGATAGCGTCGTAGTTGACGTGTCCGTGTCCGTGCTTGATGATCTCGACGGCGGCGATACCTGGATCAAAGTGAGCTGAGTCCAGAGTGCCAAGGTATCGACTACGCACCCTCCTCCTCTGCCTTGTGAGCAAGCATGGGTCCGAAAGTGACGTCTCCAACGGCCTTGACTCCCTTAGCAGACGTGTTGAATTGATCGTCGATGACGATTCGGCCTCGTTTGTCGAGCTCGACCCCAATGGCCTCGAGGTTCAGGCCCTGAGTGACGGGTCGTCGACCAATAGCGACGAGGACGACGTCGCAATCGAGCTGAATGAATGTGAGCTCTTCTTGACCTCTGAGAGACTTTTAGCTCACAGTCTCCTCTTTGCCTCCCTTTGCAGCTTCAACCTTGAGCTTGATGTTGTCTCCGTCCTTCTCAGCTCCCATGACTTTGGTGTTGAGCTTGAACTTGAGACCCTGCTTGGCGAGGATCTTCTGGAACTGCTTTCTGGGCGAGAGTCAGCACGAGCTCAGGCCCTGATAGTACCAGCACTTACCCGACCTCGCCGTCCATTCCAGCTCCTACAGCTCCGAGGTACTCGACAACGGTGACCTCTGCACCGAGACGAGACCAGACGGATCCGAGCTCGAGTCCGATGATACCTCCGCCGATGACGACCATCTACAGACACGAAAATCAGCGAGTGATTCAACTGATCTTGTCTTTTCTCACCTTCTTTGGCACCTCTGTGAGGTCCAAGGCACCTGTACTCGAGACGATCTTCTTCTCATCGATTTCTATTCCAGGGAAAGGAGTGACTTCACTTCCCGTCGCAATGATGACATTCTTCGCTTCGACTTGTGTGTCTCCTCCCTCAGTCAGAGACACGTCAATCTTGGAAGGCGAGGCGAACGATGCGGCTCCCTTAATGTAGTCGACACCGTATTTCTTGAACAGGTAAGTCTCGATACCTCCGGTTAAAGTCTTGACAGAGGATTCTTTAGCAGCCAACATGGCTGGCAAGTTGAGTTTGACATCTCCGACATCTATTCCCCGCTTCTTCAAGTCGTGTTGAGTTTGGTGGTAGATGTGGGAGTTGTTGAGCCTGCATTGAGAATGAAACTCATCAACCGACCGCACCCTTTCTGATAAATGCCGTAATCCCAACTCACATGGCTTTCGATGGGATGCATCCGACGTTGAGACACGTTCCACCCAAGCTACCTCGCTTCTCAACACAAACGGTCTGGACAGACAGACGTCAGGATCTCGTTGTACCCTTGAGTGGGAATTGCACTCACCTTTAATCCCAGCTGGGCGCTCTTGATCGCCGCTACGTATCCTGCGGGACCACCTCCAATGATAGCCACATCGTATGGCTCATTCGCAGTGGCAAGTCCACGCGACGAGCCAAGTGGGACAGTCCGTATCAGGCCGCGGGAGAGAGAGTGGGAGGATGAAGGATTTGTAAGGGGACGGAGGAGGTTTGAGGACTGATAAAGGCGATCAGTCAGCAAGGCTTCTTTCGGGGCTAGACGTGCGGGATACAAAGCGATGAGATACTAAGATTCAAAGTCGTCGATCTTCTGTAAATTCTGCCCACGCATTGCGCGAGCACCTCGCATCCGCTTAAACACTCACCATTGGGGTTCTGGTGAACATGGTGATATGTACCGATCAGGTGTGCAGATTTGCTATCCGAAACAAAGCGATGCCCCCTGAGCTTGAGTTTGAGATAGAGCGCTTCGAAGTCAGTCGACAAGCTCGTGGCTGTACTGAATGTACACCTTCGATAGCAGAGAAGCAGATCAACAAGGATGTTGGTAGGACGGCAAAAAAAGGAGAAGGAAATGCGAATTGTTCCCAAAATCGACCTTGTTCCGGTCCACCCGAAGAATTCCGCTGGGGGCGACATTTTCCAATAGATACATATGAAGGCAAGATCATGTTGGGGCCCTTGGGTCATCACAGCGAGCATTGCTGAGTGATCAACTCAGTCTCAGACTTGTACGGATGATCTGGGTCGGGAGATCAAGCACATCTACTATACAATCATGCATATGATTCGCTCTGACCCATATGGGGCACCCTTTTGAACTGTTCCACCTCGGGAGGTGATCAAACTTGGACTGGAGAATAGATTCAGCATGGGATGTATAGCATGCTGTGGCTCTTGACTCACTGGGCTTGATCTTGAAATGAAGGGATACCAGGGAGAAGATGAAGCACTGCATTGAAAGTTGAGCGAATGTCGGACGCGAAAGCACAGTATGGTCGCTCACCTTCAAGTCCTGGACCAAATAGTAGAACACCCGCAAGCCTTCCGCATCAGAGCTCTCATTGACATCTGCCAGAGACCCAATCTTGGCGGTCTACAGTGGAAGAAGTCAGCGCTTGAGACTCGAGCCAGTGTAATCTCCAAGTAATGATGTGTTCCGGGACCATTCATTCGTACGGAACCCACCTCGAACGATATGTGATCCTTGTCGACTCGCACTTCCAGCTCTTGCCTTCCTACGATGTTCTTCTTCGGCCAAGAAGCGTCGTCTTCCCTACAGAGCGAAACGATTCAGTGTGCCTTGCTTGCAACAGTGATGGACATTTTCCCACTTTGTTATCTCGCTCTCCCGGATGATTCTCTTCAACTCCTCAGCAACGGTCGCAGAGACATACACTACGTGGATTCAGCACAATATGTCAGGTCACGGTGAGGCTCTGCCGTGGATGTTGGAGGTAACCAGGAACAAGTCGACTCACTCTCTTTCCTGATCAGCGAGTCGTTCCTGTAATTTGAGTTGTTGGCGTATCTGATACGGCCTGTTTCATTCAGCACAGCTCCCCACACCGATGACAGTCTTGCGCCTCACCATGAGCGTATTCGAATTCCAGAAACTCGTGGCCATGCATTCCTTGATGCCCGGTGCTGTGGTCAAATCAGTAAGGATGGCTGCATAGACTTGGGGGCTTGTCAAACTGACTAGTATCTGCGGAAGACGAGTCAGTAAGGTCTGATGATGCCAAGTCCAGCGACCTAGGTGATTTAAACTGCAAGACTATCGACTCACCGGACATAGAATGGATCTCTCTCCAAGTCTGTGGACGCCATGTTGGACTGAGGTGTAAGGAAAATGGGTCGTGTCAGAGCCTTTTTTCGACGCTCGCTGGTCTTTCCCTGAAGCGGATATCACAACTTGCTCTGAAGCCTTTCGATAATACAGTACGTGGGCGAGTGAGGTAGTTCTAGATTCGACTCTAAGCTTGGATAGACTAGCGAAGACAGCTTGTCAATAGATTTCTGAGCGGAGCAGCAGGGCTCGGGGGAGTCAAAGAGGTCCACGTCATGTTCTTTGATAAGCAGATTCCAATGAAAATGTAATGAGCTTTTATCCCGTCACAGCGGGATCAAAAACCACCCTTTTCGGGGTCACAGATAGTTGCTTCGGAGTCCCGGGCATCAAATGCCCATCATTTGCGAGATCCCGATCAAAACTCGGAGCCTCGCTCCATTCCGACGACACTCACCTCTTCTCAACATCTGGCCTGACAAACATGGGCAGCCTATATCCTATTCCAGCAGGCATATCTCTCCTTCTGGCTGTACATGGTCTACGTAAAGGCTCACTCTCCGAATCAGGGGCCATCTCCGCGTTCCTCGTTGGATACGGACACTTGGCAAACCCGACCAAGGCTTTCGGCGTAGCTCTCATCGTGTTCTACTTCATAGGCTCCAGAGCGACGAAGGTGGGTGGCCTCTGAATCATCTCGCTAGAAACACCCACTGGAACTGATCTCTCTCTCTCGCGACCCAAGGTCAAAGCAGAGATCAAGGCGAAACTTGAAGATGGGCCGGATCCCTCTAAACCTGGAGGCAACAGAAATGCCATGCAGGTGGGGGGGAAAAGCCTTTTTCCCTCCAGTCAGGAGACTTACCCATCAGTTTCATAGGTCATCTCGAATTGTATCCCTTCGCTCTTAGCTGCGCTTTACTTTAGATTCGGTCCACTATCACCAGTGAGCCAAATCCGCCTTCTTCCAAGGATCCAAACCCAGCTGACCCTTGCTGGCCATCATGGCAGAGTGAACGCCTCACGCAATGCCCAGTCGACGGTTTACAGAAACAGCTCATATACCTCGCGTTAGGGTACGTCCATGCCTTGAATATCTGTTCTCGACTGATATATCAGCCAACTCGCGACCAACTTTGGCGACACGCTCGCTTCGGAACTTGGTATACTATCACCCGTCCGGCCGCGATACATCCTCACCGCACGATCAGTCCCACCAGGGACAAACGGGGCCGTATCGACTTTGGGCCTGCTCATGTCTGCCCTAGGAGGAGCCATCACCAGCCTAGTGATGATCTTGACGCTGGTCATTGAACGAAGGGCATGTAAGAATGATTTGAGTTGGGCTTGGGAGATGCTACTTTTCGGTATGGGAGCAGGATTCTTCGGGAGCCTCGTGAGCGCGTCTTCCACTTTGCCCTCTCATCCTCAATCTCCAATTTACCACCCCATCCGTAGCTCGACACAGTCCTTGGAGCGACCTTACAAGAAACAATGTACTCGACAAAGGACAAGCGCGTGCTCACTGACCATTCGAGTCGGTCGACGAAAGAAGCTGGTCTCAAAAAACTGGGTTTCGGTCTAAACGTCCTCAGCAATTCTGGAGTCAACTTTGTCAGCGGAACCATCATGGCGGGTCTGGGATGGCTTTACGCCGCTTGAGGTAGATGAATGCAAAACCAAGACAAGCATGACAGTTGGCGCTCATAACAATGCAGTCATTTAATGCAGCGGACCCTTGCCATCGTTCGTCATGAACATTTCCGCTCTCCAATCTCGCTGCGCCAAACGTTTTGAGATACATTTCAGTTCACATGAGCACCATCACGATCACCATCTCCCGATGACTGCCTTTGCCCGATTCATCATCTCTTTCGTCCTTCGTTTCCTATCGTCCATTTGAGCAGCTTGTGTTCGGAGCAGATATGCCGAGACGAACCTCTCCACCTAATTTTTAATGCGAATGAGCCTCGTCTCATGCTAACAGCCTGCTTGCACCACTCACCTCGGCTAAATGTATAGAATCTCTTTCGTGAACCCAGAGATCAGCCAAGACTCCGGCCTCTTCAGCGTAAAATTCTCGCTCTTCGTCCGTCTCGGCCTGAGGGCATATTCACATCAGCCGAGTCAAACGCAGGGAAGATGGGTCAGACCCACCTGATCGTGAGAGATCATGACAACTTCCCAGCACTCCCTCATTGGCACACCACCTTCCAACATGGCTCGTGTTATCCATCCCTCTTCAGCCGATGATCCCAGTAGCAAGGCTTCGCTGTACACTACACCGATGACAATGTCTTCTCATCTTCAGCATGATCCCTTAGGAACAACAGCAAGTAGCTCACCCAGTGGCGCCGCCTCAGACGGGAAGTATCGCCTAAATAGCTCCACTACCTTTTCACCCATCGCAGCGTGCGGCGTCGGACCAATCGCGGCGTTCTGCAACAGTTGTCTCCAAACCGCTTCGCATACGTCGTCAACTCGCGTATCTGCCGTCTTGAGAATCAAGAGGATCGGCTCGTATAATCGAAAAGGTCTCGCAAAGTTTTGATACAGCTACAAAACGCAAATCAACGTAGACCCTAGCCTCGGGTTCGTCAGACTCACCTCGTCTAATCCAAGAAGATTGGTGTTGAGCTTTGCAAGCACCTCATCCTTTTCCACTCTGGTCATATCGGGATGCCCTTCGATACCCCGGCCGACCTCCTGCTGCACTTGAGCGACTTCCAAACGTTCTTGCACAGAGCTGATGAATTCAACATCGTCCGCTCCAACCGAAGCGGCAGATTTAGCAGAAGTGAGTGATTGAGCGAGGTAGTACACGCGGTCCGTCAAGGTCATAGGGCTGGTCCGGTAAGCTTCCTGGTCATCGGAGATATCGCGAAACGCACCTCTGTCGTACGGCCAGCTCGTGCAGTGCTTTCGCCGCAAGCAAATACTCCCCACTTCGCGCGTAGAATTTCCAAAGCAGATCTCTGCGATCCTCTATATCGCTGCTGGTTTCTTGCAGGTATTTCTCGATGAATGGTGTGGCATACTGTTTATGGTGAGTCGACCATCAGAATGCGGATGCTCTACTCACCTCGAGAAGCTGTTCTTGGCGGTTGGTAGCGACCTGCCAGTCATAAAGGTAAAAGTGGAACAGCTCGTCGTCGGAATTAATGGCCAAAGAGTACGCGTCGTCCCGTTTCGCCTCAGCAGCGTCGACTATGAAGAGGTACCCGTCAGTTTCGGGATAGCTCCTGAGACTGCTACGCCAGCCTTACCATATCCCTGACCATCGTTGATAGCCTGGTTTAGAGCTTCGTCGTACATCGCCAATGTCTCAATGACACAAGCGTAGCACTCCATCCGTTGCTCAAAGAATTGCTTCCGGGCATCTTGAGGATGTCTGCCATCGTGGACGTAGTCGAGAGCGCGATCTTGAGGGTCCAAATTCGACGCACAATTTAGTCCGAGTTCGATAGCGCCAGGCGCATACTGCAAGGAACGCATGCGCTTGGTGATCTCGCCGATGCGCGGGAATATGGCTGACCCAGCACGAGATAAGAGTCTGCGACGGGGTGATGAGTCTTAGATGACGGCGAATTTGCAACTCGGCTCACCGAACGGCTTCTCCTAAGGAGTCTGACCGCTCCGATGGATCCCTGGATCCCTCAGCACGACGCATGCTCTCTTCCGCCTGACAGCCAGGTCAACAAATCGCAGCTGCACTGCCCCTACACCATCAACTCACCTTGTATAGCACCACATCGCCGGGCTGGACAAATGTCCCGCATCGCTGTTGCAAGATCTCACTCAACGTGTCGATCTAGGCCGCTTTGTCAGCCTCCCGGGTCATTTTCAACGACCTTTCGCTCACGCCAAGCTCTTGACCAATCTGTTGCTCGATCAAAGCAGTCACCAATTTCTTCGCAATGTCCTTTCCGTTGATACTGCAGACCAAGTCTCTCCAAAGGAGATTGCTAAGAGACGACTGCAAAGGTCCATCACACCTGCACTGCGGTCAGTACAGTTCTCATTGGACCCCGCATGACCACTCGCCTCGCTATGATTTCTGATATCCTGTAATCGTTCAACAATAGGATGAATGAAATGGCCTCTATGGCCTGGTTGAGCAGTTTTTTGAGCGCTTCCACAGATGACTCTTCCTGATCCCAAGCGAGTTTGATATCACCTTCAGCCTGCATACGGGGAAACGGGTTGCTATGGGCGGGAGGCGGTGAGTGTACGCCAGCGAGATTCGCCCAAGCCGACTCACTCGTTAGTGTATTGACGTAATTGCTCCAACTTTGCTTGAACGTCCAGAAGCACTGACTCCCCGCATCCTAGAACCTGACGACTAGGCGCAGAAGCAGTCGCGGCAGTCGAGAGCGTCACTTTGGAGTCCCAGATCGGTCGCAGAAATCTTGCCAACGTCAGAGCCAGTCCATCATGTCGTGGAGAGTAGAGGATCGATTTGCCATTCGCTCCGTTGATAACTTGAGGAGCTTGAGCGTTGTGCATGATATGTGAAAGGGCCGAGGTGAGATCCTGGTTCTTGATGCTTGTCTTGGCGCCGAGCGTGATGCTCATAGCGGCTAGCTGGACTCGACCAAAGCTGCGTCGAAGTAAGCGTGCGGTCACCGGACAGCTGTCAGAACATGGACTCACTTTGCGCCGACTACTTCCGCTGCGTCTCGTTCCGTCTCCAACCCCGCCGACAACATGTCTAGTGGTCTACTTTGTACCGCAAAGAATATGCCCCCAGTAGACAGGATGATAAAGCTTCTAGACTCTACGTTGGCTTGCCGAGCCAGAGGGGCCAGCGCGAGACTGTTGGACTTTCTCAGTGTCGAGGGCAGATTCGCAGGGTCTGTCTTTGGAGTCTCCGCGATGGTCCATATAGAGCTTGCAACTTGTTCCGAGGTATGCCATTCGGCCATATTGGCAGCCGATGGATCCTGGAAACCGTTCTCTTTCGCAGCTGCCAGACGGCCAGTATGAGGCGTGATCATGTGGAGAATACTGGTTGGAGTTGGCTGAGATGTATCCGTTTGGACAGCAAAGACCGTCCCGGACGAGTAGAATGTCGATTGCTCTAATTTCAAATTCTGAACAGGAGGAGGTCTGCGCAGAATTGGCGTGCTTCCGAAGTATTGTAGGTTGAAATACGCACGCCAGCCTGAGAGATGATCAGCGGAATCGCACCATTAGCCGACTCACCGTTCGAAGCGAAGACTACTAGTCCCAACCTTGGACTCTCGTGTATGCCGACCGGAGCCATCGAGATGACTTTGAACACAGTGGAATCAGGACGAGAATTCGAATTGAGTCGCGCGTATTCGGCTTGGAAGTCGGCGAGTAGGCGGTTGTACCTGCCCCGGGTGATATAGTCTGTACCGCTAACGTCTATCCACTCTATCTCCCCTTTGGTATGGTATGTGAACAGCCGGTTGGCGACAGGATCGAGAGCAAAGTTCTCTACGCCTTCTTTGCCTGAGTAGGACAATCAGCGTGGAACACGGTACCACTCGCACATGACTCACCTCCTGATCCAAATACCGATGGCAAGATGTAACCCATGCCCGTCGCAGTCTTGTTGGTTACTCGAACCTTGGCTCCACTACCGAAGAGCCATGAAGAATCTGTGGTATAGTCCAGCTCGTACAGGTCCTTGTTCTCCCCTCTCAAGAACACTCTGCCATGGTTTGTCCCGCTGATCTGAAGCATGGCGGTAGGCAGGTCTGCGGTCAAATTCGTAGCATAAAGATTGAGCTCGCGAGAAGAAGGTCGTGAGACGCCGATCAGTGTGACTTTGGAGGCTGTGCAGATAATGAGGACGTGTGTGATGTCGTCAACGAAGACATCTGCGGAGAGCGGTCAGCGCAGGCGGCGATGTTCCACACTCTCACCCTTTCTCGCTTTGACCAATCCGACGGAGACGATGGTATCCGCTTGCTCATCATATCGATTGAAGTCCCGTCTGAGGGCGAGGCGAACGAGCGTCAGTGCTAAATTGAGGTGTCAAGCTGCCCGACTCACCCATCGGTGTAGTCCCAGAGAAACAAGCGGTTATCGATTGCGAACCATGCTCGGTCGATTTCCTCAAATAGGCCCATCCGGGCGGTTAGATGCTTGTCTGGCCAGGTAGTTAGCGTACAGCTTCTACTTCCTGCAACAAGTTTGACCCACAGTTGAGCTCCTGATGGAGTGCATCGGGGAGGGGAATGTTTCGAGTGATCTTCATGGGACGGAACGCAGCAGCCGGACTGGGAAGATCCACATAGGGTCTTTCGTCTGTGGTTGAGTCAGCTCATCCGATTTCCTAATGCCCTATGGGACAGCTGAACTCACTTGGCTGTGTAATAATGTCCATCAAGTCTGGACTGATCTCGGAATCTGCAGTATACCCTCTCTCTACCTTTGTCCTCGCCTTGGACAAAGGTCCATAGATGGGATCATCACCAGCTCTATATTCGTCCAGAGGCTGAGGTCCCAGACTCGTACCGAGCAGATTGGATGATGACGAATACGAGTTGTATCCAACAGTCCCATATGACCTTTGACCGTTCTGAACGCCCCAAGATCCTTGACCCTGCGTGTGCTGCATCATCATCGACTGCGAAGGCTGTTGAGGTTGATTCTGCTGGGCTCCAGACCAAGACTGCATCGTCCCTCTTGACCCACTGCCAGGTTGACTCTGATAATACGGTTGCATCTGTTGATCCTGATGTTGACCTTGATAGGGAGGTCCTGATGAACCTTGAGCTGGTGGATTGTATCCTTGTTGTTGTTGGCCATACGGATTTTGTTGAGGATACTGATTGTTTGATGAACCACCATACTGATGCGAGCTTGAAGATTGTTGCATTCCCCAGCCTTGTGATGGATTCCCACCAGCCTGGTTCGGATTACTCGAGAACTGAGAGTTCATCCCGTTCTGCTGTGGCTGTGAAGAACGGCTGATGGAGGAGGAAAGGGACGACAACATGATCTATCGGTGTCGTTGAAAGTTGACGAGAAAAGCCTTCTGTCTGCCTCCTATGTGAATCCAGCCATACGATTGTACAGATCTCTACCTCACGCTACCCAGCGCGGATGGCAAGAAGCTGCTGCGAGTCTGGATTGCAGAGCACAGTACAGCCGGTCTGACCAGCGATGCTTGCTTGATGATGCGCTCGCCATTGAATTTTGGGCTGGTGTTCATTGTGGAACGCGCATGATTTTGACTGACGAGTGTGGCACTTTGGGGGAACCCAGAGAGCTCGCTCCTGGTAGACCGCTTGCGTTGGAGATGGTGCATGCTGCGGTATCTACGGCAGCGGGCCTCGTAAGCAATACGTATGCGCGCTGGACAAATCATGGATCGATACTACTGATGCGAGTGAGATATCGAGTGCCATTGTGATGATTTTGGCTGAAGTACACCAATAATGACTGATACTTCAAACTCCACCCGGCTGAATGTCTCTCAAAGCTGCCTGTCGCGAACCAAGGTGCCCAGCCGTCCAGCCTCTCCTAATCGTGTCATGTCACTAAGTGACGCATAAATCGCTATCAAATCCCAAGTGCAACTGCCCAAACCTATACACATTGTGGAATCCTCGCCTTCGCCTTGAGTATGATGATGACGCGGGACCGGACTGACGGTCCGCTGAATTCTCCAGCTTGCCTTGCTATACTTCTCACGCCCGCCTGAGACTCCACCTGCTCACCTGTGCATCTCGGGCGAAACGAATCCACCATTCAGATGACAGACACATGTGCAAGGTAGAAGGGAGGAGGAAAACGGAAGAATCTCGGAGGAAATGACCCTTCTCTCAACTCCAGCCGGTCCGGTCCGATTCTCCCGCTCCGAAGACATGTTTTCCCAACAGCAGCCAAAAAGTTGGTTAGGTGTACTACTCACTGCGTCGATTGTAAGAACGTGTCCACAGAAAGGTCAATGAGGCTTGCCTGGATCTTGTCTTGGACGTTCTTACTCTGGACGAAAGTCATTTCAGCTTCCATACAAGAGCCATTCAAGATGTCCTCGTCCACTCCATTCGTCCTGGCTTCAAGCTCATCCGCTCTCCCGATCTTGCTCGATTCGACCGACTCCAAAGCCGTACATATTGCCGCCAACAACTTTGCGAGCGATATTCATCGTGTCACTGGAGCCAAGCCAGATGTTCATGTTGACGCTCTCCCATCAGGGTCTAAGCAAGCCATCATCGTCTGCACCGCGGGTTCAAAGCTCGCTTCCAAGCTGCGAGCAGAGGCGTTGGTCCAGAAAGTCGAGGGCAAATGGGAGTCATTCCAAGGAGCAGTATTACAGAGCCCTGTAGACGGTGTGGAGGAATCTCTGGTACTGATAGGATCAGACAGGGTGAGTTTTACTCGTGACATTGAGCTCCGGTGCTGACGCGACACATCAGCGGGGGGCAATTTTTGCCATGTACACTCTTTCGGAACAATTTGGAGTCTCACCTTTCCATTGGTGGGCAGACGTGCCTGTACGTCATCGTGACACCCTGTCGATCGACAAGTCATTCACTGTCGGTCACGGTGAACCGACTGTCAAGTACAGAGGTTTCTTCCTGAACGATGAGCATCCTGTCCTGTTCAATTGGGCACGACAACGCTTCGGAATCGCCGAGGGGCCACCATTCCAGGTTGGACTCTATGAGAAGGTGTTTGAGCTACTGTTGAGATTGAAAGGAAACTACCTATGGCCCGCGAGTGAGCGAACGCTGACTCCAAGAGGCAAAGCCTTTATACTGACATTTTTGCAAAGTGTGGCACAGCTCATTCGCTGTGGACGGTCTGGAGAATTTACCCCATCCTGCTAGACCTGGACCGAATCAAGAGCTGGCAGAGGAGCATGGTGTGGTGATGGGAACTTCACACCACGAGCCGATGAGTAGGAACCAGAAGGAGTATCATGATTTCGGGCATGGAGATTGGGACTTTGATACCAACAGAGAGTTCTTGGAGGAGTTCTGGACTTATGGTGCGGACCGAGCAAAGAACTGCGAGACGCTATACACTGTCGGTATGAGAGGGTAAGTCTGGCTGCGCCTATTCTCCGCGTATAAAAGCCGTCGCTGATCAGCCCATCCAAGTGACGGCGATCTTGCCCTGCCTGGGGCCGATATTGAACGACTACAAACCATCGTCAAGGCTCAACAGTCGATACTTAAATCATCTCTCGACACCTCCAACCTCGACTCTGTCCCTCAAATGTGGGCAATGTACAAAGAAGTCATGTCGTACTTTGCGACGGGTCTTCAAGTCCCCGAAAACGTTACACCTTTGCTCAGTGATGACAACTGGGGAAATCTCATGGCCATCATGCCAGAAGGCGATCACAAAGCCGGAGGAGGAATCTACTATCATGCAGATTACGTTGGTGATCCGAGAAACTACAAATGGCTCAGTACAGTCTCCTTGGCCAAGAGTGAGTGCAAGGTCCCTCTGCTGAACGCCGCAGACATGCTCATTGAAACGCTTCAGTGTGGGAACAGCTCAATCTCGCTCGATCATTCAACACCAAGAACATTTGGATCCTCAACGTTGGAGATCTCAAAATGCTCGAAATCCCTCTCGAATGGTTTATGAGTCTTGGATATGACTTTGACCGAGCGACCTCAACCGGTCTCCAAGGTCATCTCACTCAATGGGCCCAACGGGAATTTGCCCTCGATCAGAAAGCCGCGGCGGAAGTGGCGAACATTATGGCACAATACTCGGTGAGTAGTGCTGCGGAGAGGCGACGCTGACTATGATAGATGTACGCTTCCCGACGGAAGGCCGAGCTCGTTGACAGCGACACTTATTCGTTGGCCACCTTCAATGAGTAGGTCGACCTCACAATTGACGACACGCTGACGTGCGACAGAGCGGAGAGGGTGCTTGCCGAGTGGAACGCGCTGGAGGGACGCACAGAGCAGATATTAATGAGCCTCGATCAATCCACACAACTTGCTTTTGAGCAGCTTGTTCGGACACCCATCAGACTGCAGACCAATCTCCAGCGGATCTACATTTCAGGTCAGTCTGAAAGATCAGGAACATCGCTGAAGGATCCCTGGTAGCCGCCAAATCCATCCTTTACGCCTCTCAGGGACGAACGGCCGCCAACTTCTTTGCTCAAGATGCCATTGATTGCTTCCGAAAAGATCACGAGATCACTCAAGCTTTCCACAAGCTGAACGATGGCAAGTGGAACTTGTAAGTTGACCCCTGTATCCCGTGTGTAAAAAGTTCCCCCTCATTTATCTCTCTTCAGCACACTTTGTCAATCTCACATTGGTTACCAATACTGGCAATCACCCACGCGTAATGCCCTCCCGCCAATCTCCTTCGTCCAACCCTCGCCGTCTTATATCAATATTCTGGGCCCGATTCATACTAGATTCACCGTCGAGGGATCACTCGGTGCCTGGCCAGGAGATAACAAACACAATTGCCCACTCGGCTACAACTGCCCTGATCCCGTCTTCCCCCCTGTCGACCCATACAGTCAAAAACGATGGGTCGATGTCGGCGCGGCAGGGACAGAGGATATCGAATTCACGGCCAAAGCTGTTGAAGATTGGGTCGTGGCTCATCCCTCGAACGGGACCGTCAAATCGGACGGAAGTGGTGATGTGCGCGTTTGGATCAGCGTCGATTGGTCAAAATACCCTGGGAAAACGAATGACAAGATGGATGGGCACGTCGATTTCACTTCGTCCGACGGCACCAAGATGACCGTGACTTTGCCAGCTGTGCGAGGTATTGACATCCCATCGGACTTCAAGGGTGCTATCCAAGGGGACGATTACATCGTCATGGAAGCCATGAGGGGAGTCTCAGAGTCTGTCAAAGGCGCCAGTGGGATCGAGCATGCTTGGAAAGAGATCCCATTCTATGGCAAGACGTACTCTGGTATGACCATCCTACCACCTACCCTTGAGCACTTTTCATCCAGTGCGGGTCCAGCAATCCACTATGATTTCTTTGTCACTCATCTGGATGACCTTGCCAACGGTAGCGATGTCAGCGTGACCTTGCTCTTTGGACCAACTCTCAATTACATCCTCGGATCGAGATTAGAAATCAGTGTACAAATGGATGACGGATCTGTCCAATCGGTCAGGCCTGTACCTGAATCTAAACCTGGAACCGTTCCGGACGATTGGGAGCAAGTCGTAGCGAGTGAAGTCAGGCAAGTCAGAATCCCCATGGAGCTTGGCAATAAGGGTAGTAGCGCCATTGGATCGCACCGCCTGATAATCAGAGGTGTCAGAGGTGGACTGGTCCTAGAGAGGGTATTGATCGATCTCGGAGGTATCTCAAGTAGGGCTGCTACGTACCTTGGACCTCCGGAGAGTCATATCGTTGTGTAGGAGGCAGTCAGCTATAACATATGCGAATATCGACGTTGCACTCCCTTCGTTACGACATGAAAATACATAATCAGTCTCCTGGCGGGATTCACTTAGGACCAGCATGCGATGAAGTTTATGGTACACACAAAGTCCAATGCTGATATCTACAACGAAACGTTTCAATCAAGAGGCGTTTATCGTACAACTTCTTCGTTCTCTCTATCTCAATTCCCCATTATATACACCTGAGTCAGACGTTGGAAAGCCGGAATACACTGGGGCACGACAAGTGTCGGTCAATTCAGACACACGCTAGACAATCACTCACCCCGTTCGAGGCCATCTACTACTCATCCCTTGCACCAACTTGCTCCGGCACGCACCTCCGACCCTTGAGCACGTAAAAGAGTCTGTAGAACATCAGCGTCTCTCCATCTGTCACCCGGCCCTCGACACGCACCTCCACCTGATAGCTGCAGCGGTTCGAAGCTTGTACCCGCGAGCCTGGAGCTCAGCCACGCAGGCCTCAAGGGAGTGCTTGCTCCCCTGTCCATCTTCATAATAACGAAGAATAATCTCATCCTGCGATAAGTCAGTGAAAAATCCATCTCAAAGGGGATATGTACTCGCCTCATCCTTCGTATACCCGACTCTGGTATGTGCTACTATATCACGCGCCACTTGAGCTCGACCTGATGTGCCGAAAGCGCGCAGTGAGGCGATAGTTTTCGCTCGGCCAGACTGATGTGCGGCTATCGTGGGAATATCTCGAGACTTTTCTTCTTGCGGAAGGTTCGTGACCTCAGACTTCATTGATGGCTGTGCTGTGGCAGTCCTGCGCCTCTTGAAGCTCCTTAACATGGGCGGAGTCTCAATCTGCCTCGAGCTCACACTGCTTCGCGTGCGCTCCCACGGTCCATGGTAGAATTGATCTGAGAGGATAGCGGGCCGGGTAATCTCTGGCTCCATAGCTGCGATGGGGTCAGGCGATCCTTCAGCATCTCGATTGGTGAAGACGCCTTCAAATAGAGCCGAGACTGAGGGGTCCCGAGATAACATGTTTGTTTTGGAGGGTCCGGCGGTAGGTGTCGGTGAGCGCAGGCATGGCTCCGCGCCGTCTTCCACGAGATCGTCGACTGGGTGGTAGTCCCCAGGAGAAGAGGCTTTGAGTGTGGACCGCTTTCGCTTGCGGCCCCGAGACTGCATAGCAGGGTCAGCATGACGGCCGGCAGGCAACGCTACACACCTTCCCTGCTGTCAATGTGGCACTTTGATTCTTCGACGTGCCACTTCGAGCTCGACCGGTCGGTGAATGATTGTTCGCACTTTTCGAAGTTCCAGACACCGCGAATGGCTTCAAAGCAGGTTTCTGCTTGAACTTGGACTTTTTCTCCGCTTGAGATGAGGAACGCTGGTTGGATGATGCAAGTCAGCGCAAACACCTCCATCAAGACTCGGTACCGACTCACCAATTTGGCAAGAGAAGCTTCTCTGTCAAGTGAATCGAGTCGCTCTCGTTTGATTTCACGTTCCTCTTGATCGGTCAAACGCCCTTTTTCTGTCATATCCTCATCCTTCGATGCAGTGATATGCATCTCCGTGTCGCCTTCTCCCTGTGAATCACCGATAGATTCCTCGAATCGAGTCTCAGCGACCTCATTCCATAGGATCAGACCATTCTCAGCAGAGATCGAGCCTAGAGAGACTTTAACATCATCGCCCTTGCCCACCTCTGGCTCTGCTAAAGGATCTTCCATGACTTCTGGAGTGGCACTAACACAAGGATACGGAGTGGCTACCCTGGGCACCTTTCGTGTCTTGTGATCTGGCGTAGAAGGAGCTTTGACCGGGGACGGACTTTCAGCTTGAGATGATCGCCTCACACAGGGAGTCGCCGCCTGGTCAACCTCACCCGCCGCATGAGATCTGGATGCCTTTGATCCTGGCGAGCCGCTTCTGTCGTATAGTGGAGTGTGAGGTGAGGATGTGTTGAGAAGAGCTTGCACCGGAATCGCTGGGCGAATGAGCCTCGTCAGGTCCGACGAGAAGTGAGGGCTTGATTCAGTCTGGATCTTGAAGTCCGCGGAGACAGACTCATCGTCGATGGCCGAGGTCACCATGTCCTCCTCCTCCCCGCGAGGCGTCTGAGGCATCCAATCGGCAATCGACTCAGGAGACGTCGCCGCATCATCTACTGCATCGAATACCTGAGCCGCTGAGGGAATAGAGATGGGGCGAGTGGGACCTTGGTCCGACCTGGAAGAGTCGATCCGTTGGCCCCTTGCGGGCGACGGACTTGACGGTGGGGAGGACTCTTGGGTAGGCCGGTTCCTTGCAGTGCTAGCCGTTATCTCATCGTTCAAGACGGTCTCAGCGGTCTGGAGCTGTCAGCGGGCAGATATGACGACTCGATGTTCACCTCTTGTGCCAGCTTGACTTCCATCTCGGCATGTACCTCTGGTTGCGAACTTGCGAGCCATGATCCCAAACGAAGCGAATGGGCGGCTGCGAGTTCGATGCCAAGGGGTGTCATGGAAGTAAGGGGCAGAGGCTGCGATGTGGTTCCATACATGTGCTCTTGACGAGTTTGCTCCGGGATATCGCAGCAAATGAGAGGTTCATTCTGGACGGTATTTTGGCTCGATGCCAAGATAGCGACAGCGGTCTGAAGTTGAAGTGGTCGGTCAGCGATGTGAAGGAGGGAGTTCCGCTCCCGGCCCGACTCACTGGTTCTACCTCTTCGCCTTCATTATTCGACTGCTCTGGATGCTTCGCTTCCAACTCCTTAACTTCTTCCAGCCTCGCAAAAATGTCATCGATACCCGCTTGAAACTCGAAAGACTCGTCGATGTAGATCCCGAGTTGGCCATCAGGTATCATACGAGGTCGACACAGAACGGCGTTCGCAAATCGATCCTGTCGCATCTCGACGGGTAGAGAAAGTGATGGATCGAGCTGCCATGAGAGGGTATGACTGCATCCTTCGAGGGGACAATTCTCGAGTGGGCAAGGGGAAACATTGGCCAAATCCAAGTCTAGAGGTAGAGGCGTGGAACTTGTGTCAAAGTCAGCGAGAGGGGTATGAAGGTAGGATGGGTGGATAGTGGTCTCGCTCAGGGAGGCACCTCGAGCGCTGCTGATAGTTGCAGACATGGCGGGTGGTCGAGTCGGATCCAACAGACCGAGGATCGGCGAAAGCGAGGTATGGCCCTGAGTGGTCGACTGCAGGGTGCTTGTGCCAGTCTGAGACGACTTCATCTTCGCCCGACCGGCTACTACACCTCGGCTTGCTGGTCAGCCTAACACACACTACAGTGAGCTATAGAAAGTCATGGTCATAAGGAAGAATGTCAAGTGGAAGTCGAACACCACGAATCCTAACTCTCTAAGCGAGTTTCCCGAAATTTCCAAACACACATACACACATACACACATACACACACACACACACACACACACACACACACACACACACACACACACACACACACACACACACACACACACACACACACACACACACACACACACACACACACACACACACACACACACACACACACACACACACACACACACATACACACACACACACACACACACACACACACACACACACACACACACACACACACACACACACACACACACACACACACACACACACACACACACACACACACACACACACACACACACACACACACACACACACACACACACACACACACACACACACACACACACACACACACACACACACACACACACATACACATCATCAACATGTCAACACATGGCAAATGGCGATCAGTGCGTAGTGGATATGGCCACCGTTGAACGCGTTCATTCGCGTGACGCGTGAGAGACATCTTTTGTGGTGAGTACAGGTCATCAGTGACCTTGGACGGCGAGTAGCTGAGGCCGTATGCATATATCCAGTAGCACCGGCAATGGCACCTCATACCATGCTCCAGTGAGATGACACGTCCCTTGTAGGGTGGTGTTGCTCCAACCTTCACTGTTCAAGCTGGGCGAGGAAGCATTGCAGCCTGATAGACGAACAGATTCCTCAGGGCACGAATCCTCTGTGAGCTTCACCTAGTCATAATGCCAGAGTCCAACGTGTCCGTCCATAGTGCCCGTAAGTCATGCAGCCTCTTGGACTGGGCGTCTGCGTCTGGATTCTCGGTCAATTCCGATTTCGAGGCTGGCACAGTATTTATCCAGAGTTTATCCAGAGTGGAGTCGGGGTTCAAAAAGATCTCGGGTTTTGCGACTAGGCATCCTCTTGAGCATTGTATGTTCGAAAGGGGCCAAAGTAAGAGCCAAGACGCTGGAACACACTCGTGTGGTATGAGTGAAATGGTAGGCAGTACGAGCGAGCGAGTGAGCCAGCCAGTCAGCCAATAGTCCAATCGACCAAACCACCTCGAGCTGACCTGAAGCGATCTTCCGCGCATTCCGCACCTGAAAAAAAGAAGCGCGCCCTCAGATTTCCAATCAGATTCTCTCGGGGCATCTTTCTTCTCTTGGCTTTCGGATAAACTGTGGAAAAGACGGAGTGAGTAGACGAGTCCATCGGGGCTTCTCCAACTCTTCTCGCTGACTTGAGAAGACCCAATCAGGATCGTACTGCTGGAAGGCGGTAGTGTGGAAGAAGGTATATATGGGAGAAGAGCTGAGAATTCCATCGGCAAAGGGTATACATCATCATCTTGAGGCTCGCCATCCAAATTAACATCTTGGAACCACATTCCTTCTCATCTCATCTCAACACATCATCTCTCCCCTCAGCATGCCATCAATAGAAAAGGATACGCCGATAGGTAGCCCGAGTGATCCTCCACTCCCCTCACCTTCCCAGCTCGAAATGCCTTCCTCTGCTCCCATCGAAGCGCATACAGCTTCAGGACCATCGTTGATCATTGCGACCGAACATGACCCGCATACCAGGTCACTCGTCTTCAAGCGTCTACGCAAGGTCCTGCCGTTACCATCACCGTTCATGGCCAATTGCATGTTGTGAATCATTATCATGTGTCGGTCTCTCACACACCTTTTGCTGATCTCTTTTTTCCAGAGCCACACTCTTCTGGGTCATGATTCTCGCTGGATGGAACGACGCAAGTCAAGGACCACTCCTCCCCTCACTTCAAGACTACTACAACGTCAACTACCTTGTCATCTCCATCATCTGGATCGGAAACTTTACAGGATTCATGACGAGTGGTATATCGAATGTCTTTCTCACAGACCGATTCGGATTCGGGATCGTCGCTCCGTTCGGTTCAGCCATGCAAGGTGTCGCCTATATCCTCATGGCAACAGGTGGACCATACCCTTTGTTCGTAGTGGCCTACGTGATCAACGGATTCGGTCTTGGTCTCCAGGACGCACAATGCAACTCGCTAGTGTCGAGATTGGACAATGCAAATACGAAAATGTTCCTCCTTCACGCTTTCTACGGTCTAGGAGCTACCATCTCACCCTTGGTATCGACAGAGTTTGTCAAGCGTTTCCAGAGTCAGGTCTACCTATACTTCTGGGTCTCACTGGGCATGGCAGCGTTGACGGTCACCTCGCTGGTGCTAGTCTTCCGCTTAAGAACAGAAGACCAGGTCGTCGGAAGGCGGAAAGATCCCTTGGCAGTCGGCACAGAAACGGTCGCTCAGTCCGGTGGTACTTCCGCGGAGATCGAGTCTGATGTCGAGCTCAAAGCGAGACCCACGGGTGATGTCTCGGCCCACCTCCCCACGCCCGACTCCACCTCTGCTAAGGAATCCAAACAGAGAGGTGGCAGTAGTGGCAAGATGAAGCGGATCATGACGACACCTGCTGTCCATTACATGGCATTTTACATCTGTATCTATGTTGGGGTGGAGGTCACGTTGGGCGGATGGATCGTGAATACCGCGGCTCAAAGCTCTTGCTGACCTGTCCAGACTGAATTCCTGTTGAGCCAGCGCGGAGGCAACGATAATGCCGGATACGTTACCACGGGCTACTTTGCTGGCTTGACCCTGGGTCGAGTCATCTTGATACCCGTTACTGGATGGATAGGCAAGCACAACGCCATTTATGTCTAGTGAGTAGAGTAGATGCCTGCATTACCGGCTAGGCATGGCCCTGACTCTACGTACAGTACCATCCTCGCCATCGCCCTAGAGATCATGGTCTGGACGATTCCAAATCTCGTAGCCAATGGCGTGTTCTTCTCCCTCATCGGTGTAGTCCTCGGACCAATGTACCCCGTCGTCATGATGGTCGTCATTGAGGTTTTGCCAGGCGAGCTTCAAGCTGGTAGTATAGGTTGGATCGCATCGTTAGGTCAAGCGGGCAGCGCCATGATGCCATTGTGAGTCGACAACATGGGGTCTTCTTTGTCCACTGCTGACATCGAGAATAGCATCACGGGAGGTATAGCCAACAAGGTGAGTCTTTCACTATCTCTCACAGAAGGGGAAAAACCTGACCTTGCTCGCTTCAGCACGGTGTGTGGATCTTACAGCCGCTCGTCATTGCTTTCATGGGCTTCTCTCTCGTGTTGTGGTGGTTGGTCCCGAGACCGAAGGGTTTGAGAGTGTAGCATAGCAATGGTGACAGTGTAGATTTCTATAAGATGTCTCTTTTCTCTCTCTGTGTGTGTTGTGTGTGTATAGGCATCTTGATCCATTTCGGGGGAGAAACATTTTCGGACCATTCATCGTCTGACCCACACGCTTGGGAAAGAGTCGTGGACGTTTCGCTCCTTTGCAGCGTCGTGTTATCCTCCATCAACCTACCGAGGATGCGCCACTGGACACGTTTGAATCGGTCACTTAGCCGAATCTCTTTGATGATTATTTTATTTCCGGAAAGGATGTCCCCCCCCCCCCCCCGCGCGGGTCACGCGCCGCTCATCCCTTCCCTCGTGGCCAATCCCCCCCAGTCTAATTTTATTAACCAGGTCTCTAGAAACAAAATCGAAAAAGAAAAAGAAAAAAAGAGAGATCTCGGAAATATGGCAGGTTAGTATCTTATCGATCTGACCCATCAGATCTCCGGATGAGACACAAAGGACTCAACCGCATCTCATTATTCTCAGGACACACACACAGAGACACACATCCGTACTAATCTAATCGTATCGGATCAACGGGAAAGGGATGTCTGGCGACGTCATGGAGACCCTTTCCCAATCTCAATCACCATCATCATCATCATCATCACCAGATCCATCCGGTTCAGCGAACCCACACAGTGGACCTATCCGTCAAAAGTTTTCAAGGTCAAAGATCTCATGTCTAAAGGTGGGTCCGATCAGACGACCCCGGGTCGGCGGCATCTACAGAAGACAGAGTCCATCGTATTTGAACTGACTGATTCACTCTGCTGCGCTTCCAGTGCCGATCTCGTAAAGCAAAGTGCGGCTCTTTACCCCCTGGAGCCTGTGACAATTGTGCTAAACGCGGTTGGGAATGTATCTGGCCAGAAGAAGATGGGAGGACAGCACGTTTCAGACCAGGGTATATCAAACGAAATGACTCGTTACCGTCCGCTAGGAATTCTATGGATGGTCCACCTGGGACTGCGGAGACGACAACCGCGCCGCCTAGGTCAACAGGTTTCAATGAAGCGGGACCTTCAAGGTCGTCTTTGGGCCAAGCTGAGACATCTCTCATGACGGATTGGAATCGGTCCACCCATATGCGCGCCACGTCTCCGGGCATTGCCCCCCCTCCGACCACGAGCACGAGCCACGATCATGCTCTCACTCGCGTGCCTTCTGGCCCTACCCCTGCTCCCCCTCCCCCTCCTCCTCCTCCTATCAGTGCCATTCCTCCCCACTTTCAACATCAGCCCATCGACCTCGATCAATTCGATCAACAGTGGCGTGATTGGATCGTCCCTACACCGGGCCAATCGCCTCGGAAAGATTTACCTTCATTAGGTCTCTCATTATCCGATACCGATGCTTTCCTTCAAAGTTTACTCCAAGCCGAGAGGAGTGATCTTCACGTCCAGGTCATGATTGATGGATTGGCGGAATCGTCTCGTGGAGTCGAGGTGGCAAGAAAGACGGGTGTCATGCGTATAAAGTATAGGAGACCACATGGACGGACAGCCTTCGTACCAGGTGAGTTGGGTAAACCCCATTGGAGTTGCTCTCGCTCGCCCAGATTGACGAATGCCTCAAGGCACGCTCGCGATACCTATCAAAGTGGTTTTACAGCCAAATCAGAATATTCAATCCCCAGCCACTACTTCAAGTTACAGTGGTTCAAGTCAATTCGACCCGGACTTGCTCAAAAATCTTGTATCGACATTCGCCAGTCATTTGGGGACCCAGTACCCTTGTATAGATTGTCATGAGCTGACATTGGCCATCGATCGGGATCCAGCTCCAAGCTTCCTCTTATGCTGCGTAGCAGCGATGGCCGCGAGGTGAGTCTGTGAAGCCAATGTGAAACTGAATCTGTCACAGATTCTCGGATGACCCTCGCTTGTCACTGTTCAATACCAAAGCCATCTCGAATGGCGATGTCTACTTTGACCGTGCCACGTCGATGATCGGTAGCGTTATGAAAATCCCATTGAGAGAAACCGTCATTGGGTTCGTGCTCTTGGCTAGCTGTGCCGGTGAGTTCTGGGTATCCTGTGCGCGGTGCTAAATAGAGTCAGACTCCGTGAGTGGACAGTGGATGCTCGCTGGAGATGCTACGAGAATGGCGATAGACTTGGGTCTACATTTGGTGAGTCTCGCCAGTCATACTGGATCTGAACATTTCAGAATGATCCAGACAACGAAGACACCGAGACTGTCCGACTTAATCGTCTCTGCTTTTGGTCTGTCCTCCTTCTCGACTACACCGTGTCCATCGGCGTCGGTCGATCTACGTCTATCCGACCGAAATCCATCACTCAACAACTCCCTACGCATGCCGATGTCGGTCAATCTCCACTGACTCACGTCTTTCACATGTTCAAGGCTTTCGGTCCGCTCATCAACATGCTCAATTCGGAGGAACTCAAACTTCGCGAACCAGAATTCATGGACAGGCTGAGGGTGGAAAGAGCGTCCATCTTGAGATTATATCAGGATCTACCGCCAGACATGCAATGGACGGGTGAAAAGTGAGCCACCACTATCGCTTCTTAGGACATGGAGTCGTGCTCACTCTCTCGGCCTCGCTAGCCTTCGATACCACCATCGGATGGGTAACGGTGCCATGTTCTTCCATCTCCATACTTGGATCTACGTGATTCTCTGTAGTAGTTCCATGGCCTCTGCCGAAATGACGGGTCCAGCCCAACTCGACAAGCTCAGTATCTCCGGAGCCAAGTTGATCGTCGACTATCTCACCTTCTGCGATTTGATCGATCCAGCTATATACTATGTTCAACCATTTCTTGGTCAACCGCTCTTCACAGCAGGCACCGTCATCATGGCAGGTGAGCGAGGCGACAAAGGCTCAGGCTCTTTTCTGTCTCTCGCGCATTGATCACTGACATCACTGCACCAGAGCTCAATCGATCCAAAGAAGGACCTTTGGACCAAGATGGCAGTACGATGCTCGAGGCCATTGCGCACGCTCAAATCGATACGATCAAACGGGCCATTATCAAATTGTCTGAATTTTGGCGAGGAGCAAGACTCGTCGAGACGGCCATGGAGGAGTGTATCCGGGGTGGAACAGAACGTGACAAGATATGGGTGGAGAATGATTCCTACGCTGTAGAGGTGTATGACTGGAGTTTACCGAATCGGTATAGGTCAGATGGCGCGCAGGTCAATTGAGGGCATGTGGTTGTGTGTAATGTTTTATCGTGTTGTACATGCAATCGATGACGACTAGTACAACGCAAATTCGATACAGATTGGGTGCAGATCCGTAGGGATTTCTTTGATCATGACTTTACCGTCCTTCAGACTGAGGCGTTCTCCAGTGAGGAGCTTGGCTGATTCTAGATCTACCTTGCCCTTCTCTAAATCGAGAATGCCCTCGTCCCCTCGGACGAATGCAAATAGTCTAGAACCCTTCCTGGTCCACCTCACGAACCCATCTTCCGCATCTTCCTTCCCTGACGGTCTAGCGATATTTTCACCGACCGGATCAGAGTCATGAATGGCATCTGCGTTGACATCCATGTACTTTGCCATGTAATCGAGGCATTTGAGCTGCAAAGATGGGATGTTGCCCGCTTCGTCAGGCCCCACATTCAGTAACAAGTTTCCACCTTGAGAGCTGACGTCGACCAGGAGCTGAATCGCTTGAACTCCAGACATGTATTGAGCTTCCGTCTCGAGCTTGTTATATCCGAATGAGAATCCGACTGAGGGGAGGCCAGGGGGAAAGTTTGCCATCAGCCCCAAAGATTCTCTGGAAGAGCGTAAGAGAGATGGTGGAGAGCTCACTTCCTCGAGTGGACTGCCACATCTGCGAATCCTTTGGCTTTTCACCAAGACCGTACTCAACCGTCACAAAGTCCCAGTGGGTATCCCCGTATCGATCTGATAGGCGGTCATCCATCAGACCAAAGTCCCCGATCTAGGACCCTGTCCAAAAGCTCACCATTGATGACTGCTTCGGGATTCGCTCCGTACAGCTTTTTGAGCAATTCCTCAACGCTGTACGGACCCGGCGCCACGCCCCTAGGTCTCACGTTTCAGCATAAAGCTCTTTGAAGTACCTAAACCGAGGCTACATGGGTAGGCTCACGCTTCTGGCCAATTTATATCCCCCCATAAAACATCAGGCTTGTACCGCTCAATTAAATCGGCACATTGTTTCCAGGCGTATTCATTGTATTCGACCGCGTCGAGACCGGGTTTATCGTAATGACCTTTATGCCACGGTTGAGCCGTCGGCCACTTGTGCCAGTCGATGCCGCTATGGGGAGTGTCATGTACAGATCCAAAGGTGGGAAGATCAAGTAAGACTCACGTCGAGTAGTAAACTCCAAATTTGATATGGTGACTCTCGGCGGCTTTCGCAAATTCTTCAATGATATCCCGTTTAGGTCCCCTCTTGACGGTATTACGACCTTTCGTCTCAGGTGCATCCCATAAGGTGATACCGTCCTATTCAAATCCACAGCGTCAACTCCTGCCTCCTTTCGCGGGACCCTCTATCACTCACATGGTGCTTGGACACCGGGACGACATACCTAGCTCCTGCTCTCGCGAACAACTTGATCATCTCATCTGCATTGAACTGCTTGGCTGACCATTGATCTAGTAGATCATCGTACGGTGCGCCGCCAAAGTTCTCTTGATGATACTTTGACGCTGCGTTATCGGGAAATCGGATGGTGTTGAAGTACCATTCGGCATATGGATTTCGCTCGTGCCTGTCAAAATTCGTAGTAGTCAGTGGACGAGTTCGACGTCACCGACTCACAGAATCTCCTCGTCAATATGTCCTAGAGCCCCAGAGAGCTCTGCAAATGCAGGCACAGAATAGGCTCTGACACCAAACGATCAGTCCCTTACGACATGCACAACGTAGTGAGTGACGTGACAACTCACCCCCAATGAACAAAGATACCCAGCTTGGAATCCTTGAACCATTCTGGGACCGGACGTTGAGCAAACTGCTCATAGTTCGGAGCTCGCTTCGTCGCCCAGATATGCGCCATTGTCTTTGGATGTGGTTGAAACGGACGTCGCAGGTGGTGTACGCGACACAGTCAGCATCTTATCGAAATCTACTAAGGTTTTGCATATCCGTGGAATCCGGATATATGCGAATGATTGTGGATATCGGGTTATTATCTACAGATACCCCGAAGCACCGGGTTTCAGGTGTGGGGCCGCGCATGGATCAGCTGGGCTAGACCGATGTGTGTCAGAGCTTATGCTTCGGACGGCAGTTTGATGATTCAAAGAATGCATTCCTCCTATTTCTATTTCTATGCACTATCTCTCCTCTCCTCTTCTAGCGCTTCCCTGCCTTCTCGCTCATTGAACTTGTACATTGGCAAGTCGAGGAAGATGTATCGCTTGACAAACTCTGGTAATGGTCGATACAGTTTCGGCGGAACAGGGAATAAGATGGAAGTTTTGGATAAGTAGTGTTTGTACTTGTCCCACGAATCGGATTTCACCTGAACGTGTCCGTCTGTGAGCTCGTGAGAGTGGAGGTAGTATTTCTTCGCGGCGGGTTTCTCAGCAGTGGGCAGGCCAGAGAGGAACATGAGACTGCGAATCAAGCACCATGGTCAACGATGCCAGTCAATATAGTGGAAACTTGTTGCTCACAGGAGGATGGTAAATAGAGGCGAGGTGATTGATGCGTATTGCGCTCGTCTGCCACCCTCGGAAACATTGCCATACAGTGTCGGACTGATACAGAGCGCCCATAGACCCCAGTGAAGCGTGATCTCTCCAAAGTAAGGCGGATGACGAGAGTAGTACCACAGCCCCTTTGTACATGGTTTGCCCTTGGGCGGGTTGGACGATTTGTACAGCCACTAAAGACAGAGGTGTCAATCTTTGAACAACATGTTTAGGCCAAGCCTGAACGGACCTTTTGGATATCGGCGGTGGCTTCCCAGAAAAGACCGATGGCGAAGATGATGATACCTGCTATATCTGCCCCTGTACCAAATTTGGGATTGGAACCTCCTTTCGCGAGATCAGATACAGCTGGTGAATTGAGGACGACCACGGGAAGGGCTGGTTTGGGGTCAGTGCCGTTGCTCAGGGGGAGAGAGGACAACGTTTACGCACACACCACCCAGACCCAGAGGATCTGACCAGTCCAGAAACCTGCAAACTTGAAGAAGTGGCTTCGGATATCGTCGAAGCGTGTATCACCTGGCATAAAAACTCAGTAATGTACTGGGAGGGATGCGCCTCGGGCGAATGCCACTCACTGCCCGTTTTGAGAACCCTGAAGAGAAGGAAACCGGCCAGTCTGGCTGCCCAAACCATCATGAGCACGGAGGCACTGGTTCAAAAGGTTAGAGGCGAGTTCAACAGCAGGCGAGCCATACTCACACAATGTTTCTGAGCAGAAGAGAAGTAAAGAAGCAAACGGGTCAGCGTCCACGATTCAAGGGAATCTCAAGCCTGTGCCACGACTAACCTGGCATAGTAAGCTGGACGCGTGATGTCAGTTAGATATTCTTGGGCATCGGGACCTGGGCCGGTACTCACTTCCTCCCGTGGTCAACGTGATCAACGCCAAGATGAAAAAGTTAGATCCTCCCTACACAATGGTCAGTTTAAACTGTGCATGCTCTTCCCGGGATGGAAAGCCTTCGCTCACTGTAAAACTGGGGAGCGGGGCAATCGAGTCAGTCAACGTCCCTCTCATCGTTCAGAAGAATGAGAATCTCACTCGGTGATCTTGTCGAACTGATTACCATGGAGAATTAGCACATGCTACGCTTCAGACCCTTCCGATCCAAACACAGAATAGACCCACCTTGAAAGTCCAAGCTATGGCGAATCCTGACAATTGCCATGCGATCGTGATGAGCAGCGAAATGACAAGATTGTACTTGTCAATAATGACATGAGGGGACATGATGGTTGTTAGGAAGACCTGGAGCCTTGGGGGCGCGGTATGGTCGAGATGAGTGGGCGAGTGATGATGATTCAAGTTGATTTCAACCCAGCGATTATATAGGAGGGAAGCCCCCCGTCTGCTCCACAACGTTGTTCGATGGTCTTGCTTGGCCTAGAGACAAGAGCGATGAGGATGATTGCGCCTCCTCTGCCCACCCCTTGAGAGAGAGGTGACCGGTCTTCCTTGGCCGCTGAATGAGACTGAAATGGTGATGAATCGATTCCGCGGATCCCCGCGGCGCCAGAAAAAAAAGTTCACCACGGTGACGTCAGTCGTTTTTGGGCTTGGAATCGATCGTGGTGGGTGGTGGTATGCAGAAAACATTGGACGTCTACGTGCTGGAAACCTATCTCTTTACCTCCATCTTGCGATACAGCATATGCAACCTGCAACGACGTAGACATTGTGATGCATCATTGTCTCTCAGAATCGAAAGTATAGAAACATCGTCAAGTAAGGTTCTGTCGTTTTGTAAGGTTTCCAGTGGATGGGCTGGCTGGTTGGGGTGAATTTTTAATCTACAGTGGTTCGGAGAATGGAAGAGGTGTAAGGTTAACCCCTCGAGTTAATTCGCGCCGGTCTGTCTGTCCTTCTTCCTCATCCACCGCCGTGCAATCCTTCTTCCTCACGCTCTACTCGAATTTCTCTCTCTTCTATCCTTTGTCTCTCAATCACTCGCTTACAATTCCTTCTTTGCTCTCTTGCTCGCAGCAGCACTTTCCGCAGCGAGCTTCTTGGAGTATGAGCTGGCGCTGACGCTGGCTCGGGAGATACTGGCCGATGCCATCTTGCTGGCCACAGAGTAAGAGCTTGACAAGCTGCTGAGAGCACTCGAAGCCGAGGACGAGGCTCGCGATGCCGCCGAGTGGGCAGAGCTCGACAAGGATTTGGAAAGGGAAGAAGCGGAGAGGGAGCCAGAGTGAGCAGTCACGGAAGCGGCGGAGGAGAGGGACGAAGCGAGCGATGAAGCAGAGGACGAAGCGTAAGACGCGGCAGAGTGGGCCGATTTGCTAGCGGCGGAAGCGGCACTGCTCAACGATGGGTCGTTGGCAGACTTCGAGGCGAGACTGGAAGCGGACGACGCAGCAGAGTAGAGCGACTTGGAGATGGAGGAAGCAGCCGAAATGGCGGAGGCAGACGCGCTAGAGGCGTAAGACCTGTTGAAGAGGTGAGTGGTGTTTTTCACTCTAACCCATTTTACTCACTGTCCGCTGACTGAGGCGACCGACGCGGCAGAGGTAGCACTGGCACCTGCCCATTCGGCGTATGAGATGGCAGAGCTGCTTGCAGCGACCATTGCAGACGAAACGGAAGATTTGGCGTGCTCAAACTTCTCCTCAAGACTCCATTTGGGCGAAGTGAGAAGCTGAACACATAAGCCGGACCCGGGTACTGCAATACTCACCTCAAGAACCTTAGAGAGTTTGTCTTCCGCGAACTCGATGCCGCTGGAGAGGGTCTCTCGGATGGATGCGAGGATCTGCTCAACCTTGTTCGAAGCCTGAACGTAGTGAACTGCGCACATCAGCAAGTAGCCACAAAGAGGGGAGGGATCTCCACACTCACTTCGGACTTCGTGGATCAACGAGGGTCGGGAAGAGAACTTGGTGTCGTCGATACCGTAGGATCTGAGCTGAGCTCGGAGACGGGCATCAGGCCAGGCGAGGTAAGGTGCAGATGTAGCATCCTTGTAGTTCTTTGACATGAGGTCGACGAGCTGAGGAGTGAGCATTGATACTACAGTTGTGGCCCACCTCCTCTCGCTTGGCCTGGAAGTCAGACTTGACGATACCATGGTCGACGAGCCAAGCTCGCATCTCTGAGTCGTACCAACCTCCCCAGACCGTGGATTTGGCACGAGTATAGTGTTCATCGAGGAGCTTTTCGTATTTCTCCTTCTTCAAGGTGGCGGCTTCACTCTTGCTGCAGAAGTGTGAGCTCGAGATACAGGCTCGATCGATCGAGAACTCACATGACACCCTCTGAGATGAGCCAGTCTCGCATGTCGCTCTCCTTCCAGGTCGAGTAAGCAGTGTCCTTTGCGTCAAAGTAGTTGTTTCGCATGAGTTCGAGAAGCTTGTCTCGAGCGGTAGGCTCTGGGTGAACAATCCCGTGTGCAACGAGCCAGTCATGAATGGAGCTAGTAGACCAAGCTTCATAGATCGGGTCAGTAGCCTTGAGGTAAGCTACTCGGACATTGTTGAGGAGAGCAGCTCGGCCAGTGGGAGCAGGAGTAGAGATGACGTTGTGTTCCTCGAGCCAGGTTCGGAGCTGGTTGTCATCCCAAGTAGAGAATATGTAGTCTTTGGCATCGTCAAACTTCTTGGAGGCTTGGTTGGTGGCCCAAGTAGCTTGAGAAGCTGCAGCTTGGTAAGCTGACGAGATCGAGGAAGCGGCTTGGTCGGTGGGGTGACCGTAAATGGCAGTGGATACGGCAGACGCCCTGTCGTATGTGAGTTGGAGTGCTATCTGATAGCTCACTTTTGCTTGGCAAGAACAAGGAGCTGCTCTCGGGTCGAAGAAGGAGATACGACACCCTTTTCAAGGAGCCATTCTCTCAATTGGCTCTCGGACCACCTAGTCTCACGTCAGCAAGGCGGCGGATGATCGATGGAAGTCTACGCACGCATCCATGGCAGCATTAGAACCAGCCTCGAAGTAGGCTTGTCCCGCTCCGGCTCCCCGGGCTCCCCACTGGCGGTTTTGATCAGCGCCACGTCATCCAACCTTGAACGCTCAGCACTCACGACAGCAGCTGCATCGGCATATTCTGCCACTTGAGCCTGAACCTTTTGGAGGTCTTTCGAGTCACGAATCTTTGCGCCTTGAGCTTTGAGGAAATCGAGAGATTCTTGGAGTGACCAATCTTCGTAGATGGCTGTTGAGCGCCAGAGGAGTCAAGAGGCGAATGTTCGAAAGAAACGGAAGGTACAGGCAAGGAATGTGGTTGCGAGGGTTGAAGGAATGGAAAGCAAATGGTCAGCGTACTGTCCTTCTCGAGATCGGCTCATGCAATACGATCATTCCATAGTCCCCGACGTGATAGCCATCCATTATTGTGACTCTCTGACACCGGTCCCACAATCAAACCAAAGAGACTCACGTTTGTCCTTTCCGAACAATTTTGCGTCTGCACCTAACCCGAATGCCAGGACGGTGTACAACACCGCCTTGGAGAACTTCATAGTGGTTGAAGTGGGTCTGAACTTGGTGTTTGGCAGATGGATGCAGTAGTAGGAATATAGACGAGGTCAATTGGTTGAGAGAGAGAGACAGAGAGTTGACTCGGTAAAGGGGGGAGAGAGGCGGGTGAATGGATGGATGATGACGATGGCCAACAGTCGCACTCTCTCTCTCTCTCATTGTTGGATGATGACGTATTTTCCTTTTTGCCTCATGGTGCATTGTCATAGAATTGCTGGAACACTGCTTAGCGGGGGGTTTAGATAAATAAACGCACCCGCGGGCTATGGAGAACAAGGATATCGAGAGTCTGCTATCAACCGATGGATACTGAGCTATGAGTCGGGGTTGGAGGCTGCAACACTAGTGACATGATCTCTGGCCCTGCCTCACTATCATGATATACCAGTACCTTGCCATATGCTGCACCTGTGAGGGCCTGTTTCAAGCCACGATCCGCGAAAACAAAATCGGCCACAGCCGGGCTGATCGGCGACCACGTGCCTCACACGAAGGGAGATCTAGTGGTTTCAAGGCTGTCAATTATAATAAATCGCAATCTGACCTTTTGATAGCATCTTGAGCACGCTAAATTGTGGTAGATCCATAGCTCAAACGAGAGACTCGCAATGGATCTACTCACCAATGGTATAGTGAATATTGCTTCGAAAAGTAAGCGGGTATGGGTCTTGCAATTCACTGACTTGCTTTAAGAGGCGGAGAAGCACGTGCATGTATCGCCTGAGGATCCAAGGTTCCTGTGGTACATTCTGGTCATTGTGGTGCTGGTCTTATTGGGAGGAGTGTTCAGTGGACTCACTCTCGGGCTCATGGGCCTGGATACGGTGAGTTCAAGGCCTCATTGTCCCTCACATCTCCTTAAACAATGCTCATTTACCCTCCTCCAGGTCAATCTCCAAGTGCTTCAACAAGCAGGGACGGATGACGAGAAGTTGCAAGCACCCAAGGTCTTGCGACTACTCAGGACAGGTAGACATACCATTCTGGTCGTGCTGCTCCTGGGTTAGTGACAGCGTCCGCTCTTTGGGGGGTCACGACAAGCTCACCAGTCACAGGAAACACTCTCGTCAATACCTCGTTGCCGATTTTTATCGATTCACTGGTACGTGGCTTCAGCAAGGGCCGGGCTCACGCGACTAGGTCGGTGGTGGTCTGATTGCAGTGCTCGGAAGTACAGCCTTGGAGGTAAGTTGCCCTTGCTGTCGCCGACATTAGCTGATGTAACCTCCTCAGCTGATCTTCGGAGGTATGCTGAGCTTCTTGAGGAGCGTGTCGTTTGGCGCTGACGCTATTTCTACCCTCTGATTCATGCAGAGTGAGTATCACTGCAAGTGAGACCCTCAATACTGAAGACTGAACTCGCCAGAATCCTGCCTCAATGTGAGCCGAACACCACCTCTCCGCAGCCATCCACTAAATTACCAAAGCAATATGCAACCGCTACGGTCTAGCCATCGGGGCGACCTTCGCTCCAGCCGTCAGGATCCTCGTGATACTGATGTATCCCATCGCGAAGCCGATAGGCATGGTATGTCTCCTCGCTAGAACTGCGAAAGAACGGCTGAACCAACTGCCCGATGCAGCTACTGGACAGATTTCTAGGTGCAGCTGAAGAAAGCATCACATACCGCAAAGCCGAGCTCAAGACATTCGTCTCTCTCGGTGTCGAGGACAAACTTGGAGAGGACGAAGTCTCCCTACTCGGCAGTGTCCTGGAGTTCTCTGGCAAGACTGTGGAGGAAATCATGGTAGGCATTTTCGTGGATCCTCGTATGCTGAATCTTCCGAATAGACGCCGTTCGAAGATGTGTTTGCCCTTTCTGCTGAGAAGATAATGGCAAGTGCCGCGTATTTTGCAACGCTTCAAGGCTGACAATTTCATGCAGGATGACGAGATCATCTCCGAAGTAAATGACTGATCATTACGAGTGCTGAATCCTTCAGATCCTGCGGAAGGGATACAGCAGAATACCAATCTATGAGCCAAGCTCGCCTGGCGCGTTTATGTGAGCGTACATACTTATAGACATAGTTCGTACATATACTGACGCTTCGAGACAGCGGCTGCTTGACGTAAGTTCAGTGTGATGTATCTACATCATGGCTCACTCTGTTCAGCCTTCGCGCGCTTGTTGGATACGATTCATCGGACCTCAAACCGGCCTCTGCACTCGTCACACAGCCATTACCGCAGTGTCCACCGGATCTGCCGCTCCTGGAAGGTGAGTACTGGCATCATTGCTGGTATCATCGCTGATCGTCACACCCTCAGCAATGGCATAGTGAGCTTATACTGTCCGACTCTAGACCGTTCTCACAGCATCCAGTTTCCAAGCGGGTCGCAGTCATATCCTGTTAGTATCCGAGACACCGGGTAAGGATACCGGCGCCGTGGGAGTTGTGACACTTGAGGATGTCGTGGAAGTGAGTATATAAAAACACTGTTCGCGAGTGAGCTGACGCTCTGTCAGGAACTCATCGGACGAGAGATCATAGCAAGTCGTCTTCACCGTCACGAGACGCAGGGCTAATCGCATTCTCCCACAGGACGAAACGGACCAATATATCGATATACATAGGTAGGAGCTTTTGACATCAGACACTTCAGATACAGCTTGCTGACTCCTCCTCTTAGCCGAGTCAAGGTTATCAGACGTAAAGACAAAGGGGAGCAGTGAGTTATTGTCGAGCCTCGGCCGAAGATGCGCCACCACTGAATTCATTCGCACCTCGCTCAGATCCGGGCTCAGACGCATATTTGAAGGACGTCTAGCGCGTCGGAGAGTGGTCCTGGATAGACAAGGCCGAGGAGGGGAGGAGGGCTCGCTGATAGACCATCCGTCCATTGCATAAGCTATATGATTTGACACTTTCTTTGGGGCTATTCATGAGCCACGTGGGAATCGCGATTTTGACTTTTATGCCCGTTTTTTTTTCTCTCCTCTTCGGCCGCCATTCTATCATCATCAGCATTGACAACAAAAAGATCATTCGACAGTCGGGGCGAGGGTCCTATCGGTAGCATCGTACGACGGTGCATTGGACGACTGGGACGATTTTGCGGCGATAAAATCCTTGTTGACGACCACTGTGCGCTGCATTCTTGCTTGACCTTGCAGCTCTTGCCGCCTCGCTTGGTTTGAGCCACGATCACTCATCATGGGCAGTTACGATCTGACGTTGATCATCTTAACTCTTGCTTTGCCATTGTTATGGTGGTTCAGAGACTCCTTACCATTCATCGGAGGTAAACTACGCGAAGCCGTCGCTAGCAAGACCCACAGCAATGGCTCAGTTAAACCATCGGTCGATCATGGCGATCCGAGAGATTTTGTTCAAAAGATGGATCGAGCAGTGAGTGACCTAGCCTCTTTTTTTGGCATCCATCAAAGATTGTTGAATTTGACTCCATCTGCTGCCAGGGCAAACGTTGTGTCATGTTCTATGGGTCTCAAACGGGTACAGCTGAAGAATACGCTCTTCGACTGGCCAAAGAAGCCAAATCACGATTTGGCATCTCATCCCTCGTCAGCGATCCAGAGGAATACGAGTTCAACATTCTAGATCAGGTTCCTGAGTCGAATGTCTTGTTCTTCGTCATGGCCACGTACGGAGAAGGTGAACCGACGGACAACTCTGCCGCATTCATGGAATTCATCATGGATCCTTCGGTGGAATTTAGTAAAGGAGGAAGCACGCTTGAGAATCTACACTATGTGATCTTCGGTCTGGGCAACAGGACATACGCCTATTATAATGAGATCGCTCGAAAGTTGGACAGCCGTCTGACTGAGCTTGGAGCCAAGCGAGTGGGAGAACGTGGAGAAGGAGACGATGACAAGTCGATGGAAGAGGATTATCTCGCTTGGAAAGACGGCATGTGGGAATCTTTCTCATCGACCATGGGTGTCGAAGAAGGAGGTGCAGGAGATGTCCCCGATTTCTCAGTCACTGAAGTCAATGCTCATCCCGCCGACAAGGTCTATCATGGAGAATTATCACCTCGAGCTTTGATCGCTTCCGCAAGTGGGTCGAATACGCCTATCGGATCGTACGATTCCAAGAATCCTTTCCCTGCCCCAGTACTCACCTCAAAGGAACTCTTTGCCGTAGGCGGGGATCGAAACTGTGTCCATATCGAATTTGACATCACTGGATCTGGAATGAGCTATCAACATGGCGATCACGTTGGCGTCTGGCCTTCCAATCCGGACAAAGAGGTTGATCGATTCTTGTCTGTCCTCGGTCTTGCTGGAGAAGATCATCGCCACGCCATCGTCAGTATTGAATCACTTGACCCCGCCCTCGCGAAAGTTCCTTTCCCCACGCCAGCGACTTATGAAGCCATTTTCCGTCACTATCTCGACATTTCCGCCATCGCCTCTCGTCAGACCATAGCGTTTCTAGCGAGATACGCTCCTACGGACCAAGCGAGAGATCGTTTGACACGCTGGGGATCCAGCAAGGAGATCTATGCGGATGAGATCGATGGTCCAGCTCTCAAGCTTGGTGAAGTGCTTCAGGCTGCTGTTGGTGACGAAGTAGACGGCGAAGCGCCCTTCAACTCGACGGTTTGGCCTATTCCGTTCGACCGGATCGTCTCACTCGTGCCTCGTTTGGGACCACGGTACTACTCCATCTCCTCATCATCCAAGCTATACCCTTCGTCAATCCATGTCACTGCCGTCGTCTTGAAGTACCAAACCACACCCTCATTTGCTCATAAACGCATGCCGCGATGGGTCTTTGGTTTATCCACCAACTTTATCCTCAACGTCAGAATAGCCAGCAGCGGTACAAATACTCCGGTTGAAGATCACAGCTTATCCAACGGTGTTGGGACGCTAGGTGGAGAGTCACCCTCGGCCGTGTCATTGGCCAAGATGCCCAAATACAAACTCGGAGGTCCGAGAGGTCATTACATCAAAGAGAACGTATACAAAGTGCCCATCCACGTCCGACGATCGACGTTCAGACTTCCGACGTCTCCGAAAGTCCCAGTGATCATGATCGGACCGGGAACCGGAGTGGCTCCATTCAGAGGCTTCATTCAAGAACGTGTAGCCCTTGCACGGAAAGCAAAGGAGAAGAATGGTCCCGATGCATTGAAAGATTGGGCCCCGATACATTTGTTTTATGGATGTCGAAGAGAACACGAGGATTACCTATACGCGGAAGAATGGCCCCAATATGCCGAGGAGCTGGACGGCAAATTCAACATCCATGTTGCTTTCTCAAGAGAGATGAAGAAGCCAGATGGTAGTGAGTCGTTAGAGAGGTTACCCGATGTAGGCCCTTGTTGACGCACGCCCGCCCATGTTTAGGCAAAGTCTATGTTCAAGATTTGATACATGACCTTCGGGCTGATCTTGCCAAGTTGATATTGGATAAACGGGCTTACATCTACATCTGTGGAGACGCAAAGAGTATGCAAAAGAGCGTCGAGGAAGAGTTGAAGATCATGCTGGGCGAAGCAAAGGGCGGCAGCGCTCAAGTAGAAGGAGTAAAGGAGTTTAAATTGCTCAAGGATAGAAATGTGAGTACGGCCAAAGTCATGGTTAGAGCGTGAGCTGACGATACTCGTAGCGTCTGATGACGGATGTGTGGAGCTAAGTTTGGAGGTCTTCCCGGTGTATTAGCATGATTTGCATTAGCATAGACGCACATGATTGTCTTTTTCTCTTCTTCAATATGATGCCTGACTCGGCGCTGTATGCAGTCAATGTTCGTCCTTGTAGGCAGTGCATGACTAGGCTGAGATTTGCATGAAGTGCCGCGAATCGGATGCAACAAAGGCTATATGCTGGACTACGCAATGATCGTGGTCGCTGACACTCTTTCCAGACTGCGCATAGCAGGCTCCTTATCCACTTCATCGATACCAATGGAATCCATCGACGAGTCGGGCAAGGCGGGTTCCCCCTCGTTCACCAGGATGCGAGTCCGTGTGATGGCCGTCGTCTCCTCCGCGGTTTCCATGCCTTCCGAAGGCAGCTCAAACGGAGGCTCGTCGTCGTCGACAGCATCGACACTGGTCGAGACGACGATTTCTTCCACCGCGATAGTCTCCACAGGAGTGGAAGCACTGGATATTGTCTGTCCAATCTCGTTGCCCTGCAAGTCTTCGGGCACGTCTTGAGCGGCAGTGTCGGGCTCCTCGGCCACAAAGGCATCCATGTTGATACCTGATGCCTCGACTGGCTCGCTCAGATTCTCAGCCACTAGAGATGTAGTCACCCCGAGCGGCTGTACAGTCTCTTCAGTCCTCACATCCGCAGCGCTCGTCTCCATCGAATCATCAGTGTCGACGAGTGCGTTGACAGATACCAATGTTGAATCGCCGGTCGCCTCTATTGTGTCCATCATGTTCAAAACCTCCTCCCCCATGACAGCTTCAGCAGCCTCTGCGGCCTCCAGCGCATCCAGCAACTCCTGCTCGTCCGCCTCGTCATCCGCAACTGCAGCCGAGTTCCAATGTCTCATCTCATCTTCCATCTGAGCCGCGATAGCTCGGGCTTCTTCATCCGTCATGGTATCGGGATCAATGGGCAATCTCGAAGGTCCAGCAACGGCGTTCGTGCCTCCCACTTCCACCTCCAATTCGTCGATCACTTGAACTTGTCCGTCACCGTCTCTGTCTCCATGGATCCAAGCTGCTTCTTCGGCAGTGAGTTCGATCCCACTATCATCTGCGTCCACGTCGACAACTGACCCGTCTCCGTCAACTGAATACTCCGCGAACGCCTGCTCTGGCCGTACGAGCCACGGCTTCTTCGTTGGCAACTCAACGACACAGATGAACCGTCTAGTCTGCCTCGACCAACCTCGATCGGCCAATCGCTCTACTCGTACAGCACCAGCATCCAGCAGCGCGTCGCTTTCGTCTGATTCAGGTTCCGAGTCCGAGTCGACGTCGATCCTCTCCAACATGTGCGGCGGGTGTTCGACGTGCATGACTGGATTCTCGCCTGCAAAGCAATTGGCTGCGACTTTGGCTCTGGCCCACTCTCGTCGGAACATTGTGGGATAGACGGTGCCAAGGACAGGTGAGGTGGTCAACTGATCGGTGTAAGCGATCTCGGGTAAGATGTGATCGATTGGCGAGGATGGTTTCAGAGGTGCCGGCTTGGATAAATCCGCAAGCGGATTGACGTTTTCAAGTTCATCCTCGTGATGACGCTGGACATGCTAGGAGCGAGTAGGTTTAGCATAGCAGTATGTACTCTCAAGTATATCGATCACTCACCCTGTTGAGCTGCGAGACGCTCGGCACAGCAATGTCGCAACCTGGGATTTAGTAACGGCACGAGAACGCAACCCTCACCCTTCCAAGGACATTTCAGATTCCGTGAGATATGTCTAGCCTTGATGTGTTGCCACAAATGATCCCTCGATACGAAGCAAGGCTCTTCACATCCCTTCCAGTGGCATCGCCAGAAGAAATCTCGACCCCACATCTGGCAAGCTTCGTCAGCACTGACACAGCATGCAAAGTCACGGCGACTCACCCCCGCTCTCATCACATCCTGACGCAAATGGTCCCGGTGATTGAAATGCTTTTCGAGCAGGTTTTCATTAGCCAGCACACTATCACAACCTTGCCAATAGCAAGGATGCGGTCGAGCACGATGAAGCAGACTCTCCTCAGAAAGGATAGACTTGAGCGGCTCCACCATGGCCGGATCATGTCGATAGAGGAATCGAACAGGGATGACTTCGGGATCTCTGGGTCGAGTAGAACGGGCAATTGAGCGCGGCAAAGGCTTCATGGGTCGCAGATGAGGATGAGAAGATCGTCTCACAGTTTCGTCCTCAGAGTCGTCGTCCCGGAAAGCATCTGACGTTCTGTGAGCATGCTATTACATCAAGATATCTCTAGCCACACATACCATAGACGCCCCGTCGGATGAGCGATTTGCGACGACCGCGTCCAATAGGAATGACGACTTTCGCTCGATCGATAGGACCTCGTCGCAGTGTGTCTGGGCTCTGGGATGAAATCAGATTGACGACTGGCCTGGACTTGGCTTTCGAGGGGATGTACTGGATCGACATCGCTCTGCGGACCTGCTTGGCGATCTTTGGTACCGAGACTTTCCGGCCGAGCGGCGAAGGACGATGAACAGATGCTAGTCGTCTCGTGCGAGGAGAAGACGTCAGAGCGCTCATAGAACGCTGTGAGCGAAGTCTAGGAGAGCCATCGCGAGACTTTGGGGTAGCGAAGGGAAAGGAGAGTCTTTTTAGGTCTCTCGCCACGCCAGACGACCTTGGCTTGGAGGCTCGGGATGCAGGAGGTCCGGAAATCGGCGTACTTTCCTTGACCTTTCCATCTGGACGGCGGATCGGGACCTCGACGATGAGCTCCGGGCGCCTCTTGACGAGTCTGGAAACGGAATTGGGGAGCGAGGCCAGCGCCGGAACACTGCTTATACGAGTTGGAGATTCCGCGGGTTGAGAAGCGCTACTGATGGGTGTTTTGCCCTTCTCAGCAGCGGACAGAGGCGTGACCAATGCAAAACTTTTCGATACAGATGCGGTCGACCGAGAGTTAGCCTCAGCATTTGCCATCGCAGCGGCGAGAGTTTCCGGCGCGATCCTTGCCTCGAATTGTGAGGGACCAGCCTTAGGCGTTCCCTTCAAGACTCGCTTCATTCCAATGACTTTGACCGGCGTAGCGGCATCCGATAACCGCATCCTCGCTCGACTGATTCTTGATCCAGAAAGATTCACAATCTTTCGTGGACTCTGACTACTGAGAAGGAGAGCTTTCGACGTCGATTTACGCGAAGATTGCGGTGTGCCGACAGCTTGGGAGGGGATGGCTGCCGCGCCAGGCATCGCCTGACCATTAGTCGTAGGGCTTGGAGTCTGAGCACTATTGGCGATCGTCTCTGCTTTCTGTTTCGACCATCGTCGATTGGCTGCCTCCACCCGTTTGGGATTCTTGACTTTGCCGGCGGCAGGCTTATCGTTCGGCTGGCTCTGGGATGCTGAGTCCTGAATCTCTGTAGCAGTGACAGATGCGAACGTTGATGGCTCCACATCGCCCGTCACCGGCGCGGCAGGAGCCTGCGAGACTCGACGCAGCAGCGCGGGGTTGATAGAAGTAGGCAAGCCATCAGATGGCGGGGTCAAAGTAGATGTCCCTTGCTGTCGAGCTTGTAAATGGCGTAAGAGATCTCCTGCTTGAGTCAAAGCTGGAAGGCCAGAGCCTCTGTCAGATACAGGGACTGCAGCAGCAGTCGCCTGTTCGATGACCTCAGTCGTCCCCGTCACATCCGCGCCGGTGTTCTGGGACCCTACATTCGATTTGCGCCCTTTGCATCTATTGATCCTATTGCCATTGGCATCGAGCTTGGGCGGTCGGCCAACCGGTCTACGGCCTGGGATTGAGGGACCAGCTTGAGACAATTCTACCTGACCGCTCGCTTCTATTGAGCTGTGCTTCGATGGTCTGCCGCGCTTCTTGACGGAACTCGATCCAGCTGCCGCTTGGCTCGTGGTAGGCTGGCTTACCGATGCTAGAGGGGCTGTCGCTGGGTTCGTGGCTGGTGCTGAGCCATTTCGAACTGACTCGACGACAGCCAAGCTTGCCAGATGAGTTTCAGACGACAGTTGACGTGCAGCATTGACACTGGTTCCTAGGAGATCAGAGGGTTTCGGAATGCTTATGGTAGGATTGCGTTTGAGGATCATCACTGGAAGTGGCATCGTAGATTAGCTGGGTTACTTTTCGCGCCGGTATCCACTTACACAACTTGCTCCAGAATGACAGCTCATCCTTTGACAGATTTCGCCTCGGCTGGTTCACAGTCATCTTCCGTATCTCGAGCCTGAGTTCGTGCGCTCGCCATGCATAGCACGCGAGATCGCTGGGCATCGAAGGTACATGCACTTTGGCATTAAGTTCCGGTAAAGGCAATTGTTTCGACTTGACCAGATCTTCAAATGTCTGGATAATCGGCGGCTCATATGGTTGCGAGTGCGCAGGGGCGGCTGAGACGGGCCGCGAAGGCTGTGAGGAGCCTTGAGACGATAACGATGGTTGAGCCGCGGATGCAGTATGGCTATTCGTCTGACTCAATACAGCTACGGACTGTCGATTGGCATTGACGGCGATGAAAGGCTGAGATGGTGATGATGGTCGAGCCTGGGTTTTGAGGTTCGCTTTCGAGGACTCTCGCGGTCTGCCTGGACTTTTCTGGGCGGCCGACGAGGATGGGATAGGTGGAGCAGACCCATTGCCAGATGAGCTCGGTGCCAAGGTCATGACCGGGGGATTGACTGAGAGCTGCTGGCGATATTGGGACGGCGAGACTGAAGCATTCCCTCGAGCTTGCTCATCTGGAATTGACTGATCCATGCTCATTAGACTATCGGCAGCTTTGGTCTTGTCCCAAAGAGCCTCCAAACCTCCAAGATACGACGTGAACATCCTCCGCAATTGATGACCTATATCGGGTGTCGAGCGAGGTCCCTGAGGCGTCTCGCGAAAGATTGGAAACCCAAACATGGTGGCGACATGAGGCCAAGCATCATACGAGGTGATCTGGCGGAGAACATGTCAGCCTGGATTCGCGGGGTATACCCTGGCTCAACTTGCCCTGCGAGACCCTCCCATCTGGACGACCATGTTGAAGAGGGTGTAAGAGTCAAATGAATGACCCTCAATGACCCATACTGATGGATGGTCCTCCGGAAATTTCATATACTTGACTAGATAGCTGTGGATTTGAGCCTTTGACGGAACGGGAAGATTCGTATACGGTATAAGGGACTGTCCATCGGAAGTAAAGTACCTCGTTTTTGAAGGTTGAGATACATCTCGAGAAGTGGCATGCGAGTGCTTGTCGGCGGGAGATGAGATTGGATAACCTCGATCATAGTATGGCGGACCAGAAGCTGAAGAGGTGGTACTGGAGCTGGCCGGATTGTACCGTCCAAGGACATTATCATCGAGATGCGACACATTGGAAACACCTTTGCTTGAATGGTGAGTCGACGCTCCTTGAGAAGCGGGCCACTGCGAGCTGGACTGAAGGCGAACACCGGACTGAGAATGTCCACTGTGATCTGCAAACCGAGGAGGCGGCTGAGACCAAGAGCTGGAACTGGAGGATGAAGATGCAATAGAACCCGCTAGAAGAGACGGAAACGAGGGCAAACTGGTTGACTGAGAAGCGCTCTGGTAGCGACTAGAAGCAAATTGAGCTGACGGTTGCAAACGACATACAGGGGGTTGTCTCGCATCGACTTACAATTCTTCTTCGTCCAACAGCCTCAATTGCTCTTCAAGAGCCTGCCGCTTCCGCCTTCTCTGCTCAGCAGCTTGATCAATGCACGAAGTCATCTCCAGCGGTAAGTGAGAGCAGCTCCAATGCTCTCTGCTCGCCAGTCTATGACTGAAGGGTGTAGAAAAAGCTCATGAGACTGTCAATAACAAAAGATCGATGGACATGGACGAGTTCTGGCGGTTCGGACCGCGTCTTTTCGGGTGGACCGTGGCAAAACGGACACCGCGTAGCTAGCTACTGGCGCAAGGTCTTGCCTGCGCGAGGGTAGATGGGTGCACGCTAAGACCTGCACTACGCAGAGTGCTCTATTGAAGGCAGTTCTGCCCACGTGTCCGCGTCTAGCTATATGGTGCATGGGTCATGTTAGAGAAGGATGATAGTGCCGGACAAATCTTACTCGCAACAACCAGGTCGAAGAGTGATCCAGCTCATGGCAGAGGAGATCTACGAGATGAGCAAGGAGCGAAAGCTCTAGGCAGATCAGCTGAAATCTATCTCTGTGGATCCGAATCCATGCTCGGTCTATATCAGGCAATGGTCATAGCTGGTAGCCGAGGCTACAAAGAAAGATCCACCAAAGAATGCATTCTGCGCTTTTGCCCCATCGGAGGAAGAGCCCTCCTGATAGATTTTAATCCATTGTCTCATGTCTCTGATCCTCCTTCCCTCCTTTCATGGAGTCAGACCGTTCATCTCCTAGCCGTCCCTTTTATAACAAGGTAAGGTTGGTCGTCAGACGGCAAATGTCAGACTGGCTCAATACCGAGAAACACCCAAGAGAGGGAAACCCGGGAGCTCGTCAACTAATTTGCGACCGTGGAGTTGTCATCATTTCTTGAAACTGAACAGTTCAAGGCGTCAGCACAAAGTCCCACAGTCCAGGTATGAAGAGGTGCATCGAGCACAACTCACGAAGGAAGGATTGAAGAGAAGAAGGAATTGCTGCTCCTCAACATCATTTTGAAAACGGCTCAAGTCTCATCACGCCTATTTCCTTAGATAGGCATTTCTTAAACAATTTTGATCCCGCTCACCATCCAAACCCCTTCTTCTTTCCCTCCATCTGCGAACCCCCTCTTAACAGTCTCGCATACTCCTGCCGTTCAAGTCTGTAGCAGATCATCATGGCGTCCATTATCCGAGTCAACGTGAGTAAAGACTTTCCTGTCACCCTTTGTCTCCCACAATCCTCGCTCGTGTCGAGCTGACCCTTTCTAGGCCCGTCGTTTGGCACCTTCCGTCTCTTTCGCTCGATCTTTTTCAGTCTCAGCGAGCTCTAGAAAAGGTAAACATTGATAGACGCTCGCCATGGATGGTGTAGTCCGGCGAGAGATGATTGAAGGATAAGATTTGCTGACAACTGGTCTTTATTTAGACCTCGTTCAGGACCTGTACATTTCTCAGTTGAAGAACTACAAGGCTCCAGCGCAGGTGAGTCTTTAAGATCGTCTAGCCCTCTGGGATCGTTCTCATCCCCTCACACGATCCGTATAGCCGTCGGGAACCCTCTTCCGCATGATCCGCAGGCATAACACCGTGCGCTGACCCTTCGCTCCAGACCAAAGACGCCCACGTAGGAAACGTTCGAAACTACACCGCTCCCTCGCCTCCCAAGGCCCCAGTCCTCCCTTCCAACCTCGCCGAAGAGCTGTCTAAATTCGATGCTGAGGAGCCTACCCTCGGAGCATCCTCTACTGAAGCTACTGCGTCTAGCACGGAGGAGCAGGGAGAATCAGCTCAAGATTACTTGAACTTCCTCGAAGCCGACCACCCAAAGAAGGAGCATCATTAGTCGGTGGGACGATAGATGGAATGTAGCATGGGATGAAGGCAAGAGGATGCAAAAATCATAGCTTGGATTGTGGAGCCTAGATCACTGATCATTCGAGAAGTCCCTGTGAGAGCCTCTTGACACCCGAGGATGCCATCCTTTTCAGACCGACACGCACTTCGCCTAATCTTCATCCTCGCCCCTCTGTTTTGCTCTCTCCCGTCTGGTTCTTCCCTTGGCCCGCGCCTCCTCAATGATTGGACCTGGAGAACGTATCAGCCATGGTTTTGCGCTATGAGCTTCCGGACTGACCCATCTTTCCGCTCTGTCCCAAGGTTTTGAACAGCTCGAAGACCACTGGTAGTAGATTATTCCGCCGCAGAGTATTCTCGACTGCTCCGCGCTCGTTCTTCGTCCGTTCTTGATACAACTGATCCTGCATCGTCATCTTCTCTTGCGTGGCCGTCGTAGGGTCATTCAACAATCGAGTGAGGCGTGGTAGAGGGTCCGATCGAACAGCAAGAAGGTTGAACATGAGCTGAGATGGACAATTAGGACACCACAGTTATCTCATCCGCTGAGAACAGTTTACGCTTTTCAACTTACTGAGCCTGCGGGATAGGTCGCTATCCTAGCTTCGATGGTCTCTCTCGCCTGATCCAGCCAATCATCTTCGACAGCAGCGTGCATGATTGGATTCCGTCTTAGCCCATCGAGCTCGTACAGAACTCCATTGACTGGTAGATAGGCCACGAAATGATAAGCATCTTCCCTTTCACGTTCTGGGAACGCGGCCGGATCCATAGAGAAGGGAGACGATTTGGAGAAGGAGTTGTGGACTTCGCGGATAAGAGGGTGGGAGGAGAGGGTGTGACCGAGGCTAAGAGGGGGTGGACAGGCGAATTAGTAACGAAACAGATTCCTCGGAATCCAAAAGAGAGCGAGGTAGCAAGGCCGGCCGAGAGAGACGGCTGTTGTCGGTACGACACTCGACTATGACCCCGTGTGTGTACTCGAGCGTCTTCGAACTCACTCCAAAGGTCCCATGGCTGATCCAAAATCCCTCAAATTCTCGAGTTCAGGCTGGGGGTGCTCCAGTCAGCCATATCAGATGTCGTATCCTGCCCCCATCACCACTCACACCCAGTTCTATACTCTCGCTAGGGTGTTCAGAGCTTTGCGGAGGGATATTCATCACGGCATTTAAAGCAGCAAGCGTTCCACAGCTATTATTGATGACCTGAGCGGCGGGGTGGAACGACATCGTCAGCGATCAACGACCTCACTCCAGGTCGACTTTGGATCTGATGGAAACAGAATGCGCCGCTCACCTGATTCGCGAACCATACGCCATTCTCTCCTGAATCCACTTCGATACCGGAAGATGATTCCCCTTCGTCACCTCCGACATATTTGAACAAGAAAATGAGGGCGTGAATAGGTCTTAGAGGACCTAAAGTATCCGAGTCAAGGGAGTAGAGATCGTCCTGTAGAAAAGAGCATGTCAGTCCATCATCTTCGAGCAGCGCAATGGAGCACACGAAGCGGAAGCAGTCATGAAGGCTTTGCTGTTGCATCTTCCCTGCGACACTTGAAACTGACCACTTGTAAACCCTTTACGCCGAGATCTTTGAGCAACTGAGTGAAGACTTGAGGATCAGATTCGGTCAGTGACCAGCCTGATGGATCTTCAGCCATACTTGATGAGCCCAACACCTTCAGCCAGACTAGCGACACTCCACGAAGCGACGGGAAAACGCCCAGCGGATTGGATTGATCTGGTTTGCCAAGACACTCGCGTTACAAAAGTGGCAACCACATCATCATGACATGTTTCATGGCGTACAACGACAAACGATGACAATCACTCTTGCTGGTGACTCGGTCTTCGCCACCTCTAGCTCAACTGCAACCTATACACCGACCTTTGACCCATCCCCAAACCACCTCCTGATATCCTCCAATTCTCGATGCCATTTCTGCCATTTTTTCACCATTCTCTCTACCTCTACTTCATCCACAACTTCGCCTTCTTCCCCGTGATCCAGAGCTTCCTGTATCTTTACCAGCTTCTTGGTGTACAACTGATAAGCGGGGAAAAGCTCTTCGTATCGATCTCTGAGACTCTCTTCGTCTGGTCTCGAAGTCTTGGGCTCTGTCTGTGAGGCGCCGTTCCGAGCCTCACCTAGGTCAAGCACGGGTGGTGGGGCTTTCCGCTTAAAGGTTGGAATGGACGACGTTGTTTGAGCGTGAGTGAGTGGAGCAGACTGCGGGTGGTGATCTGAACCAGTTTTGCGTTTACTCAGGGGAGTCGCCTCGACCTCGGATCCTGAATCTGAGGAAGAATAATCTCGAGTGGTCGCAGATAGTTTTTCATCCGGGGGCCGTGCTTTGCTCTTTTGCTTCTTCATCTCTGGCTTGCCATCGCCACTCGTGGTAGTAGTGGGCTTGATGGGCTTGGCTTCCTTTGTACGCCCGCGAGGAGCCGATTGTCCAGCAGCAGATTCGCCACTGTTGGATGCTTCTGCTGACGAATCAGCCGGCGAATCAGGTCGAGATTTCCCATCATCGTCATTCCGTTTCCGCTTCGTCGTTCCAGCCGCTTTTGCCGCTTTATTTGAAGAGCCACTAGCCATACCAGTCGTAGGCACGGTCGTCGTCGGATCGAGACGCGGAGAAGCGACGTTGGAAGTCGCCCTTTGAGCATTCGGCAGAGACGAAGCTCTCTGTTGTTGGGCTGCAAACTTTGCTCTTTCTCGACCGATGAGCCCGAGCGATCCTTTGGACTTCTTCTTCCCCGCTACGGCGTTACCTGACGCCTTGTCCTTGGTCCCCGAGTCCGAACTGTTGGCGCCACCAGCATGAATAGGTCCAATTTGAGGACTGCTGATCGGCGTCGATTGCGCACTGGTCTCTTTGCGAGCGGATGGAGCAGGGATCGGGGGAACTTGTAGAGTATCACGTTCGTCCATCTTCACGTCGCTCTCGCCCTCTTCACTCTCTTTGATCTCTGACTCCTTTTGAGCCAAGTCCACTCTCTCCTCTGCGTCGCTTGGTAGACCCAGTTCGTCAAATGCTTCTCGAGCAAGTCGAACAACTGTTCGTTGTTCTTCAAGGGTGTATTTCCAGGAAGCTATCTTGACCTGGGCATATTTGGCGGGTTGGAGTGTGTACCGACCCTCGCCGAGATCTTTTCCGACCTGTCAGACACGGTCAGGAGGCGTCACTCATTTGGGGCAACACTCACTACTCTGACCACTCGCATCACGTCTTCTTCTGGCATCCCAACTCGTTTGACCACTTTCTCCAGGCTCATTGGACCAAGAGAAAGAGCTTGGATCACCCGAGTCTTCAATGGGATGATAGGTTCTCCACCGACCGTCATGGAGCTAGGTAATCCAGGACTACTGTACACCCTTCCCATTTGTTCACCCTGAGTATGCGGCTTTGCATGATGGTTGAAATGAGCGGTCGAAGGTGTCTTGAGACCAGATGCTATGGCTCCCCGATTGTGGTTGTTAGATCCGATAGGCGTAGTGAGACGAGACGTTGCAATGCCCAATGGGTCTAGTCGATCGCCTTTCAATGTATAAACCTCGGAAGGTGTATTGGAAGCTTGGGGTGCAAGATGTATAGGGGCAGATCCAGGGATATGGAGCGACTGAATGGCTTTAGCTTTTGAAAAGGGGGGGGGGGGGGGGGGCGGGGGGGTTTACAGCTTGTCAAGACTTACCACTTCGTCACCTTGGAAAGATATGGATAGACCATTCGAAGCAGCTTGGAGCTTTGTCCAGACTTCTTGTGAGGGTCGAAAGAGATAGGCTGGCTTCGAGGAGGAAGAGCTACTGGAAGACGAAGCGACGAGCTGAGTCGAGCCGAAAGGTAGAGCCATGATGAGCTAAGCGTGATAGAGATAGATGATGCGGGGACAATCCACAGATCCCAAGTGTTCTAAGCTTCCAACCAAGACACGGACTGCTCTCTAGCTCAATGTCCTTGGTATTGTGACCATACGATTCCTATTCACCCTCTCCCACCGGGACCGAATTTCAACTTTGACCGGGCTTGCCAGAACCCCTCAGGCAGCTCAAAGGAGCTAATCGATGGGAGGTCTAGCGGCGATCAGCACTTGAGCCATCGCATCGCTAAGCGAGATGACTGGTGATAGAGTCGATCTGACAGATATCGAACAAGGTGAATGATTCACAGTGAGATATAGGCTATTATTTCAATACCTCTGTCCACAAGTCTCGGGGGCACAGGCTTTCCCATTCAACTCATTTGTGCCAATTATCATTTTCATAGCCGATGATGGATGGGAGTGGCGGCGATAATAAGATGCAAAGAACACGTACATTGCAACCAAGCAGAAGCATAGCCATGTTACGTGTCGAGAACCAGATTGGATCAACGTAGAGCTGAGCCTTTGACTGGCAGTCAATGTTACGCGGTATATGCATACTGAGGATTATACTATAGCTTGGGATCTGCGACAGCAAAGAAAAAGCAGGTCGACAGAAGCAATGTTGAAGCGCTCGAGATGTCCGTCCTGCTTCGAACATTGACACCTTACAACCTGTGAGCTCCTTTCTACTCTACTCTACGAGCTCGGCGCAGGCTTCTTGTTGATCAATTGCTTCAACTGCGGTTGAGGTATACGATGAAGATCGTCACATCCACCGATGAACTCCCCGTTGATGAATACAAATGGAACGGTTCGCTGACCAGTCTTCTTGTGCAGGTAGTCTTGCACCACAGCTGATGGAACAGAATGTCAGCTTGGTGTTTATGTGACAAGCACTGTACCACTCACACTCAGAGCCATCCGTGTCGATACTGAGATAGTCAGTCAATTTAACATGTCGTCCCCGCTTGCAGCTCCTGACTCACTCCCAATTCGTCACGTCCGGCACCATCCTTTCCAGAGTACCGCGAGCACGTCGACAAAACTACAGGCGCACGTCAGCACATTTGAAGTGGTAGATCAGCCTTCACGCTCTCGCCACCCGATTCCATAACCGCTCGATGGAGATCGTTTTTGAGCTCGCTCGAACTCCATCAAGACTCACACCGCACCACGATTTACCAATGACCACCACCCTATTCTCCTCGATCATCTTATCGACCTTGCTCTTCAACTCTGCGGCCATCTCGGGTGACGAAGTGGCTCCTGTGGAGAATGATGAACCCAGTTTGAAGGATGGAACCGTGGGGTAAATGGGGTGAATGTATGTTTGCTTGTAGACTAGATTAGATGCGTGGAAAGTCGCTGTGATAGTCCTCGATATACCTCTCACTGCTATCATCTAAGATGTGCTGGGAGATCAAGGATGAAGTGGCTCGAGTGAGGAAAGACAAGTAATAATATATGTCCTCGCCTCTCTGATTGTTCGATGACGACAGATTTGACCCAATTGATATTCTTTTTTTCAATCCCCGGTTTTCCAGGAGCGGGCCCCTAAACGCAGCTTGGAGCGAGACGGTCATGGATATCATATCATGTCATGTCAACATGGACATTCAGTACAGATACCATGGATCGAAAGCTGTTGGACTCGGGTGACTACTGAGGCTCGTCTCGACGACCTGAGGTTGACTCTCATCAAATCGCGTTTCACCTGTTTCCCCCGCCCCCCCGGCGCGCACTGATCAAATAGCTCCATCGAACAATAATAACAAAATCCTAGCTCAAACACAGACATAGCCTTGCTTGGACTGCCGTTCAACAAGCATGGAATCCTTTACTGAAAGGGATGAAGGGGGGAGGATCCCAATGGGCCTTGAAGGGACGTAGTCAGCCAGCTACACATGGTGAATGTTTCTTCTTCTTGCTGTCCGTTGTCCAAAGGCAGTCCAGTCCTGGGCGAGGTCCTGACACTTTCGCACTGATATACACATGTCCTGATCTTTTGGAATCCTTATTACCTCCTTCCCCTCCTCTGCCTTCCCTGCAACGCTGTGTGTTGTCTGTTGTCAACTTGTGTCCCTCACCGCCCTGGCTGGATCCAGACGCGTCTTTTCATTATCCGAGACATCTTCTACCACCAACTATAAACGATCCATCCCACATTCCCAATCGATCCCTCGCTCTTCCAGGAGAACAACGAGGAAGCGCTGCTTTATCAAGGGAGCTGGATCTTCCTCCTTTTCAAACCTCATAGAAAGACGAATCGGGTCTGGAACCTCATCTCTCTATACGCTGATCCACACGTCATTCAAAACTAGTAGCAGGAAACGAGGCAGGTCGGGAAAATCACATTCCTTCTCTTTCATTCAGCTTTCGTTGCACGAGAAGGCTGGTAGACTCTCGTGGTAATCTCAAGACCTGGGTATCAAATCCTCTCCTCAACACAACAGCTCCTCAGGTCCACCCATTCTGTTCAGCGAACAGGTCGATTTTTCGGCAGCATTCCCCAAGACGGTCTCGTTTTTGACCTCACTTTTGTCTTCAATTATCCTTTTCCCGCAATCCGCGATACCTTTGCCTCTTTCAGCTGGTCCAGTTGTCTCACGCATGCCGTCAATGTCTTCGCCGCCGCCGCCGCCGCCGCCTCCTCCTCCCATGGCGTCTACCAGAGCGCTCAGCTCCCGCTCACCAGAGATGACTAGGTCTACACCTCCCATCCCGTTTGCTCTACCCGTGAGTCCAGAGCCCCCTTGCTTTGACACGATCCCGCTTAAAGCTCAAACAGAGTTCCTATCGTGTACAATCACCTCGTCAACGTCCGCTGGCTCTGGCTTCCTTAGCTCCATCCCCTATTAGTCGACCACGTACCAGTGCCCCTATCCTGAATCGGTCACCTTCTGTGACTTCTACCTCCTCTTCAAGTTCCGGCTCGACCTATTCTCAGCAAGTCTACACACCTCCATTGACCTCTTCAGTTGCTCGATCTAAGAAAGACAGACTTTTACCAGCCATCCCGTTGAACATTGACAAGCAGCAGAGTCAAAGTCCCGATAACTCACATATAGACTTTCACGCCGTCGCCAAGGAACTTGTCGGCTCGATAGCCGTCGCCAGTCTTCCAAGTCCAATATCTCCATGTAATCGTCTTTCCTCAAGACGCCAAGTAAACCAGCATCTTCCACTATCGCCTTTACCTTCGCCTACACCCCGGAGGGAATCTCGACAATCTCCGTTGGAAGCTGTCTTTGATCCGTCAACACCACCGCCCACTCGACCGAGAAGACGAAGAGCCTCTGTGACGGAATCCACATTTCGAGCAGAAACAGCGACACCTGTGCCTGTGGACTTTCTTGTACCTCGGCCCCCTTACGCCCGAGCAGCTTCCCCGGCGTCCACAAGCACGACCAATTCGACCATCACTGAAGTTTCTACACCCAAAGTCAGGCGCATTCCTGATCAACCTGCCCCTCTTCCGCCACCGCCTGCATCGTGCGGTCCGACCTTTCCAGATCGCAGTACGACAGAGGACCGGGATAGGGATATCACCATCACACCGATCGCAAAGAAGCGAGATTCAACGCAACGTCGCTTGAGCGCACTGAGGGGCTTAGTCGCCAACTTGGACTTCAATCAACACTGGTCGTTTGCAGGACAGTCGGAAGAAGCGACACCAAACGATCAGGTCGAGACCATCTTCTGGGCCTGCGGGGGTGATCCACCCTTTGAACTGAATCACTCTGGATCTGAATGCGATTCTGAAATCGAGGAGTCTCCAAATCAACGTCTGAAGATGAGTCCTCCACTCACCAGCCCGGTGCACATGGGTACGCCTCCTCCGCCGCCCCCTTCTTTCTCTCCTCACGATGGAATGAACATCACTACCCCGTCTAGACCGTTGCCCCGTCGCCTGCCGAGCTCTACGCCACCACGTCGACCTCGACTCTTTCGATCATCATCCGACTTGCATGCCAAGACTCCTGACCCACCTCGACCGGCCTCTCGCCAACGTCGCGAGTTCACTGGCGTCGCCTCGTCCGGGTACTCAAAGTCTCTCGAACGTAGCTCCTCTCCTGAAGAACTGGCCACGCCTCTGTCGACATGGCGATCATGTTTGTCCAGCGATAGGATCCATGATCAATTGCTGGCTCAGAACGGTACCATGGAGATCAAACGGCAGGAGATCATGTGGGAGATGTGTGAGACTGAAAAGGCTTTTGTCAAATCCATGAAGACCGTCTTGCGCCTTTTTGCGACGCCATTAAAGACTCCTCAAGGCAAGTGGATCGACGGTATCTCGGACAAGATCTCTGAACTTTTCGACCTATTGGAATGTGTCGTCCAAGCGCATTCCATCATCGCCTCGCAACAACGGGACCTCAGGCGAGCCAATCAAGTCTTAGACGTCCGGACCTTTGTCGGCATCTTCAAGTCTTGGGTCGACCGATTGACCGTACATGAGTGGTATTTGGTCCGATTCGAAGCCGTCGTCCAGACTGTGGAAGACAATGTCAGAGATTCGGACAGTGTCTTTGGCGAGTTCGTCAGAATGCAAATGAAGGAAGAGGTGTTGGGGTCCATGTCTCTAGGGAGTATGCTACTGAAGCCTGTTCAGAGGTTGACAAAGTATCCGTTGTTCCTCAAGGTGAGTAATTATCAATCAAAGACCAACGCAATTGCTTATACTCCGCTCAAGCGCCTTCTCGACGTGACGCCGCACTCACACCCATGTCAATCGGATATCCTGTCCCTTTTGAGCAGGACTGAGCATATCATTCTCCACTTGCAAGCTGCCAAAGCCCGAAAGGACGATCTTGACCACCTTGAAGTGCTCGAATCCAAACTTGCAGGCCTGCCGGTTGGATTCAGACTCGCTGTACCTGGTCGCAAGCTGCTGGGTCATGGACAAGTGGTCCGACGGACACAGGGATCCTCGCCGAGCCCCGTGTCTCGGAGTCGAGCGGGCAGCATCCACAGTTCTCGAGGGTCCATCTCATCCACCATCTCCTCATCCATCTCTCCTTGGGACTTTATCGCCCATGGGGGTCCCGCTGGAGGAGGCACGAGGATCTCAAACTTCTCCACGACGTCCTCTCTGTCCTCTTACAACCCACCATCTCGATCCAATTCCTTGGTTCGGGATGTTCCGATGACTTCACCAAGAGGTCCATTAACAACCCAACACGGCCCGACCGTCACCAGATCTCCAAGTACAGCTTCTGCATCCTCAGCCTCGTGCTCCGTTACGGATTGGAGACCTTCCACTCCGAGTTCGATGAAGAGTCCCAGTAGCTTGCCTAGTTCGACCTCTAGTCTATCAGGGTCGAGCCGCAAACGCTCTGCTGAAGATCAAGTGGTCATGTTGATCTTTGATGATCTCGTGCTGGTGGGTCACACGATACATGAGCGGGGATTGTTCAGTCACGCAAAGAAGAAGAAGGATGACAAGGTGCTCAAGCTACTGGGAGAGGCTGAAGGGGGGATTGGCAAGGTGGTCGATGTAAGGGATTGGACCGGTTGGCAAGGTGAGTTGGTCTGATCGAGAAACCACCTGGATTCGTACACTGATCTCATCATTTGTGTTGTCTCAATCAGGTCACGCATCCCTCTTTACCCTATCTTTATCAGCTCCATGCGATCCAGAGAACCCCATGACATTCGCCTATTCCATTCCTAGCAATCCCACACCGCTGTCGAAGCTCAAGACGGACAGACAGGGGACAACCAACAATGCCGGCAACCTGTTCGGTCCGCCAATAACTTCTTTGGGAGGTATCATCACTACTCTGTGCCAAGCGACTCATTCGGATCCTACGGGAACTTTGACTTCATCCACGAGTGGGAACGCACTTGACCACGGGACGGATGAGGAGGATATTGACAGTATGGGCGTCTTGACAGAATACCTTGCAGAGTAGATGGGAACACGTGCATGTCAAGTGCTCAACGCTAGCCATGCTCGCCAGTACAGCATTGGAACTTAAGCTACATTCATGGCATCAGATTGACTGAGCTTAATAGTTTGCGGTTGTCGACGCTAGCGATACACCTGTACTCGCTCGCCTGTAAAATAGGTTTTATTTACAACTGGACTGCGTCATGACTTGCAAAGAATCCTCGCAAACGGGACTCCAGCACCATCCCGTCCATCATGACCCCTCTATGGCGTCTGGCGTGGATGCAGCATCTCCTCGAGTGGCAGCCATGAAGACTACACCGGCGAAGAACGATAGAACCGCCACGAATCCATAACGTATCATGGTTGTCCGTCGTTTCGCTGAACAGAGGAGAATCAGGCCTTATCAGCGGAACCGAGTACCATTCTGCCAGCGCCTCCCGCTTACTTTTCTTCAAGGCTGCCCCTGCGGATTCTGGATCCAAAGGCTCCGCCAGAAGACTCAAAATCAACGTCTCTGGCTTACTTTCCACCAACTTTGCCCACGCTTCGTCCAGAACAATAGCCCATCTCTGTTCAACGATTGGCGAGCCAGGATTGACGAGCGTTTCAAATTGTATCCTATTGGGATTTACATCGGCCAGCAGAGGGAAAGCATTTTGCACCTTTTCAATGGTTTCCTATGGTCACCCAAAGTTCTGATTTTAGCTATTACTTCGTTTTGCCTTTTAGAGCTGAGGTATTTGCGACTCACAGCTTTGGTCCTCGGAAGGATACTCATCACTCGCCGCTTGGACCCGCCCGCAGGTGTGTAGACGTAGATGACCCCTGGGGCATCGAACTCAGAGGATCGTTGATGATCTTCTGGCCTGGTTCTACTCGTTGGAGGATACGAGTGAGTCGATGATGATGATGTTGTTGTTGTCGCTGTATCGTATTTGGCAGGAGTCTTGAGCAGAAGGTGCGACTCGTCTAGACGCTCATCGTCTTCCGGGTCAGAATACCTCGGTGGAGACGACATGACCCTAAGTGATATGCTGAACAGGAATGTCAAGGTGACACCGGTCATCTTTCTGTGCGTAATGTCGGAGCTGTGAAATTGCCCCAAATGGTAATTTCCTAAGTCACTTTAGGAATAGATTACATTATGCAGCGCAGTGATCAATGTCGAATCACTCGGTACTAGGTTTTGATTGTTGTGATTTTCCTCTCAAGGTCTTCTTTCATCCTCTCCTGACTCCATATGATAAACCCCTGCCTTCGCATTGTCCGTTATAAATTTTCTCCTCTGCCCAATTTCGACACCTATTGGGAGAGCTTGGAGAAGAAGTGGAAAAAGTCCACATTCGACGCTTGCATAGAGCAGGCATAGATGTAGTTGGAGCTGACCCAAGCGGACCAGACTGCACGTTGGTACTGAATGCATTGTCAGCGGCATCTTTCGAAAAGCCAGATCGTTCTCACCTGCTCCGGCAATCGCTCCATCAGCGTCTCCAGGCCGATAGTGTCAACCAAGGTTTTTGGCATGGCCCTTCGGAGGACATTCTTCCTGGATTGGATATTCTCGTACAGATCTGAAATCTCGAGCTCGTGTTGGAGATTGTTGAGCGTGGAAGATAGCTCGTCCGAAATAGTGGTTCGAGATTTGGTCCCGTTGTTTCGGTGCCACTCTTTGGTAATGCTGACGAGAGTCAGACATTCTCCCCGTCGTTAGAGACCTGACTCACCAGTGGTACTCTGCGGCGGCGTTTTCGCAGATCTTGGACTGAATATCCTTGACGTAGCTCTGGTCTGGAGCAAAGTCAGCAGGTATAATAACCAGTGCCTCTCGCAATGAGCTCACAGAAATGAGACGGCTTGCCATCCTTGAAGATCATGTTGTTGATGTACTCCTCATCGTTCTGACCAAGGCCAGCGAGCACCTCGAGCGAGGACGAAGTGACACCTCCCTGAGAACCCACAGATGAGTTTTTCGTCATTGCCCCCCACACCGTGTTCACTCACCTTGTTCGTACTGGAATCCTTGAATAAGACAACACCTTTCTTCTCCAACCAGAATCGAGACGTTTGAGTGAAGAACAAGTTTGCACCTTCGACAACGTATTTAAAGTTGGGTTTGCCTTCGCTGTCCAAAAGCTGAGCGACGTTCGAGATGTTGACGGCTTCGGGTCGACCACCACAAGGGACGAAGAGGTCTGCCTTGACTCGGAAGTGGAAGTTGTTTCGGAACTCGGTCCCGTCAGGGATGACTTCTCCACCTGAAAAAGTAGCATGTCAGCACAAATCTAAGATATGTACCCACTTGGCAGCTTGACGTCTTGCTCATCAACGAGCACCTGGTATCCTTCCGGACCCAACTTGGCCTTGTCGAAAAAGTTGATTGGCTTTCTAGCCTTGGCCAATCGGATCAATTCGGGTCGGTCCAGACCAGCAGGATCGTACAAGACTCCACTGCCATCAATGATGGCGACAGTCTTGTCTTTGCTGAGAAGAATCTCGTTGGAACCGAGATCTCCGTCGGGACCTCCGGTCTGGAACTTGGTCACATCCTTCTCGTTAAGACCGTGTGCTTTGAGGATACCGAGGATGTATTGGCGGACTGACAGTGAAGTCATGCCGTACACGTCGTGAGGGATACCTCCGAGCTTCTCTGCAGACTTCCCAGTGGTGAATGACTTCCACCAGCTGGCACCTCGTGCTCGAGCGTGCTCGGCCGCCCAGTCCATGAGGTCGGCAGTGTTCTCATCCGGTCCAAAGAAGAGGATTTCAGGATCTTGTCGACCAGAGACGTCAACAATGGGACCCTTAATGCCAGGTGTTCGACCAGGAATCAACAGGTCGATGATCGCATCGACGTATTTTTCAAAGCATTGTCGGTAGTTGGCATCTACTTCGGGCAGAATGGTACCCTTGGCTCCACCTTCGGGGATATCCTTGTTCTCTGAGTTCGACGTCAGCGATAATAGTCTGGACCAGTGTTTGTCTCACTCAAGTTCTGGGTTGCAGCAAGCGCATAGTTCTCATCGAACAAGGTCCTGACATTGGAGTTGTAGTTCTCCTTGCCTCGCGATCGGATGACACGGATACCACCTCGAGCAACGTCTCTGAACCGGACGTGGAAGCCACGGAAGTCTGGTCCAATGACGAAGAACATGCCGAATGGTTTCTTGGGGTACTCGATGTCTGGCAAAAACGAAGGGTCGAGTCGGAAAGACAAGGCAACCTTGGTCGGTTGATAAAAGTTGCACTTGAGGACATGCTTGTTGAAGACGAGCAAAGCTTCCAAGATTTGGAAGGCGTGCAAGTTTTGTGCCTTCTTGCGAATGATGGCATGGAGTTCTTCAGTGGTGACGGGGACTTCTGTCTTGAGTCGCTGGAAGGACAGGGTCGGGGTGAGCTGGGATGCCTCATCGGGCGCAGGGTAGTGAACCATGGCAAAGTTGATGTACAGCATTCGGACCAGTTCAGGATGAGCCTGGATAACCTCGCGAATGTTTTCTCGCGTGAAGGTCTCTTCTCTGAATCGGGTCTTGATCTTGTTGACCACTTCGGCATGGCTGGGGTTGCTCTCGTCGAGCACTAAGGGGAGTCAGGCTATACCGTGGCTAAGACAGCTCACCATTCTTCAGAGCCAAATAAGCTGATCCCAATCGGTTGCAGAAATGCTGAGCAAAGATCCATCCAGCATATGCGTATGTGGCCTCTTGGACGGCATGTCCGGCGTTCTCGTCATCCTCAGCGACGGCGAAGAATGGATTGTTGGGCAGACAGTAGAGCAGGGAAGTCTCTCTGACGATCTGGTGGATCGAGTGCTCGATAGGAGGTGCTCGTGAGTTGGGTACAGGGTTCAGGTACATGGAGATGATGGTGATTCCATTGGAGAACTGCTCGACGTATTTTCGAGCCGAGTAAAGACCGTAAAAGTGGTACAGGTCGGACAGAGCGGAGAAGAATCGCTTCGTGCCTCCCATCCTGGGGAAAGTTAGTGAGCCCCCGCGCACAATCGTCACTCACTTGTATCCGATGACGACTCGTCGCTCACGACTGTCTTCGATCTCAAACATCTCAATGACCGGTCCATCACGACGAGACACCTCATCCATGATCTCCTGGTAGATGTCGAGTGTGGCATCGCTGGCCTTTTCGATAAAGCTGGCATCGGAAACTGATCGAATGTCGACGTTTCCATTGGCAGACTTCACTGGCGCTGAGGTGGGGAACGAGCATCGAGCGACAAAGTAGCATCGAAGCTGTTGAGAGATGGTCGAGGAGATGGCCCCTGACGATCGGTAGGTCTCAAGTCGGTATGCCTTTTCAGGCGTCGAGTTGTCGAGGTAGAGATTGTCAATCCTGAAGAAGGTGACAAGTCAGCTGGATTTCATCAGGTAGAGATCGTCCACGTACTGCTTCTCGACGCTGGCCCCTGGGCCAGTCTTGACGGTGACACCCGGTTGACTGGTGTGGATCCAGACTGCACCTTCCTTGCCCGCCTCCCCTTCCGGGGTGATCTTTTCAAGGTCAATGACGAGTTGATTCGGGTCATGCTTTGTATAAGCAAGCAGCTTGGCTGAGTAGAGCGCTAGGATGTGATCGGCGATCGCGTCAGGGTTCTCAGCGAGAAAGTATGCGTTGTCTGACAGGGTTAGCTAGGCGAGTCTTCAAATAAGCTCACCGATGCCAAGGTGGTTGTAGAACCAATCGACTTCGCCAGAGACGAGCTCTGGTGGCATGAACCCGGTTTCAGACAGGATCTTGACCACTTCGCCTTGTTGAGTGGCCTTCAATGGGAAAGGAGATGATTTGTATCCTCTGTGAAACAAACAGGCAGGTCAGTCACTGCAACATGGAGGAGGTATGTGACCCACATTGTATCCTTTCGGAGCCGGGGAGTGGAGACACCGTTGGAGCCGCTGTTACCATTGGCAAAGTGGTCTCCACTGAGAAGCTTGGCGACTTGAGCGGGATGCGGGGGCTGCAGCTGTGAGACGTCGTCAGCTGAATGCGGGAGACAAGGCAGGAGTCCGACTCACGCCCCCGTTGGAAGAGGCAGAAGCTACTGGTGTAGCCATGTTGAGAGAAGATTGCGGTTGGATGGAAGAAGGTTGCAAGGAAGAGTTCTGGGGCAATGATAAAAAGAGAATGTCAGCATGCAAGTATCTTATACGCCGCGAGGTTCCTGAGCCGAGAACAAGGGGCGTAGTTCAGCTAGCCGTTGAAACAGTCAAAGGACATGTTGGTCTGCGGGGGCAACCAATGTGTGCCCCGCATGGCTTGCAGAGGGCAAGCAGAACCATCGAAAGGCACGCCGTAAGATGGTAGGAGCTCACCTTGTACACCGCCTTCGAGCAACAAGACAGGAGATTGCAAGTGAGAGTTTTAATGCCTGAGCAATGTCAGAGTTTGGAGAACTCTCGGATGGGAAGAGGGGGGGCCGCGCTATGATCTATATACCCTGGATGCTATCTCTAGGTGTCTCTGCGATAAGCACTGAGACTGATCCTGACAGATAGAGCGGAGGGTATTATCGAGTCGATCAAAGGAAGGTGGTGGAATGGCTCAGATATGTCTTATCGACGTTGCGAAGTTCGCGGGCTAGTGGACGTGAAACATGGAGCAAGGCTGCAGTGTGGGGGAGAGTGGATTAAGAAAACACGTCGGCTCACGTTTGAAAATAAGCGGTTGACGTTGAGGTGGAGAATGTGTGAACTTTGCTGATTGGTGATGAGGCTGGGGATGGAGTGGATGTGTCTGAGAGTGGGAGCAACGATGAGAGGTCAATGTCGTGGTGATATACCACGGCGGCGGTTGCAGTCCAGTATGAATGATTTTCGAATTTTAACCCGACTGACTGGCACCTGTCTGGCTGGCTGGTGGGATCCGGGGCGGGGGGGAGAGGCGCGGGGCCCTCCCTCACTCTCGCATCGGCCGGACCCTCGAATGTGGCGGTTTCTCTCTCGCCCATTTTCGAATTGAGCAATTTCTTTTTCTTTTTTTCCCACTTTTTCGAGGCGATACAAGCGCAGCAGATCCCTCTCGCTCTCTCTTAAGCGCTTGCTGTAAGCGCCGGTAAAACATACATGCCCGTTTGACACTTTTCATGTGGCCTTCACATATACTCCATGCATCACAACGCGCGACCTGGCATGTTGACAAGGGAGCCGCGGACCGCTAAGCAGATGAGAACGAGACTCTCCCAGTGGCTGTCCGCACAGGACGATATGGCATCACACCTCTGAAACGCTGACATGTAGGCATCTCTCCAAGAAATCGGTGCAAGTTTAGTTCTCCCAGCTCGATCATTCAACTCATACATCTAGGGGCAACCATCAACAGATCAGACACAGGACTGCATAGCTTTGGTATCTATCTCACTCTATTTGCTGTGAACACCTTGAGCTGAAATGTATTTCAAGTCTGCTCACCCCGAGGTTCACGATGCAGCCGACATGACTGTCTTTCATGATGGACTGCAGCCCGAAGAGAAGGAGACAGGGTCCGATGCCAAGTCATAATCCCAGCCGAGCGTCTTCAGAGCTTCCTCGTCGCAGTGACCTGAGAGGTCATCGAATGTCCCTCCTGGAATGACTTTCGACCACAGAACGTTGGTGCTCTGGGGTTTAGTTGCGGAGAGAACCTTTTCGGTCATCTTTCTCAGATTCGCTGCTACCGCATCTTGCTCCTCCGACCTGGCGGTCCTCGGTTGCATGTCGGTACGACTTTTCATAGCGGTACCAAACCGTCGCTTCCAATCATGCAGCTCACGGTCTACCTCTTTGCAGTGATCATACATCTGCTGCGGGATGCCCTCCTCTTCGTCAAAATACTTGGTGCCTAAACTGTGTATCAAGGAACGCGTCCTGAACCGCGGCGTGAAAGTGGATACACCAGTCGGGACTTTCCCAGAGCTGATTTTGATCCCAAAGATTCTCTTGGGTTCCTCGAAGATCTCAGTAGAGTCGACGTCACAGGAGACGAGCAAGAGTCCGTCGATCCTTGATGGCCTCGAGGTGTCCTGGCAGTCGGTGTATTGCGGTGGATCTTCAGAAGGAGACCCGTTGTTTGGGCTTTGGTGTTTTGGTGTATCTTCATGTGAGGTCACGTCTGATGGTGAAGAGGCTGCCACCGTGAAGTGCTCATCGTCGTGGCTTAGCGGGTGAGAGTACGCAGACGAGTTGTGATCCGAATGAGCTGTCATCGTGGCAGAATGTGGAAGAAGAATGAAGTCAAGCTGGTGGAAGAGAGCTCTCTTTTATACAGTAACGCCCGTCAGTCACCCAAATTCCTGGTGTCAGCTAGTCCTTTCACTGACTCCTCCTCTTCAGGAGGAGGTCAGCTTGCAGACAAGGAGCAGAAAGGACATCGACTGCACTTGCTTTGTGCTTCTCGCATCTTTGGACTGGTGGCGTGGCCATGTGAGACACGTTTTCAGCAAATGATTCTGTCACCACGCATGACTATCCTCAAACTCATCGCTTTGAGCTGTTCCGCGACTTCGCGCGTCGCACAGCTTACCCGCTAATGCATAGATGCTAGAAACTGGGCATCATCAGAATGGTAACAGGCTGGCGAGCTGGTCTTGGCTGGTAGTCTTTGTGCCGAATGCATCTTGTATGTAAGATTACAGGGGCCACACACGAGGTGAGACCAGAACACAACCTGGTGGAACGGCAGCTTCGGATCCCGGCTCATTGTGCTCGAGTAATACAAGGGGTGTCTCACTGCAGCAGAAAGGGATGGAATGCCCTGGCATTAGACGGATGGTATAAGAGCAAGTCTCATGAGAGGCGGGCTTGGATCCGCCGTGATACAGTATATTGAGGCATCCCCAAGCGAGTTCGGTCGATTTCCTCTTTCTTCACCTGTGATAAGACGTCTCCCCCGTTCTTCTTATTGATGGCCCTGTAAGCCCGCATAACGATGGCTCTGCCCGTCCTTTGTCCATTTCTGTCAATCGCGTCATCTTGATATGAGTAGTCCAGACCAATGAGAGCCTGTAGTGCTGTACTTGACTTACAGGACCTGATACATATATCTTGCGAACGTCCCTTGTCCCATACATTTCAGAAGACCACCCATCCGTTCATGGCCAATCGGTGCTTGAATGGTGAATGGAGTGCTAGTTGACGAGCTAACAGGTCGTTGACCTTTGGATCGTATAAGAGAGCTCCATAGACTTTCTGAGGCCACTGTTTTCTTCTGCATTGCCCACACTAGACCTACATACAAATACACTCACACCGTTGCCCCTTCAAGATATTTGATGTCCAATATGGCTTCCCACAGCGCGCGATCTAAAGGCTCCGAAAACCCCTTCTCGGCTGTCACTAATCTCCCACCATCGTCATCGCCAGAATCTGATGAGGCATTTTCAACAATGAAGAAGTCTGCACTCTACAAGCGACTCCTAGCTAAATATGGGACAGAAAAACATTCAAAACTTTCCGAGTTGGAACACGCTTGGACGCACCACGTGCAATACCAGAAGAGGATGAGGTGATACTAGTCCTCATGAGCGAGAAGCTTCACTGACAGATTTTCATCAGCGAAGACATCTCTGCTGTACTCTCCGTCCTGAACGACTATGACGATGACCAAATGACGGCTGAGAACATGGAGAGAGGCTTGGAGTTTCGAGGCTGGACGCGTGTTGAACATTGCACTTCTTGTGAGGAGGAAGCGACGAGGGAAGAGGAGGAAGCGAAGAAGAAAGAGGTGGACGAGCTGTCGGAAATGGTCTCAATGCACATCCAGGATGAGTGACAAAATCATGCTCTTAGACTCCAGAGGGATTGAACCAGTGATTCGGTTGCTAGCGCCGCATGGGCTGCTCATAGGGAGATGAAAGACTTGGGTGGTGCCACATTCGTCGTTCCGCCACTAACAGACAGCAAAATTTCCCAGTCGAGCTCCATTGACATAGCTCGCGTGCAGTTTCGTAGCAAGGTCGTTGAGCTAGTCTCTTCATTTATCAAGTGTGCTCTCCACCGTCTTAGGTCAAGCCGACTACCTCTGTCTCTCCCTGCTTCAACGCCATGTCCGCCGACGCTCCCCCTGCCGTGGATCTCAAAAAGCCAGCTCCCGCTGCCGAAGAAGCCAAAGTCGAAGAAAAGGGATTGAGTGATGATGCGTGGGTTGAGGACACACGCAAACGCTGACGCCCAGCATCACAAAGTATACTTCCGCTGGACAAGCCGTTGGTGAAGTCTTGAAAAAGTTTCTGCCCTCGATCGCGCCGGGCAAGAAGGTCTTAGAGCTTTGTATCGAGTACGTGTCGGATGGACCATTGGAGCAAATTCCTTGTTGACTCTGACAGGGGTGATAAGCTCATCAACGAGACTGTTGCGCCACTGTGGAACAAGTCAAAGAACGGAGTCAAAGTTAGCAAGGGTGAGCAGAATCCTATTGGTTCATTGCTCACCACCTTAGGAATCGCCTTCCCAACTTCCATTTCCGTGAACAATGTCGTTGCCCATGTGTCCCCTCTTCCTTCCGACCCCGAAATTGAGCTCAAGGAGAACGATGTCGTCAAGGTTATGCTTGGAGTACAGCTCGATGGATTTGCCGTCACACACGCCGAGACCCTCCATCTGACCTCCAAGGCTCCCACTTCTGACTCTGCTGCCGACGTCATCAAGGCTGCGTACGATGCTGCCCAAATCGCTATGCGGACGATCAAGGCGGGAGCCAAGAACTGGGACGTCACGGAGGTGGTTGAAAAGGTTGCCAAAGAGTATGGATGTGTTGGTGTCGAGGGCATGTTGAGTTGTCAACATGAGAAGAACGTCACGGATGGAAAGAAGCGGATCTTGCTCAACCCTACTCCTGAGCTCAAGCGGGAGCACGAGACATGCACGTTCGAGGAAGGAGAGGTCTATGGAGTCGATGTGCTCGTGGTAACTGGAACCGATGGAAAGGTGTGTAGCGGGAGAAGCTGTATAGCTGACCTTGTCAGGCGAAGCCAGACCCATCCAGAACTTCCATCTACAAACGTGCCAACGATATTAACTACCAGCTCAAGATGAAAACTTCAAGAGCAGTCTTCTCAGAGATTCAGAAGAAAGCTGGAGCTTTCCCCTTCACACTGCGATCGCTTGAGGATGAAAAGAGGGCAAGGATGGGTGTACAGGAGGCTGTCACGCACGGTGAGTGGTACGAAGCAGCATTGCGCTGATATAAAGGCCTGTTGAGACCCTATGACATCGTTCAGACTGCCCCTGGAACTCTTGTCGCCGAGTTCTTCTTCACAAGTAGGTGAATCGATTTGACTCTGCTCACCGTCTAGTCGCTTTGCTTCCTGCTGGTCCCCTTCTACTCTCTCCCACCCCAGCGTGGTACTCTGCGTGAGTTCAATCTAAAATGAATCTTTCTGATGGTTGCAGCGACAAGGTCTCTTCTTCCAAATCGCTCACGGACGAGACGCTCAAACCCCTGCTTACTCAACCCTTACGAGCGTCGAAGAAAAAGGCAAAGAAGGCCGCTGCGAACGGAGAGAACAAAGAGACAAAGGCCTGAGCCGTGTAATCATGTAGCTTGAGGTGATGAGCATATTTTTGAGATGGGCAAGTGGATCCAAGTACAATGAGCAAAGTAGCCGACGGGGATCGGCAGATTTCGTGCGGGGCAAAATATCATGTTGAATCCGATCAAGTGCATGGAAATGAAAGTCCATTGCCTTATCCAGCAGGCATAGCCTGGAAGCAGTGTGGAGAGTCCTCAGATCGTCAGTCGCTGCATCGGGACGATCCTCGTCCTGACTAGAAACTTTGACTCCTTTGGCCGGTCTGGACGTCGCCGGGCCACGCTCAAATGACGCACGATGACGCCGAGGTTCACCTCGTCGTTATGATTCATGGTTTATGGGGTGAGTGCGTTTACGGCTATCGAGAAGCTCAACCCTCAATCATGATCTCCTGTCTCCACATTTTGTGTCGTGCTGATATCTAACAGGTGGCCCTGGACACTTGCATGCTGCCCGAGAAGAGTTGATCAAGGCGTGGAAGGAGAATCACGGGCATGCCTCCGGCTCTCGTACTAAGACAGCAGTTGAAGGCGATGCGAACGGAAGAATCGAGACGACCCAAGTGGAAAGCACATCGACGCGTAGGCGATCTGGAAGGTTGAGGCAGAGAGCCGCTAAAGGTCGAGATGCGTCCGATATCGAGGGATCTAACGAGAAAATCGAGGCGAACGCGGAGGCAGGGTCAAGCAACGGGAAAACTCAGGCAGAGGAAGAGGAAGAAGCACCCGATGATCTCGTAGTGGTCATTGCTGGAGGGATGGCATCGACCTTGACGTACGACGGAGTGGACGTCAATGCCTCGCGTGTCGCTTGGGAGGTAAGCCTGAGCTCGAGGCTCCGTTGATGAGCACAGGTCGACGAAAAGATATCAGAGCTCGAAGCGCTGGGGACGAAAGTGACTCGATTCAGCGTGGTAGGCCGATTACCTTGAGACTGACTGAGCTTACTACTTTTTTTTTCTTGGTAGCTTGGGTACTCGCTTGGAGGAGGTACGCTGCGAGCGAAAATCGATCTAATCCGCTGACTCGCTGCAGTGATCGCTCGTTACCTCGTTGGCCTATTACACTCCCGGTCACCTTCCTTTTTTGAAGCACACCGACCCGTTTCATTCACAACCGTGGCCTGTCCTGTAAGTGTCCGCTCACAGCCGGTGCTGAGATCTGCTTAGCACCTTGGTATTCCAGCGTACAGTGAGGGGCACATGCCAGAGGCAAGCTGATACACTCAGACTCTTACTTCTCCACCGCGCTCATCTTCCTCGGATCACGATTGCTCGCACGTACTGGGAGCCAGCTCTACGTTCGCGATAGATACTCTGATGAGGATCCTCGCCCGTTGCTAGAGATCATGGCGGATCCAAGTGAGTCACCTGAAGGAGACCAAGCTCACACCTCCAAGCCAAGGTTTTCCACAAGGCTTTGGATCAGTTCAAACACGTACAAGTCTTTGCCAATGGGTCAGTTCGGTGCTTATGATACGCGCTCACGACGCAGCACTCGCGACTTTACCGTTCCGTATCCCTCAGCGGCGATCGAAGACTCCGACCCGTTCATCGAATGGGAGGCACAGGGACTGGTGGTGGAATCGAACGAATCGGGGCTTGTGGAATCTTGGCGATACCCTGATGACCAGGAGGCGCTGAAGATGACACAGAGCAAGAAATCGGGCTGGACAAACCCAATGGACAAGCTGCCTCCGGTGCTCAAAGACAGGTTCAGATATAATCCAGTAGGGCCTAATTCGTTGGATCATGCTGAGTTCACAGGCACTGCTAATTGTCTTTCCAATCGCCATGCCTGTAATTCTGGTTCTCATGTGAGTTCCTCCCTGTGAGGTCCGTTGACGCCTCTGAAGGATATTTCGCCTGTCAATGGATTCGAGGCGATCGTGAGTGAGATGAATGCGCGCCGCACTGACTAAGCCCAGGTCCAATCGGATTGCCCTGCTCAAGACGCCGAAATCCCTCGAGGGAGCCACTCCAAACAGACACGGCTGGTCCATCGAGCATCTACGAGACACGATTGGCCGATTTGAACAGAGCATGGAGACGGATCTCATCGAAGAAGCAGATCCTCCAGGGCAAATGCGACGCCGGTCTAGGCGGAGCTCTGCACCTCACAGACCACCAAATGGCTCTGCGAAAACTCGACCGACCCAGATGGACGGCCCTGAGAAGCTCGAGCTCCCTTCGCAACGAGTTCAATTCACTCCGGCTCAGCAGAACATGCTGCGGGGTCTGAGGCGGATCAAGATTGACAGATTCGTGACTTGGTATCCAGACATTGGCAATTCACACGCTGTGTCTATCTGCAGGTGAGCAGGGATTACGATACCAGATTGATGACCATCAGGGACCCCAAGAATAAGCCAGTACACAACAAGGGTCGGGGATTGTTAAAGGTGTGGGCAGAATCCCTGATACGGGATGATGCAGAGGAGTAGACACACGCACATGACTAATGCATTGATGCACACGTACTGATGCAGGAGACCACGAAATGGTGAATGGAGTACAACTGATTACACCACCGTATGGAGCTGTCGATTCCTAGCTTTCTCCACTGAAAATTGAGCTGCATCCGAATGATCGACTCACTGATGCGCTTGGATGCTGCTGACAGGTCTGTCGAACTGACGCGATGCTCTTGGCTCAGTATACGACCGAGATCTGGGCTCAGCTAGGACATCAAGCAGGCTTACTTCGCACTGGCGTTGAGGTGGGCGGTGTCTCCTGGGGAGTGAGGTCAGCGTGGACAGACTAGCCGCGCCTACCAGGCTCCTTTGCACATCCATCAAAGTCCCTTTTAGACCACGCTTCTTCAACCACTCGTCCGATAGCATCCCACCGGGAGCTCTCGGTCCGCTGGGGACCCGTCGTCGAAGGGGTTCGATCCGGCCAGAGGGGATGAAGCGAGTCTCGTTAGGCGACGGCCATCGACTGACATAGCCGTCGCGGGTCCGGTTGGCAGGCTCATCCGGAGCGGTGCTGCCGACTTGGGCCCTGAGAGATCGTACGTGAACTACACTTGAGCGTCGCGGGGTCTGAGAGGCGTTCGCCCGGGTTAAGCGAGGGGTGAGGGTAGATAGCAGCGGCTCGGATGCTGCAGGGCTCAGATCCGATGCTGTGGTCAGACTGGGTGCCGGCATAGTACGAAGGCGGGCATCAATCGCCGTGGGATCGAGAGCCAGCAGCACCTCCTCAAATTGATCTTCCAACGCCATGAGGGAGAACCTGCGCAGAGTTGCGTTGTCGGGCTCCTTCGAAGGTGTCTGTTCGGGTTGAGGTGGATCGTCGAGTACCTCAGAGAGGGGCGTGAGGGGGATGGAAGTTGCCGAACTGACTGCAGGGGATGGAGGTGAGACCTTTGCGTCAGCTCAGACCGTGCTCAATACTCACGTCCCAGGTCATGTCGGCCCGCGTGAGCACCAACCCTCGCGAAGAGATCACTTCACGAAGCTCATCGTACAACGATCTACCTTCGTCATAGTCGCCCAATCGCTGATTGCCAATTTTGATGGCGGATGGGATGGGGGAGGGAGTAGATGCGGAGGACAAGCTGTCGTCAGAGGACGACATGGTAGGACTCGCCTCGAACCCCTTGACAGGACTGGGGTCCAACAAGACATCCCGCTTGAGCTGCTTTTCCACCTCGGATGGGCGCATTGATCCGGGCCACTTGACACCCCAGGTGCTGGACTCAGGAGCTGGGACTGGCACTGGAATTGGGACTGGGACTGAGACTGGGACTGGTTTGCGGGTCACGGTGGATCTTGGTAGTGGTGGCAGGGGACGATCGGTAATGGCGCTTGGGAGGCGAGTGGGGAGGGACCGGTGGACTCTGTGAGATTCCTCGATAGCGGCGACACAGGGTGGAGCGAAGCGTTGGATGACAGGTGGTACGGGGACTGGGGAGGATGCAGCGGCAGGTATAGGGAGGTCTGATGTTGGTGGTGGTGGAGTGATACGTACTCGAAGTGATCGAGGGCTCTTTCGCGCTCGTCGCATGCTGGCAATCCGGTTTCGGGATAGCTGGTGTCGAACACGACGCTGCGGCTCAAGGTGATCCCTGTAGGGGCAGGAGGAGCAGCAGGTAGGGGGAAGCGCTGGCTCAACCTGTCGAGGACTGGCAGTAATCTCAACCGTGGGACCGTACCAGTGGTCTCGAGAGCTGACAGCAGGGGGTAGTTGAACTCTGGAGTTGCTCGCGGATCTCTCCTTGCCACCAGAGACGATGCGCAAAGCGGTCTGACCCATTGAGGCGAACCGAGAGGCTTTGGCCTTGTGTCGAATATCTTCAAGCTCTGAGATGGTCTGCGTTCGCGAGATTCTAGACGGATGCCTGCCGGGTGCTTTGGAAAGAGGATGGCTCATGGTTCTAGAGGTTGAACGAACGAGATAGAAATCAGTCGCCTTTTCTTTATATTGAAAAGTGCCACTCTCTCCAAATCGAACCGCTATCGATCGAAGCTATGTCATCTGTACCAATTGTCGCCGAGGGATGCCACCAGGGACAGCTTTGAGAAGCCTGGCCGCGGGATGCTGCAGGATATCTACGCGAGGCCGTCGCAGCTTCCAGACTGCTCGTAACACCGACCAAGAAGAGACAGAGTCGAACTTTGATCGCAAGGGAAAACGACGAGCAGATCAGTCCGAATCATATACCTTTCCGACATCTTATAATGGATCTATGCCAGATCCGTTCAAGGTCATGGGATTGGACAGGAACTGCTCCCCACAAGAAGTCAAGCAGCAATGTGAGTCAGCCCAACCGAACCCCCGAACTTATCCAGACTATCGTCTTGCCCTGATCCTCCATCCCGACTCGTCCCACCCTTCTGCCTCTCCCGCCAATTTTGCGACACTTCATCGGGCATACACTCTGCTGTCGTCCTCACAGGCGAGGCAGACGTACGAACGTAGCGGCCAGGGCTGGACAGCGGGATCAGATACACCTCCGCCATACGATCATGTCAGAGCCGATGTGTTCTTTCGAGGCCGAGCTGCCGCTGAGACGAGGAGGGCCAACGCGAGTGACCGGGATAGTGGAGCCTGGGGCTATTGGGGAGTCGACGGGAAATGGTACCCTTTTCCAGAGGCAAATGTAGGGAAAGAGACTCCGCGAGAACCGCTCTTCGTCAGTGGAGCGAATGCCTGGGCACTGGCCAGCGTGGGAGTGAGGGAGAGCCTAAAAGCTTGTGCTGATACCAGATCCTCTTCTTGGCATGGGTACAATATCACCGTTGGGATATGGTCATGGAAACCAGGCTGGCGAGGGCAGCAGATGCTCATGATAAGTGAGTCCATTTAGAGAATCTAACTGACGGTAGTGCATCTGCCGCGCTGGCCTCGGCAAGACGAGAAGCCAAGTTGTATGGCATGGAGCGGAGAGAACAGATCAGGCGGCGTGTCAATGAGTCAAAATTGCTCAAGGAGCTGGAAGAAGACAACGTTTCTTCAGAAGGCTAGATGCATGTCTATGAGTGTCCAAATTACAAAAGACTAATGGATGCCCTTGGCTTGTTCTCGGTCGCTCACATGTCACGGCTCAAGCCTTTCAGCGAGCGGGTGTACACGGATCGGATCCAAGAGGTTGGCCTAAGCTGCAACAGATCAGTCTGCCGCGAGTCAGACATCATGATCACACCAGAACCTCTGTCAGTCCTTCGCCTGTAAATCCCTCCAATGCCCATCCCATATATCCATCATGCTTGACATCCTTTCCTTCCAGTTGTTCCAGCAACTTGTTCATCTCCTTATCCCATTCCTCACCATCCGCCGTGACCTGCACTTTGCTCGTCTCATCGTTCCAGGGGAACACTTGTCCCCCCAAGTTGGGTTCCGTCTCGCCACTGCCACGAACAATCTCGCCACCATGTCCAATCGATCCAAAGTCATATGAGTCCAAGGCGAACGCGGCCTCACCCGCTGCAGGGCCAGTGAATCACTGGTCGCCATCGCTGCTGGATGGCAAGTGAGGTCGGTCGACGAGGGAATAACGAGGGGAATGGCGGGGGCGAGAGAGGGAGAGACAGTGACGTCTGCGGGCTTGTCCAGTCCGCCGAGGTTTGACACCGCCACGACCTGTTTGACAAGGTTCTCGAGAAGTGCGATGCGTTCTCGTAGAGAGGCGTTTTCCGCCTGTAGGGAGCTCAAAGTAGGTAACTCTTCAATTGTCGGTTTGATGTCCAGGTCGCGGGGAGGTGGAGCCACACTGGCCAAATTGACCGTATCAGAGAACGATACGGTGGTGAGAGTCGGTGAGGGTTCGCGAGTGGATCCTCGCAGTGCCTTGTTCTCCGCCTCGAGTTCGGCGACACGGGTCTCGAGGTATGACATGTGGGCTTTGCGTTGATTCCGTGAGCGCTGAGCTGATTCACGGTTCCGAATAGTCTGGAGTGAGTGACAGTCCATAAAGGAGAACTCACCCTTGCGTCCTTCCTCGCCTGTTTGGCCCTAGCGGCATCGTCCATGGGGATATCTTCGACATCTGAGGGAGATTCCTCATCGCGGGAACGCTTGGGAGTGAAAAGTTTGGAGGATGAAGCGATGGAAGACATGATGATGACGTTGACAGGTGAAATGGGGGGGATGAACAGAAGAAAGAGAGAGAGCGAAACGAAAGGTCTAGTCTACAGTAAAAAAGAAGAAGGAATGTGGGTGGGTTGTCTACGTGGAAATGTGGTTGAGATGGGATGAAGGACAATAATGCGACGTGGAAGGTGCTGGGGTCCAAGAGGCGGTGCGGAGATCTAGAAAACGCCGAAGTGTGGCAACCCAAAGGATCTGTGGCATTTGTGTCTTGTGTGGCGATTTCTCGCAATGTGGCAATCTATTCACATTGTCAAGCAGCCCTCTCTGAATATCTCTCGGTGGATCTCCACAGGCGGCCCGTGAACACTATGCTTACCTCCCAGCCGACCTCGAAATACCATGCTGATGGACAAAGGAATTTGCAGAATTGAAAGAGCTGTGCTTGATCTAAACGTGCGGTGACTGGGTTACAAACTACTTTATGAACAAACGAAGAAGCTACACAAACATGTGTAATTACCGCGGAGTTGTGGCCGAGCGGTCTAAGGCGCCGTCTTAAGGTTATGTCTTCATAATCGGCGGTCTTCGGACGTGGGTTCGAATCCCACCGACTTCAAATGGGCATTAATTTGCCTCCTTTCCTTTTTTCCCCTTTACCCATGTCAGTTTCGTCTCCTTTTTCGTCCCCAGCACCTTCTCTTGGTCCCTATGATCTACCCTCAACGCACGTCCTACACAATTGGCCGCAAGTCATATCAAATCCTCTCGGATCATCCTTCTTTCGCGCGGCTTCATCGTTTGTTTCCCTTGTTCGCCGCATGGTTTGGCTGCTTTGAGAAGCCTGCGACACCATCTATGTCCACGACGTCTTCATCTTTTTGCCCCAAAATACCCCCGGCGTGTGTCATCTCCAATCACACCATCGGATGTCAGAGCTTATCGCTTATGAGACCTCAAGACGCCGCCGGAAGCATTATCATGGAGCTCCGCCTCCGTAGAATCCGGAATCCCTGTACTGTGCACATTGCGATCGAATATGCAGTCCACTCTAGCGCCTCGGGATTTGGACACGGGGGCTGAAAATATGCACCTGGTGGCTTAAAATACCACTCCACTGCCGCTAAGGCAATTATGCAATACTCCGTGAGCTCCTTAGCGTCGTTTCCCCATATGGCAAATCGCGGTGAAAACCGAAGAGATAAGGTCATGAACGGCCAGCTCCACCTTGTCGAGTTAATATATCGAAGAGTATGCACATGGAGGCACGGGTCGGAGCTCTGCAGGAGTGTCCACGAGCCGGACCGATGGGATGGTATATAAGGCAGCAAAGATGGTCCAGCGAGAAGTCACCAACCAACACAAAGCACACATCTCAGCATGTCTCTCACTTCTATCTCGCTCTTCTGCATCCTCGCCGTCCTGGCGAACGCTTCTCCCGTCCCCAACCAACCGCGCTCAGTCTACACCTTGCGTGAAGGGAAGCCTCGACTCTCTTTCCAAGAGCGAGCGACGGTCAGCGGCAAATCCATCCAAGAGCTCCTTGCCATCGACCGTGCCAATGTTGTGGCCAAGTACGAGCACAACAACAAGCTCGCCGCTGCAGCCAAGGCTTCTGGTTTGCTCACGAAGAGCAAACGTCAGTCGACCATCGGTCTGACCGATGTCAACTCGGGCGGTGTCGATGAGCTTTACTACGGAACGCTCCAGATAGGTACACCGTCTCAGGATATTACTTTTGACTTTGACACGTGAGTGAGGTCGATTTCATGCAGGGAAGCTGACTTTTCAGTGGCTCGAGTGATCTTTGGGTCCCGACGCAAAACTCGAACGGATACAACGACGGAACGCACTTCAACACTGCCGCCAGTTCCACGTTCCAGAGCACCGGACAGAGCTTCGCGGACCAGTATGGCTCTGGTACCTGCAGTGGAACTTTGGCCACCGACACTGTGTCATTCGGCAGTCTCACCGCCAACCCTCAGTACTTTGGAGCCGTCACTCAAGTATCCAGCAGCTTCGACAACAACCCGGCGACTGGACTCTGTGGTCTCGCGTACCAATCCATCGCCTCGTCAGGTCAGGCACCACTTCCTCTAAACTTGTACAACTCTGGTCAGATCTCAAGTCCCGAGTTTGGATTCCGAATCACCGCGGACACTTCCAATGGAGCCGAATTGACCATGGGAGGTATTGCTTCTGACTACGCTGGAGCGTCCTTCCAGAGCACCCCCGTGACCACCCAGACCTACGTGAGTGTCTAAATTCTTGGTATTTTGCTGACGAGGTAGTACGAGGTTAACACCAACGGAATCACCGTCAACGAGAACATCGTCTCTGGCTCGTTCCCCGCCGCCATCGACACTGGTACTACTGTGAGTCTCAAAACGCCCGTGCCTCACTGACATTTAGCTCATTTACGTCCCCACTTCGGCCGCATCTGCCTTCTACAACGCCATTCCTGGCTCCAGCTCTGCAGGCAATGGGGCTTACAACTACCCCTGTGACTTCAGCGGTACCGTTGGATTCAACTTCCCCAACATCGGCAACCTCGACTTCAACGTTAATGACCTGAATGCTGGTAACAACGGCGACGGTACCTGTGTCGGTGCGGTCCAGGGTCAAGACATCCAGGACACCAACGGAAACGACTTTGCCATCATCGGTGACGTGTTCATCAAGAGCTACTACACCGTCTTCAAGTGAGTCACGCTGTGGGCGCGTTGAGCTAACATTTCCAGCTTTGGCAGCAACTACGTCGCCTTCTCGCCAGCCAACGGAAACACCTAAGGGGTCGTAAGGAGAGTTGTACAAAAGGTCGCGTCGAGCGATATGAAGTGAATCAGAAGTTACAATCAAAGACACGAACCAGAGCAACGAAGTAATATATATGCATATAGTCCCATGAAGCTCTCTCTATGCCCCGGCTCGCCCGTGATCGTCACACCTTCCATTCAGCTCTCTATAGCCGGCTCGCCAGCTTCCGTCACACCTTCAGCCATTTTGGCGCGAAGCCACTTGTCGACTACTTGGCTGTCCTCATTCGCATCAATCTCTACAGCTTTTCCCCAGCACAATCGAATCACATGGACCCCGTGATTGTCATATGGCGTGCCGTCGGCAAACTTATCGGCGGCCGTCCACCGGATGAACACGCGGGTATCATGTGGCCAGCCCTGAGACCGTCAGCACGGTTGAGACTACTCGGGTCGTGAAACTTACCTTGACCCAGACGTCCCGGACGGTCAACTTGAGATTTGGATATAACCTCCCAAGTCTGTGGAACCATTTATTCAAGGCTTCCTTGTCATTCCTCGTACCGCCGAGAGCATGGTTACCCCCGAAACGATGTCGAATATTGGGACTGTTCACTAAATCAGCCCGATGATGTCATAGGACTCTGTCTTTGCGCACTCACGCGCATCCTTTCAAGATACTCTCATAATCGTGCGTATTGACCGCCTCAAAGTTCTTGACTGCAATGGATTTGACGATAGTGTGGTAGACCATGGTGGGATGTGTGGATCAAGGCGTGATGTAGCTTGTGAAAGAACGTCAACAGCCATGCCAGGTCTATATATACTGCTAGGTGTCTCGGCGTCGCGGGTTACTGTGCCCGTTTTGGTGGAGCCGAGGAACGGAGATGGTTTTCCGACGGATGATGGATCATTGTCGACGAGCGGAGAGCGGTAACAAGCCACCCTGGTCATGAGTCCCAGCTTGAGCCTCATACATTCCTGGCGCACCACGATCCAATGATGCCGAATGCAGCGCACATGGCCGACTCACACAGAGTGTGTGTCCCTATCCTCTTTCAACGCCCTTTCGTCGTCGAAGACGCACTGATCGGCGATGATCCAACCTCGCTCACGATGTCACTTCAAGCGAGCGTCCTGGGGAGCTCTTCCTCTTGATATCTACAGCTAGTCATGCTATGGCGACTGAATCTCCTCGTATTGACTCATGCCCTCGCGCGACTCTCTCATGCGACGCCCCGTCTCCGTCAAAATGACCAAGTCGAAGCACCCGGCTTTACATGGGGAGGAGGTCCCATGCGAGGTGTCAACATAGGTGGTTGGTAAGTAGTGTACGTCTTGTGCTTGTCTGATCTATCTAGGCTGGTCATGGAGGTGAGCGAGCCCTTGTCAGCTTCTGACTGTCCAGCCGTGGATTACGCCTTCCATATTTACGGATAAACCCGATTGGGTGGTCGACGAATGGACATATGGAGCATACATGAGAACTCGGAATGATACCTATGGGGAGATATCGCAGCACTGGAACACATGGTTTCAATACGATGAGCTTGAAAAGTGAGCCACCCAATGAGCCCCTCTTACACCCAAGTATCGCCGCCGTCGGACTCAATACCATTCGTATCCAGATTGGCTGTAAGTCGTGCATAGAGAGCGTCGCCCTGAGTCTCAGATTGGTCCATCATCCCCCTCGTCAATGGCGAACCATATCTTGTCGGTGAGTTTGTTCTCATCCTGCCGCTCTAACTCTAGGAGGCGCGTACGACTATCTCAAGATCGCAGTGACATGGGCGAGGACGCTCAACCTCAAGGTGATGTTGGATCTCCACGGTGTCCCCGGATCCCAGAATGGCTTTGACAATTCGTATGCCGACTCACTGCTCTAAGCACTGATAGCGTCAGTGGCCTCCGAGGTACCCGTCAATGGTTCTCAAACTACACCAATCTCCAACGCAGCCTCAACGCTCTGCAAATTCTCACGGAGGAATTCACCCAATCATCTTACGGTAACACGGTCCAAACTATCGAGCTTGTCAACGAACCGTTCCCATATACCGACGATGAGCTCAACTTTTTGAAGAATTATTACATCCAGGGGTACAATACGGTACGAGGCGCGAATCAGCAACAGCAGATCGTCGTGGCGCTTGACGACGGTTTCAGGGGACTTCAATCATGGTCCGGATTCATGACCGAAACCCAGTACCATGACGTTGCGCTGGATACGGTGGGTGGCTCAAAAGGTATCGCTGACCTTGCAGCATATATACACTATGTAAGGCTGGGTATATGGAGGGTCCCGCTGATATCAGGTTCAACAACTACACCCTTGCCATGGGTTACACCGAACTCCTGGAGTGGTTCTGCTCTCAGGAAGACTACATTGTAGCTGCAAACCAGAAACACTGGACAATCGTCGGCGAATGGACTCGTGAGTCTGAGAACAGTCATTGGGCATCACTCAGGACAAGTGGCTGCAGCCGCAAATACAGATTGCGCCAAGTGGTTGAACGGACGGGACAAGGGCGCCCGGTACGACGGGACGCTGCCTGATCAGCCAAAGTGGGATGAAGCTTTGTAACTCCAATTGACGACGCCAGGATACGATTCACTGGCGACTGCGTAACTCACACCGGGTCCGATCCGAGCAAGTGGAGCTCAGACTACATCGAGTTTCTGGGACGCGCCTTTGAGACTCAGACCTACGTCTACGAGAAAGCGGTGAGTCGGTGGATGTGGAACTCAGCTGACAACAAGTCGGGGTATGTACATACATATCTTCCCCGACTTCAACTGATATCGCAGGTATATCATGTGGACATGGAAGACGGAGCAAGCTGCCGACTGGTCCATGCAGGCGGGCATAACGTATGGCAAGTCTGGAAAAGCCGACAGTACTGATTATCAGGCTGGATCCCGATACCAATCACTGCGAAGCCTCACGGGTGAGTGAGCTGCTCACGCCTCGCTCACAGTCAGTCGGCCGTGTCAACGAAACGTCTCAAGAACGACCGCAAACACGGGAGATGCGTTCCGAGCCATAGCCCTCCCTCGGATACATTACACCATTATCGCTCTTGTGCTGAGTCTGAAGACCTTGTCCTTGTTATAATATGCATGAGACATCCCCTGTCACTCCTGATACGCCACATACCACTGCGGCATGGTCGACTTGCCCGTGACACTCCAAGCGAGCCAATTCTTTTTCGGATGCCAACACAGGGCCATGACGGCACCAGAGAAGAGCAGTTTGGCAATGGTCTGACCCGAGAAGATGGATACCTGAATCTGTCTCAGTTTCTATATCTGTATGCCTCAGACACTCACCACTGCGATATAATTGTCGTCCCCGCCAATAGCTATTAATTCGCCGTCCGGAGAGAAAGCGAGGTGCCGAATGGCTCCGCTGGTTACGTGAGCGAGGACGCTCGCGACAGGACCCACGTGCAAGCATCGAATGTCCGTTGACAGATCCATTCACGCGTATCGAGGAGACTCAGGAGTGCGTCCTGACCTCCAGCCGCAAGGAATCTGCGAAGGTCAGCGTTTCCCCCGAGCTCTGTCTCACCTTCCTAATGGATCGAAAGCGAGAGCCAACAACGATGCGCTATGGCACACGGCATGCCTCAGGCGTTGGAGCTGTCTCGCCCGCTTCTTCTCCTGTTCAATTTCTTGAGCCGACAGGGTGGCCAATTGCACAGGCGCCATGGCCTTGCCGTCTGCCTCTACTGGATCTGCTTGAGCAGCCGAGTCATCCGCCATCTCCACATCGTTCTCTGCTGGAGGTTTTTCGCCTTCATCCCTATCTGGTGTTCCTGATCTTGGAGTCGAGCCTAGTGTCTCCGCTGCACCCTTTCCGGCTCCGACATTGTCCAGCGGTTCATCGAGTTTGAGCTGTCGCGGCCGTTGGGGATACGCCCAGGCGTTGATCGATCCATCGTTTGAGACTGCACAAACGAGTTTTCCACTATTGCTGAAGCGCAACGAGTTGATCTCATCGCTCATCAGTCAATGATCTGAGAGCTCAGCTCACCTCTTCAAAGCCAATATCCACCCCCGGACCGCCCATGCCTATATCCTCTCGCATCGCCCACACCTGTGTCCCATCACGTTCCGTCAGATGGTAGAAGAACACCTCGTCTCGATTACTTCTCGGGCACACGACTGCAAAATGCTGCCCAGATGGATGAAACGCTAGGTGAAGGACATCCCCACTGATGTTGAACGTCGCAATGGCCTCTTTCGGGGCTGGCAGGCGTTCAGCCTCATCTCAGTGCTGCATGGCTCACAAGTCAGATCCCAGACTGCTACAACTGCACCAGCAGACGATGATTTGCATCCTGAGACGAGGATGTTGGGATCCACAGGTGAGAATGCGAGTGAAGCTGGGTTCGTCAGTCTAGGGTTTAATAAGATTGAAAGTCACCGATATGCCCGTTGTGAGGTGTCGGCCTAGAGGACGATGGCAACGAGTATGAGCCACCCGCATCTATCTGAGGATTAGGTCAGCCTCATACTGAGAGCTTTTAAATCACCACTTACACTGCTCGTCCGCGTTTCCCATATCCTCAACCCTTTGAACTCTGTACCCGTCGCCAACCGCTTTCCATCGCAACTCCAGGCGATACTGCGCACGGGTTTGCTCACACCGCCCGTAATCAGCTGAGGTTTGCCGAATCGAGGAACGGGCAGGTCTCGAGCCGAGAACTGGTTGTAAGCAAAGAAGTCTACCTTGTTCGTCTCGGACTCGTTGACCATGATACAGTTTACAGAGGATGGATGAACTCGAAACACATGTCCGAGGCCGATAAGTCATTAGCTTCTGGTCTTGTAATGAGGTCCGTCCCAATACTAATCAACCATTAGGAAGTGTCCGCCATGAAATCATTCGCGTTCCGAGCCTCGGATGTCGTCTCGGCAGAACTATACCGACCTATCGCCAGTGCAGGTCCATCTGCACTGACATCAGAGCTTATCCCCTGCAAGCTGCCTTGGTCCCATTCAAGATGGTCTGCCGACTCTCTAGGGTCCGCGCGTCTGCGTCTGCGCTATCGACCTTCGCCAAGCCATCCAACTCGTTAACCTCTCGCTCTCGGCCCTTCTCCAGCTCTTCTGTCACTGGGAACGAGCTACGTTTGCTGCTGTTCGGTAAGCCAGGCAGCGGCAAGGTGAGCGAGCGGGACTTAGCTTGGGGAGAATGGCAGCTAATGCCTCCCAGGGTACTCTCAGTGCAAGGTGATTTGATGGGCCCGTGGTCGTGCTGATACCTATGGCAGATTGGTCAAAGAGTATGATATTGCGTTCGTATCTACCGGAGACGTCTTGCGCAAGGAGATAGCAGCAAAGTCGAAAGTTGGTCAGAGGGCAGAAGCATTAGTGGCGAAGGGAGGTTAGTGGAGGATGATGAGGATAATCTCACTGAGACCCAGACCTCGTACCGGACGAGCTCATGTTGGAGATCGTCAAGACCGAGCTGGACCGTCTACAAGGCAAGGTAGGCCAGTCAAAACGGGCCATGACCTGAGAGATCCTTAGAGCTGGATAGTTGACGGATTCCCACGGACACTGCCTCAAGGCAAGCTATTCGACGGCATGTTGAATCAAGACGTGAGCCCATGACATGCAAAGCCTACCTGACACACACTCAGGGCCGGTCACTCAACATGGTCGTGCACCTTAACGTACCGGATACGATCATATTAGACCGTATAGAAGGTGAGTAACGGTGTCCCCCTGCGCTCATACTCTCAAAGCTCGATGGGTTCATCTTGCCAGTGGAAGAGTGTACAATACAGATTACAATCCTCCGAAAGTCGAGGGCAAGGACGATATCACTGGTGAAGCATTGACCAAACGGCCGGACGACACGGCGGTGAGTACCACTCATTAAGCTGTGTCGCTGAGGGCTACCCAGGCCGTCTTCTCCAAACGTCTCGAAGCGTACTACAAATCCACGGCGCCACTCCTGGAGGTAGGCGCCCACACACCCTTTCCGAGCCCTTCTGAATGGGAATAGTTCTTCGATACCACCTACCCTGGAACGCTTCACACCCTGTCAGGATCGACGTCAGACGAGGTGAGCAAGATTTGGGCACCCCTCGCTGATACCGCATCTTTAGCTCTGGCCACTGCTCCAAGAGCTCATCATACCGACTGGTCTGACAAAGCGGCGGCCAGAATTGTCAAAAGAGAGCGCCAACGAGGTCGGACAGAAAGCAGATGATCTCAAGGATCCGGCCGAGTCTGAGCGCAAAGCAGCTCTTGGGCAGAATTGAGGATCGTCACGTTGATGGCATCTCATAGCGTTTACATATTGATACAAAACTCGCTCTCTGCCCAAATCTAAGTTGCCCATTGGTACGTGTCAGGCTCTGCCCACGCATCTCGTACGAGCTCTATATCGTGTTTCGCCTTGTCCGTGTCCAGCATCTCGCAAACGATCATGCAGAGGTTGCAGAGGGCGATAATAATCCACGCCAGGACAGTCGTCAAAGGTGTCAGGACAATCCTAGCGTACTCGAACGTCACGATGAGAGCCCTCGCCACGTTGTCACTGGTTGAGAGAGCGCGTGGAGGATTGGATCTCGGCAGCATCTCAGGCACGTTTATACTGAGCTTTTGCAAAGCCTGGAAGGAAGACACCAGTCCATCTTCATGATATCCGTACCCTTTCCACGCTCCGCAGAGATCTATGCCTTTGGGAATGTGCTTTTCGCACCATTTTGGATTGGACAGGTTTTGGATCGCGTCGGTCGACGAGAGCATCGGTGTACCTTGGGAGAAGACGTGGCGGTAGATGATTTTTGACGGGTCGATGGGCGCCTGAGGATTGAAAGAGACGAGCACTGGGCCGTATTCCGACTCGGGGACGCCAAGCATCTCGTTGTAGCTGAAGCAACTGTGTGAGAATCAGTTATCTGCTCTCGCCATGCCGGTGGGGCGGGGGCCAGGTCATGGATCATACCACTCACCATGAGATTGTATTTGCGACTGGGCGTGCCTCGGTTGGGATCATGTACGAGGGTGACTTCTCTGATTGTGATTCGGAGAACAGGGTAGCATTCCAGCCTGCAAAAGTGTGAGGTCATGTAGACGCAATCCAGTTTTGAACACTTACCCGCCCACATTTTGGGATCTCGAGGAAGCAGTGATTGATCGTGATGTGCGACGAGTTCCATGTCCGTCCAAACGGATTGGCTGAGTGCGTAATCTAGCTCTGAGCTGAGGCAGTGACCCGCGCCTAAAATACGTCGGACTGGCTCCGTGGGAGATCTAACGCGCTTTAGCGGCGTTGATTCGCAGGGTCCGAGAATGGACTCACGCAATGATGACATGATCGAAGAGTCGTGTCGTGCCGTCGTCAAGTTTGAGCGCCACTTGACCATCGGGAGTTGGTCGGGCACTTTGTACGCCCAGGTTCATATGGATGCTACCTTCTGGAGCACACTTGACGATCTTCTTGATGTACTCGCCGCTGTGAGGTGGGATCAGATGAGTCCTCTTGCGTTGACTCACGAGCCGCCCTTGACGACTTGCCATGGGATCTTTTCCCATAGTTCCAACATGCCATTGGCGTGAAAGACTTGAATGGCCTTGAGCACAGGCATGTCTGCACACTTTCGGAGCTTCCCGGTCCATACCGCCGCGACGAGGGGCTAGGAAAGGTCAGCCTATCTGCAGGTCATCATGGACTCACGATGAGGTAAAGCTCCGCAAAGGCTCTCGAGTAGTTGTTTGTTCTCAGATAGTCGGACAAACTGACATTTCGGTACGTCTCGGGATCTCTCAGGATATCAGGGGCAAAGTAGCTGAATCGAACGACGTCCCAGATCATCCGCCACATGTTGGGATTGGCCCTGATACCCTTTCAGTATTTGCAATCTTGAGCGTTGTCACTCACATGTTGGCCCAGGTCCTGAATACTGTGGAGAGAGAATGGGAGGACCATTCGTATCGTCCTTCATCGCCTGAAACAGAGAATGTCGCTCTGGCGTCTTGAGTTTCGACGCCGAGTTCTTTGAAGAATTTGCATAGATTCGGCCAGCCTCTGTGGTTGAATAAAAGCTGTTGAAGATGAATCAGCAGGGGCTGGAAGGAAAAGGCTTGCTGTGACATACAAAAGCCCTATCCGCTGGTCAGTATGAAGGAGTCCAAAGGAGGGAAGCGATGCTCACAGGTCTACCTGACATTCCTTCTTGCCTGGAACTGAAGTATAAAGTTAGTGGCACCGTCTGAATCCTGCTGAGCAACACTCACTTTGGTAAGGCACAGCGTAAGCGTCTCCGCCCAGTCTATCTCTCCTCTCGAACAACTCTACTTCATGATCACTGTACTTTTTGATCGCCTGACCAGACGTTAGTATGGTTCGCTCCGCCACACTATGCTCGAAATCTCTCACTCACCCACAAGGCAGATAATCCAGAGATTCCGGAACCGACAATGGCAATCTTCATGATGTCTTTCTTTCTGAACCAACTACTTTGCGAAGAGCAGTCTTGAGCTTCAGCATCGATATGCAAGCTGCCCTTTTATATCCTCCTGTATCGCTTTTCGCCCAGCTGCGAGCATCAAAAGGGCGGCTATGGCCTGTTTGAAACGCCACTAATCGGACCACGGAGGTCGGTCGAAGTGAGGAATTTTGCGCGGATGGCGTTTTGGGCTTCCAAATTGTCTTTTCAAAAGTTAGGTAGAGATGTGTTTGACATATACACACGAATGAAAAGATGATCTTTATATATTCTTTCCTTGATCGATCTGCGAGTGACTGTGCACCCTGACCCTGCATTCACACACTCCACTGACAGAGATCTCAGAGGGCCGGTTGCCCGAAAATGTCCCCGCCCCCCCAACTGATCGGGGATCGGTCATTTCCCCCGAAAGGGATGTGACCCGACGGAATCTTTTGTCTATTACGAGCACTTCCCCACGCCCAGGCACAGAGGTTGAACGTTTCTTTCGCTAACGGGACGGAGAGGATAACACGTATTAGGCTCAAGCCACAGGTCCAGTTTGCACAGGCTGTCACAAAGAAATGCATCCCCGTTGTCCGTAGAAGGATCAATACACATCAAGCTCAGAATACATCAAGCTCAGAAGGCCAGCGGAGGCGTTCTTGAAAACGGAGATGCCGCTCAGCCTACCTCCGAGATCATGAGAAGATTCAGAGGGATGTTCCGACCATCGTACAGCCCAATTACGCAATGTTCCGTGTCCTCGGTGGCCCCCTCCACCCGCCATCTCACCATCCGTCTCTGCGGACGAGTTGTTGAAGCCGACCCGAATTGACGCCTTACGGTAAGCGGGCCAGGCGGCTCCCCCGCATCAGGAGACATCTGATTTACGGGATTACTTAGCAAAGGACAGACTTTGCATCTCCAGGGAGCAGAGGCGACGCTTGAGACGAGCAGTCATTGGGCGTTCTTCCGTTGACTTCGACGGCACTCGTCACGCAGAAGTGATCATACCGGGGCAAGTCTGCATGATTCAAACCCGCTGGAGAGACAACAACTTCACAAACTTCTTGATTGAGGATGCTGAAGAAGCTTCAGCCCGACTTCCAGGGGAAGCGACTCGTCGGACGGATTCATCGGTCGATTGCGTTGTAGACCCCAGCCTGCAGCCATGAAAATGATATACTCCGCCGAGTAACTCCCCAGGGACGCCAAGGGATCATTACATACCTCACAAACGTCATCTCGGATGCTTTTCCAAGCCATCTGCTTCGGTCATTTCGGGCGATACATGACCATGACCCCGTGAATTCAAATTGCCCAAGCGTGTCGTTACAATCATGCAAGAAACTACATCGATAAGATACGGTACTAAGCGAAACCCAAAGATCCGTCGTCACAATGTCATCTTACGATGCCTGTCCTCCCTTCTCCACGTTCTTCTCCCCTCCTTTGCCCGGAGACCCAATCAACTCCTTGAGGGCTTCACGTGGATGCTCCAGCGCCTCGAATCCCCTCTCGCGACCCGATACGTGAGGAGCCACACCATTCTCATCGTCGTCTATACGAGAGTCCAAGCTGGAGACTTCCGAGCTGGAGATGCTACCGACTTCTGAGCTTTGCCCAAAGACTCTGCCCTCTCCTTCCTTCTTCTTGATCTTTCTCTGCTGGTCTTTCATCTTTGACAAGTGTTCATCGTCACAAGTCTTGACTTCAATGTGAAGGCCAGGAAAGTTCTTTTCCAGAAACTTTTTGAAAATGGGGATGAGTTTAGCTTCAGGTCGATAGGTTCCAGAGTCGTTGTCAATGACGAGTTCGTAGAACGATGGATCTTTTGGGGGAGCAGTATGTGGAGGACCGTTTGGCAGATCATCCGCTGGGTGAGTGTGTTGATCAGGAGCCTCAGGACTTTCTTTCGGATGCGCCAGCCGTCGAATGAAGAATTCTCCACTCCATGCAATGTAGATCTGATCGGGTGAGCACGATCGAGCAGTGCCGACTTACATTCACGTCCGAATGCATGGTATGTTTGCTGAGCAGATCGATGCCAAATTCCTTGCCAGTCTCTGTGAACCTGAACATGCCGTCGAGAGTGATGACATAGGTGAATATTCGCCCCCCTTGATCGTGATGGACCATGTCCAAGAATTTGAGCGTCATAGCGTCTCCTGGTCCGTCAGGGAATGTTCCAAACTTTGTCTGCGTATTGAAGTTGTAAATCCGCTCGTGTTGATGATGCAGCGCTTTGTGCAGTATGCGACCCCGAATGCCGACACCTTCAAACATGCCACCGACGAAGGAACGAAAATTGACATAACGATGGTACAACTCGTTCGGCACCGGTCCACGTAGCTGAAGTTCATTGGCTTCGAAGCTTTGAGTTACATGTCAGAGAGTCTGGCTCACGTGGGCAATTCACTCACTCGAAACGCTCCGCTCCACGATCATCTTCGCCCCTCGTCCCTGTCAACATACCAATCATGGGCGAATAATGTGTCCACCAGAAATTGTTCACGGTGTAAATCTTCCCGACTTCCTCCTTTGTCTCGCCGACCAGCTCCATCGATAAGCAAAGCTTCGCATGAACCTCCACTCCCCTACACAAGGCCGCTCGAATCCATCTCAAGCCATAAGCAAAGACATCCGCTCCCTTCTCCTTGACCTTGAACTCTTGCTCCTTGATTCCTTGCCAGTCTTTCGATATCTTCCCTGTGGAGACAAACACCTTTCCAAGTCTATCATCGTGATCATCTGGATCTTCGTCCAACACGCTAATGTCCAGTTCGAACCCTGACGCAGGGACACCCGCAACCACCCACTCGGCATTCCATTTCGGTTCCAATTGCTTGTGAATGGTCTGCGAGCGAAAGCGTAGTGGTGGATCTCTCGAATGACGTGGGGTTAAAGACGAGTCAATCTGAGCCAACAGATATGGGTCACAGGAGCGAGAACCGTAATCAGATATGGGAATATTGGATGCGCCGTGGAAGGTGATTTTGACCGTGTATGTCGGCCCCGAGGATGGCTTTAATGGTGTCGGATCGTAGCCTCCAGGTGGTTTCTCCTGTTGTCCACCTTGATCGCCCCCCTCCTTGTTCTTCTTCTCCTTCTTCTCCTGTTTATCTTCACCCATCACTTAGCAATACAGCGATGGTCTTTAATGTACAACTAGTACAAAATACAAGGATTGATCAATTGAGCAAGCGCAGTGGCCAACCAAAACCTCGGGCGACGATCCAAATCTTTCTGACGCTTATGACGAATGTTCCGCATTGGATTCTATTTTTATCAATCCCCCTTCATTAGAGGAGATTCCCATCCAAAAAACCTTCTCATGACGTACAAAAGGCTCAAGCGTGGCCAGCAGCCCATGACTGACAGGTGTGTGTTCATCGATGTATCGGGCTCATCCCTCAGGGTGAACATACACGCAACTTGCCTCGTCAGAGCTCGGGCCATGAGATTGCAGGCGAAGTCATCGCGTCCATCTAGTGCTACCCTGCAAGTTGGACATTAAGGCTGTGAAGAGCTGGTTGGTATCTGAAGCCTTAGGTCGAATATTTAAAACGGGTGGCATTTAATCCATATTATATCCTAAAAGTCACGACCTCCCCCTTCCCTACGCGACGCTCCTGTGATTTTATTTTGCTTCCGTTTGCCCCCCCCCCCCCCTTCTCCCTTGGTGATTGCTGCAGCCCCTGAACCCAGTTCACAACATTCAATCTCGTATCTCTTGAGACAAAAGTCACATTCAAAAGCACGGCCAGCAAGCTCAACCCAGAGAGACCCAAAGCGCTGCCTACCCTTGTAGCTCCCTAAAAGTCCAACGACTCGAGAGCCGCATCGCACTACTCCATCACCATGGACGCAGCTCAATTGCTGGAGAATTCCCTCAGTCCAGGTGAGCAGAATGCCTCTTGCGCGCGACAGCGTGGGATATCCTCGGCATGGGACTGACTGTACGCTTCAGATCCCAATATTCGAGAGCCAGCGACTAGAGAATTGGAGAATGCCTCAAAAGACAACTATGTAAGTTTCAGCAGGATGACAACCATACTGGCGGCCTGCTACCGGTTCATTGTGTTGATATTGTCCCTTCAGCATGGCTACCTGCACACGCTAGCTGCTACGCTTGCCAACGAGCAAACACCGCCTCACATTCGCAGAGCAGCTGGTCTAGCCTTCAAAAACGCTTTAGCAGCACGAGTGAGTCTGAAGCTGTCGGTCTCGGTAGCATCGCTCACACTTGTTCTCCTCAGGATGCAGCCAACCAGTCTGCCCTCTCTGACCGCTGGCTCCAATTGCCAGACGATGCTACGCTCCCTCTCAAGCAATCTCTCCTTTCCACTCTCGGCTCACAGCAACACGCAGCTGGAGCTGTGGCTGCTCAGTGTGTCTCTGCCATTGCCGCCATCGAATTGAAGGCCGGCAAGTGGCAAGACCTGATCCCGACTCTCCTCCAATTTATCGGCAATCAGGAGAACACTGGGTTGAGAGTGAACACGCTTCAGGCTATCGGATACGTATGCGAAGTCATTGTAAGTGAAGCAAAGCCTCATCTGATTAACGCTCATTTGTGTACTCTCAGGAACCGCAAATCTTGGCGGCACAGTCCAACGACATTCTCACTGGCGTCGTTCAAGGCGCGAGAAAAGAAGAGCCGAGCCAGGACGTCCAAGCTGCGGCTATTCATGCGCTATACAACTCGCTCGAGTTCATCAGCGACAACTTCCAGCGAGAGGTGAGAGCATCCGCCAAGACCGGTACTGACTGTTCTCAGGGTGAACGAAACTACATAATGCAAGTCGTATGCGAAGCTACTCAGTCTCCTTCGGTCACTGTCCAGGTCGGAGCTTTCGAGTGTCTAGTCAGAATCATGAGTTTGTACTACGACAAGATGGACTACTACATGGAGAGGGCGTTGTTTGGCGTGAGTCAAGTGTAACCGAATCCTGACTGACTTTCAGTTGACCATCATGGGAATGCGTCATCCTGAAGAACCCGTCGCTCTCCAAGCCATCGAATTCTGGAGTACCGTCTGTGACGAAGAGATTGACCTGGATCTCGAGGCCAGCGAGGTGAGTCGAGCATGCGTCGAATGTGAGCTGACATTTAGGCTGCCGAGTACGGTGAGCTGCCAACCTTTGCGTCCAAGCACTTTGCCCGGATGGCCATGCCGGAGATTCTGCCAGTCCTACTCGATCTTTTGTCCCAGCAATCCGAGGATGATGACGAGGACGAGTGGACAAAGTCAATGGCCGCTGGCTCTTGTCTCGAATTGATGGCTCGAAATGTCGGTGACGGCATCGTTCAACCCGTCGTTCCATTTGTCGAGGCTGGTATCCATCAACCAGAGTGGCAGCGCCGTGAGGCTGCCGTCATGGCCTTTGGTTCCATTCTTGACGGTCCGGACCCGTCTACACTCGCCCCACTGGTCACTCAGGCTCTGGGCGCGCTCATCGGTATGATGGCTTCCGACCCTAGTCTGCAAGTCAGGGACACCGTCGCTTGGACCCTCAGCCGTATCACCGAGGTCATGTTTGATGTCATCAGCCCTGATGCACATCTCGACAGCTTGGTCCCGGCCCTGTTGAATGGCTTGAACGGTCAAACAGCGTCTCCTCGAATCATCAACAGTTGTTGCTCTGCCCTCAGCAATTTGGCTGCTCAACTCACTCCCCTCGGCGACTCTGGGGATGCGCCTACGAGCCCGATGTCAAAATACTACCCCGACATGCTGAGAAATCTCATGACCCTCTCTGAAAAGTCGACGAATGACTCCAACAGTCGGACGGCTGCTTACCAGACGATCGCCACACTCATTGCTTCCTCTGCCACCGACACGCTACCTTTGGTGCAAGACGTAGTCATCGCCATGCTTGCCAGACAGGAAGCCTTGATGGGCATGCAAGGCCAGCTACTCGGCACTGACGACCGCAACAATTGGAACGACATGCAGATCAATCTGTGCGTTGTCATTCAAAGCGTAATTCACAAGTCGCCATCCATGATCAACCAATTTGCCGACAGGATCATGACCAACTTGTTGCAACTTATTTCATCATCCGGCAAGCAGTCGGGTGTACTGGAAGATGCATTCGCCACTGTCGGCGCCATGGCGACCGGTCTCGAAAGCGCGTTCACCAAATACATGGAAGCCTTCTCTCAATTCATGTACACTGCTCTCCGCTCGCACGAAGATTGGCAAGTGTGTCAGGCGGCCGTCTACGTCGTCAGTGATATTTCTCGCGCGATCAATGAGGCCCTCACGCCGTATGCCGAGAACATTATGGTGGCGCTGATTGAGGTTCTGAGGACACCCGTCATTCATCGCTCTGTCAAACCCAACGCAATCACTGCCATCGGTGAGGTCGCGCTCGCCATCGGACCTGGCTTTAAGCCTTTCCTCCAGACTACGATGGAGATCTTGAGTCAAGCTGGTGCCACAACTGCTCAATCTAACGATGCGGCCATGATCGAATTTGTTTGGACCATGCGCGAAGCCATCGTGGACGCTTTCATCGGTATCATGAACGGTCTCAAGACGGATCCGGAGCCATTCAAAGTCTACGTCGGCGGCATCTGCGGATTCCTTCGAGACTGTTGGAATGACGATGACAGGACAGATCAATTCGCCACCTCTACACTTGGCCTGCTTGGTGACTTTGGAGACACTTACAAGAGTGGCGTCTCCAACGAGCTCATGCAGCCTTGGGTGTCGAGTGCCATCTCTTATGGTCGAGAACCATCGAGCTCTAGGCAGCTCAAGACGAACGCTGCCTACGCTTTCAAGGTTAGCATCACTCATTAGGAACAGATCTGACGCGTCTGGCAGGCCATCAAAGAACTGGAAAACCTCTGATCGAACGAGTCTGTACAACACCTACGACTCCAATGACCAGCTACTCTGACTCTGTGCAAAACTTTCATCATTTCCCACCTAGCATCGCATAAGTTTCCGCCGCCCTCTCGAACAACGCATCTGGCCGCGCTCTTTTGTCCATGGACAATACACGTCGCCAAAATTTCACGACTTTCAGGTCACTCAGGTCTTCTCTTAGTGTTTATATCTCAAGCATTTCTTTCGCATAGATGGTGGTCCGCCCCGCCATCGATAAATCTCTCTTTCAGCTTCTTACTATACATCGATCTCGCAGTTTGGTTCCGGACTTTGCGACATCTTTCTCCCGGTCAGTCAGGTAGAACAAGAGCGGAGTGGATACTTGCGCTTTCATAGAATTTGTAGACTCGCGAATCGGTAGCGAGTCAACAGGAGGTCTCCCTTCAGTGCAGTAGTGTGTTTTCGGACATGGCGATCTCTTGGAGACGACGGTGTATGAATATGGTGTGTGTGTGTGTTCAGGGTTGCCATGCAGCGTCATTCTGACAAAGGGCGATTGCAACGCCGTCTCGTTGCGGCTCGTCGCTAGGGCGCCTCGCAGAATCCGTGGTCCAGGTGACGAGCAAGACGGACTCCTCATGTCACATGTGTGCATGCCGTGCGTTGATGACGAGAATCACAGCGTATAAGACGCTGCGCGATGACTCGCATTTCCTTGTCTCTATCTTCTCACCACCTCAACATCTGAAAGACATACGAGCTCCCATTTTAACACAACAACAACATGAAACGCTCCTCGTCAGAATTCGATGAATCCTCTTCTGCTGGCGAACGGTCCTTCTCCCCATCTTTCTCGCCATCGACACCTTTGAAAAAGGTCAAGAAAGAGTCCAAGGACAGCTCGAAGACCCCTTCAACGTTCTCGCCAAAACTCAAACTGCCTCAGAGTAACAAACAAGCTATCGCGAAGGAGATTATCAGCAAGGGTGTGCAGAGTATCGATCTGGAAGCGCTCATGGCAATCGTGAGTCCAAAGAGCGCCTTTCGTGTCCTCGAGCTCCTGTGCGAACACTGAAGGTAGCCTCAGACTGGTTTGACGAAGCAGCAGATCAAGTCCCAGCTCGCCCTGAACCGAAACAACATTCGAAAACAGCTCATGGATCTCGCACAGACGTTGGCTTGAGATGAGCGATCGGGATAGCCCACATGATCCAGGTTCATGCACCATCAGGACGGCCATCTTAGTCCTCATCTGAATCTTCTCGATCCTTCTTGCTGGATTCGACGAGTCCAGACTGTGCTTTTTGCTCTCTTCTCCGCTTGACATCCCACTTTGTCGTACGGTGGATCAGCACTGGGTTCTTGAGCAGGTTGACGAAGCGGCTCACGTTATGAACCCTCGCAAAGTTGACTTCCATCACTGTAACTTGCTCCCGAATCCACTCGAGATCTTCCAGGACTTCCTCTAAACTCTTTCTCGCAGACCCAAGCTTGCCTTCCAGTAGGTCGATAGCTTCTTGTAATGGATAAGTGAGCATGGTGTTGGCCTGGAGAAGACGATCAGCACATCACCTGAGACTGACCGACACGACTCACTCCTAGCCAAATGCCAACTTCCCCCGTCTCCTCTACCTCAGCTTCTGCGTACAGCGTATCGTTGAGCTCGAACAACGTCTTCAGAGGTGCTTCCTCGCCCTTGACCGCAACATTGTCCTCATCGTCATCATCGTCCAGCAAATCATCTAGATCGTCATCGTCCTCGCCTCCACCCAAACTCCCGCCCTTCTCCTCCTCCTCCTCAAAAGGTTCTCCGAGAGCCTTTTTCCGCCTGTTTTGCAGGAATTTGACTATGCGTAAGGTGTTTTCGATGTCTGGAATCTTGGATGTCAGAGCTTTACGACGTTGTTGAAGGTTGATATCCATGTAACGGTATTTGCTGAGCTGGTCAGTCACGCAGCGAGGGTTGATCACTCACGATGATGTCTCTTGAAACTTTTGGATGGTCGACTGAACGTCCGCGCCTGTACCTCCTACATACCCCTCCACGTTGGACTGTCATGATCATTCAGCAGAGGTCACGAAGCTAAAGTCAAGCCGTAGCTGAACTCACGACGAAAGGAGCTCTCGGAATCCCACGGGCATTCACTTCCATTTGCTGGGACCCTTTTGAAGACCCAGCTTGGATTCCGGCAGACATGTTGATCGGCGTGCGATGCTCGACCAAAGGGAGTGCAATCAACGACAAAGACCTGGAAGCACGACCCCGAAGGACTTGGACATTGAAATTGGTCGTTTCAGAATTTTGTGGCATGTGGCACTCTCGGTGGGATGATGCATATCACGAGGCATAGTCAAAGATCACCAGCAAGGCGATGGCGCCGACAAGCAGAGGATAAAAGGCATTCTCAACGTTCCCGAGTGCAGCTGGAGGGCTACCTGGGGAGACGGGCACGGCTGGGACGGCCGGGGCGACAGCGGGGGCAGCAGCTACAGCGACTAAAAGGACGAACCTCTCAGTACCTCGGGGCAACACCATGAACTTACCTGGCATGAGCGGGACGGTGGCGCCATTTTGGTGCTGTATCTGCTGGACCGGCTTTGATTCTGTAGACATAGCATATGCGACAGGGATCAGAGGCTGACAAAAGGGAGGAAAATACCAGCAAAGCATACCTCCATTCGATACCTGGATTTGGAGACCGGGTCGCTGATACTGCACGTTTACCCCTTGAGGTCGGACCCGGGCTGAAGAGATGCGTCAACGAGAAGTGACTGGTAGATACACCTACCTTGACGAGGTGTTTGAGGAGGGTTCGCATACCAGGAATACCCACCCTCACCTCCTGGGGTCGCGATGATCCCTTGACCACCCACTTGTGGCATCTGCTGCTGTTGATCATGTACAATGACCTGAGGCGCCTGGGCTTGCTGGACCTGGATGACAGGTGTCACAGCTATCGGAGGGGATAGGGGGCTTCCCACCATAGGTATTGCCTTCCCAAGGGGAGCGACGTATCCTGCAGCTGGTGGATATGGGGGGTATGTCTGACACCACGGGACCGATGCTCCGAGATTCCCAGCACACCAACTGGGTGAGCCTGGCCAAAAGTTTCCCAGACCTGATCCCCCTGTGAGACCCAGAGGACCTTGGAGGATGATCAAAACCAAGCAGACGAATAAGAAAAAGCTCATCCAAGCATTGGCAGTGATGTAAGGAGTAGCTTGAGGCGGCTTGGCACTGGAGCTAGAAGAGGAAGAGCTGCTCGAGGGTCTCGATGAGGAGGACGATGAAGACGTTGGGCGATCCTTGGAGGAGGATGGTCTCTCCTTGGAGGAAGAAGATGACGAGGATGGTTTGGGAGCTGATGAAGACGAGGGCATGATCTGGAAAGGGAGTGCGTCGAGAGTACTGATGAAGCCTAAAAAGGCCAGTAGGAGAAGGACGAGAGCCAGTGGGTGAAGCCAGGGACTTGAACCTGCGATTGAAATGGGAGCAATGCGAGCTGGTGTCGTGACCGATCGCTGTTCTGAGGTCTCTGAAATCGGTTCGTGTGATGTGTAGGTGGCTGTTGGGAGTAGAAGTGGTCGGCGGGAGGTGGTGAGAGTTTCGACGGTTCCGGTGAGGGTTGGGGAGGAGTTGCTATGAGCGATGGCCAGTGACAATAGGATTGAACTCAGGATGGTACGTATCAAGACGAGCATACGAGCTAAAGTGATATCGTCCTCGGTCGATTGTGGTCTCGGTTTAGTTGGCGTGGTCAGACTCTCCTACCATTCGCTATGGTGCCACCTTTGACACTCTGAACGGGGAGACATGGTCAAAGGTAGTATACGATGCCAAACCTGTTGTCATTACGTGAAGTCCCAACCTTGCGGGGAGTCACTCGGCGTGAGCCCTTTGCCTGGGATGCATAGATGCATGCCATTGTCTTCAACAACATGATTTCTACGTAACTGCACGTTATAGCACTTTACATGAACGCCGAGAGGAGGAATGACAAGAACAGTCCAGCAGCAGAAGGGGTCAAGAGAGCAGAAGCACTGCGACGAGACATGAGTACCCTGATTCTTGAAACGGGGCCAACTAGACACCACTCACCCTCCAGAGGTCTTTGCAGCCGCCGACGCACTCGACGTGGAGCTGGCTCCGCTCGATGTAGCCGCCGAGGAGGAGGACGCCATGCCGTACCCGCCGCTAGTCATACTGGAACTGGAATCGGAGGCTGAGGCAGTAGCTGAAGCGCTGCCACTAGCGACGGTCAACGTGGTAGACGCGGTCCAGGTAGAGATGAGACTGGCAGCGGCGGAACCAGTCATGGTAGTAGTGGCACTGCCACGGATTTTGCTCAGCGGACTGACACTACGTCTGTGGGACAGACTCACCTGGCAGTGTTACCACTCTCAGCGTTTGAAACGAAGGCTGAGAAAGTGTCTCCGGAACTTGGAGGGTTGACACTGGAAAGACTGCATCAGCAATGCTGACTGGAATCATGTATGGGAAAATTCACGCAAAGACCATCCCAGCTTCGCAGTGACCGTCTTGAGCGCAGAACATCCAAATAGGGTCAGAGGTCTCTACAGTGATAGCGACCTGGAGTATCATGCGTTAGCTCTTCTTGGCATCAAGAAAGGCGATACAGACTCACATCGACGGGGTTCCCCGAGATGGGAAAGAAGCCACTGTTGAATCCTCCACTGTACGTGCATGGATTCTGAAAGGTTGACTGGGTGACGGAATGATTGCCTGCTTGAAACTGAGAGACCAGATCAGTGACATATCATGAGCAGTTCAAAATATCGAGGCCTACTTGAAAGCTGCTCGGATATCAGTTCCTCCTCACGGTATGGTTTCAGATCACACTCACAGGATGGTGTCTCCGACCGAGGCTTGTACGGTACTCGGTTCGTAGTTCTGAGCAGCAAGTGAGCTGGAGTTCCGAGATTAGGGCTGCGAACGGCCTACCAGTGTGTGATCAGGTCCGACTAGGACGACGTGCTGAGTGGCAGCCATGACAACTGAGGCCGACGCGACCACTGAAAGAGCTTGAACGAGCATGTTGGGTGTCTCAATGAAGTATCAATGGTAAGGAGTGATTGATGAAGAGTCAAGTCTGGGGGTCCTCATCATACTCGAGGCGAGGCTTCTTATGTACATTCTGGGCGGGCGGCCAGACGGGCTATACGAGATCCCGTCCTCGGATGATGAGACGGAATTGTGAATAGCCAAAACACAAGCTGATCATACGCCGCCAATCCCCAGCGGCATTTTTTTTCTTCGAACCTGATTGCCGTTTTGCCCTACGGGCTTGGTTCCTGGATCAGGATGGGATGACAACCTATCTCACGGGGAATGTGAAAATGCTTGCAGAGGATAACCAGCTAATGAGCTGTCCGGTTCTGTCGCCGGTAGATCGAAAAAGCGATCGACGCTTCGTCCTCCTACAGTATTTGCCTCCGAGGAGAACGCCTCGCCTCGTAAAAAGTCGAAAAGGCGATGACAGCCACTGGAGCTGATCGAGGAAAGCAATCACACTCGTACGAGACAACGGGGACGCAGAAACGTGCTGCGGAGGAGAAGCAGGGGACAAGTACCTTGCATAAAAAGGCTGACAAAGACAAAGGTGGCGATCTGGGGACCTCGCTGCTCGGCTTATCTGATTATTGTCAAGAATCTACCGCTCGGGAGAAAGAAACGCCACGCCACGCTTAGAGCTCTTTAGTTTCTTTGTCCCGCTATCCCTGGTCCCTGCGTGTCGTCCATCCACGCAAGGGATTGGATGCATCGAGGTTCTCGAGAATCTACAGAGAAAGAAGCGAGCGGTGGTCCTCAAAATTTAAAGAGGAAGGGAACTCCTAAGGACAGAATCAGGTACCAGGTGGACGGAGTGGAGGACGCCAGAGCGCTGCGTATGGGATTCAGCTTCCAAAATTGCTCGTCCCATCTTGCTTGGGCTCACCCTCCAGACGGTGCCGCAGAAGCAGCTCCTGAGGCAGCTGATGCGCCAGGAGTAGAAGACACACTACTCGAGGCTGACGAAGCACTCCCACCACCAGACACACTTGCCGCTGGGGTCCTGACAAGAACAATCGCATCAACGAGGCAGGCTCCTCGTGAGGGTCTACTTACGGGGTAGATCCGCCAGGACTGTTGACATCACCCTTGGCTAGAGCTTGGAAAGCCGCGAAAGTCTTGTTACCAGAAGTTGGGGCGTTGATCCTAGGTCAAGTTAATCTTGTGAAGACATTAGGACAATGCGAGGACCTACGCCATGACCATCCCGGCCTGACAGTGACCTGCCTGAGCGCAGTATACCCAGGTCGGCGAAGTGGTATTTACGAGGATGGAGAACTAGAGAACATGAGCGAGCGAAACGAGCAGCTGTTATTGATTGGCTTACTGTGGTCGGCGATCCGCTCGTTCCAACAGCTTGGAAACCAGAAGTGAAGCCTGCGTTGAGACAGGGGTCTGCGAACGTCGATTGAGTGGCAGTGTGGTTTCCAGCGACAAAGGTGAAGCTGCTCAGGTTTCAGCGGATCCACCGGGCAAGACTAGGACGCACTTGACGATATCTCCAATAGCTGCGGACATGTTATTAGGTTCGAATGTCTGAACAGTGGGCTCAGCGTACTTGCCGTTGAGCAGGACATTTCCACTTCACCTTGGTACCATTGGGTCCAACTGAGACTGTCAATGTGGCTGCGGTAACACATGAGACTCCTAGGTACAACGTCGTGAGTGTTATGGCAGAGAACGAGAGCATCGTGTCACAAAGTTGAATGATGGAGCGAGAGAGACGATCCTAGAGCGGACTGGCCGTGTTATGCAAGTGGTGGGAGAGGCTCGATCGAACTGCGGTCGATTCGTCCCGCTGGAAGAGTATGAGGTTATGGGAGAGTTTTCTCAGCATGTGAGGTGTATGACTGGGTTGAAGTGAGGTATATAAAGTCTTTGGCTGTGGTGAACAATCAGCATATGCCAGGACGACGAGGTTCATGCCGCCTGACTACGAGGGTCGTCATCACGACGGGTGAACAAATTTGGTCTATTCGTAGTCAGGCTGTTTCAAGTGGGTGCTGCTGACCTGTCAGTCGTCGAGATTCAGGCTGCGCTTGGCGTTGCGAAGGTAAAAGGAGACACAGTCTAGAACCGATAGTCGAGAGTATCGATTTCAAGTACATGACGTCTCAGCAACCGATGGATATGTATGCATCTCGTCTCCTCTACAAGCGGGGCGAGGTCCTCGTCTCCAAGGCGATGAACTGCCTGTCCAAGTTGCGCGAAAGATCGTTGGCCTCGCTAGTGCATTTGCCTCAACACCCTACTGTAGGATCCGCTTTCCTTCTGCCAGTCGTTGAATCTGCTGTTCCAAAGCTTGTCGCCTGACTCTGATCTTTGGCTCTTCATCTCCGATCCGTTGCACTTGAGCAGGCATCAAGCTCGAGACAAACAGTGGTGAGAACAACTTCAAAGGGGATTCAGGCCCAACGATGAGAATGTGATCGATGACATGTCGTCGAATACCGTCCACGAATCGGGTCAGGGCAACAGTGTAGTATGCTCGGAGGACGTCGTGGATCTCCCGAATGGTGTGTTGCTCATTGGAGATATGTCGGATACCCGACAGGTCTTGAAGTCTGACGACCATCTGGTTGTTCGAGTCGCGCATGGCTTTGCCAGCGACTTGCTCTCTGACTCGAGCCTGACGCCTACAAACACGGTCAGCGCAGTGTACGGTATTGACCGATGGACAACTCACAATGTCTCAAGATGACTACTAAAGGCCGGATCATGAGTCACTGGCGGCCCTTTGAGGTCCATATCGACAAGATAGTCGGTCTGTCGAAAGGCGTTCGCATAATAAACCTTGAGCGACTCCATCAACAAGGACTGAAGAGCCGATCGAGATCGTTCGCCAACGACTAAGCTTGTCAAGACGGAAGTGATAAAGTGGTGTACGGCACAGATGATGTCGCTGACATAGCCCATCGAGATGATTCGCCATTTCTTCGCTTGCCGTTGCATCATATCGCCGATGAGGTGAGATTGAAAAGTGCCCATCTCGTATCCTCGAGTCGAATGCCAGAGCTTGGAGACCCAAGCGTCGTCTTGCTCCAGATCGTCGTCGTTGAGGACCATGGGGGGGCTGACGAGATCTGCGATCTCGAGAGGTGTGTCAATACTTCGTGAAAAGTATTGCTCTTCGATAGGTGGGCTGACGTTAGCCATTCGAGCTTGTTCTCGGATGACCCCAGGAGGCCGAAGTGCGGGACCGGAAGAGTGAGTCGGTCTGTAAGGATCTTGATCATCCTCCGTGTCGCCTTCTGCTTCGTCCTTGTTGAAGCTGAATGCTTGACCAAACGTGCCCATATCCTTGGCGAAGATATCGCTTCGACTTACGACAATGGTAGCCAGTCGGAGTCGTTCATCTTGAAGCAGGGCGTTCTGCGCATAGTGACCACTGCGGGCAGCCTCTGCAATATCCCTGTAAGTTGTTGCCGTTTGACTCAGGTAATGGGTTTGCTCCATCAACGTCTGACGCTTGGGTCCCAAGCTCTGAAGTTGATTTTCGACATTGGTGAGTTTTTGTCTGATATCTTGTTTGACCTGCAGAACGTCAGCTCACGTCATGGCACTTGTTGCTCTCACCTTTGGGAATTCTCGCTGGAGATGACCTTCTAGCAAGTCTTGCAATCGGATCAGGAGCGATTCCACACCAACCTTGTCGCTCCCGAGGAGGTTCCAAGGTGACTTGGTTTCGAAGAAGATGGATTCTTCGCTTGATCGTGATCGACTGCCGTCCTTTCGGAGAAGATCCGCTTGACCAGGATTTCGAAGAAGGTGCCAGCCCAGAGCCAGCTGATGTTTCCTTCCCTCCATGATATCGACAATGGCGGACTCGGCACCTCGGTCAATGAGATCAGGCTTCGTCAAGATTCCTAGAGTTCGTTGACCCAGTGGATCGACCTCTTCAGCCTTTTCAATGATATCTTGCGTGGCAATATCGGTGTTGCAAGGAACGACGACGAGCATGATGGTTCGAGGATTCTTCATGTATCCGTAAACCATTTCTTCGACCATGGCAATGTCGTCTTTGGTCGTCACGCCAGTCTCGGTACGTTTGAAGCGACCAGGGACGTCGATGACGCTAAAGTGACCCTCTTCAGGACCAGTAATGACGAGATTGAATACGTCTTTGCTGAACGCAGATTGGTGTCCGTCCGCGTGAGGACCGACGCCCATGATTTCGTTGGCCTGAGTGTATCTCGTCATCAGCATGTGGGCGGCGTTTCTGTGTCATGCCGATTCGCTCACCTCTGCCATGACCTGAGCAAAGATGTCCGTATCAAACTCGGCCATTTCTCTGCTCCACGCCTTGACCTTGGCCTGATGCTCTGGCGAAGTGTTCTTGCCAGGCGTGATACTTGCATTGACGCTCGAAATGACATCTCGTCGGAACGTTATCTGCGTGGCGAATCGAGTGCAGAGACCAGAGTCTCGCGGGAAAGGAAGACTTGTCAAGCCTTCGAGAACAGAGCTCTTGCCACTCGATTGTTGACCAACGACGACGAGCTGAGGGAGATTGACATCGTTGCCAACGCCACAGGCCAGAAGTTTGTCGATCTTCTCAGCCAGATGCGGGTCGACAAAGCTTGTACTGGATCTCGTCTTGCGATGGGTCTTTCGGATGCTAACGGGAGGAGTGGAGGACTCGGTAGTCGAGATTCGTTTTCTCGATTTGGTACGAGTGGCCTTTTCTGATTTGCCCTTGGTGTTAGCCATGGTGAGGCGTCAGCTGGGGTGATCGGAGAGACTTTTCGAGGAATATACGAGGTTGACGTGAAGTGGGTTCAATCGATATCTGTGGAGTGGATGACGAGACGAATTGAGAAGAAGATAGAAGGTGGGATATATCGCTCTTGCTCTCGTTATATACTAGGCAAGGATAGACGACCCCCCCCCCCACATTTGGATAACGCGATCCCGGGGTGAACCCGAGTCCCTGATGCAGATCTTTCTATTGTACCTGCCGACGGTCAGGATTGACAAAAGGGACACTTTACGACTCACCTGCACCTCGCGTCCTTTCACGGTCTACTCAAGAATCACAATGCTGACGAGAAATCAGTTAACTTGACGGCATCGAAATCAATAATGCACAAGACATAAACGAAATAGTCGTCATTAATATCAGATAGACATTCAATGTCCATGAGAAGGGTGAACAAAAACCGCATTCCTCACAGCAAATAGATCCTCCGACAGATCCCCTACGCCTGCTCTCCATCGTGACAACACTTTTGATTCAACTTCTTTCCTTCGAATTGTCCCCTTCACACATTCGTCACCGTCAATCCTCTGTCATTGACTAGATCTCGCACGACACTCCCGCTGCTATCTGGTCTGTGGGCCCGCTGAGGATACTGTAAGATTTCGTCCTGATCCTCGTGGAATTCATCCGCCTGCCTCGGATCAAAGTAGTAGCCCTGATTTGCCGGTGGCTGCGAGTCCGTCGTCACAGCATAGCCAGTTCGACTTCCCGAGCGGAACGTACCGTCCACTGGCGAGTTGAGCTCTTCGTAGCCTTCTCCGGAAGCCGCATAATTTAATGTCGGCTCAGGTTGTGCCGGATACGTCGTGTTGTAAGCCGCGGCAGCAGATTGAGCTCCAAATCCAGCCATGCCGGCATTGGTGACTGTGGACATCCGATCGCCTCCTCCGAGTGCATTTTGAGATGGCAGGTTCAAAGCGTATGAATCGTAGCCTCCACTTGGATCATCGAAAGCATACGTGCCAGCGCTCTGCGCCGGAGCCTGGTGCAGATCCCCAATGTAAGGCCCATCCATGAACGTCGATCGTGCACCTGTAGACTTTTCGTCGTCGTCACGATGTGAACGGTTTGAAGCGACAAAATCGACCTCTCGGTCTAATCGCTGACTGCGTTTACGACGGTAGAGAATGATCGCAATGGCGAGTGCTACACCAGCAACAAGAAGTCCCAGCACGACAAAGACACCCGCAACGGCTCCAGTATTTCCAAAGAAACCAGAAGTCGTATCATCTGATTCAGTGGAGGCGCCGTCCGTAGCTCCATTCCGGACCGGCACTGTCACTGTCCAAACTCTACCATTCGCATCGGTACTCGTTTGCGTTTGCACGCGCCCTGTAGTGGCAACAGATATGGTCGTTGGCGCGTTGTTGGCAGCGGGTGCACTTGTCGCCGAAGAAGATGTGGCAGCGACGCTAGTAGTCGGGTTGGGACTCGCTTCATTGGCATCGGACCTGGAATAAAGGGTGAGCTCATTTTCGGGGTCGTCCGAAAGACAACTCACGCGGCAGCCTGTGTGGATGTTTGGGTTGACTGTGGCTGTGTCTGCTGCTGCTGCTGCTGCTGTTGCTGAGTGCTTGTCTCTGGCGCAGGACTAGCAGACTCTTGGGTCGTTTGCTGTTGCGATTCCGGCGGAGGGGAGGTCGTAGGTTTGCTGTCCTGCGTCGGGGTAGCTTTGGATATCGTTGCTGGCTCGGAGGCCGGAGTTTGAGTCGTGGGCTCTGGGGAAGGAGTCGGAGAAGGGGAAGTGGTGGGAGCAGTCGTAAGATCCTGAGTGGGGGCGGCAGAGGTGGTAGCGGGGTCGGTCGTTGGTTGAGGTTGAGTTGTGGGCACCACAGAAGAGACGATGGCTCCTACGCCGTCGGCTGGGGCTGAAGAGGGAGAGTTGTCGGGGGAAGTAGATGAGTTCGAGTCGAAAGGTTGATCACGACGGTCATTATCGTCGTCGAGACCAAGAAAGGATAACAACCCATGAGCAGAGGACGACATAATATGAGAGGCAGTAAGGTGAAGATTATGGAGAAGAAAGAAGAAAAGGAAGATAGTAATGTCAGCGATTGTAACAAGACACGAGAGAGTCTTTGAGACGCCAATACGGTCGGATGAGGAGCCAGAGACGACCAAGAGGGCTCAGGACAAAGGATGTATGGAGATGGCATGCGAAAGGAGGCGGTCCGAGCAATTGCCATCTCTCCCCTAAATTTCACTAGGTCTCTTGCCCCATTAAAGGGGCTAGCGTGTAGAGCATTCGAGTCCCGAAGGAAGACCCAACGAGGTGGTGAAGAGCTCGAGACATACAGACTCGCGATGGCTCACCCCCACGTTTACGTGTTTCCAGTCACATCTCGATGTTGACACGGCATTCATTCACTCACCACCGTCCATGCTGCTCGAGGGTATACAAGGGTCTCCAGAGTGTATCCACGGAGTCGTTAAGCGGGTCTCAGAGTATGGTGAGGTGTCCAAGTGAGGTCCAAAGTTGACGACCAGGTAGTCTACAGTTCAAGGTGCCAAGCCAGAAGGGGTCGACGAGCAGAAAGGAATGCACGAGACTAAGAGCGTGAACGAGCGTGGGTCGGATAAATGAGTGTGGGTGTTGTCTCTGTAATGTCGAGCTGCGTCCTCTTGAGATTCTCAGAGAATGAATGATGAGTCGTCGATGACTATTCCTCCCCCCCAGGTCGAGCGATGATGCTGTGAGATGAAATGATGTTTAGCAAAGGGTCACCAAAGGTGGGGAGGCGTTTGTTATGTTGGGTCAGTGTGTGGCACTTTTTATTTATTTATTTTCTGTTGTTTTTCGCCGCCAATGTCCATTTGAGTCTAACGCGTTTTGCTTTTGCTTTTTCGGTGCCTGAAACGTTTCATCATGAAATGCTCGGCATGACGTGGAATTTATACCACTTGACTGGTCGAAATGACTTGAACAGTAGATGTATACCGACTGTGCAAGCAAGCACGATCACGTAGTCTGACCGCGCTACGCACTTGCTGCCTTTGAATCTGGCTCCAGACCTCAAATTGAGCAAAGACTGTCGAGGCGGATTCTCTCAACCAAAGCTCACGTGCCAGAATCATCCCGCCCCAGCTGGTCTCTGCAGCGTACCTCAATCTGCCACAAGCTCGTGATGTGATCCGATCCCCCTGCTCAGCTGTCGATGACTGACGTGGACGAGGTTCCCCATTTCTCATGCCTGTCATCCACTCTCAACGGATCATATCTTCACGAGACCTGCTATCACACTCGGCAGCCGTTTCGACGAAAGCCGCGAATAAGCCGCTCCGGTCAATGTTGGTTGTTATTATTAGGCTGTTTATTGCGGATCGCGGAGTTTTGTAACACAGACCAACTCGAGTCTAATACTTTATTGACGTTTTGGGTTGATACTAACCATCTCATCTACTCCGGCGTAGTATCGGGGACAGCATGTGGGGCCATGCGATCAGGCTGAGCTTGTGAACTCATATAAGTGCGCTCACAGAGCGGGTCTCCAATCGTCATGTTTGTAAATCCATCTGCTCTGTACGAGATGTGGTCGGTCGTGCTGGTTTTGGTTCTGCAAATCTTTTCAATCGGTACACGTGGAATCACCTCGACGACAGAGAACAGCGCTGGTCAGCAAAAAGTAACATTTCACCCGTGTGATACCAACGGACAATCTGTGGACGTCTATGGCTATCCGAACCCCGGGAACATTAGCATTTTCTATGGCATACCATTCGCTCAGCCCCGTAAGTGGCAGGTTTCAAACTGTAGAAGACGTCTTGACTCGCCCAGCTCTCGGACCACTCCGATTCAAGCCGCCCCAAAAGCCCATGTCGTATCCTTCCGTGATTGATGTGCCGGGCTACAAGCGAGGATGTATGCAAGGCCCGATCTTTGGTCACAGCAATTACAGTGAAGACTGCCTGTACTTGAATGTTTGGAGACCTGACGGGTATGATGAGACGAGTAAACTGCCAGTATTGGTATGGTTGTAAGTGGAGCCATGAGGGTCGCGTCAACAGCTGATTTTGCCAGGTATGGAGGAGGCTATCTCCTGGGATCGGCGCAAGCATTCAACTTCACTCAGATCATGGAGGCCGGTATTGCTCAGGTCAGTCCGCATCAGCCAATTTGGCAACAGGCTCATGTGACCGAACTCAGGGCACGCCTTTCATCGCCGTGAATGGTAACTACCGGCTCGGGCCATTCGGATTCGGATACGGAAAAGAGTACCTCGAAGATGGTTCTTCAAATTCTGGCCTGTGGGACGTCGTAGCTGTTCTCGACTGGGTAGACGAGAACATTGCTAGTTTTGGTGGTGACCCAGATCATGTAGGCCTCTCAGTATCGGAGGACGCTCACCAGGGCCAGGTGACGCTCGCCGGTCAATCAGCAGGGGCGGTCTCTGCATCTCTCATGGCACTCGTCAAGACTCCCCCAAAGGTCGTTGGAATCGTATGTGTGCTCGTGAAGGCAAAGTCTGACCACTTGTACAGATCATGAATGACGGCGCCCCAGCAGCATTGCCATTGGCTCCAACTACGCAGGGATACCCCGAACTGTATCCCTTGCTACTCAATCTGACTAACTGCTCCGATGCCAGCAACACATTTGAATGTTTGCGATACATCGATGCAGATATCCTCAACAATGCCTCGCTGGCCATTCGGGCAACGGCAAACTTCACCGAGGCGTGAGTTATCCATGTGCAGTCTGTACATGTGCTTATGCATTTCAGCTTCCCATGGAGTGAGATAGCCCTAATCGTTGAGATGTCTCATCTGACCTTGCGATGTCAGCGCCGAATGTAGACTACGACCTCTTACCTGATCGGCCCTCCACGTTGCTGAGGGAGGGCCGATTCCTCAAAGTCCCGATGCTTTTTGGAGATAATTATGATGAGTCAGTTTGCGGGATCCGACGGGAACAGGGCTGATGTTTGACGGCAGAGGGACCAGCTTTGTTCTCACCGATACCAACAGCACAGAAGCGGTCATTGCACAGGTCAACTATTTTGAGCCTGTCAGACCGGATAATGCGACGATGACGAGGCTTTTGGAGCTGTATCCAAATATTCCGGCGCTGGGATCGTGAGCAGCCTTATCGAACACAGCGAGATCATGTCGCTGACGGACGGTCAGACCATACGGTACCGGAAATGACACCTTTGGACTTGATCCTGAGTGAGTCGTTTCATTGCTGCCGTTGGTTTTTGCCTCACGAACCTCGTCGGCAGATACAAGCGTGTCGCTTCTATTGTCGGCGACATCACCTTTCAGCATGCTCGCAGGGATATGTTGGAACAGATGAACGCGAATGGATACCATGAAACTTGGACATGGCTCTGGGACGCATTTGCAATAGGCTTTGCAGGAGGATATCATGGAGGTGAGTCCGGGGACACAGATCAAATACCAGTCGCGTAGCTGATCAGCGCCAGTGCCACATACCTGGGACACGGCGTGGTGGTTGGGTCAAGTAGATCCAGGTTACCCTGAAACAGCCTTAGACCTGGAGAAACAGACGCTTCAGTATTGGTAGGTCTCTGTGAGAGACCGGAAGGCTGATATACAGGCTTAATTTCATCATCAACTCTGACCCCAACGAAGGGGGTTCGACGAACTACACCTACTGGCCAAGATACCGAGAGAATGGTGAACAGGCAAACATGTTCAAATTCGTTGGCAATGCCTCGATGTATGAGGCTCAAGTGATACAGGATGATTACAGAAAGGAGCAGATTGCCTTCATCAATGACCATCCATTACAATTCAATGCATAGTGGTTAAGGATGTGCGTTTCCCTCCCTTCCTGAGACTGTCCGCCACGAAATTGCGCCAGTCACGCTAGTGACGTAATTGCCAATTGGTCTGGCTGGAATTGAGCAGCTACATTGCTCGGCATCCGTCTGCTTGTATCTATCCCGTCTCTTGCCAGAGAAGCCCATCGCCATGCCCACGTACGTCAAGAGCCCCACAGTGGACTCTGTAGAGAAGACTGCGGAGAGAGAGGTCAAAAAAGTGGAGAAGGAGGCTGACAATGTTGTTCAAGATATGGTAGAACAAGATGGTGGGCAAAAGACCATGATAAGGGGTCTTTTGAAGCCAGGGATGAATGCTCGCTGACGCTGCGTGATGTTCAGTCGACTCAACGGACTCTAGTGTACGATATGGTGAGAGAGAAATGCTCTCTCTGGGCAGCGGAACGCTGACACGGATTCTTAGCTGCCTATCTTCGTCGAGTTCGAGATATAGTCCATGCGGGTTCTAGATACACCGCGTACAGTGAGACTCGGTCCTCGTGACTCTTCAAGATGAGAGCTGACAGGAGACCAGCAAGCGATGTTGGAGAAGCATTTAGACCTGTCGTCCCACCGATCGTTGGTGAGTTAACTTAGACACCCTATAGCGTGCTGTCCGAAAGGCTGAGACACCATACAGTCACGGCTGCTTACGGTATCTCTTGGGCATATCTTATCGGAGACGTGGGATTCACGACGTACAAATCGTCTCAACTTGGACCCTCTCCCTTAGAAGCAGTAAACATGTCTGAACCGACACGCCTGGGTCTAGTGGCCGTCAAGCGGTCGGTGTTTCAGGGAATAGCTTCCATGGCGCTTCCAGCCTTTACCATCCACTCTTCTGTCAAATTCGCCGGAAGACAATTCGCAAAGGCTTCGAATCCAACTCTCAGGAGATGGGGTCCGACAGTGGTGGGAATCAGTATCGTCCCTGCTCTACCATACTTATTCGATCATCCGGTGAGTGTCATGATCAGGGGGACGAAAGACACGATGCAGGGTGGCGTGCTGATGTGTGACCTTTCAGGTGGAGACTGCAGTGGACATGGGCTTTGACAAAATTGAAGAGATGTTCTTCAGGAAATCTCCGGGATCACCATCAGGCAAGACAGAACTCTAGTGTATCGCGTCAAAGTGGTACAACCTGATTGCCATCTGCCAGAACACACTGAGGGGGAAATGTCACAGAAAGTCTAAGCTCGTGTCGCCACTGTCCACAGCTTGAGGTGGCGCTCGGAATCGATTCTGTAGTCAATTCTCGTATGCGTATGCTGTCACCCTAAGCCGGGAACATCCTTACTACGCCTCTCGACACTCTCGACGTATCCGCAAAGCCATTTATAGATACAATTTAGTAAACCCGGTCCTTCGGACCATGTGCTCAGATTCCCGATTGGGCCGCTGAGGTAGCGAGCGGGCTTTCACTGCCGGGACGCCGGGTGATTCAGAAGAGCATTCCTCACTCCTTGCTCATCATGCTTTCAGCTCACGCGAGTCCCCACAAGCCAGCTGGTCACAACACCATTTCTTCTTCAGCTCTATAAGAGTCCCATTTAACCGTCTTTCCCTAATTACGAAAATTGTTGCCGTTTGTCCGAACCCGGAAGGTCGCCCGCCAAAAACAACCCCTATCAGTTCGGGTCCGTGTTATAGCTATTAACGCTTTTAAATCTGCTCATCGTCTCGGGCTCGGAACTGTGCGATCGAAGCAGCGTGACGAATCGCTCTGCAGGATCAGGTGCATGCGGTCGTAATGGAGGATCCAACTGATCCGCCCAATGACAATAGGCAATCTGGCAAATGTGAGCCCACGGCCAGAGCTCTGATAATTCGCTGATCCCCCTTGGCAGCTCAGAACACCCTCAAACGGTGGGTACAGGACGATCAAAGGCTTGAATGGACCATACTAACGATGTCACAGAGGAGATGCTTGCCTGGCTTGCCGCAAGAGACGAATTGTGAGCTTGCGCCATTCGACAAGGTGAGAGTCATGCACTGACCTTTTGGATTTTTCAAGCGCTGCGATGCGGAAAAACCAGCGTGCTCGACCTGTGTGAGATTGAAGAAAGAGTGTCAATATGTCGTAGGAAAGCCGATCAGCAAGATGGCCAGGTTGAAAGAGAGAATTGGTGTGTGATCATCTGTCCTGAACTCAACGTCGGATGCTGATATGGGAGAAAGCGACACTGGAGGAGCGTATAGCAAGTCGCGAAGTTCCAGATGCTCCTGGGCCAAGTGTGTACCCGGTACCCATGCCCTCTGGCGACATGTCATTGAATCCTGGACCTTCGACACAGGCCTCGGCTGGATCTTCGGGTCTTAATACACCTCGTCTCTCTTCTTTCGATGGATCGACGATTGATCCCACGTTATTTTCTTCTTTCACTGCAACGGGACCACTTCCTGATTTCTCGAATCCCATGACGGGCGACGTCATGACCTACGATCAGATGATGACACAGAATGCAGGCAGCTCACCACATCGCTTTGCACAAAGTACGAATCCTCATCCGCTTCAACAACCGGATCCAAACTTCGACTTTGATTTTGGGCTGTTGGATTCGACCATGATGGATCTCGCTGGATCCTTCTTGCCGACAGATCTCAATTCTGGACACTCGGACTTGTTTGACACTTCTGTCCCTGCAGCAATAAACTCTGGTGGATTCAGGAGCCCCGGCGCATCGGGTCCGACTGACCAAGGAGGTAGTCTATTCAACGGACCACAGGTAATCCTGAAATCCGACAGCGGTTGGAGCAGGCAATCTGAACCACAGCCTAGTCTGAACTTTGGCAATGGAACTCTCAGCGGGGGATGGTTCGATCCGACAGACCTTCCACCACCAGTCAGAGATCACCTGTGAGCATGTGGGCTGTGGCAAAATGCTGATCAAAATCTAGGCTCGACATGTTCTTCAGTCAAGGATCAATATTCATATCCATGTTTGATATCCCTCGATTCTATGCGTCTCTCACCTTGCCGCCCGCCAAACGACCTCATCCTGCACTCTTATATTCCATGTACCTTTTGGCAGCCCGTCGTTCCAGTCACGCGAAGCTCAAAGCGCTGGAGTCGAAATTTTGCGAAATTACAGAGCAGCAGATCAACATAGGAAACAGACAAAATGACAGAACTCTAGACATCATACAAGCTGTCATCTTGTTTGCACAGTATCAAATCACAATTGAGCAGTTCAGCGTGGCTTTCACAGTGGCCGCCATGGCCGTTCGGTGAGTGGAGGCCATTGGCGATATTTGCGCCGTCCGAGTTGACCGGTGCCCAGTCTGTCAATGACCTGCGGTCTTCATCGCATCCCTTCGGGTGTCTTTCATCCACCGCGGACCGTCAACAGCGCCGTGTCATTCATGCTGCGAACTGGTGGATGGTATCTGGAGCCTCCAAATGATGGCACCGAGCTGGGCATCAGAATACACACTTTGTACGGCACACGGACAAGTAGCGGAAAATCGATGGGCTTACTGTCTTTTAGCTGGGCCGTCTTCCAAGCGGAATATTCGATAGCTATTGCACACGTCTGGGAGCCTATTCTGCGACCAGAATCGATCACCACTCCACTGCCTCGGCCGCTGGAAGAGTATGCCTTAGTAAGTCTTTGTATGGCGAGCTTAACTCATTTTACAGCATCTGGTGACAGCGAAGGACGATGTGACGCTAATGGCGGCGCTCCGCGCTCCATCGCCGTCTAGGCCCATAGTACCTGGTCACGATTCATGGTATATCTGCGCCATCAAGAGCTGGGGCTTCATGGAAAAAGTGTTCCGGCTCCGAGATTCACCGCCCGAGCTGCCGATAGTGCCTCCTCCATCTGTCGACCTGATCACTCCTGGTAGGATAGCCAGCGGGGCAGCTTCGATCCAGGCTAGTTGTCCCAAAGCCTTTACGGAGCTCAAAGCTGCGATGGACTATTTCTGTGACACCTTGCCACTGCAGTTCAGCCTTCCTTGGCACAGATGGGAAGGGAATGAACCATTCCATCAGCCTCAGCAGCCTCTACCGGATCTCGTGTCGAAGATCGTGAGTGCTTGCTCGCTGGGATCCGTCGCTGACAATCTACAGTGGTTCCTGATCGGATTCACCTATCTTCATTTGTTCAATGTTCGAACTCTGGCGGAGCGAAATGATGATGCGGTGCGCGTGGCCAGAAGACTCGTCAAGCTGGTTCTGGGGTCTCTGTCAATCTGCGAGGTGAGTCAGAGGTCACGGTGGCGATTCTTGATCTGACCTCTGTACAGACCTGGCGAGGGTACGACATGTTCTTCATCATCATCTGGAACGATCTGGCCATGACTCTGCTGAGGGAGCTCAAGAGGATCGAGTTCGCTGGGAATGCTAAGGAGACGGATGATGCGCATGGGATTGAGGCGGATTTCGATCTCGTCATGGGAGCCATTAAAGAGTGGTCGCTGCTCAATGTCAAGACGAAGCATGGAGACGCCGATATCGCCGCTATCAACTGGAGAATGCTTGATACATTCAAGCCGATGCCCAAAGAGATGTGGTTGGAAGCTGCACAGGAAGCCATGGAGCGATTCAGATGAGGCCAATAAGGATTGCAGGCGCGCGGCCAGCTTTGATCTCCTGGATCTTCGGACATAAACGGGTTTGATTTATTACCCGAAGTCTCTCTGATTATGCAACTGATATGGTTTTGACTCTTCCTCACACTGCTGGCGAGATCCCCTACGGTTCTGCACATGGAGCGTAACACTCCTTGTCAGACCTGTCGATCGTTGCACATATCATGCAAGTGGCCAGCTGACACGTCGATCAATGCGTGTACGAGATGCACCCGTTTACGAGGCATCTGTAGTGGGCCAGTGAAGAAATCGTGCGTGCTCTCCTTACGTCCCAGACCTGAGACTGAACTTGTGCTCAGCCGTCCAGCATGTGGAGCTTGTAAACGAGCGAGGGGTGAGCCCAACTCGGTCGAGTCATGCTGACGACATCAGCCAAGTGCATCTACGATGCAGACCGGCCATCATGTAGGCGTTGTGTCCGACTCGCGAGGACCTGCGTGGAAGATGGTCGATCAGAAGACGGTTCAGCGGCCGGGTCTTCAACCCGCTCAGCTGGTATGACGTTAAATACATCTTCAAAGACTCTATGGGGCGAAACGAGCTTAATGGACATCGATCTCTACTCTGGTCCAATACGCCAGGCGTTAGTTTACCAAGGGTTGATGCGGTTAAATGCTATGAACATGGGAATCATCTACCGACAGAAGACAGGCAAGAAGACCGATTTAATGTCTTCAGAGGTAACGTTTTCTCTCCTACTGAGAGAGTATAGGCTGACCTTTGGCAGCTGCTCGACCTGATCGCAAGTGTTTCATGCCTCAGATATAGTAATGCAATTGTGAGCTTGATTGGCGCAGTGCACTCTACGATACCTGATGCCTCGGCCGTCAGGTTCAAGGATCGGATGCTCTCGATGCTCAAGTCCTACCCATCGAGCAAGTCACAAATCGACAATGGCTCTCTGGTCCAATGCCAAAAGCATCTTTCCAAAGCTCAGGTCTGGTATCCTTCTATCGTCGAACTTGGAACATCATCCCTCGTCTGTCTTGCATCTCGAATCCCGATCGGCACACATTACTCCAATTGATGACCGCTCTCCGACTGGCTTGGAAGCTGGGTATAGAGAATAGAGACCAACCGGAACTGGGTAGATGCGTCTTGGCGTTTGTCGTCCGAAAAGCCTTACCGGAGCTCGAGAAACCCTGGGAGAATCAAGCGGAGAAGAACGAGTTCGCTGATTCAGCGATTCAGTGTGCTGTGAGTCTAGGCGGCCGCGAAGGGACGTGGCTGATTGCGGATCAGTATCGAGAGGCAGAGATATCGATCAGCATGGGTGTGGCATCGCAAATGTGGGTATACCTTGCAATTGCAAATGGATTGAGTCCTGACAGCGACCATCCAGTCCAGTGGAAACCGTTCGCAAAATCGTTTTGTTGGATACTGGATCAATGGATGACAATACCGACATGACACCGCTTATCGCTATCAATGCCGATTCCTCCAATTCTGTCTTCACTCATCTTTGGAGCAGCCTCATGCGACCCACGGTTGGCAGAATGAACGTCCAGAAACGCATCTTGGCGGACAGCTATGCACCGTGTATGGATTCCGTGCAGGTCGTCCTTGATTGCTGGACTGTCATTGACAAAGAGCTGGCGTTGCTGGACTCTTTGACTCATACTGTCACGATCTTCAATTCGTTCAAGGATCCAGATCGAGACAGCGAGGCTGTGTTGGTGGTCCTTCGAGGGATTGCCTGTTGTGAATTATGGATCCTGCAATCGGTCATGTCGTCGTTGATCGCAGCTCGAAGGCTGGAGTACGCCTTGACCGTCGGGTTGGAGATGAGCAGAGGCATTACGAGGTGGACGTTAGAAGTTGTTCAGAGGATTCTCAAGATACTGGACGTTGTCATGGTGAGCCGAACTCTTAATACGATGCTCTGAAACGATCTAAAGCGTCACTCAGCTGCACGAGACCTCAGTCTCGCGCCTTCATCACGTCCTCGATATGACTGTCAAAACGATAAAATTGGGCAGGGATTTTCTGCTCCCCGTCGTTCAATGTCTGGACGGTCGACCGAGAGAGCTGTACGTCGAGATGCACCATTTTCGCGATGGGGACTGATGAAGAAACAGGGTCCTCGAATGCCTAAAAATCGCATCTTTCTGGGATGCAGGCTCACCGGCTCTACTGGAAGAGCTCGGGGGCTATCAAGATGCAGTGCTCAAAGCTTGATTGTAGCATGCTGTGTGTACAAAGTGTGAAATCTGTATGATGGTTGTAAATTGTATGAATTATCACTCACGCCTTCAGATGAAGTGACCCCGTTTGGGATCCAATGCTTTGCCTTGGGACCCGTCCCACACCTGCTGCCCCCTGATATAAGTTGCTTTGACTGATCCATTGAGACGTTTTCCAACATAGGGTGACATTTTGTTCTTGAAATTAAGATGGCTCTGCGAAATGGGGCCATCAGTCTCCTCACTTCACTCAGCCTGCAAGGCTCACCTGTTCGAGATGTGTAGCTTGTTTCGGACTGAAAATCACGAAATCGGCATCTTTGCCGATAGCCAGGCCTCCTTTGCGATCGTCGATGCCAACTTGCTTGGCCTGTCTAGCGCACAGCAAATCGACAATGCGTCCCCACGGTAAGTCCTGTTGACCTTGGCCTCCTAGTTCTGTCCAGAGCAGTTGTAGTCCGAGACCCAAGCTCGAAACACCGCCCCAAGCCGAGAGGAAATCGCCCTTCTTCAATTCAGGTGTACAGGGACTATGATCCGAGACGACGAAATCGATGATACCGTCCCTAACTCCTTGTAGCAAGGCTTGTCGATTGACCTCGTCTCGAATAGGAGGACAACATTTGTATTCAGTACGATTCTCCGGGATATCCTCAGATGAAAGGGTCAGATAATGGAAACAAGTCTCCACGGTGAGATTCTGCATGCCTTCTTCTCGGGCATGCTGAATGACCGGTAGAGCTGAAGATGCTGAAAGATGGACGATGTGAAAGCGAAGGGAGGGAAATTGTTTGGCAAATCTGAGTATGAGGCTCAAGGCGTCGAGTTCGAGAGCGGGTGGTCGTGATCGAAGGAAGGTGCTATATCGTTCCGGATGCTCGCAGCTGTTTGTATCGGATTGAGACGGGGAGGAATCAAGTTCGGCATGAAAGAGAATCAAGGCGTTGGTGCCCTTCATCCTGTGTCACTACAGTCCCTGCCCTCAGCTCTGACTCACCTCGAGAGCATTGCACGCTTCCAACAGATCTTCTTCGCCAACACATGGGAATTCCTAAATTTGCATTTCAGCTTCGCTTTGTCGGCCAAAGGAAGGTGTGACTAACCTCGACGCCAGATTCGATCAGGAAGCATTTGAATCCCTTGACTCCTTCCTTTAGCAATCCCCTCAGTTCGGAGCTGTTTCCAGGTATGATGCCTCCCCAGAAACCAAGATCGCAGCTCATTCCTACTCGACGCGCTTCTTCCCTCTTCTCGTTCAGATGGGCGACCGTGGTTGTGGGTGGTATAGAGTTGAGTGGCATATCAATCAGGGTAGTCACTCCGCCAGATATGGCTGCTAGGGTACCTGTTTGGAAGCCTTCCCAATCTGTGCGTCCAGGTTGATTGAGATGCACATGACAGCTGTGAAGGGATATCAGTATGGGCCTTCAGGCATTTCATAATGGTTAGGAAGCTGTGTGAGGCTCTGTGACGGCCATTTGGATACGGCCACTGGGATAGGCCCTAGCGGCCTAAGGAGGACTCACTCTATCAGTCCAGGAAGCAATACGTCCTCATCGGTCACTCTTAGAATCTCGACCCCGTCTTTGTCCTCGATATCGACAATTCCATCTTGCACATTTCTTATCCTGCCGGATTCGAGATCCACGGTCAGCTTCGCTGGGCGTGGGTGTGTTTCCCCGGGCAGAAGAGCATTTTCTGCCACCACGACGAGCTGAGCCATGCCCAGAAAGCTTTGAGCAGCCTGCTACAGGTCTCAAGCAAGGCGCCGCAGACCTGTGTGGGCTTTCAGTCACCGCCGGTCAGGATGTGCCAGGAGATCCGATCGAATCCGATAAGAGAGATAAGGGGCTGATGTTGTGGACCGGAGCAAACTAGGCGGGAAGCTGGTTTCTATACGTCTGTATATCAGAATCCCGGGATGAACAATATGCACAGAGGGAAGAACAGGAGCGACCTGATCAAGGGTGCATGGACAATGTCTTCAAGCCTCAGGGAGGGAGGGCGCATTCCGGCTTGATAGCTCATCGGATCGGGAATTTGGACTTAACTGAAAGCCGGTATCTCTCAATGATATCGACAGATGAGGATGGGACGCTGCGGTTCCTCGCGCGCCCAGACGCGAGTCTTCTGGGAAGACGTCCCAAGCATGCTTCAAGGAGCTACGATACATTCGGGCGATATACAACATATAGAACGGCGTCAGGCGTGGAATGGCAAGTTCTGAAATCGTCACACCTTCACGGTAGCCAAGACTTTCCAAGAATCTGCGGGTCCAACACATTCCACGAACACTGCCTCCTTGATGCGTAGTGTCTTCGGCAGCTGTCCGAGCCCCACGCCATAATTTACGAGCCTTGCCAGCTCGTCCCGACGCTCGCCAGTCAAGTCACCATAAAGTAAACTGAGATGAGGGAAATACTCTTTCCCGGTCCAATTCCATTCCTTCTCACATGCCTTGCGGAGTTCCAAGAACTCTTCCGTAGGTCGAACAGGAGCGAGCACAGATTGAAAGTACATTTCGCCCTTTTGAGCCGGTAAGAGATCCACTTGGAAACCGCTGTCATTTGAGGAGGATTTGGCTAAGGCCTGAGGAGTCTTCCGGACAAGGGATTCAAATGCCTCGACCAGCTTTGGAAGCGGCTTCTCAGGAAGTGGATGAAGGAGTGTGATGTGAGGTTGAAAGGCTGGCGAGTCTGACTCGTGCTCGGACAGGTCGTCGATCAACTTTGCTAGGTTTGAGGATTCCGGTTCGGCGGGAATGATCCACAGGGAGAGGCCTGGCAAAATGCATCAGTCATCCATTGCCTCATGGCCATCCTCGAAAGCTCACCCTCAATATGTGGTGCCATCGTGAATGTATGAGGTAGGAAGAGCTGGACTCCCCGATTGTTGGGGTCAATTGTCGACAAAGGGAGGAGTATGATGAAAGGAAAATGTCAGGAAATCATGTACAATGACCGGTTGACAAAATGCCGCCGCCAGACCAATGCATATCTGCGCCCATGGCTGGGCCCATGCAATGCAACCCTAGCTTCTCTACTACTCTATCAAGCACTGCAGAGCGTTCTGATTGGTGGTGTCTTTTATCATGCAAAATTCTGGGCAGTTGATGCCCCCCTTTTTTCGTCTAATTCGTGTCCTATGAAAAGTGGATGTACAGTGTGTGAGCATCTGGAAAGGCTCGGGGTAAGGCCAAGTGGGGGTATTGAATGATGGTATATGAAACATGAGTCATTGTGAATGGGGGAACAAGCAGGTCATCCAGGGAGATACCAATTCCGAGCGAGGTATAGGGGTTCAGAAGGCAGTTGAGGCCAACAATGGAACGCTTAGTACCTCTGCGAGGGAGTGAGCGTGAGTCCGCACAACGTTGAGCAGTCACTTACGTAGTGCTCGGGCTTGTAAGGTCCCTCGACGGCGAGACCGATGTACTCGGATTGCTCGGCGCTCAAGGTGGTGAGCTTGATTCCGAGCTGGCCCAAGTGCGCACGGGCGACTTCCTCATCGAGCTGCTTGGGAAGCATGCTGTAGAAAGTGAGTTCGGACTTGACTCCATACTGCGGACCTGTCAACTCACTGAACACCGAGAGGGTAGGCAGTGGCGTTGTTCCAAAGAGCGATCTGAGCGAGGACCTGGTTGGAGAAGGAGCAGGACATGACGAAGGAGGGGTGTCCGGTTCCGCATCCGAGGTTGACGAGTCGTCCTTCGGCAAGTAGGATGATGTGTCGTCCGGACTTCATGGTGAATCGGTCAACCTGGGGCTTGATGTTGACCGCCTTGACGGCGTTCTTCTTGAGCCAGGCAACGTCGATCTCGACATCGAAGTGACCAATGCTGCGGCAAATCAACACGAGCTAGGCCGTGTGGGCAGGTGAACTCACTTAGAGACGATGGCGTCCTCGGGCATGACCTCAAAGTGTTTGCCGGTGATGATGTCTCGGTTACCGGTGGTGGTCACGAAGACGTTAGCACGGGGGGCGGCGTCCTCCATGGTGGTGACTTCGTATCCGGCCATGGCAGCTTGGAGGGCGTTGATGGGGTCGATCTCGGTGACGAGAACTCGAGCACCGTAAGAAGCGAGGGATTGAGCACACTGAGATTGTCAGGTTCGTTCAAGTTCAGGCTTGCAGCTGACTCACTCCCTTTCCGACATCTCCGAATCCAGCGACAACAGCGACCTTTCCAGCAAGCATGACATCGGTAGCTCGCTTGATTCCGTCGACGAGAGACTCTCGGCATCCGTACTGCAAGACATGAGCGCGGACCAAAGAGAGCCTTGTATGCTCACATAGTTGTCGAACTTGGACTTGGTGACCGAATCGTTGACGTTGATGGCGGGAACCTTGAGCTTGCCGTTTTTGAACATCTTGTAAAGGTGGTGAACACCAGTGGTGGTCTCCTCAGAGATACCCTTGATGTCTGGGCAGAACGTCAGGGATGTGCCCAAACTCCGAATCGCTCTGACTCACTGGCAAGGTATTGAGGGTACTTGTCGTGGACCAAGCCGGTCAAGTCACCACCGTCATCGAGGATCAAGTTGAGAGGCTCTCCGCCGGGGAAAGCAGTGAGAGTCTGCTCGATACACCAGTTGTATTCCTCCTCAGTCTCTCCCTTCCAGGCGTAGACGGGGACACCGGTCGCAGCGATCGCGGCAGCGGCATGGTCCTGAGTCGAGAAAATGTTGCAAGATGACCAGGAGACTTGGGCACCGAGAGCAGTGAGAGTCTCGATGAGGACGGCAGTCTGAATGGTCCTGAGACACATGTCAGTATCGACGAAGAGCGATCGAGCTTCCCAACTCACATGTGGAGACATCCGGCGATCCTAGCTCCCTTGAGAGGCTGCTCTTTGGCATACTTCTCTCGGAGGTTCATGAGACCTGGCATTTCATGCTCAGCGAGCTCAATCTCCTTTCGTCCGAAAGCGGCGAGAGAGATATCAGCGACCTTGTACTGGGACATTTTGTTTTGAGTGATGCGTTGGGAAATGAAGGAAGATGATAGAAGAAGTGAGAGAGTGAGAGATGAAAGATCGAATGAACGTGGACAGCGGGGGGCGAAGGAAAAAAAAACTACAAGCGCGGGCTTTCGACGGAAGTAAAATAAGCGTCCCCATTGTAGCGCACGTGGCTTGATCTTATGCGGCGAGGTCCGCGACTGACCTTCACGCAATTGTGCTGATGCCGCTGCACGTCCAAGAGTATCACTGAGTAGCATCTGGACCCGACTTATGGCGAGCATGGACGAGGCGGCAGAGCTGGCATTGCTGGTGAGAGGGGCTTGTTGAAGTCTTGGAAGAGTCGCTGATTGGTCCTCAGGACCAGCACTTACTGAAAACGAACAATCTGAGTCAGCGCATGACGAGTGAGCGAACGGTCTTTCGGCATGCAGGTTATTGACAATTCGACCCAGCGATCCTTTCGCAACTGGACACGCGATTGTCAAGACTAGACAAGGCAATTGCGCCGCTAGGTATCCAGCCCTTGTCCAGGAAAGCGGCGAGCGAGTCTACCGTCTATGACTGAGCTGGCGGCTGACTCACTCTCTGTCTAGACATTGATGCAGCCCTTGGTATCCTATCTCCCCCCAAGCCTTCTCAGCCTCCTCTACCATCCTCCTCGTCCGTAAGGTCCTTACCACAGGCATCTAGCTCTCGAAGTATCAATGAGCAATCGCGGGCGTCACCGGCTGTTCAAGGCTACACCCTCGATGCTCCCTCATCTTCACGAGCCGGACCAAGCTCGATACGAAGTCCCACGCCGACTGCTGATGAGTCGGCTATCTTGACCCGCGGACCTGATATCATGTCGCTTGGTGAATACTTCTCTGCCCTCGCTAGTGTCATCAGGGATCTCGAAACAATCTGGAAACAGGTTCAAGAGGGTCGTGGCGGTTCTCGTGAAGCCGGAATCAAGGATTTAGCAAGTTCGATCCGTGCAAGCGCGTTGAGATACTTATAGTGCTGCTTTAGTCGAGACTGGTTGAAGTCGGCTTTCAGGGACTAGTCCAGCTTTTCATCAAACAATCGAGAGAGGGTCAAGGGCGAATGTTCGAACCCGACTCGATTCTGCAAAATGGTTCGTTGGTGTGCCTCAATTGCATACTCACTCGTCACAGGTCCGCCAACTCCGCCCAATTTCTTCTCAGCGCTCAGTACTGTCCTTCCTCTATCTGCTAAGATGAATGAGCTGGTATTTCCCTCTGATCCGACGCCAAAGACCGAATCGATAATCATGCCCCTCTGGGAAGAAGCCATTTCTGGGTTTGCAAATCTCAGGGGCGACTGGATATGCCGCTCGTTTGGTGGCTCGCTCGCACATGTGGACGAGATTGACGAAGGTGGAATCTGGGAATCCTCAAGAGGTCAGGAGAAAGTGAAAGGCCTTGTGAATCTCTGGCAGGTACTGACATCGGTCATGGAGGTGAGATCTCCACCCTTGCCTTCTATTGACGTTCTAGGCCGAGACACTATTGATCACTACCTTATTTCCGAGACAACCTCCACCCAACCTCCTGCCTCTGGCTCTCGCTCATCCTCTGAACCTCGTCAACACTGCCATGCAGCCGACAATCAACACCATCAAACGATCATTGTCCACCCATACTTTCGTCGCTTTGGACTTGTATCAATCCTTGTTATCGGTGCGCGAACAATGGGACAAGGCTCTTCGGAAATGCTTGTCTATGACCGATGCGGCTGGATCCTCAATCGAGGAGGTCTTGGACCTTCAAAATGCTTTGGCAGGAGCGATATCGAATCTCCGCTCCCTCGTCTCTCGGTCTTTCCCCGAGCTCCTCGTTGATATGAGAACGAACAGTTCTGGTGGCAACACTTCCGCCATTAGTGAGACAACCTATTCAATCTTGTCATATTTGGAAGCGCTGCCGACGTACGAGAAGACAGTGGAAGGGATTCTGAGTCGTAGTCAGAGTGAGAGGAGTTGGTTGATGGGAGCAAAGGATACCCCGAGTCCGGCGCGTTCAGCAGCGGAGGAGGGCGGCATCGTGAATCTCTACGTTGGTGAGCAATTCAAGTTGCATAGCAGGCACAGCTCATCCGTCACTCAGCGGACGTCATTGGTACTCTCTTGATCAACATTGAGAGTCGGGCCAAAGTCATGCGGAAGCCGATAGGTTACAGCTTTTCGCTGAATAATTGTTGGTGCAACCGTGCGATAGCTTTTGACAATTACAGTGTCTCACATTCGGAATACTACTTCATCTTTCAACTCGGACATTATTGGACCGAGTGCAGAGGACATGTTGAACAAATCGTTTCGCACTGCCAAGACGTGAGATAGCGGGCACAAGGTCCAGTCGACTTGCTGATGCGGTCGCAGACTGTATCTTTCAGAGTGGCAGAACCTCGTAGCTCTGCTGAGCTCTTCTCACACGCCGCGATTCGGTGCCAACCCCTTGGCATCGTCAGAACGCACCCATCTGAAAGAGGGGGCGACGGCATTTTTTGACCGCCTTGCGGAGCTGGAGAGATCTTGCACTGAGAATCCGCTCAATCGGCAAGATCCCGATATGAGAGATCGTCTGGGAAAGGAAGTGGAGGAGATCGTACTCCAAGGTTACCGTCCGTACTGGACAAAAGCACAGGGCAAAGGTTTGGAAAAATGTGAGCTCAGCCTTTTCCACCCCATCCCACGATGGCTCATATCTCTGCAGATTTCAAGGGCACGCCGGAAGAGATTGGTCGCAGAGTCAGACAGCTCTTCCGTTGATACTATCTTGACGATATATGCCATTCTGTCATTGCTCTCTCAAAGCCTGAACGAAGCGTCGCTGAACTCGTCAGCATGTACAGACCAGGATCACTTACCAAGGTCTCCTGCAACATGGCCACACTGGGAGCGTCTTGGGAATTGTCGATCTGCGGGCAATAGAGCTGAGACCGAGATGCGATGAGCTGTTATAGGCACACTGAAAAATAGACTCACCTGGTAAAATCGGCCGGACGTATTTGCACCAGAGTCCTGCGGGACAGTCTTCACTGCTTGATTCTCCCTTAAGTTAGTGACGGAAGATCTGGCGACTCCGCACGATTCTTCACGGTGCGCCTGACCCGCTTTACTCGCTTGATTAGCGGCCTCTGCCATGTCTTTGAGCACGAAAAGACCCTATGTGGTCATGGCTGTCTACGGATAATTTTCGCAGAGATCGTTGGTGACCGCCAGTCTCGAGTTTACCGTTCACATTGGGACAATCCAGTGTCCCGAGACCTCAAAGGAAAGGTGAAAGGAGGTCAGTGGGTAGTAGAATCCTTTGGTATAGCATGAACATTGATAAGTGGAATAGACTACAGAACTCATCGTATACAGTGCGACTTGACTGATACTGCTTCTGCGTACTAGAAAGACAAGGGGAGATCTCGCCACACTCATGGCACAAACACAGTCTTTGCGATCTTGTTCTGCTCGAACAGTGTATAGTACTGATACAGTGTCAGCCGGAAGCTATACACCAGTTCATTGTATCTCACCTCTTGCGCTTGATCCAGGCTGACCTTGTGCTCGATGAATGTTGAGAAGAGCTCCTGATTCTGCCTCAAGATCTCGAGGGCGTACGGATAATATGTGCGCACAGAGCATCGGCCGAATTGTAGCCTCAAGCTGACAAGATCTAAGCCTCTTCTCCTTGTTCGACTGAACTCTCCGGCACTCACTTTTTGTCATACAGCATCTCTCCGTCAAGCCCAATCTCCCTAGAGTGAACCCCACAGCTGCTGATAACGCCACATGGTCTCGCCAGCTTCATTGCCGTCACCATGGCTGAAGGATGGCCGACCACCTCCAGAACTGCATCGGCTCCTTGACCATCTGTACGCTTGCTCAGCTCCTCTTCAAGATCCGCCAAGGGCAGCGCGATGGCTCCATGTCGCTTTGCGGCTTCCAACCGGGGAATGTACAGATCAGTCGCAAAAACTGTCTCATACATGGTTGTGGCGGATGTTATTGCGCAGAGTCCGACCTGATACAGTGTCAGTTCCGCTCTGTCGAGTACAGAACACGTGCACCTACTGGTCCACAACCAATGACTACAGCTACTCCTTTCGTTTCTATCTTGCCTTGACTCAAACTGGCCATGCCTGATGATGGCAGGAGCGAGGGGACAGGTGGAACACCACTAAGCATGCGAGCGTTCATAGCAACGCTGAACCCCGTCGGTAAGATATCCGCCATCAGCAGCATGAGCTCGGCAGGGATGTCATCCGGTACGGGGAATAAGGTAGAATCTGCCAGGGGTAGTCGAAAGTATTCCGCTTGCGCGCCGGCGATACTTGGTTGCCCAGGAACCGTCCCAATCGGACATCTAGCTGTCCATCCAGCCTGGCAGTTGGAGCATTCCCCTGATTGGCAGGCCATTAGCGCTGATCTCCCGAATCCCGCCGAATGTCAGAACACCTACCGCAGCTGGTGCAGAAAGAAGACAAGACTTTGTCCCCTATCTTGAACTTTTTGACTGCCGAACCTGTCTCGACGATCTCGCCAACTACCTCGTGACCCATCACGAATCCATATGGCTCTTCTCCGCGATACTGATGTAAGTCGGAACCTGGTGTCACGCCTCAAGTCAGGTATCGTATCCACATGTTCAACTTTGGCTTACCACACAGACCAGCCAAGGAGACTTTGATAATGACATCCCTAGGGTCACGAATCTCGGGCGCTGGGACCTCTTCAGTGTTAACTTTGAGCCTTCCTCTTAAGACGACAGCTTTCATTGTCTTGGGCACAGCCATCCTGCAGCGAGTAACGTCTCAAGTGATCTACAATATTGCATCTGAATTTCCGAATGTTCATCTCCATCGGATTCACCCGAAATTCCGATGGTACCGGGTCCGTAGACCTGGACGGGCGATTCAGCTCCGCATGCTGTCTCATCCCTCAGAGGAGCATAAGCCTGGGGCGGCGGCCTTTAGTAAGGCTTGCAAAGTACCCGCAGTCCCAAGAGAAAACAGAGTCGTACACTCATTGTGCACATCTTATAGCAAAATAATGTTAAGCTCCAGCAATTCGAAAAAAAGACCGTATTGGCTTGTGATTCGATGGGGTCGCTCGGATGGACCATCTCCAACAAGTGATCGAGAACAAATGAGATCCGATGTTGCATCAGTTGGGACATGGACACGCAGCGCCTCCCCCGATTGCCCCGACACGAAGCCCTTTCACAACCCATCATTACTTTGGACGCGTCTGATTTATTTCCCAGGCAGTGACGGCTCAATCACTTGTGATTCATAGTGTGAGCGCGCAGAGAACATTTGCTGTTGAAACACAAGCACAACACATCTCTGAATCCGGGAGATTCACGTTGACTTTACATAGAATGTCCTCGCCGGACATGTGCGATGTTCATTGTGTATTTTTGCTTTTGACCCAAACAACACGACACGAAAGGGATGACGCCGACGCCACGCGCATTCGCACGTTGGGAGAATGAACGCCTCTCAGATGACACTCCAGACAGGTCTGTTGCTGGCTCTGAATGTGTTGCAGCAATGTTAAGCATATCTTGGGCGTTGTTTGCAGGCACATTGAAGACACTGAGGGGCAGCCATTCACTGACCGACAGGCAAGCTTGGCAGGTCTTCCTTTAAATGAAAGGATCTTGTTCTCGTTTGTATCCTTCACTGACCCCAAGATCTCACCCCGCTTTCTCCATCGCAAGGCCTGAACTTCATTCGAGCAAGATGGCACCGCGAGCTTCTAGCTGGCCGACCCACAAGAAAACAAAGTCGAACATGCGAAGCAACGAGTGGGACGAGTGGGACGACATGAGTGGTATCGAGATGGGCAAAGAAATGGGTCGGTCTACACTTCGTCGTCGGCCTTGGGTGCCCCTTCGAGGAGGATCTACGATGTCATCAGCCAACGTCCTGCGGAAAGCAGGATGGATTATCTTTGGCTTAGTCCTGACGCTATTGCTCCTGCTGCCTACGAGCCGAGTGAGTGAGCCTGTGAGACCAAGCTGATCGTGACCCACAGGATCTGGATGCCTATCGAGTGTCCCGAAAGCTTTACAGTGACTATCCCGAGTCCGAGGACTCCAGAATGCCAAATATCATCATCGATTTCTCTATCAGCGAAACAGGCGGCACGGCAGATAATAGTTGGCCGGCGGAGGAGGGTGCCTCGAAGACAAACGACCCGCAGGACTTGCCTCCGTCAAATGAGCTCGTCACCTTCGTCAGTCAAGTTGAACCGACTGGACACTCGAAATCCAGCTACTCCGACAGCGAAGACCGTCTACGTGCATGGCTGCAAGCACCTGGCTCTAGGAGCGAAGCTGAGCTCGATCGATACAAAGTCTGGAATCTCGAGGTCGGTTAGCACAAGCTTCACGTTTTATGGTCACTGACTTCGATGATCTAGCAATGCGGAGCGATCGAACTTCAGGAGAAGCCAATGTCTGGCAGTAGACGACCCAGAGAGTTGGAACATACTGTCGTCGAGCAGCGTCGGAAACAACTGATTGACCACATCGACGATGCCTACGGTGAAGGTCTGGTAGAGATGTCGGGCAGCGGCCGAGGTATCATCATGGTCGCAAGCGATGAGCACGATATTGGTCGCGCCAAGCAAATCGTTGAGCTGTTAAGAGATCACAGCAGCTCGCTGTCGGTTGAGATTGTGAGACGCCTCCCTACATCTTCCTGCAGAGATTGACGGATTTCTAAGTGGTGTTCTGATCTGGATCGACCAGATTCCGAGGACCCAATTCATCAGCAATTGAGAGAATTGGACGCGATCATTCTTCCAATCCAGGGATCGAAGAAGATAGCCGGCAGAGACCGGTCGCATGTTATCAAAGCAGCTGCTATCATCCAGTCGAAGTGGCAGGAGGTTCTCTACCTTGTGAGTTGCCCGAGAGGCTGCTCCGAATAAAGCTGACTCTTGCTAGGACTTGACTTCCGTGCCTGTACGTGATCCAGAATACATGTTCGAAGCGCCAAACTACAAACGTCTCGGCTTTTGGGCCGGCCCAAGGCAGTGGAAGACTTCTGCATCTAACCCGATATGGTCTGTCATCGGAGAACAGTGTCGGAATGAATGGGAGATGGATACATCGCAATTCTTCATTGATAAATCGAAGCATATGGACACCATCGTATTAGCGGAGGCAATGCTTGAGCACGATGATTTTGTGAGATACTTCTTCTCTTGAGTTTTCGCCAGCTGAAGCTTGGGCAGTGGGCCCAATTCTCTGACGATCCAACCGACGCCATGCGCTGGGCATTATTGGCTTTGAGGAAGCCGTGGGCTGTTCCTGGACGATGGATTGGAGTCGTCTCAGCCAAGCCCGAAATTGAGAGTGGCGCGAGTTGCGGAATCACAACACTGCAGTATGATTCGTGGGGACAGCCATTGTTCCTGCGTCTGGACGCCGGGTTCAATGGCGATCTGTCTGCCGCTCGAACAAGACAGGTTCCTCTGCGCATGGATGAGCTTCTCGGAGATGTCGATTCTGACATGCTCCTGGATGTAGATGATTTTCGGAGAGGCAGGGCCTTGGGCAATGATGCGACGAAGTCCGCATCAGTGGGAGAGCTCAACGTCGGAGTGATGCGCGACGCTAATGAGAAGTGGTGAGCACTCGCTGCGTTGTAATTTGAGCTGACATGGCATAGCTTTGACCTGATCCTCCTGAACAGCCCAATCGCCAACCAAGAAATCAGCGCAAACCGCGATTCTATGGTTGACGATGCAGAAGAGATAGACGATGAGGCTAGCGGAAGCTGGCGCTCCATGTCTGGCTCAACTTCCTTCGAGGTCAGTCCACCTCATTCGTCACTTGAGCAGCGCCTGATGGTAGTACCTACAGACCGAAGAGTGGGACGACGACATGTTCTTGAAGGGTTTGAGCAAGAAGCTTCGGGACACGGGATTCTAGGTTCGACTGTTCGAGCGTGATGTGAAAGGGACATACCTATATACCTTGTATCCATAGCGGGCAAAAATGTACATCTCATGTCTTGTTCTAACATCTTACCCACGCCTGGCGTGACACATACAGGAAATCTCATGGCCAAACGCCACTCGCCACTTTCCCTTGACGTGACCTGCTCAAGACATTGTGGATTCTCATCTGCACACTTGATCGTGTTTGACAGATCCTCGCAGCGATATGGAAAACATCACCTGGTAAGCAGATCTTCTCACAGCATCCATTTCGCTGACGATCATTCAAAGGGACTAGTGAGTCACTGATCGTCCCCTGGGAAGTGGAATCATTGATTTTCCCCAAAGCATCCTCAAATACATCATTGTTGGCGACAGTGCTGTTGGAAAGTCTTCCATCCTAGTTCGACTGACAGATGATCGTTTCGCGACTACTGAGCCGACTCTGGGAGTTGAATTCGGCTCGAGGATATTGACGGTGGGAGATGAAGGCAAGAAGGTCAAGGTGCAATGTGAGAGTGTCTTTACTCCTTGTTTTGAGACCATTGACTGACATCCTCAGGCTGGGACACGGCTGGAACTGAGAGTTTTCGGTCAATAACTCGGAGCTACTTTCGAGGAGCTGCTGGAGCACTGCTGGTCTATGACGTGACAAGACGAGATTGTGAGTCATCTCATGCCGAAGCCGGATGAGCCCTGAAATCCTGACAAGCGTTCGAGCACGTCACGTCCTGGTTGAATGATTTGAGAGAGTTCGCCGATGACAATGTAACCATTATTCGTGAGACTCGCAGACCGGCTGTCGCATATCTGACCGATGCCCAGTGGTGGCCAATAAAACGGACCTATGTACCTTGATACCACCAGCAACTTCGAAATCTGCTACATCATCTCCCATCCCCAAATCCTCACCTCAGATCGCTCAGGAGCCCGAGTCGACTGTCGGCGAGACCTCCCGAAAGGTGTCCATGCGCATAAGGACAGTCTCGACAGCAGAGGGAGCGGCGTTCGCCAAGCAGCATGGTTTAATGTACGTCGAAACGAGTGCGAAGCAAGGATGGGGAGTCTTGGACGCTTTTGAAAGCTCCGCTAGAGAGGTTCTGAGACGCTTGAACGAGGATGAGCTGAAAAGGAGAAAGGTGCGCTGTTCACTCCAGACAAGTGTGCTAAGGACGCTCAGCCCAAAGGCGTCAAGCTCGATAAGCAGCAGTCGAAGTCGGGATCGTGCTGCTGAGTCTCTTCGACAGTCCCGCTGCGGCGAACTAGACCTTCGCGTATAACACAGTCGAGCTCGCTTCCAAGGCTTCATCCTCAGAGCCAAGGCTCTCTCTCTCTATGCCTTTCCATGGAGGGTGTTGTCCAACGATACTCAGATCACACGACATTCTGGTCTGGCAACATCCACGAGAGAAACAGATATCTGAGCTTCAAAGACCCGCTTAGCACAAATGGCTGTTCCGATTTCACAGGGGGTTAGGAGAACCCTTTCGGCAAGGGTGGTTTGGTACCTGCATCGAATCTCGCATGCATGTTGACAAGAAATTTGCGAGTAATGTATGCTTGACTTATTATGACTTGTTCACAGCCCGCTCTTCTCCCTCCTCCCCCTCAGCCTCTTCCACGGCTTGATCCGCAGCGCCCTCTTCTGCTGCCTCCTCATCCGCGGCATCCTCGTCCTTGTTATCCTTGAGCGGAGCAAACGTGCAAATATCCTCCCCGAAGGTGCGAAGAGATAGCATGCTGGAAGATGTCAGCTATTATCGCACTATCGGACTTGCCTCTTCTCCTTCTTATCGATGAGAAGTGCCATCGAGGTGTTCGCCTTCCAGACGGGCATTATCAGGGGCATGGACAGACTATGCGACAGTGAGCATGAATCTCTGACAGCAACGATAGACTCACTGTCCCTCAGCCTCGTCACCTGGCATGAATCGAACGATCGTGTTTCCTAGAGGAATCTCATTCATCCATTTCTGAGAAGCTTCACTGAACTTGACAATCTGATGGTCCCCGTTAGTGTCAAGTGTACACATATGACAGGTGATACGCACGGGGGGATATTGCTCCTCGATGAGCATTCTGAGGGTCGCAACATCCGTGTCAATTATTTTATCGTCGCCGAGGTAAGGAACAGCCTCTAGGATGCTCTCGGAAGGGATTCGCCATTTGCAGTAGAACTCTGCACGTTGCGCAGAGTCTTGCCTGACGAACCCTCGCATGCCGGCTGAAATCAAGCGCATGCGAGAAAAGTCATTGTTCTGGACGATTCTCTGAGCACATAGGGTCAGCGTGCATGGACATTGTGCTCGGACTAGGCTGACCTTGACGATGTCGTTCGTTAAGTAAAGAACCCTGACAGGATCGCCGTACTCGTTGCGGACCAAGAAATTGTCTTTCGGAAACTCCTCTTTCAAGGCAAAATAATTTCTGTGTGACGGATGATTGAGCATCGAAGCCTGACATTGAAGCGACTTACGCTATGCTCTTGATCTCTGCGTGGTCCGGGTCAACGTAAGAGAACGGTTCCTCTCTGAAGCCAATGTCCCGCTTCTGCCTCTTGGACTGTGCCTGCGATTTGCTTCCTGAGGCTTCTGGTTCGGATTTTGATCGCTTGCTGGACCCTTCTTCAATGGACGGAGATCCTGCTCGTTTGGCAGAAGTAGACGTGCCAGTCTCATCTGCCACAACCACATCATCCAGAGGAGGCGGTACTGAGAGCTCGACATTGGCAGGCTCAGTCTCTGCGGCACCAATCTTCTCGATGACACAGACGAAGAAACCACCAGTGTCCTGATCGTGAGGCACCAATCGCAGGCTGCAAAGGGCTCAGCATAATGTGCTTCGAAGGATACGCACGCATGTTCCAAGCCAAGCTCTTCAGCATTGGCAGGTGGCCATAGAGTTGACGACCATGAGCGGGTTTTCTCTCGGTCGGACTCCGGCAGATCCTTCACATAAGACTCGTATGCCTCGAAAGAATCCTGCCAAACAATCTGCTTCTCTGCCCCCGAAGTTTGTGTGGCGACTTTCCAAGATGAGAGACCTGGCCTTCTCTTCAGGTTGGGAAGCAAACCGGAAGCGTCTACGATGGAGAATTGGCCTGCGAAGGATGTCAGAAGCTATTGAGCTTATCACTGGTTGTAGAGCCTCGCCTTTATTGGTATTCAGAGCAGCGGCAACCACAGCCTCGTTCTCCACAGGGTTGAATGAGCACGTAGAATAGACCAGACGACCGCCTGGTTTCATCAGGGACATGGCACGCAGCAAGATCCGCAGCTGAAGCCTGATCAAGTCAGGGATGGGGCATACTCGCCTGCATTACTCACGAGTGCAAAGAGTTGCCATCGTTGCAGCCCCATTTGCCCCAGATCTCCAGGTTTTTTCGTAGTGTTCCGTCACCGCTACATCTGCAAGGGATCAGGCCGAGGAGGGCAAAAGGTAGCTCACGGGACATCGGCTAAAATTCTATCGAACCGCAGAGTCTCTCCGTTTCCCAAACTCATGGTTGGGATTATACCTACGATGCGTGAGAGAAGTTCTAGCGAATTGAAAGGAGCACTGACTGGCGTCCAGATTGGTCACAATCAATCCTTTGCTCGGCATCCGACCAGTTTGGTGAACCAGCATAAAGGTTCTCTTATGATCGGCATCGTTGGCGATTAGGAGACCGGGAGAGTTCGTATGATGAGGATTTAAGGCTTCGATGATCTGAGCCGTCTACGAGGATGATTAGCCTACGACATTCTCTTTCATGATCAAAGCTCACCTTCGAGCCCGGAGCAGCGCACATATCCAGACACTGCGAAGGCTTTAGCTAGTTTAACAGATGACCGTAGCCAAACTCACGGCGTGATGAGGCTTGACCTCCATCAGAAGGGGTGGTATCATCGAGACGGCCTCTTGCCTGCTCAGATTTCCCTATAGAGGTCAGCCTACAAATACTGGCTTTCAGATCAGCTGGCTCACTACTTCCGTCTCGCCAACCAAGAATCGTTGGAATCGCTTAAATGGCTCGGATTTACGGATGACTCGTTTGGGTGCATCAACTTGCCAAGCCATCGAGCCGGGGAACCTGGTTCTATATCAGTGGAGCTCATTGTGCGAACGTTGAGGGGAAAGCAAGCGACTTACCATGGGATTTGGAAAGGTGGATCGAACTTTTTGCCATCGAGTTCGACATTCTGCATCTCAGGAAGGAACCGGGTTTTGATCATGTCATTGATGACCGATGCGTGGCTTTGCGCCATCAGCATACTTGACAGATCAGTTCATTCTATATGCTGCTCACGCTCTTGACTCGGTGATCCGAAACGTCGTTGGCAGATCATTCTTCAAGCTTTCCAAGAACGGTGTCCACTCTTCCTCGGATAATATGCCTTGGCCCTGATTCGCGTCAGCATGGCTACGCGGGTGATTTGAATCTCCTGACTTTGTAGTACTCTTCGAACAGCTTGTTCGTCCGCTCGCTGACGGGAAAGTCGTTCCAGCTGCCTTGCCCATTTCGATTTCTAAACGGCTTGCTCTGCAAATTGATCAGCTTTGATGTCGCCTGTCACAGATCGCTGACTTCACCCTTCCCGGTTTGGCATTCTTCTTCCTAGACATGGTCTGTATGTCACTTTTCTGCTGTCTTCGACCTCCAACTATGCCCGGACTCTGGGTCGACTATCTGTGTGAGGTGTGACAATGATATACACTTAAGTGGTTGTTCAACTTTTGAACTTTTGAGACCCCACAATTGAGTATTACGTAAAGAGTCTGACCTGTCGCGACTTGCTTTCGCAATGTTCAAAGTCTCTTGATTTTGCACTCCATGCTAAATGCTCGACATGACAGAGGTCATAAATCTCATCAGTGATGAGGAAGCTGAAGCGGAAAGTCGTATAGCAACTTCGAATCGCTCGGCTGCGCCCGAATTGGAGTCCCGAAGCGACGTAGCTCATGACAGGTCTCGAGTAGGCGGGATCTCAGGCCGTGAAGACCTCAGAGCGGCATTGACAAGGCTAGATGCAGAGGTATGACACCCACAGCCTACGATTGACTGACCACATCTTCAGATAAAATCCGTGCAAGAGCAACTCCATCCTCTCTGGCAGCTCCATGCGTCGCTCTTGTCCGAGCGCAGACAATTGGAGTCACAACTCTCCAACTTATCCCATTCGAACATCAGCTCCAGTAGCAAGAGCAATGACCATGGCAAAGATGGAATCATCGATTACCAGAAATCTGATCAGCCTTGGTCGGATACAGTTCAGGGCGTCCTCCAATCCAGGTTTGGACTTTCCACGTTCCGCCTGTGTCAAGAAGGAGTCATAAATGCGGCAATCGATGGTCGTGACATTGTCTGCGTAATGCCGACGGGAGGAGGGAAGAGCTTGACATACCAGCTTCCCGCTGTGATTGGGAGCAAAGGCCTGACGGTCGTCATCAGTCCACTATTAGCGCTCATCTGGGACCAAGTTCGGGCTCTCAAGGAACTGGGTATAGAGAGTGCAGTGGGTATATTTTGACGATTGTACAGATGACCAGGACTAAGACGCACTCAGATGCTGATTGGGTCCACTAGCAAGGAAGAGCAGAATGCGATCTACAAGCGGATCGAGGGATCTCATGATGGTGCAAGAGAGCTGAAGGTGAGGAATCTGCATTGTTCCCGTGAGGAAGGCCGAATGACAAGTTGTAGCTGGTTTATGTCACGGTAGATCTAGTTGTCAATATGGCACTACCGCAGATGTCTGATCCTCAATAGCCTGAAAAGATCGCCAAGTCCAAGCGACTCAAATCGGTATTAGAAAAGGCGAATGCGGGAGGCAGACTGAGTGGGTCTTCCGGCTCGAATCCGCTTAGCTGTACTGACTGCAATTGACAGAACGCTTTGTCATTGGTGAATGACAACCTGATATGACCGCTGAGGTGATGATAGACGAAGCGCATTGTTGCAGCCAGCTTGGTCATGGTCGGTGGTTCGCCACTACCAGGTAGGGAGCCCCGTTGCTGATGTGTGGCCAGACTTTCGTCCCGACTACCAAAGGCTAAACGTGCTCAAGACTCTGTTTCCCAGGGTCCCCATACAGGCTGTCGTCAGTCACAGTGACAGCAATCTGTGGACTCACACTATGCAGACCGCGACACTGAGCTCAAAGACACTGCCAGACCTTCTCAAGATCCTGCGACTGCCCCCCATCTGTGACGGGCGAGGTGAGCATATTCTCTCGGCGTGCCTGACGGGAACCAGCTGCCAACAAGACTGGTACCGTGTTCTTCTCCGCCCCTCTTTTCCGCTCAAATCTCCACTACCAAGTTCTGCCAAAACCGTCCAATGCAAAGGCTGCCATCGAGAAGATTGGCTCTTGGATTCAACTGCATCATCCGTGAGCAAAATCCCACTCCGCAAAGGCTAATGCTCAGGGGTGAGAGCGGCATCATCTACTGCTTCAGCAAGAAGGTAAGACGTTGCCTGTGCGTTCTGCTGATGTGTTACAGGATGCGGACACAGTTGCCGAATCCCTCAAAGAGTGGTCAAATGGCGAGATAAAGGTCAGTGTAATGAACCCACAGGTCTGAATTTGCTGCAGACTGGGGTGTATCATGCGGGTATCGAGGACTGGGAGAAGGAGAAAATTCATGTCAAGTGGCGAAAGGGTCGGATCAAGTGAGCCATGCGGGTCGTTCATTGGCGATCGTTGACTCTCTCTAGCTGTATTTGTGCAACGATTGCTTTCGGACTCGGCATTGACAAGGGAGATGTGCGGTATGTGATTCGTGAGTGACGTCGGCGCATTCCTGGCTGATGAACAACGCAGATCATTCTGTGAGTTTTAACATGCCTTCTCTTCTCATTCTTACAGCTGTCCAAATCTCTCGAGGGCTACTATCAAGAGACCGGCCGAGCCGGCCGCGACGGTCAAAAGAGTGATTGTGTTCTCTTCTATCGTGGGCAGGACGCTTCGAGATTGGCCACAATGGTCTACAGTGACGTTGATGGTCTCGGCAAATGTAAGTCTCATTTCAAAACACCCATTGACAAGCATACAGTGCAGGAGATGATCAAGTTTGCACAAGACCTGCTGACCTGCCGAAAGATTGCCTTTGCCAAAGTAGGCCTTAGAGTACAAGTACAGCGATTGACTCAGCGCAGTACTTCTCAGCAAGCTCGCACCTTTCGGCAGCGGCCTGGGATCATTCCGACACTCTAGGCGCTTCAGGAGGTACAGTATCGACGTGTGGTATCTGTGACAATTGTATTCGTGATCCTACATCGATCATCACCAAGGATGTCACCCTCGACGCCTGGAAATGCCTCAAAGTCCTTCAGAATGTCTCATCCAATGAAGGCAGGGTGACACTGGCGAATCTCGTAGAATTGGTTCGCGGACTGGGCGGAGGGGCATTTGGTACTATGAAGCAGGGCAAACGTGGCGCGCGCAAGTCTAGCGGAGAAAAGGCCAGCTTGGATTTAGAGTCTGTTGCTGGCGGCAAGGTGACGCTGTCGAAAGACGTGAGCCAGGACTAGAGACTCATGACCAGAAAATGACACGCCGTAGGACGTCGAGACTCTCCTTGTGCACCTTTCCACAATGGGTTATGTGTCTGAATGTGAGTCGCGAGAATCAGCTTCGCTAATCAATTAGACTTTGCGGGAACAGCATGTGAGCTCTTTGACTCTCTGGTCAACGATAAGTGACGCGAATCTTCCAGACTCTGTGAATGTCTATGTGCAACCTGGACCCAGGGCCATTCGGCTCACTCGATTGTCCGCAGAGGACGTCGAAGCTGGTCTTGCAGCCGAAATAGAGTGTACATTTCTGAATCTTAAAGCGAGGGTTGTCAAGCGCAAGGCGACGAGCAAAAAGGAAGGCAAGAAAACATTGGTGGATATTTCCGATAACGACGATAAGAATGAGAACGTTCCTCAGGACGAGGATGGCGGCCAAGGTCTGAATGATTCGAATGTCATCGACGACTTAGACGAAGTGTTTGATGATGACGACGACTGGGACAATGAGGGCTGGGAAGTGACCAAAGGTGCGGCAGGAGGTCGGCGACCTGACAAGAAGGCGAAGATGAAATGAAATCTACGATCATGTAGCCGTTTAGAGGACTAAGACAGCGAGACATGCATATAATGGCGTAGAATACCCGCGCCCAAATGACCAGATGAGACTCCCTAAGCTGCACGCCCAGCGTTTGGATCCTTGAACACTTTGAGAGCCTGGAGCTCCCCAACGACGCGATCCGACCTTTCACCTTCGTCCATCCTCTTCGAAATCTTCTTCGGCATGTACTTTTGCATTTCCTCGTCCTCCTCCAAATCCTCAGCTATACCTTGACATCCTACATCTTCACCTTCATGGCCATCGAATCTCGCCGTCTCGATACGCAATCCTTCCTCGTTGGCCAGATGAAGTAGGCAAATGAAGCAGAAGGAAGTAGAGATCTCGGACATCTTTTCGGATGGATATGTCGTTCTCAGGTCTTGAATGATGCCGTCAAACGTCTTTCCTTGTTCTGCACTCTTGGCAGGAGTAGTTGGTTGCATCTGGTCCAATTCAGTCTTGTTCCCTTCGCTGCACAACCGACTCACCGGCTCGTCCTCAGGTGAATCAGGCTGATCTTTCGGCAAGAGCGTCTTCAGACCGCTCCAAATATCATCCTTGAGTCTCTTCACATCCACTCGTTTTGCTTTTTTGGCATAGTTGACATTCTCGGGTCGACTCTTTCTTAGCCCCCCTTGAGTACCTTGCCAGAGGTCATCATCATCTCCATCGATCATCGGCGTGCCCATGTCAATTCCGTCGTCCGCAAAGCCGTCATCAACGTCGTCGTGGAAGAATTGGGATTCAAAGGGGATAGCCGCAGAATCACCTATACACGGATGTCAGCGGAGCTTTGTTTCGTCGCCCTGCTCGATACTGACCAGTATCCACATCGCCTTCTCCAATATCAATCCTGTCTGCAGCAGCTTGAGCCCAGAAGTTTTCGTCAATCTCTCCGTTAGGATCATCTGCATCGTCAGCGGCCGGCTTCATTTTTGCAGCTCACTCTCCAAACGCGTGCGATTCGCGTTCCGTCTCATACGAAGCTGGGGTCCGATCAGTTCCAAGATCCTTCTCGCCAACTGGACTCACCGCAAATTTGGGCTTGAGGAACAGACTCAGCAATTGGCGACTACTGAAATGCATGTCGTCGGGTAAGAGCCACTCTTCTCTGCGCGATTGGGCATCATTGATGGAGCTACGCTTATTTGACTTGCGACGACTTCGAGAGGAAGATGGGAGCAGAAGACTAGAAGATGATGCTGGAGCGAATAATGTCTTGGACGATGTCGCTTCAGACGATGGAGCCGAGAAATCGATGCTGAAAGGCGTCTTGGCGACTCTTGCGGCTCGAGTGGTCGTTGCTGCTGCATCTTGACCTCGTTTGGCAACACGCCGGAGCTTCCAATGCTCCGCGCCAGCCCATGCTTTGCCAAAGCCCTTGTCGAAGTAATCGAACATGCCTTCTTCGTCTCCATCTCCCATGAGCGCCATGACCAGTTCGCCTTGGCCTTGTCGACGTGGATCGAATGGACCGTGTTGATCGCCTGGACCAGCTAGACCAACGCCAATGCCACCAGCACCGCCGAATTCGTCTTCCCCGTGATCGCGGTCGAATCCGCCAACCGATTCTGCATCGTCGAATGCGCCTGGCAGACCTCCTCCCATGTCGAAGTCCTCGCCGCCAAAAAAGTCCTGAGCATCGCCCGTTGGCGCTGGAATGCCCCCAAAACCAGACATCGATGCTTGCTCGTCCCACGTGTCCTTCAAACCAAGGATCGAAGCGAGATCTGGCGTCTCTTCTGGATTTGCAGAAAACTTGAACGAACTCAGCGTATCGGAGATGTTGAGTTCCATTGCGCGGCCGACCTCGGGGATGTACGCTGAGTGTAAGCGACTTATGCAGAAACGTACTCACCTCTCAATTTTGTGAGGTCGACGTCCTCTGCGTCCTGGGCAGGGAGGGCCTCATCCTCCTCATTGTCAACACCTGCATCTCCAGCATCGAACACAACTCGACCCTTGCCGTCTACGCCCAAGTGGTTCATGAGGAGACCCATCGCCCCGCCTTCATCGAAATCAGCACTGGTCTTCTTGAACAGCGGGTCGACTGTGAATTCGAGATCAAATTTTTTAACCTGGAGGGCGGCGAACGTCTTGGCTAGGGTAGCCTCTGAGCGCGCGGTCTGAGCGGATGATGAGCAAGAGCCCAGATTGCCGGCGTAAGGACTCGCCTTCCTTGATTTTCTCGTCTCTACCCCTTCTTCATCCTCTTCTGCCTCCTCGGCCTCATCATCATCTGCGACTCCTCCTGACAGACTCAGTCTCGTCTACAGCCGCCCGACTCACCTCCACCGGCTAGACCGCTGAGCAACTTCCCCGTTTCTGTCGCCACGCTATCTACACGAGACGTCCAAATCTTGACACAACCGTCTAGAGTGCAGGAAGCCTTTTGGAAATTGATACCTGGAGTGACAGTGTGAGCAGGACCGGATGTCATATTGTCATCCACTCACTTTGATCTTCATCATTTCTGAGTAGTGTCAGATCAGCGAAGTAGTCGATAAGGGCGAAGTTCCAGGTGTTCGTGGCTGTGATTTTCTGCGCAGAGTCAGTGAGCTGGCAGGCGATTGCACCATGAACTTGCATTATCTGTCGCCAACTTCATCCACTCTTCAAAGTTGGTGTTCATGACCTCCATGCTGACGACAGGTGCTGCCGGAGTTACAGCACTAAGTCTCGCTCTTCGTTTTGAACTGGGTCCCGCGCTGTTTCCCAGAGCTGCCTGTTGCGCCTGTTGGGCTTGTACAGCGAGGGCTGAGATGACTCGACGTGTTGGTGCGCTCTTATCTCCTCCAGGCACGTTCCCATGTCCGAGCTCGCCAAAATGTGCAGATTTGCGCCTCGCAGCTTTCTCAGCTACATCGTCGTTCATCTTGCCAGCTCCGTGGTCATCCGTGTTGAGATTGGCAGATCGCGAAGGCTGCAACGGCGATGCAGTAATCGAGTCTACCGAAGCAACAGAAGATCTAGGATACGATTTCTTAAGGGCTGATTTCCGTCGGACTAGTGGTGCACTACCAGGTGATGCGGATGTGATAGGCGAGTCCATGAGGAATGGCTGTCAGACACGCATGGGAAGTTTGGGTAGTAAGACAGAAGAAAGATTGAGCGGATTTAAATGATGTTGACAGAGGCGTGTGTTGTTGGAGACGCGATCTGAACCTGAGACGATTACGTAAGTCAACATTGTTCCGAGGTCAATAACGTATGCATCGCCTGTGGACACTACTGTGCAGGATATTCGACTGGACTGCCCAGCTGCGTGCGATATCATGGGGCTATAGGAAGTCTGAGACGCTCGTATCTCGCAAATCTGCGCGAGATCATGGCGTGAAAGGATAACACCTCCTTTCAAAAGTGATCTTCGCTGTCACATCTCCATCCTGCTCTCCAGCTTGATATACTTTTGGCTCCCGATGGTCATCCACTACACTGATCTTTAGAGATGACAGCGAGCCGTGGCACAAAGCGGAAGCCTTCATCTCGTCTGAGGCGTTTCGTAGATGCGCTGCCACTTTCCCGTGAGCTGGCCAACGGCCTGATCTGTACCGCCTGCTGAACTGGAGTTTCAGTCAGTTACACAATTCTAGCAAGCACATGGATTGGGTTCGTCTTCTTCATCTCTGTGAAAGAGGTTCTGCTGCGAAGACATCAGCTCTGGCGCTTTGTCGAACAGTCAGTCCCCACAGGGCAAAAGTAATGTCGCCTTGACGATTGTACAGGCAGATCATCTACAATACACTCTGCATTCTCGCTGTCCTTTCTCTATTCTCAGCCTCAACTCAACAAGCGGGTAGCCCAGATCCGACTCTGGATCCAGAACGGGATCTGGACGTACCAAAGCTGCTGCCCGCACCAAACTCCCTTCTCGCCAGTGAGGGAGACGAGGATGATATTCCGTTGAAATTCCTGCGCAATTCAGAATGGATCCATACGAGGAAGGGCAAAGACAGACCATCGCCTCTTCCGCTGCCGGCACACCGAATAGAAGAGGAGCAGGGCTGTCCCAGCCAACATTCGGCCAGTCTTGCAGAGCCTGCCGATTCGCCATTTCCGTTCGCTGCCAGCCCTTTCGTACCTGCCACTGTCGAGGAAACGGGCGAGGACACGGAAGCAGAGACTTCGGGCGGTATCTATCGGAGAAGCTCCAGTGATCATCTAGACCAAGAGCACAAGGCAGATGCCATTGATACCGATCACCTCCTGCCTAGCAGTGCCGTATCAAGCGGGCGTCGCAGCGTCATGGCCAAATCAAACGATGGTACCCCAAGGTGGTGCAAGAAGTGCGACACTTGGAAACCAGATCGAAGCCATCATTGTCGATTCTGCCAGACTTGCATACTGAAGAGTGAGTCCACGAATGCGAGGTGGGTAGCTCACCCAACCAGTGGATCATCACTGTGTCTGGATTGGCACCTGTGTTGGGTATCGGAATTGTAGGTCACAAACTCGCGAAAGCACTGACAACTAGACAAGCCGTTCCTATTGTTCGTCACATACAGTAGCATCCTCTCGCTCTATGGCTCCATCGAATCCGGCTACGAGACTTTTCGCTTCTTCGAGGATCCCGAGGCGTTCTATCCAAACACGCCGCTGTGCCCCACCGGTCAGGAATGCGTTCAAGTGCCTCAATCCGTGAGTTCTGGACCGTCAACATGTTGCTGATAGATCATAGTTCGATCTCGGACCAATCTTCTTCATGCTTTTAGCTGTCCTTGGCGGGTTCTTCGCACTCGCAGTGGGCTCGTTGGCCGGATATCATTGGTGGCTCGCCTGGTGAGCTATCGCACCCTTTTCACACTGACTCGCTCGTCCCAGCAACAATATTTCCACCATTGAAAATCTAACTCATGCATTTCCCTCTGTCCTGCTCGCGGATCTATCACCGCCTGGAGGGGGCGATACAAGCGCCAGATGGACGCCAGATCATCTCCTCACACGAGAGGAGAGGGTTAGGCTTCGGCGCGAAGCAAGGCATATCAACGTATATGATTTAGGCTGGAAAAAGAACCTCGCTCAAATCTTCGGAAAAGGGACTCTTCTGTCGAGCCTATGGCCATTGAGCCGACCGGCTGCAAAGTGAGCAAGGCCTTTTGTCTGTGGCTGACATTCTCATAGTTACGAAACAGACGCAGGGCACTTCTACCCGGTTGACGAAGAGAAGTTAGAAGGGCTCAAGCGCCTGACACGAGAGTTGCGATTCCGAGACAATGCTTCTAACGGAAGCGCTCGCACATTTGTCGTTGACGATGAATCCGACAATGAAAGCGATCTCAATGGCGAGCCTCTTCACTCTGCTCAAAGTTCCTCGAAGCGATCTTGATGGAGGCGATGATGTTGATGGGGATGATAACTCACGGAATGGATCGCAAGCATGGTTCGAAGCATAGATTGTTGTTGTACAAGGTGCATGAACAGCATAGCTAGCAGCGGCATACGGGCGGCGCAAGAGCATATGGGCATGGATTAAGTATGGGATACCCTTATATTCGCAGTCATGGTTGTCAGCGCTTCACGCAAAGAGCGAGATTGTGGAAGTGGCGCCCATCCTCTTCCTTGCCGCCTGGCCGGGAGGATAGCTCTGAGTGGCCAGACGCGCTTGTTGAGCGCGCAGCGGCTGAATAGCATGTCCAGTACCATCCTGCCGCGACGAAAATTGGTATTGATAGTTGCCATCTTCTGTCTGTACCATGACGAGCGAGTCGTCGATCTCGAACGACTGACCATTCGGATGGATGGCATCGACGGGGGATGTATACACTGGCATCTTGAGCTCCATGGAGCCGGATGAGAGCTGTCCAGGAGTTTCCGCAGGTGTAGATGGCATAGAGCCCCTAGGACTGACCCAGCGAGGATCAATGGTCAGTGGTATGTTGACGTCGTATACTGAACTTCTAGGAGTGTAATCCTGTGCGGACTGTGGGATGGACGTAGATGTCCATATGGCGGGAGAGGCTTCTACCTGCTCTTGACCTATAAGACTTGTAGGCTCCACTGATGCCATCATTCGGGATGGTGAGGAACTACCAAGACCAGACCATGGATCCTGGAAGATGCATTGAGCCTGCGAATTAGTAGCTGAGGTTTGATATACATCAGCAGACCACGTCGTCGGATTGAACCCTGATTCATTCCGATTGTCGGGGGACATGTGCATATGGAAGCCAGTGTCCAGCATTGGAGGTCCTTCATTCGTGCCGACTTGCATTTCAGCAGTGTCAATGTGAATGAGTCCTGACCTTGTGATATCAGTGATCGGTTGATTCCCTACTGGCATGCTAAAGGGAGACGGCTGTATGGGAGCGAGCTGAGAGACCCGAGCTTGACCAAGGGAGACGTGCGCAGGGATGGGAGTTGTGTGGATGGAAGCGGGGCAAGACTGAAGCTGTCGGTCGGTCGCTGTTCTTGGTGACGACATCGAGATCATAGGTGTCAGGAGATCCGTTGCCATCTGGGAACTTTGACATCTTGAGGAAAGTTGAGCACCATTCATGCTCACGTTCGACATGGTACGACGTGTTCTTTGGGTATCTTGATGGTCCATATCGAGGCCTGGAGCGTGTGAACTAGCCGTCACGGGTGTCATGGGTAAGCCGCCAGCCAGACTCGCGTGAGAGAGCCTGTGAGAACAATACGAGCTTGTGACATCGTCAGCAACCTTGCCTTCTTGTATGTCCGCCAGTCGAGATCGATTGTCAGACAGGCTTCCTGACGAGTGCCGCACTCTCGGCACAGCTGGCGTCATCGATGAGAAAGAGGTATGATTGCCCATATTCGGAGGAGTTGGAGGTGCATTCTCACTCATCATCTCCTCAGGAATGTGGCGTCTCTCATCGTGATCCATTTCATCTTCACTGGGCGAAGGATTTCGAATGGAAGCGAGAGAGCCTCGTCGACGTCGAGACTCAGCTATCGATTCTCTAACCTCCCTGAATTTGGCTTCTACAGCTGGTCCAGCTCGGGTCCGGACGATCTGACCGTTCGCCAATCGACGCGTGCGGAAAAGCTTGGGCGTAGCTCGTCGCTTGATCGATGCAATGTCCTCGCGGCTTGACAGACGATGGAGGATCGGATCTGAAGCAATCTGTGAGACGTGTTCAACTGCTTGATAGACTCACGTGCCCAGACGGACGCATCGGATATCATGCCTCCTGAATCTTTGAATTGCCTGCCCGGGAACTGTCTGGTGAAGCCATAAATCTTTTTTTCGCCGGGATGATGTCAGCATGACCAGAAGGATGCTCTCTGGGCGGGAGTGAAAGGCTCGGCTCACATTCAATTGTCGACCGAAAGAGGATAACTTGTCATGTTTGAATAGTCGCGGCAAGATCTCCTTGACAAGCTAAGGACGAGTGAGCTGTGTTCTCCATATACCGAAGCAAGGGATAATAGACTGCTTACCTTGTCCGGCTTCGCAATTACCAGCTGCTTGGAATCTGCTGCCCAGTATATCACGTCAGGGTATGGGTGGGGGTTCAGCGAGAGAAAGCTACCGACGAGGGTCAGTGAAAGCCGATTACTACTCAGCTTTGCGCCCACTCACTCGTACAGCTTCTGAAGGAAATTTAGATGCTTGACGGTGCCATTGGTAGTCGAATCACCATTTTGCCACTGGATATCATCATGTATCATGTCAGTCTCGCACAAGACCAGGGTCAATGGTATGGGTAGTTTTCAGCTTCACCAGCGACGGCGAGAGATGGTGTGGTGGATGAGTGTTGTGAGTTAGGTAGACGAGAAGAGATGAGCAAAGAGTGAGCCGAGCAAGAAAGGTCTTCTTGAAGGCCTCATCGCACTCAAACGAGTCCCAGGTTTTATACCTGGCGCATGGCTCCAATATGTCATCCGGAAGAGACTCTTGCCTCCTTTCTCTCTCTGCAGACCGCGGGGAACATAGACAAAGTAGGTGCAGGAGAGACTTGGAGTGCGTTTTGGAAGCCCTACCGCAGGGAGATTTCAGTCTCGCGGCCGAGTCCTTCTTAGTAGTGTAACCCGCAGGTTGGAGGCACGCCGACTGGATGACCCTTGCCAGTCAGATAGTAAGTAAGCGAAGGCAGTCAACCTAGCGAGGGGGAGGAGATCTGCCATCGCGTTGTATCATGATTCCAAATGGCAGCTCAGCCCGTACCATACTACTACTGCGCCAACGACTTGGGAGCTCGCTGCGTGGCCATCTGCTGCTTCATACGTTGTTAGTCCTTGATGCATCTCGGCGGTGTATGACGCTGCAAATGACGATATTTTATTTGACCCTCTCCTTTACTGGTCCACGCAATTTGCTTCCTTTCCCGACTCTGCATGTCGTTCCCCTCCTGTCAAGTTTAGGTCTCTTGTCTTTGTTCTCTTGATCTCACGGCGTCGACTGGTTCGCATCCTGCTCACACTTGCTTTGAGGGACTTGGACGGGCTACATTGGACGGCGTACTATGGATCTGTCAGCGCTGGGAACGACGTTGCCACCGGGCTTAGCGGATGCAGAGCGAGATATGGGAGACAAGTTTAGAGGTGAGGCCCATGTTTGACGTTGTGCTCTGGGTTCATGGCGTCGGTTCTTGGGAATCGACCATTCGTCTGACCTCCTTGAAAAACCTTGACTGACATTCTCATTCCTAGCCGCCGCTCTAAGCATCACAAATCTGTACAAGAGCTCGCTCAATTACACCAAGGTATGTTTGCCGCACTTGCCGCCACCCTATTAGACCCGCCTTCTCCGGGCCGACGAGCACCCTCACTTTGGCATCGTCAGTGCTGACGTCTGATCTGTAGCAAGCATATCATGCTGGATACGCGGCATGTCTGTGAGTGGATGTCTCTGGTTCCAGGTCATGTAAACTGACCTGACCAGTGCCGATGTTCTATCTACTGTCCAATCGTCTATTGCCGGGAGCCAAGACGCGACTCAGACCCTTTCACGCTTGATGGACTGGGCTGAGGCTCGAGAGGTGAGCTCAAATGTCCACTTGCGTTGGAACAATTCTGAACCTTTATTATAGACTGCCATGGCTGCATTCGCTGCGGAAGAAGGGGAAGATGGCCCGGCTCATCCTTCAGCCAACGTGAAGCGTGCGACGATGGTCAAGGAGGCTCAGCAGAGTCTGGCACGGCTTGGGCATCCTTCGAGACCGACATCAGCCCCTATCGTCGAATCGACACGGTCTGAAGCGACACCATCTACGGGCCTGAAATTCATGCCTATCGTGACGCCAGCTTCGGACGCTTCCTCGTCCAGCTTATCGTATCAACCCACACCTCACGTTCGTTCTTCGTCCCCTTCCATGCCTTCTTCTTCGTCTGCTTCGCGTCCGATGGTCAACATGCAGCAACAGAGGAAGCGACATTCCCCTATGCGCTCTCTGCACCGAACCGACACATCTAGTTCTACGACGTCGACACTTCCCACCGTGTCAATCTTCAATCCCGCTTTGACCAACCTCCCGTCGCATCAATCAGCATTGTCTTCCCCTACTCCTCACCTGCCGGCAGGTAGTAAACGCACGCACCAACAGGTTGATTTTGAAATGTCTGAAACGGAACCGAGCGGCAATGCCAGTGTGGTTCCGCCGACAACGCCTTCGAATCGATCGCATAGATCCAACAAACGTAGGACGTTGGGGACGGGGCTGGGCAGAAGCAGCATGGAGGATGGAGCGGTCGAAGAGAAGGAGAGGGACAATCGGAGAAAAGGAGGACGGCGCGGTCATGGACAAGGCGGTGGGGGTGGGCAAGGACAAGCAGGCGCTTTTTGAGACGAAAATCATCAATCAAGTGAGGGATAGTGGGCATTATGGAGACTGTTCAGCATTGTAAATGACCACTGGCGGGCTTCTACTGGGGATCCGCGTCCGTTGCATACGCCATCATGTGTACTATATAAGGAATAATGCAGTCTATTGATATGTCAGTCTGGGATTGTAGACTCGGTAGAACCGGCCAATATTGACACGACCGTACAGGTGCAGAGCATTCCTCTAGGATTGTCACGGAGGTGTCGGGTTGAGAGCTCCTTGTCCAAGTTGACAAGAAACCCTTTCCGCTGCTTCGATCAGTCCCAGTCGTCAAAGTGCCTATAATCGCTGTCCTCTTTCCTGATCGGGTATTCACCATTAAATCCCTGCCACAATCCACATCCAGACTTCCATTTTTCTTTATCGTCTCCGACTTCCAGTCCATTGTTCATCCTCGTCTCCACGAGCCAATACGACTTGGCAACAGTTTTGAATCCAAGTTTTTTCTGGAAGGCTTCGGACGCTGTATTGACCGCGAGGAAACCGGACCTCAATTGTCCGGGATAGGTATAGATATAAGGCAGAAACCACTCCTTGATACAGTATCGATAAGCAGCCTGTGGGGGCAAAGATTCATTAGAATACTTGAAAGGCACTAGCTGTCCGGACTCACAGTGGTGATACCCTTGCCCTGGTGTGCGGGATGTAGCCAGCATGAGATTGACCATCCTACCTCGCGATCGCTCTTGCCCTCGTCTTCGCGTTGTCGGATCTGACGGTATTGTTTTCCACCTTCGGCGTGGGTCGCTCGCTTTAACAACGTGACGCCGAGCAGAGCTGGCATAGGATCCGCTTGTGCCTCGGCAGTCAGTCGAATGACTGAGAAACAAGGCAGATCGAAATGTTACTTTCACGCCTTTCTTCTTGAGATGTTTCCTCGAACCCACCTGGCATACACCATCCTATTCGCTCCTGCTGGTACTTTTCGATGCTCTGCTTGACACTGTCGACTGTGACCGTTCCGCCGGACAAAAATGTAGCCAAGGTCTTGGAGACTGGTGTGTCTCGCAGTATTTGAGCTTCAGTTTCTGCATCATGCTGGACACCCTCAGGAGTCGCCAGGTAGTTTGTCAGACAATACTCTTCGCAAGGCGCCGGGAGCTGAATATAGGGTAGGCCATGAGGTGAAATGCGAAGTCTGGGCAAAGACGAGAAAGGCTCGACGGGGATGTGATTTGCTTCAAGGTGGCCTGTCAGCGGAAGGTCATTGACCATAATGATCTGCTGGCTGAGGACTGATGAGAGTGAAACTGACACCAAGCTGAGTCACCACGAGTCGATCTAGCTAGATCTGCTTGTCAATCATGGTGCCTCACGTGGCGCAAAATTGTGTCCCAGATGTTCGACAGTCACACACAACAGATCAATGCATTAAAAGCTCGCGGTATATAACTGCGCGTCTGGTCCCAGAAGATGTCAAACGATGCTGTACAAAATGAGAAAGTATGGTTGAAGGTAGTCAATTCAAACTTCATATGCCTTAGAAGGCGAGGAGCTTGGAGCCACAAAGGACGAGGACGTCAAGACCAGCGCTGAGCTTGGCGTAAGCCTCAAGGGAAGCCTGGACGGCGGACTGGAGAGGAGTGAGGCCAGAAACGACACCTCCGAGACCAGTACCGACGCTGATTCCGAGGCCGGCGGTGGGGCAAACGTTAGGAGGGGTGACAGTCTGAAACATTGAGTCAGCAAGGGAATTTGGAGGAGGTGCCACTTTGATGACTTACGCTGGTGTAGACTCCAGTGTTGGGGACAGACTTGGTGACGGTAGCAGTAACAGTCTTAGGTCCTCCGGTGACAGTGGCCATGACAGTGGAGGTCTTGGTGACGGTCTTTTGCTTGCCAGTGACTGTGACGCCGACGGTGACCTTGGCGGCAGGAACGGTGACCTTGACGGTGGCTGCAGCACCAGTGAGGGTTCCGACCTTGTCAGTGACGACGGCGGTGACAGTGTTGAGGGCAGTGACGGTGACGGTGCTGAGGTCTCGCTTGACGTTGGCAGTGGCGCTGACTCCGGTGACGGCGGCGCTCAAGGAGAGATAGGCGTCAGGGCAGCAGTTGGTAGGGAAGACGAGCTCGTATTGAGTCTTGGTGGGGGATCCAGTGGTGACAGTCTTGGTCAAGGCATTGGTGACGGTACCAGAGGCGGAAGTGATTGTCTTGGTGACCGTCTTGGTGACGGTAGCGGGAGGAAGAGGGTTGGAAAGAGTGACAGTGGCTTTGACAGTGACAGTGTTGAGACCGGTGATGGTGCTGGTGATCTTGGGAATGATCGTGGTGACAGGGACTGTGACATAGTTGGTAAGAGTGGGAACGACGGTGAGGGTGACTGTGGCATGTCAGATGATGCAGGAAGTGAAGCAGAGCTTGAGACTTACCAGGAGGAAGCGAGTTCAGGACACATTGTCCAGCGTTGAGCTGATATCCCGTCAGACAGCTCTGGCAGATACCATTGCTGCCTGCGCTAAGACACTGAGAAGCTGAGAGACCGGGAAGCAGAACTCCATTGACGTCAAAGACACACTTGACGCCATTGAGGAGATTGAGGAGGTCGGTATACACACTGTGACTGAGTTAGAGACGTGTGTGTGGATGGAGTCTGGAAGCACTCACCAAGTCAAGTCACCATTAACACTAATAGCCGGCGTCGAGATCGACAGGCTGAGGCCTCCCAAACCTGGACAGAGGGTGGTGGCACAGGGTCCGAGCTGGACTGCATCTCGCTTAGCAGCGATGGGAGAAGCGGAAGTGGCAGACAAGAGTCCCAAAGCAGCTGAGAGAAGGGCGAACTTCATTGTAAACAAAGGATGAATGTCAAGGTAGCTTCAAGGGGTGGTGATGCAAGGCAGGACAGATAAAGTCAACGAAATGGAAGAGTAAGAAGAGATGAATGGAGAGAGAGAAGACTCGAGATGGAGAATGGTCATTTCATCCATCCATCTTGATCTACTTATATCCATCCAGCATCTCCTCGGACGGTCATGAACTTCGATCCATTCCTTTCCTTCTTCTATCCTTGGCATTAGTACGTTGTCTCAGGTGAAAAGTGCCAACCTGTAGCCCTGAGAGGACTGGCTACGTCTGCACGAAGGGGAGGAAGGTTAGCCTTCGTCAGTCGAACCAGATAGCCAAATTTCGTCCCGAATCGAAACAGATCATGTCAAATCTTATCCAGTGACCCAAATGAATGACGCCTCTCGGTTTCTGGGAAATAATCGACGGAGGCATCAGAGGAGAGGGCCTAACGCCTGCTTGATCATGGTCTTCTGACTCACATCCGCGGCCTCCCCCTAACCCCTTAGCTCCCTCCCCCCTCCTCATGGATTGGATGATCACTTTAGAAGAGACAAAATGAGACATCTGAGACATGATCACAGATGCCGATCATCCCGGTGGGGAACTGATCAGGTACAGAAGAGGGGGCGAACCCCCGGGGGAAAGAGAAAACAAAGTGACTAACCGGTCACATTGGGTAATTTTCATTCTCGCCTTTTTTTCAAACACTTTTTCATGAACATTCCGTTGTCTCAGCCTTCTCTTCTTTCGTGTTATTTATTCATCATGACCTGGGCCACGACTCTGCTCATATATGGTGGTGGTGGTACTGGTGCTGCTGCTGCTCAGTATATCGACCCGATGAGGCTTCATAGAAACCTTAGTTCAACACGACTGAGTCGTCCCGATGAGACGATGAACCAGAACCTTCGTTAAGCATGTCCTCCGGATGAGCAAGCTTACTCTGCCGGTGTGCCTGTTCGTGGTCATTGGGTTGATTGTCAATCATGACGCCCCCTTGAGCAGTATTTCCGATGGATCGTCGTGCAAAACCGACTTGGGCAGGAGGCGATCGCGAGGCAAAGAGGGAATGGTGACGAACCGAATAGCAGAGACTGGTGACGGCCTATTCCGCTTCGTTCATTGTGTTACAGTCTTGATTACTTCCCTCTGGGTGGTGGCTGAGAGAGGGCTTGGGGGCTCCTGTACCCGATTAGACGCCCAGGTTGTTTCGGGGACTTTGACCAGATCGATGGGGAACAAATCGCGAGGCGTTCCGCGGAATATTCACTCCTCGTGGACGACTACGTTGGGGTTGGGCGTGGGAAGTAAGGAATGTCCAATCGCCGATTCCTCATCCTCGCAAGGTCTGATTGGGTCAGAGCTTCAGTAGGCTGTCCACTGGTGAGTCATGCTTAGCGTCTTTCCCATCCCCAGATACTTTTAGAAATATTTGTGGAAGTCCCCCACGATCCAGTGGATCATGTATGCATCCTATCCGTACGTGGGAAGGTTCTTGAACAGACTTGCTCCTCTATCGACTGGCAACTCGCCGTGTAACCCCTGCCAGTCACAGCACATAATCTCCAACTGGTCCACCTTGTCCTTCCAATGAGGCAGCATTTTCGATGAATCGGTGTTGAGCGACGGACAAACCGCCACCGACTTGAAGCCCAGCTGCTCATGCATCCTTGCAGATCTCCGGTTGGTCCTGTAGTACGCGGACACTAGCTGACCTGGGAAGCGGTATATTTCTGGCACGAAATACATCGACAAGATGTGTCGTAGAGCGGCCTGTGAATCACCGTTATTAGTTAGAAAGGATGACGTGCAAGGATCGGCAAAGGCCCACCCGAGCGAGACCCTGACCACCAAATGCCGGATCCAACGTGGCGCCGATGGACCAATGGACTTGATCATCAGGCAGATCACGTTCTCTCTCCGTCCACATGGCGTTCTCTTCGGGACTCAGGAGCTGGAAGACGAGTCGTTTGACACCGATCGTGCCGATCATCATGGGATCAGGACTTGACTCCACATCCTCCGTCCTTCTGATCACTACAATGAGCGCAAGGGATGCCAGGACCCACTTACCAGACATGCACCAACCGCTCGGGGCCCGAGCAAGAATCTGCTTGAGCCATTCTCTCCTCTCATCGACCGTTATCACACGATATTTAGGCGTTGCAAGGCCTTCCGCCGCTTCTGGTGTATTCAGAATCCTCGCATAGGCCTCTGCATCGTTCTCTCTAAAATGACCAGAGGTAGCTGAGCTCGAGAGACCGGCGTCGCATGGTGGTAGCAAGAAATTGGTCAAGCAGAAGGAGTCGTGTGGTTCTGGCAAGACGAGATAAGGTATCCCATGGCATGAGTGCTTGACCCCATATGTCGACGCTAGTTCCACTGACAAGGGTATCCTATGCTGAAGCAGTGCTTCCTGCAGAGACGGAGAACTGTCGTGCATGGTGACTAAAGTGCTGAAGAAGAGGAACATCAAAAGTATGTTTGCATTAGCTTATAAGACTACCTGAGGCTTAGGTCGCCCGAGGTCCGAGTCGCAAACGACTCGGACATGAAAGGTGGTCTCGCAGAAATTGTTCCCTTTCTCTGCATCTCTGACAAGGTCAGGATCAACGGGATATGCCATGTCATGCCAGAGGAGATCATACATGTCGTTTCATATGCATGGGGCGGTGGTCATATACATGCTTCACTGAAGGAGGGTGGGTCATGCCGGAATAATCTTCATCTATCGTCGACTTATCGTATGCTTAGAACAAGTCTTCCAGAGTCATTTGTCTGGTGAAGTCGATCAGCGATATCATAGACAAGGGTCTTTGAGAGGCATGTTCTCCACTCACTTGACGATATCTGTGCTCGCTACCATGTTGGTGAATTCTTCAAAGGACAGTTTTCCATCACCGTCCTTGTCAGCTTCCATAATTGTCTTGTCGACAATTTGCTGCAGTTGTTGGTCCTAAGTAAGGACTCAGCGATGCCAGCCAGCTAGTGACATCGACAATGCTCACCTTGAGATTGTTTCCCACCATTTGCTTGAGAACCAGGTATAGCTCTCCGTTGGAAATATATCCGTCTCTATCCATGTCGTACACTTTGAACGCAACTAAGCAAGCGTCAGTTTTGAGTCCACCGGAACGATGCATAATCGACTCACACCGCAGCTTCTCATCCCTTCCTCCTTTACTTGAGAAAGCACTGAGACCTCCGACAAACTCTTGAAAGTCGACCGTTCCACTTCCGCTGAGAACGTGTCAGAAACAAAAGGCCGGCAGTCACCCTCTATGAACCCAGTTGGACTCACTCCTCGTCAAATATAGCAATCATGCGGTGGGCCAATGGATTGTTGGCGATCTGAGGGATCTGTAGGAACTCGTCCTTGTCTATTGAGCCCGATCCATCCTTGTCCAATTTCATGAACCTCTTTTTCAGCCGCATCAACTCCTCGGCGGAGACTGGGGAAGGGGCGAATGATAGCAGCGAGGGAGAGATAGTTCGAATTACATGGGTTTCACAGGGATGACAAGCGGTCAGAGGAATCAAAAATCAAGGTCGTGCGACAAGAGCAGCAATTGTCAGTGCCGAAGCGGAGCACATACCAGGAATGGATCACTCACAATTAGATGTCCGTTCCAGCGAGTTGAACACTGATGATTCTGCTTGTCCCATGATGTGAAATGTCTAGGACACTATGGTCGGTTCTCTGAGGGTGGGTCTACAAGCATACAAAAGAGTAACCTAAAGGAGACCTTGCTAACGACAGTGAGCCAGCGCAAGAGAAAGAAGCGTCCGCGTCTTTTGCCACGTGATTGATGTCGTCAATTGTATGTGGCGAGAAGTGAAAGAGCCACGGTCACGAACTGTCTCTCACCATGAATGGGAGGGCGGTGATCACGAGACAGGAGAAGTGGATCTAGACATTGTGGGATTCACCAAAGGCTTCAATCCCAATGTGCCATCACATAGGCTGGTTCCGCTCACTTCTGGGACGCACACTATCAACTTATAAGAGGAGACCGCTGATCCTTCCTTTCTTCTCAAATCGCTTTGTCCCTTGCCCCTTTTCCTTCTCCCAGAGTATAACTTTCCAAGCGACCAGCTCTCCACACCCACAGAAATCTACCTACCATGGATTCGATTCGACACCTTAGTCAGTCTGACCATCGAGACTCTGCTCGAACCTCCCATCGAGAGCAGCATCGAGCTGCACCTGTGCCTCCTGCCCGACCAGACCCCAGAGACTTGGTCTTGGATAATCCGTTGCCCCCGCCTCCGCCTCCTCTGCCCAAGGATTATCGGTACCAGCATCCGAGGCCACCGACTCTGGATAGAGCTACCCCTTCGCCGCCGCCTCGACCAATTGGTCCTTACCGACCTCTTTTCTCTTCCTCTTCCTCTTCTTCTCCCAGGACCACCGCGCCCTCTCCAGCCCCCGCCCACGCCTACGCTGAGCCGACCACTGCTCAGGAGCCCAAGAGCCCATCTCGTCCTCGTTCAGCAAGCGTCGGAGAGCTTTCGGACACCTCAATGTCACGCTCGAGCCATGATCACCGACACTCGACGTCTCGAAGCCTTCGTCGAGTAGCGCTCGCCCAAGTCCAGCATCGCGATGAGCAAGAAGCTCGACATCGAGCGGCTCGTGAGGCCGATGCATACTATGCCCCTTCCAGCGTGGACGATGGGGCCAGTATCTACTCGCTGTCCTCCTCTATCGCAGCCGCTGTGCCTCCTATGCCTCAGCGAGAGGCGTTTGAACGTGCGGCGGATGCATCTGACCGAGCTGGTTTGGGCCAGTATCGAGCAGAGCAGCGATACTTTGAGGCGATAAAGCAATGGCGTCGAGCTGCTAGGGAGATTCGAAAGCGAGAGAAAGCTAGAGAAGCAAAGGTAGCGGCAGCGGTCGAGAGTGAGGTATCGCAACGTCGAGCGCATCGAGAACAGCGGCATAGGGAGCAAGAGGCCACTCACGAAAGGCACCACCGAGTCGCCCAGTTGGAGCAGGAGCACAGTGAGGAGAGGACAACCGATGTGGTCAAGTTCGCGATGCGAAAGGAGCTCGAAGAGTTGAGAGCGGAGCTGGCGAAAGAGCGCAAGCAGAGGGAGAAGGATAACGAGGCAAAGGAAATGGTCACGGCCAAGTTGGAGGAAGATCTCACCTGTGCCATTTGCTCGGGTATATTGTGAGTGAACGTGTGAGGTTGGACTAAACAGTCCAGGGTCGAAGCACATCAGACGAACTCCTGTGGACATGTCTCGTGTGGGTCGTGCGCGGTCAACTGGCTCCAGACGCAGGTGTGTTCGGCTCGCACAGGACCCTGTACTCACGCTCAGGTCGAGGAAGGCAAGGAACCCTCGTGTCCACTCTGTCGAACCCATGTCAACCTCTACGTGCCCATTTTGGCCGTTCGAGCGCTTGACGAGATGGTCAAGACGTGGGTAGAGGGTAAAATGAAAGCTTCGGAAGGGCCTTGGGAGCTGTACAACGATTTCCTCGACCGGCAGGAGTGAGTAGAGTCATCGGTCCGCACAGCTCACGGCCAGCCGATGGGCAGCGTGGAAGTCGGTCCATCCGAAATTGTTTGACCCTGAGTTGTTCCCCGAGACTGTACAGGGGTTCCGACCACCACACTCACGAGCCGAAATCACTCAAGAAGTGTACGAGACTGAATACCTCGAAGAAGCGCTGGACGAGGACCCTCGACAGGACCTCCCTACCATCTTTCAAGGTCTAGAAGTCGAGTCGGTGGAGTATGGTCAGCGTCAGTATCACGAGTCCGAAAGGACTTGGAGAACGTATCACCATCACAGAAGTACCAGTCGACCGAGACATGGCGTGTTCTATACCGATGAGTTGAGTGCATGCGCAAGCGTGGACGCTGATGCCTAGCTTTTTGCCTCGGGTCAACCCTCACACTGCGCTGCAGGAGGAAGTTCATCGCCGGCCTCCGTCGCCTGGACTCGTCGGCGCGAGACTCGCCAACGGGTTGGTGAGACGAATGATCGGCGACTTTGAGAGGATCGAGAGGGAGATGCAGAGGGAAGCGATAAGGGATATGACGATGATGATGAGTAGAAGAGGCTAAAAAGAAGTTGGCATCAACTCGGATATGTAGCCGAAATCTGATGCCCTTGATCCGTGGACTGTTCCGCCCTGTATCGAACAGAGACGTGTATCCCTATAGCGTTCAACGTAACGGATATTCTGTCTTGCGTCGTTATTGTCCGTCTCATGGTCTTGACGAGAAAGGGAATGGCCAATCGACGCGATTCATCAAAAAGTGGCGGAAAATGTTATTACATACAAACTGATCTCTCTGCCTAGTCCTTTGGGAACTTTCTGAACATGTCCTGCAACTTGTCCATGGGCGCAGTCATGAGTCCGACAACCGTCTCGAAGGGCTGCGACGATTTCAGCCCTAACCTGTGAGATAATCACTCACCGGCTTATCAGGGGCTGAGGGATGGCTTCTGGTCGGAACAAACTTCTTGGTCCGCTGAAACTCCTTGGCAACTGAAGCCGAATCTTCTCGACTGATGTGCTCCTCGAGCTTTGGCAGGTCATCGTGCTCCTCTTCCTTGATATGCTCCGAGAGGTTTGACATGAGTGCTCGGAGAGTAGGCTCGAACTCAGGATTCGAGGCTTTCATCCCCTGGAACAGGTTGAGCTGCTCCTTGACCTGTATGAAAAATATGTCAGCGGGATCATGAGCACATTGAGTTTGCTCACCTTTTGATGCTCCGCTCGGTCCTTCTGAGCCATGGCCTGTCCACCAGGGACGACTTTCTCCATCAGAGGGTAGATGACCAGTTCTTCACCAAGCGAGTGGCGCGCCAATTCCCAAGTGAACTGGTTCTGATATCGCGTTTTGGCATCTTCATCTTCGGCCGTGAGGATCTGCTTGTAGTAGTCTTCAATCTCGCGATGATCGTGCGTGATGACGGCAGATATCGTGGACATGTTGAGTGTGGGTAGTCTCTGAGTAGAAAGGCTGATGTATCGTTTGGGAATCGTTCGAGCGGCAGTGGCGAGGACAGTGAGCATAAGGTCACAAATGTGAGAACACTGATTGGTCGAGGGGGATCCCATCGTTCTACCCCTTTATACCTCTGTCTGAGGTCATGTCAGCATGACTGATAAAGTGTCAGCAAAGCAGTCATCGAAAGGACATCTATGGTCAGCCATGACGAATCAAACATGTCATCCAGCAGGGAACAGATAGGTCAGGCCATTCGGCCTTGAGGGGGCTTTCGGGACCGACAAAGTATAAGGTCCCACTGATCCCCGACATCATTCCTGCATCGCCGGGGTTTGATTTACAGCTTGACGAGTCAGAGATTGTGCAGCCGCCAGGAGGGCCGAAAAGCTGCAATGTGGCATATCTGTATTTGTTGCGCCCCAGCTTCCAAGATACGGCCTAGATTGCCCGTCAAGAGGTGTTCACCAATACCTCCGATAGATGTCAAGGGTGCAAGGACACCCAATAAGGATGCTTTCTCGAATTGATAGTTTGTCAAACTACTTCATCTTATTGCGTAGCTTTTGTGGCCTAGTTGGTAAGGCATCCGCTTCACAGCGAATGCGCGGAAGATCCAGAGTTCGATCCTCTGCGGAAGCACGCCTCTTTTTGCACCTCTCTTTTTTGGGATATATCCTCAGACGAAGAGGACCATGCAATGTCTTGCTCTTTTCACAACATCGTTGGAAAACGATCGGAAAAGAAGTGAGGTAGGACCTAGTTTTTCGAGATCGGCCGGCGATGCCGACCATTGCGCAGTGCAATATGACCTTTTGCTGGGTGTGAGCTTTAACGCTTAGCAGCCTATTTTGGACGTGGTACCCGATGAAAAGCATTGTCCATCCAACATGGAAACCATAAGATAGTCCGTGATAATAGTCATCGTCACACAGCAGCAGCACCACGGCAGCTGCAGCACCCTGCGAGCCCTAGCATCCCGCCCCAGTGGCACCCGCTGCTGCTCCTCCTCCCGATCCTCCTGGCGATCTGATACACACCGGCTTGAGGGTTGACGGCTCCGGTTCGTTCTGCTTAGCCACGACGACGCCGACAGTAACGGCGACAATGATGATGAGGAGCTGGCGCGTCAGCTCTCAGCCCTACGAGAGAACAATTCACCAGAATCAGTGCCGCGATGATGAGGCATTTGGACCTATTTCGTCGTTTTTGGGCATCGCTCAACCATTCACTGCACTGTTAGCTAGATGTCTCATCCGGTCGCAGCCTACCTGTCCCCGGATTGGCCCTTTTCCATCTGCATTGCATCCAACTTGTTGACACTGACACTGAAACGTTTCCAAAAGTCCATCGTACTGGGCACGCCGTTCCGTGCCCTCGCTCCAGGTCGCAACCCGCTCTCTTGACGTCCTTTTCTCGGGGAGATGGGCGAGAACACTTCGTCCTCTCCACCTCTGAACAAGGCCTTTTTCTCCTTGAGCAGATCGTACCCCGCGATGGACTCTGACGACGTCGAACTGCGATGACTTGCCAGAGATGGCTCGGCGAATGGAGATTTGGGCGGCGAAAGGGACGGTGCCGGTGAGGCCGGAGGCGCGGCCAGATGAGGGGACACGGGCGTGCCGGTGGGAGGCAGCTGGGGAATGGCGTACACCTGTCTTGACACCTGGTGAGCTGCTGGCGGGGTCCTAGGCGACATGGGAACGACGATACGTGGAGAAGGTCGGAGCGAGTGGTTGGTCGACTGTTGAGGAGATGGCTGGCGAGACGTGTCTGAGCGGATTTGAGACATAGGTGGGTAGCCAGTGTTCGGGGATGGAAAGTGGACGATGGATCTTCGTTCAGTAGATGAATCGTCATCTACTTGACCAGAGAGCGACCGGACGCGATCGTGAGATTCCAGAAAAGAGACCTTGTCAGGCGCCCTGTCACGTCTAGCGCCTGCCCTAGGTCCATCCGAGCCATCGTGTGGTGTAAAGGTCACATGGTTCGGTCCTCGGATAAATTCCACGTCCCCATCTTCCCCTTTGTTGTCTTCTCGCTCATAAGGGGCCAACATGGCTTCCATAAAGTCGAAACCGGAGGAGGAAGAGTCTCGGACGGAGCTCGCGGTGGAGACCCGGTGTTCTGAGGGAGGTCGGAGTGAAATGGCAGGCGCGAGATGGGTAGGTCTAGGGCGAATCAGGGGAGTGTTAGATCGATCAAAATTGGCCACTTGAGATTCTGTCTTCGGTCTCCCGTTAGGTGATTGGGATCTAGCTGGTGACAGGGATCTGAAGCCAGGTCCAAGAGGAGATGGCGGGATGGGGGATTTGGAGCGGGACATGAGGAGGCGGCACTGGAGAGAGAGAATAGCTGCGGACACAAGGAACAGTCGCGAGACACTTGGCAGTCAGCAGATAGGAGACTATAGGCACGGTAAAGGAACGTGAGGGTTGAAAACGAATGGACTTTTGAGTGTTGATGGACCTATACACAAGGTATCGAGGCAATGTCCCAATGAATGATAAGCGGTGGTGGTGATGGAGTGAGAGAGAAGAGGGATGGATAGGTAGAGAGGTTCAATTAGCTTCTCTTTGACCATGGTGGATCCATCCTTCTCTCCCAATCGTCCTTCTCTTGCTCCCCCCCCTCATCCCTCCTTGGCACTCTATCTATGCACCAAATACCCCTTTCTCCCCCCTTTTCAACTCGAAACAAACGCGAAGAGGTCTCTCTCTGCTCGGACCTCTTCGTCTCCCCTCATTTGGGGACATCGCTGCAGGGCGAAAGGAGAGATACACTCTGGCCATGCTACGACTGTCAATAAGGGACGACGATCGAAAGCTGAAGCCTTTTGGTGCATCAATGAATGAGCCTGGAAGTTTGGCCTTGCATGATGGGTAGAGAGAGAGAGATTGAGAAATTGGAGGAGACACAAGACGTGTTTTTAAATTACCTTCGCCGCACGGTCACTGCTGATTGTGGCTCTTTGCATGCATGACCCGCTACGGTTCAGCCTTCGGATACGGTCTAGACCGCTCACGAAAGATCGTGCGGACTGCTTTTAGACGCATGTAGATCTCTGGAGCCTTTCGCAATTGGCATGGCTCGAGCAGAAACACCGGAGCGGATTGACTTGTTCATGACCGGGACGAGGCCCCTCAGATCTCACGGTCGACCCCGCAGATTCTTGACATGGCGCGGATGAGACTGTTCACAGCAGGAGTCGAGCCTCAAAATAGTGACTCGGGCGATAACTTGCCTGATGAGGTGAGAGGAACATGGTCCGTTGCGTCATGATGATGTGTGTCAAGGGAACCGTGGCATGAGACAAATGGGCAGAAGGGGGGAAAGGGGATGATGGATGATGCCTGAAGGATGATTGGCGATGGGACCACCTGAAACAGGGTTACATGATTTGCAGTCTCGTCATAGAGATACATTCGTACACAAGACGGTACCGCGCTTAGCATAGCTCCTCGAGCTGGCGGACGGGTCAGCGCATTGCTTTTCGTGGCGTTGTCGTGACACTCACACCACAGCAGCAGATATCCTCGAGAGCACAGCAGCAGAGCTGGCAAGGCAAAAGTCAGCATTGGAGGTTATCGATGGACGTTCCGAGCTCGCTTAGGACTCACACAGGCATCGATCATCGCACAGCAAGGTCCGAGACCACCTCGCAATCGAAGAGGGAACCAAGATTTGCTTTGGGGTTGAGTGGCAGGTGCTTCCTGGACCTGAAGAGGGGCTGAGACGAGGAGAAGTCAGAAGATGTTCCCCCTCCAAAGCGAGTCGGTGGCGAGGTCGCGTTGACCCGCTGCGGGAAAGGGACGCGATGAGGATCAGGGATCAACACTCACTCATGGAAACTTGGGCGGATGGCTGTTGAGTGATCTGTTCGGTCGATTCGACCCGGTTCTCAGTGGTAGGTGCCATGGTGATTCAAAGTTTGGCGTATAGAGCTGACTGAGGGGTGAGTCAATGTATTGGTGTTGGTGCGGTGGTGAGAAGAACGTTGGATACTCCAGCCAGTGACGTCCTTTTATGTGTGTACCATCTCACCTGGACCATTTGATCTATTTTGGGAACACCTGAATTGCGCTTAAAGCGAGACGAGGGTTTTTTTTTTCTCTTAATGGGCTGTGTTTCGGGCACTTTTAGGTAGCGGTGCCAGGGGGGCTGTGGGATGCTGCAGGTCTGCGCATGAGGGGAAAAAGCCAGGTATTCGTCAGAGGGATATGGAGCTGGGAGCTGGAGCTGGAGCTGGTGATGATTGAAATCGCTCATTGAGGGTCTGGCTGAACTGGGCAACCAGAGCTAGGAAGGGAATAGACTGCTGCTTTGACTGCCCTTCAATTTCATGGGATCTGCGTCTGGGCATTTTTGACGTAAAACGGGTAGCGCGCTCACACGGCGTTGAAAGGCGATGAAGGTTTGGTGAACGGGTATCACAATCATACAACCAAAGTACATGACGCGGGGATTTTTAGGCACGAAGAGGTTGCGCCAATTGAGCACATACATAGCCAGATCGTCCGCTGAGGGCCAGCTGCCTGTCGAGCCGGGCCTCGGGTGAAGCGGATCTCACAAAAATCTTGAGCTCCGTTGGAAACCATATTACTTTCCTTTGACCACTCCTCACCCACTGCCCTAGAGCAAGGTACTGCTTGAGTAGTCCTCTGGGCTTGATGTAGCTTGAGGAACGCGATGACTGCACACCGCGAAGCATCATTCGAATACCTGAACGAGCATGCGAGCGACTCCACCTCCTCTGGGAAAAGCCGACCTTATCGGTCAGACCGAGAAGCACATGCCAACACTCCTGCCGGGGAATATGATTTCAACTGGTGCTTTGGCAGGGTGGAGACTTTGAGATCGTCCGGTCTAGACCTCAGACCGCTAGTCGTGAGTACTAATGCTTCCTCTTTGACCCTGACAACCCAGCCATCGCTGTACGCCTCAGCGTTCGTCACTGGGAGTCAGGATAAGGTCTTACAGGATATGTACCATGTCAAGGATATTGGCGATGTTCTGGACTATCTCGAGTGGAGCAGGCAAGATGCAGTAGGTGGATCGTCCCCTTTCGACCTGCTCATGTGACCAAAGGGGGTCCTCATGTTCGCCATCTTTGCCGATCCATCATATGTGAACCGAACCGTGCCGCCATGGGCCATCTTTGATCAACAGAGCGACCCCACAGCCAGTCCAGGATGCGAGAACTGGGCATTCAGCGGTGTCGTAGGTATATACCGGGCGGACCTAGAGCACAGGACTGGGGATATCGGGATCTTTCTCTGGGCTTTCGCTCGAGGGACCGGAATCTCGCTCAGAGCGTCTGCCTTGGCGACTCGCTACGCCATGACGGACCCGAGTATGGGGCCTGGACTGGGTATGAACAAGCTGCGATTCGCAACAGCGATCGACAACACACATAGCAGGAAGCTTGGTGAGCGATTAGGGGCGCATCAAGAGAATCCCGGTGGGTCTAGCCAGCTGTTTCTGCTGACTAGGGGAAATAGATGAAGGCAAGTCGACCAATGAGTGGATCGCCTTCATCTCGCGAAGCGACTGGGAAAGTGGTACGGAAGGTCATATTACAGGCATCTTATCAACTTGAAGGGGACCGTTTCCCTCCGAGGCCCGGCCTGTGTCCGTTGTTAGTAGCGATAAACCCTATCACACGGCTATATCGTCTTCTGGCCTATCAGGGACTGGATAGGGGACATAGCCAGAGCTCCGTAAGCTGCATCATGCGCTATGCAGCGACAAAAAGTGCATGGTAAGGCCAGGACCTCCATAACCTGCTCGGCCGGCCGTCGAGGCTTTCATCAGCCACACGCGTCAGAGGGGACCAATTAAGGAAAATAATACAAGATTTCAGGGGATGCAGGTTTCAGCCGCGATCGATGGTGTTGCTGGAATGAAACTGCATGATGAGATGTTGCGCAGCTCCATGGCGACGATGGATGGGTGGACATGGGCCGGGGAAGGAAGGGGGAGGGACCGCTGTGTGCAGCCATACTCGGCCTCAGCTATGCTCAGCCCAAGACCGACCCACGTCTCGGATCGATGATTACTTGTCCGGAAACTGTTCCGGTTTATAAAGTGTTTCGTCTTCCGCCCTTTCCAAGGAGAAAAAAAAGAGGTGTGGAATGAAAGGGGGATGCAAGGTATTATCCGCCGCCCATACGATGGTTCGTGACTGGAGTTCTTCGACGGGTGCGTGTCCATGCGAAGGTCGATTCCCACAACGACGAGGACTTTGGATCCAACCAACTCAACATTTGCAGCGAGCAGTGCCACGACGATCTGGACAGACAAGTGTGATCGAGTTGGGTGCCAAGCCTAAAAGCAGACAATTTTGTCTTCGACGCTTTGATCCCCCTTTTCTCCCTTTCCCCGTGCTCAAAACATCTCAGACTCACACTCACAATCTGGGATCTCTCGGCGCGACTGTGGACGACGACGACGACGACGACGACGACGGGAAGAGTAGTATTGACGCCGACTGACAGAGTAGCTGGCAGCGTCGCAGGTCGACACATCATAGTCCTCATCGTTGGCCCAATCCTCCCCCCCTCCTTGTGCCTCCATGCCATCATCTCTCGCGCCTGGGCCTATGAGGCAGCTTCGACAGTCCATATCGCGTCACACCTCTGCGAGCACTGACAACGCCAGAGGAAGCTCAAGTCGTAGTGGTGGCGGTGGTGGTGGTGGTCATCGTGGTTCAGAGATGAGCATGTGGAGAAAAGGACCAGTCTCTGTGAGTGTGTCATACAGTGCTGGCTGTGTGTGGTCTTTCTTGGCGGTCGCCAAGGTGAATGGATCGATTGAACCAAGGGAAGGGAAGGGGGGCCAGGGCGGAAGGGAATAGAAGGGCAGTGCTGACTTTTTCCATCATCCCTCTTCTATACCCCTTTCTCTTTTGTCCTGGATTAACGATCACATCCCTCTCTCATGCCATCTCCATCCAACATTCACCACCACCACCACCACCACCACCACCACCACCACCAACTCCATTCAACACCACCGACACCTGCATCTTCTGGTCTTTCTGGCCCATCGCCACCACTCATCAACCTGTCTCCTAACGATCAGTCTCCAAGAGTAGGTGGACAGGGTCGAGCACCTCTCTTGGCGAATGCCTCTTTGCCCGGCATGTCTGATCCTCGACGTCCACAATCCAGCGATTCTATCGCTTCCTCCTACGGTCCTTCTGCGAGACAGGGAGGAATGGGATCGTACAACTCAACCGCCAATCGATTCGGTCCCACTGCTTCCTTCACACCTACCGCGTCAATGGTCAACCTTGCAAGAAGTGAACGGACACCTTTGGCCCCCAATGGTTTAGATGATGATGATCTGGACGATAGCCTGCATACATTCACCGCGAGGGAGAAGCAGGACTTGTCCACACCTTTCAGGCTCAGCTCATGGAGAGGGTGGGCTAACGCCCTGACGTTGATCTTCCTTGCCCTGGCAGTCATCGTCTTGTTCGCTGGATACCCCATCATCTCCTTTTACGGGGGTAATGATCTTTCCAGTGGTTCCGGGACTTCTGGTTTCAACCTCGGAGGGATCAACGCGTCTGGACAGTATCCTGCCATCTCTGGAATCCCTCAATTGATAGATCCCGACACCCCACCTGAAGTCATGACGAGGACCGGGTTCGATGGAGGCCAGTGGAACTTGGTCTTCTCCGACGAATTCAATAAGGAGGGAAGGACGTTTTTTGACGGAGACGACCCATTCTTCCAAGCTGTGGACATCCATTATTGGCCGACAGGGTGGGTTTCCCCCCTTCTACCAAAGGTTAGGTGCTGAATACACAGTGATTTCGAATACTACGATCCTTCCGCTGTGACCACCAAGGACGGCCATTTGGTCATCACCATTGATCAAGAAGCCATCGGAGGCCTCAACTTCAAAAGTGGCATGGTCCAATCCTGGAACAAACTTTGTTTCAACAAGAATGCCTATTTTGAAGTCTCCGCTAGTCTGCCCGGAAACTCTGGCGTCGGAGGTTTCTGGCCAGGTATCTGGACAATGGGTAATCTAGGCCGACCGGGATACGGTGCAACGACAGAGGGGCTGTGGCCGTGAGTGGATGTGACGGCGCTCGAACTCATCATGTCTAGCTATTCGTACGACTCTTGCGATATTGGAACCCTCCCGAACCAGACATGGGTCAACAAGACGGGACCGATCGCCACGCTCACAACGGGAGCTAACGGCGGTAGCTTGTCCTACCTCCCCGGTCAACGGTACTCTGCCTGTACTTGTCCTGGTGAGGATCACCCCGGACCATCCGTCGACATCGGACGTGCTGCCCCGGAAATCGACATCATCGAGGGACAGATCATCATCTCCAAAGCGACCGGAGAAATGTCTCAATCGTTCCAGATCGCTCCGTATGACGATTACTACCAGTATGATAACCGTACAGCGGGGTCTTACGAATTCTTCGACACATCTATCACTATCCCCAACACCTATCTTGGTGGACCATTCCAACAGGCTGTATCAGCCTTGACAGAGGTAGAAGATCAGATCTATCGCGATCAAGTCCCAGTCGGTGGACAGTTCGGGGTCTTTGGCTTCGAATATGCAGCTGAAAAGGACAGGACGAAGGGATACGTCACCTGGGTCAGTATGGGTAAACCAAGCTGGACCATGTCAGCCCAGACAGTCGCTGCGAATCCGAGAACAGAGGTGGATCAGAGGCTCGTCTCGGAAGAACCGATGACGTTGGTGAGTCTGGCGGACATCTGTGTCACACCGACTCACCTTGAAGCAGATCTTCAACTTGGGAATGTCAAACAACTTTCAAAATGTCGACTTTGCCCATTTGGTCACGCCAAACGAGCTTCGTATAGACTACATCAGAGTTTGGCAGCGTGCGGATGGGTCCGGCTCTGTAGGATGTGATCCCCCTGGTCAGTTTCCGGTAGCTCCCCAGTCCCTTACTGACTCGCATAACTCAGACATGCCAACCGCAGCGTTCATCGACAAGTACATGCACATTTATCAAAACGCCAACTTGACCACTTGGGAGCAAGCTGGTAGGTCTGCAAAGTCGTCTCGGTTCCTGTTCGCTTATATGACTCTCACAGGTCTCCAGTTCCCTAAGAACCGACTATTAGAGGAGTGCTAGTTTGTGCTCCCCCTCCAGCACCTCAAATCCAGCCCCTCATGTCCATAACGACAGCCACGACATTTTAGATCACAGCCTCAGTCTCCCTTCGAGCACAAGCTGCTCCAGCATACATTCCCTGATCTCTGCTTCTGAGGCCCCCTCGTCCTGTATCCAACGATGTAGTCTGCATTTGTCTCGCCGATTGGAGGCATTCATTAGAGCTCTCTGACCGCGAGGCTACTCCTCTGCATTCCCGCCATTGCATGCACTGTTGCACTTTTCTGCCACGACAAGTCACTACCACAGTGCCGCAGTGACCTCATCGAAAACTTAAACCGCCACCAACGCGAGCATATTACGAGCAAGACGAAATGTTGAAACGCCTGTGTGTAACAGTAGCTTTCTCCTCTGATTGCTCGTAGATATATAAGTCTGTTCACGCAGCAGCGAGCCTGTGCAGTGACCGGAGAGCATCAAAAACTTGGGCGGAGCTATCAATTCAGGCTGGCTCGGCCTGCGATACCTCGTGCACCATGCTTGAGACTCTGCTGTCGATGGTCTTCCGTTCTGGCGATGATGAGGGAGGTGGGAATGGAGGAGGAGCACCGCCGGGCAGTCCACCAACTCGTGAGTCTCCGATTCGGAATGAAGGGATTGTGCTGACTTTGGCTGCCTACAGAGAAGTTTGAGGGTGTGTGAGAGGCTCCTCGATGATCCCCGTCCGCTCTGCTGATACGCCCTCGAGGACCATGGTTCTCAACCCAGATGATTTTGGCCTTGTCTATCGGTGTGACTAGCTTTCTCGTCTTTTGCTTTCTCAGGACCAAGTGGGATGTAGTGTATATGGGCCGAACCAAGCTCAAAGGTGAGTTCCTTCCCTTTTCGCGTGACTTGCCAGGCGATCATCTAAGCGACCCTCCGCTCTCAGACTTTTCACCCACGCCCGCTCATGAGCCCGATGCGCATCATGGTCGATTCTTCGGTTGGATCCTCCCTACTCTCCGTACGAGCGAGTTCACGGTCCTCCAAACGGTCGGATTGGATGCAGCTGTCCTGCTCAACTTTTACCGCATGGCCTTCTTCCTCTTTACACTGCTGGCCTGTCTCGCTGGAGTGGTCTTGATGCCTCTCAACCTCTTTCGACATGGTTCCACAGACTCGGAGTATGATCCGCCCACTGACGGGGGTAGCGACAATAGTACCCTCATTGGCCGCCTTCTGTTTGACGACTCGCCCTCTCGACAGAATCGGACGATCCCAGATAATCAATCGGTCTACGACTACCTTCTCGACCCCCAACTCAGTAACACTATCAACATGGTGTTCACTTATATCTTCACGGCCCTGACGCTCTTGTTCATCCATCAGAACTTTCATCGTTTCATTCAATCGCGTCAATCGTTCGCCCTACACCTTATTCACTCGGTTCCGTCCCGAACAGTCTTGGTCAAAAATGTTCCTCCTCATCTCCGAGGCGACCGAGCGCTAGCGGAATACTTTGAAGCCTGTGGATGGATGATCGAGTCTGTCAATGTCTGTCGAGAGACTGAACCGTTGAGGAAACTCTTGGAGAAGAGGACAAACGCATTGTTGAAGCTTGAACGGGCTTGGGTCGATTGGGTGGGCAACCCTGCCAACGTCAGAGGACATGATCCGAATATCTATGGAGAGCTAGGCAAAGCCAGACGGAAAGGAACAGCCACAGCTTCGCCCGAGCCTGTCTCATCGTCAATCGCCGAAGGCAGACTGATCCCTGATATCACGGATGAAGAGGAACGTCGTGAGAACGGCTCAAGGGATTTCGCCAACGGTAGGGAGGAGACCGCAGAGACGGAGGAGATCCGACCCTTGAATGGCGAGCCGGGTGGAGACCCTGAAAACGGACAGCCTCATGTACACATTCACACCACTCGACCCAGACCGACGTTCCGTCCTCGATACTTCGGTACCAAAGTCGACGCGATCGAATATTGGGAAACCAAATTTCGAGTGGCAGATGAGCAAGTGAGACAAGCACGGAGGACAGGGAGTTTCCCCGCGACTCATGTGGCCTTTGTGACTTTTGAAGATGTCAGAGATGCGGTACGTAGACTAGCATTGGGCCTTCGTGTCCTGAGCTGATCGCCACTATGTGCGCTCAGCAAACCGCCTGTCAGGTCGTGCATTTCCCTGAACACTCTGAAGTGATCACTACCAAAGCCCCCGAGCCCCGCGATGTAGTATGGAGCCTGGTTTCCATCTCCCAACGCGAAACGGTCATGCGACAGCTCGTCGTCTCAACTTTGATCATCATCTTGTTCCTTACTTGGATACGTAAGCCGACTGTCTCGCTTTCCTAGCTGAACGGTCTTCAGCACCCGTCTCGACGATTGCAACGTTGCTCAACTACAATGAAATCAAGCGTGTCCTACCCTGGTTGGCTCGTCTTATCGACAGGAGCCCGAGGCTGGAAGCCCTTGTTCAGAACTCTTTGCCCTCGGTCAGTATCATCACCTTCAACGGCCTCTTGCCATTCTTGCTGGGATGTGAGTGGCTGGCGACGTCCCTATCGTACCGCTCACGCGCCACAGGGCTGTCTTATGAGGAGGGCTGGAAGTCGAGGAGTGCGATTGAGTATTCTCTACTGAGGAAGTGAGTCGCTGACTTTGAGTCGCGCTGACGAACAGGTATCACTTCTTCCTTCTAGTCACCATCGTCTTCATCTTTCTCCTGACAAGCACATTTTGGGCGCTTGTCAGAAATCTGGCGAACAGTCCGGCTCAGGTGAGAGGAACCTTTTTGCGACTAAGAATCCTCGTCTGACCCGATACAGATCCCTGAGAAGCTCGCCAAGGCTTTGTCGACTTCTAATGTCAAGCCATTCATGATCTCTTATGTCATTCTCCAATGTGGGCTCGTCTCCGAACTGCCTCAGACACTGATGGTCTCACAGCAATGGGTCTGATGCCATTGCAATTGCTCAATCTTGGTCCACTATTCTCGCTAGGGTGGGCAAGATTGACATCGGTCAAGACGCCTCGAGGTGGGTTTGACAAAGAGATAGTGCTGAGTCATCAGACTACGCCGAGGCATATGCTCCCCCTATGCTCAATTATGGCTGGGTCTATCCCCAGGCTCTGCTCGTCTTCACCATAACTTTGACGTTCAGCGTCGTCATGCCCTTGATTCTCATCTTTGGAGCGCTCTACTTTGGTGTCGCCTGTGAGTACCCAAGGGCCGGGCCATCTCTGACCGCTTTCAGACCTGGTCTACAAGTACAAATTGCTCTTCAGTGGGTCCATTCACCTTGCCTCTGATATACCATTGACCCGCCTTAGTGTACTTCAAGCCTTACGAATCGAACGGTGAGGCATGGCGCATCACGTTCCACCGCCTCTTGTGGGGCGTCATGATCTTCCAAATCTTTATGACTGGTCTTTTCTCACTCCAAAAACCGTACTGGCTGTTCTTCGCCATGGTGCCCCTCGTCCTCTGGACGCTGTGGTGGTCATGGACAACCGACGCAGAGTTCAAAGGACTGAGCGAGTACGTTGCTCTGAGCAGTATATGCGAGGTCGCGCGTGGCGAAGGCGCGGATCAGGTCGTGGGAGTGGCGGAAGAGGATACGGTGACGAGATCGCAAGCGTGGGTCTGGTGACCGTATGTCAGGTTAGCTGACGGTGAACGATGTAGCAACCTGAATCACCGGAGATACGCTATCAACGACGAGACGCTGTACGTTGCGCCATCTGATAAACGCACCGACTACTCTCAACCGCCGATGAACAATTTCTACTATGGCGTACTGAACACTGGTCGAAGGCGATATGCTCATCCAGCTCTCACTGGCTCGTTACCGTATCCTTGGCTTCCTGCTCCGCAAACGCCCAAGAAGTTTGGCGATGGAGCGGCGAAACGACGAGGGGTAGTATTGAGCTTGCGCCGAAAGATGGCGAAAAAGCTGCGCCGAACACAAACTTCAGACTCTGAGTCTGACGCGAGGATCATCCCGGATGGTTGGGCAACGGGAGAAAACTTGTCTGAGTCTTCGAGGCAGGCAAGGACAGACACTCGATCCACATCGCAAGATGAGGGCGAGGATGATCGGCCTGACGGTGGAAAGCTCGGATCTTCCCTTTCCTCCGTCTCCAATCCATGGCGAGACCCTACACCTGAGCCTTCCTCCTCTAACTCGTACTCTCGTCCTCGGTCAAAGATGAAGAAGAGCATGTCGTTTGATCCAGCTTCGGGAGTCATAGCTTTACCAGAGGAAGAAAATGTGTGGGGGGATATGGGCTCAAGCGAGGATGAAGATGAAGGTGAGAACAGAGATGAAGACGATGGTGTACCACAGTCACCAGTGAGTACTCATTGTACTCATTGTCAGGCACAGTCGCTCATATACACTCGCTTAATTAGTCAACGTACTTTCCTCACCCAGAGAGAAAACGGACAATATCAGTATCTGTATCTGACGCAAAGGCGGCGAGTGATAAGAATGGATCAAGAGGTAATAGAAGAAAGTGAGAGACGTCTTGTGTCAGTGTGCAATGATATCCCTGAATCTATGTATGTGTGCTTGCATGCATGGATCCCTGATGACCTACCACCAACGGGGCCAGGCTGGGCTAGGTCGTACCCATTGAGTGGGTGCCACACTCGGCAAATTTCGGGGTTATGAGCTGTCCTTCAACCCTCGGCTCCCTTCGGACCTGCCTGGTCTTTGCTGCTGCAGGTCATTGAATTCAAAGTGGATCACCAGACCCCACCTACCGGAGGAGGAACTCGATTCATCATGTCAACTTCGTGGCGTGCGCACATGTCGTGAGTTGTTTCTGTGTGGAGCATGATTGAATGAGGGCGAAGGAGCTGACGACGTCGCTTCTTTCTTCACACTTCTCTTTCACGAAACCTTTGAATCATCTCGTCCAATGACTCCTCTGCCCTCAACCTCATCACTTCTGCTGGACGTTTCGATGGCCCAGATTCAACAAAATGTCCCAAGTGGCATCCCGAGCTCTCAGGCAAGCGTTAAACGAGACGGACCGTGTGGCCGCAGAGAGAAGAGCACAGATCGGAGTGTGAGTTTGTGTTTCACCATGGGGGGAACACACTCGATGAGGTGTTTTCTTCTTTGTTGTTGTTGTTGTTGTTGATTCCCTTGGGGCCAGGCGATATCAATTCTGGGAAGGAGGAAAGGGAGGTGAACAGGTGAGCTTTGGTGGTCTTTTGAATTTTGACGGGACGGAAACTGGACGAAGGGAAACTGATCTTCTTGTCTAGACATGGGTCGTTCCACCTAAGAAGACGGATAGCAAACCGCCTGTTTAAGTGAGAGGTCGATTGGGAAGGACCCGGTGTGTGGGGAAAGAATAGGATGCTGTGGGCGGGAGAAGATGAAAGCATTGGAGAATGCATTAGATTCGGATCAGGAACTGTTGCTGTCGCTGTGCGGGAAGGAACTTCGCTCGGTTGTCTTTTCGTCAAAAGAGCATCCAGCGAGGAACCACGCTGACCAAGCGATCCTTCTCAATCCTCGCACGATGCAAAATGCACTGACGCTCTTGTTGACCCACTACAATCAATTTGGATACAGATGTTCCCCCACCTCAAGACTATGGATCATGCCTTTGACACCTCTCCCGTTGCTTGCCGCTCCCCTTTGGCCATGCTCATCATTCCCAAGACTACACACTTGATGCCAATGGTCACAACCACCACTTCCCAACTCCCAGCATACTTGTGTATAGCACTACCGATGAAACCACCCACGATCATGGCGACGATATACGACAGTCTGCGATTCCTAGGACCGGCTTTGGGGTGATTAAACGATACGAAGAGATACTTGTCGGCCATGAGATCGACATAACTTGATGTCATTGGCGCCGTTGGAAGTTCTTGAGATCCAGATTGTCTAGCCATGGCTACTTGAGCGCCTGACATGTTTGCAAATAAAACCAGGACGACCCATTCTTGACTTCCACCCACTCTCGTCTCTTTCGGACCAGCGGGAGAAACGAGGATCGCAGCGAGGATCAATGCGGAGATTTGGTACAGCGTCGACAAGAGGATCCAGAGTCGTCGACGGACACCCATGTAGTGGCCTAGGTGGCCAAACGTCAGGGAACCAAAGAGGAAAGCAGCGAGTGAAAGACCAGTGAGGAGAAGAAGGATCTGGGTACTGCCAATGACGGAAACAGTCAGGAGAATGGTGTTTCCAGTTTCTACGATGCTGTCAGAATTTTTGACTCTCTCCCACTCTCTCTCTCCCTTGGATCCCGCCTCACACTCACGGTTCGAGGCAAAAGTACGAAAGTCGGCATATGTCGTGGCGTCTAGTATACCGGTGCTGAATGCTTGAATTACCAATGAAGGCACAAGATTAGCAGTGAGGACGCTCTCGCCGCTCCACCCTGTCCATCCGTCCGAGCGTTTCCAAGGCGGCCAAGAGGGTGAAAGTGCATCGCTCTGGTCTACGGCGCATAGACCTGGAGAATCTTCTTCTCGGACCTGCTGCATTTGAGCGTTGGATCCCGTGAGACCATGCTCTGCTGATCCGGGTGAAGGTACAAGCGAGCCGAGATAAGGAGAACGTCTACCTTGATCAGAGGATAATCGGCTTTTGAGTGATGTGTAGTGGCCACTTGGAGGAGGACGAGCGGCGAGCACATGACAGGCAGAGTCAGGAGGGTAACGAGGTGGTGACGAGGGACTGGGAGGAGTCACGAGGATGCGAGACGAGTGATTATCGGCTTGATGGTCTTTAAAATCTTGGTCCATGGCGGTATGGGCGTGTCTTGTTTCGTTTCGCTGGGGATCTTTACGGGAGACACTCCGGAGGGAAGACGCCGACGACGAGGAGGAGGAGGAGGAGGAGGAAGAAGAAGGAGGATACGACGGATCCAGCGGTGGCATCTCAAAGTCTGAGATCAGGATGTATGAGCCACAAGGGTCTACGAGCGTTGGTCACTGGCCTGTCGGTGTCGAGAACCAACCTGACAGTCTTTATGAGGGACCGAGGCGAGGCGAGGCGAGGTGAAGCTGATCCCCTCCTCCCCCTCCCCTCCTTTCCTTATAACCACCCGGTCAAACGACCTGATTCCAAAACGATTTTGAGCAGCCCTCTTGGAAAAAATCCAGATAAATCCGACAGATGGTATTCCCAAAACAAGGCGGGCGACAGAGGGATTTATATTACTCGCTTTCAAGGCGTTGTACAGAGGTCACGGTTGTGTGTTGAACATCAGCAGATCCGGCGGGGACGATAGGGCGGGCGAACGCTTGGATATGAGCTCCTGCCAGCTCCGACTGAACATAGGAGGTATTCCTGGACCTGATCGTCAAATAGCAGTAGCTGCAGCTGCTGCTGCCACGAGCAGCAGCACCTGATGGTCGCTGCGGCGGCGGCGGCGGCGGCGGCGGCGACGACGACACCACGCCCCACTTGCATTCCAACATTCCCGAAAAAAAGGGAAAAAAACACACACATATTCCAAATTTCTGGTTCCGAACCGGTCCTTGAATTCGTAGGCTGCTGGACATTGACGTCAGTTATTGTGGCAGCAGCAAGTCGATGCCAGATGCTGATGCCTGCTTTCAAGTCATCGATGCATCCCGACATTAGTCATTCCAGACACCTTTCTTGGTGTCGTAAGAGCGGGCCAGATCCGCATGAAGAACACGTATGACATGGTGTATGGATCTATGACGTTAGGGAGGGCATGGTACCGATCGACGGCCATCTAATTTCTATTGGAGACCTATGCCCATCTCCCTAGAAGGGCCATGAGCCCGGAGCCCAGGAGGATACAACAAAAGACATATGTCAGGTGTGCCGAAGAGGCCTTCATCATCCTAGGATTTAGTAGGATCTCATGAGCCAGTAATTCGACGAGACCTGAGCGTGAAGGGATCAGCCAGCAGATATGGGCCTGAACTCTGTTAGGACATACCAGTATAAAGCAAGATCCCTGCTGACGTGGCATCCAGGACACCCGAGACAATGTTCGCAGCGACTCCGTTCCCATTGTATGAGTTTCGAGCGCCGATCCCGATGGCTATGCCGACGGGTGTGCAGATTGCATAGAACGCTCCGGCAGCGTAGCGTGACCAGCGGAGGTTGGAAGGGAGATTGAGACCTGCTAGTCGAGAACCCAGACCGAGTCCTTCAAACATTTCTAAAAATCTTAGTACCAGTGACATAGACATGGACGCACGATGGAAAATGATGACAATGAAGAGGGTGACAAAGTCGTCCGTCACGCCGAGCGTGAGTCCAATGATGACACTGAGGTGGAATCTCAGTGTAAGTGTGAATTCATATCGCATAGGGGTCATGCCTTGTCACTGACCTGTGTAAGACGACCCCAAATTCAAGTACTGCGACGGCTATCAATTGCGCCGCTCCTTCAGCAGTGGAGGACAGGTCGTTGATTGGCTTGTCGACGGAACTCTCTTCCACATCTCGTCTCTTGTCCTCTGTCTCGGCATGGTTGTGAGGATGAGACGGATGTCCGTGCAGGGGGTGCTCCGGGCTGGAAGTATCGACATCGAGGGGTGCTCGATTAGGCGAATGGGCGTGGGCATGAGCATCCGTAGCGTCTTCATTGTGAGAGCCTTGAGAGCCAGCGTATCAGTAGTTTCCCTTGTCCGACTGGCTCTGGTTCGCTCGCTCACTGTACGTGATACCTAGCTTTGACAGCCTGGCCGTCCCGATTCGATACGCGGCAATCTCTGCAAAGAAGATACCATACACTGCAGCCATGGCAATAGCTGGGGCCCAGTCCTGCGTCACGAGGTCAGGCATCAAAGGAGGTCATGACGCACATATTCTGTCCATGTCCCTGATAGACATGGGGATCCTAGCTCTTCAAAGGCTGGTGCAAGGAGGTGAATGAAAGCCGTGGCGATGATGACCCCGGATCCGAAGAATTTGGCGAATCTGGAGTGCAAACGCGAGGCATGAACGGCGACAGACGGGTGACGGGTGATGGGTGATAAGGCACAAAGAAGTGAATGAGAAAGAGCTTTCATGAGTACTCTCCTTCGTCTGCCCAGCATGTGGACCTACTGGAACACCGGTTTTGGAATGAAAGACGACGATCTCAAGATGATAGGAGCAAAAGTCCCTGCGAGCGATGTGACCTAGATCGAATGTTAGTGTATGAAGAACGACTTGATGGAACCCGCCTCGCCTCACCAGGATGATGAACACTGCTCCTATGCGAAGACCTCGCCTATCATCGGCATTATCAAGACTACACTCTGCCAGATCAGACATAGCGAGAAGCGAGGTCCCGTTCGTTGCTCGATATTTTTTAAGCTTATTAGCAAGAGGCGTCCGGAGTATCCTATGACTCGAGTGACGAGAATAGATATCTGAGATGGGTCAAAGTAGACGAGAATAGAAGACGAAGCCAGGGGGGGGGCGAAAGATGATACCTTGCGAGGTGAAAAACCCTTGGTCCAATGAGTACCCTCACGGTCGTCAGAAAGTGCTATCTCGTCACTTTATTCGAGCATCCCAATAAAAGCGATAGCGGCGATCGCCGTTACAAGCTGAATGATGTTTGGATGACGTTCTAGCTAGCTCGCGGTTGGGTTCAATGCCCGATGCTCTATTCGCCATGGACATCCCGTCGTATATATCCCTGCCGACTGGAGCGATACCCATTCGGCCACCTGAAGCAGGTCCATCCAATCACCGTAACAGCCAACATGTTGTCCGTCCCGAAGGTGCTCGTCGCCATCCCTCGTTCCCTCCATCCTCTTCTACGGTCCCACCACCTGCACCTAGAAAGTTTGGGATTCCATCCACGTCTTCTATCACATCCAATGTCTCGGACATGCTATTGAGCTCGTTACTTCCTCCCAACTTACCGAAACTGCCCGGAGGAGGAGGAGGAGGAGGAGGAGGGAAACAGGGTCCAGGTGTCCCCAGAGAACTGAGCACGAGGAAGGAAGCACTGAGCTTGCCGTTGATATCGAACAACTTTCGACGGTTTGTCACCAAGGTAAGGCATGGACCAGGTGAAAAGCCAAAAAAAGAAAACGTTGACAGTACTTCAGGTAGGACCCGTTTTCTGGCTGCAGGACCGTATAGAGGAGGTCTTGTTCTGGCGTAAACCTCGTTGGACATGGGCCTGGATTATGGCCTGGACCTTTATTTGTAAGTTTAGGCGTCGGTGTAGCTGACATGTAAGCGTTCAAGCCACGTCTACTCCTACTCGTACCGTCCCTCCTGCTCATCCTCATCCTCCTGCACATTCACGAGAGACAGCACCCTTTGCCCAGTCTCCTAGGCGTGCCATTACCGCCAGATGGTGAAATCGGCACCACACGACTCCCCACGTCAGCGCCTTCAAACCAAGCTGCATCTGTAGCTGTCAACTCCCTAACCAAAGTCAACGCTGGTGCGACTGGATACAGCGCAACCAATGCAAGCACGGAGAGTGAGCCGTTGCCTGCTGTACCACCTAAAGAGGCGGAGAGCGGGGTGGACTATTACATGAACGTCCAGGCTATTCAGAATCTCATGGGGCAAATGTGAGTCGCTCCTTTGGACTCTGACTGATAGAGACAGCTCCGATATCTACGATTGGACGTTTCCATATGTCTCGCGTTTCTCTCACCCGCAATCTACATCCACTCAGACCTCTTTCCCCCTCACTACGACACATCTGCTCATCGCCCTCTTGATACCCTCTCTCGGACTCCCACTCTTGCCTCCGTACATGATCCCGTACCTCTTGCTCCCACTAGGTCTCGCTCCACCTCTCTTCTTCCACCCAAACTTGACTTTTTTCTTCTTATCACTACCACGGCATCCCCTCATCCTTCGAGCTAAAGCATACCTCGAGGATGTGGTATTGACCGACGCACTGGATGATGAGATCGGTCGCATGCCAATCTCACGCGTCGAAGTGTGGGAGAATGAGCGTCTAGATCCGGTCATGGTGGCGAAACCACCTGCTTCGGGTATCGTCCCGTCTACATCGTGGTCCAGTCGTCATTTACGAGCGGGTGAGAGAGCCCCCTGGGTCAAGGTCAAATCGGAGGATAGTGTCTGGTTAGATCAGGAGCCAAAATTGGCTTCACAGGTCTCCACCGACTCCGACGCGAGCTCCTCGGGGGGCGAAGGACAAGAAAAGGAGGAGCAGATGGTATTGGCTTTGAAGCCGGGATGGATCTTCATCCCAGGCGAAGAGTGGAAGGTCGATGTCTGTGGTCTATGGAGTGAAGTAGGATCCGATGAGAGTGAGTTCTCGGTGAAGGCTATTGGCTTACGCTATCCTCAGATGGGTGGATGTACTCGGACGATTCGTGGCAGGTGAGTCAAAGTGTTTCGTCGATATCTGTGTCATCCTCTGACTCCTCGTTCTCAAGAACCCAGCCTGCAGATCCTTGACCGAGGGCGACACTGCACCTTCTGACAAATCCTCAATGCCCGGTTTAGCGCTTCGGCGAGTCACTCGAAGACGAAGATGGTGGCGAAGGGTCTACCTCGATGTGCCCGAAGCGAGCCCCCGTGACCCATAATTCATTCAGTGTAGCATCTCTCTACGGTCACAATAATAATATTCCGCCACACGGGTCACTCGGTCGGCCGCCCAGTACCTCGGCATCGGTTTCAGAATAGCTCTCGCTGGGCATGCATGAAACGTTCTTGATCTTGGCTTAATTGTGCTGCCATCACAGGTCGGTCATCAGTCATGTGATGGAAGTGTTTCTGTCCACTGTCCGTCCACTTCCATCATCACAAAGCAGCTTTCGTTGGACCCATACAATGCATGCCTGGCTCATGAAACCTCCATGCCATGCCCGAGGTAATCCCCGAACCTAGGGGTCCACAGCGCCTCATTTATTATTTCGGTGACCGGTACAGGGGGCGTTGGGGGCGGGTCCGGGCCGTTTCTGATGATTTGAAAATTAAACTTTTGACTCCTCTCCAGGCTCGTCTCGGTGATTAACGCGGCTGTACTTCCTAATGTCATTAGGAATTTGTTCTAATGAATGGGCTCCGAGCGCTGACTCAACATTAGAAAAAAGATTGAGGGGGCGACCCCCTTTTGCCGGTGAGACGTGTGTGTGTGGTGTATGATGATTATTTTGGTTGTTGCCGCCGCTTTCGTTCTCGGGCACCGAAGCAAAAAGGTTCAATCCATATAGATATACCCACAGTGATCTCCCAAACGGGGGTCACAGAGGCTACCACATCGACGTTCGACCGTTCTTCTCTGGCTGGACCTGCTTTGACTTGAGTCCGTCTGCCCATGTCATCATCCTCTACCATGTCAGCCTCTACGCCGACTCTGAATCACACAGAGATGGACGTATCCACGAAGCAGGCCACTTCGTCCAAAGCACCGAGCGTGCACTCTCATGCCTCTGCATCCCAATCAGCCTCATCTCATGCACCGTCCAAACCCGTCACAGCATCACCTACCGCTGCTGGTCCCAAAGAGGGCAAGGGCCCTCCGAAGGGCACTGCAGCGTTTCAAGCTCCGTTGGACATTCCCAAATGGAGATTCTGGCTCGTGTTTCTGAGTCTGTTGGTGAGGCGCCAAAGTTCCCTCGAGGCGGCTGGACTTGACTTACTGATACTTCCTCTTTCCCAGGTCTCCATCTTCCTGTTCGCCCTCGATCAACTCATCCTCGCCACCGCCATTCCCAAGATCACCGCGGCTTTCGACGCCCTCAGTGAATTATCATGGGTCGTCAACGCGTTCTTGTGAGTAGACCCCTCACAACACACCACGCTGACCCTCTCAGCCTCACGCTACTCGGATTCAACCTCATGTACTCTCAATGGCTGCAGATCTTCCCTTCAAAACACGTCATCCTATTCGCTGTCTTCATCTTTGAAGTGGGTTCCTTGATCTCTGGCGTCGCTCCCAGTATGGATGTCCTCATCTTTGGTCGAGCTGTCTCTGGAGTCGGTGCCGCTGGACTATTCAGCGGTGGCATGATCATCACGGCCGAATTGACCACATTGCACGAGCGACCAAAGTATTTCGGATTGTTCGGCGCTTGGTGAGTCACCACACCACCCTTTGCGCGAAGACTGACGGAGATTCAGCTTCGCCCTTGCATCCGTCATTGGACCTCTGATCGGAGGAGCGTTCGCCGATCACGTCAGCTGGAGATGGTGTTTCTACATTAACCTCCCTTGTGAGTCTCCGTCACATACGCCCAGCTGATCCCCACACCCAGTCGGAGGAATCGCCATGGCTATGATCACCGTGTTCCAACCTGCCTCTCACCCCCTGGGACGAAAAGATTCCTACAAGGGTTACTCGAAAGAGATGCTCCAGCAACTACTCCGATGTGACTGGCTCGGTGTGGCCTTCTCCATGGCTTGGGGATGTTGTCTCATCCTCGCTCTTCAATGGGGTGGTGTCACCAAAGCTTGGAACGATGGAAGCGTCATTGCCTGTCTCGTCATGACCGCTGTCTTGCCTGTCCTCTTCATTCTCTATGAAAATTGGCTAGGAGATCAAGCCATGTTCAGACTAGCTCTCATCAAGAGGCGATCCATCGCGTGAGTGTCTCTTACCAAGATCGTCCTAATCTCCCCAGTGGCGCTTCGGTCGTTCTATTCTGCTTGTTCGCCGACATGATGTTCATCATCTACTACCTCTCGCTCAATTTCCAAGGTACGTCAACGTCACTGCCCGCAGCCAACTGACATCGCAGCCGTCTACCACTTCTCCGGTGTCAAGGCTGGAGTTCACCTGCTTCCCTTGATCCTGGTTCAGGTCGCCGTCCTCATCGCTTCATCCCGTATCATCCCCAAGATTGGCCGATACAAGTGGGTCATTGTCGCTGGACCCGTCTTTATCGCTCTCGCCTGTGGTCTGTTCTACACTGTCAAGTATGGAGACGATGTCGGCAAGCTTTACGGCTTCCAAGTCATCTTTGGTATTGGAATCGGTCTGGCTATGCAGAACTCGATGTTGTCCGTTCAATACGATCTCAAGGCTCAACCTTGGCTTATCGGCGCGGGTACTGGAACCGCCGTGTTCAGTGAGTCTCGCTCGATTGTATTCGCTGACTGAATCGTCCAGTTGGCTTTGCGGGCCGTATCTTGGGCATCTCTCTCGCTGGCTCCGTCTTTGAAAATACCATTCAGACCAACCTACACAAATATGTCCCTGATCTGCCTCAACAACTGGTGTATGCCGTCGTCAACTCTGCCGAAGCCGTCTGGACTGTCATCCCTGATCAACTTCGACCAAACGTCCTCGTAGCGTACACTCATTCCCTCCGAAATGTCTACATCATGGGAGTCCCCTTCGCCGTTATCGGTTTCTTCGGTGCACTCGTCATTCGGGACGACAAGATGCAATCCAAAGCCGAGGAACAAGCCGTCATTGCAGCCAACAGGGAAAAAGAAGCGCTTGCCAAGGCCGCCGCTGAAGGGAAATCCGTCACACCTACCGATGCTGAGAAAGTTCAAGCTGTCCAAGATGCCGTCTCTGACGAGAGAGAACAACAAGAAGCCATCGCGCTGGCAGCTGTGGCTCCTGTCCCAGAGGCTGTGGTAGAGGGTGGACCCGATGCGAGAGTTTTGATAGATACTCAAAATGGCAAGAGTCCAGTATAAGGGGACCCCCTTGTGTCGTGTTAGATGATAATAATGATGCATCTGAATGTTGTCTTGGGACAAAACTCGATCCCTGTAGAGGCTATATTTAAATTTCCATTTTGAGTAAAAACATTGCTGTTTCAGCAAGAAACCAACCCAAAAGGGTTTTGTACCCTCCCCGCCCCTTGCTCCGCCCTCTCTCTTCTCTCTCTATGTATTGCGAGATTGTATTATATTGAGACTCGATCTCATCGGCTTCGAGTCTTGGCTCGACTTCCGACACGTCTCTTCTGTGTATGATATCTGGGAGGTTTCCGACGATCCCTCCCAGCTTGCGGTCATCGGTTTCGGAATTTGGCTTGCATCCTCGGTCTTGGGTCTATCTGCGCCGTGGTCAAGCTTTATATCTCGGTCAGTATAATTATTGATCGTCCCTGTTGTTCTCATCCCATCCCGGATTTGTTGGATCGCTTCAAGGGGCCTGGATACCAGAAACGCACACCGAATTCACGACCCGACTTCGACTTCGCCCTCCCTCTCCCTCCACCATTCCAAAATACCTCTCGCCATGTCATCATCATCTTCTCGCGCTGGACCTGCGCCGCACGCACATAATCCCCTCTCATCACCTATCTCTCCGAGAGGTCCGAGGTTTGATTCCGGATTTCCATCTGCCGTGTTACCGTGAGTTCTAGAGGGGGGATTTCTGTGTCAGCGTGATATTAGACATCGAATGAACGGGTGTCGAGCTTTTTGGAAAGATGTCAGAAGAAGAAGAAGAGGGATGATGATGGAAAGAGAGAGAGAGATATGAGACACAGTCGTCCTTATATTCGAGTTTTTGAAACGCTCAGACCTCTCTCCCGAGATCTCCGCTTCCCCCCCCCCCCCCCCCCCCCCCCTTCCTTTGGGTGTCACCTTATTGTTCACCAGCTCTCATGTTCATCCCATCTATTGTTGTATCCTGCTTGGAGAAGGAAAGCTGACATCCTGTTGTTATCTTGCCCCTCACACTGCGGACTGCCATCCTATACACCTTCCCAAATTCGCTCTCGCTCTCCTGCTTGTCCCGCTCATCCCTTTGTTGGATCCCTGTTTCGACCCCTGGCTGCGTCTAACGGTCATCCCCCTTTTGCCGTTCAACGGGACACCTCCTCCTTCGGACGTATACTCCCTTGGGAATCAATTTCACCTCTTCTTGATCCCATCGTCTTCTGTCATTGGCCGCCCTCCATATCCAAATCACATCACTCTGCATGACCTGGCCCATTCACTGTTCCATCCCATTTACCATGCTCCAACACGCTGGTCCATATCGTCAACCTACTCTCTCTGCGGATCCATCTATGCCACCTCCACTTCCTTTTCCTGCTCAACCTCAACCTTCACCTGCACCCGCCTTGGTATCCGACGTTCGACCTCGATCACGCCACGTCACTCGTCTCGCGCCCATCACACCGATCACTCGGACCGTCTCGGACCCTACCATTGCCATTAAAAGGACGTCTTCGTTGAGAGAGCCGTTACCTGGCGAATCGAGATCACCTAGCATATTGTCTGAAGATGATGGGACGGGTGAACGTGATGATTTCCTAGCTCATCAAACTCGGACGCGACGGAGTAGACGTGGAAAGGGAGACTTGTGAGTCACGAAGAGGTCCATGCTGTTCGTCGTCCTGGATACAAGGTTTGTGAAGATGATGAAGATGAAGGAGGGACAGGGTTTTTTGACGCTAGTCCCCCTCTCTTTTTCATCTTCCCATCATCTCGCATCCTTTCATCTACCCATCCAAACCTCATCGACTCAAACCTCTCATTGTCTAATTCACATCCACTCACCTCATCATTTCTCAACCTCTCACTCTCGCCTCGCTCCTTCTCAAACCAAACCCACCCCCCGCTTCACTCGCCTTCGTCCGAATCCGTCCGTTCCATTCGCCGTTTCGCTTTGTCACTATCCTTTCATCTCCTTGACCCCTCAAACCCATCTCCCTGGGGTTCCGACTCTGATCTGCTTGCCGGTCGGGGAAGGATTCGAGGGGGGTGAATCATCACTTCTCTCACTGACTGTCCCAAAAAAAAACATTGTCTCTCGACTTCGATCAGAAGACCCGGGTTTGACTGTCTCACTTTTTCGTGGTTGTTGTTTTTTTGTTATCTCTCCTCCTCTTGTCCTCTTGTCATGTCTATCCCTCATCTTATACCGCCTGCTAACTTGATCGATCACTCGCTTTCACCCTACCTCACTCCACCGCCTACACTTCCACACACTCGCGCCAACTCGGACGGATCCATTGGTCATCGTCGCTCCCTCACTCTGAAACCCATCGTCTCGCCTATGACTGCTATATCGCCTGGACGTCCAAATGCCTTTCGTCTCCCTTCGTTACCGTCTCTCCCGATCATTCGACGTCTCAGCGGACCAGAAGACGATGGTGATGACGCCCACTCTCCCAATCCTCGAGGCGACAAGCGTCGGCGGGTAGGAAGACCAGCACGTCATTCAGAATCCGCACTCGTGTCTCCTTCCAAATCGCAACACTCCTACCCTTCGCCTTCACCAACTTCACCACATGCTCATGCAGCCGCGGGTGGTCGATTCGGTCTAGCACCTATCAAACCTGTAGGTTTCGCAGCTTCTCGTGGATCAAGACGTGAAGACGGGACCGACCTTGCCATCCCTTCTCCTGTCGTCATGGGCTTCGATTTCAAGTCCATCGACGATGATCAACTCCGGACGGTGGGTTTGATGGCTGACCAAGATGACCGCAAGAAGAGTCAAGCTGAAGTCCTTCGCAATCAGGTTCGAGATACTATCAGTATAAAAGAACAGCAACAAGCTTTGATAGCTCAAAGAAGAAGAGAGAACGCTGCTAGCACTCCGAGTACACCCAAAGAACTCACTTTCAAAGGCTGGGTCCCGAAAGAGTCCATGCAAGGCAGTGGGGAGAAGCCACCAGTGCAACAGCTCCATCCTCAGCCGGACTTGACAGCTCAACCTCTGTCGATACCGGCTTTGGGCAGCGGCGGCGGCGTAGGTAGAAGAAGAGAGAAGATCAGGGACAAGGTGGAGGGAATGACCATTGTAACGTCTGCCACGGACAAAGATGGTGTTCCGGGGTCAAAGGTGAGCTGAGGCTCATGGGGTCCAGCTCACGTCTCACAGAGCGCACCACTTAATCAGGGTTTGTCAGTCCAACAAGCCATGCACGACCATTTAGGGGGGCCTCAGACTTCCTTCCCGCATGCTGCCTCTGCTCACCATCCGGCCTACACCTCGGACCTCCGCACGGCACCGATCAGCCACGCCAGAGGCTCCAGAGACGATCATGAACTCGCGCGGCAACAGCAAGGTCCGACAGGATATTGGCGGACGCAGCCCAGAGCCGGCTACGAGCGATACGAACACGCGCCACATACGGGCCGTCCGAGCGTTGCAGGTCAAGCATCCTCTTCATCCCACAATATCATTCATCCCCCACCATTGACCCGAGGCGAACACCCTGCGTCTAGTACCCACCCGCGCAACGGTCATGCACATTATGGCTCTCACTCCCCATCACCACCACCGCTATCAGCCTCTAGGCCAGGTTATGGACCGCCTTCGTCGACATCAGAATACTACGACATGTATGCCAAGATCGAACAGCTGAAGTATTCGCTTCAGGATTTACATCATCGATACGAGGGACTGTTCTCGTCTCAAGTACATGCCATGGGCGAATTCAAGACTACGGCAGCGCAGGCGAATGCTCTGTTAAGCAATCTACAAGCTAGTGCGGACAGCTTAAAGGAGATGGTAAGGTACGAAGTGGGTCGTTCAGGAAGTGCAGAACGGAAAGAGCTGGACGAACTGAAAGAGAGGATCAAGATTCTGGAGGTGCAGTTGAAGCAAAAGTAAGGTGACGGGCGAGATCAGTATGGGAAGGGGCCTTGGATGGGAGGTCCTTGAGCTGAGGATCATGGCAATGACGAATCTTGTGGACTCGGCGGATCTGTACTTCTACTGTGAAATAGCTTCAACATAGATGACATTAGCCAGCAGACGAGACTCCTCCTTGTGGCATATATGGTTGTTGAAGGGAGCGGAGCCACATTCGACGGGTGGATTGTTTACCAGATTGATAGACATGGGATGAATATCCATCACGCAGGGGTAAATCAGGTCGAGTCTGTGAGCCATGTCAGGATCATCTGGTTGGTTCTCCCCCTAGCTGTCGTAGGCAAGGGTGAGATGTCTTGTCAGGGGCTGAGTGGTTGTGCGAAGAGTTCTGAAAGTGTACGCTGTATCGAGCACATCATAAAAATGGCTCCATATCTTCCGCTAGTTCCATGGCTCCACTTCACACCCGAACGACTCCAGATCTCAGCTCACCGTCAGCACGGGCAGCTTCTCAACCAGCTCATGCGACGCTTTCGCTCAATGGATCGAAAGATATCATGCCCTTACATTCAAAGGAACGTTGAAACAAATTGAGGGGGCCATTTTCCGTTCGTCGCCTCTCTCCCTGTCAGAGAATCGATCGACCCTTTGAGCAACGACACACGAACTACTTTCTGACAAAGGTTGAAAGAGTGGGAGGGGTCGCATTGGTTAACTTCTTTTGTGTCCTGGTATCTGGCTGGGCTATGAGAATAAAAAGGTCGCTGCTCAACATCCAACGGCTGTCCTTCGACAGTTGACCGCGAGATATCGGACAATACCCTGACAATACAGTCAATAGCTAGCCGTTCATCATCCACCACCTTGAACTCGAGTACTCGTTTCGAATGAGTCGATCATCTGGCAGGCAGAACTCCAAGGCTCTCATAGTAAGGTCCTCTCGCAGTAGTGCTCTCGACCGATTGCAGAGCCAAGTGGGAGCTATCAGCGCATACAGGGCTTATCGAACCTCGGAAATGTACGAATCTCAATGGAGAGACAGGCAAGGCCGGTCGCGGGTCTCAAGCAACCGTGACTGCTATATCTGTAATGGGAATACCTCATTTGAAGACGCCGCCATCGTCTTTCCTTTCCAGGAAGGCCAAGAGAAACAGGGCATCGTCTGCCACCTGGAATGCTTTCAGCGTACGGGAGGTATGACTTATTATGTGGGAGAAACGCCAGTGGAAGGGTGTCGTTCCAACTGGGAGGGGTCCACTCAATGATACCGTGTCTCTCCCTGGGCTGGAGGGAGGCTGGAGGGAGGCTTGAGTACACAAGAAGCCACCCGTGGAATGACTGTTGAGGAGGATCCTCTGACCTGGGGACACGCGCCAGGACGATAGAATGCATGTTTCTTGACAGAAGCACTTGGTGTGCCACGAAGCAAAACCGCCACTTTTGAGGATTGCTCGAAGCAAGCTAGCTAGCTTTTTCTCGTCCACTGTCCGTCGATACTTCTTTGGTACATCGTCAGGCCGGTCGCGACGCTCGGTCGCTCCGTCTGATGCCTGATGTGCTCCCTGCATCTGAAACTAAACACTTGACGCTCCTGCATCATCCAATACCATGTAGCGATATTCTCCTCCAGCTTCGTCAGCGATCCATAGGCGAGAATCTAAAACCGGACAACGAAACTCTGTCCATCGGTGCAACAACTCGCCATGTCAAGCACGAAGGCACGGGAACAACCGGTACGACACTCTGGCTAGGCGCTCAAGTACTTGCCTGTTACCTTGTATCTGCTCTCCCGCGCGTTCTTCCTGTCCCATTTGGTGGGCGATCGACTCGAGGTAGAGTTCTGGAGTTGGGAAGCGGGACCGGTTACCTTTCGCTCGTGTTGGCCAGCATGGGATACACTGTCCTCTCTACGGATATCGAGCCAGTTTTGTCGACAGTATTGAAGCCAAATGTCGAAGCTGGTCTGCATCAGATTCGAGCATCTGCAAATGGATCAAATGGACTTATCGTGGTCCAGAATCTAGATTGGACCCTGGATGATGATGCTATAGCAGGTGAAAGGTTCGACATGATACTCATGAGTGATACAATCTACCTATCGGATCTGAACCCTCATCTATTCGGAACGCTACGGAAAGTGTCTCTCGAGGGCAAGGCACCGATGGTGTATCTCGCACTGGAACGGCGTGACTCAGCGGCGGTAGACTCTGCATTGACTATTGCTCAAGAAATGGGATTCAACTTGAAACGCGTAGCTCATACCCGTGTAGTCAAGGCTGTTGACGGTGCCGGATGGGGCTGGGACGAACAAGGCTGGGAGGATGTAGAGGTTTGGAAAGGCAAATGGGAGGGTCAAGCCAAAAAGTCGAGGCATCGCGGGCAAGATGGAGTGCCCTGCGAGCATGCATCATCGTGATCACAGGACATCTATTCTTCCCCCTCGCTGACCATGCCATCGCTTGATCCACTATCCAGCTCAGGGAACGCTTCATCTTCATCATCCATGACAGTTGGGAAAACGAGATCTCCACGCGCGGGTCCGTCCTCCATCACCTGTTTGATTAGCGAAATTTCATTTGCCCCATTCTCTTCGAGAGCCGTAGACTGGTCTTGCCTGTTTGCAGAATCACTATCGCTTTTGGATACGGTCTGCAAAATAGTCGTGGCTGGCTGCGCGACAGCGGGCTCAGCGGGTCGCAGGTGCAGAGTCGAGTCGCTAATAGTAGAAAGTACTGTCGCTCTTTCAATAGTCGGCTGGCCGTTGGGTTGCTGTTCTGAGACGATACAGACTTCCATTGTGTCATCCTCGTCTCCTTCCCGCTGCTCATCTTCCAGTCTGCCCAGTCCCAATTCGAGACGCAGCTTCTTTTCCTCCTCATTTTCTGGTGCAAAGAAATGCAGGGCACTGAGGGGTGGTTGAGGTCGGACCGTAGGTGGAGCATGCGGGTGTAGTAGCATAGACGTCTTGTCTGCGTGAGGTTGACCCTGACGGACGAATGAGCTTGTGTCGCGCTTCCTACAGCATGGGACGCTCACCAGCAAAGACACGATGATCGTTTTCCATCCCTTTGCGGTTCCCGCTTGATTATCCACCATCATCATTGCCGCCTCGAGGACTTGCGCCACGGTATCTGTGAGTCTCGATAAATCCCCTGGCGCAGCGAACGCAGAAGATGTCATCATCTCCAATCGAAGGTGAATCGACAGATGAAGCCGAATGGACAACAGTGTGATCGACGGGGCAAGTAACGGGGTCCCGTGAAGTAGCGGGACCACTGATCTGGTCAGCAATCGCATTCAACACCCTATATCGTCAACTCACACTTCAAACAACCCAGGATAACCTCCACATCCTGTGCACTGATAGGCTTAGATTCTCGTCCCTCCAGACTACCGATCAAGCCTTCCTCAGCCCCACGAGCACGCTTTTTTCCTCTCCTGCCTTCTGAACCATTCGCAGCTGGCCCGATACTCGATGGAGACTTGCTCTCCAAAAGTAGACCGACCCGCGCTATGCAGTATTTGAGGATTCGTGTGGGATATTCGATAGGGACCAGAGCAGGAGGGAAAAGGGAGAAGCATATATGCAGAAACGAGAGGATTTGGGCCGTCGAAGAGCTGAGGGACTATCAGCATTTGGCGGAAGACGCCCACATACGACATGGCTGAAGGCAGCTGATCTAATAGCGAGGTACTTTGCTCCAAGATCGAACTGAGGAAAGGCAACAGATGGTCTCCGCAGCTGAGCCAGTGTCAGTGAGTCGACATTTCGAAGATCTGTACTGACGCAGTCATGATCGAGCCGCATATCAATAGTCCAGCTGTCCATATCCGCGTGAGGCCACCAAGCAGCATAGCATGATGTAAAGGCGACACATGACCGGCAACCTGAGAACATCGTGAGCACGGCTCCTAAAATATTTACAGGTAACTCACAGAAATCGTTGGACTCAACGTCAGACACCTCACGCCTGTCTGTATCAGGCTACTGAGTGGGACTGACACGGCACGAATGGAGTTCACACTAGGAGAGTCAGTCCGGGACGACTAGATCTACCTACCTCAGAAGCGCCACGACGACTTCGACGCCCCCTTCTAGAAGATGTAAAGCGGCGTCGGACCGAGCTGCAGGATCCTCAGGCAGAGGAGGAAGGTCGGACGGGTGAGGGATTCGGCTTGCATAGGCGCTATCTTGGACCAAATCAGTCGGTGATCGCAACGGCTAAGCTCACTGTCCGTGAAGGCATCTCTGCCGTATTCTGAAAAGGCGTAGTCGACGATTCCACGGGCATACTTCAAATCCTCCGCCCAGACTGTAGGCGCTTGCGACTTTCCGACGGCGAGGTGCAGATGAGCGAAAAGTTCCGCTGAGATCTGAATCAGATCTTCCGGCGCGTTTAAGGGATAGCCAAAAGTACTGGAGCCAGGAGCAGGTGGTATAGGGCAATTGAAGATAATAGCTCGGAGGAGAGCGCGGAGAGAGGAGATAGAGGGGCGAAAAGGCGCAGGATAGATCATGAGGATCCGCTGTGTCTGCTCAATTGAAAAAGACTGAGATGCGTCAGTTCGGTCTGTGGAGATGAATACACACCAGACTGTCTAGATCCTGCTCGTTTGCTGCACGACTCAGGAGTCGAGTGAGACTCAGAGCGATCTTGCCCATCAATGGCTGGACTGCCTCGCGCTCAAACGAAGGATAGCGTACAGACACCGTCAAGAGGATATTGATGAGCTTCATGGGCTGCTGAAGGGTGGACAAAGGCAATTCCAGCGACTGGTCTGTATGAGCAACATGACAACCGGTCAGCTCACGGAAATGGCAGCAAGGGCCGCTTCCAGCCAGCCTTTTCCATGGTCTACCACAAGGTCTTCAGCCTTTTCCACTAGTTCAGAGACTGCTGCCCATGCAGCTGTACGATCCGCTGCGATAATGTTCCTTGTTGAAACCAGAAGAGTCGTATTGAGTCTGTTGACAATTTTGGCTAGGGTTTTTGAGTGTGTCAGAGGGCGGGGAGCCCTGCGCAGTATTTCGGAGTATGAGGGGTGAGAAATTGGTAGAGATAACAACAAAGCCAATGGATCCGAAGGCCCCGCTTCGTCCCCGTTGATTACCATCCTGTTGAGCAGCCGTTCTGAGCCAGCTGTGGTCAGATGTGGGGTTCTGTTACTTCGTTTGCCAAAATTATGGACGCCTCCACTCGTTTCAACCCAAGACTCCATCCACTGTGAGAAACCTTGCCACGTGGGATCTGCCGTAATTGATATTGCGCGTCTTTCCTTTTTTTGGTGAAGCTCCCCACCACCGTCGTCACCAACAGTTCCAACTCGACTGACAAGCACCGCACGGGGGCTTATCTGGATATTGCAGCGAGTGATCCAATCACTGCTCATAATCTGGAAGGGGTGTGTCCTTCCAGGCGTAGGGATAGGTCCTGCCTGCGGTACTTCATACGCTTGGAGCCCCTTGAGCAGGTGCCAAGGCGATCGTGTTTGGGTCGTCCTAAAAGTGTTTCAGGTGGGTGGAAGAGCATTGTTCGTTGATCATCTCTCCCTTGCCTTCGTCCGACACGTCAATATGCCTCGATAACCAGTGCTTACTTGTTCCTCAGCTGTATCGTGGCAGCTGTGGACAGCTGGTCGCTTGACAGAACGCCTCGGCAACCAGGCGGATGGCTCGAGGTGACCCAGAATAGCCGAGATTGCCTCAAGTAGGCCATGTTGCCTGGTTCCGAGACATCAGCATCAGCAGCAGTATCGGCAGCTCAATCCTCTCATTCGCCTTTCAATATGCCATCCCCTCTCTCCGACTTTGACATGTCGCCTGTCCCTTCTCCCCGTGTGCGTTCGCGCGCCGGGGTTCATACTCGTTCACATTCCTGGTGCGCGCCCAGTCCGGAATCACCGAATGATCCCACTTCATCCAATGCTCGACACCCAACGTCCTTGTCTTCCGAGATGACCTGCAAGGAGTTTAGCGAGACTTTCAAAGCCACTGAGACGCCCGTCCAGCGTGTCAGCAAGCGGCGCCCTACCACGCGAGGCAAGAAACGCGGTGTAGATGGATCCACCCATTCATCCCCTTCTAGACCCAGTCAAAGTACTCGATCCCGGTCGAGGTCGTATTCAAAGTCCATCTCACCCAAACAGAGTCTCGATTCAGTGCATCGACGCGAGCCAATAGGAGACACCTCAATATCCTTTGACTCGGATCATCTTGTTACGCCCGCTCCTCAGGCATCAGAACATCGTCGGCGTATAGCTCCACTTCGATCTTCGCGGTCCAGCCTCTTCGCCACTGGCTCGACCCCTCATCCCATCTCGATCCCAATCTATGCCTACCGAGACAAGGCACCTTCGAGAGATTCTAGTCCAGTCCCCGCTCCACGAAACGATTCGAGTCCGTTGAAGAAGCCAAGAACTTCGCTCGGTGGAGAAATCATCAATTTCCATTATTCGAGCGATTCAGATTCGGAGAACGAGACGCCATCGCCGCCCTTGCGAACAAGGGCGCGGTTCAACTCGCTCCTAGGCCCATCGCCCTTGCACAAATCGTTCTCCTCTTCCATGTCCCCTCCCAGTCCATCCGGATCTCTCCCAAAATCAGTTTCCGCCTCAATCCTGCCAATCCGTGCAACCCGTACGCCTAGCGGAACTCAATCCCAGCTCGGTCTCCCTTTCCGATCAGAACGTTCCCTAAGTTCACCATCTCTCGGGCTGTCAACGGGTAATTTCTCCCCAAATAGTGATCTGTTGAGTCCCCTGAGGGCTAGAACGAAAATCCTCAGCGAAGTCGAGGGTCTGGAGACCGAGCTGAACAAAGTCTTTGCTCTGGTGCACGGGAAAGGTCTGGGACTGGGTGCTGGGGGTAGAGGTAGGAGAATAGGAAGTGGATTGAGGCAGAGCAAAGGTGTAGACGATGCCGAGGAAGTCAGGGTCGAAGACGAGTCACCCCTTCCTCGAAGAGCTACCAACAGGGAGCCAAGGACTCGAGAAGATCATATGGAGGTGGACACTACTGAGTCTTGACGTGGGTCAAATACCGGTTGTGATCCGTATTGACCTTGACAGTGTGGCTTGAGCACTGTGTAACTCCTCTTGGCCACTAATACATCCATCGCGACGATTCTTGTAACGACATTTTCGCTCTTCCCTTTGCGCTCTCCCCGCTTGGCTCAGACACATACCCTCTTTATTCGCAACCTTAGACTCTGTTCTCATCTTATACCGCATTGGCACTTCATTCGCAACCGTCTAGCCGACAAAAGCACTCCGCTTTCACGATGATGATCCGTCCCATAAACGCCATGTCCTCATACCAGTGTCTCCCAAATTGTCACGTCATTTCATTCACATCATCCGATTTTGTCATTGTATGCATAATAACGTCCCTGGCTGCTCAGATCTTCGCCTTTGCTCTCTCCTCTTCCTCGTTCTGCCTCTCGAGAGCTCGCTTTGCGGCGGGTCTGTGAGCGATATCAGCCGAGTTCCACGGCCCACAGACTCACCTGGCCATGACCATCTTCCACCATGCTTGAGTTGCCGGCCCAATTTCATACACTCCTTTTCTCGTGCCTTCCAACAGAGAGTAGATCGGGAAGAAGACTTGGAACTGAGGACTGTTGGCCCGGTCCAAGTGGAGAGCGACTCACATCACCACTGCCAGGTTTGTCCGTTCCAGACAAGTATTTGCCAGGATGCTCTGCCAGGAACTTTTCCATCTGTAAACGAGTCAGGGAAGGACATGCCTGTGCAACTCACTTGACCAAGATTCTTGGTGATCTCCCCTCTGATGAGGGTCTCCTAGAGTTGCAGGTCAGAGATCCGAGTAATCAAAAGCCTTGCCCCACTTACGTTTAAGAAATTAGCATACTTCTTCACACCCGCTTTACCAGCCTCATCGAGGTCGCCAATCGCACCAGATGTCCATCCCGCACTGGTGATTTGGAGAGTGGCGCTCATCTGGAAGTAATTGACTAGACTGCCCTCGCAATAATGGCTCCAGAATTTCGAGTTGTTCGACGGAACAGACTCAACGTCTGATCCTGGAGGGAAAAGATCCAAGATGCGATCGATGATGTAGCCCGACTCAACCAGGAGTTCTCCGTCAAGCTCGACGGCTGGAGCCTTTGAATCCATCAGCAAATTCAATGTGAGCGCCAGCCCTCTGCACACTGACCTTGCCAAAGGGCGTGACGTCCTTCAGCGTCTGCGGCGCTTGTCTAGTCGGGCCTCGAAAATGGACTCGGACATCATACGGCTGACCTAGTTCCTCGAGGACCCAGACTGAACGGTCTTGTTAGGACGCAAGAATGGCTCACTCACAGATCCGAGTTGATCTTGAGGCGTTCAGGTGATGCAGTGTGATTTGTGATGCCATAGTGTAGATAATCGACCAGTGTAGACCAGAATGATTCAAACTTTTGGGTTGGTCAAGCTTACCGGCCATCATTTGAACCTGGATTAGCCGGGCACGTGCTCAGCACGTGTTCTTCGGCTGTTCGGCTTCGCCCGAAGTGGAGGCGATCCAGTTTAAGCAGTTTAGCCGATTCACAAACCAAAGACTTAAACGGGAATGTGTAAGCAAGTGGCTCAGAATTCCAGTCTTGAGGCTGCACTATTCCAGTTCTGCGACAGTGTCCAGTCGTGGAGCTCCCTAAATATGATATCGCAAGAAGAAGACCGTCCAGCCTTCCGAAGACTCGACTCATTCGACCCTCTGTCCTTGTCCGGGAACATGAACGAGCCCAGTATTGAAATCACTGAAGAAGTCTTCCCTGAAGGAAACAATGGTTCATCCATTGCACGCCCAGAGCCAGCAAGAATGCCCAGTCACTTGTTCGTGTCACCTCTACCAGCGCTCGAACGAGCCGAGGCTTCGACCTTGATAGGTGTCGCTTCCATTCCATTGACAAGTCTTCAGCTCTCGAAGGAGACACCGATATGTCCTTCGACTAGCCCCATGACAGGTGTTTCATTGTCTACCGCCCCATCGGAGCATAGTCAATACACATTGGATGAGCGGCAGGAAGGTGCCTCCAGCCTTCATATCTCCAGTCTTGGCGAACCGGCCACCCATCCCAGGGACTTTCTGCATGGTAGATCCCTGCTTTTCAAATGCACTTTCGTCAGCGTCACGTGCTCTGCTCAGCTCATTGCCCAGGGGCAATTTGGAATGGTCATGATACCTCTCAAAGAGATTGGAGACTATCTTAGAGTGGAAAGTGCAGGCGAGCTAAGCTGGATGACTGCCAGCTATGGGTGAGCTCGAGCCCAAAAATTGAGTTTCTCATGCCGCCCTAGCCTCACGCTTGGGATGTTCCTCATCGCTTCTGGTAGACTGGGAGATCTATAGTAAGTGCGGCGAAGCTTGGTACCAATCTATACTGAGATGCACGGCAGTGGACCGAAACTCTTATGGCTACTTGGAACTGGGTTGATGGCTATATTCAATCTCGGAACTGGCTTTTGCCAATCCCGCATTCCCTTTGACCTGTGTCGGGCTCTTGCAGGGATAGGCGCAGCCCTAGCAGGTATGGTTCTTGATACGAAGCGCACTGAAGCGTCTCAGTCCCGAATGCCGTGGCTATCCTCGGACGGACATACCCGCCAGGTTCCACTCGTTCCCTCATCTTTGCCATCTTTGGTGCCTTGGCGCCTGTAGGCTTCATGGTAGGCGGTGCCGTTGCAGCCTTGTTGGCACAAACAACCTCGGTGATTTGGATCTGGTTCTTCACGTGAGTGAGCGGCTGAGATCCTCGAATCCAATGACTTAGCAACTTCCAGTGCGATCCTCGCGGCTGTCATCCTTGTGCTCGGTATCTTTGTTCTACCGCCTGATGCCAATCTCGCACCCGCATCGGCGAGGCGATCCTTTGACTACGTCGGTACTCTTTTACTTATCGTCGCCTTGGGATTGTTCAATTTCACCTGGAATCAAGGTCCAGTAGTCGCTTGGTCAGCGCCATACGTCTGGAGTCTCCTCTTGGTATCCATGCTGGCTTTTGTGGCACTTTACTTTTGGGAAAAGAGACTGGGTACCCACGCGTTGATCCCCACCGAGGTACTGTCAAGAACGAGTCTCTTGGTCTATCTGTGTCTTTGGCTGGGTTGGATGAGCTTCGGAGTGTTCTTGTTCTATACTACTTTGTTGTAAGTGGTTCGTTACGACTTCAGATCATTAACAGCCATAGCATTCGCAACGTGCGAGGAGTTGACACGGCCCTCGGTCTCACCGCTCAGCTGATCCCAGTTACGCCTACTGGTCAGTATTGGAGGTGTCTGATTGCCTTCAGCTCACACTAAGCTTCAGGCGTGATCTGTGCTCTTGCCGTACCCACTCTACTCACTCGCTTCCCGGGCCACCAGATCTTCTTCGTCTCCATGGTAGCTTTCCTGGTCGGAGACGTCATGGGAGCTGTGGCGCCTGTCCATGGCTACTGGAGTGTTACCTTCCCAAGTCTGATCTTGGTCATTCTAGGTCCAGGTTAGTACCCGGCATGAATCGCTCGCGTAACTGACTTTAGTGGCAGACTTGAGCTACTCCACAGGCCAGTTAATTGTCAGCAACTCGGTAGACAGGCAGTTCCAAGGAACAGCCGGAGGAATCGTCAGTATGATCACAAACTATTCGTATGTCTACTACAGGGTTGCAAGAGCTCACCGCCAGTCTAAGCATCGGCCTCGGAATGGCAGGGACAGTGGAAGCTTATGTCGTCCCCAATGGGCCGGTGCTCAAAGGGTACAGAACTGCGTTTTACTTTGGCTCTGGCCTTGCGGCTTTAGCTGTGGTCGTCGTGGGGCTGTTCGTCAGAATGCCCAAGATGACCCAGTACCGGGAATAACCAGACACACGACGCTTAGGGTTGACAAGGACGATCTATGATGACACTTGCATGCTGTGTTTCCCTTGCTCTAGGCTATGTACAAGCTCCACCCATCTATCAAAGATACCATACAATCCAGGAAGCCCTATGATCTCCCCATGTGATCCAGAGATGGAGTTCAGACCGGGTCAGACCTTCGAAGAAGGCTCTGAGCTCTCGACACTCGACTTCTCCTCCCTCATGAAGCAGAACCAGACTATCTGCAAGCCCCTCAACCCGATCATGATGCCCAACGTGCCTGTCATCCCACATTTTGTAGCAATCAGTCCACGGGAGCAGAAGGCACCGACAAAGACAGCAAGGATACCGCCGATCCGGACATCTCTCGAAGGCGCATAACGAAAGGCGAAGAGGAAAGGGTCATTGAAGAGCTCGACCCAGGTTGTGGTAAGAACGACAGTCGAGTTCATGGGCGAGCCAAGGCGTTTACCGATGATACCTTGTAATCCCATACTGGCTGAAATGAGACCCAAAGCAGACATGCCCATGGGACTGGCCCAGCTTGGATCCCCTCGATCTAATGCGATGCCTTTCTCTCCGGAGAAATGGGCGCAGCATGTCCCGACCACAGCTAGTAACAGCTGGCAGAAAGTCGCGCCAACAAGCCAGACACGTCGAGTAGACCCGATGTGCTCACCGATCCTGCCGAGAGATGTACCGATACAGAAGGAGACGAGAGATACTAGTAATTGTTGATCACCTTTGAGAAAACTGCGTGTACCGTAAGGTAAAGGATTGAAGGTCCTTGCCAGTGCCAGACCTAGGTTTGCCACGTTGGCACTCTGGAAACCTGCCCACACATAACACGCTGAGAACGAAATAGCATTGGTGAAACCGGTGATGAAGCATGCGTAGACACAGATGAGATTGACGGCGTTGAGATCCACTTTGGCCTGACTGTATGACTTGATGCGCCGCCTGAATGACCTATCCTCGTTGTCGTCCAGGCACTGTCCGAGGGACTCTGGATTGGGATTCCCTGATCGATTGTACGACGTCAAAGTATCATGCGTAAGTGTCGCGGAAGATCCTTTGCGGGCCTGATGTCCGCTGGCTGAGCTATCGCTAATCATCAGCAGACCGTTGGGCTTCTGACCCAAGGTCATACTGGAAGCCATGGATAGTCCAGCGGAAGGAGACGGAGTGATACTGGTGTCCACTGTGCCCAGGGCGGGCGACCGAAAGCCATCTGACGAGGATGTTGGGCAAGGGAATCGAAAGTTGAAGTTGAATGAAGACCCTGTAGCGGAATACTCTGGGTCGATGAGAGTGACAGCAGAAGCTTTGCGTGTAGGAGGGGAGGTGGAGGGCTCCATCTTGGGAGGCGGGATAGTTGTCGTGTAAGACGTTGGGATGAGAAGATGGGAAGTGGGTCAAGAGCACGGTTATATCCGACTCGAAGCAGATTTGGTCGCTCAGCTGGCTGACCAGAAGACAGCTGAGGCGGTGTGTAGGGCTTTGGAAGCGGTTGAAAAGGTAATGACAGGACGACCCTCAAGGTCTAAATAGTCAGCGACGACAAGAATGAGCGACGTCTCCCTGGACTGAGAGACTGGACAAGACGAAGAGAGGACTTAATGCTGTCAGTGATCTGACGACCCATACTTTGTCTCTATTTTCCAGCCATGCGGAGTTGCATATCGTTCGGCTTGTGGGAAGAGGTAGACATGAAAATGCCAAGGCGTTTGAGGGATCGATCCTCTTAAGCGACACAAAAGGCAAAGCATAGGTAAGAGGAAAAACAGTCTCGCCCATTGCTGTTGATCGTCTCAGTCTAGCATGTAAACGAGTGAAAGGGCCCTAGCAGTTCTCAGCTTCGACTTGACGGGTGAGGCTTGACAGGTGAGACCTTGTGATCGGACTCCTCCAGCAGATCCAGGTCCGTGGTCTTGGCGATGGGATGGATCACGATGCATCGCTTCTTGGTTCTGGATCGCATTACTTTGGCCCTAAGCTGCGATGAGCGAGAGATGCGGTGAGCTGGTTAGGGTCAGTAAAAGATAGTCGAGCCATGGTCAAGAGTAAGAAATTGAAAACTAGATCGCTGCCAAGCAATTCGTTAGCGTTATCGGCTGTCCTGCAATATCGTCTGGTCTAAGAGATGACGGAACAATGTTATCAACTGGAAGACTGACAAGACCTGTGCAAGCGGAGAAGGTCTAGAGCTCATGTTGTGAAGATGAGCTGATGATGCACGAGGAAATGTTCAAGGCGGGGCACAGCGATCCTGGGATTACCCAAAGTCAGACGAAGTGGCATAGTGGCAGGGATGTCTGCCAAGTCATTCGACTTTGGGCCTAACAACTTGCTTAGAACAGACTTGGCCGAAGCCAGTCAATCTGGAACGTGCGGGTGGAGTTGCTGCTAGGATTGATCCCGCTAGGTAGAGGAAACGGAGATCACAGTCGCGTTATCGTGATTCATCGCGGATGGTATAGATACAGTTCTCTATGACGCACAAAACGGCCTGATGAGGCCCATCAATCGGTCCTGCCTGATGGTAGCTCCACCACCTGATCCGTATCGTTGTATTCTGGCAGGTTGAGCTCAAACTTCCGAGCCAGCTCGCTTGTTTTTTCGTAAGCGTGGCAGAGTCTTCGTCATCTTGTCCACTCACTCGGGTACGAATCGACCACCCAGCCAGTGTCGCCCTTTGAACTCTTTCACACCTTCCTTCGGCGCCGTAAGACTGATCAAGGCCTCTGGATTAAATGTGTCGACAGTTTCTGAGTTTCCGTCTTCATCCGGCTGGGTCCTGAGTGGCTGTTTGCCCTTTTCCACATCCCAACCTGAAGGGATGTCGACGGAGAAGATGGGGACGTTGGAGGACCCGATAAGCTTTAGGATGGTGTGAAATGGCGCCCGGAGAGGGGGCTTGAACGAGAAGCCTTTAAGAATGTTTAGCATCCGTACAGCAACGCGCTTGCCCACCAAAGATGGCATCGAGGATGACGTCCTGCTCTGTCAAACTCTTTTGGAACTCATCTTCATTCTTAAGAACAGGGATTTTCAGATTTTCCACTTGAGTCAAGAGGCGTTGATAGATATCTTTCGAACCAGGTTTGGGCAAGTAGACGGTAGGCTGATATCGGAACATGTGAAGATGCCTGGCTGCGACCAATCCATCCCCTCCCTGCCATGGCGTCAGAAAAGGCTAGAGGCGAACGGATCCGACCCACCTGATTCCCCGGTCCGCAGCAGACGATCACTCTCCGGTGCGTCTTGACTGGGAACGACTTTGCAAGAGCTTGCGCGCATGACAATCCGGCAAGTTCCATGAGCTAAAATATCAGTTAAGAGAGGTCCCTAATGGACATACCTGGTCGAGCGAGAAAGCTCCCGAGGCAGACATTAACTCCTCATCAATCTGCCCTGTCAGCTCTATGAGGATCCGCCGGATCCACCTGCTGAGCCACTTTCTGGCTGATGTATCGGATCGACATGTTGCCTGACCTTCAGAGACGAGTCTCACTGGTCTTCTCCCTGCAGTGAATGGTCGTGACCGCTGGCTGTGTCCAGCTGATCACCATGACGTTTCCTCGGCGACGGAATCAAATTCCTCGCATGATCAAGCACAAAGTCACTCGCGACCTCACTGGTTGCATGATCCCACTCACAACCAACATTTCTGTCCCATCTGCACCCAATTCACCATGGCCTCGCCGGTCTCGCCTCCAAAGCGTCCGGCGAAGCGCCAGATGGTTCCCTTGACCGAGGGCATGGCATCACCTCTGCGACCAAAGGCTGATCCAGTCATCGAGAAGGCCCTTCAGCTTTCGACCTTTGAGGTGGGTTTCGAAGGTAAGAGGCAAGCACTGATCCCTCACCTTAGTCCAACTATTCCACCGAGGATTTTATCGGGACTCTCAGTGAGAATGTCGTCGCGGAGAGCAAAGCCAGCTCTGGTCCATTTGATCCTCGACCATTCATCTCCGTCTTTTCCCCAGCATTAGATTCGTTGCTGAGTTTAAGGCAACAAGTTGCTGAGCGGACGCGAAAAATGGAAAGCGATGTGAGGAGAGCAGAAAGAGAGTATGGAAAGAGGCTGAGAGAACTCGACGGAGGATTCGAGGTGAGCAGCAGAGCTTATTGCTCAGGCTGACAACAAAGGCCATTGGGAGCTCTTTCTCTAATCTTGAGAGCAAAATCACCGACGTCAGCCGAACGGCTGTTCGCATAGGTGAACAGCTGGACGCCCTTCATCAAACTCGATCCACGGCTCAGTCTACGTCCCTTTTGGTATCCTACTACCTTGCCCTCGTTCATCATACCTCATACACACATGAAGCGGGGGACCCCAAGGCACCCGCACATCCACTCGAAGCTCTGTTCGAGACCCGGACATCTCGCGAAGGTCGGACGAGGCTCTCCATCATTCTCAGAAGGCTCATGGCTGTGGCGAAAGATATGGCGGACAATGCAGCGACTGCCGTTTCCGAAGCTGAAGGCGCTAAAGAGGGAGAATCCATACCTGCCAAACGGATAGGCAGGCTGAGATCCGAAAAGGAAAAGGCAGAGAGAGTTCGAGACGAGGTGGAGAGATACTGCGAGCGGTTTGAGAAGGAAGTTTTGAGGTTGTTCGACAGAAGCTACAGAAAAGGTGATCCAAGGATGATGGCGGTGAGTCGAGCCTTGCAGTCGGATCTCATCATTCTAGCACTGCGCCAGAACCCTGCAGGATTTTAATGGAGGTGCATCTTGCGTTCAGATCTATGTCAATCAACATGACTTTTTCATGTCGAAGGATCGGGTACTGGAAGAGGCGGAGAAGCAGAAAGGGAAGGCGAACGGGGATTATGTGGACATGTGAGTCTTACGGCTCTGATTATGATGCTTATTTCTCAGCTGGGAGACCATTGGGGATCCCGATGCATCCGCGCCTCTCACTGAACCTGGCACGAAGGCTCTGTTCAAAGAAATCAGAATCACAGTCAGTCAAGAAGCTCAGATTGTGAAGGCTGTATTCCCCGACCCCATTTCCGTAATGAAGGTTTTCATTCAAAGAGTATTTGCTCAGGTCGTAAGTCTGGAGCCTGGCCAACGAGCGCTCACGATCAGGTCGAGCAACACCTCGAGGCCCTTGTGTCTCGTGCCACTGCTATTTCGACTCTCGCCGTTCTTCGAGTACTGAACGTTACTCATTCCCTATGCTCTGCTCTGGTAGAAGATCTCAAGGCCTATGACGCTGCCCTCTTCGACCCCGCATCTCGGATCGCATCCACAACGACGGGAACAGTCTCAGCCATGTTAGATCATGTGATCGAGGGGATGTTTGTACCCTGGTTAGAGGGGCAGAAATACATGGAGAGCGAGAGCAAGAACTTGGTCGAGTTGTATGCTGGATTACTGAGTCGTTTTACCCGGTATCACGTGGGTCTCCCCAATTGTGATATCGTCTTGGCTGACATACCGTTCAGGAGACCGTCCTCAAGGCCAAGCCAAATTCTCTCCTGGACAAGGTCGTGCATCAACTGTCTAGCAGTAATTCGAAGGATGGGGCCTCGTCCACGGCGTCCGCGGCCGCTGCTGCCATCTCGAAATACGCCAATGTGTTCACTTCCTCCGCCACATCCTACGGTCAAGCAGCCGCAGCTCGCGTTGCCTCTCCAGCAATGGGTGCCAGTCCCAAGAACGTCACTTCGCCAATGATGAACAAGACGGCAGTCCCGCCCCATCTAACCATCTCCATCAACACTCCCAGCCGACCGTCATCTCCGGCTCTTAATTCGGGTGCCATGAGTCCGATTGGGAGACCTGGTCTGTCGCGTAATAATAGTGTTCGAGGTGATCTAGTGAATAAGGGATTAGAGGAGAAGGTCTGGGCGACGGATGGTGTGCTTACGCTGGCTATGGCGGAACGCATGCTGAAATGGCATGCGGAGGCCGTTGGGCGAGTGGTAGAATTATGTCCGGCGAGCGATGTGTGAGCCAAGTTGTAACCAGTCACGGTCAGAACCTGATGTCCTACTGCGTAGTGCTAAGAACGCGTTTGCGCTGTTCAAAGTTCTAGCTGAGGCGATCTGTCGCTCTTTGATCGAGACCGCTCTGGATTCGTAAGTTTGGTAGTGTAGCTTCTACACTGTGCTGATCTGTGTAGCGCTGTGGCACTACTTGAAAACCAAGACAGCAAAGCGGAACCGGACCTCACTGTCATGGGTGTGCTTAAGCCCGCCGACCTGATATGCCAAGTCTGGCAACGGTACACGACAACGGCATTGTTCCCCTTGACGGCATCTTCAGCTGTGATTCGGAGAGAGATGGGTCAGTCCAATACACATCATATCGTCAGGCTAGAGGGCAAGATCAACAGCGTGATCCAAAAGTCTCTAGACAGTGAGCTGCTCCTACTGGGTAACAGCTCACCCTCCAGGCATGATGACTTGGTTGAGTTTCCTTTTGACCAAACAGAAGAAAAACGATTACAAGCCGAAAGATGACGATCTGTCTTTCGCTCGAACTATCACGGAGCCTTGCGAATTGTCTTGTCAATTCCTGGAAACAGTCAAAGATGCCGCTTTTGAAGGCTTGAGCGGGAAAAACATCGAGTCGTTCTTGATGGAGGTTGGAGTCGCGTTTCATGCGTGAGTGGAGAGCATAAAACGCGACATGGGCTCACCGATCGTAGTCTTCTCCTTGAGCACTACAAAAAGTTCCCCGTCAATCCTACGGGTGGTCTGATGCTCACAAAGTGAGTCAAGGTCTGAAACACGAGCTGACGAGTCCAGGGATCTTGCATCGTATCAAGAGGTCATTGCGACATTTGGCCTTCCGGCTCTCAACTATCGATTCGAGATGCTCAGACAACTTGGCAACTCGTTCATCGTCCAGCCCAATGTCCTCAAGTCGTATCTTACTGAAGGGCACCTAGGTCGAATCGAATCCCGACTTCTTCGACCTTACCTTGCCCAGCGATCCGATTGGAATAGTTTCAACAAGACATTAGTTCTAGATGACGGTCTTCCTGCGGCTGCACCCGGACCAGAGACGCAGACCTCGCAAACCAATGGTAACGGCATCTATGGAGCAAGTGGGTCAGGAACAGGATCGGGAAATGCCAATCGAGGCATGTTCAAAGGTTCCAGATTCAGTGCCATGTCTGGAGTGGCCGGTGCGGGAATGGGCAAATTGAAAGAATTGCTCAAGGAATTTGAGGCGTACACGCCTGAAGAATTAGAGGCTATTCGAAAGAGTGAAGCTGAACGAGCGGCTAGACTCAAAGCGAATCCAGAGCTGGCGAGGAGTCAAGCCTTATTTGCATCGCAGCAACCTGTATATTTCGGATTGCACTAGGCCTTGAAGGCGTGGGGGAGCCATCTGTTGTAGACTTAAATGAAACGAGAATGACCTCATGAGAGACTGTTGTCATTATTGCACCGACATGCTACAAGATGAAACCTGATCTGCTGCCCTGAAGAGGCGAAAAATGTTGTCTATGAATGGAGAAGCTCAGATCACAGTGGCAGTGCCCCTTTGATGGACGATACGAGCCATTTATACTACTCCCTTTGTCGCGTTCTTTGAGATCAATCGAGCCTTTTCAATCTGCGCTTGACCTAAACACGAGTCAGACGCGAGAAAATGGGATGACCACCGGCCCTGACTCACTTCTCTTAGCCAAGGACTTTTTGTAGTCTACAATTGTGATGTCTTCCTTTGTCAAGTTGGTGACTGTCTTATCCTTGACTTCCCATAGATCATCGGCGACTTGAGAGATCAGACCTGCGGGGCAGAGCGTCAGCGCCTTTGTGTCTGACAAGACACAGTGTACTCACGGAAATCGTGTGAGACAATCACGACACCACCCTCAAACTCCTTGATGGCAGCAGCGAGAGAGTCGATAGAGGCCTGAAGCGGTGTCAGAAACGAGTGAAACATCAGTTATGACACTCACCATGTCCAAGTGGTTGGTAGGCTCATCCAACAACAAGACGTGAGGGTGTTCCATAGCGAGGATAGCGAACACGACTCTGAACCATATCTCAGCACACTCAATTTGATTTGGATTCAAAATAGACTCACCGATTCCGCAATCCATCAGAAAGTTGATTGATAGGATTGGTCTGATGGGCGCCAGTAACTCCGAAACGTCCGATCTGCTGTCTCCAGAACTGCATATCAGCAGTTGGGAACTTCTCATGGTAGAGTGACGCGAGGTGATCGACTGGGGATACATCGTATGGCAATTGATCGGCTGAATGTTGCGAGTACTTGGCAAGTTTTAGTGAATTGTGTCGGGAGACTGTGCCTTCGACCGGAACCAAAGCTCCGGTAATGAGATTCAGCAGGGTAGATTTTCCGGTACCGTTGTCTCCGACAATGGCAATTCTGAGGCATGCGTCAACATGCGCTGTAAGGGCTCGAGAGAGTTTGCTCTCACCTTGAGTCCATGTCGATACCAAAGTTGAGATCACGGTATAGGTAGTCCTTCTTTTCACCCGAGTAAGAGAACGCCACATCGCTAAAGGCAATAATGGGTGGTGGAAGCTTCTTGACGTCCTCAAAGTTGAATCTCAACAGTCGAGGCTGTTCGACTTTTTCGATCAATCCAGCAGCCTCCATCTTGTCGATGATCTTCTGCTTGGACTTGGCCTGTTTGACCAAGTTGGCATAAGTACCAGCGGAAGCGATGAATTCTGGAAGACGTCAGAAGACTGCTTGCTCCAAGACGCTTTGACTCACTCTTGATGTGCTGAATTTCTTCTTGCTGCTTGGCGTACGCCTTCATCTGGTTGACTTCGTTCTCAGACTTTGTCCGGACATAGGTCGTGTAGTTTCCTCCGTAGTAGACCATCTTCTTCTTCACGGTCAGGTCCATGATGTTGGTACAGACATTATCCATGAAATCAGCCGAGTGGCTATGGCGTCAGCAGGCGAATTGAATAGTATATTCACGATGTGAGAATCTGAATGAATTAGCCAGAGCATAGCAATCATGGAGCTCACCAAAATATGGTTGTATGTCGCCAGGTATGCTTCGAGCCACACCACAGCTCCCAAATCCAAATGACTCGTCGGCTCATCAAGTAAGAGCAAATGAGGCTTGACGAACAATGCTCTAGCCAGTGCCACTCTCATTCTCCAACCTCCAGACATGTCTTTGGTAGGTTTCGCCATCATGACTTGCGAGAATCCAAGACCACTCAAGATGGCTCCAGCCTTGGCTTCAAATGTACTCGGATCCATTTCCTCCAACTCCTCGTAGATCTGTTCAAGGGCGACCTCATCGACATCGTCCGCCAAAGACATGTCTTCCGCCAGCTTCTCCAAACGTGCGACCTTTTCCTTGGCTGACGCTACGATATAGTCGAGGGCATTGACATCTGATGGTTCGGCAGCTCCACTGACGAGGTAGATCTGGATTGGGTGTGAACAAAGGGATGCGGACCGTAGTGTCACACTCACATCGATGTGGTCGGGAATCTCGACGTCTCTCTCGGCGATGGACTGAAGGAATGTGGACTGGCATGGTCAGCGAGAATTGCACCGTGTAGCCTTACTTTTCCGGAACCGTTCTCTCCCAACAGACCGTATCTGAGGACAGTCAGGGAGCCTCCTACACAAGGAATACTCGACGCACCTCTGCCCATAGTTGAGTGCGATTTCAGCTCCCTCGATCAACAGTCTTCCATGGAAACTCAAAGTGTACTGATCGATCTTGATATCTCTTGATTGAGGGTCAGAGACAAGGACACCAGCCTGGGTAGATGGTCAGAGCGAGTTCAAAGCGAACACATGTTTGACACCTCCAGACTCACTGCACTCCTGTCTGTAGCGAGATTAAGCTTCTTCATCTCGGCTTGAGCATCCGCCAGAGCCTCCTCGCTGGCATTGGCACTCATGTTGGTCATGGGAGTCGAATGTCCATTGGTGGATGTCGCGGGGGTCATGGAGGATGAAGGGGTGTCGCCCTTGGCAGCTGCTTTGGCAGCTTTTTCGGCCATTCGCTTCTGTTTGCTTGCGGAAGGCATGATGAGAGTGTCTCTTCACGGATAAATGTGACCTCTTGTGTTGCCTTTGAATGCGTCAAGACCAGTCTCTCAATGAGTGAGAAGTATAGGTCAATTGTGAAGACAATGACTCTGGAAGGGGGAAAAGTTGGCGGCGACGTTAAAATTTTGGTCACGTGGGACAGGCAAAAAGTGGGTTCGGATCCGAGAGATCATACCATGAACGGAGCATGAGGCGATCAATATTATGGATTGCTCATCTTTGATCGATCATGGACAGTGACCTAGAAGGGCAGCTCTCACAGGAGGATGTGACACGGATTTTGACCTATCTTGACCTACCACAATCTGCTGGTCTCCCTCTTGCGCCACTGAATTTCCTTCGAGCTCACCTTGCCCAGCTTCCATATGAGCTCGCTCTGCCATTCGCCAAAATTACTACACCACGGCAGAGATCCAGCATAAAATCTATCAAATCAAGGCGTCTGATCTACGCATCTTCCGAACCGAAACCTCTGGAGCTGACGGCTGAACGCGGCCGTCTGAGATGGCCTCTGTTATGGGAACGAATGGGCGGGTCATCCCTGCCGCCGCCGAGTGTCAATGTGGATGAGGAAGAAAGTTGGGTCGAGCAAAACTTCTTGCCCGGCAGAGAGAATGCTCAGCATGTCAAGAAGCTTGGAGGATTTCTGAGGAGTCTGGAAGAGGAGAGGGAGATGATGGAAGTCGTGGCCGCCAGGAGGGTAGAACGGAGGCTGGATGACGTCGGAGAGGAGTTCGATGAGGAGTCGGATGAGGAGGAAGGGACGACGAATGCGCCTGGTATATCGAGTGTCCCCGGACCAAATGCGAATACCATGGTCCCTCCTGGAATTGTAGTCCAAATCAATCAGCAAGAGCAAGAGGACGTCAGGCGTGCGTTTGAAAAGCATTTAACTGAACTCTTCGTAGATGGACTAGATGTGAGTAAGCAGGATCCTGGCGCTTGCTGGCGCTTGCTGACGGTGCATAGACGGTGGACTATACGAGAATCGACTTTGCCGAGCCGCCTGGAGGAGACGTGACGGCTGAGAGGGATCAAGAAGATGCCTACTTTGCCGAACAGGAGCCTAGCGATGCGGTAGACAGGACTGAACCCGCTAGAAGCGTCTCCATGCCAAACCAGAATGGTCAAGGAGAGTATGACTATTAGAGATCCGCAATCTGTAGCAATACATACACAAGCAACAAGTATAATACAACGACCCTCAATCAACGCTGATGACACCATCCATGTATACGATACGCCCGTTTGAGACGTCATTGAATTCTAGGACTGGTATATCCCCTGGTTGAACGATCCAACCGTCGTTTTTCTTCACCACTTGAATGCTCAACCCAGGTAGTAATGTTTCGACTTTGCTCTTGGTAGGGAGGTTGACCAGCTCCTGAACTGTTAGATGGATCTCGCGCCCTGTGACTCACAGGAATGACGTGTGCAGAGATGAAGCGGTCGACGTTCTTCTGAATAGAGTCTTCATCGGTACTGCCGTCTGCGTTTTGGTGCCTGTTCTGCGTCAGATGAATAGAAAAAAGCTGGATCATCTATCTCACGGCTTGCGGGTCAGACGTTTCATAGCACTGTCGACTGGGACGAAGACAGTTGTTCGCTCCGTTCCCTTTGACTGCAATCTCGTGGCCTATGATGAAATGAGCACTGTGATTTGCCGCTGGATGGCTACCTGAAAGGCGCCACACTCACCACTCCGCTGACATCTCTTGCATACTCCCACCATACGCCAGCTTTCCTTCCCATAGTCAACGCATCAGCAAGCGTATGGCTCCACTTCCCATCTTTGCCAACTTCTCGACTCGGTCCGGCATCCGTCCCTAATGATCCTGGTTGAGGGAAAGAAGGGTCTGATGAAGGGATCATCGGCGAATCGACAGAGAGGCTCGGTGAATCGACACCGAGGTGCAACTGCCTCGCTGCGATCACCGAGGTAGTCGCTGCAATGATAGTAGTTGCTAGAATCATAGAGGGTCTCATGGTTGATAAGCGGTTAGAGATGTGTTGTTGCCGTGGATCCCATCGGAAAGCTCCAAATTTTCCGGGCTTGGTCAGTAGTCGTCCCACGGGGATAGACGACGGAATCAAAAATGATATGAGCTTATAAATGGTGGCGTGGAATCAGAGTGTGGCGGATTGATAATGGTCAGCATTCCGACCCTTACACCAGAGCGAGACTGTGGATATAAAAAGGGACGAGGAGGGACCTGCCAAGCGGTCACTCAATCACCCATCGCTTTCAACAACATAGTTCTCTTCACCAGATCAACTCCAATCTCACATTGACACTATATCACACTCTCACCTCACTCATACTCCCCTTCACCCTCTTGCCATGTCCAAACTCCTCGTCATCCTCGGAGCCACCGGTAATCAAGGCGGATCGGTCATCCGGTCGATCCTAGCCGACCCTCAAGCCAAGTCTCAATTCTCACTTCGAGGCATCACACGAGATCCATCGTCTGCAAAGTCTCAGAAACTGTCTTCGCAAGGTGTCGACTTGGTCAAGGCGGATCTGGACGATACCGAATCGCTGAAAAGGGCATTCGAAGGTGCTCATGGTGTTTTCGCAGTGACAGACTTCTGGTCACTCGGAGACAATGCAAAGGAACGTGAGACTCAACAGGGTAAAAACATTGGCGATGCGGCCAAGGCAGCGGGAGTCAAGCATTTGGTGTACAGTATGCTTTACAACGTGAATGATGGTGAGTTGAGCATCTTGCGCCTGACATAAACGTCTCACTGACCCTCGACATCAGCAACCAAGGGGCGACTCAGCAAAGTCTACCACTTTGACTCAAAAGCCGACGCTGCAGACTACATCGACAGTCTCGGTGTACCCAACACTAAATTCATGCCTGGATACTTCCTCTCCAACTTCGTCACTGGCTTTAATCCCAATCCTCAGACAGGAGCCCTCACTCAATTCATTCCCATCAGCCCTTCTAGCAAAGTTCCAATTTTCGACGCCGAGGCCGATACCGGCAAATTTGTCAAGGCAATCTTTTTGAAGCCTGATCAGACTCTTGGGAAGCATATCAAGGCAGCGACGGCATACCTCACATACGATGAGATTGCATCCACCTTGGCCAAACTTCGACCCACCAAAGCCAAGGGGGCGTCTGCGGTTCAGATCCCGAGGGAGAACTTTCTTCAGGCTCTTGAGGGTAGAGGCATGCCTCAAGCTATCGCCGAAGATTTGACTCAAATGTTTGAGTTCATCGAGAACCCAGGATACTTCAGAGGCGAGCAGCTCTCGACTGATATACTGGATGAACCGGCTACGACATGGGAGCAGTTCATTGAAAAGACGCAGCAGTGGAACGAGTAGATATAGCAGGGACAAATTAGATCATTCTCTCCCTTGTATGCATGCGGCTCTCACGTACACGCTCGGCGTCGGGCTAGCAGGGCTGACCTCGTTTCTGAGTCGCTGGCCACGAGGCTCGTCGAGACTCTTTTCACCATCAATGAGAATTGCCTGGCGAAATGCGTCGTATAGGCATTGTATGTAATATGTACATTCCTCAAGTCGGCGCCAAAAATGCTCGTTCCCCGAATTCCAGCCCACGTGATGTAGCAGTGCTTGCTGGCTGTCTGTATAGTTCGCAGTCAGAGGAAAGGTGTGGTGTATGCATGCAGGAGAAGACGTCTCATTCAGCTGCCAGGCATTTCCTTGGATACTTTCAGGTCATGGCTCTCCTTCGACTCCTCAGGGGAGGATTTGGGCTCCGTGGCATAGCCACTCGTATGGAACGTCTTCTCCTGGCCGGTCTTGAAGACATTGTTGTTCCTCTCTGCCGATCCTTCGGCGGCAGTGCGCCCAGGCGGATACCACCAGAAATAAGCTGAGCGACGTGAGCTTTGCCCCTACCGCATCAACGACTTACTTTGTCCATCTGATTGATCCTCCGTCCTCGCGTTGCTAGCGTCTGAGAGTCGCAAACAGTTCAAGCATCGTTTCTCAGAGTCCAATACTGCTGATGAATATGTATCGATATAGGTGAAGCAAGTTCCTGCAACGATGTCAGTGCCGTACACCTGTCCGTCGACTTTACTGTACTATTTTCGCTCTCGGGGCACGTTGCCGCTTCTAAATGATGGCGCTGGGTCATAGCGTTGCTGGACTGATACCACTTTGTGAGACCAACGAGCCCATCACTGCAATATATACGGCCGTGCGAGCCTTCTTGCTCCACTGGACAGCTCGTCATGCTCGCGCACTTACCATTTTGGAAGGCTCGCAGACGTGATGCCACAACGAGCTGTAAGGAAGGCCATCAAAGGATCGAGAAATCGCGATACGCGGGAATCAAGTAACGGGGTCACCGATAAGCAAGAATGCAGCAATGCATAACGCAGCGTATCGACTGACTGGGTTCACATTTATAGACAACGGGACTTACTCGGATTCGTGGGTAACGTCAGTGGAGGCAACGCCATTCGTCAAAGTACCATTGGTCAGATTACCATTCCTCTGCGACTCTTCATTGCTCTGATCACGCTGATGGGTGGCATTCGGCCTCGCACTAGGATGCTCCCAGTAATATTCCGCTGTGAACATCAGAGGATGAGCCCAGGATGACCTCACTGCTTTCTCCAGTCCGGTAAAACTGGGCACAGCTAGCATCGGTAGTCTCGCCACAGATTTCACACGTTTTCGTTGCGCTGCGTGCAGCGTCTGAATCCGTGGCAAGCAAGGCACAGCATAGTCCTTCAATTGTCAGTCTTGTTGCATTTCCTTTTCGTGAGCTTACCACCGCTCTGAGGGCATCCCGCGGAAGCTGGACTGTTGCTGTGATCATGGCCTCTAGTTGACTCATCCGTGGGTTCGGAGTTCTGATAGACAGGGTGCGTCGCGACATCTGTATTGCCACGATCCGCAACCTCATCAGTAACGTCACTCCCCGCCTGGTTGTTGCTTTGGCTGTTCATGCTTGTGTAAGCTAGAGAAGTGGAAAGAGCCAATGGGTGTCAGAGCCTTATATCATTCCAGAGGGAGCAATTCGTTCTATCACACCATTGGACTGAACACGAAATCTGCCCTCAAAGGAGGTGTCACTGCCCCTTTGCACTTCCGAGCGGAGGTGGTGCCTCGTGCAAGTATAGTAGAAGGCGAGGAAGTACTCTCAAAGGTCGTCATATGATCCGATGCAAGGACTCCAAGTGTGCGTATCGAGCTGCCACACTCTTTTCGCGTATGGATACGTCATGTAGGGATCGATTGTACAGGCGTTCTACCTTTGACCTCGGACAGCATGAAATTCGTTATCTTCGGTGGTGGGGGCAAAGTAGCCCGTCACTTTACTCGTATCGCATCAGGACAAGGTCACAAGGTCGTCTGTGTGGTCAGGAATGACTCCCAGTGAGTTCTCCATGTGCGGGTGTTCGCTTAATGACGGATAGCCATTCTGACCTCGAATCGATGGGTGGAAAGCCAAGCATCCTCTCCATCGAGGACGCAACCGTACCTCAGATCACAGATCTCTTGAGTGATCACAAACCTGATGCTGTGATATTCTCAGCTGGCGCGGGAGGCAAAGGCGATCCTTCTAGGACGACGAAAGTAGATTTTGAAGGTGCCGTCAAGGTCTTTGACGCGATGGAAGCTGCGAATGTCAGGCGGTTGCTCTACGTGGGCGCTATCGACGTGAGAGACAGGGACAAGGGATATCCAAAGCACTACACGCAAGAGTCCAGTAAGTTGACGAGGGTAGGATTCTGAGCTGAGGAAACAGAGGACAGCAGTGACAAGACATGGAATGCAATTGGTAGATGTGAGTCGTGCCTTTGCTGCTGAGCTGATAGTAGACATGGATGCGAAATACAAGGCAGAGGTCGAATTGCACTCAAGAAAGGCTCTACAATACACTGTGCTACGCCCTGGCGGTCTGACCATGGAACCCGCAGGTAAATGCCAAATGGGTCTATGCCAAACGGGCAAGACCAGGTAAGCATGAAACGATACAAAAGGCGTGACTGATGAATCAGTCGCGAGCTTGTCGCGAAAGCATTGCTTGCCTGTGCCAACGAGCCCAAGTCTGAAGGTCTGACCATTGATTTGATGGATGGGGATGGCGAGCTAGAAGCAGAGCTCTCCAAAGTCGTGGAACAGCGCATCGACGCCTGGGAAGAGTAGATGCGGGATTCCAACGTACGTTCATACAACTGGTCGAAGACCGTAACGTAGCACTGTAGCGATTATTACAAAGTGTCCTTCTTTCTCTCTCTCAAGCGTTTGCAGCCGCTATCAACGTCTGTAATCGAGTGTCGAACAAGGTGGAATTGATAGGCATCTCGAGCGTATGGAAGGGATTCTTCATGACTGCGTCAGAGTCTAGGACGCATCAGCATGAGATGTCCACACAGGTTGAGCAAGCCCTACAGGTTTCGTAAATTCGTTTCAATAGGTCATCCAATCCAGGATGAGGGAGTGAATGCAAGACGACGAATTTGGTACCTGTCGGAGTCAAGAACACTCGTCCTCCCCAGCTCTCCGCTTCGAATGACTCTAGACCTCCAACGGGTCCAGGTGGAGGAGCAGGCGTGAGTCTAGATGTGATCGCATGAATACCGTGTAGGGTTCCCGCAAGAATGAGGATGGTGTTCAGAGGAAGAGGAGGGAGTGTGTCTGACATCAGAATGCATCCTGAGCGCTATTCTCACCTGAATACGACCTGCTGAACACCAGTCCACCAGCTTTGTTGATCACCCACAACGCATGGACAGTCATACTGAGCGGTGGTCGGGTGAAGGTAGAGGGAGAGAGACTTTTAATTCATTGTTGGCCGTAAAAAAAGCATATATACAAAAATATGGTTGAGCTCATCTATGATTATTCTATGCTGCATTCTTCCTTTTTAATCCCTGTTGTAGACGTCCTTGATGCCGACTCCTCCTTGACCACGCACATGGCTGAGCAATGTCAGCAATCGCTCTCGTTTGATCGACTCACTTGGCTCGAGCCCAGGCCTTGATTCGGATGCTCGAGATATCGATAAATCCAGTGGTGGCGGTAGGCTCGAATCCTCCCATTTCGTCCATGGACGAGAATTTGGCGTCGTACAAACCCTCATCCGAGTCACGTCCTTCAATCGTGACGTTGCCCTTGTAGCAGCTGAGCCTGACGAGTCCGTTGACGGTCTTTTGACTGGCGGGAATGGCAGCGGTGATGAATTCTCGTTCTGGAGAGAAGAAGAATCCATTGTACAAGATTTGAGAAAAGCTGGTGGTAATAAATTGGTCTCGGAGAGCTCGAACGTTTCGGTCCAAAGTCATGCCTTCGAGGTCCATGTGTGCGGCTCGCAGGATGGTACCGGCTGGAGACTCGTAACATCCTCGGGATTTGACGCCAATGAATCGGTTCTCGACAATGTCGATACGGCCAACGCCGTGCTTTCGAGCGAGAGCGTTGAGAGAAAGGAAAATTTCAACAGATCCCGTGACGGTCTTGCCTGAAGCAGGGTAGGTTACCTTGACAGGGAGACCCTTGGCGAACTCGATGTGGACTTGTTCAGGCTCTTCTGGTGCGCGTTGAGGGGAGGTGGTGAGCTTCCACATGTCATCAGGGGGAGTGGTGTTGGGGTCCTCCAGGATACCAGCTTCGTAAGAAATGTGGAACAGGTTCTCGTCGGTTGACCATGGTTTCGCAGCGGTCTGGACGACGGGAATGCCCTTCTCGGCGGCGTAAGCGAGGAGGTCGGATCGTCCGGCAAATCGGTTGTAGAATTCTGTACATGAGCGCACGCTCGCATAAGCAAGCTCACCTGGCAATCGCCATGGGGCAACGACTTTGATAGTGGGTGCGAGACCGTAGAATGCGAGTTCGAATCGAACTTGATCGTTCCCTTTGCCAGTGCATCCGTGAGAGACAAAGCTATTCGTCAGCGCTTGTATGAGTGAGCACACTCACTCGCACTTTTCCCTCAAAGCCACCTCAATCATCCCACGGGCAATGACTGGACGAGCTAGGGATGTACCGAGAAGGTAGACGTTTTCGTAAATGGCATTGCATTGAACGGCGGCTGCCTAGTTAGCCCAGTCTTGGCTTAGAAACCTACGATAAATGAGCTCTTCGACGAACTCCTTCTTCATGTCTTCAAGGAAGAAGCCAGACGCTCCGCACTTCAGAGCCTTGCTTCGAGCAGCTTCAAAATCCTACATTCGTCAGCACGACCCCCCGATCGCCTTCTAACCTCTTCCTGGCCGACGTCCGCCATGAATGCAACGACTTCGTAGCCCTGCTCAATGAGCCAAGCAAGGATGCATGATGTGTCTACAATGAGCTACATTCCTCGCTGCTGGCTCACCAAGACCGCCTGAGTAGGCGAGCAAGACTTTGCCCTGTTTAGAAGAAGCCATTCTATTTTCATTAGCCAGCGGAACAGAACAGAAAGGTAGTGTGGAGTAGAGAAAAGGGATCAGACATCCAAGGAAGAAAAAGCTTCAATTTCGCATCGGCTCAATCCTTTCCTCACTCGATCCGGCTGCAACGACTCTAATAGCTCGTGAGAGGTTTCGAACGTCGCCACATGGGGAACCACCCGGACCCAAGTAGGTTCGACGAGGGAACCAGGTAGCTCAACCCACGAGAGGCTCGAGGCTTCAGAGAGAGAACACAAACTCCCGAGTAAAGGAGGACGCATTCAGTGGAAACTGCGTATGGTTTTGACAGATGTTTCATCATGAATTTGGGGTTGGGAATGTGAGAGCTGAAGTGGGGAGACTTACATGATACAACTGAACAGCTGAGCATCAAGTCAGCGTCATTTCTAGCGACATTGAAAAGCTTTGGATGGACATGGTCTCAGACAAAAGCGCTGGCAAGCGCGGTAGCCCGTTCCAACAGTGATAAGACTGAATGGAAAGGGGTTCCGGGACAACAACCCGCGAAGGAAGATCCCTAGCTCGTTCGACATGGTCGATAAGACGGGGAGAGAATAGAAGGTCATCAGAGAGAGAGAGAGAGAGATTTGGAAGGGCTGGGACAGGGATCAGAAGGTACTGTACTCACACGATGCGGTTGAGTGAACTAGAAGAAAGATGAAGAGAGAGAGAGAAATTTTTGGGATCTCTGTAATTTTATATCTGTTTCGTTTTCGCGGAATTCCGACTCGACGTGTGTCAAATTTAAGCGGGAGGATCGAATAAAGTAGTAGAGGAATTTGATTCCGTTTGGATGCCGCGATATCGGACACTCTGGTCAATGGACGATCATCATCATCCCATCTCATCATCTCATTCATCCATTACCATCGTATCGACCATGTCTTACCCACCATTTGGCACCTCTTCAGCATACAATGACTCATTTCCTACTCCTCCACCTCGACAAGTGACCATATCAGCCGAGACGTGCTATCAGATGGGAGCCTTCAAGAGTAAAGCCGAGGCATGAGATCTCGGGCTGACGACCAAAAATCAGATATGGTCAAACAGTATCGCCGATTGGATGATCAAATTATAACTAGATTGAATCGAGCTCAAGCTCAACTAAGAGATCAATCGAGGATATCTGGTTCAGAGCAGTCATCTGATATGCAGGGCATGTGTCTCAATCTGTGGCACGAGATGATGGGTGAGTCCCGTCAGGCTCACTCGATGGCCACTCACCCACGTCTTTTAAGCCGGCTGGGCACATCGGCAAACCATGCTTTCATTCTGCCTTCAGACTGTCGCTAGATCCATGGAGGGAAAGCGTCCAGTAGAGCCAGTGGCGTCTACACCGGCATTTTCCTCACCAATGCATGGCGCTTCGGCCCGAGGATGGGCAGAAGAAGAAGTGCTTGCGAATCAGCTCGGCAACGAAGAATCTATCGAGGCAATTATCCGGAAACGATCTCTAGACGGTGAGACTCACAGCGAATGACGAAAGCTGACAATCAGCATTCAAATCTCGTTGTCCATTCTTCCATCCACCAGACAACACAGGCAAAGAATGGTGGAACTTGGCGGATAGTGGCATGTCAGGTCGAGGACCAGACGTACAGAGTTCATGATGCATTATGGTACAACATCTTTGCTACAGCATTCTATCACTCTTCATCACTACTGTCTACAAGAATGGCTGCTTCTACACTTTTGCCTGTGGCGGGGTCGGGCGCCAAAGGGGCTTGATCTGATGCGCTCCTGGAATGTCCGGGTTTCGCTGGCGGTACAGGAAGATGATGTTGCACATCCTCGTCTGCCCGCATGATGTCAGGATCGATATCTGATGGAGGCTCGGATAGTCGAGGATGCTTTCGTTGATTCACAGGGGAAGGCTCGGCGGGGCGTTTGGATCTACTTGAGTAGGTGATCAAGGGGATCCCGGTACGCCGTGACGGGTCCAAGCTGCTCGCCCGCATAGCAGGTCGTGGGGTGATCTCCGTGCTGTCCACCAGGTCTCCGTCTCTCGGCTCTACGGGCTCCTGCTCTTCTTCTGTGGATACACTGCGTTCAGCTCGGTCGTCATAAGAAGGGATCCGGGACTGGCCCAAGCGAGATCCTGCGACGCGGTTCGACCGATGCGGAGACGAGTGATAGATCCCATTAGAAGGCGTGCTGCGTTGTCCTCCAAGATTATCGAGCGGCGATCCGACAAAGTTGTCCTCCTCGTCATAGTCAGACATACTTGTCGAGCGAGCCCGAGATTCAGCCGCATCCTCTACTCTGTCTTCGACCGGTTCGGGAACCTCTGACTCGTAAAGTTCAGGATCAATGGCAGCGGACATAGTACGTGAATGCGAGCGAGATCGGGACCGGGACGGAGGTGATGTTGCTTGCCGACTTCGAGATAGATTGAACAGCTCTGGAGCCAGATTGGAATTGGCAGGATCTGAATTGAGCGGAACGGAAAGATGTCGCGTTTCCGTGACAGGGTCTCTCTGCTTGATCGGACTTTCTGTTCGACGGCGTGTGGAGACGGTCCTCTGTTGTGATAGCTGTGGTGGTAGCGACGGCGGCGGAATTTCAGGAACCATTTGAGCGGGAGCAGTGGCGATGGGTTCTTCTGGCTTGATTCCCTGAATGGAGTTCCATATTCCAGTGATATCATCAATGTCTTGAAGCCAAGCCTGTCGCATCGCCTTGGTCTCGTCTTCTCGCCACACGGTCTTCATATCCTGCTCCCAGGCAAGCCGATTGGGCGCCTTGTACCGGGGAGGCGGTCGCTGCAAGTCAGTCTAAGTCTGTGCCGCCAGACTTACTTGAAGAAAGCGAAGCGTCTCTTCTGTGTGCTTGAGCAGTTGGGAGGCATAATGAACGAGGAACAATCCGCAATCTGAAAAGTTCGGTTGACCAGGAACCTACTGTCAGCGTTGTAGGAATGCGAGCTCACCTTGGCCTCGACATATCTGCCCGCATTGAGAGACAAACCGGTCAGGCGACCTTTGTCATGAGCCTCATACAGGAGGTATCGATTTAAATGACTGAGCACGGCTTTGTGTGAACCGCCGAGTGAATCGAAGGTGAAGATCCAGCAGCTGCGGGTGCGGGTTAGCGAGACAACTTTTTGTCACTGACTCGTCGCCGTCGAGAATGGGCCAGTTTGGCTTCTCGTCACTCGACTTGGCCTGATCGTCCATCTCGACATCATCGTTCGTGGGCTTCTCAGGGCTCCCTTGAGCCGAAAGCGTCAAGCTTTGGATCTCATTGGAGGCTTCGTCGATGTCCATGGGGCCATGCAGAGAATCGATGGGATCGATAGAGTCGTCCGGGTCGACGGGTTCGGATTTCCCGCGTTCATCGGTTGACCCCTTTTCATCAGGCTCGTCTTTCTCAAGTGTCTCGACTGATTTTGCCTGTTGAAGAAAACCCCGCGGTCTGTAGATGACTGCCAGATACCAATGATAGCTGACATTAGCGCATGTTTGTTTTGTCTCGACTCACTCCTCGTTGATGGGCACGATCAAGAAGTCTTTGTCAAATATATTCGCTTTCTTCGTCCACTTTTTGACCGCATCGTATCCAGGCCAAGGAGGCAGAGTCTCACTGTCTGGATCTGCTTTTGGCCCGCCCCTGGACAGTCAGCGGAAGGCATCGTCGAGACCCACTTCTGCTTCCTATCAGAAATCTTCTCGTAGAAGAAAGAGTTAAAAAGGTGAACTTTAGCTTGAACTTCCGGCGGCAGCTTTGACAACGCGAGACTAAAGGTAAACAAGGATTGGCAGCTGCAGCTCACCGAAGCCCGAACTCGACAAGAATGTCGTTGAGAAAATCCTGGTTCTCGACACGATAGCGCTCCCCGCGGGTGATCTGGAGGACGGCACGTCCGTCAGGGGGATAATCAAAGAGCCTATTTTATTAGCTGAAGGTGAATCGTTTAGGCTTACGGAGCACTCTTCTCGGCAGTGGACAGAGGCTTGACATTGGACTGTTCGGGTACATCGTCTCCCTCGATTTCCTTGTACTTGCCGACGGTATGGTCCGCATTTCGGTCGCTCCGGCGTGGACCGGTGGATCTAGCCTTTTCAGTCCTGTCCTCCGGTAGACTGGAGTGAGCGCGAGACCCCGAAGCACGACTTACAAGGAGAGCCTCGTTTGCAATTTGTCTTTGATCTCTTTCGGCTTGGCACTCTGTTTCTCCCTGGGAGTATCTGAGGGTTTCTGGTTTGCGTGAAGAGATGGGCGGGAAATCCTTTGCGTGACAGCCCGATCGATTTTTACGGTGTCTACATTGGAGCTCCTGGACGACCGATGCGAACTTTCAGAGGGCGGGCAAGTGCCCATAGTTTCCTCCATCTCGTCGCGGCTTGGCATCAGCACTAAGCTGGAGGGAAATGCTCACAGGATGTCTTCGGGCTCGGAGATAAAATCCATGCTTCTGACATGTTCACAGCAGTCCACAGCCTCTTTACTCGCCTTGTTGAACTGAATGACGAGTTTGGCGACATTGTGGGTGGCTGATTCGAGACCACCTTGCGGTCAGCAAGCTTCTTCATAATCGTCTTACGTCCGCCACCACATCTTGTGAAAAGGTCCGTGAGTTCTCTCGCATTCCGATACTTCAAGTGTAAGATGAGCAGACATTGGGATTTGTCAATGTGAATCTGTGAGATGAGCGGCAGGAGCGACTAATGATTTACCGAGCATTGAGCAAGATCCAATGGGTTGACAAGGACTGTTCCTATGGACGGACCCGAATCGAGTTGAATACAGTCTCCCGAGATGCCGATATTCACAACTTTCAAGGGGAAGGGGAAGCCATAATCGTTCCCAACCAACATCCATGCACGTTGAACATCGGCCATGTGCTGAACTGTTGCCGAGTGCGTGGGCGCTGATTTTGAGAGGGATGGTGGTACAGGTTGACCAGGCCGTATATCAGTAGGTGGCCTTGTCTGCTGACCAGCAACAGGTTTTGATGAGACCTGTGAGCTCGTCGCCGTTGACCGATGGATATCGTGTCTCGGAGGTCCTTGGTTGATCGCCCATTCATCGTCTTGAGCCTTTTCCTCCAGATTTTTAACAAGCTTCTTCACGCTGCCCTTCTCACTGAGGTCGATCCTGCGATTCGTGGTGGAAGGTGGTTCGCGATCTGGCTTCTCTTGAAGTTCCACATATGGTGCACGACTTGGGAATTTCGATGGCCCTATCTTTTGAGAGGACATCTGATAGATCCCTTCAGCCTCTAGCTCTTTCCTGAAGGGCCCGAGGGGGTCCTGTATCGTATCTTCATCACTACTATTCTGAATCGACAGATCCTGCTCCGGGCTACGGTGACGAGATATTTTGGTTGGACTCGAGCTGCCTTGAGATCGGATCTGTCTGCCTCTTGTCACCGAGCTGGGGTTTGACAAGACTGGTGCGAACAGTGCAGACCTGGATGAGAGGCTGGATGTGTTCCGCTTGTGCCCCGATGTCGCCGTACGAGACGAGGAGGGAGGATTATCGTGAAAGTCAGGAGAGCGTCTCTGATGCTGCATAAAAGCTCCAGGATCATTTCCAGAGCGTGGTATAGGCTGACCATTCAGCACTTGATTATCTCCTCCGTTGCCATAGGGGTGGCTGCTGGACGAAGCTTCGCCGTGGTGCGATTCATGAGGGTTGGTTGCCGTCAGTGGCCGCCGCGATTGGGCCACTTGCTTTAACGGCGGTCGGAACGGACCACTCGTTCTGTAACCATCCAGCGTAGTGGGTTTGGAAGCCTTGTCAATTGTGTTGTAGCCAACCTTAGGCCCAGGTGTCCGAGGCGGTTTCGACCCTCCTGCACGGCTCGAAACGTGTGATCGGGATTTTGACGACATAACGTTGCGCTTGATGGTCAGTATGGTGAGCAGCGTCCGTGACATACCCCATAAATCTGGTATTCTGTGGTCGTCTCATCCTCGTCACTGGCTCTTTAGCGATGAATCGAGATGCGCGACTTACGAATTGGCCGCGAGATCGATGCTTCCCTTGGACGAGGGGCCAGCCTGGGATGAGCGAGATACCATCGGGCCAGGATCAATATCAAGGAGGGAACGACACAGTCATTGTGGGCTTTGAAGCGGCCAGAAAGAGGTTGTCAAGTCGAATTGTTGACGATGAATTCGGTTGCCGCTCAAGCTGACGAGATTTCGGTCAAAAGATTCAACCGAGGATGTTCAATCCTGCTTTTATGACCTTGCAAATGACCTCTGCTCCTGTATTCAATTTTGGAGGAGGAGGAACGCGTCTCGCAGACATCAAGGTAGAAGGAGAATCGAGAGTACAGAACAACTTTGCCAGGTCTGCCAGATGGTGAGCCACAATGACACCCCAAGTTGACAAGTCTAGGTGCGCGGATGGATCTAGTATTCTGGTGACGGCAGAGGATCGAATCATCAGAGTAGTCAAGAGGTGGGTTCAGAAACTGATCACTCGCTGATAACCAGTCTGAAAGAAACGACTATCATTGCCTGTCCTGATGCCGTCGTCTCCACATCATGGTATCCCTCTGCATCAGGCGACAATCCGGCAACTCATTGCTTCGTCGCTGGCATCCGGGACTCGCCTGTCAGACTGGTGGATGCTTCAGACGGGAGGGTGAGCTGTCTTACGAGGCAGAGCTGATGTCAGATTCGAGCTCAATATCCCATCGTCGATCACCGTGAGAGGGTGATCGCTCCTCATTCTCTGGCTTTCAACCCAGATGCAAGCAAGTGGGTTTTGACCTGAGCTCGAGTTGACGACAGGCTTTACTGTGGATTTGATAGTGCCATCGAGGTATTCGACGTCTCTAATCCTGGTCATGGGACCTCGGATCGACTGGTGCTAGCCAAAGATGCGCAGAAGGGTGAGTGGACGCAAGGCAGCAGCAGCTCATGATTAGGTCTTGTGTCTGCGCTTGCATTTGCTCCGGACTACTCAGGCATATTCGCTGCTGGCGACTATAACGGCGCTGTGGCTCTGTATAGTGAAGGCTCAGCGGCACCGATACAACATGTTGACGGAGTCGTCGGCGGTGGTGTCACACAGGTGTGTAAAGGCTGCGACTGGCGCTCACCTTAGATCGCCTTTAATCCCATCAGACCTACAATGATGCTGGTAGCAGCTCGGAGATCAGGAGAGATCCAAGCTTTCGACACAAGAGACCTCTCAAAGCCGGTCAAAGGGCTGCAGAGGGACGGCTGGACCAATCAGCGTCTGGACTTTGGACTCGATCCATGGGGCAGATATCTCGCAGTGGGGGATCAGCGTGGAACCGTCAAGATCTGGGATACAGAAACGCTGGAGTTGGTTTGCGCGCGACCGCTGAGTAATGGTGAGGCCATGAAATGTCAAAGCTGACCTTCAGACGCGATTGGATCGGTCCAGATGCACCCATTAGAGCCTTGGATCCTGACCGCTTCGGGCTCGAGAAAGACGATCGATTCCACCGATAGTGACAACGATAGTGATGAAGAGGCTTCCGATAACGAGAGCTCAGGATCATCAGATGAGGATCATACCCATTCATCCCACGTCCTCCCGCCTGTATCTCGGTCGCTGGGTCTCGCCCTTTGGTCTTTCACATGATACATTGCTAGGTCAAAGCGACAGTGATTGCTATCGCCACCAGCGACATGCCGATCAAGCAAACTCCACTCCAGATCAGCTTGTCTCCCAGCTGGTCACTCAGGACTCCTTTGCCCAGTGCCTCGCGACAGGATTCCTCCAAGTGTCGACCCAACGTGTCTAACGAGAAGAGCGACGTGACCCTCTCCTTGGCAGTCTTGCTCATCTCTTTCCGGCGTGTCGGACTCAACGTCACCAGATTGGCGAGCGCCTCTGCCCATGCGTCGGTTTTCGGCTCACGTAGGAAACCCGTCTTGCCATCTAGTATCGTCTCGGTCGGCCCACCAGAATTGACAGCGAGTACTGGCAAGCCGCAGGCACCGGCCTCTATCGGCACAATACCAAAGTGTTCGTTGGTCGGCGTGTAGAGGAGGCAGAGCGTGTTGGGATTGTTGAGAAGGGCACTTCGTTCAGTAGCTGTGAAGTTGAGCAGAAACTCGACCTGGTCAAGCTCTAGCTCTCTGCATTCAGCTCGAAGGTGGGCCAAAGTGGTGACGTTGTCCGGCACTGCGTCGTCATACCCGCCTGAAGCGTCAGCACAATCACATCGACGTCCCACCTCCAATGACCAATCGCATCTCGGCAAATTTCTCCGGGACGAGGGTCTTCAATGCGTGGAAGGATCTGATGGCCAGCTCAACGTTTTTCTTCGCCTCGAAACGATTCAACGAGAGAAGCGTGGGACGAGAATCGGTGAGACTCGTCTTCCGTGCCTTGTCATAGTTGGACAGATCTATGCACGGATAGACAACCTTTGGTGGGCGTTTTCGAAGTGAAGGAAAAGCACTGGCGTAGACCCGAGATGTAAACTGCGAGTTAGCCAGTATGACGTCGGATTGGCCTGCTCTCAGTTACAGCATGGAATTGGTGTCTTACCTGTTGTCCACTCCTCTAGCTTGTCCGCTGGCCATCTGTACAATTTCCGAACCAAATCTGCCTTTTGTTTGACTGTTCCGTCCGCTGCAATGGACCAGCCAGCGCTCAATAGCTTGTCCGGGAAATGACAGTAAAAGACCACTCGGGTTCCCGCAACCAGCCTGAGTACAGGCACGCAGACAGACTGCTGATCGACAATGAAGACATCAAATGGCTCAAGAGGAGATAGAGGATTTAAAAAGGTAGCAGGCTCCGGCATGAGCAATGAGAGGCACAGGAGGAGGGTGAGGAGCAATGAGCGAAGGATGGAGAAGACAATAGTCATGGGAAGCCGTGGGTGAAGTCGCATCGGTAGCATCCTGCCGCCCAGGACATGGACACGGAGTGTACCTATAGCATAAGCTGAGCTGGGCAGTCAGTCAGCTTACCATCTCTGGTTTCTTCAAAGCAACGCTTTGGATCATGGCGAGAGGTGAAAATGGTCACATTGTGACCTCGTTTTTGCAGTGATACGGCTGCGTCAACGACAAGTCTTTCGGCGCCGCCTGATGTCAGCAGCATACATCAGGGAGCAAGACGCACCTATGCCTAGGTCGGGATGTATGAAGCCTATGCGTAGCTTCTTTTCGCTCGCCTTCATGATGAAGGTGCAATCGGACAGCAGGACAGAGGATTCCACACCAATTTTTGAAGAGCCGATTCCGCCAGCGAAGATTTCAAGCTTTCATTCATTCTATCTATCTCACACTTGAACATGATGACGACAGCGGGACCATCTCATCCGCCCATCACGATCCTCAAGCGAACCCGAGCTGATCTAGGACTGGCTCAGAACAAGTTTCTGAAAAAGACAGCCAAGGGCAAGGTCCTGTCCTGTGAGCTTTGACAGGCGAAACCCTCTCTCTGGCTGACCAATTCTTTAGTCCTACGTGAACGATATGTACGAGACGATATCCCTTGTGGATTCGAAGGATGCGATCAGTGTCGGGACCTTCCAGGATACAAACCTGTGCTACAGAAAGGATATCGGCATACGAAGATCGATCCTCATTACCTCGTCATCGATACCAACATAGTCTTACATCAGGTGAGAGGCATCACTCTTGAGAGGAGCTGACATTCAGATGGACTTGCTCGAGGCTTTCCCGCCGGATCTTGCCTTGATTATACCTTCGACAACGATAAGAGAGACACGACATCGCTCTTTGCCATTGTATAATCGCCTGCAGCAACTAGTGCAAGATGATGAGCGAAAAGTCTGGATCTGGTGGAACGAGGAGCGTAGAGAGACAGCGACGCATGCCGAGGAGAATGAAGGTCCGAACGATAGGAATGATCGAGGTAAGGAGGATCTGAAGGCTTTTGCTCATTGCAAGCCATCCGCTTGACCTGTCATTTCTACAATCAGCACTTGCCAATTGGTCATCCTTTGATCGTGTTGCTGACCGACGATCGGAGAAATCGAGAGCTTGCCGAAGCTGAAGGACTCGTTTGCTGTAATACGAAAACCTACGTGGACGGTCTGGTGCCCGAAGTCAGACAAGATCTGGTCGATTTGGTGGTCGGAGGAGTCGATGCGGAAGTTGTGACCCGAGGTAGAAGAGTATACGAAGAGGTGAGCGGCTCATCAAGGCTTTGCTGATCGCCCAGTATCTCTCGCAAGATGTCTTGAATGCTGGCATCAAGACTGGGAGATTTGTTCAAGGATACTTCAATGCCAGTCAATACAATTATCTCGAGGGCACAGTCAGTGGTATCCTGCTGGCCGGACGACAGGCAATGAACCGATCTGTCCAAGGTGACCTCGTGGTGGTCGAGCTTCTACCCAAGGCAGAATGGAGGGCACCGGGTCAAGACGTCGTCGACGCTGATGTAGATCAACGGAACGATGATGTAGAGAATGAAGTGGAGGCAAAGGAGAAAATCCAAGAAAACGTGGGACGGCCAGTACCTACGGGCAAGGTAGTTGGAGTCGTCAAGAGGAACTGGAGAGCGTGAGTCGTCGAGGAAAGACTCCACTAACGACAGCTACGTGTGCCACCTGGATCGATCATCACTCTTGCCGGAAGCTCAGCTCGCAAGTCTCTCGCAGCAGACAGTGTTCGCAACACCACTGTCCGTCACGCTCCCCAGGATCCGTCTGCGGACTCGTCAGGCACCTACTCTCGTTGACCAGAAGATCCTCGTCACCATCGACTCGTGGTCGCCTTTCTCGCGTTACCCGGATGGTCACTTTGTCCGTGCCCTCGGGAAAGTCGAGAGCAAAGAAGCGGAACAGGAAAGTCTACTGCTGGAGTATGAGGTGCCGTACAGGCCATTTGGAAAGGCAATCCTCAATTGTCTGCCCGTCGAAGGCGATTCCTGGAAAGTGCCGCCGAAGGGAGACCTAGTCTGGCGTGATAGGGAGGATTTGAGAGATCTCATCGTCTGCAGTATCGACCCGCCGGGTGAGGGCAAAGCGTCTACCAAAGCTGACGCCTAGGCTGCCAAGATATCGACGACGCCCTGCACGCCAGGGAGCTGCCAAATGGCAACATCGAGGCTGGTGTCCGTGAGTGGATCATGGTGAATCCAGGCTGATGTCTAGACATTGCCGACGTATCGCACTTTGTCCTCCCGAACAATCCGATGGACTCGGAAGCAGCATCGCGAGGTACAACAGTGTACCTGGTCGACAAGCGTATCGACATGCTGCCGGCACTACTTGGTACGAACCTATGCTCGCTTAGACCTTTTGTGGAGCGGTTGGCGTTCTCCGTGATCTGGGTGAGGGAAAGGCTTCAGTTCCAACTGACGTGCAGGAAATGAATGATGATGCGGAGATTGTCAATGTGCGCTTTGTCAAGTCTGTGATCGCTTCGAAAGAGGCTTTCACGTATGAAGCGGCTCAAAACCGGAAGGATGGGTGAGGCAGACCCCGAATCCGTTACTGACGAAGAAAGCCCTCTTAAGGATCCTCTCACCCAGTCCATCCGTCTTCTGAACACACTCGCCATCAAGCTTAAAGCTGCGCGTATGCGAGCAGGTGCACTTTCCTTGTCCTCGCCTGAGCTCAAGATCCACCTCGCGTCCTCTGAATCCGCCGAACCAATTGACGTCGAGCAAAAGCAATTGCGGGAGACCAACTCGTTAGTGGAGGAGTTCATGCTCCTTGCGAATATCAGTGTCGCAGCCAAGATCCAAGAGACTTTTCCAGCAACTGCTGTTCTGAGGTGAGGAGTGATTTCATGACGTACTCTGATACCAGGCGCCATGGTGAACCTCCCAAGACCAACTTTGAGGCGCTTCAAGATATTCTTCACAAACGACGCGGGATGACACTCGATGTATCCAGCTCGAAAGCGTTGGCAGAGTCACTAGACGCGTGCGTGGATCCTCAACGTCCTGAATTCAACACGCTCGTACGTATCATGGCGACAAGGTGCATGTTGGCGGCCGAGTACTTTGGCTCAGGAAGTGTTTCCAAAGAGGCTTATCGGCATTATGGTTTGGCAACGCCCATTTATACCCATTTCACGTCACCGATCCGACGATATGCCGATGTGCTTGTGCATCGTCAACTTGCAGCCGCGATCAATTATACGCCTCTGCATCCTTCATTGCAGTCCAAATCGCATATCGAGAAGACTCTGAATGTGGTCAATAAGCGCCATCGACTGGCCCAGATGGCAGGCAGAGCCAGTGTGGAGTTCTATGTCGGCCTGGCACTGAAGGGAGCGGCTCGACGAGAAGATGCGTTCGTGATTCGAACGTTTCGAAACGGTTTGGCCGTATTTGTCTCAGCGTAGGTTCACGAGTCCGAGGCCCTAGCTGACAGTAGTCTTGGTCTCGAGGGGTTGATCATGTTCAAAGACATCGAGTATGATGCGGAGAATTATATAATCACAGTGGGAGGCGTGACAATCGGCGTGTTTGATAGAGTCAGGGTGGAAGTAGGCGTTGAAAAGGATAAGAACACCCAGCGAGGCAAAGTCAAGATGGTCATGATAGAGCCGGTCAATCAAACTTTGTAACTATTTATTCACAAGGATATTTTGTCATTTGACCATGCGTCCATTGAGTCTGGACGAGTATAAACGATATGGAAGACAGATGATACAGTCAGAATGGGGACTCCCAGGTGGGCGGGTGGTGCTACCAACAGAGCTGAGACTCTAGGCCAGCTCAAGCTTAAACGGGCGACTGTCGCTGTTGTCGGAGCTGGTGGACTGGGATGTCCAGTTTTGCAGTATCTAGCAGGGGCGGGTGTGGGTGAGCTGAGAGGTTGAAGTTGGAGCTCATAGTCAGGGACCATCAGGATAGTCGATCATGACGAGGTGGATGTGTCCAATCTTCACCGCCAGGTTTTGCATACAACGGACAGAGTGGGGAGGAACAAAGCCGAGTCCGCGGCGATGGCCATAGAAGCGTGAGCAATGTTGCATTATGAGTCTCATGTCAAGTCTCAATCCACACGTCAAAGCCGTCTCCATTCCCAAAGCCGTTCACAACAACAACGCCATCGAGCTCTTGTCTGGCATAGACATCTTGATCGACTGCACAGATCGACCCGAGACTCGATACCTTTTATCTGACACTGCCGTCCGCCTCGACATACCCCTCGTATCTGGAGCGGCGATCGCATCATCAGGCCAATGGGCGGTCTATGGAGGTGTAATGAACGGGAAGAGACGAGCCTGCTACCGTTGTATGTGGCCAGCAGTCATAGGCGATGGAGGTGGAAGATGCTCGGATGTGGGCGTTTGGGGACCCGTAACGGGTATGGTGGGATGTGGAATGGCTGGTGAAGCGATCAAGGAGATACTGGGTCATGGAGATGGATATATGCACATGATGAGGCTCGGGACCCCGTTGAGAAGTATCAAGCTACGCTCGCAGCGTCCCACTTGCTCATGTGCGGGAGGTGAAGCACCGGAAATAAGAGTGGGCGAGTGTTCGACAAAGACGACGACAGCAGTGGAGAGAGTGTCCCCGAAGGTGAGTCAGAGTGCGACGCGGCTGACATGTAGGAACTACACGCTATACAGGATTCTGTCACGATCGTGGACACACGCCCGCCTACAGAGTTCGGTATCTGTGCTCTAGAGTCGAGTCACAGTGAGGATATCCCTACGAGATAAGGCTAACCATAAGATGTTCCTCTCGCGGATATCCTTGCGCATCCGGACGAGATGACTCGACGGTATCCAGGCCAGATTGTTTTCGTCTGTAGGCAGGGAAATGACTCGCTTCTCGCCGCGGAGAAAGTACAGGAAGCAGGAGGTACGGTGAAAGATCTGAGAGGAGGGCTAGTCGCGTGGAGTCGTGATGTAGATCCAGAGTTTCCAGTCTATTGATGCATTCTATATCTTCTTGGAGAATGCGTTGACTTCGTCACATGAGCCTCTGACGCAAACAAAAGGTGGGCCTTCTCCTTCATCTCGTTCTCTAGGGTCTGGGAGGATGCATTTGATGTCCTCGCTGAGAAGGCTCAGTTCAAGGTCTGTCGCGTAGACTCACGGGTACGGACAAGGACAGTCTGCCGGTGTAGACACACAGGCTAAGGATCCAGGACAGAGGTAGCCAGCACCGCACGACGCTAATCGTGAGCGTTTTAAGACCAATGTCAGACTCACTTTGCTCCATCTCTGTCCAACCTTTGTGTTGGCGATGTGGAGTGCGATCCTCATGCTGGTGGAATGGATTATGGAATTGAAAGTTGTTTTGGAAGAAGCCGCCGAACTGAGCAGTGACACCCGTGATCGCGCATGCAATCAGGATGATGTAGGCGAGGGTCGACGGCATGCTGGATGGAGATGAAGAAAAGGAATGCTCGGATGCACATCTTTGTGGCAGCCAGGTCGATTTTGGAAGCGTATTCATTTCACGTCACACGGGGTCTACAACGGCGCTCTCACTCAGAATACGTGATCAGATATGCTTTCGTCGAGACAGACGAGTGGTGTACACGGTTGCTACCATGAGGGAAACGAGCTGTCGTCAGAGAGGCATGTGAAGGGAACTTACGGTGACTGATGGGAGGGGTTGCGGACAGGCAATACAAGAAGAGTTGGCAGGATGGTGAGCCGAGCAAAACACAACAGCGATGAGAACAGGTCTCATATCAGCCCTCTGATCAAAGCCTGCAGATCCGTTCGCTCACCCAAACCTGCTGGCATGAACTTTCTGGACCTCATGAATCTCATCCCCATGAGGGCGAACATTGCCCACGCGACACCTATATTCAGCGGCGCACAGCAGGTGGACTAACCTAGCGCCGGGACCACATCATCGGCATTCTGGCTCGTTCTCGATGCCCCGTATGCTGCTCCCAAAGCTCCCATCCCACCTCCCCTGAGCCGTCAGAAACACCTCGCAACATGACTCACAAGAGGGACATGACGGACCCGCGTCGTAAAAGTCCAATCAGCCCTCCGAGACCGAGCAGCACAGCATATCCGTAGCCTATCGTCAGCATCATTCATCCTCTTCACTCTCTCACCCAACACATCTGTCCTTGACGTTGTCACTGGTGCCATGATGGTGGTGATAGGTTCAAGAGAAACATTTAATACGTTATGTCGGGATCTGCCGCCAATCAACTGTTTCGTCGTCCTTCAGTCCTTTTGCTAGGGTTAGAGTTCCTGTCAATGAGGAGAAATCCGAGACGGAACCTTTTGCTGATTGCAAAAAACATCCTAACGTCGTCGCCCATCGCAAGATGGAGACGCAATCTTTGGAACACGACCTATCTGTGGGAACTTCCCCGAAGGAAACATCTTTTTTGCCTGAGGAGATACCAAAATCGACCCCCAAAATCACAGATGGCGACCAAGGGGGTGCAATCAGCAAGACGCCGGCTCGCGGAGGCTCAACCGGCAATACCCAAGGAGTTGTGAACACTTTGGTGTCAACGGGACGGGCAGGGCAGAAGTATAGGGATGAGGAGCTCAGGATTCAGAAAGAGGTCCTCCGCAGGATGGGGCGATTCAAGCGACCCCGTCCCGCCTCCCCTACGTCGACACCCCGCCCCAGCTCACCTCTTCAGGGCCCTATGCCACCTCCCTCCGAATCCTCTGCCACCCCCAAGAGGAGAGGCTTAGTGAGAGACGCTCAGGGACGACCTTCTTTTTACATTTCGCGATAATTATATTAGACTCTCAGACCAGTGCTCTTCATATACAGACCCCCGCATGAAATACATCCTAACCTTCTGAACTGGTTCACGCTGGTCAGAGAATTTCTGGAAACATGTACCCACAGCGGTCGCACATTGTCTTTTTGGACTGGAAGGGGTGTGTGCAAAGCACGATACGTGTATCTCCGATTCCGATGGAGATGCAGCTCTGTTCCCCGTGAGGGGTACGCGTACCGACTGTGGCAGTACGCCGATCACTCTAACCCTGCCTCACCCGTCAGAAAGTCAAAGTCTGCGCCCTTGTCCGCCTGCAGCACGCTCCGTCGATAAAGTCCTCTGTATCCTCTGACTCTCTTTCCGCGCTCCATATCCGCAGCTCGACCCCCGGAACGCCACGCTGTCAATCTCGTTGCGATCTCCTGCGACGAGACTAGCAGGTCCAAACGGCGTGTTTCCACGTCCAGCTTGATCCTGTCTCCGTCCTGGACGATGGCCAGGACCCCACCGACCGCCGCCTCCGGGGTGACGTGTAAGATGACTGCGCCTCCCGCTGTCCCCGACATTCGCCCGTCGGAAATGCGCAACATGTCCTTGACGCCCCTTTGAGCGAGCTTCTTCGGTATGGGTATGTAACCGGCTTCTGGCATTCCAGGGTTGCCGACGGGGCCAATGTTTTGCAGGACCAATCTGATGTCAGCAATCGACGGTTTTGTTAGCTTACACGCTGTCTTCATCCACATCAAGATCTGGGTCGTCGATTCTCTTGATCAAATCATCGAGGTCGGCAAAGACACAGGCCATGCCTTCGTGCGACTTGAGTCTTGGGTCCATTGCTGATTGCTTCAGAATGCAGCTGTCTGCGAGGTTGCCCCGTAAGACGATGAGGGAGGAATATGTCCCCAGAGGGCGAACGATCGTCTGGTCGAATGTCGGCCACGAGGCTAGCTCTTCGCCGAGCGTCCTGCCTGTCACGGTGAGGATGTCAAAGTGAAGATTGAGCTGCCGGAGGATGACGGGGACGCCTCCGGCCTTGAACAGATCTTCCATGTAATTCTGTCCGCTCGGTTTCAGATCGACGAGCAGAGGTGTTGTCCGACCAAGTCTGTCAAAATCGTCCAGGGTCAAGTTCACGCCCTTGACTCGACCAGCCATGGCAAGAAGGTGGACCACTGCATTGGTACTCCCGCCAAGAGCCTGAAGAAGGATGATGGCGTTTTCGAACGCCTTTCGAGTGAGGATCTCGGACGGTCTGGGAAGTGACCCCGTGGCTATCTTGCCTGTGATCTCTGCAATACGCAGGCGCTGACTGACATTGGCTGGAGCAGTGGCACTGCCGAGAGGTGCGATACCCAGCGCCTCTGTGATACATGCCATCGTCGATGCTGTGCCCATAACCCCACAGGTCTGATGTCAATACGATAGGGAATGGTCTTGCTCACTCCTGCACTTGGGACCAATTCATTCCCCACTGAGACGATCTCCTCCAGATCAATCTCACCCGCACGATGCATTCCCCAATACCGTCTGCAATCTGTACATGCGCCAACACGAGTGCCACGATGATTCCCGGTGACCATGGGACCAGTGACCAGCTGAATGGCAGGTATATCAGCTGATATGGCCCCCATGAGCAGAGCGGGGACTGTCTTATCACAGCCGCCAATAAGGATCACAGCATCCATTGGTTGGGCCCGGATCATCTCTTCTGCGTCCATCGACATGAGATTGCGTAAGAACATGCTGGTGGGATGGGCGAAAGACTCGTGTAAGGAGATGGTGGGGAAAGGAACGGGGAGAGCGCCAGAGAGCATGACGCCACGGGAAGTGGCCTCGACCAGGGCAGGAACATTGGCGTGACACGGGTTGAAGCCCGACTGAGTGGGGTGTGCGTAGAAAGCGTATTTGGTGGAGCGCAAAGTTCAGTAAATGAATGCGGCGAGACGGTGGACAGTAGGTCGTCAGTAGTGTATCGCACCATAGGATATCACAAGCGGTCCATTCAGTCCGAGCGAGGTGGGGCACAGAGAAGGTGAGAACGAGCGAGGGAGGTCTGATCAGTTGTCTACAGCTGGTGTAGATGACTCACTCTCGTGTCTACGATGCCGATAATTCGTCTATTCAGCGCATCGTCTGTGTATCCGGCTCCTTTGATGAACGCTTTTCGGAGGAACGAGGAGAACTCGTCGTCTCCATAGTTGGTCAAGCCTGGAACGAGAGTCAGTCATGCTGGCCAGGAAAAAGAATGTACCTGATCGTAGACCTGAAGATCCTTCCTTGGTCTCCATGAGGAAGCAAGGTGCAGTGAACGAGTTGATTGGCAGCTCAAGATGAACTCCGAAGCCCGGACCGGATCGGCCTTCACCGAGAGCATATCGAGCGACCTCGCCAGCGATAGCGGAGTAGCAGTGGCCAGGGCAGCGGAGGAGGGCAAATAGGGTAGGTGCTCGCTGTGGTCTCAGGACAACAAGAATGACCGCCACAGTTTTGCCATGTTGTCCCCTTTGTATGTATACAAGACTATTTTCTGAAGCGTGTCGTTGGCCTGTTCATCGAACATGAAAGGCTTTGATTGAGCCTAGATGTCCGATGTCCTCCTCAGACGGTACCGCACATCACTCTGCCCCAGTCTACACATCTGTAGCACTCGGCTCAATCACTCTGGCCCTCTCCGCCTTTGCCTTCAACCACGCGGCGTGTCTCCTCCTGCCGATTTCTGCCAATGACACCTCTTCGTCTCCACCGGCAAACTCGCCTAGATCAATCACATGATACCCCCTGCTCGGGGCGGCGACCATGACAACTGCAGGAGGCACCGCGTAGGAGGCATACGGATCAAAATCGTACGGTATCTCGTAGGATAAGTCTGTCGGCCGGGGTAGAGCTTCACCCCTGAGCTGTCAGCTTTTATACAAGCTTCTTCCTCACCATAAAGTATCTTCCAGATCCTTTAGTAGCCTCATCACATCACTATTCGGATCTCCGACCGTGACATTGCCATAACCACCTTCTTCCATTGCGCTTCTGAATGCCCACCCGACTCCCTTGTAGATGCCAACTGCTTCGTCCACCTCGCGAATAGCGTGCTCTACCTCGTTCCCCCAAAAGACGACATCATCACCCGTTGGAACATTCACATAGCCCAGTTTCTTCCCTTCCTGGACAGCTTGAATCGTTCTGGAGGTTTGTATCCAAGGACATGGTCTATCCGGATATAGGACGAACCACAGCGCGTCGACATAATGTCCCAGCGCTTGTACTAGCTCCAGGACGAGCGGACGTATCCTGCGTGATCCAAGACGGGAAGTAATATCTGAGAAGGGATTTGCAGAGGCTAGAGGCCGAACTTTGCTGTGGTCGACAGCAAGCTCCACGTCACGTAAGGCTCTGACTGATTCAGTGGTGTAGAAGTCGACGTCGGGAGTAGGAAGCGGGGAGAGTGACGGAGTATATTCAGAAGAGGAACCGTGCTTGAGAGACACGAGTGGGATAGGCTTCTTCTTGGGTGTAGATTCTTGATTCGACTGCTCAACGATCCATTTCTGTCCACGAATCAGCCAGGACACCGAGACTTCCCGCCAGGATGCTCACCCTCCACTTCAACATCGCCTCATCCTCCTTGGTCGTATCCAGTGCACTTGGGCCAGACCCGTTACTCCGTGTCGAGTCAGACGTCTCTGGTCGAGCCAATCGAGCGCGAGCAGATCCTCTTCGAGCAGATGGGTCATCCGCCAGTGTTGCGCGTCGAAGGGCCAAGCGAGAACTTGGGCCCAACGGCCCAAGGGGGTCATTCGATTCCATGTCGACGAGAGGATGAGAGTTGTGGACGATGTTGAGACCTGAGGCGCTCATCGTGATATAGGGTCAAGGGTCATGCGGTGGCGTGGAGAGAATACGAGACGTGAGTTGCAATCGATTGATTTTCCAACGCGTAAAATCACAATACAATATTATGGAATGGGATCTACGGGGTCCGACAGCGGGGAGTGCAGATCACCACCTGTCAGCACAGGCGGGATGCTATGCGATGGACACTCCTGGATGAGTATACTGCGGCCTAGATAGAATTATGGCAAATCACCACCGAGCCTCCTGGCCGCTGACTGCTCGCTTCCCGTTGGAGACACGCCCTGATGCCACCAGTCATGTTGTACGCCTCTTGCTCCTGTCATGGGTGCAATTTTCAGGCGGTCTCTCTCAATTGTGTGCATGAAGCCAACTGAGGCCCTCAGACCGAGCACATTGGCATGTAAAGTCACGCATATTCTTCAGAGGCGGATGTCGAATCTGTGTCTGCCCAGCCCCCACCTGTGTTCTCGCTCGACTGGTACCCACTTATCACCACACCGCGGCCGTATTCCACCTGCCTATTTCAGTGAGAATCGCTGAAATCGCCCGATCGCTTGAGATCAAGCATCAGGCCGCCGATGCAACGGCATCCGCTCTGGGACGGATTAGAATGGGGGACACCCACCGTCGCTCTGGTGCAGCATTTGAAGCCTTTGTCTTCTTCCCAATTGGGTCTTGATCAGAAGATCTGAGATCGTTCCCTAATTAGAAGCACAGTCAACCTCGATAGGGTTATTATCTATCGGCCTCGGTTTATCCGGCATTGGATCTACAACATCGAGGATCAGTCAAGGGGATGGATCTCCTGCAATGCGTCGGGGAGCATGGAGGAAACATGGTCAAAGTACCTTGAGTACACATATATACGAGCATTGCGATCCATCCGTTCCTCATACAGCGTTCTCTTCTAGATCGTCAAAGTCGCCATGTCCGCCTTTGGTCTGTACCGATCCTCCTTTGGAGAGCTTTTTCCCGTTATTGCTGCCCTTGATATCGCCGTCGCCGGCTTGCTATTGGGTGTCGCATGGATCCTCCGTGCCCGAGTGCTGACGCCTTACAATCACTTGCCATGTGAGCGATGTAATTTCCATCCGTCTTTCACAAGGACTGATCATTCTTCAGCGCCTCCCGGTCTATCTCTCAAGCATGACCACTCATCACTCAGTCTCGGTAAGCCATATGGCAGTACATGGCGAGAATGGTTCAAAACCTATGGATCAACGATGCTCATCCGAGTCGCTCCTTACTATCGACCTGTGATACTTACCAAGGATCCCTCATTCATTCGCCATGTATTCGCCAACATCAACGACTTTGAAGGCAGTCCCAGGTTCAGTAAAGCTTTCAAGCTGATGGGCCTGAATGGAGCCCTCCCAGGCGTCCATGGCGAACGGCGACAGAGAATTCGGGCTGTGTACGGTCGTTCGGCATCATTGGCCGCTATGAGAGCGAAATTCCCTCAAATGCTGAAAGTCGCCAACAAAGTCAAACAGGAGATCTCCCAGGCATCGGAAGTGGTCAACGGGCAGCCGTTCAATCCCGCGCCTCATGTGATCGCTTTCCAGATGGGCATCCTCAGTAAGATCGTCTTTGGGTTTACCGATGAGGAGATCGTCAACGGGAAACCAAAGGAGTTCCAAGATATTCTCGCCGAATACCTGAAGTCGAGACAGTCTTTGAGGTGGTGGGATCTGCACACGCATAGAGTGAGTGGCCACGGCTTCGCGAACTTTGCCAGCGTGCTTTCTAACCCGAGCTAATTCGTGTTGCAGATTCTCCCCTCCGGGAGATGGAGAAAGCATCAGCATAACAGACGTTGTATTGCTAATTTTGGAAAGGTAAGAGGAAGAACTTGGGCCTCCGCGTAAAGATCGCTTACGGATCGCGTTTCAGAGGGTACTCCGGGAGAAGCAGGCGAAGATCACCGGAGCTTTTGGTCACGACCTGAAGGTTGAAGAAATCGACGAGATGGGTGATGATATCATTACCTCCTGGTGTCAGTCTTGTCTTGGCTTGGTTAACTGCGCCTACATGTTGACCTGCGTATAGGTAGATACAACATGGCAAACGACATCCCCGAGAATCAGAAGATTTCAGATGAAGATTTAGTGGACAATGTTCCTCTCGCAGTGAGGGTTTTTTCTTTCAGGTCACCCAGGAAGGCCGAAGGGAGCTTCAGCTGACTGTGAAGAAGATAATTGCCACCATGGATGTCTCCCGCTTGATAGATACCGAGATTCTTCATCGACTGGCAATCTCTCCGGACATACAAGCGAGACTTCGAGATGAGCTGTCCGCATTGCCAGATGAGCCGTCACTGTGAGTCAATACCCGCTCAAATGTCGCTGATGTTTGTTCAGGGAAGATCTGTCGAAGGTCAAATACCTCGAAGCGTTCATCGAAGAGATTGTCAGGATCAACAACCCTTACACAACAATTGAACGGACTTGTACGCGTACCAGTGTGGTACCTCTCCGAGATCCCATTCAAATGTCCAATGGAAAGACTGTGGACTCGATAACAGTACATGCTGGAACGGACGTCTCAGTCGGTGAGTCGACGGCTTGACCATAGATGAGTTGAACATCATGACTGAATTGAGACAGCCGTATACCAAGTCGCACAGGACGAGTCATTGTACGGTTCTGATCCCGAAGCATTCCGACCTGAACGTCATTTGGGTGGGAGCTGTGAGAAGGTGGACGGCGGAGTAGCACTTCACGCAGCATGGGGATCCTCAGTAGGATTTTCAGGTGGAGGACGTGGCTGTCCGTGAGTCGTCTAGTAAAATCTGCAGAAACATGAGCTCACAGCTGGGTAGTGTCTACCAGTTTCCTCTCGCGTTTATGCGAGCCTTCATCTTCGTCATGGTCAGGTCATTCGAGATCTCAGAACCAAAGGACCAGAACGTAGAAGTATGGTGAGTATCTCTATCTCCCATACGCGGGCTATATCGTAATAGGCAGGCATTATGCTGATATCGCCAAACTCAGGACACACACCGTGGCAGACATAAGACAGTGGAAGATCAATGGGAAGGTAGCTACTTATATTCCGACCATCTTCACACCTATCATTCAAGACGAGTGATTGCGACATGCAGCAGATCGCTTTGTGCTCTGGTCCCAACACGTAGTACTGCCCGAGAAATGTAGCCTGTTCCCTGTATCTTGTTCAACGATGTCAGACAGCAGTTTTTCTGGGCTTACCTGCAGCCGAGATTGAAATTCCTACCATCATGGCAGGCTCCTTGCTGCGATCAGACCGCGGTGCCCGCACTGGCATTTACCGTCGAGGTTATAGTGCAGCTGGTCCTCGCTTTCGTAGAGGCCTTCATGTGCCATCGGCCTATTATCGGGCGAATCGGTCCTCCGCACAATTGGCCGCGAGATCGGATATCGCCTCCACTTGTGGGTGGGCCTGTCATCCATCTCTCTACCATACTCCATCATGACCAGAAGATACAAAGTTTTAACGGGTGAGTGGACAGCATAGCGATAGCACTGTATGCACCTAGAGTTCAAGAAGCTCGCCTGCTAACCACTACGATCAGACGAGCAGGTCGACCATTTCCTTCAGCATGGGTTAGTCTCAGGGTGGGGACGCGAACGATGACCTGACTGTCCTTCGCATTAGCTTCATTCATCTGCCACAAGCTTTCACACCGGCTCAGGCTGACGAGTGGACACGAGACATGTGGGTACGACTGGGCATGGACCCCCATGACCAGTCCACTTGGACGAGAGAGTGGACCAATATGCCTCGTGAGTGGGGGAGTGTGGCGACAGAGCCGTAGCCGTTGAGCAATTCAATGCCCTTGTCAATTTTTGCATCTCACGGACCCTGCTGACTCGACGCTTTCGCGTAAAGACCACAAGACCGAGCTCGTGAGCAAATTTGCACCAACGGCCTGGGACGCAATTTGCGACTTGGTTGGCGGCGCGGAGCGTATAGACGATGACAAGCGGTCTTGGAGGTGAGCGAGATCAAGACGCTGTTGCTGAACGTCTCAGTGACGGCTTCATTGTCAATCTTGGCAGCGAAGAGTTCCCACCAGAGAGGACGACACACCCTACAGAGCTCAAGAGGTGGCACTGCGATGGCGATGTGAGTCTATCAGGTTAACTCCGCTGACCTCGAGTTCTTCCTCCATGTAAGATTGCCCACAGAAATCCATCTGACCATAGTTTCTCGACAGTCCCGAGCAGGGCCTTCTCGTCGTCCCATTGTTCTCCGACGTCGTACCGAACGGGGGTGGAACAATCATTGCGCCTGAAGGCGTGGGACATATTGCTCGGTATCTCGCAGCACATCCGGAGGGTGTCATGCCGACCGCTTTCCCATTTCACGACATCGCCGTCAATCAGTGCAAGAACTATGTCGAGCTGACCGGGAAGAAAGGTGATGTGAGTGCCTGACAGCTCCCTTCCACGACTTACACTTAGGTGATCCTCCTTCACCCTTTGATGCTTCATACCGCTTCGAGGAACCATCTTCGAGCGGTTCGAGTCATCACCAATCCACCCATCTCACTCACTGAGCCGTTCAAGTTCAAGAGGTCTTCTTCGGAAGACTACTCACTCGTCGAGCTCAAAACGATGAGGGAACTGGGAGCGGACGCATCGGAAGGTTACGACTTCAAATTGGTGGGAGAGAGGAAGGAGGTAGTGCCGCTACGACTTCAGATTCAAGCCAAGTGGAAGGCGGAGGAGCTCGAGAGAATGCGTGTGCTGAAGGAAAATGGACAGAAGAGAGGCAAGCAGACACTGGACGAGGCTTGGGAGGCTATCGGATACTAGATGCAAGATAGCATGACACAGGCGAGGCGTTCAGGCTCAACGTGACACATGCTATACGAGTGGCAGAACCAACGTCAGGGTCATTCAGCGGTAAGGGCTTGAAAGGCCCGGTTCCTCGGCCACCACTTGGGAGTCTGTGCTGCTCGTATCATGCCAGATCTCTTTCTGAGCGTGTGTCAGGGGTATTTGAGCAAAAGTCGAATGTGATTCAACCGCAGGTCACATCAGGCTCGTCAAAGAACATCTCACCGCCACTACTGCCTTACCTTAAGCGATCCCCCCTTTTTGGGAAGAACAGGTAGACCAAATTTCGTAGCTTTCCTCTTCTACACCTCTCAAGCTCACAAGAATCGTCGTCGCAGCTCACGCACAGGTCGACGAGTGGATTCTGTCCATCTCGCTCGTACCATCTTCTCGCTGTGGGAAAAGTCCCCGGAGCCGCGATGCTTTTCAGCTCGAGTCGCCGTCGGATGCAAGTCACTCGACGATCCCTCAAAATTGGAAAGCGACCTCGCCCAAGATCGAGGTGCTGAGGGAGTCCGTCGAGATTGATAGCACCGACCGGCTGTTGCCGACTCGAAGCTGAGCTCGCCAAGGGGCCGCTTTATTCACCTGGCAGTCTTAGGCGAAGATATGAGCCAAGTCCAGTGACGAAAGTGGCTCCTTGCCGTTCTGCTCATAGCCATAGTTATACGATTTGCCCGATATGATCCACCACTTTGGTGGATTGAGGGTAACACGATGGGGCTTACTCTGTGGTTTGGAGGCCAACATCAACTTCTCTCCCTCCTCGACAGAGGGTCTGCCTTTCAAAGTGGATTACGACGCGAGGAGGTGCACAAGTGTTCTAAACCCAGTGATGCCTTTTGAATTTCTTCAACGCTAGCGGGGAGAGTGTGATCCGATGGACCTTTAGTGGGAACAGAGGACCCTCTCTCTCGTGGGGAGCGACATCTTGACGCTGAGGGTACAATCATACACGCCCTGGGAGCGACCTCAGTGGAACCAGTGAGTCCTTCCGAGTGGATGACCGCGACTTGATGATCTACAATCCAACGCCTAATTCTCGCCATACCTCTCGTAAGGTTTGCTTGACTTGCACCTGGGTAGGACCAGGATGCTTGCGGACCTCATACACATGACCTGATCGCATTATGTCGTCCAACATGGAAGTCTCGCTGATTCGTTACAGGTGGACAATTGGTAGCTCGCCATTCTATACCGTTATGTGAGTACCTCTTTCCTCCTGCTCCTCCCGCCCTCCGATCTATCTCTTCCATTGCTATGACGATAAAACATCTTACCATACTTTACCTCATTCGCCGGCGGTCTCGAACCGTGATTGGCGACTCAAATTTCAGCCTTGACTGAGCGACTATTTCTCTGCATATCCTCACTGTACCACGAATCGCGCTGATCCCACGACAGGTGTCCCTGTAAGTCACAGCTCGACCCCCTCCCCTCCCCTCCCCATTCATGACGAAAACTTTACGATAGGCGGTCATACTTCCCTCCTCCTCTGGTTCGTCCAGAACGTCTCCAGTGTACAAAAGTGAGACGGGGAGGAGTGACTGGTGAAATCTATCGATATCGGATTATCAGCCATGCACTCCAGGGATAGTGATCTCGAGCTGACCCCTGCCACCAGGTTGGATGTATGTATCTCTATGTATGCCAAATGAAATATATTCCGCTGTCCATTTTCTCCCATTTTCTCCCGTCCAATGACAGGAATTCATACCGACTCAACTTTTTTTCCTTATCGCTTCTCTTTCTCTCTCTCTCATATCTCACTCAACCAACTCAACAGCTCGTCCGGCTGCTACCCTGCTCCCTTGACCGCTCCTCGGGCACTCTTATGTGGACCGAACGTACCTCTGACGAGTGAGTCCGAGAGCTGCGAGCCATCTGTGTGCCATGCTAACGTGCGCGCTTCGCTTATCCTCTCCCTCCCGTCAAAATCACACAGCTACCTGTCTGATCTCGTGTTTACCCTCAACAAACATTGAGATGTCTTTCACTCGCCCTTTGACCCGCACTCTGGCCCGTGGCTTGTCCACTAGCAGCCCCTCACCCGCCTCTGTTCATCCAGGCCTCTTGACCCATGTTCTGCCCCCCAAAATTCCCGCTGCGCTCCATCTGCAATCTGGACAGAGCTACCACGGTCAAGGTTTCGGAAGCACCAATAGCAAATATGGCGAGACGGTCTTTAGCACCAGTATCACCAGCTACACTGATTCGATGACCGACCCATCGTACCTCGGTCAAATTCTCGTCTTCACCTCGCCCATGATTGGCAATTACGGTATCCCCTCCAACGCGGATCCCAGCGATACACCTGGCATTCCATTCCTCGAGTCATCGGGCATCCGATGCACTGGTGTAGTTGTTTCTGACGTCGCTCTCAAGTACTCTCACTACCAAGCCGTCGAGTCTCTGCACGAATGGTGTGCACGACACGATGTACCCGGTATCACGGGCGTAGACACCCGAGCCATCACTTCGCTTCTTCGAGATCAAGGCACGACACTCGGTCGACTTGCCATCGGTGACGATGCCGCTACTGCGCCGACTTCTGAGGAGTTCTGGGATCCGAGCGTAGAAAATCTCATCGCCAAAGTTTCCACTCCCCAGCCTTACACGCTCAATCCAAATGGACGAGGTCCTCGAATTGCCGTTCTCGACTTTGGCTCCAAAGCCAACATTCTCCGATCGCTTGTTCGACGAGACGCCGTTGTGACTGTCCTTCCATGGAACTATGACTTCAATGCCGTCAGGGATCGCTTCGACGGTTTGTTCCTGTCCAATGGACCCGGAGCTCCTTCATCCATCATGGACACTGTTGATAGGGTCCGAATCACCATCAACGAATGGGACAAGCCAATTTTCGGTATCTGTATGGGCCACCAAATTATCGGTATGGCAGCGGGTATGGAGGCCTACCGTATGAAGTTTGGAAATCGAGGACACAACCAACCTGTTCTTGCTCTAGCTTCATCCGGCAGTATCAAGGCGGGTCGAGTCTACGTCACTTCTCAGAACCATCAGTATGCGCTGAAGTTGACCGAAGACTTCCCTACTGGCTGGGCACCATTCTTTATCAACTGCAACGACTCATCGGTCGAGGGCATCATCACGACGCCAGAGTCTGGCAAGAGGATTTGGGGTGTCCAATTCCACCCAGAGTCTGCGGGTGGACCTCTCGATACGATTGAAATGTTTACAGACTTTGTTAACGAGTGTGCGGCAGGAAGATCAATCATGACTCCGGAAGAGACAATCGAGGGCGTTCGAGCGGTAGCGTAGGCGTGAGCGCGGGGCGTGTAGAGCACCAAGACGACATTAAAATCCTTGACCCGTGACAAACATGCATATCTAAATCGTGCAAATGATATCCCCCGCACCTAGTCCATCAGATTGACCAGATCTGCGAACGCGTCCTTCTTCGGCTGAGGTGGCTGAGGAGCTGGCTGAGGAGCTTGCTGAGGAGCTTGCTGCTGCGGCTGTTGGGGTGCGTACGCTGCTGTACTTTGCGGAGCCGGTGAGAGCGAGTACCCCTGCATCGGCTGCTGCTGTACCTGCGCCGATCTCCCAGAGTTCCAGCCCATGCTCCCCTGGGGACCGGGGATGTTGAAAAAGTCCATCGGGTTCGTCCTCTGTCCGGATACTTTGCGTTCGGGGGCCAATCCGGGTGAAGGTGTAGGTGAAGGCGCTGTGAACAAGTCTAGCGGTAAACCTGACGAGGTCATGCCGGCGCTTGAGGACCCCGCGTCGGCTGGCAGGGATACGCCTCCGCCCATGGGCTCATCGTCTGCAAAGGCGTCAAAGGAGATGAGATCGGCGGCTTTCTTATTCGGGTTGCTCCTGTGACTGTCAGCAAGAAGCATAGTACCCATCACGTACGCTTCTACCAGTGCTTGTGCCTTGGCCCAATCTCCGACTTTGCACGCCTCATACCTGTCTAGAGCGTTGTTGATCAAGTCATTGCAGAGCAAGAGTCGTTCTGGGACTGTAAGCACGAGCAGAGTGACGCGATTCACCCATCATTCCTTCCCTTTCACCCGCATCCTGCTCTATCCAACGCTGGATCTTTGGCCGGGCTCCTCGACAAGCAGCTGCTACCTGATCATACACATCGCCATCTACCCCAATCCTCTCTCCCTCTTTGGCATTGTTGAGCATGTCATTGAGCAGTATCGCCTTGGATTGAACCTTTTCCAATTCGCCAAGGGTTTGAGAAGCGTAGTCTGGAGCTTTGTCTGGTTCGGCGCCTGCCAAAGCCTTCATGAGGTCTTGGGCGGCTGCGAGATCTCTCGGAGTCCCACGACGGATCAGTTCCTGCAGCTTTGCACTTTTTGCTGCTCGATCCTCCTCCTCCAGCTCTTCGGGCGATTTCAAATCCTGTTGTAAGCTTACCATTGACATAGACGGCTCACCTCGTTCGGATTGCTCGACGCCATGGCTCGCGCAGCGTCAAAAGCCTTGAACCGGTAACCTATTATCAGATCTTGGCCGCAATGCTGTGCTCACCCTTGTAGCTCAACAACCTGTGCATGTCGCGAATGTGGACCAGGTCATCCTTGTATTTGGAATGGACACAGAGGGTGTTTTTCCACTCGTGTATCAACTAATAGGTCAGCAAGGCGTGCTTCGGGCGAGCTCACCTCGAGGATCCTCCCCATTACCCTTCCCGTGACCATTGGTGGACGCTCCGGGAACCTCCTGACCAATTCATTGAGGAACTCTTTCGTAGAGATCTGTAGATGCACAGGATAACCACAATTGCGAACTAGATGCTCGAGTACTGAAAGAGCGAGGAGGGCCTGATTTGGATTTCGCGAGTTGATATGTGTCAATAGAGCATGACACGCTTCACGGGCACTACGTGTCAGCCATACTGCGCCGGGGCTGCAGCTCACCTGTTGGCCTTTTTACGGTTGATCAACTCGGCTAGTTCGATATTGACCGCATCGTTGGGTGCGGGCAGCGTCGGGTCGCATGCTTGTTCTGAAGTATCAGATCAGTGATTGACCATTACGACTCACCGACCAGCGCCTGTACCGCTGACATGCTCTGCCATGGTCTCGAAGGCCCCAGCATGGTGGCTTAGGGTATGTGTACAGGAATAGAGAGGTCGTCAAGCATTGGTCGACGACGGAATCAAAAATCACCACTGATTCTACCCAGTTTCCCCCTCGTCCGCCCTGTGTGGTCTCTTTGCCTTCGTACATCATACCTCTAGGTATGTTCGGTATGCTGCAGCCTACACGTCTCTCTCCCCTACGCCGTCTGGGCGTGAGAGTGAGTGCTTGTGCTTCTGACTATGCTGACCCGCAGTACGTCAATGATCTCACCGTTCAACGAGGTCGACATGGAAGCACTCCCATGATCCAACATGGACCACCGGGTCGCTCTGCCGTCTCTGGGCACACTGTCACTGTCTTTGGGTGTACGGGATTCCTTGGCAAATATGTCGTTCAGCAGATCGCCAGGAAAGGTACACAGGTCGTCGTACCGTACCGAGATGAAGACGAGAAGCGACCTCTGCGAGTGATGGGAGATTTAGGTCAAATCGTTCCCCTAGAATGGGATGCTAAGAATTTGGATCAAATCCGAGAGTGTGTCAGGCGCTCTGACACGGTCTACAACCTCGTCGGGAGAGATTACGAGACAAGGTGAATCATCCTTGCTTGAACGGCCGGCTCACAGTGACAGGAACTTTAGCTACCGCAACGTCAATGCAACGTGAGAGAGGAGACTCGTTCCGTCGTGCTGACGTCCAGTGTCGCTGGAAACATCGCTCGAATCTGTCGTGAAGAAGGCGTTCCTCGACTCATTCACGTTTCCCACCTCAATGCTTCAGCAGACTCTCCCTCTGCATTTTACAGGACGAAGCACAACGGCGAGGAAATTGTCAGGAGAGAGTTTCCTGAAGCTACAATTGTCCGCCCAGGACCCATGTACGGACATGAGGATTGGTTCTTGAACGACATGGCTCGTAAGTCGTACCCAGAACATCTTCGGCTGACTCTTTAGAATGGCCAATCAAATACGCGCTCAACGGTTCACGAACGAGGACCATGCCGGTCCACGTTGTTGACGTCGCGGAGGCTCTGTCTAAGATGCTTGACGCTCCCAAGACATCGATCGGATCGACATTTGTCCTTCCCGGACCTGAAGTCTTTACCTACGACGAACTACTCAACCTGGTGTCCTTCTTCACCATGCGACCGCGCAGATCCCTACCTCCCATCCCTGGCTTTGTCGCCAGCATGTTTGCATCCGTGGTCAATCGTCTCCTGTGGTTCCCTACCGTGGCCCCTGATGAGATCACGCGTAAATTCATCGACGACGCTGGCGCAAAGCTAGACCAGGCCATCGCTGCCTTGAAGGCCAAAAATTATCCTGAAGGATGGAGCAAGGACTTTGACACTGCGACATATGACGTGAATGGCAGGCTCGTCAAGTCCTGGGCGGATCTTGATATCCAACCTGCGAGATTGCAGGATCACGCAGTCAAGTATTTGAGAATATACCGATCATCGTGAGTCGAATCGACGGAGACTTGTAGCTGATTTCTGCAGTGAAAACGCCGAGACTCCATTGGAAGTGGGCTCTTTCAAACCTCCAAGGCCATACAAAGTGGTCCGATAGCGGAGTGATGATATGCATGAGCGAAGAGAATAAAGCGTGGAAAGGCTATCGTCGTCAACATGAGATAAATTTGATTCCGTGCGAACGTGGGTTTGCCGTCCAATGAGTCACCATCATCCCGCGACATCAAGACTCTCTTGCACAGTACACAACGCGCGGGGGACAGAGCTTCTTAGCGACGTAGCGACTGCGGCAGAGCGCTAGACATCGCGTCTAGTGCAGCGATAGAATCGCCTTTGGGTGGGCAATCGTAATCTGTCATTGCATAACGACCGGTGGAGCGGCGCGGGTGTCATCCCGGTCGCTGGGGTGTCAGTCTCGATCGCCCTCAGGCTGTCCATCCTATTTCTCAGAAATAGCTTCACACGACGATGAGCACTCCTCTAAAGCCCACTCTCAACATGTCGGACACTGTCAATCCGTCACAGTGGCTCAACTTTTCACTTCCACCCCGTCCACGTCCCACTGGTCCTCAAGGTGTTCCACGGCGATCGAGGAAGGCTGAGGGGTGGCGTGCGGGGATCATGTCGAGGGAACGATACGTTCAGGCGAACTTTAGATTCGTCCTCAAGCCGACAGAGACCTTGAGCTACGGTGCACATTTTGCCGATCCAGACATGTGAGCGATCGACTTGGTGACGCTGATCACAACTAGCCCTCTACATTGGCCAAACATCTTGCAAGTCTTAGTCCCTACTTTCTCGGCATTTTCAGTCGCACAGGGCTTCGTGTCTGAAGATGCGGACGATTTGTCAGTGGACGAAGATGAACTTGATGCAATGCCGGAAGAGGCTGCCGAACGGAGGCGACGGGTCGAAGAGGAACGTCGGGGACGGATGTGTCCCATTTGTCTAGGCAAACCTGTCTCGGGGAGAATGACAAAGTGTGGACATGTGAGCTCAGGTCATGACTGCTGCTGACATCTCGAGATCTTCTGCTTCCCCTGTATCCTACACTACATCCAGCTCTCTGACATTCCCAAGTCGGCAAAGTGTCCGATCTGCGGTGATACGGTCCACGAGGGAATGCTCAAATCGGTCAAGTACTTGGATGCAAAGGCCATTATGCAAGACGCTCGTGCGGAACATGAATCAGAGCATGAGCTGGTGGTAGGCCACTTGGACGGACTCGAAGACGCTTCGGAATCACGCTCAAACCGTCCGGAGCAGATCTCGATGAGATTGATCCAACGACCCCAGATGACCACCCTTGCCCTCCCTGCATCCACGACTTGGCCTTCCGATGCAATTCCTCCCCACACTGCGCCATGGTACTTCTTGCCCGACGTGCTAAGTCACTCTCGCTTCATGCTGGCTTCGCCCGATTATATGCTTTCCGAACTCAACCGTGAGCTCGACGAACTCAAAAGTGAATGGGATTTGCTTCGTGGGGATGACCTTGGGCGAGACTTCGTTCGAGCCGCGAAGGCCAAAGTCGAGCGTCAGATTGGCAAGGTCAGGGACGAATTGATGACGGACGCAGTTCATCGGAGCGAGCTTTCGAGTCGAGAAGCTTGGTCCTGCGAAACGAGCGAGCCATCTCGTCCAGATGAGGGCACGCGCAAGTCTCGCCGACGTCAAGCCGCGCCCGTAGCTCCCGAGCCAGGCTCGAGCTATTACTTTTATCAATCGACCCTCGGTGCCAATGTCTTCCTTCATCCTCTCGACATTCGCATCCTCCTCTCCCATTTCAAATCTTACTCGCTTTTTCCGCGGAGCCTCTCTTTTAAGTCATCTGGTTTCGACCCCGGGACAGTCAACGAGGATCTCCGCAAGCGCTGTAAATATCTTGGACACTTGCCAGCCGGCACCGAGGTCATTTTTGTCGAGGCGGAATTAGAGGACATTGTCGGGAAAGAGGGTCTTGCAGCGTTTGAACAACCACTACGCACCCGGCGTGAGAAGCGGCGGGCAAGAGTTCGGAAAGAAGATCGAGCTAAGACGCGATGGGAACAGCAGGAGCGTGCCAAGGTACCTCGAGGCGTTTCGCGAGACGAACAAGCTCTCGCGGAGGCTCTCACTGCATCCGAGACCTTGTGGACCGATTTCGGTTCGAGCCTCGGGGCGGGCTCTTCTAGGTTGGGACCTTCACCTGGGACTTCACCGACTTGGGGAGATGCTGGACGGACATTTGCGTCAACACTCTCGTCCGCTGCCATACCCAAGAAGCGGGTCGAGCGAGGCGAGCGAAGAGAGGCCCAGGAGGACGTGAATGCCGTCTGGGATGCATTCAATAGCATCACCATCAGAGAGAGTGAAAAGGGAGGAGGAGAGGCACCGACACATGGTGGGAGGAAGGGAGGCAAGAAGGGAGCTAAGAAGACTCTTGTACTGGGCGGCGGAGGTCGTGGTGCAAGATAGCGGAATAAAGATCAGGTTGTATCTAACTATGAATGCGAACATCCCGTGTTGCTCGAATTTGCGACAAAAAAAGTCGAGTTTCAACTGCTTCATTCCTTCATCTGTTATTAGTATCTCCATCGCCTTCCCAACATGGACATCTCAGGGCCATCCAAGCGGAGAGCTATCGACACGATTCCTTTCACTGCGGTCGTACTCGTAGGCTACGGTGAAAAGTGAGCTGGTCGGTTTCAAGAAGCTGACTGGTAGCTTGTACCCGCTGAATGAAGGTCCAAATGTCCCTTCGAAAGCCATGATGCCAGTGGGCAATGTGCCCATCATCAATCACGTACTCGACTGGGTCCTAGCGTCTGGAGTGATGGGTCAGTGATGTCAAAGACTGATGACTGACATGCAGACATCCTTCTTCTCGTTCCGCCTAAAGACCATGATTCAATATCGAACCATTTGACAGAAAACTATTCTCGCTCAACTCATGCTCGTGCTCGGATTCAGCTCAAGAGACATTCGGACGGAGAAGGGAACGAGGGCTCTGGAACTGCTGGTGTTCTCAAACGATTCAGACATCTTATCAAGGTGAGGTCCCCGAAGGGCTTCCTTCTAACAATCCAGTCTGACTTTGTTCTCCTCCCGTGCGACATTTATCCACCGCGGAATCTGTCCCTATCTTCCATCCTGGATCGTCATCTGGCTTCCGCCTCTTCTGTTCTCACCGCTGTACTATATGAGCCTGCTCCAGCCGTCAAGGATAGTGAAGAAAAGATTCTCGTAGCGATGGATCAAGCGAAAGGTCACCTTTTCATGATTCAATCTTTGGAGGCTCTGGAAGAGGACGTGAATCTCCGCATGTCATTGATTGAGAGGTGAGTCATTTGCGAGACGTTGGACTCATGGCAGGCCTCATTTGACCCTCACCACCCGATACCTCGATGCCCACATCTACGTCTTCCGCAGAACAGTCCTCGACCTCATCGCCTCACGTCCGCCCCGAGATCTCGATAGCATGCGAGAACAAATCGTTCCATGGCTTCTCAAAGGTAGCTGGCAGAAGGGCTTACAGTCGGAGTGGAATAATAGTGAGCATATCTCGGCACGATGCGGCTGAGTTACAGTCCTCAACCCAAAACGTGATCTCTTCGCAAAAGCTCTCTTTTACGCTTCCGCTTCAAAACCCCTCGACATTTCACTTCCATCGTCGCCTGACCCTGATGGACAGCCACCCCACTCAACGAGACCGTGGCACTGTCAGACCATCTTAGTCTCGGGCAAACAGGGTGATCACTTGATCCGGATCAATTCGCTCGCAGGTTACTGGGAGCTGAATCGCAAACTCATTCGGCACCTGTCTGCGCTCACTCCTTCTCGAACGACGACACCAATGCCAAATGCCATATCGTCCTCGGCTCAGATCTCACCAGACTCCGTGATCGGGGAAGGTTCGACCGTCGGTGATCGTGCAAGTTTGAAGAAATGCATCGTCGGTCGACACTGTCACATCGCGCGTGGTGTGAAATTGACCGGTTGTGTGGTTTGGGACTTTGTCACCATTGAAGAAAAGTGAGCCGACTCTGAGCCTCGCTTCTGACGCTAGTGCTCGCATTGAGAACGCCATCTTGAGCTCTCACGTACGTGTAGGAGACAAGGCAGCAATCAAGGATTGCGAGTTTGGTCCAGGATTTGAAGCACCTTCAGGAGGTAAGCGAGATTTGAGGAGCCCACTGACGGTGTAGCTATTCTCAAAGGGGAGAGACTGATTTCTGGGCAGGAGGCATGACACATATGCATCGTGACTGCCATATACCATTAAAATCTTGAATGTCGCGGTCACCAACGTCGAATCCCATTTCAGAGCTAGCATGCGCCTCGTTATGCACCCACGTACTGGATCCCGCTCCCGCTACCATCTTCTTCCATCACTCAATTGTCGGCTGGTGAATTTCCGATTGAGCGGGCAGATCTGCAGCAGTCTATCGCGGCTCGGCACCGCTCTTCGTTCATCGTCGTCATCGTCTCGCTGTTCACTTGAACGAGCTCGATGCCTCGAAGCATCAGAATCGCAGTGATCCAGTGTTTGGGTCCCGCATCCGAGAGGTCACTCAATGTCAGGGCCTGCAGATCCTGATGAGGATTCAGCGGGTCCGTGTCGCCTTGCGCCATCGTCCGCCTGGACGGTATCACCGGCCATCCGTCTCGACCGCCTCATCAGAGTCCTTATGACTGAAGGCATATCGTCGACCCCAGAGCCGTTTCGTTTTCTCAGATACGGAGTCGACGTTGAGTTTGTGGGCCGATTCGTCGCACCGCCATCTGTTGCATTAGATATGTGTAGACCTTGCCGAAGGGCGAATGTCCAGCTTCGCCCGTGTTACATGATGATGTTGGGAGCGGGCAGTTGCTTCAGATCTGTAACTGTGAGCCTTGCATCTCCTCCTTAGCCTTGAACAGATTTTATACAAATAATCGGGACCGTCTCTCACTCGCAGGCTGTCGATAGAGTGATCGCTCAACGTTGCGTGGATCAGAACTCTGTGCCCTGGGAGCCTCTCTCGTTGCTTGAAGGGTGACCTTAGTACAGTGAGCCATGAAAATTGAAACTGGCCTTCTGATGGTGTCAATGAAGGATGACCGAATTCTGATTCGGATTCTTCGCCCATATTTGATTCGCTCGAGGACTTCTGATTGATCATACGTACGCGAGGGGACATCTCGAAAGAGGGTGAATTGAGCACTTGTAGATGACTTTATAGGACTGATCGGCTGCGCATTTATATGATGCAGGCTGCTTGAGCTCATGTTCTTGACAGTAATGTGGAATGCTAAACAACGGAATACTACATGGATCGTCATTGCAACTTGTCGGCTTTTCGGGTGAGACCTCGGTCTCAATCACTCTTCATCTAGACACATTCTCCACCATCCCACCATGGCTGAGACACCTCATACCCATACTCCGCCCTCTATGACCCCTCGTCGAAGCACAAAAGGCAAAGACAGGGCTGCAGATGAAGCTAGTATCAACTCCATCGAGATCGAAGGAGAAATGGTCATCGGCTCGGGTTCTGCCCGCATGGGATTGAGAGATCTGGTCAAGCGATCCAGTGGAATATCTCGAAGCGGAGAAACTTCGCGAGCCAGAACAGTGTCCATCTCTCGTCGGCGCTTATCAAGGCAGTACTACATTCTCACGCACGCTGGCAAGCTCGTGTTCGCCTCGTGCGTAGGCCAATAATCTCGGACTGACCCTCAGCGGAGAGAACGAGCAGGTTCAAAGTCTGATGGGTGTTGCTCAAGCCCTTGTCTCGATCTATGCCGCTGAGGATGACCGTCCTAGGTGAGGCATAACTGCTTGGTACTCGCTGATTTCAGATCCATCATTCGCGGTAAATCTCGTATATCCTTCCTCCTCAAAGCGCCCCTATACCTCTTCTGCGTCAGCGATTGGGGCGAGCCAGAACACGTTGTGCGTCTCTCAAGCAAATTGTCCTGGCTAAATCTAGCTTCGCACACATCTGGAATACATACATCTGCAAGTCCTCTCGATTGTCACCTCTACACAGCTCGCGAAGGCCTTCCAGCGTAGGAGCAACTTTGACCTCTCGAGATTGCTGGAAGGTGAGAACGGGCCCTCGATGAGCCTGTATTGATTTCAAGGCACCGAGCACTTCCTTCACACCCTGATCAAACGGGCGCAGCACGACTTCAGCTATCTCACCTCCAGTCTGGAACCTCTGCGGATGGCGCCCTCGCTTCGAGAGGCGGCTGCGGCGGCATTGATGCCTCCGGCAAAATTTAGGGTAAGCGCAGTCCTGGAGCTGAACTGACGACCGACGACAGGACCTGCTCTACGTTCTGCTAATCGCCAGCGGCCGCATTGTCACCCTTCTTAGACCCCGCAAACATTCCATACATCCTTCAGGTTGAGTCCATTGGCGCGACGTAACTAATGTCAGACTTGCACCTCCTGCTCAACACACTCGCAGCCTCACCCACGCTTACATCGTCTGAGACATGGATACCCATCTGCTTTCCTAAATTCAACCCCGCAGGCTATGTTCATGCCTATATCAGTCCTGTGACTGAGGATATAACGTTGGTATTCATCAGCGCCGACCGGGAAGCCTTCAATGACTTGCAAGGGTGGAAGGACATCGTCGTTGAGGTAAGGCGAGACACCAAAAGATATGCTGAATCCAGAAACTCGCTCGGGACCAAACCTTGAGCAGGATCTCACAAGCAATTCCACTCCACTCGTATTCTGTTTGTGAGCGGAGCGCCAGGGACAATTCCTCGCTGATCCCCAGCCGCGGTGTCGTTACCCGGGCTCTACCACTTCATCTATAAGTCCCGTCAGAGCATCCAAATCACGGCCCCATCCTGGGAGCCGCCATACGACGGTGCAGCTCGAGATCGGTGGGTCTTAAGCGCTTGCACTCCTGACGACAGCCTCATCACCCTCTATCAGCACCTGCATGACTCGTTGCACGCGAAAGCCGGCCAAGCGGAACCGCTTCGGCTCGTTTATGTCAAGACACAACACGAAGCCTGCCTCGGTTGGATGACCAAACCTTTCGAATTGTACATGGCGGTCTCACCGCACTTGTCCAAGGCTGCCGTTGTGAGTGCTGCCAATGCAGTGGCGACCTTTATGAGCAAGGAGGAAGCAAGGGTGTTCATCAAGGATGCACCAGTATTCTAGTCACGTGATGAGTGTCAAATGGCCAGATGCTCTTCCATGTTTAGGTACAGTCTGCTCAACCGTTTATTGCCTCTTTGGGAAAGCGTCAGCCTGGAGACCTATTCCAACGTCCTTCATCCATCTTGAGGCGCTCTTGACGTTGTTTAACACTGATCCGCTGACATTGTCGCCGGCACGCTGGCAGACTCGTCTTGCATGGTGCTGGACTCGGTGTTGGTGCCAGCTCTCAACCCTAAATCGGTCTAGTCGCCATTACGCAACCCTGGCGCATGCCTTCATGTCCAATCATGGAGGTCCCTCCAACATGTCCACAGCCCCCAGCAAACCACTCTCTCCTCGCCCCAATCCCAATCTCATCCCTGTCGTGGAAATACCGATCCGAACGAGAAAGTTGTCCGGACCTGCGGTCCCGAAAGCATCCCCGTTCCCATTGCCGAGCTCGTCTCTCATACGCCCTCTGCCCCATGTGGCGTCAGCCTTATCTGCAGGACATACCAGCACCCTAGCGGCCAAGCCAATCACAAATACAAGGCTTCATGCGGACCAGGAGGAGTGGACACTGGATCAAGTCTTGAGAGAGGCGCATCATCGACTTCGACCGATCGAGTGCAAATGGACGGCGCCTTCAGATTGCTGCGATGCAGTGCTCGGCAGTCTCAATCTCTTCCGCAAGGCAAGCGTAGTGTTTCAGCAAGTTGCTGACATATCAGCATCTTGAGGTCCATTATACTCGGATCAATCGGGATCCGGGACCCAGCATAGGTCTCAGAGCTTCAACAAAATGCCCTTGGTTAGGATGCAGGGTGGACGGGCTCGGGTTCATCCGTGATCTCAGGAATCACATCAAGCATGCTCATTTTGACAAGCTCAAGGATACATACTGTCCTATCAGAAGTAAGTCATAGACTGGGCTCGGCTTACACCAGCTTGTCCCTCGCCAGAGCTTCATCACAAATCAAATCACCATTTTACCGGGCCGGGACACGCCAGACCTTGGAACAGGTCCAGTCTTCGTCCGACACCCAGGCCACTTCCGATCACCGCGAAACCCCCTCCTCTCACATTCTCGGACGAGATAATCTACCCCTTTCTCTCTACAGTACGACCTTACCATCCAACCCCTTCACTCGCCCACGGGCTCCGCACTCGCGCACCTCAGTCCCGCAACCGCCTGGCTGGTCTCGAATACCCTCTCGTGCCGGATCGTTCAGACCCAAACGTGTATTTTTGGCCAATGCACGGCGACGCGCCTTCGGGCTTGGAGCCACGCGAATTCACTTCCAGCAGTATCTTCCCATACCCCGCGTATCACGATCTCGGTGTGGACGCGGATGAGTCCGACACAGAGCTTAGAGCGGAGGCGAGATTGAGGTCAGATCTGACGGCGCAGTATCGGGGAAGGTCGACAAGTCCAACGATGATGGATCTTGACCCAAATGGCTTTGAAGGTCGAGCTGAGGCCATCGCTCCTTTAGTAATTCGGTCTCGACCTCAATGGCGATCTCTTGAGCCCCTGATCGATGCCGAAATGTCCTCGTGGCTTGCCTCCAAGCGAAAAGCGGTCGAGCCTCCAGACGGACCGTGGCCTGAGCCGTTGGTGGTTCGCACCTCGAAGAGACTGGCGCGAGAACACTCAGGATGTGTTGTAGGGATCGGTCATTGGAAGGAACGGTTGTATTTCGAGAAGAGGGGCGTACAGCTCGGAGAGCTTCCAAATGACCATCATATGTGACTATTTCAGTTTGCGTTCGCGCTTGTGCTCATTCGTTCGTTTCGCTGCCCGTCGAGCCTCTCGTCTTGCGACACGTTCGGCATTTGCTTGAGCCTTGGCTTGCCGCAGTTCTTGCCTTGCAGCTCGCTTCGCAGCTCGAGCTTCGACCTCTGTACGTCAGCTAGAGGTGAACGGATCGAACTCACCGGCCTCGGACTGGTGGGCTCGTTTCAGCCTGGGTCCACCAGGTATGATACTTGACAGAAGTGCGTCCATCGTAACGGGTCGATGGCGATACTTTTGCATCACCTTGAGACGATGTTCGTGAACTGTGATGAGCCAAAATCTGGATCCCAAACTCACCACTCTCCCCACTCTCCGGGTGCAGTGCTTTACGAATCATTTCTGCGGCGTCGAGGACGATCCTCAAGTCTTAGCCATGCCTCTCTCCTCGTCTACTCACGAGGAGTCCCCGACCATCATCGCCGCGCTCAGCACACTCTCCCATGTCATGGTGGGCATAACTCGTCGTCTGTGACCAAAGTCCATGGGTCTCAGCCCCGCCAACTCGATTAAGACCTTGTTCAGATAGACTTCCGTGGCTTGCACCAGCGTAAGAGGGACATAGGCATCATCTTCAGGAGAATTGCTCATTGGCAACTGCTGCTCAAGGATCTGCGTCGCCGCAACGTCCTCAATGACGGCTTCTATGCTTGTCCCGGTCAACGCCTTCGGCTCAAGTGGCCACCGGTCGTCCTCTTCATAAGTGTATTGGCGTCTAGACCTCACCAGCCGGGGTCGATTAGTCTCACGAAACCTTCCGTTCCTCGGTCGTCTTGGTCGCGATGATGCATGGAGCCCGTCATCGACGTGATTGTCGTCAGAACTTTCGAGCTCGCTCTCCACGTTGAAATCGTCGTCTGGTCGAAGCAAGAGACGCTTGCCCAGTGTTCGTTCCCGACGCTCCAAGTTCCGCACGAGAGCAGCATACTCTTGCACCTCTGACCTGGACGGCAGCGGGGCCAGCACCTGGTCATCCCCTGACTCGACTGATGACCCTACCGAGGACATGGTTGAATGCATGATCATGCATGAATACAGAGTTAGCGGTCAACTCCGCTCGAATGATAAAAGTCGCTTCTTCATCATCCAGTCGTCTCTACTTCAACTCTTCAACCACTATCACCTTCAACATCATGGCCCCAGCTCCAACCTTGGCTCAGGTCCAGACACTGTACAACGCTACCAAATCCGCTGCATCCAAATTCACCACCTATAATTTCCGCACGCATTTCCTACGCAGGACCGATGAAGTATTCAAACCCGTCCTCGCCTCCCTAGAGTCCGGATCATCGTCATCGTCCTCACCTGAATCCCTGTCCACATTTTACCAGGAGCACCAAGCCGAGCTGGAAGTTTTGAAGAGATCAGCCGAGGTCAATCGCATGTTCGAAGGACCCAAATTGGTTGTGGAGCATCCGAGAATTATCACTGGAGGAGGAGGAGCCGGTATGGAGGCGTCACAAGGAGGAGGAGGGCAACCGTCATGATGCGGGGACGAGACATGTATCTTTCCATTCACAAACCGTCTCCTCTCCCCTTCCTTTGGACCTCTTACCGCGTTATGGCTGTCAGATCGTAGCTCATCTCATCATCCATCTTCCACGATGGGCTCACATCATCACGATTTGTACGATCGCCGTCGCAAAGGGTCCGTGGACTCATATCGATCTCATAGGAGCCGCTCAAGGAGTGCTGACAGCTACGGCCGTCGTCATCGCTCACGCAGTGTTGATGACAGGTTCCGAAAGGACTCCCTCCGAGATCAATTACCGGCGCTGGAGACGCTGACTGAAGCACCGGACAAGACTGATCCTCCTACATATGACGAATCCCAGGCAGATGCTCAATCGGGCGACTCTGAGAAAGGCAAGCAAGGCGGCGCACAGAAGAAGGAGCTTGCTCTTTGGTGGTCGTTTGCGCCTCTCTTGCCACTTTTGATCGGCCTCTTTCTCCTGTTCATCGTCACCTGCTCGGCGTCCAGACTGAGAGCGGACTTCGCTTTGATCAAGATCCAGCTCGACGCAGAGGATTATAGCGCTCTGTATACTGCAACGCTGGACCAGCAGACCCGGCGAAAAAGGGACGCGGCTGGTTATCTGACGTTAGGAACCTGGGGTTGGTGTGTCAAAAGTGCAGATTCGAGACAGTTAGTCCCCGCCTCGATCTAGCTAACGCCAGAACGTCCTGCTCTCGTACCAGCGGGTGGTACAGTATGGACCAACTCCTTGACAATACCAATAGGTGAGCGTCGTTACAATGCCGCTGATCATTAGTGGCCTTAGCTCTGACGATTTCAACTCATTCCTCGTCCATCTTCTCATCCTTCATGGGCTAGGTGCGGAGCGGTGTGACGATAGCTGACTGCAGCGCTGTTGATCACCCTACTTGCAGTGGTGCCCGTGAGCTTGTCGGCTTGGCGTCAATATCGTCGTGACACCAATGTGGGAGTGCTCCAGAGTCTCGACTGACATGCAGTCCCAGCCTGGATGGTTTCAACATGGGACGATCCTCGCCTCCGCAAGTCTAGCCTTGGTTGCAGTGGGTCGCTATGACGACGATTTGATCTCACACACAGTGGACAATTGACAAGATTCTGAAACACTCGGTCGCTTCCAACGCCAATGCATACACGGTTGAGAGCGGGCAAGTTAAACGCTGCCATTTCTAACAGCTAACGTTTGGACAGCCTTGGCGAAGCCTTTACAGGTGGTGCATCACTATGTCTCTACATTGCTTTTGCCCTGTCCGCCATCCCGCTCATGTGTCGATTCATCCGTACCAAGCACGAGTGGGCAGCAACCCACGGGGAACTACAGAACGCTACAGTGTTGGAAGAAGAGGAAAGTGCTAAGATGAGGGCAGAGGAGGAAGAAGCTAGGAGACGAAAGAGGGAAGAACGACGTGATCGTAGAGGTAGAAGGGATCGTCGGCGGCATCGTTGGAGGACATACTTTGAATATAGATGATGAAAGTGTGCGGCGGCAGCAACCCAATGTCCACCGGCCCGTATCCGCCGATGTTTTCTGCCGAGAAGATGGGAAAAATGTGCCCGAATTGCTGCTCCCCAAAAGTGTGGTGCTGCATACTCATTCATCCCTATTCACTCTCACTCTCTTTCTCCATTGACAATACATCGTCAAACAGCTCCGCACAATGGCAAGCAAAACTGATCTCACTGCCGTCAAGTGAGTCCTGCTTTATTCCTGTAGAGCTGACTGTCTATAGCACCATCCGTGCTCTTGCCGTCGACACGGTAGGAAAGGTATGTCATACTCCAGATCTCGCTGACAACAGGCAAATTCTGGACATCCAGGAGCTCCCATGGCAAGTTACACCAGTCTATGTCCACTGATCAATCCTAGGGCATGGCTCCCGTCGCCCATATCCTCTGGAGCAGACACCTAAACTACAGCTCCAAGAACTCAAAATGGTTCAACCGTGACCGATTTGTCCTTTCCAACGGTCATGCGTGAGCATGCGAGACACGAGCCCTGACTGACCTGTAGATGCGCCCTTCAATACGTCATGCTCCATCTTGCCGGCTACAAAGTCTCCATGGACGACCTGAAATCGTTCCGACAGGTCGACTCGATCACCCCCGGACATCCCGAAGTCGGTGTCACAGACGGTATCGAAGTCACCACTGGTCCTTTGGGTCAAGGTGAGGGTCATCGGTAAACGGCGCTGATCCTAGGTATTTCCAACGCCGTCGGTCTCGCTATCGCTCAGGCCCACATGGGAGCTGTCTTCAACAAGGAGGGTTTCCCATTGGTGACCAATCACACCTATGGTGAGCTATGACCTTGTGTTCCCAGCTGACGACAGCTTTCATGGGTGACGGATGTCTTCAAGAAGGTGTCTCTGGCGAAGCTTGCTCTTTGGCTGGGTGAGTGCGCGACTCACAGATCTCGCTGAAAATCAGCCATCTCAAGCTTTCCAACCTCATTGCTATCTACGACGACAACAGTGAGTCTGCCCTCCGTTACACTTCGCTGACGACAGAAATCACCATTGACGGTGACACTGCCGTCTCATTTACCGAGAATGTCGAGCAACGATACAAGTCTTATGGCTGGAATGTCCTTCACGTCGAAAATGGTGATGACGATTTTGAGGCCATCGATGCCGCCATCACGGAGGCAAAGAAGAACACCAACGGACCGACCATGATCAACCTGAAGACCAAGATTGGATACGGATCTCTCAAGGCCGGCTCTCACGATGTTCATGGCGCCCCATTGAAGAAGGACGATATTGCTCAGATGAAGACCAAGTTTGGTTTCAACCCCGAAGAGACCTTTGCCGTTCCTCAGGAAGTCACCGACTTGTACGCCAAGATCGGAGACAAGGGAGCCAAGGCGGAGGCTGAATGGAATGAGCTCTTCAACAAGTACAAGCAAGAATACCCCAAGGAGGCTGCGGAACTCGAGCGACGTATCGAAGGACGTCTGCCAGACGGCTGGGAGAAGGCTCTTCCCGTCTACAAGATTGACGACCCGGCTATCGCCAGTCGAAAGCTCTCCGAGACTGTCATTACCAAGATCGTCGAGGTCTTGCCTGAGGTCGTCGTTGGGTCAGCCGATCTCACCGGCTCCAACTTGACCCGATGGAAGACTGCCGAGGACTTCCAACACCCCTCGACCGGCCTCGGATCCTACCAGGGAAGGTATTTCCGATACGGTGTCCGTGAACATGCCATGGAGGCCATTTGCAACGGTCTTGCCGCTTACGGAGGTATCATCCCCCTCTGCTCGACTTTCCTCAACTTTGTCTCGTACGCTGCCGGCGCTGTCCGTCTCTCTGCTTTGTCCCACCTTCGAGTCATCACCGTCGCTACGCACGACTCCATCGGTCTCGGAGAAGATGGTCCTACTCATCAACCCGTCGAGACTGCCGCTTGGTTGCGAGCTCTGCCCAACCTTGCGTTCTGGAGGTGAGTGTCCGGCACGATACACGGCTGACACTTCCAGACCCGCAGACGGCAATGAGGCGAGTTGTGTTGTGTGACATCGCTGATCTGCAGACTTCTGCTGCTTACCTTACCTCGATCCTGTCCCCTCACACGCCCTCTGTCCTTGCTCTCTCGCGTCAAAACGTAAGCACTACCTACCATTGGATAGCCTCTGACGTCCAGCTGCCTCAACTTGAGAACTCGTCGATCGAGAAGGCGACCAAGGGTGGATACGTCGTCCACGAGAGCGAGAATGGTGAGTCTCCTGCCTGATTGTGCTGATCTATATATAGCCGATGTGACTCTTGTCTCCACCGGTTCCGAGGTCGGACTCTGCGTCGAGGCCGCTCAACAGCTCAAATCAAAAGGCATCACCTCCCGTGTTGTTTCTATCCCTTCCTTCGAGGTCTTCGTGAGTCTGAGACTCGTGATCATTGCTGATCCGCAGGGTGCCCAAGACCGAGACTACAAGCTCTCCGTTCTGCCCTCTGGACATCCTATCCTCTCCGTCGAAGCATACTCCACCTTTGGATGGGGTCAACTCAGTCACGACCACTTTGGACTCAAGGCTTGGGGAGCATCAGGACCATATGCCAAGGTGTACGAGAAGGCAAGTGGAAACGCCAGATTAGGCTGACGACGACAGTACGAGCTCACCCCGGCTGGAATCGCCAAGCGGGCCGAAAAGGTGGTTGCTTTCTACAAGAAGCGAGGACAGCCTCTCTTCTCGCCTCTCATCTCTGCTCTCGACGATATCAGCGAGTAGACTTAGCCAGACATACATAGATTGATGCAACCGTTTTCGGCGAAGATCGCCGATATTTCGGATTTGAACATTGACCATCATGGAGTTTCAATCGGGTTTGCTACAGACGACGAACATTGACGATTATGGACATTGAAGCGTAAGAACGTGATAAGGAACGAAGCTCATGGCAGCTTTCGGAAGGCGGGCTATGCTGCCATCGATAGAATCTGTGACTACTACGCTACTCTGGCAGAGCGACCCGTGAAAGCCGAGGTCAAACCGGGTTACCTCATCAATGCTTTGCCCGGTGGGTTCTGAACTTTACACGGATGCTCACGGGCAGATCATCCACCAGAGCAAGGAGAGGACTTCGAAGTCATCTCTAGCGAGTTCGAGAAGCATGTGTTGCCTGGTGAGCTTAACTCAATCTCACACCATGCTGACGCCAAGGCATCACGCATTGGCAACACGGTAAATTCACTGCCTACTTTCCATCCATCTCAACGTTTGAAAGCATGATAGGAGAGCTCTACACGGCAAGCGTCTCGAATCCAGGATTTAATGTGAGTATGCATCTCAGGCTGTCCTGACTAGAGCAGTGGATCTGCTCTCCCGCATGCACAGAGCTCGAGCAGGTGGTCTTGGATTGGTGCGCGAATCTATTTGATTTGCACCCAGATTTCTATATCAAGTCAAAGCGAGGTGGAGGTGTCATTATAGCAAGTCAAGGGTCCGATGTCTTTCGCTGACGACTTCCGTAGACGACTGCATCCGAGGTCGTGCTCACCGTGGCTATCGCAGCGAGGGAGAGGGCGTTGAGAATCTTATCGGAGAAGGAACCAGACGTGGAAGAAGGGGTCAAGACTGGAAGGGTCCCTGATTCAGATACTCCCATGAAGATTCGAGAAAAGTATGGTCAAAGGCTGGTGATCTACGGCAGTACACATACTCACTCATTGGGCGCCAAGGTAAAGATGTGGTGAAGGTATGTCGCTGAACCATGTCTAGGCGGCTCTACTGCTAGGCCTCCAATGGAAAGCTGTTCCTGTGAGCGCCGCCGATAATTACAGTCTCCGGGGAGACGCATTGCGACGGGTGATCGAAGAAGATATCGCCAACGGCCTGGTCCCTTTCTTCGTCAGTATGTCGTCTCGAATCAAGCCGGGCTCATGTGACAGTTGGTACGGTGGGAACGACCAACACCGGCGCAGTCGATCGTATAGCAGAGATTGGTCAAGTCTGTGGGTTGAGCAAGTTGTAGCAAGCGGCTGACACCTAGGTCGTGATTACCCAACTTTGTTCTTCCATGTCGATGCGGCGGTGAGCCTTCATGGGCTGAGAGGATCTGACGACCCAGTGGGCAGGCGTAGCCTACAGCGTGCCCTCATTGCGCGAGTCTCTCAGACACGCCGAGGTCAACGAGTATGCAGATTCATTCTGTACGAATATGCACAAGTGGGGCTTGGTCGGATTCGACTGCTGTGAGTCTCGGCTTCGTTGTCCTCGCTGACCTCTTAGCCCTGCTCTATGTGCGCAACAGACAGACCTTGACATCCGCCATGAGCATGACACCCGTGAGTCGACGAATCTCTGGACCCTCCTGACGATAGTTCTACCTCCGATCCAAGGAAAGTGAAGCCGGCGAAGTCATTGACTATCGGAATTGGCAACTTGCGCTTGGCAGACGATTCCGCAGTCCGAAATTATGGTTCGTCTTGAGAAGTTTTGGCGTGTCAGGCTTTCAAAAGCATATACAAAGGGTGAGATGGGGTCGCAGCGGTCGCTGATCATCAAGGGTGTAGAGCTCAGCTCTCGGTTGGGAGACATGATCCGTTCCTCTGCCCGCTTTGAACTCGTCACTCCTCAATCACTCTCTATGGTTGTGTTCCGACTCAATCCGGGGCAATCTCCAAATGCCTTGGCCTCAGACGACCTCAACAAGCTAAATTCTAAGCTATCGTCTCGTCTAGATCATCGATCCGATGTCTTCATCACACCTGCCATGCTTGGCAGTGAGGAAGGGAACATGGAGGTCTTAAGGATACAGACCGGGGGCTATAGGACCACGATGGAGGATGTTTTGGCTGTCTGGAAGGTTGTAGAAGAAGAGGGCGAGGCATTGCTTCGAGAGCGGGAATGAAGGGCAATGTCACGTAGCTTGCATGACTCTTAGCGCATGATGGGCAGGCGACTTTTCCCTTGTCACGCGCAAAGAGACATGATGCATCAAGGCTGAAGCTAGTCGAGGCATCTCGGCGACTCAAACACCGACATCGTCCGAGGTTTAATCATAGCATAGCATCAGGTGCATATGCTGTGGGTCGTATAGCACTGGAGCACCCTTTACCGTGCGGATTGAGTCCTTCGCGCTCACACATAACTACCATGTACCTGTTCCAAGTCCATTGCATCCGTCACGGCCTGAAACGACCTGCTTTCGAATTGCCACTTTGCCACGTCGCGAGTCTTTCGTCATTGATTTTGTCCATTGTCTGTTTACGCACTTTACCTTATAGCCCACCTGTCCTCCTCATCAATATGGAGTGAGTATGAGTCCGTTCTGAGGCCATAGTACGTTCTGACATCCTGCTAGCCAGCTTGCTCGCTATATTGTACCCCACCTCCCAGCTGACCTTCAAGCCCTCTACCTGCATCCTCCAAACTTGTCCGAACCCTCCTCCTTCATTCCTCTCATACGGACCCTGTTCCCCTATGCCAAATACCTCATCGTCGTCCTCGCCTTTTACATAGTATGGACAACGACCATGTCCATATTAGGCTACTTCTCCCGGTTCCTACGCTTCACGATGAAGATCGGACCGATACTGGCATTGGCAGGCTGGGTCATGGCCAATTCAGGACAGGGAGGAGTTGAAGAGCTCGTCCAGGCTGCCAAGGAATGGGCTGGATTATCTCAACCCCAAGTTGGGAGACAATGGTCCCCTGGGATCGCAAGTTTGTTTGGCGCAAGCTCGAGTACGAAATCTCGGACGAAGAAGAGTTCATCGAGGACTGGTGGGATCTTCGGCCTAGGTCAGCAAGAAGAGCCCATCTCATCACGGACGAGGAACGGAAAGAAGAGGAAGACGAGAGCTTCGAACGAAGGTGTAGGAGACGTCTTGAATGACTTGTTGAGTTCAGCAGCTGGCAATGCTGCGGCTGGCGGAGCAGGCGGAGAATGGCAAGATGCCGTCCAGGGTTACGTCAAGAGAACATTGGCAAAGGCATCGGGGTTGGACTGGTTATTTGGCAATGATCAGGAGGAGACTGGTACAGGCAGGGCCAGGTCAAGGTAGCAAGGTAGAGTAGGGTATCAAAGCTGTATCAGGGTTTTGTTGTCATATCTTCATGTATACCGACTGGTCATTCCTCTGGTGGTGGAGGTCGACCCAGCGGCAAACCATTTTGCCATTTGAACACTGTCACCCTGTCAAGCTGCTGTGAGGGAACATGCCGATAGCGCTTGACGACAAAGTCGACGCCTCGTCGTCTTCGTACGCACATGTCGATCCAAAGTCGTTTCCTGCGCTAGATCATTTCCAAATCAAGAACATCCCTCCAGCGGCGTATTAGTGAGCAACAAAGGGGTTCGATGCAACGGCAGCGAAAGTGACCTCTATAGTATACCCGACTTTATCACTGCTCAGGAGGAAGAGTATCTTTTACGAAAGGTACAACTCACCATCAATCATTTGGCTGACCACCTCTTCGTCAGCTCGAAGAGAGTCCACAGCCGAAATGGAAGAAAGTCGGTTCAGGCAGGAGGTGAGCGATAATCAAGACGGCAAAGATTGATGTTGCGAAGGCTACAGTACTGGGGTAGGGGAATATGATTGAGTCTTTGCGCTGAGGTGTCAGGCGGTACCATGTCGTCAGGAGGGACACTCTTACCGGAGCCACTGCCAGAATGGCTCACGTCATTGTAAGATTCGAGACCGACCCTTGCACTGACAGCAGTCCCGACATCATTCAACGAATAGACAGCTTTCTGGATGTGGCTTCGGGGCATGAATACACAGGTCATGGTAGAGTCTTGGGTATAAATCAAGTCCTGGTCAACGAATATCAACCACTTCAGGGCATATCCGTGAGGCCGTTCTTCCTCCACGTCCCGTCTCGCCGCTAACAGTCTCCGTTACAAGCCTCACGAAGATGGACCTGCATTTCGACCTTTGGTCGCTACCCTCTCTCTAGGTTCGCACACCGTACTGGACATACACCAATATCTGTCCACCACGACACCTTCACCTCCCATGGTCGCGACGCTGGCATCCTCCACCGATACATCGGCGGGACGACCCATCGCCGCTATACCACTCGCCCACCTTCTCCTCCTCCCTCGATCTCTTCTCATCCTCTCTTCAAGTCTATACACTTCCCATCTGCACGGCATAGCAGCGCGTATGAGCGACAGTGTCCTCTCTCGACCCCTGCCTTCCGCAAGCTTGCAACCCGACTCCATGGACGATCCCCCGGTCATCATTTCCAATGCCGACTTGTTGGGCGATCCAGACATCATGGATAGATTGAGAGCTGATACCAGTTCGTGGAAGGCTGAGCGAGGCGTTCGGACCAGCCTGACTTTCAGACACGCCAATAAGGTCTTGAAAGGAGGAGCATTCGCCATGGCCCAAGGGGCCCTCCGAAGAACATGAGAAGGGTTCTTCTATCCTTGTGGGTCGAGTCCAAATTCCTCGATAATCTCATCGAGAATAGTCCTGCTGCTATGCCCCGTGCTTGTAGAGCCGTCTTTGAGCATGTATGACGATGTAGGACTCGTCTGCATCTCGAGATGGGCAGACTCCGAGTCGATCCAGGTGTCGTTGAAAGCGCGTGCTCCTTGCTCAGTCTCCGCATGATTCACATAGCGGGATGATCTAGGGGGTCCGTCAAATAAGCCAGAGCCAAATTCCGTGCCGTTTAGTCCAGAGCCAAATACATCAGTCTCACTTCGATCCAGTGCTGGACTGAAGGACAGATCCGGATCGAGAGGTGTCGGTAGACCTCTCTCATCTTTTTCGCATTCATCCTCTTCAAAGTGATCGACCTGGACAGGCCGAGCAGGGACTCGGACGTGAACTCCGTTCCGCCTAGCGAGGACCGTCAAAGCCATGATGACCACTTCTAGTTCCGCCTCGTTTCCATCGACGACTTTACGAGGGTCAACCACTGTCAAGTCTCTTCCCAAGGTCTCATCCAGGACACCAAGGACACACTTGATCATGTCCATCTCGTGTTCTATCCCTTCTTGCTTCTGCCTCCTGGTTGGCAGCAATGCCAATCTCTCTCCTCTGATTGTCTCTAGCATCAACAGCAAGAGCGACGGAGAGGTCGAGGATAGCGTTGGGGGATGTATAGGTATGTTCAAAGCATCGAGCAAGGCGTGAAGCAGAGATAATGGCGGTGTAGGCATTGCATCATGTCCAATGTTGAATTGAGTTTCAGGCGCGTAGGTCGGACGCGCTATTTGCATTAATGTAAATAATTCTATAGATGTTTTGTCTCCTTTACACCCTCACACCTTGACCTTTAAGGAAAGTTCGCAGATCCTTCAACAGCTCGAGCTGCTCAGATGCACTCAAAGACGTTACCACAGTCTGCATGATCGATCCGACAGTCACGTATTGGATCTGCAACGAGTCAGCGCCAGGGCCCCTTTAGCGTGAAGCTACGCACCCGGATGAGCGACGAGTAATAGACGTAAGAGAACATGCCCATCATGAACCTTTTGCAGGTCAGCTGTCATCCGCTTCCCACGACTCACTGGCAATCCATACGGTCGGTCATGCCTCCGTGACCGGGAATGGAGTCTCCAAAGTCTTTGATGTTGAATGCTCGTTTAAATCCAGAAGCGAAGAACCCGCCAAACGGAGCGACGAGAGACGCAAAGGTGGCCATGACCAGAACATGAAGCTGGAACGGCGCATAAGGCACGGTCGGAGGGGCGTGACCGAGCTGAATAGTCAGGCAAAGTCATCCAACGCCTCACTCACGATCGTCTCGAGAATGTTGCGGATTGGTCCCGTGAACTCGTAGTCTCGCCAGACAAACACCGGATTGAGCTTGCAGGTGACGTGCGAAAAGACGTTGGTGCCGAGATCTCTCGCTGGGCAGACCATGTACTTGAATCGCATGAAGAACGTGCCCCACTGATAACTTAGCGATCACTCGTCATGCGCAATCTCACCAGAAGACCAAATATGAGGGTGCAGATAAAAGCTCCGACGAATCCCTCCACTGTCTTTTTTGGACTGAGCTTGATGAGGGGTGTTCGTCCAAAAAGCTTTCCACAGACGTAGGCCATGACGTCGTTGCAAATGACTAAGGACGCAGGAATGAAGAACCACACGTGTCCTTCGAGAATGTTGTTGACGATGAAGTGGCTGAACGTGAGCCAGAGCACATCGGGCGAACTCACCTCGAGACGACGATCAGGAGCAGAGTGATATGGACCCAGCAGAAAAGTGCAAACTGTTGTCTGAGATACTGGCGTTGGAGGTTGCCAACAAATCCGACGAAACCTGTTGCGTTGTCAATTCAGCCCGAACGGCGCATGACTCACCGACCATATACAGCATGAAGCTGATGAACCGGTGGTTCCGTGCAAAGGGAATGAAGAACGCATCTACAAAGACAATGTGCTTGAAGTAGTAAATGATCGATTCGCCGTAAAGGAAGTAGTTGGTTACGACGAGGAAGTACCTGGAGGTGAGCATTACTCTACGAATGGATGCTTACCAGTTCAGAGTCTTGCTCCACAAATCATTCTCCAAACTCTTCGTCCCCTCTGCAAGGCGTCAACGAAAAATGTCAGTGTCGTGACTCACCGTCACGGAGATCAAACAGTGCAGTGACTTCCTTGTATACCAAAGTCTGACACAGCATGACCAAGAGGATCATGTAAGGGTGGCCGAGGCAGAGGAGAGCTGCTCATCAGCTGTGGGACCAGATCTTCAACTCACCGATGAAGACCCCAATCATGATAAAGGTCCAGATCGTCCTCTCAATGACATTTTGATTGCTCTTTGGCTTTTTGATCGTGGTCTCTCCGTCTTTCCCCTCTCCAGGTCCGATTCCATCCTCGAATTTCACCGCACTTCTACCGGGAGATCCTGGCGTCTCACCAAAGTCCGTTGGTGTCTTTCTTTTGCGATTGACGGGCAGAGGGTCACTCGGATGAGGTAGGGAGTCAGGAAGATCAGGGGTGAATTTCGACGCAGGGGGTGATCGAGACAAACTCGACTTTCGAGGGAGATTGGGGCCGGAAGAAGGTGAAAGGGTTGCGGAAGCTGGCGGAGGAGGACTGAAGGATGATCCGATAGACTTGGGTGAGGGTCGGTCAGTGGGGACTTGAAGATCAGCAGGAGGAGCTAGTGATTGACCATTTCCTGCAGCACCATTCCCATTGACTAGAGACTTCGAAGCTGGTTCAATGGGAGCCAATGGAAGCTTTGCTTCTCCGTTCGACTTGGCTGCCGGAGTCGACAAAGTCTTAGTCTGCACCGTCACCGTCGCTGGCTCAGGAACAGCCATGGCACTCCCATCAGCTTCATCCTTGAGCTTGTCTTTCGTAGAGCTCGAAGAACTTAATCCAAGCTTTGCAGCGGCTTTGGCAATCTTCTTCTTCGTCTTTGAGCTGGACAGAGATGATCCGTTGGAACCATTTGTGGAAGGCGTCTCTGAGCTTGAGGTGCTATTCGCAACGCAGTCAGTCAAAGTATCAGAGTCTTTCACGCACCTCTGCTTCTGGGTCTCTTCCGGCTCTTCCTCGTAGGATGGTCCTTCATCTACGCTCAGAACATCGAACTGGCCTTTACTGAAGACTGAGCTCGTCGAAGGAGCTCGCTTGGCCATGGTGGTGGTGGACGGGATGAAAATGATACAGATACAAAAGAAGCAGAGTGTTCCCTTCCTCAAACTTGGGTATTTGCCCAGTGCGGCCGGTGCGTCATCATCGGTGGTTGATAAACGTGCACCCCCATACAATGACACGTCATGATACTTTACAATAACCCAAATAAAACGAAACCTCAGAACCAGACACCATTCGTTGTCCTCTTCCCAGCTACATGACCCGGAGGTCCCACAGATACATTCAGATCTCTGATGGTTCCCTAGGCCATCGATGTCAGACAAGCGAAGAGCTATAGGTTGAAACTCACATTCTCAAGATGGTAGACCCAACCATGAATCACCACACCATCTGTTCCGCGTCGTTTCCAATCCTACACAGGAGGATGAGTTCCAGGACTGAGCCTGAAAGCATGACTCACATTTCGAATGACATCGGAGGCTTCGATATTCTTCACTTGCTGACAGACGTTCTCTTCTACGAGCAGGTCCAAACTTGGGAGCCCGTTCTCACCGGTCAGGGATCGAGCTAATGCGGCTACGGGTTGGATGTATCGTTGCAGGGCAGTGGTAGGAGGGACAGAAGGAAGTCGAGACATGTTCAGCGCTTGATTACAGCCTACGCAATTGGTGTGACCCTGTCAAGTGGGTGTCAGCAGGCGGCCAGTGACGGGGGCCCGGAGCATACGTACCGTGATGACAATATGTTTGACTTTGAAGTTTTGCAAGGCGATCATCAAGACAGCATTGAGACTGTCGTCGGCCGGCGAATAGGTACTGCACAGAACTGGTCAGCCTTACTCAGTGCTTATATTCTCACTTGGCAACGTTCCTCTGAACGAAAATATCACCAGGATGACAGCCCATGATGGTGGTCTCTGGTACTCTTGCATCAGAGCCTACCGATACACGTCAGTTGACGAAGAGATCTCGTTCACGAGGGGAAGCCCCGCCTCACATCCGATCCACATGATCTCAGGTCGTTGTCCGGGAAAATGACGAGGAAAGAACTGCACGTTGTACGTCAGCTCGTGACCGCTTCTCGTAGCACCTGCAAAACAAGTCCCGCCCAAAGCAAACATACCCCCGGATCCTTTTTCCAGACTTGAGCCGACCAAGCTGCATTCCTGTCAAACAGTTCTTTCTGCCACGGAAGAAAAGTCAGCAAACCAGCGACTCTGTCTCTCTCCTCAGTCCCCACGCACCATCTCGGGATAATCAAGCGATGATTGCGACATTGTACACACAGTATGCGACAGATATACAGTGAATGACAAGTGAGGGATCGTGAAGAGAACAAGTGGCAAAGGGGGACTGAAGAACGGTGTACCGTTGACGATATCAAAGCCTTTATATGTTCACCCCCACTCATCGTCGTTCCTTTCCATCACCAATCTCGTCAAACGAGAGCGATCAAAGCGTGCCACGTCGATGTCCATGTCAGTGATCGGAGACAGCACAGACAGAGAGAGAGAAAGTCATCGCCCATGTCAGCCGTTTCAGCCCCTTGGACCACTCGTGATCGTTGACGAGGTTTTGAAGTCCTCTGGAGCAATCGATCATCACTTGACGGCCCGCAAACACATGCAAAGGCTGAAGATTCCTGCACCTAGTTGGCTATACTGAAAAGGTCGCAGCGATTGACAAAACCGGCACACAGGAATCTGTCGTGTCTGGCGGCCCATCCGCCACAATCGTGACCATCAATGGTCGTATGGTGTGGCCCATCGCTCGACTAGCCATCCGGTGCATACACAACCCTCCGAGGCCAGAGCCAAAGCCAAAGACTATAAAAACAAACAAAGCATGTTGAACGAGCCGAAAACGAGATCAGGATAGAATGTCCAAAATGTAAGGTGTGGTGGTTCAGGAAAGGGTCTCAGACCCGGAACGAAGCGTAGTCACCAGTAATCTCCCTTCACACCTTATCTCGCCTCGCCGACCGCATCTTCAGAGTACGCGCTGCCATCACTGTTCCTCGTTTGACCTTTGCCGTTTGGCGGGACGGCCAAGTTGTTGTACTTTGGTCCAGGATGAGGCAAGGCATTGACTGCGTTCGAAGACATTGTCCCGTTGTTCAGATGAACAAATGACCTCATGTCGCCAGGAGCAGGGGCAGAAGCCATGGGAGTTCCAGCTTTACGTTGAGCGTAGACTGCCAACATCTGATCAGGACCATATTGAACGGTCGAGGATCCTCCGGGTCCCGCTTGTCCAGACGGACTGAGGGGGTGGACGGGCGAGGGTTCAGCTGAAAGAGATTCCATCTGGTTGGTATCGTAATATTGATGCGTAGGACCAGCAGATCCAGGAGCCGGTGAAGATCTAGAGGTTAAAGAGATTTGCGATCGTCGAGCGACTGAGAGGTCATTAGCTAGAGAAAGGAGGTCAGCGCAAAGCCACTTACGGACCGAAGCTTCCATCTCACGAAGCTCATCAACTGATCCTCTTGCGCTGTCTGCGTATTTCAGATCCGCCGCGTCGATCGTACTAGTTGTACTGTTTCGCCTAGAGCCACCGAGAATACTCTTACGTCCGATTCGCTGGCCATTGGCTGCTCGTCGCATTTGCGCGTCGGCAAATGCATCGGGGCCTTGGAGTTGGGAGGGTGAAACGTTGATGTCGTCCTCATCGGCGATAGCACTTCCAGTAGCATATGAAGCGTTTCGTTGATGTCCCATGGTGTGAAGCGCGTCGGCAGACCTAGAACCAGCGGGGAGTCTTCCGGCAATGTTTGGTCGACTGAGGTTATCACCGACGGACAATCTCGATCGACGATCTCCACGCGTCGTCTCGGCGAAAGAGATACGAGATTGCCTCACAGAGCCGTCTGGCAATACCATGGACGAACGAATCGAGAGGTTTTCAGCAGACTGCGAACGGAATTGACCAAACGCAGGTGGGTGAGGGAAGTTGCCAGCAGCTCCAGTTCCAGCCATATTATTCTCCACCGCATAGACTGAAGATGTCGCGTGAGAGTTTGGTCGACCAGAAAATTGAGACATGGGTCGAGCTGAAAAGTTTGTGTTGGGTCGACTGAGGACCGCTCCTCGCGTCTCCCCAGGTCGAGCACCTTTCTCCCACTCGAGGTTTGAAGCACTGGACATGGCCTGAGACCATCGTTTGAGCTTTTCAGCTTCTCTCTTCCGCCAGAACCAGACGGCCACGCCGGCAATGACGGCAAGGAAGAGAAGCGGAACAATGACAGCAGCCGCGATAGCTCCTTTCGAAATACCACTCCTGCCAGCGTCATTTACGGAGACATTTTGGAAGATAGTGTCTTTGCTCTGGGTCGCAGCTGCTGCAGCCGTGTTGGTCTGAGCTTGACCGTTGACAGTGGTGGTGGTGAACATCTTGTCAGCTGGGTACGTGACTTTGAAGATGGGTCCAGGAGGCGAGGTGCTGTCCCAAGGTTGTGTGCCCGCATTCAGGATGGTCAATTGGAGATCTGCGGTGGTGGTGTCGTTCCACCACTTGGGTCGAAGAATAGCGGTGTATTCGCCGCTGGCAAAAGGAGCATTTAGCCAAACTTGGATCTGACCATTCTGAGAGGACGCGGCGTAGAGATACAAGTCGACATCCGTGTCCATTGGGCAGGCAGTGTTCCATTTGAATGTGACGGGTTGACTGGCATCGACGACAGAGCTGGCATTGGGAAAGCTGTACAATGCACCGCTGGCAAGATCACACGCTGTGGGAATGTGAGAAAAGGGGTTTCGAACGGCGGATCCTACGCACCTGCTCGCTTGACGTGGGTATCTGCTGACAGGCCACCCATTAAGCCTACTCGGAAGGGCGGACGATCAAACATGTTGGAAAGGAGAGCTGGAGCCGTCATCAGCAAATCATCCGTGACGGGGCGTGTTTGACAAGGTCTTTTGATCAAAGGCTCGAGGCGAGACTCACCTTGGGTTCGAGAGTGTTGAATCGAGCTTGAGGGTCTATCGACCGTCAAACTAGTACGGTAGAGCGGCGCAGAGATGGGATCGGAGTCCTTTGTTTGATGTGCTCTCCGAATCTATCAGACTGTACGTGTGAGTGGAACTGTCGTGTGGCTCGTTCGCGCACACAAAGGTCTGAGAATGATGTTTGAGATGAATTGACCGGTGAGATAGTCCCAGCGAGAGGGGGAGGAGAGAGAAAGATGGGCAAAGAGAGAGTGTGTGTGTGTGTGTGTCGCAGTTGGCTCCCGAGTATGGTGTGTGATATGTTAAATGAGAGTGAGGATGCGTCGAGGAAGGCAGGATCGATGTGCTAGCTGGCCGGGTGGGTGTTGTAAAGTAAAAGAGAGGGGATTGATGGACTATTATTTCTCTTTCCCCCCCCCCTTTAATTTTTCCCCCTTGTCTCTCTGGTTGTTTCCCCTTCCCCCCAAACTTGATGATGATCTGAGCGTTGCAGTCGAGCTTCAGCTCCCTCTTATTGTATTCTTGTGAGTGAATTGCTATGAATCATGTCCTCGTCTCGTTACTTTCTATCTAGAGCCTCCTATACTGCACTCATCGATGATGCTCCCGGAAGCCTCCTCCTGCTATAATGACTATCAGCACGCCATGAAACCCATGAGCCAAGAGTCGAGGTGGGAAAAAGGCGGGCGGCGGGCTTGTTTACCTCCCGCAAGAAAATTCACCCGCGGGGACTGTCCTTGGGTAGGGGAGAAAAAACGCGGTGCATAGGCATATACCTCTATGGATGGTCCAAGCATGTGGGTGAAGGCGCACGACTGAACATGAACATTAAGATGAGAACGTGAGCTAGCCAGCCTCAGTGAGAGAAGGACCTCATGAAATCTGGCTATGTGAAGTTGGCCTGGCTGGGCCTGGAATTACGTCCCAAAAAATGATCGAGTGGCAGTGACGAGTGTGGCGCTCAGAGGCAGCTATGCAGGTGTGAGTGACATGAGCTTAGGGCGATTGTACAACATGCAATCCTCTTAAAGGCTACTTTGCTTCTGCATCCTGTTCTTTCCCCGAGAGGCTGAAGGACAAACGGTCTCCCCGTGTCCACGTATCACAGCCGCCCGCAACGGGTCGCTGTATGTCCTCAGATTTGAGGTATCCCAGACGATTGGTTCGAAATGTACTCGTGGCTAAACCCATCTCCCTGTGCAGAACAAAGCATTAGCCTCTCAGACGCTATGTGTCTCATCACCCACTTGTCCCTCTTGTCGAGAAGAGACTGATCGACCTGTTCGAAATCGGTGTACGCCATCATGAGTTGAGGAGGGCCAAGTGGGAGATCAGGTTGAATGTCAGGTTGCCTATTGGCGAGAGATCAGTCTTTGTTACCTGTGTATGTTTTCTTGGTTGGAGCAACCCCCCCAACTCACCAAGTATGGATCGTCTTGCCATACGTTCGATGCAGCTCCATCATGGCTGGACGCTCCGCAGCCGTCGTCATGGCGTCTGGAAGGTGAATGTCAAGGTGGGCTCTGGGATGAAAGGTGGATCCACTCACTCGGCACGATTGTCTTCGTACCCAAGACCAACATGCCAGACTCCACTTCAAACTTGTGACTATGCCAGTACTGTATAGGGGGTCAGTCTGAAGGGCGCCCTGCGCTCGGGTACAAGATTTACCTTCTTCTCCTCCTCTGGTAAAGCTACAAACCTGTCTTCACTAATGACATACTCTATTCCTGTACCCAGTCAGATACGACTTTCATTCGGCTTCGCTCGACCCAACTATCAGCCTCGCATCTGCCTTATCGCAATCGTAAATCACGCATTGGTGCAAATCTCTCGAGAGGTGCGTACAGAAGTGATGAGCTACCACCGACCGAGATGGATCAATGGCGTAGACGTGAAGACCGCACAAATGTTGATGAATCTGGTTGACTGGCGTGAAGCTGGGGGGTGGAATAGTGTCAAAATCTCGCTCAGTCTAGGCGAGTGGAGTGGCCTCCCACCTCATCATGGCGGATCCCGCTGCGTTGTAAGCTGGAGAATGATACGCTGCTTTAGTGGCATCTTGAGCGATGGACATGGTGAGTATGAAATACGTCGTCTCCAACATGTACAGCCCAATCTGTCATCCAGCATCACCCATGCTCTGCGCCACGCGATATCTGACGTGTCATCATATTGTCTCCTGACATCAGCAAAACATACCTCATCATCGGTTGTACCAGCTGCCCCTATCGCCACCATCACACGTGCCACAAAACTACTGACTCACAACTTCGCCACGCGGCGTTTATAATTACTCGGCGAGTTTCCGTGTGGCACCCACCTATCTTCCGTCATTCTCCCCAATAACGATTCACATCTCGGACCGTACAGTCCCGAACGGCTGCACCACACTTTCGTTGAAAAACCCTAACCCACAACATTTCGACTCTCTCCACATACCATCAACTAAAAATGGCCAACTCGCTCGAACAACTCAAAGCGTATGTACAGCTACTGGTTATCATCTCACCTCTGGGCCCCTGCGCTGACATGTCATTCGTCCCTTTTGTCCAACAGATCCGGCACCGTCGTCGTCTCTGATTCTGGAGACTTCGAAGCCATTGGAGCTTACAAGCCCCAAGATGCCACCACCAACCCTTCCTTGATGTAAGTGGACGAAGCTTGCTGCTCCGAGTCAGGCCTTAAGGAAAGAGACTATTCCAAGCCGCTAAACAATACCCCTGATGCCCTCACCTCTCAAAACGTGTTTTAGCTGATGTCAACCCAGCTTGGCCGCCACCAAGATGGGATCTTATGACAAGGTCATCAACGCCGCCGTTGAGTACGCCAAGAAGAAAGGAGGGTGAGTGCGTGAATCGCCCTCGTATATTGACTTATTCCTCAGTGATATCGACGTCCAATCTGAGAACGCTTTGGACGCCTTGTTGGTCGAATTTGGAAAGGAGATCCTCAAGATCGTGCCCGGTCGAGTCTCCACCGAGGTCGACGCCAAGTTCTCCTTCGACGAGCGTGAGTTCAGCATGAAGCAGCAACAGCATGCAAAGCAACCCGCTTGAATGCATTCGTTGACGCTTTACAGAGGGAACTATCAACAAGGCCCACCAGATTATCAAGCTGTACGAGGAAGCTGGAATCAGCAAGGACCGTGTTTTGATCAAGGTGAAAGCGATTTGCGAGACTTGGCTAGGCACGGGTTGACATTCATCCAGATCGCCTCTACCTGGGAGGGTATCCACGCCGCTGAGAAGCTTGAAAAGGAGGGTATCCAGTGAGCTGAATTGTCCCGTCCGATTCTCAGCTCACACCCGCCACAGCTGCAACCTGACCCTTCTCTTCGGATTCGCTCAAGCTGTTGCTTGTGCCGAAGCCGGAGTCACTCTGATCTCTCCTTTCGTTGGCCGAGTGAGTTGCGATACTAAGACCTCCAAGATCAAAGACTCACGTCTTCACCCAGATTCTCGACTGGTACAAAAAGTCCACTGGCGAGGAGTACACAGCTGAGACTGACCCGGGTGTCAAGTCTGTCCAGAGGATATTCAACTACTATAAACAACACGGATACAAGACCATCGTCATGGGAGCTTCGTTCCGAAACGTCGGGGAGATCAAGGAGTTGGCAGGATGTGACTATCTGACCATTGCCCCGAAATTGCTCGAAGAACTGCAAAAGTCCAAGTGAGTGGGATCGATGGCGCAAACCTGGAACTCGGGGGCGAAGACATGATACTGATGCCTTGCTCAGCGACGACGTGCCTAAGAAGCTCGACGCCTCCACTTCTCACCAGGCCAGCGAAGAAAAGGTCTCATTCCTTAACGATGAGCCTGCTTTCCGATGGCAACTATTCGACGACAACATGGCGTTCGACAAGCTTCACGAGGGTATCAGAGGATTCGCCAAGGACGGTGCGACCTGCAAAGACATGCTCAAGAAGAAGCTCCAGGAGTAGATGACGGACGTGCGCTTAGACTGTGTAGCTCGGTCGATCCCATCTCGACACTGACATGTCAAAAGTAGGGAAGGGAAATGCATCTGTGTCCTGATAGACGAGACATGGTATGATGGTGTATGATAAGATACAACGGTGTCATTGTGGATCTATGACCCTTATGCACGCTTGAGGGCTCGGTCCAGCGGTCCCACCTGCTCGTAAGTCCAAGGTTGCCTGTTGGAGGGCAGGGTATTTGTTAGCGTCTTTCGCTCTTAGAAGCAGGAGCAGCAGTGGGACTGACTTACTGTCCGTCGTTCCAGTCCGTGCACGCGTTCGAGATACGCTCATACTCGGCCATGGCGCTCTCGTCCCATTTGTCATAACTCCAAGTCGCGTCGATACATTTGGCACAAGCGACTGAAAAAATGAACGGGAACGTTTAGCATCCTCATTATCATCAACATCGTCATCGTCATCGTCCTGTGATACTCACAAGTATGCTTTAGACTTTCTCTCGAGCATAGAGGTAATGATCTGCCATATCGATCATACTGTGGGGAACATTCACTGGAACATTTTTCATCATCCTCCTCCTCGTCGTAGTATCCTCCTCCTTCTTCTTCCACCAGAGCCACCGACTCCCATTCATCACTCGTCTCGTCGTCGTATCTGTACGGAGAGGAATACGACAAGGCATCCCGTTTATCGACCGTTGATGATCGTGTCACGGGCTTGGAAATGCGTCGAAATGGAGGGGCAGCGAGAACGCAAGCCAAAGTACACAGGACAAATAGTTGACGAAACATGACGCTGATTCTTTCTTGCTGCACTGACTGACCAAGAGGGCTGGATACTTTGCGATGCTACACGGTTGAGAGTTGGACTGGTTCGTCAATGCAAGCCGTGTCTTTGGAGAGGTGGACTACGCTTATCGATTCTAAGATCTGTTCGTCACCCAAAACAACCACCACAACAACAATGGTGGTGTACGAAATCCACAAAAGAAAAGCATACACGATAAAACGCCATCGATCGTTTCTCGAGCACTATTACTTGAATCGAGCGCTCGAGTCAAGTCTCCTTTCTCGCTCCTCTGTCGCACAAGCCACCTCTCTATCCCATCTTTCACCGTAGAAATCTGTCACCTTCAGTGCTCTTCTTCTCTCCTTGTCTTCCCACCCCCTGCCCAAGAAACTGTGTCGGCATGAGGAGTATCAAGCATACTTGTGTTCCAGGGCAAGAGTAGTCGTTCAGGTATCAACGAACGCCACGAGCCACAAACATAATAAATAATGGTAGCGAAGCGCGTCTCAGCGCGCGTTCGGGCTGAGGTCAGCGAAAACGAGCCTCACCGGGAAGTCCATAATCGGACATCTTCTTCTTCTGAGGAGGCGCGTCACCCACCGCAATGCTCTCAAGGTGCCAGAATAGCTCTCATTCGCCAGCGCCACACTGTGATCGTGAATGGGACCAGAGATTCAAGAGAAAGTGAGAGCAGGACATGGGGCAAGAACGCGTCACCTTCGGCTTACCAGCCATGATCGATGAATAGGACTTGCTCGGAGTATTCTGGCCCGCAACTATGCGGGCTGCCCTCACGAAACGATTCGCCGCCGGGTTACCACTCCGCTGCCTGGTCGCTAGATGATTCAATCACGGGGGCACGCTTCAATAGCCCACGGCGCAAACAACACGGCAAATCAATCGTGCATGCATACACGATAAGACAGCGAAAGAATAGACCGAGAGAACTGGGGAAAGACGTAGAGAAACCAAAAAGAGTGCCAGTAATGCGTGTATGATATTACTTTGTCGGTCGATGCGATGGATGCAATAATAATAATAAAAAGTAGAAATGTGGATGGGAGGAAGACAGATGTCGTGTCGTTTCTATCAAGTCCAAAGGTGGTCGATCCGGTGAATGGGGAAAGGGAAAACCTGTTCCAAAAAGACACATTTCCGCAAGTTTGATAGGATGAGGAGGGGGGGGGGAAGGGAGGCATTCGTGATGGGACGACTCGTAGACGATACAGTGGGTGTTTACAGACGATTTTTCTTTCTTCTTCATCTTGCTTTGAGATCCAAGACACAGGCATTGCGATCCTTCGTATTGTTGATCAGACTTTTTTGATTTTTGATTCATTTCACTTTTGACGTTTCGCATCTAGCAGATATGGCATGAGTGACTGAACACAAACGCCGCCGCGAATGTCAGACTCACCTTTGAAGAAACCACCACGTTCCCAATGACCAGTAACGTAAACCTCTTGGGAACGTTTCGAGGGGTCCTGAAGACATGCTAAGAGTGCTCGGACACGGGTAAAGTCTGGAACGTAAAGTCAGCGAGAACCCTATGTGGTTACAAATGGTTGCGCTTACCCAGTGGCTTGAGTAACCATCCATCAAAGTTCTCCATCAGAGTCGGTCGATCTGATTCATAAAGACTCGCGCTGACTGCGAAAATGGGAACACGACCATCTACACGCAAGGGTGTGATATTCTTGGGCGGAGAAGTGGTGCTTTCCAATTTACGGATCTCTCGAGCGGCAGTTCGACCATCCATGATTGGCATTCTGGGAAAAAGGGCACAATCAACACCCAAACGTTCTTATTCACGACAGCATATCTCCACTCACTGTATATCCATCAGGATGGCATCAATGTCCCAATCATTCTTCAACGCGTCGACGGCTTCCTGACCATTCGTAACAACCACCACGGCGTGCTTGTCCATCCTCAATCGCTTGGTCAGGATCTGACTGTTGATAGCGTCGTCCTCGACAACCATGACTCGTAATCTCGATTCTGACCTTGAACCCCTTGCCTCCTTTACAGGCCCATGGTGGTGGTGATGGTTGAATTGGCGATCTTGACTCGATGAAGCAGGTTTATTCGGCAAACGGTACGAGAGAGACCGATTCGTGGAAATGGGGGGACGAGCGATGGGTGAGGAAGGGTGGGGCTCCTTGGGAGATTTAGACGAAGTCTGTGACCCGCCCATAGATTGGGTATTATCAGCATCCATCTTGCTCGGTCGAACAGGCCAAGAGGAATCCGTCACCGGGAAGGTACCCGGCCTAGTCATTCGTTCCTCGGCATCTCGTAACCTTGAATCGTCCGCACCAACCGGAGCCAGCATATGCGACGCGGCGAAATCTTGAACGAATGAATCGATCTCCGATACGTGAGATGATCCGCGAGATCCGACGGATCCACCAGATGATCCCTTTCGAGGGCGCACTACAGCAGCCGATCCACCAGATGAGGTACCACCAGATCGTTGACTTGCAAATTCAGGAGCTCCTCCAGCAATAAGCATTTGCAGGGTGAAGAAGAACCGAGTTCCAACACCGACTTCAGATTCAGCTCGTAATTGACCGGCCAGCTGTTCGACGATACGAGCAACGACGGCCAGTCCTAAGCCGAGACCTGTGCCTTCCGTCTTGAGCTCCTCGGCACCTTCCAAAGTGATGAACATGGCTTCGAGTTTCTCAGTGGGGATACCACATCCCGTGTCAGAGACCACAATCTCGATCGGGATGTATCCACTTCGAGCCACCTGAGCAGTCTCGGTGCCATTCTTTGACACACCGCAGTATACTTCGATATGACCTTGTTCTGTGTACTTTACAGAGTTGGCCACCAAGTTGGAAATAACCGTCTTGATCTTTCGGAAGTCTCCAATAACTTGGTCGGGTAGATCCGAACCAGTCGTGACTCTGAACTCGATGCCTCGACGAGCCGCTTCAGTCCGGTACAACCTGACGGCGTCGTCTATGCTCTGTCGAATGTTGAAAGGATCGTTAAACGCGGTCTCATTACCCGTCTCTATACGCGTCAGATCGAGAAGATCATGAACGTGGAACAGGAGAGCTCGACTGGCTTGATGACTGTTCTCCAACATGCCTCGAACATCTTCGTCAATGTTTCCAGACAAGGCCAACTCGAGCGTGTTGATGATCTGGGACAGGGGCGTTCGGACCGCATGACTGGTGTTGGATAACAGGATCGCGGTGAGTTGATTGCTCGCCATGGCGGTCTGTTTCTCTCGCCAGACTTGTATGAACTTTCCGTAGATGAGCGCGAGAACGCCAGCCGATTCAAGTTGGTCATCTGTCCAAGCTCGACTTCTTCCAAAGACGGTCTCGGACCACATTTTGAACGACTTTCGCGGTTCCAGACTCGCGGCATCACCAGTCTTTTCGTCCTTGTATGGCTTGCCTGCCCATTGGACTTCTCGAACCTGGCCTTTACGCAGAAAGACGATAAAGTCTTGACCAGCCTTGGCAGTAAGAGGGACGTAGAGTAGGCCGGCGATTGTATCCTGAGCACGGGGCAAGACAAGATCGGGAAAGTCTCGGGAGATATGATTAGAAGCTTTGAGATTGCTGGGACGTGTCAGCGCACGATACAAAAAGCTTGACCAAGGAACCTACTCGAATTTCATGATACGCAAGAACTCGGCAATCGCCAACATGGCTGTACCTTGCTCGTTGCTGTGACCGTCAGTCAAGACTCTCCCTATGGCTCTCGCTCGCTCACTTTCCGAGCAACTTGCAACCATCACCAATGACCAAAAGACCAGAATCCGCATCGAATATTTGAAGCAGATCGTCAGCATTGGAAACAATGTATCCCGTCGGATGATGTTGTGTAGGGATTGTGGAGATCTGTAGAAAATGTTAGCATACCGAGATTCTAGGAAAGAGACAAAGAGCTTTGGACTGACCAATTTCCTCGTGTGCAGTCTTTGGGCGTAAGATAATCGTTCAATATTCCTCGAGATGGAATCTGATAGGATCCTCATCATCTGTCGTACAGGGAACGAGACACGCATGCCATGGTGTCCGTAAGAGTGACAAGCAATCAAACCCCAAAGCTGTCCAAAGGCCATGATGGAGACCGACATGGAAGATCGGACATTCATATTGGCCAGGTCTATACGAGATTAGCGGATCTTTTTGAGTGTCTGAAAGCTCCACTTACACTTGATATGGATCGGCGACATGGCTCGGAGATAACAGTGGGTCATGTCCAATGGATGGTCAAGATCGTCTTTACTCCTCAAGACCATTCGAGCGGTCGTTTGAGATCGATCATACAGTAGTCGAACCTTGTTGATCATGTACAGTTGTCTAGCTTGAGCAGGGATATCCGCAGCGGGGAACATGAGTCCCTTGAAGAGATCCGTTGTCTTGCCCCATTCCACGAGTTCAGCTACCACTTGACCATTGTATTGCTCGTCAAATTGATAGATCAAGACTCGATGGAATCGACATAGATCCTGGACAACTCCGACCGTAATTTTGAGGAAAGTCTCGAGATCAGGAGCCGTACCCAGCTGTTCATTGATCTGACCAAGGACCGCAAAGACGTCCATAGTACCTGTTGATGAACCGGGGGGACGTCGCGGTCTGCGTGATCGACGTGTTCGTCCACTGGACGGTCCCGTGCCAGATCCATCACCAGAAGATCCGCCGTCGAGATGCAGACCCGTCCGTCTCATCCGCTCCAAAGCACGTAATGGTCGGGCGTGGTTTGTCGTGGATTCAATGATCTTCTCGAGCGGGATCTCCATTTCAACACCATCAAGACCCATTGGGCGAGCGTTCGGTGGCAACTTGGACGACGGCCGAGTTGAGAAGCTGATTTGCTGTGTACTACCCGATCCAGAAGATGGTCTGCCCGCGAAGGCATTCAAAGTCGCAGTGTCGCCAGAAGATGCAGTCTCGCCCATCGAGCTCCTGATCTGGGATTGAACCTGGGTCTCTCCAGATGATCCATTGTGCGGGAGCCCGGGCCGAGGCGTTGGGGCTGAACCGATTGTCGTGGTCGAACCAACACTGGCACTGATGCTATCGACACCACTGCTGTTACTTGGAGGTCTGCCGGAAGCTCCGCTGACAGTACCTTGACTGCCCGAGTCCGGTGTGTCGCCACCAGATAGATTGGTGGGTTCGAATGTCTGCATGAGGGGGTTGAAGCTGTCCCTCTCCAGCTCGAATTCCAGGACAAACAATTCTGGTGGATCGAGTGGAACACCGTTCTCGTCCGTCTTATCCCAAGTAGGTTGATTCGGTCGATGAGCAGCCACCCAACATGTCCATTCACGCCGACGTCCGGCTGCTGCAGACGCAGATTCATCCTCGTCACTGTCGTCACTGCCTGGTTCACCGAATCCGGATAGGAGGAAGACTTGAGGGCCTTCCTCTTCGACTGAACCTTTCCCACCCTCTGGATCTGGCAGATACTCAATGTTATCGCGGAGAATGTCCTCTTGATCATTTGTCAATATGCGGGAAAAGCAATCGAGGCGGAAGAGGTATCGAGGGGAGAGACCCAACAGCTCGGTACAGTTCTGCAGGAGGGAAATCAGCTAAATGCAAACGTTCTCAATTGGCTTCCAGCCCACCTCAGAGACTTGTCGAACCTGTAAGCGGCCCGACTCGACATCCTCCTCGAGAACAATCAAGACTCCGAATCCTTGAACGGCACCAGGTGTTGTGATCGGTTCATCCTCACAGCGCTGCAACTTTCCTTCACGTCCAACAACAACGTGGTGACCGTCATCCGTCGCGACATGCTCGAATCGGAATGTGACGATAGGTTCTTCTACTTCTTCTTCGGTTTCGGTCTTTTCGTCTCCCGTTGAAGCGGTAGCCATCTCACTACTGTCGCGGACGCTGAGACTGCTCTCACTGCGCTCACTCCATCCTTCGCCGCGAGCTTCAGCTGGCCCCGCGGCCGCGTCGGAAGACGGTTCTTCCTCGATTGTGTGTGGTGTCGGAGAAGGTGTGGGGGCGTTGGGATCGGATAGATTGACAGTATGTGCTTGTTCATTGACAAAGTTTTGTACAGTGGCTCGGGTACTTGAAACTTTGGCTGATCGCTGTTGTTGAGCCAATTTGGCTCCAGTGGGTCCACTTCCGGCTCCAGGTGAAGATCGACGGTCACGTCTGCGATGTTTGCGTCTGGCGTTGCCAGACTCAATGCCTGATCCTTCGCCGGTGCCTGCTCCACCTGTCCCGGTACCAGTGCCTGTGCCCGTACCAGTACCTGTACCGGTACCAGTCGATGCCAGAGATCCAGCTTCGGTGAGACGAATGATCCCGCTGAAATCACCAACGAGAGCCTGTACGCCGTCTTCGTCAAGTTCGAGAGCGGTGGACGATCCTCGGTTCTTCGAGGTGGCCGAGCTGCCAGTAGTGGATGAACCCACACCAGGCGGACGGACGGGAAGAGGGGACTGAATCTCGGGCTGCGATGTTGGAGGTTGCTTATCAGCAGGTGGTGGATTGGGGCGAGTCGGTTTGATGGTCGAGCCAGTGTCTTGGGTCTGAGCTTGAGGACGATGACTGGACGATGAAGGGGTAATCTGTGAGAACGATTGCTTCTCACCGAGCACTTGACCTGGTCTATCGTGATAGTTGGCCGTGGTAGGTGGAACAGCTGGTTGACCGACGGGTGACTTGCTCTCGTCGGGAAGGCCGCTCCCAATGGCAGACGTCGAAGTGTTTCGAGACTTTGATGTCGAGGCCTCGTTGCGCGACGATGGCTGCGGCAAATTTTGGCCGCCACTGCCAGTCGAGACCCGATCATCGCCGTCACTCGCCCGTCGAATTTCAGCAAAGAATGGGCTTTCAGCGGTATCTGTGACATTGGCAGGGACGCTGAAAAATCCATGGACTTGCTCTTGCTTCGAGGATCCACCGGCCGATTTTGGCTTGTCACCACTCCTGTCGACCTTTCCACTGAAAGTGGCCACGGCAGGTGGACCACGAGGCGCAGAGGGGTCTTTGGTGGACGAGGTGGCACTTGCACTCTGTTGTAACATTTGCGCAATGGTCTGAATGCCAGCATCCTCATCTATCAATCCGAACCCAGAGGCCGAGGAATCTTGTGAAAACTTGCGATCGATCGGACCTTGACGAGATGGAGATCTGGCATGACCACCTTCTCGCTGAGATCCATTTCTGTTCAACGACGATCCTGGTGGTGTCCCCTTGTCGCCAGTCAATGGCTTTCCAAACTCATCGACGGCATCGGACGGATTGATGCCTTGGAAGACGGATCGGATGGGGAATATGAAAGCATTTTGACCCAGATTCGAAGAGCCTGGACTTAATGGACCACTGACAGAAGGTTCCATACTGGTCGGCGTCCTTGGCTTCTGACCGAATCCTAAAGAAGGTGAACGCGGTCCTCCAGAAGAAACTGTGCGTTGGTATCCTGGTGGGGTTGGCATCTTGACGCCGGATGGACGTGAAGCGCGAGATGGTGGTGGTGGTTTTTGTTGAGATGATGAAGAAGAAGAGGTCGTAGGAATGGTCGAATTGGTCATCGCCGCAGCATCTCCTCCACCTAAAGTCGAGGATGACTGAGCAGGCGTGTGCATCAAAGTCGATGGCGACTTGGGAGGTTCAACAGTGTTCTTTGGCGGAGATGACATGGTTCTGCTCATCGGAAGAAGAAGGAGGAGGGAAGTCGATTCATGATCAGTTGACAAATTCACGAGCCCAGGTGATAGATGAACAGTGACTCACGCTTAGCCCGTCTGTGTCCTCACTGTTTGCAATGATGTGACCCTCTCTCCTCTTCTTCCTCTGATGATGATGGTGATGAAGATCAGGAGGAGGAGGGAGGATGGTCTATCGTCGCACCCAAAAACGACCTCCCCCCACTTCGGCCCTTCTCTCACGCACCGCTGTCACCCTCTCAGAACGTGATCCTGCTTCTTCTCTCCTCTCTCTCCTTCTCTGATCGTCCGATAGTAGTGTGCAGAATATCTCTCTCTCTCTGATCTCTCCAGAGACGATCCCCTTGAGTATATGACTCGATCCGTTGTATTTGATCCCAAACGGTGTCCCAGATGTCCTTCCCAAATCTGTGATAGCAGAGCCAGCCAGCAAAAGCAAGCAGAGCAAACGCAGGGCTCACAGCAAAACTGGGTATAGTTTGGTTTTCGATGTCGAACGTCGATTTGCGCGACCAGGCTGCCTGTTTTTTCTCTTCTCTTCTGCTCTCTAGCGTCCCTCTGCTCTCTCGCCTGCTGCGCTCCGCCTGAAATTACTATATCCGGTAACTCTCTCTCTCACTCTCATTGGATTAATTGATTTTTTGTGGGAATCCCCAAAAGTGGCAGAAATTGCTGGAAGAGAGCACAGAGAGAGGGGCTGGAATCCCCCGTCCCTTGGTGGTTGTCAGGGTAAACATTAACCGTGAGCACGGGAGAGAGAGAGGGAGCGAGGGGCGGGAGGGGCACCTGAATCCCCCTCCGGGTCACTTCTTCGCCCTTTAGGAAGATCCTTATGGATTGATGGGACAATTCCTAATGATCATTACAAAAATAAAAGGATGCCCGAGTCCGACCCTGTTCATTTGCAACAAAAATGCTCCCCCTGGTTAAAGCACCTGTCCCATTTCCCCTTCGGCTTTTAGTCCACAAGAGCTATGAATAGTTTGGACCATGAAGTTGCTCACGGGTCAGTCAGGTCTCTCTGCTCAGCTGCACAGCGATGGAGGAACAATTGCTTGCTGCTTGTTGCTGATGCATAATGAGCGGGAAAAGAAGGGCTCTAAGGGCCCAAGGGGGGCAAGAGTATAGTGTGTGCCAGGTGGCAGCTGAACCAGCTGTGTTGGTCGGATTATATTACACGAGGAACAAGCCATAAAGTAGGATTTGATGGCTGTTAAGGGCTCTCTCTCTCTCTCTTTCTTTGTCGCTGGTACTTCCTTCAATTGAAACCACATCGTCATAGCAACTCAAGTCACAGGACGGGTATAGCTTGCAAGCAAGCCCTTATCGAGACACGCCCGCGTATGAAAAGGAAAGGAAAAGGGATCTACGCTTTGCCGGGGTTCGGCGGTCGAGTACCCCGGGTGAATAATGAGCTTTTGCGGATTCATTTACCGTGACCTAAGGTTTATTTCGTACGTGGCGTAAATACTTCCGTTCTGCCTCTAATCTATCTATCTACTTCCATGAACAGGTGATGGCGGCGGCCACATGAGCAGGGCGCACACCAGGGTAGCGGGCCCGCCGCCGCCCTTTGCGCGAATCCATGCGGTTTTCGATTTGCCTCCGGCTGATCTTTTGCCGATGCGTCGCATTGTACGGTGCCAATAGTGAGAGAAAGGGGGCGTGTGTTCGTTTTATTTCCCCGTGTATCCGCCGCGACGTGGGCATCTGATGAAAGCCTTACCGAGATCAAATGCCGTTCCAGCGTCATATGGGTACTCAAACACGTTCAAACACGTCTGTCAAGGCGGATCGAACGGAATCTAATGGCTCAGATTGTGGTCTGTGACATCACATGTCACTCGCACAGAGGATTCCCATGCAGAAAATCATAAGATGCCCGGGCCAGGCGGTAGGTCGCCCCGATCCTACTACAAGTACGTATACCTGTATAGACCTTCTCCCTCCTCCTTCTTCGCTCGCCACACCACCAGACGAACACAGCACTCTATCGGTTGCTCCTGGCCACTCGCTCCAACTCGTCCTTCTTCTTGATGGCGTAAGAGTTGGAAGATCCCTTGGCAGCGTTGACGAGCTCGTCGGCCAAGCATTCAGAGACGGATTTGGAGTTGTGGAAAGCGGATTCACGGGTCTGTAAAGAGGTACATGCATCAGCGTCTAGTTTACTGAATGCAGGACATGGCAAACTTACTCCGGTGGTAAGGAGGGTGATGGCCTGGTTGACACGTCTCAGAGGGGAGACATCGACAGCTTGTCGACGGACGGTTCCCTGAGATCCAATACGTGTAGAGTCTTCTCTGGGTCCAGAGTTGACAATGGCGTCGACTGAAGCACACGAGTCAGATTGTTACATCCTCACCAGGTGGTTGGATGACTTACCCAAGACTTGGATGGGGTTCTGGTCAGTGACGAGGTGGATGATTTCAAAAGCGTGTTGAACGATTCGGACGGCCATGATCTTTTTACCGTTGTTTCGGCCGTGCATCATGAGACTGCAAGGAAAGGGTTATTAGATAAATGGATGACTCATGCTGGTCTCCTCCACTCACGCATTAACCAATCGCTCGACAATGGGCATTCGGCCCTTGGCGAATTGCTTCTTGGCATATCGACCAGCGGTGTGAGCTGCGATACGTGGTCAGCAGTCTTGTTGATATCACAACCCAGCGCATAAAACTCACGAGTGTAGACAGCGTGAGAGATGTTGATGTAGTCTTGGAGGGAAATGTCCTTGACCTCAACACTATTGACGCGGTCAGTCCAAGTTCCTCTCGCCTTTTTAATCATTCTCGAATCGTGTCGCCCAATCCCATCGTATCCATAGTCCTTCCACTTTTATCCCACTGCCCTCTCTCCTTCCCACTCGTAGCTCTCCGTCTTCGCCAACCTCATCCCGTGACTTGAAGCTACCCACTCACCCTTGAGATTCCCATTTGCCAAAGAGCTTGACGCTTCCCGAGTTGGCAACTCGTTGCACATCCGCAGGTAAAGCAAGAGCCATATTGAAATCTGATCCGTTTGCTTCTTTGTCTATTCCTCTCCGAGACGAATTGAGTCCTGAACGCAACGTCTCAAGAATGAAACAGACTCGAGGTGATAGTCTTGAAGGATAGGAGAAAGCCTCTTCTTCTAGCTTGAACTCGATGCTCGTATGAATAAACCTCGAATTCGACGAAAGGGCGAATTCGGACTTTCGGCGTTTTGGAAAATGACAGGATGGTGGGGACAGTGTCATGTTGTATGTGGCAGTCTTATCTCCGATGATCTCGATCTTTCGGGTTCAAGTGGTTTCCATTTTTTAGTCTCAGACCTGAATCGTAATGATACAGCACGACTCCTCACATCGTGGACTCCCTGGGCTTCCGTCTGGTGGCAAGGACAGAGGTCAAGTTCTCCATTCTGTGTCAGCTCGACGGCACGCGAGGCAGTCAGTGGCCCATATCTGCGTTCCCACTTGGTATCGGCGATCAGGGCGCTCAACGCGAGCATGTGGCAAAGTTGATCGAGCTCTGATCGGGATATCTGATGCGCGGCTGATCAGTCCAAGTATGCGCGTGTCCCTATTCTGAGGAGCCGCGAGGAAGCGGGGGCACTTTATGCCTTAGTCCAGCACAAAAAGGGCAGAATATCCAACGACATTGGTGACACTGACACTCTCACCTCCGTTGGACTGAACTTCGATCCTCCGTTGATCAAGCGCCATCCTTTGTGTTCTTAATCTCCTCGAAACAATACCGACCTTTGTAGACTTCTTCAGCCTTCGCTTGGCCACCGACCGCATCGAGCTCGTAAAGACTATCCACAGCTATCATCGACCATCACCTTCTCCCACATCCACGACTCACGTTTTAGTATTCACCAACACTCTGCATCATGACCACCGTCGAAACGAGCCCAACGAGCAGGATGATCACCAGCCAAGATCTGTCCGTCGGCTCCAATAAAGTCACTGTGGAGATACGAAGGAAAGAGGGACAACAACAAGGAGACGGAGGAGGAGGAGGAGGAGAAATAGAAATCGACGCTGACTGGCCGTTCGTCGAGCTCACTATTCCAGAGGATCTTCCTCAAGGATACAAGTCTGCGCTCGCGCAGTTCAAGTGCGGTGCGAATACCCAATTGCATGTTTTCTGGACCGAGGGTGACGATGACAAGACAGAGACCGAGCTGCCCGCCTTTTGGAAGGACAAGCGCTACATTGCTTACAAGGGACTCCTTGACGAGGAAGTCCAGTTGTCAGACATTCAGACTCAAGGCTTTGTCGCTCCCACATCAACGCAAACCGCTGGCGAGGATGTGAGGGAGGCCACTGGGGCAGATTCGGGTGGCGCGCCACCAGAGCGGTCTTAGTGACTTCGTCCCTTCCGCGCCTGCATCCCACTCGTTCATATGGTACAGTATGCAGGACTCATTTCGAGCGACCGTGTGACGAGACAGATTGCCAAGATCCATATTCACGACGATCTCCCCTTGAACGGGTTCCGCCATATGCTCTCCCTTCACCTTAAGACAATGACGGTAGTGATGCTTCTCCTCACCCGTTAGTTGCATCCCTCCTTTCGAGGCTTTTCGATCATCTCAAGAACGTGAGGATCAATCTTTGAGCGATTGAAATCGCAATAGACTTCGCTCAGGCGATTGGCGACGTTAGAAGGGAGAGGGGAGTTCCGCGTCACGACCATATAAAGAGCAAATCTTCGTGCTCTTTGGCCACTACTGACGAATCGTATCGTTGCTAATCTATCCATTGCCGACCAGTCAAACATGTACCAGGCTACAGCCGAGAAGACTCGTACGAGTAACTTCGTTCCATGCGAGGATATCTCTATCAAGTCGTCAACTCGAGAACTGAGCATCGCTGCAGGCTTCAACGTGTCGCTCACGCTCCAGAGCATCGAGAACGACGTTTTCATGTCCTTGGGACCGGCAGCGGGATCGTTACCGGAGGACTACCTGTTGCCTCTGGCGGAGTTTAGAGCCGCTCTGGAGACGGGGATCAGTGACCCGAGTTCAAAAATGACACAGGAGACATTGATCTCGACAAGATTTGGGATTCTACACTGTTCAAGAAATGCAAAGACGTCCTTGACGAGAAAGTCGCCTCTGAGTCATGCAACTCGGAGGAGGAGCAAGTACATCATGCCACCGAAGCTGAAGACGACACTGACAGTATCGATACGCTCACAAACTCAGAGGCGCCTCGAGTAGGGTCACAACGTAGTTGACGAATCGCCAGTCTGCATTCGTAGATACCCCTTCCATGTTCAGCTTGTTGAATGCATTTCTCCTATGACATATCCGAGTACAAGAGATGTGGCTGCCCTAGCTGACGACATTCCAATCGAACAGGCAGTGAGATAGCCCTTACAACAATGGCGGCAGGATATGTTCTATTGTCGATGTGCGCTGATATTCCCCATTCCCAAAAGCGTCATATCTGAATTCGGTCGGTCGATGTAGACTGGACTCACCGCTGCCCTCTTCGGTCCCATGAGGAGTCAATCGATCCATTGAAGAATCGACCTGTCCTCGACCACGAGCACGACCAGTGGCCACAGCTCCACCAGTCCGAGACCTCCGATCCTTTTTGTTATTTCTCCCTGGACCTCTTCGCCTCAGCACGGTATCATACTCGCAGGAATCTTCATTCCGGCGTACACAGTTGGCGCACTTCGGTCGGACACCATTACATCTGTTGTAGATGTGTTAGGGCTGAACGGTCTCAGAAGAAGCCGTGCACTCACTTGAGCTTTCTAGCTCGACACATGTGACAAGCGATAACTGGCTTCTTCTCACCATCTTCCTCGACTGTCGCGGCAGATTCCTTCTTGACGGAACGCGAAGACGATATAGTCCTTCTCTTTCGGCCTTTCGGTTCATACGCTGATTCGTCCGACGAACCTTGTGAATTGTCGCGTGATTGGCGAGGTGAGCGTCTTGAAGTCTGACTCGTAGAACGCCTCGCGGCATCTTGAGCTGGAGACGTAGGTGGATGTGAACGAGAAGGAGTGGCTTGAGTATGTTGAGAATGTGCTTTCTTGACAGGATGGGGCAGGCTGACGGCGTGATCGACCTGGGTACCCCGATCGGGAAATTGCAGCCGATTTTGAGCACTCTTGTATCCTTTCAAGAGTTCCATGGCCCATGATCCGTCTACAGCATCACCACGCGATAGCGGAGTAGCAGGCGCACCTGGGTCTAGTCGCACGTTATGCGGTGAATGATTGGAAGTCGACTGGAAGGGATGCGAAAATAGGTCGGTGAAGGGAGCGAGTTGGGATTGAACGAGGTACGCTGGGAGATTAGACGTCTGAAGGTCGTTGCGAGGGGGCGGGGGCGGATGATTGTTGCTGGACGGAGGGGCAGAAGATGGGACGAATTGTGAATGTCCCCCGGAGAACGAATAGGCTTCAGACGAGGGGACCGCTCGGGACATGTTGTTTTCGTCGACGCTCAGCAGGCTCAGCATACCGTATTGTTGCGGATGAAGCATGGTACTGATGGCTTCGGATGGTGTCTGAGTTCCGGAATAGTCCCTGAGGACCTGCTCTATACCCGCCCGGTCGAATGTAGACATATCTTCTGTCTCAGTGGTTGGTCCCAATTGCGAGACCAAGGACGCTCGAGGACGACGATCGGCATTGTTCTGCAGATTGAGTGATGGATTCGGACCCAGTTTGGCCTCTAATAGTTGAGAAAAACGATCGCCAGTCATGAAATTCGGCGTCGGAGCATGCTCTGAGGGCCGACAGCTAAGTTTTGAAAGGGATAATCAACACGAGAGGAAGGGATGATATCAGGCTGGGGTGGCTCACAAGAATCCGTCCGATATCACATTTGATAGTGGTTGGTATTGAGTCTGAGCGAATGCCCCGAGTCCACCGTTTTCGGTCGATGAGAGATTTGGAGAGGTGTTATTAGGTAGTGTTTGCAGGGCATTTGCACTGTTGGGCAGACCACCGGAGGAGGAAGATGGTCTAGTTTCGTATGTCGAAGGCGTAGAGAACAGTCCAAAGGGACTCTGAAATGAGAATCCAGCGGGCGTGAAAGTAGATTGAAAGCTGGCCTGATTTGTGAAGGGGACGTCGAATGGCAAGGTGGACAGACTATCTTCGTCAGGTCTCAATGGCGGTCCATTGTTGAGCAGGTAGTTCATCGTCGAGAGATACTCCGTTGGAGATCTGCAGCCCGAATCACTCAGTACCGGTTCGGAGGTATTTTTTCCCCTGGCCCAGACACAGACAGATCAGATGATGATTCCAGTTGATCGATGGGGAGATGATCGTCACGGGGATGAGTCGGGTCGCTGGTGGGCGAGATTGGGTGATATTATGTTTGCTCTCTTGGATTCATTGCCGTCATTTTCGAGAATGTGCCAACGACCACTATCACGGTGAGTTTTGGTTGGGTGAAGAAAGAGCAGCAGCAGCAGCACCACCACGTCGGTACGGAGACGGGCTATACTGACTATGAGGCATTCCAGACCTCCTCCACTCCCTCGCAGCAGTACTTCTTCTCGGCGATATGTGAACAATGGCCCCTGGGTACTTTCCAATTAGCACCAAGGTGATCCCGAAGCTGACGGCGTGAGATAACAGAAAGATTATTAATTTTGTGGTAGCAGTAGTAGACGAGAGGATGGCAGTTGCCCCCTCCTCGGGTTCTTTTTTTTTTGCCCTCTTCGGAGGCAATTGCAGAATGACCGAATGAGCCGTGATGCGGCTGCAGCAGCAATGGCACAAGCATTCCTTCGGAATATTTGTATATATATATATATATTATATATATATATATATATGGGTCAGACTGACTTGAGAGGTGATGATGCCGCTGCTGCTACTGCTGCTGCTGCTATTGAGGTGGTAGACTGAGCAAGAAGAGGGTCTCGACGCAATCTCAGACGACGGCGTCATTTGGTCAGCGAAAGAGCTCATACCAAGCACTTACGTAACAATGTCATGGCATTTCCTCGTCGGGTTTCGCTCGGCGGCTTTGCAGCTTGCAGTCTCCTCATAACTGAAGTCTGACTTGAGGCAGCTGTCAGATTTCTCAAGTCTGCGCAACTATCAGAAATGGTCTGGTCTCTGGTCGTCATCTTCGTACTACTGGGGCTGCACAGCTCTCACAGCGGTAAGCGTAGACCATATTTCCATATTATACTGACATTCTTGCGTCATAGTTGCCGGTCAATCCTCCAGCGAGTCTGTATACACTATTCAGACATCCCCACCGAATCCCTTCGATGCGGCTTCTTCAATATCAGGATCTGGTACTTCTCAATCAGGTTCTGGCTCCGTCACGGCTTCAATGACCAGTTCTAGCGTGACCAATGCTGCACCGACGGGTTTCCCTCAGGAATGTTCGGGCAATTGCACGATCGTAGCTGAGGCCTTGAAGGTCAGTCTGATCGAACTCTCTAACTCTTCAACTCTTCAAAGGACATATCAGGACTCCTCTGGAGTCCACTTACAGCTGGAGATCCGCCTCCCTGTGCTGCTCATTCCCACATAAAGCCATCATCTGATGCATGTGGAAAATCTGCTGACGTTTGCGCCCTGCAGCAATGTAATGTGTCTAGGAGCTTCAACGCAACATGTCTTTGTACGACGGAGATTGAGTCGGGATACGTGAGTGGCTTCCTATCATTCATCCAAGGCAATCCAATTTGATCGCCTGCCGTCTGCAGTTGAGTTGTGTCGAATGCGCATTGGCAGTAAGTCATTCGACAAATGTCGCAACGTTTCAAGCTTTGGTCAACGGTACGTGGGACATCGTGACCTCTTGACAATGATCTGTCTGACCTTTCTCACCTTCCATCAGCCTATATCGATCAATGTAAATCAGCCCCGTATGCCGCTACCACACTCCCCAACGTCACCGTCACTCTGCCCATGACGGGCTCCACATCCGCCTCACAATCGTCATCCACTTCAACGGCATCTTCGCAAGCGCAGATGTCCTCCTCTGGCTCTACATCAGCTTCTAGCCAAAGTGCAGTCGGGACCAGTGCAGCTGCACAGACTTCCGGTGGAGCATCACACCAATCGACACTGCTACCAGCCATCGGAGGCACTCAAGTGGCGGCGTTAGTCTTATCTATTGTCGCAGGCGGACTTGCTATCCTCCTATAAGAGCATGATAGCATCTCTCTTGCCCATCTTGTCAGCTCTATGAGTGCCCCTTTGGCACATCCTCATAACCATGTATCCCATTATAATGTCGCAGACTGGGTGGCGTCATCCTGACGCGGGGCACCAAGAAAATCGGCCGGAATCCCCGGAACCTTTTAACCGTTGACACCGCTTAAACGGCCTCCTGCCACTTGCAGCCTCAACTCTTCGCATTCCTCTCCAACGAGAGTGAACTACGGACTCTGTTGCTTACACTCATTGACATCTCAGACTTCAGTGGACAGTATGAGGTCCCCCCTGTTTCCTCTTCTGCTCACTGCCAGCGGACTCGCTGCGGCAGTGCTCGCTTTCGCTCCGCCTCAAGGATACTCTCCCGTTTCTCCATTCAAGGGTGACCCAACCCCCATGAACCCGTATGAGACGTTTGTGGACCACTGTGGGTAGATAGATATCTTGTGGGGATGGAAAGAAACTGAATCGAATCCAATAGTTTCCTCTCATCGTCCAGGCACCGATACTTACCTCTTGGATCAATTTAGACGGATGTATCCCAACTCGAGCGTCACCGTCTCTCAGGATTACCTCTTCAATCTCTTCGGTTACGCTGCGGCTCATCCTGACAAGATCATCTTGAAAGAGATGGATGAAGTGCAGACGATAAAGTCAGAGATCTTCATTCCAGCTATGAGTAGACGAGATGGGGAAGGTCGATTAGTAGAGAATGTCCTCTTCGCTGGGTATCGAGTCGCGTTCGGGAACCAAGAGATGATCATTTACACAGCTTCGGTGAGTCCAACTTTGCAGCAGCAAAAAGCTATGGCTGAGCGCCTTACCTACATAGTGGCCCGAAGGATTCGGTAGACTCCGAGAATGGTTCATCATCAGTGACGGAGAGCCTGTGGCCAGGAAACTGTTGCACGACGTGTCAGTTTACGCCAGTACATTCTCCGAGGCCGTCCTAGTCTTCGATCAGGGCTTCTGGAGACCGGACCATAATCTTTGGATGGAAGTTCAGAAGGTGGGCACGGCATAAAGCCTCATCAAGCTCATGTTGCAGGCTTCTTGGGGCGAAGTCATCCTCGACGAAGGCTTCAAACATCGCATTCAAGCTGATTACCGGTCATTCTTCAAGAGTGAAAAAACCTACAAGGACCTCGCTGTACCTTGGAAACGAGGACTCATCCTCATCGGTCCCCCCGGCAATGGCAAGACGGTCAGTGTCAAAGCCATCATGAAAGATGTCAAGGTTCCTGCGCTCTACGTCAAGAGTCTGCATAGTGAGTATCTTGAAAGTCTTGCAGGAATCGCTCATCGTCTAAGGTTATGGTGGAGATGAATTCGGTGAGATGGCCGGAGAGTCGACATCTTAAGAGGACTATGTGCTGACCATTTGCTTTCAGCAATCCGGGCGATGTTTGAGCGGGCTCGTCGAGAGGCGCCTTGCGTCCTGATCATGGAGGATTTGGATTCACTTATCAACGATATGAACCGATCGTTCTTCTTGAACGAGGTTGATGGGTTGGAGGACAATGACGGTCTATTGATGGTTCGTCCATCGTCTTTCCAATCCGTCTCTTGGCTAACAGCCTACATACAGATCGCCACGACCAACCACTTTGACAGGCTTGACCCCGCGCTTTCTAACCGTCCCTCGAGGTTTGACCGAAAATAGTGAACAATATGATGATCCCCTTGGCACGCACTTACTCCGTCCCATAGCACGTTCCAAGATCCCAGCGAATCCGAGCGAAGGCAATACGCTGTCTGGTGGCAGAACAAGCTCAAAGACAACAAGGATATCATATTCCCAGATTCTCTTCTGGACAAAGTGGCCCGCGAGACTGAAAAGTTTTCTTTCGCATACATGAAGGAGGCATTGTGAGTGGATATAACCCTTCTACGCTGACAAGTATCCAGCGTCTCTGCCCTCCTGACCCTTGCGGAAGACGACGATGCGCCAGAACACGGATCTCAGTTCCCGACTGTCTTGATGGAGCAGATCAAGTTTTTGAAAGATCAACTGGATGGGGATTCCATGGCGGCATCCTGGTCACGAGATGCAGCAAAGTATGTGGAGACGGACGATGGACCATTCTTCGACTTCAACGGCGGTTCTGAAGATATGATGCGTGCTGAGCCGATGGAAAGATACGAGGAGCCTGGAAGACAGAGAGTATTCGCGCCTCCTGGTCTGCGGAGGGAAGTTATAGTGAACTAGAGAGCGGAGCAGATGGCGCAGCGATAAGAGTCGATAAGCTTAGGACTTTAGGTGGTCACTCTTTAAATAATCAAGTACAATCATCTATGAAAGGGAGGCCGCAGACATTTTCAATCATGAAATTGGAGACCAGCCCGGACGTCCCCCTATGGAGTTCCTACCAAGCCATCCTAGCCAGCATTCCCTTGGGATGCTTTCGTACAAAATACTTTCTCGTCTCGTCCAGAAACAACAGTCCAATAGCGAATGTCAAAGGAATGAATACGTGCTCCACAGGGACACCCTGAGTAGTTCATGGTCAAACTCAGAATAGTCGTCATCACCTGATGACACTCACTCTGGTCAGAAAAGTGTTCTGGAAGAAAGGCACGTAACTGAAAAAGAATAGAGACACGATAGAAACGAGCATCGCCGGAGTGATCCACCAGTTCTGACTGGAGGGATTGAGAGAGAAGGATTGTGTTGAAAGATAGCGAGTCTTCTCGTCCTTGTTGAGAGGAGATTACCCGATTGCATGAAGACGAGGGTGAAGAAGTAGCTGAAAAATTGAAAGTCAGAAGATCGTTCCGGGGAGACTGATCAAAGACTTACACGGATTGTGCTTGATTCACAGCCTCGTTGAAATCGTCAACGTTGTAGCTCGCTGGCAGGCCTCCATACGCCAGTACGCTAAGAGAGTGTAAGCTTGTGTTTGTGTGCTTGGTGTCGTTGTTTGAGGCAGGTGTTGTGGACCCCAGACTGACATTTCAGAAAACTTGTAGCCCTTCTTTTCCAGGTACCAGAACGCCATTCCCGATGCACAGAGACTTTCCAGAACTCCCATGAAGAAGTATGCTTGAAGCAACAGCTTCCAATCGATGAGGCGATCCTTCTTTCTATCCCTCGGTTGACGAGTCATCACGCCTGATTCGGGTTTCTCGAAGCACAAGGCGATAGCTGGTGCAATGTCGGTCACGGTACAAATCAGGATCACTTGGATGTTAGAGAGAATCTGAGGGAGACCGAGGAGGACATTTAGGAGGACCGGCATCAGCTCAGAAAAGGATCCAGCGGGTAAGAGGTACAGGCAGTCTGTGGTACGTCAGCACGGTCTGAAGGCAAGTCCTGATGTGCTCGCCTTTCTCAGGTTGTCAAACACAGTCCGACCGTATTCTACAGCAGTGACAATGGAGGCAAAGCTGTTGCAAGGTCAGGTGATGAGTCCGAAAATCTGCAGCCACCTAGACTGACGATTCGAGCAAGACCAGATCTGCCGCTTCAATCGCCACGTCGCTCCCTCCACCCATTGCGATTCCAATATCGGCGGCCTTGAGACTCGGTGCGTCGTTGACACCGTCGCCAGTCATTCCGACTGTGTTGCCTCGTTTTTGGAACTCTTTGACGATTCTCAATTTTTGCTCCGGTGAAGTCCTGGCAAAGACCACTTCCTCATACTGGCATGCTTGATCCCACTGATAATCATTCATTTGCATGAGATCGAAACCGCTGAGGACCAGAGATCCGACTGTATGGTGGTCTCCGCCCTCTCTTGCTTTTTCTGATCCCTCGGCTGAAGCACTGACGCCATCGACCGATGTTGGCAAGTCGGCAAAGTGTCGAGCACTTGGTGCATTCGAAACGATTCCACACTTCTCAGCGATGGCCAGAGCGGTGAGCGCGAAGTCTCCGGTAACCATCATCACTCGGATCCCTGCTCCTCGGAGCGTCTTGACAACTTCTGGGATCTCCTCACGGGGCGGGTCGACCAAGCTCAAGAGGCCGACGGCAGTGAGTTCGTGGTTCAATTCGGCGCGAGCACCACCACATCCGAAGGCAACAGACCGGCAATGGAAGCCGTCACTCGGCTAGTCGAAAAGTCCTGCCAGGCGTTGAAGAGCGTCTGAATGACCACCACGATGATGAGAACGACAGCGAGCGCGAGATTGGAGGCTGAGGGATCTGGCTCGCCGAGAGGTTTCCTGGTAGATATAAGCGTGGTCGAGATTGATGATAGGGTACGTACCAAGCGATGGAGCACAATACGGATGCGAGGAGGAGCAAAGAGCCAAAGCCGAAGAAGATGTATGACAAGAGCCTGAACGAAGGTCAGACGACAATGCCCGGAACAGGAGGCTCTCACTTGAGAAACCAGTTTTCCGCCTTTGAGTGAGTTGATTCGGACCGTACCGCTTCAATTTCTTTTCCACTTGCGATGGATCTAGGCCGATCTTTTCGCTCACGTTGAGAGCGTTGAGCACTTCGTCGGTCGTCTTGGTATGCCAATCTAGCTCGGCGACATCCCTCGCCGCATCTGGTCTCGCCCGGGTCTCAGGCTTCGCATCGTCAACGTGCATCGAAAGCGTCCTGAAGACCGTCAGGACAAATAGCTCATCCTGAGATGGAGGTGGGAGCTCACCTGAACTCTCCAATGACGCGACTAGGGGCATCAGCTTGAGGTTGACGAGTCATGGAGATGGAGTTGTGTCGCTTGAGTCGCGTCGTTCTGGGTTGTCTTTCTCTTCCGCGGTGTTCTGGACTGTCTTGCATCGTCAAAGTCCTATCGTATCGATAGCCAACCATGGCTGGCGAGTCGAACATCTGCTTTTCAACGTCAGGTTCTATCTTCGTGTCGGATGATGGCATCTTGAGGCGCCACTCGACTAGAGAATAGACGCAGCGAGGTCAGAGCTAGACGGATCGCAGGTATGGTACCGAATGAGATATATCAGCATCGCTATTTATACGAGCCCCTAAGCTTCTAATGGATCCGCTGGTACACGAGGATCTTGTTGGATAGTTACGCTGAAGCAGGGTCAGCAAGTCTATTGGCAATCAGATCTAATCAGCCAAGAGTATAGTCGTGAGTGGGTAAAATAACTCATTGCATTCGTTTCACAGCACTGGTCCCGCGGTTGCAAGTGAGGGCATACCACATGGAAGGCACACATAGTTACACGCTCCTTGTCAGCACTCCCGAAAGAGCGCATAGACCATTTAGAGCTAGATCGAAAGGCTGGGTCAAGGTACGTATGCGATGGCTTGAAATCGCGCAATCCTCGGGGGGAAAAAGAGAACGAAGCGTCAGAATATAGTATCAATTGTCAATGAGTGAATAAGAATTGCCGCTCCTATTTGCGGATCTGATGGGTAGGCCATTGACGCGTTGTGTGTGAACAGAGGCAGCGACGTCTCTTCTCATCTTTACCGTTTCCGAGTTGATCGACTTGAGTGAGGCCAGCACGAGGGCATTTCGTTATGTCTCAGCCCGGATATCCCACGTGTTTGTTGAACTTACGTAATGGCTTCCATCAGCGACCGGATCCGTTCATTTCTGAAAAATGAGTTGAATGAACGCTTTGTGAAGGCCAATTGACACCTATCATCTTGCCAAGCGACCTCAGTGGATCAGCTAGAACAAAGTCTGGAGGATAGGGACGACTTTCACTACTTAGCAGAAGTTTTGAGACCCATCAGACCATCATGGCCCGCGGAGGAAGAGGTGGCGCGGTATCATCTCGTGGTAGAGGGTCCGTTGTCGTTTGCTCTATTTAACCCATTGTTCGTTGACTAACTCATGTCCAGGAAATGGAAGGTCACTCGTGGTGGTGGACGTCACTTTTCGAGAGACCTGGACCCTAGGGATATTCTGAGGGGCAACCGACCTGCTGGATCGGACGACGAGGAAAATCCAGAGGAAGAGGATTCAGACGAAGACGATGAGGAGGACGGAGAGGAGGATCAGCCAGAGATGAAGTTGTCAAAAGAGATGGCAGCTATGAACTTGAAGTTGGGCAATACGGAAGAAGTGGCGAATCCTGAAGAAGATGGAGAGCCAGAAATGTCTCGTGCGGAGAGAAAAGCATTGAAGAAGGCTCAAGCGGAGGCCAAAACAAAGAAATCGGTCAAGATCAAGGAGGAGAGTGATGAGGATGAGGATAGTGATGAGGAGAGTGCGGAGGAGGAAGCGCCGAAAGCTAAGGGCAAGGCCAAGTCAGCTGCTCCGGTCGAGATGACTAGGAAGGAGAGGTACGGTACACCGTCGGCTTTCGACCCATACGTGACGCTGAATTTTTGGACTTTAGAGAAGCAGCGGAGAAGAAGGCCGCGGCTGAACGTTATGCTAAGCTTCACGCTCAGGGTGAGTCTTGCGCTTTTTGGCCAATGGTGTACATGGCTGATCCCGTTCCCAGGCAAGACACAAGAGGCAAAGACTGACTTGGCCCGATTGCAAGAAGTCAGACGGAGAAGGGAGGCCGCTGCCGCCCAGAGGCAAGCCGAGGCTGACGGTGAGTTCATGGCGGACTAACGTGGCGAATTATCGACTGATCGTCCTCGCAGAGGCAGCCAAGGAGGCCGAAGCCAAGAAGGCCAAGGCGGCTGGCAAGACCCGTTGAGAGGGTCTGGAGCGTGAGGTCTCTCGCTCGGAACCCCTTATTTATGTTGTGTGACATATCATTCGTTGCATCTCATCCATCCCTTCTAAATCAGCTCGAGATCTCGTACCATCTTGACATGAGGCGCTTGGCAAGCGTCAGAGTCGATGCCCAAACCTTGCACTCACCTCCATCCTCGTCGAACTCCTCCCCGACCTGTTCGTAACCCATCTTGACGTAAAACGGAATCGCGTACATCTTTCTTCAGTATAAGCGGGAATAAGATTCGCTCACTTGAGCATTGAGCCAAAGATGGACGTGCTCTTTACCATTGACCTCCTTTGCAGTCTTCAGTTCTGACCGCTTGTCCACGGAAGTCGACTTGACGTGCTGGTGCAACTCGTCCATCAATACTCGACCGAATCCGTATTTCCGATACTCTTTCGCTACGACCAGTCGAGCAACTTTCCCCACGGAAGGATTCCATCGGATGGTCCCTATAGGCTTTTGTGATGTCGAAGCGGAAGAAGGCTCCAGAGATGGGGTGAGAGATGCGGTTGATTCGGGTGGAGGGGATGAGACCGGCGTAGTCAGTAAGAGGTGTGTTGCAGTCTTGTCATAGCTGTGATGGGATCAGCTGCTCGCCGAAGACCCTCAGCTCACTCGTCTATCTCAACGTCCAATGGGAACCCCTTGGAGAAACGGATCAGCAAGCGGTGTCACTGGGCATCCGCCGAGCTGAAACAGAAACCAACCTGCTCAACAACGAAGACTTGAACGTCGATCAGTTCCCGGGCGCAAGACGCGACGCGGTGCGGCGCGGACGGTCGACTCACCTTCTATACGGATATCATAGCATGCTTCGATCTCGTCCTTGGTCTCAGCGACCTTGATATTGAACCGCGGTCTATCAGATTTGCTCATGGCGGTCGAAGCTGACTGGCAGTCAACTTGGCAGATCTATCCATATATATACCTTATTCTGTTTTGCGGTTCATGCCGCCGGCCAATCGCAATTGAACCGTCATGGCTGCTCTTCGGGTCAATGACACTTTTGTCATTTAACATTTGCATGGGATGCGCATAGCATCCTCATCATGGTGGCTGCTCCTGCCATGTCTGGTTCAGCTTCTGAGCTCAGATCTCGTGAGGGGAATGACGATCAATCGGAGGATAGAGCTGAGGGAAGAGGTCCGAGAGGTTTGTCGATCATCCTCAGGCGTATTCTGGTGATGCTGATCCATCTACAGATGTTCAAGCATGGGTTCGAGGGTTACATGACACACGCTTATCCAGCGGTATGTGATACTAGGGCTTCTTTGCGTCTGATACACCTCAGGATGAGCTCAAACCGCTGAGCTGTATCCCTTCGTACCGCGATCCAGATGTCGGTAACTTTGGAATCAACGACATCCACGCCAATGCTTCAATGACACTGCTGGATACTCTGTCGACCCTGCCAGACATCTTACCGCAAGAGTTTCCAGGGGCTCTGGAGAAGGTCGCCAAGGGTATTTCGTTCAATCAGGACGTGAAAGTCCAGGTGAGCGTGCAAAATATCGTCCGTGCTCTGGCCAGAGAAAACTGACGTGATTCGCCACGATTTAGGTATTTGAGATGACCATCAGAGCTCTTGGAGGCCTGCTATCAACGTATCAGTATCTCGAAAGCCTTCCTGTAGCTCCACAAGATCAGGCGAAAACTCTCGGACTCAAACAACGTGAAGTCGATGTCAAAGTGTTTCAACCTCGGATACTGGAGCTAGCCCTGGATCTCGGCGAGAGACTGTTGCCTGCATTTCGGACAAGCACAGGTATACCGTTTGCTCGCGTCAATTTGAGATATGGTGTCGAGGCGGGGGAAAGTGAAGAGACTTGTGAGAAAATACATTATTGTTGTTGTTCACGCTAATCTAGCTGCAGGCACAGCGGGTGCAGGTAGTCTCATCTTGGAATTTGGAGTGTTGTCGCGCTTGACAGGGGACCGGCGTTTTGAAGTGAGTATTTGACCGTCACCATGTGTCTCACGCTCACCCGCGCCTCAGGATGTGGCGAGAAAAGCCTACCAAGCAGTATGGGACCGAAGGTCGCCTCACAATTTACTGGGCAATACCATTGGCGCCGAGCATGGACAATGGCTGGCACCCGGAATGAGTGGGATCCAAGCAGGCATGGACAGTTATTTCGAATACGCTATCAAAGGAGCTATACTACTGGGTACGTTTACATTCTCGACCATCTGCGATCAACCTGAGACCCGACTCCAGGAGACGACACGTATCTTGATATATTCGACGACGCTTACGCAGCTATACAAACGTTTGTACGAACCAATGACGGCTTCATCGTGAGGCAAACGGGGAAGACTCATAGCTGATACCCACAGTATCGACCTGTACAATTTCGGACGCTTCAAATCGCAGCACCGTCCACTGTGGACTCTCTTTCTGCCTTTTTCGCTGGCGTGCAAGTCCTAAATGGGGATCTAGAGTCTGCGATCCGAAACCACTTGGTTCACTGGAATCTCTGGCGTCGTTACAGCGGCTCGCCAGAGAGCTGGACTTGGAGCAATAGAGATCTGCATTGGACGGGCTGGCCTGGTCGACCAGAATTTGTTGAATCGACTTATTACCTGTATCAGGTGAAATGCGGATAGCCCCAATGACTCGAGCTCCGACTGACGATGCTTCTCCAGGCGACTCGTGATCCATTTTATCTTCGAGTTGGAGAACGAGTCCTCGAAGATATCCAGGAACGAGTCCGCACAAAATGTGGTTTTGCGACCATGAAGGATGTGGAGACTGGCGAGGCAAGTCGATGCGCGTGTAGAGTAGGGTGGACTGACTCTCACCTAGCTGGATGACCGCATGGAAAGCTTTGTCCTTTCTGAGTTGTTCAAGGTGAGGAGCATAGTTCTTGACATGGCTAAACGGCAGTATCTGTACCTCTTATTTGACCCTTCCGAGGCTGAATCACCGACCAACCGCGTTTTCTCCACCGAGGGACAGACTTTGTCCCTGCCTCCATCACTTTGTCGACCCACGCGTCATGGAAGCCCTAGCGTCAAGACGCCCGGGCGTACATGTCCAGCCTACGTCCCCCCGACGCTCAACGGACTCACGGTCGGCATCGAGCAGCGACTCGATTACGAGTATGCCAGGACCATCGTCTATGGTCCAGGCGTCAACGGTCGAGCAGAGGAGACCGGCAATGTCCATTGGTCAGAGAGTGGATTCTGCGTTGTACCTAGTGCACCGCGCTATGTGAGTCTTGCTGGACCCGAAACTGTCTGACAATGACAGAGCGTCGACATTGTTCTGGCTCCTATGAACGCTTCCAGCTCCGAACAGCAACCCGCCCCACCTCAAATAGATGACATGAACGCTTTTCTGTCGACGAGATTGACCCAACATCCTACCTCCGGTGATTTTCTCCTCTCGGATGTGTCTGGCGTGCACATGACCGTCCGATGGCGTCACGATAACACCGGGTACGATATTGCGACGAGTGAGCATGCGGGGCGTGGGCTTGTCCGTAATCTGACCATCCCCTCCCAGTCGGCCCTCATAGAGTCCTCCCGGGTCAATCGGTCATCGTGTCTGATCCTTTAATGGAGGGTTTCCTGCCGATGCCGGATCCAGCCGCGAATGAAGTCGAGTTTGTGGACACACACCCGCCCGCTGAAGTCATCATGCGGTTTTCCTTGCTATCTGGGAAAGAAAAGCAAGTGATCCTCCATGCTGCCGGCTCGACGGCGACTTTCGGTCGAAAGTTTGCAGAGAGCGGATCCAACAATTGGGGTCTAGGAGGCGGTCCTGTGCGATTGATCCTTCCTCCTAATACGGACCCTTCAGGCTGTCAACGACTCGGACGACCACACAAGTCTGTCCCGGAGCCATATGTGTTCCTACTCCAAAGGGGTGATTGCACCTTTTTCGACAAGCTTGTGCATGCCCAGAAAGCCGGTGCAGTTGGTGTACTAGTGTACGACGAACCTCCATCTGGAATGGCTGGAAAAACTTTGCCTCTACTCGCCATGGACGAAGCCATACTCATTCGACCTTCCTCTGGAGAAGAGCCTGCAGATCTGGTCAAAGCGACGGAAAACACCGGCATGGTTTTCACTACCTTTATCGTTGGCGAGCTTATCAAGCGGATGATACAGGTGGAAAGCAAGGTCTTAGGCGTGGAGTTGATGCCGGTGGATGAGGACATGTTAGGGAGCTCATTGAGTACGGCTGGACAAACTGTACTGGGCAGTAAAGTTAAAAAGGAAGTGGGACCAAGAGAAGGAAAATTGGCTTTGGGAGAATGGGTTATTTGGAATCTCAAGATTGTCGACAGACCTCCGTAAGAGTGTATCGTTATTATGTCAAGGAGTTGAGCGGGAAGTTCTGTCATTCATCTCGATGGGGAATGGGCGGCGCTGTCGTTCGGACCAAGTCTTCAATTTCCATCCTCCCCTAGGGAAACCACAGCACCATCCTTTGTTCAATATCATCTTCTCCCATCAATCCCGCTGCAAAGGACCCAGATCTTCTTCTAGGCCTCTAGTTTTGAGACTTTGTCTAAAGGCAGCCCGAGCCTACTTTGCAGAAATCATGACCTTTTGTGTCTTGAGAGCTTCGTTCACACGCTTTGGCACTGCAGTAACGACAGGACCTTTCGTGGTAGGCTGAGGCTCCGAAGCGTTGCAGGAGGTTCCAAGAAGCAGACTTTGCGACTGTTTCTTCGCAAATTCAGTCACAGAGGAGCGACAGCGGCAGCGACCGACCGACCCTCCCTTGAGGGCGGGGCTCGAAGGCGAGATCATGCCTAACGTTGTTAATGTGACTCTGGATAACGTCGATCCAAACATCAAGTACTCTGGGAATTGGAACGGGAATGCTGCGGGAGGTGAGTAAATGCCCTCGCGAGGAAGTGGTCCCCTGACTTGCCCCAGACCGGTTTTACGCTTCGTACTACGATCAGACGTTCCAATCTTCAGGCGCGGACGGAGACTACTTTGAGTTCAGCTGGACAGGCGGTGATGTGTTCCTGTACGGTGGCTACGGGTCAGAGTGAGTGATGTTAGGAGCGAAGCAAGACTGACAGGAATTCCAACAGCCACGGATACTATTCGTTGATAATGGATGGTGGTGACAAGATCTACGCCAATGGGTATTCGGACCCCGGGGCCGCTAGACAGCTTATTGGCGCATCTTCTGGATATCCTTACGGTCAGCACACTGTCAGATTGACGAATGAGAATCAGTACAATCCGACGGAAGGGAGAACGCTCCTTGATCTGGATTACATCGTCGTGGAGCTCGACCCGGAGGCTGATGATGGAGGTGCGACAACATCCTCGACGGCCACCACAACGACGAGCACTGCGCCTGTGATCAGTGCATTGCCAAGTACCACCCGTCAGGTAATCGATGGGGCGATGGAATCGCAGACTGCTCTGCGAATCACGTCCAACTCCGTAGCACCGCCACCATCCACCACGACAGGCATCACTTCGTCATCCTCTTCGCCCACCGCGTCTGCTCCTTCACATACGTCCTCAATCTCCTCCGCCGCGTCGAGCGCCCCCGTAGGCTCTCGCCTCCCAGCCGTTGGGGGACCTCACATTACCGTTCAGCCAGGCTCTGAGACTGTCCCCATCGCCGTAGGAAGTGGCACCCCGTCTTTCTCGTGAGTCGTACATCACTCCGCGCTCAAACTTCCAATTGACTGCCTGCATTGCGTCTAGTCCCGTTGCTATTCCGACGGACCACGTCTTATCTGGTCCTGCTCGTGCTGCCAGTCTTTCTCCTTCTCTATCCGCGTTGATGGCCATCATATTGGTCACCTGGGCACTTGGTGCCTCGCCGCATGGATGAACGCAAGGAAAGATTTCTAGAGTTTGCTCCGACCGAGAGCAGCTGTAGCGCTCGCAGAGACTTGCCCGCGGAACACTGCTCAAATGGCCTTATTTGGTGACCCCTGATGGTGGGGTCTCAGTCTCGCCCGCTCATCCCGAAATCCATCGTGGCATATCAGATGGTGAGACAATCGTCACCGCATGGCTCTCAAAATCTGCTCTTCCCATCATGATCGGATCGCGATCCCAGCCCCGAGCCAGCCGTGCCAAGAGCAATATTCCCGTAAAAGGGATGCGTGGGTAAGGCGCGTCTCGGGAACCTTTGTTACCACTTGCGACTTCAAAACTAGTCCATTTGTCAACTGTTGAGATGCGTTGGAAACACTGCCAAAGAAGACTTTCGACTCCCACGATCCCCCGCCTCCCCGGGGCGTCACCGCCAGCTCGTCGATCCAAGACTCTTCGTTCCCGATCTTGACACTGGCGCAGTCACATCCCGTCAAAAGGTCTTGGCGTCAACTTTGGGAGCCGAACAACATTGTAGACGGTAAGGTTCAACAATACAACAGACTGTTACCAGGTACCTATCCAATGGAGAATCGCTGGCGTACTAGGTGAAAGTATACGTATCTCGGTTCAGATGGAAAAAAAAGAGAAGGAGAACGGCCGAGATGAATAATAACAATATCGTCCGCGGATTCTCACACGCCACTGCGAGCGAGCGAGCGCGCAGGGGAGGGGTGTGGGAATAACAGGTTAGCGAAGTAGGCCGAGGCGCAGTTCAACACTGCAAAGAATGGTTCTATACTTCCCACCTTGGTTAGTGCGACCAGTATGAAGGAAAATCAATCCACAGCTCCGCTCCACCTCTCGAGTGTGAGATGTGAGAGAATCATGACGAATGGGAACAGGCGGTGGGGTGGGGGAGCGGACATTCGTTCCGCTGTCTCTACAAGCCACATTGAGGGGCCAAAATCGATCGACGAAACGCCATCGTGTCACTTAGATGCATGTTCGTCGACTTGGAATGGGATGTTGCTCAATGGAAAGTTCATAGATAAGGCAGCAAGCATAATGACATGGAAAGCGTAAAGCTTGCAGAGGATGGCTTGGGTGGCGAGAAAAGGGCTCGGCCAAGCGTATATGCCTCTGTCTGTCCATCCTTTTTTCTGTGTTCCCTTAAGGGGGACGGCACTTTTGCCACCCGATGTGAAACCTATCTCCTCCTCCCCGGCCCGAGCTGAGACTATCGATGTCGTGCGTCACCACCCGCCGATTGTTTGAGTGTTCCAGCGGAATAGATGCCAGGCAGGCCAGGCAGGCCAGGCAGCAACCAACCACGAGAAGGAACGAAAGCGGGGAACGGGGAGGAGGTGTAGTAGACGCTGCGACGTACGCCTGGTAATGTTCTCCTCGGCCTCCTTGCCCCCCCCCCCTGAAGTATATTAAAAGTTGGAGAAAAAAACTTTAAAGACATTTCTGACGTGATTTTCACAGGATGAATTGATTTATTTGGTCGCAGGCGAAGGGCGAGGTATGTGATGGCCGTCGTGGTGATGGTGGTCCCCAGCATATGGGAAAGAGCTGCCGCCGATGCTGATATCACACAGATGGCATGGAGAGATCTGAGACTTGCCCTCTGAATGTGCAAAAAAAAGTTGCAGGTCCGGGAAAATTCCTGATCTTCATCCGTCTCTCTCCGCCTCCCGACCGAGCAAGTGGAGAGAGGGATGGTAAGAAGAAACGATGACGGTCACTTGACCGGGTCGCCTTCGCAGGTCGTAGTGTCGAATTTCCACCTGTCGCGTCAGACGAGACACTTCTTCTGCCCCCCCGAGAGAGAGGATACAGGGCGGAGCTGTGGGCCATGTACGACTCTGCATGGGACATGGGTCATGGGGGGTGTATCCATTGGAATTCTTAGGAATGATAAATAAACAGCAGCAGACATGGACCTTGCATCGAGTTACGCGCAGTCATAGTTTTTAACGTTTTCCCTTTGCCCATCATTGAATTGAAGCTCGCTCCTATATCGGCTTGAAAGAGATCTACCTTTTTGTCGATCGTCTCTCATCTGTACGGCACAGTACAGACTTCTGTCAGGAAGAATTAACCGTAGACTTTCGGCAGCGAAAGGGCAAATTCACGGGACGCCACCACCACCACCACCACCAACGCCAGATATTATCTGCAGTAGCCACCACCACCAACCACCATTGGGGTAGGGTAGTAGACGAGGCAATCGAGGACCAGTCACGCCTCACCTTTTTTTTCGCTTGTCTCGACCTTTTCCATCCTCCATTCTGCTCACGCCATTCAATCGCTCGTTGAGTCATTACTTTCCATTCCCATACATACCCATCTTTCACCTTTCGACACGGAGCTAGCTAGCTCTGCTTTGCTTTGCGTTCGTTCGTCTCTTACACCGCACTCACGGCCGGTCAACATTACCGCAATATTAGGCGTTTACCGTGGACCCACGAGGTGCCAATTGGTATTCCACGGCAAGCAGAGATCGTGACCCTTCTTGGGTCCAAAGTCCCCCAGAAGGAGTAATAAACATAATAACCATTCATTTAACCAATCGCCAATTCGGGGATACGGAGCGGACCAAGCACACAGTCTACAACTTGGTGGAGGAAAGTCGACACCTCGTGCGTGCACGAGTCGCCGTGGGACACAGTCTAGCATAGCAGGAAGAGAAGGGAAAGCGGTTCTTGTACGAATCAAGCCAACATTCGGTTTCCGCCAACCACCCAAGAGTCCAATATTAGCCAAACCTTTTTCCATCGGGATAACTACAGACGCGCTGCCGACTAGTTGTCTCTCGCATTCCCTCATTCTCTCCACCCCGCCCGCGCCCCCGCCCTCCGTCCTAAATATCCAATCCATATCCATCATTCATCAACTTTGACTTTCAACCTTTGCATCGTGAAGTGTGGATCGACAGACACAAGGTATCTTTTGGTCGGGTGAGTTCCAGTGATTCAGCGATTCAGAGAGGCGAAGAGTGCCTGCATAGAGAGTGAACGTATGAGAGAGTGAGAGAGAGAGAGTATACGCAAGCAGAGGTGGCCCCCCCTGGCTCTCCTCCAAATACCAGGGTTTCTTTTTAGGGGCATATACGCCTCTCCGGTCTACGCCCCTTTTCGTAATGTGTCGTCGTCGTCGTCGTTGTGCGTTTGCTTTGCTTGCTCCCTTTTCCGCCGCAAATATTGCGTTATATTCTTTCATTCAAAAGTCTCATCATCCCTCCCTCCTCCTCCTACTCTATACATGCCTTCGTCATGCGGCAAAGAGGCAACATCGAGAGAGTAGTGGAGTGGGAGTGGGATCATATCCAAAGTTGAACGGCTCTCATACCTCAGATACATCTCCCCCCCCCCCCCTCCCCCTTCTCTCTCTCACGCTCAGCCCCGTCGATGACGACCCAAATGCTGATACATACCACGGCAGCTCGGTTCCCCGCAGCGGTCGGCACGATATATTGACTCCCACCGCTATATTATAATTCCGGACGCTGTTCCTGTGTGTCTCTCTGTGTGTGCCTCGGCTTCATCGATCCCCCCTCCCTTCTTCCTCTTGGCCTTCACACGCCTCGGTAGCCCATCCATTCATTTCCATCCATTCAGATCGACCAGGACAAGTATCTCCCTTCAAAACGTCATTCCGCTGCCCTCTTCCGCTGCCCTCTTCGTCCTTTCACTTGCCAATCAACAACAGTGTTTGATGGATAACCTTTGTATTTGATCAGGCGTTCATCAACAGAAGGTCCTGTTCTTTCATCTACACATTGGGATTGGCACCGTGATCGACCTTTGCACTCCGTCGCGTATACTTGGTAGGGCAGGTGTACAGGGGTTGATTCATTCAAATCCCTCGGCCCCATTTCCGCAAAATACTTGCTCGATCCGCCCACCGCGATATTGTTATTCTCAGCCCATCATGTCGCTCACCTCTTCTCCACCTGCGCTCGACCCTCCCTTTCGTGGATACATTGAAACAACGTTCGATGCCCTGCTGGTCTTCGAAGCCGCTCGCCGCGGAATGATTCCACGTGTGACCAGACGGTTGATTGAACGGGAGCGCGGAATGGTCCAAAGCGGAGCAGTGTTTGTCTTCGATGAACATGAGAGTGGGATCAAACGGTGGACAGATGGTCTAGTTTGGAGTCCAAGTAGGATATTAGGCAACTTTCTGGTGAGTGTGTACCCGAGTGACTATACTGATCCGCTCGAAGGTCTATCGGGAGACGGAGAAGCGTTCTAATCAACCCCCAACACCGATATCGTCAGGTCACAATACCTCTCCTATACAAAGCTCCCCTTCCATCGACCAGAACTCCAGATTAGGTCCAGGCCTGAACATCGCCATCAAGTGGGTGTCGTTCGTCCGATTCAACCTTCATCTGAGCTAACGCCTCCTGCCACAGAGAAGAACCATCAGCTTTCGGCCACGGTGCTCTGCCCAGACCGCGGAGTGCATCAGATGGAGGCTCCAATTTGGACAGACAGCGAGAGAGGCAACTGGTCGGGAGTCTGGTCAACAGTAGCAAATTCAAAGACCGTGGACTGGTCAAAAAGGTGAGACGATCCCTTCATGATGCTCTGCAATTGCTGACGCAGATCGCTTCAGACGATGTCGGTGACTGTCAACGGATTCGCCCAGCACATGATCTCCTACTATACCATGGAGGACGTCATGAGTGGACGTCTGAGGTCACCTTCAAGCATACCCGAGTTGGCCTCATTGGAGATTTCCCCGGAATACTTGCACAAGCAAAACTTCAGGTTCCCACCGATGATTGAAGTCGGAGCGGATGGTATTCCAAGATACAGGTGGGTATTCTTTTCTGAGAACCAAGATTCGGATTTCGATTCACCTTGACTTGGATCGTCATTTGTTCTTCTGCGAAACTCCTCGCCCTTTTGACTTCTTCTGCTTTCATGCACTTTGTTGTTGTTGTAGCCTTTCTGTTCTCAGCATACTCTGAAGCCTTTTTTTTGTCGTTCTTGTGTCATCTCAAGCTGAAGCTCCATCCAGAGGCGAACCTGAAGAACCGACTTCGCCGCAATCACCGTCCAGCGGCTTATCCTCAATGCCGTCATTCGGAACTTCTCCATCTAGCGCAGAGACTTTCGATTCGTACGGCCACAATCTACCGCATCACATGCGCATGACACAACAGTCCTCTCCTCAGTCTCGCAATCGATCTGTGACCGTACCGATGCCTCCGCCACTACCCTCTCCCGGCGCCGGACCTGCGCACCATCACTTGCTGTTGCATGGACCGCCTGGCCAGTCTGCTCAATCCTATTATGACCAGGGCAATGCTGGCAAACTTCATGGTGGAGGAATCAACCGTCAGAATTCGAGTTCAAGTTTGGCTTCTTCTGGCGGAGCCATGCGACCCAGCAGCTCATCACAGCGATTCGACCCTTACGCCCCGGCATCTACGTCACCTCGCGCCGCCACATCAGGAAGCATGCACTCCAGGCGGCCGTCTCAGCCGATGATCATTCCACCTGGTAGCAGTGCTGGTCATTCTGGGTCAGACTATTTCCCATCGCCGACATATGATGTCAAGCCATCGCTTTCCCCCGACCTGTCTCACGCTCATGATCTAGGGCAGCATACATCTTACTCTTATCATCCTCCTGCAACTGCCCCGGGATCGTTTGCCGATTTTGGTGCATTTGGATCATCAGCCCATCAGCCCGTTCAATCACCTGGAGGCGCTTTCGGACCGAGCTACGCAGCTTGGCATCACCCTTCGCCATCTACAGCTGGCAGACTAAATCAACCTCCGCCTGGAAGAGAATTCGGTCAATTACATCATTCTCCATCTCATTCTCACGTCTCGTCACATCACTCTCATTCTCAATCTGCAAGCGGGAGTCAATCTCTCGGGGTGTTGATGGAGGCGCCAAGTGCCTCGTCAAGCAACGACGGATGGGGGACTCCAACACATACTCATAATCAGTTACCAGAGAACCCCAGTGGAGTCAACAGTTTCTCCCAGCAGGTCCCCCAGGGGTGGAATGGGCAGTACATGGGGGGCGATAATGATTGGCGAGGACAGAGCACGAGTGTGGGATAGAGATACCGAGCTCTCTCTGCTCGGTATCGGTCTCGTGATGGACATTCTGTCGACGTCTTGTCATTCTCTCACGGTCTTGTGTGGCTTCGACTCCTTCTCAAGTTGTATCAATTCTACTTGTATATTATCATTTTGGCCCGGCTGAATGCTTGGACGACGGAGCAGTTTACGAGGATCCATCGAGGGAGAAATACTTGATTTAATGTGTGATAAATAAATGGGGACGAAGTAGGAGAAGGATGACAAGATGCAATGAGAAGATTAATCGAATCCTCTTGCTTCAGGATGCAGATCTGATAGAAGCATAAAGTTTGTCTCTGGGTATGTCAGAGAGGCGTAAGATCGTCCGTTGCCTAGGAAGCGCCAAGCATCCTGAAGCGCCGCCGAATCGGGGCGGCCGGGGCGAATGAGCATACATAAGGTGTGGAAAGACGGGATTTCCGAACTCAAATCAGGTCATAAGCTTTTCGTCGGCTTTCAAGGTTGAGTAGATCTAGATCTTGGCTCCCCCGCCATTCGGGGTAGGTCTTGTGAACCTCGGGAGTCGGGCATGTGATTCGTGCTATGCAATGAAATGTAGTAACTTGGATTTCAGACGGGAGACATCAATATACCCATAGACACAGGATGAAGCCGGCCATACCTGCGACGTAGGCGCACAGGATGGCTGTTGTCAGAGGGGTGTTAGCAGACGTTGCCCTGTGCTTCTCTTCTCTTGGGGAGGTAACCGCTCACCTGTCTTCGAGCTTGGGTGACGTCTGGCTGCTCGACCAGGGAGGTAGATACCCATGCGATTGCAGAAGATATGCGAGGCAAGGGGAGGAAAGACCGATCCGGTCCTGATGAACAGGTAGGAAGCGAACCAGCCAAACAGGGTGGTGTAGGTGAATTGAATCACTGAGTGGGGAACGGTGGTCGTCAGCAGCGTCAAGTCAAAGGATGTGAGCCAAAGAAAAAGACTCGCGACTAGTCAATACGGCCCGTTGGGCAGATTGCGATGTTGATCCTCCTGAGCGATAGACTTCCCATGCGTGATGAATGTGGGCTGTACCAAACCACAGAGGAGATCCAAATACAATGGAAGATGGCGAGGCATGCGATAGGAGGAAGATTGCAATAATGGCGGATCGAAATGTGAGTTCTTCGGTGATTGGGCCCTTTTGGGTATATCAGGGACGGGACTTAAGTGGGCGGCGGCGCAGAAATCGAGATGACCTACCACGACGTAGTTTCTATAATCTATAATGCTGAAGTCAAAAAGTTGGATTAATTTCTGAGCCAGAGGCGAGGAGGAGGATCTCTGAAATGGTAGGCTTCTATCCAAGTACTCGGCGAACAACGGTCCAAGAAACAGTATGGGAGTCAAGAGGTATGGGAAAATCCATGTCCACGACAAGCAAGAAAAGGAGGGTATGGACAAACCCAGGAGACGGATCGTCGGCAACAGCTAGAGAGACCTGTCAGCTTTGTCTCCTCGTCGTGGTTTCCTGTGCATGCACGTCACTCACCGATTCTGTCCATGAAGTCCCGGACAAATGCTTGACTACACTCCATACGATTAACAAACTGGAAACGGTCGCTATTCCGACGGCTTTCATTCGCAAACGAATGGTCGTCGGATGATCTCTAGTCCCAAGCTTGGGCGCATCATCCTCCTCCTCGTCGTCGTCTTCGTCGTCGTCATCATCTCGAAATGCTTTCGATGACACGTCGACATGGGAAGCATTCGACGCTTTTGCTGCTGATCCCTGAGCCGCTTTCGCCTGGGTGGCTGCGGCAGAAGCGAGGATAGCACGAGGCAGGAAGACATGTTGAGTGAGGTAGATGGATCCAACGTAGCTCGAGGCGAATATCAAAGCTATAAGATGACACTGAGACGCGGTGAGACCCCAAGACAAGGGCCATGACGGGAGAAGCGAAGGAGAGATGTTCATACCGCGAGGTCGCAAATATGCAACCAGTACGTCAGGTTGCAGGATTCGGGGCTGTACGGACGTTGAGCTCCGTAGAGGTGTGATGAAAGACTACCCACGATATCAGCTGTTCACGTTGATGATCATAATTGATTTCATGCTGGCTCGGATCCTTGCCAACGAAAGGCTCGAGCAGGGCATCTCGAACAATAAGGACCAAACATCGAAACACAGATCGTGATGTTTCATACTGCTTACGTAAGATTGATTCTCCTCTAGATCGCTATCCCGAATCGGCGTTGCCGCTCATTCTTGTGCGTCTTTGCAGAACGCGATTGCCTGACCTAGCTGACAATGACGAGTTCGGGACGCAGGACGAGATTGTCATTGTTAGGATGAACGAAGGAGACGCTTTGGAGAGGGTGGGGATGTCAAGTCGAAGTGGGCAGACGTACTGATTCAGCTGCCTTTTTAGGCTCACGCTCTCTCTGCACATGCTTCGGTCCTCTTGAGACCGAGCTCGATATCCATGTCGATGTTGGAATCGGCCAAGAAGCTCTACAGTGAAGCTGCGGATCTCTTTGCTGAATCTCTGACATCGACGACGGATGATGGGGCGAAGAAGACACTTCAATTATTGGTCCATCAGAATCGAAAGTTGGTCCGGGACGTCGAGCGGAGAATGAGTGCGACGCAGCCGACGATCGCTGCGCAAGGGCATGAAGGATCTAGATCACCACCTGTATCAGAGCAGCCTATACGCTCAAACGGTTCAAAAGGGCTGATGGTGGATCCTATCTCGCCTACGGGTCAAGGAGGACCTAGTTCAAGCTATTTTGGCGAGTGGTCGACTATGAGCTGTCCTGAATGAGTGGCATACTGACGTTTGTTGCGATTTGCAGCATCCCGCTTGAATCCAGGTATGAATGTTCCTCCCTTTTCGCTCCGACCGTCAACTATGCCTCTCGGACCATCTCGTTTGACATCCGCTCCTCCTTTTACTCGACAGACTCTCTCTACAGCCTCATCATCTCACGTACCTGGCGCTAGAGCAGGCCGAGCTTCTTCCATCACTGGAACCGTCCCAACTTCTCCTAATCAGCCATTTGATTCGCATACTTTATCCCCCCTCGTATCGTCTTCTTCGTCTGATGAGAGTTACCTCAATCTCGGCGCTGTACCCGATACCATGGATCCGTTCTCTCGATTCTGGGGAATGCTGGACAACATGTTGGATAATATTTCCAATCCAGTGGCATTCGCAACTGCCGCCGTCGATCTAGATCTAGAGACGGGGAAAGAGCAAGATTATGAGAATGTGCCTCACGAGCGGGGGGCAAAGGAGGCGGTCGAACCGAGGGTCCGAAAGAGCTCATCAAAAGGTGTGGTGTTCGTTTTTCACTCTCCGTGTGTCGTGTATTGCTCATGGACACCTTAAGCGAGTTTGAAGCAGAACGCTGACACAGCAATGACCGACTCGTTCTATGTGGTACCGAAGAACGGGAGAGTAGCGGAATCGAGCAGTCGTAGAGGCGAAGCCAGCGAGGAGAGCAGGACGAGTCGAGCGTGAGTGGACCCCAGATGGCGTGCGAAAAAACATCAACCATGAGCTGAGCATCAGGCCGTTCAGTTCACCGCCGATCAAAACGCCAGAGGAACTGGCCCTCGAGAATGAATCCCTTCGTGCAAGTCTGGACGCTCTCGCTGTCCATGCGCAACAACTAGATAGGACTAACAAGGCTTTACGGGCTCAGCATGAAGGACGGGAGAGACTGATGCGCAGTGCCGTTGCGGGCGTCCGTAGAGAGGTGAGATGGCCGATGCAATCTGTGATCCGTCCATCGCTGATGTCCCCCAGGCTCAAAAAGCAAAGCACGGTCAAGATCTGATACGATCACAACTATTAGCGAGCGTTTCCGTCCCACGGCCGACGAGTGGGATGACAAGTTCAGAGGCAGAAGGAGAGTCCTCAACGAGCGGTAAGCGTACGCTGTACTTTCGCTAGCTGACCCAACGTCAGCCATGCGGTCCCGCATTCGAGAGCTAGAAGCAGAGTTGGAAGCTGCTAATGTGGAGAATGATCGAAAAGTGAGTTCACAGGGTTTGGCATAGATTACCGCAGATAAGTGAGCTGCAGCTGCTGATGTTGGCTACTAGCAAGCTCAGATTGACAAGTATAAAGATAGAGTGAGCTGTGAAGCATACCTGGGTATCTCCAAAAGTGGCTAACGACCTGCCTCTCCCAGTTTGAGCGTATCAGAGTCAAGGCTGGGGCCAAGAAGGAAGCTAAAGCTAAACTCGAAGCTAGCGGTACAAAGCCACAAAGCGGACGCGAAGGTGATCTCGATGAGCCTGGATAAATCAAGTCTGTTGTAATCTTTTGACGTGTCGTGTCCTCTTAGAATCATGTCAGCATCGCAATCATCTCATTGTGTGTTTGTAGACGCCATTCATCTGTTTGCATCTTAGCCTCATTCATACGCCAACATCAGAGACTGGAGAAGAGGGAAAACGAGCGTCTTAATGCGTAGATGGTGCGGGTGTAATCAATAGCTAGGAACTGAATGACGAGTCGGGGATCCGATGAAAGTGGTCATGTGAAATGTTGTTGATGCTGATCCTCTGTCGGTCTCATCGTTTGACGAATCGATGCAATGTGCATCTCCTAGAAATAAAAACTTTTGGAATCCTCGTTTCCCGACACTTTATGCTAAGTCTCACTGTCTCCCTGTATCCCTCCGTCCGTCCAATCAACCCACCTCATGATCAAGGCGATGTGTCTCCCGCCAACGTACGCATTTCCGAACTTGGATTTCACCCTCCTTCCATTCACCCCCCATCTACCCGATCTTTCCCGCTCTGAGTCTATGATACCCCTCATCAGCTCTGAACCATTCCCTTTCCTTTGTATCCTTCTGAAGAGACACCGGACTGGAAAGAAGGACAGGGGTCAGCAGTCATCCCTCCTCTAACACGCAATGTGACTCACGATCGGGTTCATGTTCTGAGATCTCATGTACTCGTTGGATTGCTCTTGGTACTCCTTGGTCATAGTCTCGGGAAGTGGTTGACCTAAGAAGTCGAGTCAGCAAGTGTTTCTATAGTTCTCTTGAATGACCCACCAAAGTGTCGGACCGTGAGGAAAGCGAGAACGGAAGCACCGACGATACCGGCTGTTCCTAGTGCGACTTGCATTCCGTATCCGTCGCCGTGAATGGGTTTTCGAGGTCCGTGGGGTCCAAAGGCAATGTAGTAGGCTGTTGGAGAGGGGGTTCAAGTTAGCAAAAGACGAGGGGTTATGGTCCGGTCGAGGTCTACACATAACGGATCATGATGCTTTCAGGCAATCGAAACATCACGTCACATCGAGATTGATGATGCGACGATCAAGCGTGATCGGCCACCTGTGTCAGATGCAGAGGTCTACTTTCGCTCATGACACCATGGCCTCTGGCTGACCAAGAGGAGCTCTCGCACTGCATACGCCCTGGACGCAGATACGATTCGACAGCACGCCCCCTCTGCGTCCGTTTCGATCCGGGACGAAAAAGACGAAAAGGAAACGTCATTAAAACTCACCCGCTCGCTTTTCATCCCTTGAAAGTTCCTTCCAGTCCTTCTTCTGCAGGTCGTGTAGTTGCTTGTAGACCTCGTAACGCTCTTCTTTCGGTAGATGTGTCCATGTAGCTTCAATGTTCGCGAGGGAAGGTGCAGAAGTGTTGGATCGAGTCGACGTCACGGAGATAGCGGGGGAAGCGTACGATCGCAAAGTTGTTCGAGTGGATGCACGGGAAGCAGTTGCGACTGCTTGACGCAGAGAAGAAGATAGAGGAGACATGGTGGATTGGGACGAGTTGCGATGGACCACTACGGAGGAAAGACAGAGAGAGAGAAAGCGCTCAACACTATCTAGGCATTAACACCAACGTCGTATTGGAAAAATGAGGAAGGCGGCTCAGCTCTTCCAATTGAAAGTGGCTAATAGGGGGGAAGGACACAAGGGGGAGGGGGGATAGACCTGAGCGTGGCAGTATAACGCCGAAAAGTTCCGATGTGGCGATGAGAGTCATGACAGGCGCGAATGACTTTCGACGTATTCTTTTGTCCCTTCCTTGAGCTGTTTCCCAGCAAACAGGTCTCTCCATCAGGACAATGACTCTGTTTCTGCTGATGCCACGTTCACCGCTTCGATGGCTTCTCAGGCGACCCAGACGGGATGTTCTCCAGTGTCAATGTGTCAGTGTCAGTCGTCACGAAGAAGACTTCCTCTGTGTTGCGTAGTGAGGCATTGGCTTCTGGGTCTCCAGCGTCAGAGAATCGTTCCCCACATCTGCGAAGTAGCGCATGCAACGTTGTTCCCCATGTCTGCGAAGTAGCGCGTGCAAGGTTGTTCCCCATATCTGCGAAGCAACGCGTGCAACGGAAAGATAGGAGACAAAGGGGTTCCGAAGCATGTTGTTGCCTGACGCCTTCGCTTCAAGCCTATCAAAGTCCCGACCGTACAAGTTCTCGGCAAGATATGTGCATGCCAGCGTGTGATGCAACGAATGGACGGGTTAATGATATTGACCCTGTTTACCAAAAGTAGATTGAATAGCCTCTGATGCTCTGTTCGATTGTCCGTCTTATGCCTTGCCCCTCTGAGCTCTACACCTCGACCAGCAAGGTTGGTTTCTCTTCGTCTTCGCTCACGGCTCTCTTTTCCGAATCGACAGGGTAAGCGTCGCACAGGCTTTCCATTGATTCTGATTCTGCTGCAGCACCCCATCTGAGAGAGGAGGGTATCAGCACAGACTATTCCTTGAGAGAAAGACTCACGTCTCGGTGTACGCCTTCCATGCGTCGAGCTTTCCTCCATACCAAGCCACGAAGAGGGTCGCTCCACTCACACAGGGGACCGTGAGAGCAGTGTACAGTCCTCCCGCGAGATGTCGTTCGTCACCTAAGTAGATTGATCCCAATTCGCCTAATGCAAGGGAGAAAGCCAGCGAGGCGATGGCGGACCAGAAAGTAGGTTTGGAGAATCCCTCGACGGTGTTGGTGAGGATCATGGACTTGATCTTGGTGGAAGCCGCCTCGACATGCGTAGGGAGTCGAACGGGAGCTTGGGATTGAGCATAGTCAAAGCGGTATGCCATGCCGACCTGAGGAGTAGGTCAGCAAACGAGTCCTCTCGGGAAAGATACGTCCAACGAGCCAACTGACAATAGTGCCGCTCAACAAGGTCGGGATCATGTCGAGGAACATCCACATGACGCGCATGATCCATGCCCAAGGTCGAGAGCTCGAGGTGGTAGCATCGTGCAGCACCAAAGAGGATATTCCACGAGGGAGAGCAGAAACGGAGGACGAAAAGATTCGGGTCCATACGGGGAGATGGAATAGAGTACCGTAGAGCATGACGCCGGCCTGAGAAAGAAGGTCAGGTCAGCTCATCTCATGCATTGCAGCATCCGCTACGCTAGGCTAGGCTGCGTGTGGTTCATGCTCGTTGACGCTCGCGACTCACGATGCAAATGTTGAGATTCAACAGGATCCACTTGACCGGAATCTTGACAAAGGAATCGCCCCTCGATGAGATGGCCATGACCCAGAACGCGACGAGCACAGGTTGAAGGTATCGCTTATCTTGACTGCTTGAGATGAGACACGTCAAAGCGAGCAAGAGAGAAGCTGCGATTCGATGCGCTTGACCCATAGGCACGGATTCGAAGAATGTGGGTCTGAGTCCAGAGACGAGGTGCAAGGCTCTTGGTCCAGGACAAGTGGCTGTGAGGGCCTGTGGAAGCCAGCGAGGAAGCGAGCGTCAGCGAGTTTGTTCGACCAAGCTCGACGAATGGGACCGTGGTGATGATGTATTGGGACCGTGGTGATGATGTATTGGGACATGAAGGACAAGGCACGAACGGCGCGCGTGATTTTGGTGGGATACGATCGCGGCACCCTGACATTGCTGGCACCCTGAAATATCACTCACCATGTGACACATGCAAGTCAACATGACGAGCACTAATCCCGATAAGACAATGTTAAAGTCTAGGTCTGATTGAATGGCCAACAGTCGCTGAAGGGCAAAGTAGATGGCTGCGATGTAGGCGCAGAGGATGACGGTGAATGAAATGGAAGAAGGGATCATTCGACCCAATCGACGAACTAGACGCGTCGGTCTTGAGAGACAACTTCCATCACGAATGGCAAGTGTGGACGAGGACGAGGAGGACGCTTGACTAGAGAGAGCTGATACGGCCAGGTATCGCTGAAATGAGAAACAGCCAGGCATCATCAGCAAACAGTAGATAGATTGACGCGTCGAATCAAGTGCGCGCGCGCGCGTCTCACCTCCAAAGCCAATCTGTTGCCTGCAACGAGACCGACAACGCACAAGCCTTGAGTCAAGATGGACCAGCCAAGCTCTTCTCGAGGTGTAAAACTTTGAATGAATGTACCAGACATCATTGTCAAGAAACAAGAAAGAGTGTGAGAGAAGACGAAGAAGAAGAAGAAGATGAAGAAACAATGAACGATGAATGGAAGGACGTCATGAGTTTTTGTATCATTTTGGCGGTTGATCTCGTCAAATGCTGGCGTCTCGTGGAGGCACTCGGGGGGGGGGGGGGGTCGAAATCATGCATGTACACGGGAGTCTACAAGTGCTTCTTGGGTCCCTGTCATTCAGGAGTCCTCTTCTGCGCCTCTAATAACGCTTCAGGTCGTAGCAGGCAGGCCACAGGTAGGGGCAACAAACGCCTCTTGTTGTCTAAATTTTTCCTTTCACCATGCTTGAAGCACGAATTTCACACATCAGGCCACACACATATTTGGCTTGCAGCCAGCATGTCGTGTATCTATGTACACACGCGATAGTCGTACAGCACAAGCCGACTGGCTTGCTTGCCTCATCTTCGTCCCTGTGCATCCTGTATAGCCTTGATCATCTTCCCTCCCAACTGAGTAGCTTGTTCAAATCGAGGTCGGAAAAAGTCTAAAAGTACCCGCACACTCAGCGCCCGAAAGAAAGAAAGAAAAAATGTCAAGACACGACCTGGGATGTCTCGGAAAGAAAACAAGGATAAACTGACCTGCTGTCTCTTCGAATCGTCTCTTGTACAGATCAAAGTTTCCAAATGACGCGCATTCTGACCATCCTCTCGCAGCCATACAGAACTCCACATCGTCAGGTCGATGTATCCGATCGTTCAGGGCTGCGGAGATGGCAGACGCGACGAGCGAGCGAGATCGAAACAGGTATTCGGCGACGCCTGGGTTGTGGGCGGTCAGCACAAACATGCAATGCAGTCAAGTGTCTAGTTTCTTGATCCTTCCACTGGGCAGCACCATCCGCCTTCCACGCCGCGCTGACACTGTCTGATGCCGACTCACCAATCCACAACATGAATACGGGTGTCCCCGCCACTTCCAGATGTTCAAAAGGTCTGATTCCGAGTTTGGCCCAACAATCCACCATGGCCAAAAGACTCAGTTGAGAGTTTGGCGAGTTTCCTCCTCTGTCTCTCCCATTGGGACCAGCCGCTGAATCAGGTTTCTGGCCTAATGAGAATTGATCGAGGACGTCTTCGCTCAGCAAGATCGGGCCTCTTCTGCGGCTCGAAGTACTGATGCTGGGCCCGTTATCGTTTCCCGAGCTTGCCTCGCCGCCTCCCTCTTCATCCTTTGACCACCCAAAGACTTTTTCCCTAGCTTCCCATACACGGTTTGCGAGCTGTTCCTCCAAACCCTCCACCATCAACTTGAACAACTCGGTCACGCTCAATGCGTACTGATGTATTTGTCTTTGAGCCGATGGGTTCAACATGGCCAGGCCCGCGTAAACGTGCCATTTGGCAGAATAGATACGGAGTGTGATATTGACTTTGACGACCTCTATACCGGATACATAGCGTGTCGTCTCCCAAGGATAGGTCGTGGAGTGTCGCCAGGCTGTACCCATACTGAGTATGGGACCCCGAGCGTCAGCGAGCATTGCTTTTAACGGGGGAAATGGGACATCCCTCACCTTAGAAATGCCGCATGGGTCACTGCTTGAGTGTTCGCAGTGACTTCATCATGTTGCTCGTAGGAGAGATGCACGTATCGAGATTTGAAGCTCGCAAAGGTAGATTCTACGAGACGGACTTTGGATTCAGGCCCACGATGATGAATGATGATCTGGCGAAGTGATTCAGCAAGATATCCTCAGTCTCATTTCAGTGCAGCGTAACGACTGCTAGTGCTGCCGAGGCAATTACCCACTAATGGCTGTCCCTCTGTGGTCACTGTTGGTCCATGCAAACTATGGATGGAGACTATATCGACGTCTTGCGGTAAATACTTTTCGAATGCTTCTTTCTCAGGTGCCTTGACGCTCGTCTGACCAGCGACAGTCGCGCCGACCTATGAAGTCGGTCAACGACAGCCCTTGTGCCTTTGCCCACCTTTGTGGATGGCCCGTAGATTTGTACGGCTTTAGCCAGATGGACCGCTTCGACAGAGTAAATGATGAGGTCTGACAATCTCGACACCGCGTGACCGTTGAGTAAGGGGGTGATGCCGGTTCCTAGAGCAGTAAGAGCAGTATCAGCCCTGTGGTACTAGGCACTTGGCCTGTTCAGACACATGTTCAAGCACCTGCACGGCCTGAGCCTACATACCCTTGAACTCTTCCATTAAAGCTGGATATTTCTCCTCAACATCGCATACGTAAATACTATAGGTCGTCTAAGCATCAGTATTGAGTCGACCACGTAGATGATGGAGCTGTACTCCGTACCATCCAGTATGCTCTTACGAGCCCTGCGACACGACTCACGTCTTGATGCCTCCCGCTGAAAGACGCTTTGCGTACATCCTACCCATCTGAGGCGAGCTGTAAGCTTATAACCCAAGAAATGCCCCGATATCAAGAGCTTTCACCCCCTCACGCGTCGCACTGCCATGCGAGGGGATCTCAGCGGTACGGGTACAGCGAAATCACTCACATCTCCCATACCGATGATTCCGACGATGGGTTGAGTATGCGGGTTGTGCTCCGAAGCAAGTCCATCTTTACTGCTAGAAGCAGAAGCTTGGGCTTCAGATGCGTTCATCGTTGAGTTGAGACTGATACGTGGAATCGCCGGACGATGTCGAACAAATGACAACAAGATGTGTCCATCGCTTATGGACCATGAAATTTCAGATTTCGTGCGGATTTCGGGGATTCCACAATGCGTGCGGCAACCGAGTCGAGCGGCATATTACTTTCTGGACCGTCTATGGTGATCCCAGCGGGAAAGGCCACGCTGATCTCGCACTGTTCACGACCGGAACACTGATACCACCTCTCATTGGCCTTCTGCAGATTCTGTACATCGCAATGCATGCACATGGGCTACCTATCGTACTGAAAGAGTCAAAAAATTGTATAAATTAGAGTAGGAGAATACCAAATGTTGGCCTCTGTAGGACGGACGAGAGGAAAAAACGGTACAGCGAGAAGTCTCCATAGGCAATGTCCAGGGAACGATCTGAGCGTGGTGAGCTGACGAGTGATGCTGGACGGCTTCAAGCGGCAGCCCAGCCTCGCCTTGGCGCACTGCGCTTCGCTCGGCTAGGCTAGGCTCGACTCGACGCTTAAAGAGCGACGGCAGCTCCCGCCACGACACCGACGAGCGCCACTGCGACTCCGGCAAAGTTGGGCAAGCTTGCAGCGACGTTAGCGGCTCCAGAAGTCGTAGCTGCGGCTGAGGAGGCTGCTCCAGCGACAGAGCTAGCACCGGATTGAGCGGCTCCAGCGGCGGAGGAAGCTCCAGAGACGATCGCGGAGGCGGCTTGAGAAAGGGAAGCGATGACGCCAGCGGACGTAGTAGTGGCAGTCGTGCTCTGCGTATGGGTCAGAGAGTGAATTTGACACTGTGAGAGATATTGAACTTACACCGGTCGAGGTGCCGGTAGCGCTTGCAGCATCAGAGCCGGTGAATGTAGCGCTAGGACCGTGGTCAGCAAGGTGGGTACTGGAGGTTGGAAGGATTGGCCTACCTGAAGTCGGCGGCTGAGACGGTGGAGCCCACAGAGTCGCAAAGCTGCTCGAGCTGGTCAAGAGCCTGGTTCACGGCTTCGACATTGTCGTTGGAAGCGTCGGGGTTGTCTTGGAGGATACAAGAGAGGCAGCTTCGCTAGAGCCAGAGGTGAGCAAGCGTGTCACTGCAAAGGGAGGACGTTGGGATGACTCACGAAAGACGAAAAGTTGCTCGAAGAACAGATGCTCAAACAGGTACTCTCATCGTTGTTCTCACATGCCGAGTAGATGGTAAGGGTCGACTGGCAGTCGGATTGACATGCGGACGGGATGTCCGAGGGATTGAGGGACTGTTGTCGAGCAAGGAGGGATCGGACGGCGTGGTGGTTCGCAGCGGCTTTGAAGGCCGGGTCAGCAAGAGAGAACGCAGCACCATAGCGAGTGAAGAGACGCTGATCGAAAGAACAGGTATGGTACGAGGCAAGGTAGACAGAGTAGATCTGATGAGAGGAGGGTTGACCACGTTTGGATGGTTGGACACCTCAAGAATTGAGCAGACTGTCCTGGAGTCGCTGCTGCCAAGACCCAATCGAACTCACATGCACCGATGGCTCCGAGGATCGAGAGGAGAGCAAAGTTGAAGAGCATCTTTGGGTTCAGATGATAGGTCTAGAGTGATGAGTTGTCAGTGGATGATAGAGAAAAGAAGAGACGCGTGTTTGATTAGCTGCCCCCTTGTTCGAAGCAAACGTGCCTTTGGACAGCTAGGGAAACCAAGGGGGGGAATGGCCATCCGCGCGTGACTCGCAGCCCCGACCCTCGCAGCGAAAGGGGGAGGGGAGGAAGGGGGGGGAGATTGTAGAGGCAGTTGAGATTGGCAGGAGGATAGAAGGGTGAAACCAGTGGATGGGACAAGAATGGCACTCACCTGTGAAGGATGTTGCTGTTGCTGCTGGTGCTGGTGCTGATAGGATGCTGAAAAGAAATGTTCAGCCCGGGAAGCCGCGGGGTTTTATGCACAAAAATGGGTTGTGGTTCCCGAAATCCCGGGCCTTAGGGAGGGAAGATCTGGACGAAGAAAATTGCCAGATTAGGCGAGGGCCAGGGCATCAGAGGAGAGTAAGAACAACCAGGGGGGGGGGGGGGGGGGAAGGGCTGCGGAATTATAACCCACCATTTTACCTGCGATTCCTTGGGATGGTGATATGCCTGGCAATGATAGCCTACAACCAATGATATGTGTGTGTGTGTGCGCAGAGAGAAGATGGCCTTGTATGTCACAGAGCGACTCGATGACATGTATGACTGCTGTCAGATCTCGCTCGAGATGCATTTGGATGGTCACTTTGGACCCCTCGTTGCCGCCGAGGTGCCTGGACCAAACCCTGTAGAAACACGCCAAGGCGTGACACAGTCTGTACTCTCCAGGAGAGGGGGGGGCGGCGGGCCGCATGTCCCGACGGAATACAATCAGTGTTCGGGGCAGGCGTGGAAGGAGTTCATTCATTCGGGGATTCCATCGGATGAGAGCGGCATGGCATGCAAGAGAGTGCCACATCACCAGTCATGGCGCGAGAAGCAAGATACATGTCACAAACTCCGACAGATAGATAATCTCACGGGATCATCGCGTACAACAAGGTAGGGAGATTGATCTATGATAGAAGGAGGAGGACTGATATGATGGATAAATAGAGCAGCAAGTAAGAAATTGGCACAGACCAAGCAAGACAGACACAGGGATGGGGGTCCATATATAAACGAGACAAAGTCCATACCCTTCGCCCTCGCATCTCTGACACGCCGCTCACTCTTCTGCCTCTCCGTCTCCATCAAACATCTTCGCCAGCCCTTCCGAAGCCTCATCTTTACCAGGTACAAACACCTACAGCATACCCTTATCAGCAAAAAGCAAAAAAACACAAACCTGACCAATCGCGAGCCACTCACCTCGAACGCAGTCCGTTCACCCTTCTTGATCTGCTCTGCTCTCGTCTTGGCTCCTCCCTTACCGAGTCCTGCACTCCAACCTTTCGTCCGTTGAAACGCAGCGGGAGATCGATCCAGCAGAATGTCCAAGTCAGCATCACTGTGCCTCCAGTCAGCACAAAATCCTCCGTATCAATGTGTGTGTTTTGTCTCACCTGATGATCGTATCTCCCGCTTCAGCCGTGTTGATCTCTTCGCCCTCCAGATCCAATAGCGCTCTAGCCATCTCTGCCATACTTTCTTTGCCTTCTTTCGCCGCCCCTGACTTTCCTCGACCAAGCAGCACCCGTCCATTCTCATCCACCATCCGTCCAAATTTGCCTTGGGAGATAACGAGAGCTTCTAGTTTTCGCTTGTTGCCTGCCTTTTGCAGAATCTTCGTCTCAATGGTATGTGCAGAGACGAGTCGGAAGACAAGAACGGGGCGAGTCTGACCGATCCGATGAGCTCGATCTTGGGCTTGAAGGTCCATCTGGGGGTCTGGGGCGGAAACATCAGCATAAGAGACAAAGCAAAGGCAAAGCATCACTCACTCCAGTCCTGGTCAAAGAAAATGACGGTGCTGTAATCACATTAGACATGGCCTCCTCGCGGTATCCGCCCGACTTACTCCGCAGCCACCAAGTTCACGCCCAGACCACCGGCTCGCGTACTGAGCAAGAACAATTTGCAAGCGGTTTTCGACGTGTCATTGTTAAACTCTTCCATCTGACTCCGGCGATCTTCTTGGGACGTGGACCCGTCAATCCGGCACACTTTCCACTTTTTGAACATGGTCGCCCAGTCTTCCTGTGGCCTGTCAGCGATGATTGGCATGGTGCACCAGATCACTCACAATGACGTCAAGCATGGTGGTGAACTGTGAGAACAACAACACTTTGTGTCCCCGTTTGAACAGTTCACCCAGCAGACGATTGAGCAGTAACATCTTCCCGCTGGCATTGACCAGGTCATCACTGACGACCAACTCGTTGGTCTTTTCGTCTACTGGCCAGTCAAAGAGGAACGGATGAGAGGAGATTTTCCGCAATTGCATGACGAGATTTTGCAGGCGCATGTTGTTGACGTGCTTGGCTGTCAGGAAGTCTCAGCAAGGGCTAGCGGGGGAACCCAAAAAGAAAATGCACTCACTGGCCTGCTTCAACGCCCATTCCTTGCCAATCTGAGCTGCACTCTTTTCCTCGACGCCATTTGGCTCGTCCTTCTTCAGGCCGTTCTCTAGATCTCTAATGTACTTTGAGTCATTCTCTTCAATCTTGTAATTGACCTTTTTGGTCTTTCGAATCTTTCGACCCTCGCCAGAATCCACCGCAGGCTCATGATCAAGCTCTGGCGTAGGTTCTCTCTCTTCCTCCGGTTCCTCTCCACCATGTTGCTTCCGCTTCACATCCACAAGGTATTGTCTGATTTGACCCGAAACGATAGCCTGGTAGATGTCCTTTTGGGTCTGTGTTAAGGGGGCGTACAAGAGGTACTCCTTTTTCGGCGGTAACTCCTTCTCCACGTCAACTTTGAGGCGTCGAAGGAGGAAAGGTTTGAGGATCTCATGGAGGGACTGAACGATGGAGGACTTGTTTAAAAGTCCAGAATTGTCCGGGGAGGAATTCATGTCGTCAAAGTTGAACCACTGTTGGAAACTGTCAAGATCGTCAAAGATATCAGGCAGGATAAAGTTCAAAAGAGACCACAGTTCGGCGAGGTTGTTCTATGACGAATCAGCTCCAATCTTCTGAAACGGTGGCTCACATGCAATGGAGTTCCCGTGAGGATCATTCGATTTGCAGAGGTGTACGACTTGAGCTCCCGAATCAACCTGAAGCCGTGAGTCTCACCCACAGACATCCAAAGCTCACTTGCAATCCAGGTTCTTCAAACGATGGCCCTCGTCCACGACGATAAACTTCCACATGAATCCGCTGAGAAACTTCTGATCCTTCATGCACATTTCATATGTCGTCACTACGACAGGAAACGTAGCGGTCGTATTGGCGCCTGCTCGATTCGAGCCGGTGCTATAACGTCCACGTCCTTTTCCTTTCTTCATCGATTCGACACCAGCGGCGACGGGAGGCGAGAGACGCGTCGCACGGAGATCCGCTCGATGCTCGGGTGTGCCGTGATACATGAGGACCTGGTGGCGTGAGGGAGGGGGCACACTTTTGGGTTCGGTCTAGCTCACGGGAATGCTCGGTGCAAACTTCTCAAACTCCATGATCCAGTTGTTGAGCACAGATAATGGACATGCAATGAGGAACGGACCCCAAGTACCTTTTGACCGAAGATGGGCCAGGAAGGAGATAGTTTGGAGGGTCTGCCATGAGTCAGTAGACCCTCGTCTCCACACTCACCTTGCCCAACCCCATCTCATCGGCCAATATTCCGTTCAGTCCATTCTCATACAGTGAGATCATCCACTGGACCCCTGCCAATTGGTAGTCTCGTAATTTGGCACCAGTGATCAAGGACGGTTGAGAAAAGGTATACTGCCCGTTGTCTTCAGCTTCCGCGCCGTCGTCCTGCTCCCCAGTCTGCTCCTCTTTCTTGATTGCGGAGCTTTCCCCGTTGGTCTCTGGCTTCGTCTCGACGTCCATACCCTGGAGATGTATGAGCCAAAATCTAGCGGCCGGCCTCGTACTCACAGTGTCTTCCACCTTGGCTTTCTTCTCCTCTCTACCTCCTTCACTCTTTCTCTTCCGCTTGCTGCCAGGTTTTTCATCCCTCTTCTCCGGTCCTTCATGAGCCCTCAGTCCACCTCTCGTAGGTCCCGTATCTCCCTTTTTCTCCTTGTTCTCTTTCCGCACAGCTGCCCGTTGCTCTGCTTTTCGTTTCTCGACCTGTTGCCTCTCCATCCGATCACCAATGATCTTGGCGTAGATGGTGGACTTTTCCAACAGGAAATTGAGTCTAGCAGCTCGAGCTGACGCCTGGGTTTCGTACGTCCGGTAGGATATGTGTGAGACATCAGGGGGCGTAGATGAAGTGGACGCGGAGACCATCGAGGCGGTAGATGTTGCGGGAGTGAACATGACGTGATTGAAGCGATGCAGACGTCGTCGTATTTGGTTTGGGGGTTGAAGAGTAAGATAACGCGATATGTCGGACAGGAAGAACAAGGCAGAAATGACGGACAGGAAAGGACAAAGGAAGGACAGAGTGTCAGCGCTGACGAGAGATTTCGATGTGTGCTCGAACGAAGCACACGGGCTTGCAAGCGAGCAGGGCGTAATCATATATTATAGATGATGCAGTGGACAGAGGCAGCTCCTAGGCGTTCGAGATGTGTTCGAGGCATTCCTCGCGTTGAAGGCCCTTTCTTCCTCAAGGATGAATGTTCCAAGTCTCAACCACTCACCTCGACATCTCCTTCGCCCTCCGCCTTGAGTTCTTCCTCCACTTGAGCCTTTACATCGACTTTCTCAGCATCTGCATCTCCATCTTCGATCTTTGGATCAGAGCTCGAACCTGCATTCGGAGACGCAGGCATGGAAGAGGATGCCGATGTACCTGCAACGGTGGACGAGAGGCTAGGGAGGTCGGAAGGGTGATGTTGGGATGATGATGAGCAGGTAGCGGTCGACGGCATGTATGAAGAGTAACCGTGTGATGAGGACTAAGCACTGCAAGCGCTGTACCGTTCACCTGTTGACAAGATACGACGATGATGATGAGCTTGGGTTGGTCGTCGTCGTCTTGGACACCACCACAGGTCTGATAGTACCTTCGATTCGATCCCCTTTCATTTTCTTTTTTGCTTTTTTTGCACGACGCGTAGAGCAGAGAGAGGGATGATCTGACGTAAAGACGAACGGAATCAAATTTCTCCTGACAGTGGGCTCCACAAATCGAGACGGAATCAAAATGGGGGTTGAAGGGTGCCACACTTGAAAAGCCGCGAAACTCCGATAGACTGCCTCGAATTTGGAAGAACAGCCAAAAGTCCTAGCCATATGTGTGGTCCAGGTTTAAAGGCTTTTGGCTAGGAGAGCGTGTTAGATTTTGGTCTTTTTCCATCCATCCAACAAACTCATTCCAAGATGTCCAACAAACGTGAGTGTAGTGAGAGGAAGCAAGTGAGAAGGGACAGGCTGGCACGGGGATATTGGATGGCTGTGAAAATGGTATTGAGAAGGGCAATGGGGAAGGAGTGTTCCTTGGGTCGTATCGTGCGAGGGACAGATTAGTGGGATGAACGGAGACTAGAGGGGTCATCAAAGAGACATTGCTAGCCTGCCCTCCTAGCCATTGCCATCATCTTTTCCTTTTGCCTCCAGCTGACCCGATATCAGCCGCTTCTGGACAAAAGTACCGAATGTCTCTCGGTCTCCCCGTCGGAGCCGTGATGAACTGTGCCGACAACAGTGGAGCCAAGAGTGAGTAGAGAATTTTGGGGATGGTGTGCTGCTCGCTGACACTGGCCTTTCGTTAGACCTCTATGTCATCTCCGTTGTTGGATTCGGTGCGCGATTGAACAGACTTCCCGCTGCCGCTGCCGGAGACATGGTCATGGCTTCCGTCAAGAAGGGAAAGCCCGAGTTGAGAAAGAAGGGTGAGCAGCGTCGTTGGAAAATCAAACAGATTTGGATCGGGGAGTCCTTGAGTTGATTGACTGATACCCTCTTGCTAGTCATGCCTGCCGTCATTTGCCGACAGAGGAAACCTTGGCGAAGGAGGGATGGAATGTTCCTCTACTTTGAGGACAACGCCGGTGTCATTGTCAACCCCAAGGGAGAGATGAAGGGATCAGCTATCAACGGACCGTGAGTTTGAGCGAGTGCAGCGCAGCGCATTACAGCGCGTCGTGTTCTGCCGGTCTCTGTCAAAGAATCATCATCTGACCTTCCAAACCCCTTCCAGCGTCGCCAAAGAATGCGCCGACTTGTGGCCCCGTATAGCTTCCAACGCTGGAACCGTCGTCTAGATTCAGGCGCATGGTTGGTGATTTCGGAGAAGAGGCGGAATGCGAGCGGTGACATGTTGAGATGCACTGCATGCAGGTGTATTGACACATCCTTTGGCGAAGGGGATCAGATTGTTGCATGACGTGTCCCTATAACGCAACGACAGATCGCCAGACTGCTCGAAAAAACCCTTGCCACATTCACCCATACGTCTCACGCTTCCAATCTTTGGTTATCACTGATAATGTCCCGAAAGACGGTTCGGATGGCGCACTGACTGTCCATCCTGTCCCGCGCCATAATCTGCCTGCGTGACGTATCAGTGAAGGCGGCCTCTATCGTGCACGACAACATCCCAGAGGTGTCTGTACTCACTGGGTATACGACTACTGCTACTTGCATCCGTTTCACCATGTTGCCTAGTTTCCTTGCTCCGTCTTTTCCGTCTCGACCTGATCTGACGATTCTTGTACCATACTATTGCCCACGTTATAAGTGAGGCGACGAGCAGAATGGAGAGGGCGACGGGAATGACGATGATGAGGATGCTAACAGTCGTCAGGGTCAATGTGGATTCCTGTTCATGGCGTGCAACTTGCCGACTCACTGTTTCAGTTGATTTGGTCTGGACGGACTCCCCGATTGGGCGACCGTGTCGTCCGCGTGTAAGGGACCTGGAGAGAGGATGGCAGCGGTTCCAGCGTACGATGTGGGTGAGGACGAGAGAATGATAGAGGAGGTAGAAGAAGACGAGGGAGAAGAAACTTCATTGGGATTGGAGGGACCACTGACCGACCGAGTCGCGGAAGAGGTGTCAGAGGCAAAAGCAATCTCGGTGCTCTGTGTGACCATGGAGCCAGTCACACTTGGCGATGTTGCGTCTTTTACAGATGGACCCGAAAACGCCCCAACCATGGTCATCGTCGCGAAGTCTTGATCAGCTATCTTGTCAGCCCCCGCTCCGCCTTGATCAGCATGCTCAGCCAGAGCTTGTTGAGTGTCAAGCGTGGTCGCAGAATTCTGAAAGGGGTCGTAACCGCCAAGAACGTCAACGCGAGGGGATAGCAGCATGTCTTGACCTGTGCAACTATTGAGACTGCTGTAAGTTCTGTACAGGTATATTGTAAGATGATGCTCCACTTCCCCCTGCAGAATGCCATGTCGATCAGGAGGGTTTTCGAACGGCAACGGAAAACGCTGGTTATCCTTTGTTCATTGGTCCCTCATTGCGCGATCAGCCAGCACTGGTACCGTTCAAAATGGGTGTCCCTGCTGAAGACATCCTTTCATGTTCAGTCCTAGTAAAACCCCTTGATCTACTCGCTGAGAGCGTGATGCGGCAAGGTGCCAAAGGAGAGATCTTGCTGACATTCGGCCATTGATGGTGATGGAGAATTGCTTCTTGCGCCGATATCAGTTGGATGCAGAAGGCTTGGGTGATATCAGCTCTGTATGCAAGTGCCAAGTCAGATAGACAGAACATCGTCATCATGGCGGATGTCCGCGCTCTAGACGTTCACAAGGCCCAACACATGCAAGTCGTACGGGAGTCCACCTCCCGGTCATTCCAACCTAGTCCTTGCCCCTGACCTGGAAAAACCTCTTCCACCAGGCTCGACCCTGTCCTTTTGCACTCTGCCTCACACCGTTCAAGATTCGGAGGTACGTATTCGGATCGTGAGCTGGTGTCAACGTTCTCTCGCTGAGGGGGTACTGTGACCGCGCATCAGCCTGTTGCCCGACGAACGAGTACGTCTCACGTACCCGCTTTGACGCTGCGTTCGATTGAATCCTTTGTAAACTCCTCAACATGCCATCCATTGCGTCTCGGGCTCTAGATTCGCTTATCGCCTGACGACTTCCGGTTGGAGCTGACTTGGATGGTCCAGCCGATGAGGTTGCCGATGCTGAAGATTCTGGGAAATGCCTCGACAGGATACTTTCAATGGCATCGGTCAACTGAAGAGTTCCAGCTTGTCTGAGAGGCGAAGGAGGTAGAGATCGAGCAAGGGTGCGGATTCTGGAGATCTGAGACATGGTGAAGATGTAGAAAAGGAGTGGTAGGGTGGGTTAAGTCGTAGAGGGATTCCACAGACTCAGGTCTATGTATCGTCGTCGACCTCTTTGCAAAATGTAGAGGTTAGACAAGTACGAGATGCAGTACCATTGGCAAGTGCAAGTGTCGATCGAAATATTCAAAGCCACGTGCAACTCAACGAAGCGCAACCGGCCTGAAGATCGTCCCAAAATCATCACCTTACATTAAGCGTTCATAGACTTGGACCGAGCTCGCTTTGCCCGCTCGCTGGCTCTTTGTTCCTGCTCATCATGCCTTCACCACCACCAAAGATCCCACCTCACGCTCCTCCCGGTTTCATCCCTCCCAAACCTCTTTCCGAACGGAGACCGCCCAGCAAAATACCATTGGATCGAGTTGCCAGATTGACATTTGCCGATATTATCCATCGAACGGCGGTTTTGAGTTGTATAGGCATATCGGTGGGTCCCCGTGAAGAGCTTTCGCTGGGATCTTCTTATGATGCGTATAGATCTTTGGAGGAGGATTGGCAGTACATGGTGTCCTTACGAGGTATAGGAAGACGAAAGCGGTAGGTCGGTTTCAAAGAGAGATTGGGAATAGTGCTGATGATCACATCACCGTAGGGAGAATTGGACGCTCTACAGAAAGCAGTGAGCTGATTGATATCTTGAGACTTGGTACGATCGAGCTGACACACGCTCTACAAGGGCTCACCGCCGATAGAGCAAGCAGCTGGATCATTAGAGAAACCTCAAGTCATGCCATCATGAACGATTTTATTTTGTATCGACAATTTCCATTGCATTCCACTCATTCATCGAAGACTCCCGCCATAGGCGCTCTGCAGGCTGTTCTCAAAACCCACATTGATTTTTGAGGAATCATCATCGACAAATTGCTCATTCCGATTCTGCATGATCCAGAACTCTCTGCAATGTTTTCAAGCTTTCGACTGTCACCTGTCGCCGGCTCGATTACCTCGACCACTGACTCTGCCTTCTTTCCACCCCCGTTGGCCCTCTGAGCTGACTCGAAGCTAACACACCAAGTCCCGGCCTCTCTTCTTCAACCCTTTGTCCATTTCCATCGGAAGGACGGTCACCTCTCCTTTGATTTCGCCTGTTCGAAGGATTGTCCACCAGGTCAATCTCCTTCAAAGGAGCGGAGACTGGTGCTACATGCCATCACGACTGAGGGATACTCGCAGGGATACCGCAAATGGGTGCTTGGTTTTTATGTGCCCCTTCAGGCCAGACCATTTGAAAGGGGCTGCGCTATCGAGGGAAAGAACCCGCTCGATCCTTCTGCTCATTTTTGCTATTAAGCCCATCTGATTCTATCTCTGCGTCTGTTCAGGCTGGTCACTGGAGCGACGCCACACTCTTTTATCCATTCCTCCGCGGAGAGAGGGGACAAGGCTAGCACTTCAAACGTCCGATCGCGTGAACCCCGCAGTCGAACTTGGCTGCGGTGGCCACCTTTCATTCGCCTTCACCGGAGACAGATCTGTCAATATTTACCATGATGACGACAACCATAGATGATCAGGACCCAAAGTTGGCATGGTACGGGGCATCGTGGTAGGTCGTGGAGGTTTCCGATTGATCGATGTTGGGCTGAAAGTTTTCCAGGGCGAATGTGAAGCCGGGAGATACGAGTGGGTTGGAAGCCTGTCGGGAGCTGAGCGAATCATTACAGACGATACGAAGTCTGATCTGTATTATGATGCGGTGAGTCTCCTTCATGTGGGTACTCCTAGGCTAATCCGACGCTTTAGACCTTGTAAGCTTTAGAGGGACTGCCTCATGGTCTCACTGCTGATATGCCCCCCAGTCATGGGTCGACAGGGAACGTGAGAGGGTCCACTGAGGCCATCAGGCTTTCTGACGCTTTAGCCAGGGAGAGTACTGTATCATCGCTTGGCATGGAACCGATATTGCGGTATACGGGGCAAGACGGCCAAATTGAGTTACCCTTCGTTCATGTCGAGATGATTGCGACGCTGACGTCTTACCTCAGTCATGTGAGTAGGATAATCCTGCGGGGCAGTCAACGTCAATATAGAAGGACAGATGCTGAGTCTGTCAGGGAATCTACGGTATATCTGTAGACGGTCAAGACGCCCAATTCTACTCTGGTTACGCGTCGTCGGATACTTTTCAGCAAGTCCTCTTTGCGACATCTGGGCTTGCAGAAGGCGATCATACGATCAGGTTGAGTAATGAGAACGCGAGGAATACGGAGCAGTATCCTGCGTATATATGGTTTGATGTGGACTACGCGGTCTTCACGGGGACCTTGTGAGTGGCCATGGTTGGGGTTCATCAACAGCATGGCCGAGTATCAGCATTGAATTTTCTGTCTGACAGGATGGACGCCTCGAGTACTGCCAATGTTCCGGGTCCGACCACGTCCACAACGCCTATCACATCCTCATCTATCGCCACTTCTACCTCGACTCAACAGTCTTCCAGCACTGACGCGCCGCCATCCTCTTCTACATCGTTCGACTCCACACCCTCAACTTCGACCTCCGCCTCATCTTCTACCTCTCCCAGCGCTCTCAGCGGATTCTCGCTGTATCCAAGCTCTTCACGACGACTGAATGGCGTCGGAGGTCCAACGTCAAATCAACCTCAAACGTCCGGAACTCCGGTCGTCCCGACGACCACTGGACAGCCCTCAAGCTCAGTCTCTTCAGGCAGTGATAATCAAGATTCTGGCAAGACGAGCAATCGGTGAGTGCCATTCTCTGAACGACCCTCGGTTGACTGTCTGGTCAGTACGACGGCAATAGCAGTCTCTGTCACGATTATTGTGGTGGCAGTGGTGGTCATCGCGACGGTTGGCATTTTGTGGTTTCTCAGGCGAAAGAGGAGGCGTAGGGAGGAGCAAGAGGAGACTAATGGTGGGACATGAGAATGTTCGGCAACTGATACTTTCGCAGGTCTGACGCTGCAGAGCTCATGGAGGTGACCGCAAGTGGGTCATTATGATATTGGCTGGAGGAAATGTTTGGTGTGCATCCAATCCCGCGGCTATGTGGCAGTGTGTCCTCCGTCGACCAGTAGATCCGCACCCGTCATGAAGGAGCTGGCATCTGACAGCAGATAGATGGCAGGACCTGACCGTGTGTGAGTGGAGTGTTCTCCAGACCTGCGAGACATGCCCACCTCTGAATTCATCCTGGGTCGATAATCTGCCTAACAGACTTCCCTTGAGCCACGTTTCGTTAAAGTCTGGTCGTTGCTCGAGCAACGCTGCGGTCATTGCCGTACGTATCTGATTTTGGGCGTCAGCAGGAGAGGGGGCCTGGAATGCTCTCAGACTCACGTAACCCGGTGATAACGTCTGTAACGTCAGCGGAAGCTTCTCAGGCCGCGGGAACTCACGTTGATCCTGATCCCTTTCTTACTCCACTCCATCGCAAAGCATTTTGCCATGGTGTGCACAGCAGCTTTTGAAGCGTTGTAAGCAGCACATTCCAAACCATAGTTTGCGACGTGGCCCGACATGCTAGCCGTCAAGACGATTGAAGCGCCTTGATCCCCGGCTAATCGGTTCATACCGTCGGCGTGTGATCCGGGCCCGTCGAGGACCTCGGCGGCGCCGACTGCGAGGTGCTTGTTACGTTCGATAAATTCTCTAGCAAACGCTTGAGAGACGAGGAAAGAACCTGTCGTATTGACATCGATGATCTTGCGGACTTGATCGGCGGTGTAATTCAGAGCGGGCATCAAGAGTTGTATGCCTGCAGCGTGGAATAGACCTCGTACGGGTGCAGAGGATGATGCGGATGAGAACAAGCGATGGAACGTTGACTTGACTTGTTCCTGATTGGTGATGTCCAATTGGTCATAAGTCAGCTTGAGACCTTTGGCCTCTGCGATCTCTCGAGCTGCGGGCCATTCTTGTTCAGAGGGCTCAGGTAACAAGTCAACGGCCGCCACGTTGGCATCACATTCCAGGAGAGCTTGAGCGACGGTCAAGCCTAGACCTCGAGCTCCTCCAGTCACGATGACTGTTCGACCAGAGAGATTGAACAGATCAGGCGTAGATCTACCTGCGAGGGGAGCTTATCCCGGCAATCAGCTACGACTACATCAGTCAGACTTACGAGGCGGAGGCCCGGTCGATGGTTCTTGAGGAACGCCAGTCACTTTACTAGGGTCTTCTTTGGCGTGCTCCGCAACGCCTTCCGTCAGTTTGGCCTTCTTTCCATGACGCTCGGGATGGGGACCCTTAGCAGAGGCACAGGTGATCGGCGTCTGGGACAGGTAACGCGGGAGAGGCGAACAACGAGACCCTCGGTGAGCTAATGGGACCAGGAACGAAGACAAGGTCCGTGTGGAGATGCCCCGGACAGCGGCTGTCAGAGTCATCTTGGCCAGACCCCAACTCGGTTGACTACAACCTATAGACTGGTATCAACTCATAAATGAGGTCAGCCGGATAGCTCGGACCGGACCAATATTTGGGAATCATCCGATGTCGGCAGTGCCGACGATGTGATGTACAGCACAAGTATATACATGAAATGCAGCAGAGACTAGCTCATATATCGGATATTCTCATCACTCTACCCGCTCTGCGGATTTTGTCCTCCCGCCGTAGCTCTCACACGCTCATTAATCCCCTAACTAATCGCTTCCACGTCCGCCTCGCCTGCTTGCTCCATCTTCCCGACTTCTTTCCCTTGGGCTTGGTCATCGAGCTGCTCTCCTCCCCGTTCAGCTCCTCCTGAAGCTTCGCGTGAATCTTCTGTCGACGGGCCTGATGCTGGCGATACTTTTGCGCTTCTAGTTGTCTCGTCTGCTGGGGCGTCATGGTCGTAATGCTTGGATTCAGGTTCTTTTGATATCGATGTTGCGATTGCCGGCTCTTGCGATCCGTCTGAAGGATGACTGGTCAACCAAGAATAGAAGATGCATGTTTGCTCACACCTTGTCCGTTCCCCCTCGTCGCCAGATTGGTTTTTTCTTCGTTAGATGTCAATCGTGATGTCTCCGGTCTCCCAGTGACGGTCGTTTTGCTATGAACGATTGCTGTACCGGTCGATTCGTCCTTCTGCTGGGAAGTCTTTGCTCTGCCAAGCGTACCGGTCTCTGATGCCTTTTTCAGATCCTTGACTGTCCCAGACCGGCTCCATGTCTTTGCTTTGAGCGAAGGCGAGTCGGCAGCACGAGCTCTAGAAGCAGCTGTGCCCTGCATGAGTCTCGACGTAGAGCTTGACGACGACATTTTTCCATGACCAGACCGTTCTCCACCGGCAGGGGTTGGACTGGAAGGCCTCGGTCGAGCCCTAGACCCAGAGGCCCGACCTAGAGACATGCTGGTCTGTGCTCTCATCGTCTTCTGGGCCACAGGTGTTCGGGTTTTCGCCAAGGAAGACGCGGTGTGCCCCGTCAGCTGAGGTCGAAGTGGTGTGAGACTGTCTTCCGGGGATTTGGATTCAGCCGGCATTGGTGGTATGGCATCAGATGTAGCAGTCTTAGCCTTGGGCGTACTGAGAGCGCCTTGAGATGTGGATGGACGCGCTAACGCCTTTTTGGTTGAGCGAGGTAGAATCGTGATCGACGCGCTAGATGTAGCATTGTTGACCGGGGTAGTGGCAGACTGATGAAGCGTAGCACCTGCCTTGGATGGCTTCGACGATTCAGACTTAGTAGGGGTGAGCGGCGCCGGATCCGTCTTGGCGGAGCGGACAGATTTCCGAAGGGAAGTAGTCGTGGTAGGGGATGAGGGCTGGCTAGGCTTGGTTTTGGACGAAGCTGGCGTGGAATCTTTGGCGACCTTGGCTGCAGCTGAGATAGATTGTTTGTGTTTATTCGGTGTTCCGGCCACCTTTGGAACGAGTTTCGTGCCCTTCTTCAAAGGCGTGGGAGTTTCCGCGACCTTGAGAGGTGATGGTTGAGAAGACAGACGGGATTTGGAAGGGGTCTTTTGCGCTGCAGGCTCTTTCGCTTCGATAGGCTCGGCTGAGATATCCTCAACCTCCTCCTTGGACTCGTGTTCCGCCTTGTCAGTGACTTTGACCGGACTGATAGAAGAAGAGCTCGTCGCGTCGTTACCGGTGTGATTTTCTACGGGTGCTGGACTCGAGGTCTTGTCCCCTCGGACAGGCGTGTCTTCGAGTACCTGATCAGATTGACCATTTTCCGCCTCCGTATCCTCGACGATGGGCTCCACAGTGTCCTTTCCTTGAGTCTCCTTGACTTCTTTCTCGACGAGATCGGCGACCGGTTCGTTGACGTGACCCGGAGCTGGGACAGTGGGTTCACTGGTAACTTGTGAATGGGTTACCGTCGTATCGCGACCACCAGTATTGTTCGGGGAGACACCCAATGAGCTGTTTCGTCTGGAGCTAGAAGGAGGCGGGAGAGACATTCGACGACCTTGTTCAGCATCTCTGTTCGCGGCGGTCTGAAATCTAGCGACCAAAGCGGAGACCTGGTGGCGAAGGTCAGCTGGGCAGATGGCAATATCGGGTGCAGGATAGCGTGACGAGAGATATCCCAGCTCTTCTGATCCCCTTACAGCCTACTCACAGAGCCTTGGGAACGTTCGACTGGCAATGGCCTGAGGACGAAGTCAGTCAACCCTCGATCGCGCTACACGCGTCTTGGCGCCTCACATTATGAGCGGGTCATGAGTTGGAGTCTGGAGGGCTCCATGTAGTCAAGTAGAGGGACTTGAGCTGTAGCAGTGGATCGTGCAAGATGTAGTCGAATGTCAAGACGAAGAGGGATACCTTTGATTGAAAGGGGTAAAGGTGGTTGCAACGGGACTACGGGTGATTTCAACCCCTGTTGGATCGGGTAGCCGGGTGTCAGATGGAATGTGGCGGTGGCTATGCCACGCCACTTCGCAGCTGAGCACGATTCTAGATGCAATGCTAGCTATAGATACGATGCAGTTGAATGAGAGCCCTTTCTAGCCTTCCAGCAAGAGCTTAATGAACCTTCTCCTATTATCTACTTGGTTAACAAACGCGACACGTCCAAAAACCGCAGGTAGCAGAGCGTCGACAATGTCGTCTAATACTCATCAGCTGAATTCGATGCAGTCGTCTCACCGAGTGTTTCGGGGTCGAGTGGCATTTCTGTCAACTCAGGAGCCGCAGGCTTCTTTGGCGTCGACCGGGTGATTGTAAAGCTTGGAATAGTGTCATCAAGTGGAGGTGTTGGGAGCTCAGACATAGGCGATCCAAGAACGTGTGTTGGAGCAGGTGAGTCAGGAGAGCCTGTATCATGGTTCAACGACTGGTAATCGTCCGCCGACACTTCCGAGCTGAAGGTCCCAGTGCTCTTCTCCTCGCTACTATTTGAAGCCTGCGCCGAAGCCCGCTCGATGCAGAGCTTGACGACGCTCATTACTCCGATCAAGATCTGCCACTATCAGCCATCTGATGACGGGGCCACTCACATTGGTGTTGACTTGTGGCACACCTTCCAACGAAGCGAACGCTTCATCTCGAGTCCGCGCCGATTCACATTCTCTGAGTCGGATCGGAGGGATCAACGCAGTTGGCAGAGACGAAAGCAGAAGCAAGAGGCAGGCAGCAGAGTTTCGCGCCGAGCATCCCTTCGACTGCCCTTGGTCTTTTGGGAGATCTTCTCCCGAGTCCAGCTTATCAAGCGTGATGAGAAAGCCTGGCTCATCTGATGATCCGGACCACAGTCGACCTGAGCCGTTGGCCATGAGATGCTCCAGTAGTCTCCAAATCTCCTTGACAGGTTTGACACCTCTGGGCCTTTCCTGATAGGCATCCACCGGTGGATTCGCCAAAAGCTTCCTTTGGGCTACGTCCAGTTTTTGTATTGGTTCTGACAAGAGATGCAGGATTGATAGGGGCAACGAGAGGATAGTGGGGCAGAAGTTTGCTTGGAGGGTGATAAACTAGCGGACGGGATGAGCCATGGAGCGGACAATCACTCACTGTGTCTTTACCATCGGCTACACGCAGCACTAATACGTCTGTTGGGCGTGAGCTTCGAGTCATGAGCAAAACTCACCGTTGAGCTCTGCGTTACCGAGGGAGAGTCCGGCGGCATGCTGGTCGTCCACCATGGCAGTGATAGTCAGGGTGACCGATTCTCCTGGCTTTACCGTGCCATGGTTGGGGAATGGCCAGAACCACGCTTTGCCTGTATGATGAGCTCTCGGCAGCATCGGCTACTCACATATTGGCTTATCTGGACTTGGTGGCTTGAAGTTGAAGGTAGCGGGAACTCGTCCCGTATTCGTCAACTTGATTTCGCGAGGTATGCGTCGAAGGACTCTGCAAATTTTCAACTCCAGCGCACGACCTTGACCTACCTGACATCTCCAAAATCGAGACTCGTTTCGTCGACCTCAATGGCTGGCCTGTACACCTCTTCCAGCTTTTCCAACTCTCGTTCCACCCCAAGATACATCTCTCTTCGTCGCTCTTCGTCGACAACCCGAACGTTCACGTCAAAGCTCGCAGAGACCGGGCGGTGATCGGACCAAAGGATCGAATGTAAGTCGTATGAGGAACATGCCACGGACGTCGTGTCTGAATACTCAGATCGCGGAGTGGACCATAGAATACGGTCCGTGTATGCTGGTGATCTTCGAGTGTCCAGCGTCGTGCTGCCGTGAACGTATTTGAACGATCTAGATGTCAGCTCTAGACTATCTTCCACATACGGAGCGAAGTTTATCGGATGTTCTCGAAAGCCCGCGAAAGATTTGCCAGATGCGATATCTGCCCTGAGCTGAGTGAGTCAGTGACGTCTTCTGTGCACGACCTACCTGGTCTTTCTCCAAGATAGAGTCCCTTTTGCCCTCACCGACCCAGGCCCTCAAAATATCGTCTTCCATATCTATGCGGTAATTCAAATCTCCGCACCAGAACTAGGGTCAGCAAAGCTCGGCATCATGCTCACCAGCACGTGAGAGTCTTCCACACCCAGGGGTCGATCTTTGGCTTCGGACCAGAACTCTTCAAAGGCCGGTACGATTTCCTCGCCGACTGAGACGGGAAAAGGCAGGCCTTTCAATAAGACTTGGAAATCGGCCCGTCGCCGCTCCAATGCCGTAGCAAAAGCAGCGAGATCTGCTTGTGTCAATCTGTGGTATCGTGACACCACACGTACGCGAGTTGACAATCGCCACAGTCGTATCGTAAATCTTGAGTCGCACGCAGACTCCAGCTTTGTTGCCACCAAATCCAAGAAGGCCGATACCTCTCTCAGAAGTTTGGACATGGGTTACATGCGGCCGTAGAGTTTTACGAACAAAGACAAGTGTCATCACACCAACGTATTGGGTCATGGCAATCTGGATGAAGATCAGCGTAAGAGCGTATGGGCTACGCACTCTTTCGTAACCCTCCGCTTTCGAGTCTAGACCGGCCAATATAGCAGACTCCCACTCGTCGGCTCGGACATTGCCTTGTGAGATGAGTAGCGCTTGACTTCGGAGGTCTATTGTCGTCAGCGCGGACCTCTGTGGCATACACGTACCAACTTCTTGGAAGCCAAAGACAAGAACATCTTCCACGCCTGAACCCACAAGAGTGCCGAGTTCCTTTGTGCCCGGAGGTGGTAGCTTATCGTTGACGTTGTAGGTTGTGATTCGGATCCTGTAAGTGTAAGCTCGGATCAAAACCGAGACTCACTTGACTGGGGTTCGCGATGACCACTCGCCTAGACTGGCAAACAGTCGCTTTCTCAGGAATCCGATGCGCGAGAAACCTGCAGCAAATGGATTTGGGTACTGTTCTTCCGTTGAAGCGTTCTTCGGTTCCAGTGTCAATGAGGTGAGCGGCGTCACCACGGAATTGGACGCGCCTGGACGCTCTGTCAGCTTGGTGAAAGAATATTTAAGCTCACCACTGGGAGGGCTTGCTAGACTCGTTTCTGAGCTTTCCCCTGTAGCGCTCCGACTCGTTAATGACCCGCTCTCATCGTCTGAATCATTCTCTAAGCTTGGCGGGATGACGGGATAGAGCCGTGCCCATGAGTGCGTAAAGCTGTGTGGGGCACGTTGCTGTCCTGATTCTGAGTGAGACTGGGACAAAGGAAGAGTTCCTTGTCGACCTACGAGATGCATCGATAAGAGCACGAATGTCCGTGATGAGGGTCTGCACACGGACTGTCTGGGACGCAGATATCCTGAGGTCGAACTTGCTCGACTCGTTGGAGAGGGACAAAGTGATGTCTTGAGATAGGGATCAGCTGATATACCACCGGGAGTTTGAGCTCACGCGGTCTCGAGCTCTGGTGAAAGAAGGAGGTCGAAGGCGAGGGTGGAGTCTGATTCAGACTGTGCTTGAGACTCGACGTGATAGGTAATAAGTGTAGGAGTCTCGTCTCAAAGCTGTCAGTACCGGGGACGATGACCATCAGGCTATGTGAACAGGGAAGAGCAGGACGGCATCAGCAACGCGAGGGACAAGTTGGCGATAGCACTCACGCAGCCTCCTTGATCCCGGCAGAACTACTGACTACGGTCGCCGCCTCTGCCTTGTGGTATTCTGACCCATCGGTCCTGACCCGACATGGCAGCGTTACCGAGACCCGCTCAGTGGATCGAAGGACAGAAGCAATGTCAAAGTGGCCGACTGTGTTTGTCCTGGCATAGAGACTCATTCTGGGGGGGTCGGCAGCTGATTCGAAGCCTTGGTAGCTTCTTTATCAGCGGCAGTGTGAGCCCAGGGTATCCATCCACCTTGGATGTCGCGATGAACTCGTACTTAGCGTCTCGCTCTGCGCCGCGCGGGGCACCATTCCAGGTGACCACGTGGTGAGCCATCCGACTTTTCGAAAACCAAAGGTTACTGTGAAATATTGTCGAGTGCATCAGTGTGACATCTCAGCCTGTCCAGCATGTCTACTACCGTGGCCAGGACTGAGCGCCTGAAACCCATCTTTCAATTCCCTAGGACAACAGTAAACCGTGAGTTTGGTCTTCATGATCTTCATGGCCTTTTGACCATCGCTGAGCCCCTTTGCAGGCCCGATCGTTCCTTTTCTTTCCATCCCTCTTTCGTTACGACACGATCCGAAGTGGACCAGAAGCCAACCCAACTTTGCTCACGATGGAGTAAGCTATGCTCGAGAGACATTTCGTCGAGGTCGTGCGATAGGAGGAAAGAAATATGAACGTATGGCAAGGGCGCAGTGAGTTGGCCGAAAATGACCTGGTACTGAAACTCTTACTCAGGAGAGAAACCTTGAGGCTGAACGGTCGTGAGGCCGCCTTTGTCGACCCCTCCGATCGGGTCAGACAATGGAATATTGGTCCAAGGGATAAGGTCAGGCTCTTATCGGGTGAACCTGAGAAGATGTTTGTCGATCCTGAGCTCGGTCCAAAGGGAGGTTACAAGATTTATGAAGTCAAGAGTATCGACAATAAACTGAATCGTGTCTATCTGGACATACCGAAGGTGAGTGGGATGGATTATCGTTTGGCTGACTTGTACAGGATGCTTCTAGGCTCGGACCGAAACCCTACAATTGGCCGAACATGGACGACCGTGAAAAACTTGAATGGGTCGTGAGACGGGACGAGGAGTTGAGACAGCAGACCAAACCAGACTATGTGCCGTATTCTAAAGTCGGATTGTTGATCCAGGAGAATACGGAGGACCCTTCGTGAGTGGTGAAGATGATCTCGACTCACCCATTAGCAAACATATCTGGGCGAAACGTATCCAATGCTCAGCTCCCAAGAGGGATACTGAGCTTGGTGCCTGGACTTGGAACCGGTACGGCATCTATCGAGATCCAGTGTCACGCGTCCGTCGGATTCAAGCCATCCCATGGCCTCAGGAACCCGTCTCTTGTGAGTCTTAGTAGTCGTGGGACAAGGCTAAGATTTAGACGTTGCCCCGGGCCCTACTGAGGTTGCTGGAGACGTCGCAGAGGCCGTTACTTTGGATGTCAAAGCGGGTGCCGATCTGTTTGAAGGTAACGCCGTCATCAGCCAGATCCTCCCCATACACATGCGTGCGCCGCCTCCGCTGTCCAAGGATCGTCAATGGGTATCCGATACGTACTTGACAAACCAAGAGCCAAGTGAGGATATCCGTTATGCTTATGGGGAGGATGCAGAAGGACACGCTGCGGAGAACAGACTTGTCGACTTGCTCATGCCTCTGTACCTTGGCGAAGAACTCAGCCCGAGATTCTCGTCCAGCAAGAAGCGACTCGCCTTCAAGCATAGGCTCTCTATATTCGCCCAAGAAAAGGAAGACTACATTCAGAGAGCTGTTGACGCATGGGAGGCAGGAGGGAGAGACAGGAATTTGCGAGCGGTCCTGAATAGCCCGGAGGCGTTATTGTCTGGCGTGCCGATCACACCAAGAACCTTGAAGGAGGTGCGAGAAGCCGCAGAGCTCGAGTACAAGCGAATCCGAGAGGCCGACATGAGGGATGCGTCGAAACAGATCCGTAAGGGAAAACTGTGGGATTACGTCAACGAGGGTTGGTTGGACACGGAAAAGTCGAAGCGGAAAGAGCGAAAGATCCGACGCAAAGTAGAGAAGGCGAAGCTGAAGTTGGAGAGGTTGGATCAACTCAAGCTCAGAGAGCGCAGGAACCAGGTCCTGCCCCCTGGTTTGAGCCAAAATCCGGAAGACAAGAAGCTAGTCAGGGGGCGTATGTAGGCGCAGATGCATGCAGTAGTGAGGAGACGGTACGGCTCACACAGATCTGGGTCCTCTAAGGTCTATTACTCGCGCTCCACTCTGCCCACAACATCAACATGCCCACCACAGTTCCGGCGCCTTGGCCTAGATCACGATCTTGCGTCATCGCCGGAGGTAGACTTTGACCCGGAACGAGACACATCGTGGCGTCAATCATCGGATCAGAGCCATGGAGTAGAGCAGGAGCGAGGCATATGGCAAGTGCTTTGACAGTCATCCTGGTGGTCTCTTCGTGCCTGGCCAGGTGGGAGATGAGGTCCGCGAGGTACGTCAGAATGCGGTTTTCGGAGGCAGTCAGGATAGGAGAGAGATAGGTTTCGATGCTGCGAATGGTCAAGGAGATTTCACCCGGTGCTCACTCTTTTGGAGTATCACACTTCCGGATAACCGGGTAGAGCTGCTCTGAGATGATAGGGGATGAAAAGGAGGACAGCAGGCCATGCAGAATCTTTGGGGGCAGGAGCGGATCATTCGCGGCTATCGTTCTCCAGGGAATGATGGATTGGGAGTGACTCGGCAGCAATGAAAGAGATAACAGACCTGATGATAGCGGGGACTGAGTATCAGCTTGAGACTGTGACCGCTCTCACGTTTGTTGATCGTCTGAAGAGGCCTTCGGTGAGCGTGCATGGTGGTGACAGGATCGTATCTCGCAAATCCACTAAAATTCTAGCTAACGGCTGTGGCTCTGGAGGAACAAGGTCGTACAGTGCACGGTTGTCTAGCAGACGACTCGAGGAATCGTTCGAAGATGGGCCGGTTGGAGTATGCCTGGTGTCGGACCCCTGCAAGGCCGCCGATTCATCCTCTAGGAGAGGGATGGTGAGCTGAAGGCTGGCCAAAGAGACGTTGTTGGTGTGGCTCAGGGACGAAAGCGAGCTGGCGTACTGAATCTTGGCATATGCTTTGGGAGACACGAGAGGGAGGAACAAGGGCATGAAAACTGATGTCAGCCGTAGACAGAAAGTATGAGCTCACGTTTAGTGAACCAAGAGGCGTATACAATGTACTGGGAAGTCAGCGAGATCGCATCTAATCTCACAATCTGTTTGACATTCTTGCGGTGTCTGTACAGGTCAGAGGCTGGCAGAACCCTGGACTGACTCGTAAGGTATTGCTCTCAACTTCCACATCCAACGAGCAAAGCGAGGCGTCCAGAGTCCAGCGCCTTCTACCTCTCTCAGAGATGACAGAATGATCAGATTGTAGCCACGCTCGTCGACTCCTGCCTCTCTGTAGATGCTCTCCCATCGTTGAAACAAAGCGTCAAAGAGCTCTTTTGGATGGAGACATGTCCGTTCCAGTCGAACGACTTCTGTGAGGGACAATATAACGATCGGTAGATCATCTCCATCAGTGTGACCATAGTATATGGCCGCTGCGATGCCATCCCTCGTGAGCTGCTCACTGTTCATGACGGTGTAATGTGGTCAATGTTCAAACGCGACGCCCCGGACGGGTCCGAAGCACTTTACGTAAGCTTTGGGAGATTTGACCTTGGCTTACAAAAAGTGGAGGTGATCACGCAACTGATTTTTTGAGCATTTTCGGGAATGGAGGAATAGCGATGGCGACAATGACAATGATGGCGAAGAGGTTTGTCATAGCGGGACTCTTATGCATCTGTACATCCATCCGTCCGTCCATCCGTCCATCCATCTATCCATCGACCATGTCCGCATCAAAAGCAGCTCAAAACTTGGCCAGGTTTGCCACTTCATCCGCCTCGACCGGCAACTACAAAGTCTTGGTCATTGGTGGTGGTGAGTCATAAATGGGAAAGGAGCGGTATTTGACCCGATGTAGGTACCGGAGGACTTGCGGCTGCGAACCAGGTATACAATCTCTTCAAATCTCAAGGTCAGACTTTGGCTTCTGGTGATATCGCTATCGTGGATGTGAGTCGAGGCATAAAACTCCTCGCTGACTTTAGTCGAATCCTCATCACGACTACCAACCTGGTTGGACAGTCGTCGGGTCAGGATTGGCGACCAAGGAGGAATTCCGTCGACCCTTGGCTTCTTTGATCCCGGGACACATTGCGCAAGTTCACGGCCGAGCTGCTGCTTTTGAGCCACACAACAATCGAGTCATTCTGGAGGGCGGCCTCAGAGTGGGGTATGATTACTTAGTCGTCGCTCCGGGCCTCGAAATTAGTGAGCAGTGTTCTGACCGACAAACCTCTGACATTCACAGAGTACGACAAAATCAAGGGACTGTCGTCTGCTCTTGCCGACCCTTCATCGAGCAAGGTCTCCACGATATACTCCTACGACACGGCCGACAAGACATTCGACTTGATCAAGGCGCACAGAGGGAAAGGTGAAGCCATTTTCACCCAGCCTTTCGGTCCAGTCAAGTGTGCAGGAGGTGAGCGAGAAGTTTGGAATCTGTGCTTAATTGTAGCGCCCCAGAAGATCGCCTATATGGCAGACTCGTACTGGAAGGATGTCGCGAAAACACCCTACCACTCGACCTTTGTCACCGGTATGCCAACCATGTTTGGTCAGCCCGACTATTCAAAAGTCCTGAACACCCTGAGACAGGAGAAGGGGATTGATGCGGCGTTCAACCATAATCTTGTTGAGGTGCGAGGACAGACCGCGGTATTCGAGGTCTTGGCCGGAGACAACAAGGGCAAAAAGGTCGAAAAGCAGTTCGGCTTGCTGCATGTCACACCGCCCATGGGTGCATTTGAGTGGATCAAAAAGTCGCCATTGGCAGACGCGGCCGGTTGGGTCGATGTGGACGCAGGCACACTTCAGCACAAGAAATTTGAGAATGTCTTTTCCCTAGGTGACGCCTCATCGCTGCCGACATCCAAGGTGAGTCTGGATATCGCTAATGTCGCTGACTTCCTTCAGACTGCCGCCGCTATCACCGCTGAGGCGCCCGTCTTGGCCCACAACCTAGTCCACCACATGCAGACTGGTCAAGTAGGGAACGCCATCTACGACGGCTATGCCTCATGCCCTCTATTCACTGGACGTGGGGAATTGCTGTTGGCTGAATTCAAATACGGTCTTGAGCGGAAAGAGACGTTTGGCAGTCTGGTGGACCAGTCTAAGCCGAACAGGTGAGTGTCACGAGCAGGACCGTACTGACCATGTCGCAGGGCTTTCTATCACTTGACAAAGGACATTTTCCCAAGAACTTACTTCTCCAAGATGACACAAGGAGAATGGTTCGGACCGAGGACGATCTTCCCACCGCAGTTCTGAGGAGCTCGGTCGCCAATGCCGGGATCGATCCCTGGCATGCGCGACAATAGAGCTTCGAACGATCTCTGTGGGCGAGTTTGACGGAGTGTTTTCATCCGAATGCGAATACAGGAGATCTCGATTACATATGTATATTGGTCAATGACAGCTTGCGGACAAGTCGCCCTTGATGCACTTTCGACCGAGGATAGCTGACACAGACTGACCAGTCGGCAGGGACAGCAGACAAACGTGCCTCGTCTATGCCACTCTCTGCCAAAGGATTGACAAAGGACCATGGGTATGATTTTGAAGAAAATCCTCAATGCTGGCAACTGAGTAAGAAGCTATATACAGGGCTGCAGCCATTGCTGTTCAATTATCCGTATGACACTATGTCTCTCTTCTACCTATTCTGGACCCAATTGATCTTGTCCCGCAGCACAAACACTACCATGCTGATATACCTTGTCCAGACTGACCAGACTGACGAGTAAGTGATTTTAGGTCAACTCGCCTTCCGGCCCCGAAGCTGACCACCGACGTGATCGGGGCAGACAGTACATATGTCGCAAAGAGGAGGAACTAGCGGAAGCGCTACGGACAACACCTGTGACTGCAATCTGGTCGCCATCAATCACCATGCCCTACAGGCGAGACACCTCACTCTCACTGCTCATGTCAGGCCGCGAAGCGCCACGAGCAGGTACACTCGACTGACCGACACCGCTCTCGACTAACCTGAAGGCGCTGTCAAGTGGCTCCGAATGCTGATCATCATTCTCACGCCTGGATTCGTACTGGCAGATCCTCCCGAGACGCCTTGCAGCCCCACTGCTCCGAGTGACGGGATTGTGCTTACTCTGATGCCTGTCCTGAGCTCCTTACAATCTAGTCTCACGGCCAAGTCATCGCCACTGACAGTCCATATTCCTCCCTCGCTCGGGGTACCTGCCAACTCGGAATTGACCGCACTGTCAGTGGCAACAGTATGGTGGGAGGAGAGAGGGTCACATTGGCTGATGATAGTGTGATGCCGCTCGAGGCAAGATCAGAGTAGAGGCTTCGAACACCCCAGAGTGGATTCAGAAGGAGACTAGCTGGCCATACGTGAACTGAATTCGTATCTGTGCATCGTGTCTACCTAGCGTCAATCATCGATCCTGCGTATCTGTCTCCGGGCTCGGCAGACCAGCACCCAAAACAGATACAAAATGATCGTACTTAGGCTCGTAAATGATAGCGATGAGAGCTTGGTAAGGCTCATGGCTTGGTCGCTCTGAGGGAAAAATGCCCACTTTCTTGATGCTCAAGGTCTTGAAGGAATGAACACTGTCTCGCGCCAGAAGGCCTTCTGAGGGTAGAACGAGCGCACTACAGTCTGTTGACTCATACTGCAGCTTGCCTCGAATCTCTCTGGCTTCGGAGCCATCCGCTAACCAGCTCATGACGATCTCGACTGACTCCTGACTGGAAACGGTCTCGTGACCCGGAGATTCAGCCACAACATCGTCCTCCTCCTGTTCATCCTGCCAGTCATTGACCGTACCCCAGCGTTCGAAAGAGCCTGAAGTCGATTTGCACTGTTCGCCGGACTCGGTCAATTCGCCTGTGCCTGTCGTGATGTCTTCAGGTTCGCGACGAAAGAGGAAAAATGCTGGATCGCCACCAATTCGTGCAGAGTCAAGTATGACCCCTTCAGGCCAGGCCTCCCGGGCGAACGACTGAGATCCGATGGCGTCTTGCAAGGTTGTCACCTCTTCATCGTAAAGACGCTCTACATCACCACTTTGGTGAAGCTGCAGGGAGGAGAGCTGGATTCGATTGTTCGGTGTCAAGATTGTGGATCCGGATCCGAACGGAGCCGAGGCTGAGGCGGGCACTTGTGCGACCGTGCCTTCGAAAAGTATCAAAGACATGGTATGGGTGTGCAATGAGAGCCGAATGGGTGCTTGGCCTGTCTCGACCAGGGATCCACGTCGGAGTCAGCCACCTTTGTCCATGCCGATCCCAAAACTCCGTTTCGAAATCGCCACACAAAGGCGTCCAGTCAATGTTGCATCCTCTCATGGGCTTTTTTGCGGATACCTCGTGGATGGAACTGCAAACTGCTGTCTAGAGCAGTCGTCAAGGCATCCATGTCGATGTCATTGACATCTTTCGCTTGTACCGGAGAGGGATCAGACTGAGCCACAGGACCCACTCGACTTGGTGACGGAAAAGACGCTGGCTCTGGGGCACGATCAGCCGGACCATATCGTCTCGGGCGAATGAGGCTCGCAGCTAGACCATCTTCCTCGACCAAGCGATTGATCTGACATCATCAACATGGGCACAATCACACAAACTCACCCCATGGTTAGTGATGGAGAAGAAGTAGTCTTTGGGGTAATCTGCAAGGTCAGCGCTGCTCGACGCGAATGACGCACGGTGCTTGTCAATCAAGTGTCGGCGCCGTTTGGCAGGTGTCAGGAAGGTCTTTTGACACTGTCCCTTGGGCAGAAAGCATTCAAACTGAAGTCAGATCGTGACAGTCCGTGAAGACTAACAATCTTGTCCCCTCTGTTTTGCCGTTCCTGGATGATAGGATCATGAGTCTCCGCCTGGTGCTGTGGAGGTCAGAGTCGTCCCTCTCCTCCACTCACAAGGGACAAGAGGCGCTCCTCTGGGAAAGCCTTGCAACACTCTGTCATCTTCTTGGATGGTCCGTTCGTCGGAGTTGCAGGCTCGTCAGCCTTATCCCGGACGAGCGTCCGACAGACCCATTTGTGGAATGCGTCATGATGTCGTGAGAGCTCCTCCGAAGTGGCATAGGAGGAACTGCGTCCAGGGCCCGAGCATGTAGGTTCGAGGCTGCAGGTGAATTTGGTAGAGTTAGAGGTTGAACCTCGATGATACTTCGGAGGTGGGCTGAAAGAAAGTGATCGACTACTGATGTCTGAGATTGAAGAAGAAGATGAGGCTGATCTTGAGCGTTTGATCGCGCTCCTGTCAGCCTCCATAGTCGTGTGTCAGCTCATCATGCAGTGCAACAGGACAACAAGATGACATTCCGAGCGAGAGCAGCCACTACATCCCCTTCGAGTGCCACATTGACCTATTTCCGGTAATTCCCGCCGCCGTTCCAGCCTTGGCCGTCTCTCTTGTCCAGCTGGACCCGCTCACCACTCTACTTCTCTCTCCGATCGCTTTTGCTCCTTTATACCGTCGACCTATCTCCCATCTCCTAGTTTGCTACTTCACGTTCACGATGTCGACTACAGCAGAGCTATGTCCGGTGTATGCACCGTTCTTTGGCGCCATGGGATGCACCAGCGCCATCGTATTCACTTGTATCGGAGCGGCGTAAGTGCGGATCGATCTGTCATTCCTGGCGATATATGTTCAGGGCGTGGTGTATATACTCGCCATGTCTTGACCATTCAGACTCACCGCCATCGAGTGATGAAGCTGACATCGATGACAGGTACGGTACGGCCAAATCCGGTGTCGGAATCTCAGCAATGGCTGTTCTCCGACCTGATCTTATGATGAAGTGTGCTATCCCTGTCGTCATGGCTGGTATCATTGCCATTGTGAGTCGTCTGGACACTTGTCAGCGGTGGGCGTTGACTGACTCGTGCAGTACGGATTGGTTGTTTCCGTCTTGATCTCTGGCGATCGTGAGTGACTTGCATCTGCGCTCAGACTGATACATTTCCAGTCAAATCACCGATGGCACTTTACACTGGTTTCATCCAACTTGGTGCTGGTTTATCTGTTGGTTTGGCCGGTCTCGCCGCCGGGTTCGCCATTGGAATCGTCGGTGACGCAGGTGTTCGAGGAACCGCTCAGCAACCACGATTGTTCGTCGGAATGGTGCGTTGCATCTCTACCTTCTGCACTGACCCACAAAACTGACTCGCATTAGATTTTGATCCTTATTTTCGCCGAAGTCTTGGGTCTATACGGTCTCATTGTTGCACTAATCCTCAACACCAACGCCGGTGTCGACTACACTGTGGGTGCAATGATCGCGATTTCCGCTGACACTTTGCAGTGCTCCATCTCAAATTAAACGGATCGGAATATGTCCAGCGGGCATCGTAGCGCAGATCGGATCAGTCCGTATCTTAGGCTACATTTCGATCATGGCCCTTCCATGCACTAGACTAGCTCTCCTGTCTCCATATGCACAGAATACACATGTCTAACAAGGGGATCTCTTGAAAAAGTTAAATTCGCGCAGAATTCCGTTCTCTACTCTACCATGTCCGTCACTCGATCAAGCACCATCGATCACGGTCTCCAGCTCGCCCTGCGCTACATGAGCACAGATGTGAGATATCCAGGTCATGTCCCGCTCAGCTCCGTTCAAAATGCCCTCTTGGCTGTTGGCAGCGGTGTCGTCGGTGTTCTAGATACCAGTAGGGGAGGTGGGTATCATTAGCGGTCTCGTGCTTACCCACAGACCTCATTGCGAGCTTGTCCGAATCTACCGCCAGCACGTTTCTGCCGTCGCTTCACGAAGCTATGACGGCGAACGCAGAAGGACGCCAAATCATGCGGGATAGGCCCAGTATAAGCTCGGATGTTCAGAATAAACTTTGGAAGCTCAAGCGGGGCACGCTCGGACGAGAATGGGTGGAGTGGTGTCGCAGAGGAGATGTCACGCCGGATACTAGGCTTCCAGTGAGTCTGTGTAGAGAGCAAGCTAATGCCAGGTGCAATATGTTGACTCGCCCGCCCTCGCATATACCATGCTTCGCTATCGACAGACACATGATCTCTACCACACTCTGTTCTCTCTTCCTCCTACGCTTCCCCATGAGCTATCCCTCAAGGTGGTCGAATGGGCCAACATGTCCCTCCCCGTCGCTGCATTGTCGTCTATCTTCGGTCCCTTGAGGTTGAGCAACGCTCGACGAGATACATGGATCCGCGATTGGGTCCCATGGGCTCTGCGGACCGGTAGCCAGGGTGCCTCTTTGGTTGGGGTGTACTGGGAAAAGCGATGGGAGCAGGGAGTGGGTGATCTTCGGAGAGAGCTTGGGGTGGGGCGAAACGATCTGACAGGCGTGGAAGCTAGGTGGAAAGGGTATGGTCAGATCAGACAAATGGAACGGGATCTCAGGCGAAAGGGAGAATGGGTTGATGAGCCTGAGTCTTGGTGACCATGAAATCCTTCCTTTGTTTGACAAAGCACTCCACTGACCAGTCGGAAATGTGGTGACCATGAAATCCTGACAACGCACCTCACGCACGCCACTTGACTCGCTAACGAGTGCCTACACAATGCAGCACACGTCCCTGCCGGGGGCTAACCGACATCGGAGCCATTCGCCAAGCCATGCGTATCCCCGTATCGCCTCAGCTCAGAGTGAGCGATCATCAGGTTTCATAACCGTGTCGAACAGCTGGGCGAGCACCGGGGCGAGCTTGTCTCTTGGTTCTGGTCCCGAGCATTTGCCTCTTGCTTGGTCGGACGTTCGACACGAGGTCGACATGGAGGGCAATGTCAAAGCTCCCGTCAAGGAGCGGAGTATAGGTGGGTCAGTACAGGAAAGTGGCTAATCTCAGAACGATGCAGCCAGGCAGTGCTCATCACCTGCCTGCACTTGTCCCATGAAATGGCTCTTAGGGAAGTGGGCCTTTATGCGTGGACGCTGCCTCACACCAATGACGCACACGGCAGCATGCTGCGCATCATGAAGCGTGAGCTGTCAATCGGACCGGGCTCACGGGAAAGATTACGTGCAGCAGGTCAAGACGTTGTCTACTTCCGACCTACAGTGTCGAACCGCCCCAGATCCTTCCAAGACGACGATCCGACACCACCTTGAGCGGGCGAGGTATACCGCAGGTTCGAATAGCTACGTAGCGGTCATCTACTCGGGACATGGAATTCAGGAATCCCCGACTGAAGCTGGTGAACTCTGGTGCTACGACGTCTCGTTCGAGGATGCAATACAAGGAGGACCTGGGCCATCCGAGTGGGTCCGGAGACGAGCGAGACTGACATCAGATACATTCCAATTCAGTTATTCGATTTGCTTACCTGGGCCGGATCGTCAACATGTTACGTATGGGACTGTCAGCATTCCGGACGCTTCATCCGGGCTGCGGTGACCGAAGCAGAGGAGATCGACACGCAGCTCAGGGCGGCCTCAGCGGCCAATCCTTCAGTTGGAGAGCTTCACCCGCCAGTCTATGCCAGACGACAGATCCACTTCGCAGCATGTGGGGCTGAGCAAACGCTGCCGCGAGCTCCCGGCATGCCCGATGATCTCTTTACCGCGTGTCTCACCACCCCGTTGCGCATCTCGCTCTGGTTCCACAACCTGCAGACGTTTCCACTGACAGCATCAGATGCCAACAAGAACGTCCAGCGGTCGAGTGGATACATGATGGCACTGTACGATAACATGAGCCAATCGCTGAAGGACCGACTCTGGTCCGAACTGCAAGCAGTGATGCACACCATCGCTTGGCAGTCGCTCGATGGCGCGGACTACCAATTAGTTTTTGGTCAAAGCGGAGACGTGGTATCGTCCATGGCGGGAGGTTACCTCCTGTCACAAAGGGTAATGGGGGCATATCGCGCAACTCCAGAGTCTATCCCTCACATTCCTTCGTCCACATCGCACGCTTTGTGGACCCACTGGGATCTCATCCTTGACAATTTGTTCGAGCAACTGCCACCATTCCGACATTTCGAACAATCCCCCGGGGATACCACATGGGAATCGGACCTGAAACTCGTCTCGTTCATGGACGATCAGCTCGACTCGATTCTGCAGACGGACTTCTCAGTGTCAACGGTGTCAGACCAAGGAGGGGGTCCCTCGCCAGTTCTCTTTCGCCTGCCAATCATCTGTCAAGCTGCACTGACGACCGAGTTTCGCAAGCGCGCTTGCGTTGCGTTGGAGGCTTGTCTTCGATCACTAGACATTCACGGTCTGGCCCGAGCAGTTCAAGGCGGTGCCTTGGATGTGGCGGCTCAGCTACTTGTGGTCGGCGATCCTAATATTGGGCCTCAGATGATATCGATCTGGGCTGCGCTGGTGAGGAACGATGCCTGTGTGAGATCTCTGGCTCTGGAAGGGAGGACCGCAGAGCGACTCACCTCGGTTCCCTGTGTGAGATTCTTTCTCGACTCGTTGGAAGAGCATCTAAATGGTCAGCCAACCATCGTGATACAAGCTTCTGCGGTTCTGGCAACGATCGCAAATTTTGTCGCAGGTCGCAAGGCTCCGCGATTCACTACGAGGACACTGAAAGCCGCGTCGGGAATGATCCAGCATGAAGATGGTCTGGTCCAGCAGTGGGGAGCCCTTCTCGCTGCTGAAGTGCTCGGCAGCATAGAAAAAGCCAGCGAGGTCGACAAAGACACGGTTCTCCAACTCAAAGGTCAATTGATCGCCATGGCCCACTCTCAAGCGGTCGAAGCCAGAGCAACGGCTGTCTATGCATTGTCTCGATTGATCGACACGCATCCTAGGACGAGCATGTTCGACTTGGTACCGAGCCTGGACATGGTGGCGCCGCTGATCAATCCGGCGCTCAGTGAGGGTTCTGCCTTGGTAAGGAAGGAGCTCGTCAGATTGTTTTCTCGCATACTGCACGCTGGCGGAAAGTGGACTTTGTTCGCTTGGATCGTTGTGTTATTAGAGCAGGCATCGGATCAGCTGCCCGAGGAGAAAGAGGCTTGTGCGGCCTTTGTCGCCACCGCGAGTAAACGATTCGGGTCGGGTCACAGCCTTCGTATGCCATTAGCGAGACTCGCCTCGCACGCGCGTGCTCTTCGGGCACTGCTCTTTGACGCGCACCCTTCTTTAGCCGCCTTGGTCAGGCAAATACTCAGGAGTGAGTACGACAAGCTGAAGAGACTTTTCGGGTCGGCGTGGGAGACCGTGCTCCAGGTAGCTTTACCGATACGGCCAAGGAAGGGTTGGACGGCAGATTTGGCAACCTATGTTAGACAAGCTGGCGAGCGGCTGCTGGACAAGTGGGACACGGATCTGGCAGGCCAGTCGGGTCTGTCATTGAACAATGAGCTATTTGAGAGGAGTAAGCATTCATTGCATGCCTACTTGGCTGTGAGTGTCGGAAGACTGAGCACAGCTGATCGCAGAATTCGACTCCTGCGGTCATCCTGCCTGACAAGATTGACGGGCAACCTGAGAGTTCACAGGAGAGGACCTGGATCATCCGGCATAGGTTCCTGGAGGATTCGCTCGTGGTTGCGGAACAGCAGCGTGAGGTCACTGCAGTCCAGGCACTGATCTCAGGTGGTCTACCTTGGCGATGGGCCATGAAGGATATCTCGAGCCCGGATTCATGGTCGACGATTGCGTTTCACAGTTTTCTGAACTTGATCGTGGCTTGTAATAGGTCGAGAGAGATCTTGTAAGGAAGTCAGCGTCACAGTGCTGAAACCAGATTTTGGGACTGGAGTGCCTGCAAGAGGACGCGCTCCATCAAGCTGGACATCCCGGAGTACACCCATGTTACCTCGGTGAGGTTCGTAAACGAACTACAAGAGCGAATTTGCGTCGTTGCGGAAATCAGTGAGTAAAGGCGCGGCGAGGCTGAAGACAGGCAATGGGAACGTGCTCGTGTTATCAGGTCCAATGGATGACGCGGTACCTCTCCGGACGATATCTTCGTTTTGTGGGCTGGACATGGCAGAGGGAAGCCTAGTGACCACATGGTGGAGACAAAAGGGAAGGATGTGCATTGGCGGTGCCGCTGCGTACATCAACGTCTGGGATTGCCCGGCCGAGCGCCGAGAGAGGGTGAGGAAAGCGTTAGATACGACTGACGCCAGGTCCTCGAGACGCGATCACAGGTAGCCTTGAGCACGCTCATCACCGAGCCGGTGTCTGGCAACTTGGTGCTCAGCGGTTTTCAAGACGGTATCATCAGGTTATTTGACCTGCGCCAGAGCAGGAGGACTTCGCTGATAGAGTGGACTGCGGGAGAAGACCCGATTGTCAAGATCGGAGTGGTACTGGGGGAGAGCAAGCATGTCACATCTGCTTGGTGAGTTGATCCAGCTCATGAGCTCATTTTCCAGTGCCAACGGATGGATCCACATCCATGATTTGCGAAACATGTCCAGTTCCGTGTCTTCGGTCTTGGCCCAACCCTCTGGCATCGCCTCCGCGTCCTTCCAGTCTCACTCGGGACTCATGTCCACGGTATCGAACCTGAGTCAGAACAACTGGTTCACCAAAGACGCGACCCGTATCGATTTCGGCCTGTTCAGGTCAACCCGGAGCAGCCTTGCCCCGTTGACCGAGGAGCAATTCGAGCTCGCGCCCCAGCCCAATGGCATTGTCCAGGAGTACAAACCCTTTACTGTGGTCCATAGCCTGAGGCCGTTCCTCGGGGTTGGCTTTGGCCATTCAACTTTATTGCGAGGGTCCGGCGTCGGCAAGGGAGACAGCACGGATTCGGGAAGCTACAGCTTTCTGCGATCGCAAGCAGAATACATCATTTGAATGCATGCAGATGTGATGCGACTAAAGTACCCCTTGTCTGAAGGTCAGCAAAAAAGGCGAGGCAACTCACGAGTAGTATTGGAATGTATCGTAAAGTCTAGTGTAGTTGCTGCCCGTTGAGGTGACGATCAAGCGTTCGAGATACGCGTCTACAGCAGAAGTGGTGAGACCGAGCGCGAAGCGATCTCGGAACATGGCGGTAGTTTGTGGGCCAAATAGGGCAAAGCAGTCCAGTTTCGAGTCTAAAGTCAGCGCGATACGGAACCGTCTTACCTTTCTGCATCAACTCGACGATGGCTGAGGGTCAGCAGAGAACAGCTTCTGACTCACCGATCAAACTATCCGAGTGCTTTCGAGCCGCTTCAAAACCTTCCTTGAAAAGCTTTTTGAAGTACGCATAACCCGGCGAATCGAGTCCACCCATGATGTCGACATATTCCTAGGGTCAGCGATGTAGGGATGATCTCTCACCATGGGGAGCTTGAAAGGCGCCGCTTCAAAGCCCATGTTGCCGCCCGGCGAATTGGACAGCATGAACCCAAAGTCGATGTGGATCAGATGGCCATCACGGTCGAGCAGAATGTTACCGTTGTGTCTGTCCTTGATTTGCAAGAGAAACGTGACGACAGAATAGCCTTAGGGTGAGTGCGAGTCTGAGACTGTGACTCACCTGCAAGCGACTTGATAAAGTTGCGCTGGGCACGAGCAAACCGGCCAGTGTCGCGGTCCCCGTATGTCTGAGTCTTAACGAGGGGTCGCAAGGCTCACTTACGTTCACAAAGTGGTCCATCAATGAGGCGTGACCAATGGCGCCACCCTCGGCGATGCGTCGGGCATACTCGCCCTTCTTGATTGAGTGTATAGATACAGCATCGGTGATAGTCTCGACGAGTCCAGAGGTCTCTCCGGTGATTAAAATTCGGAAGCTGAGGTCAGCGATGAACGCCGATCCACTCACTATCTGACCCAACAGTCGCACTTTTCTTCTTTGAAGATCTTGGAAAACCGCTCAATAAGCTGTGTGGCGAGCTGCTCTTGACGCAGGTCGGTGCCAGTTTTCACAATCACAGAAAACATCTGACGTTAGTCAGGACCAGGCCGATCGACTCACATCCCAATTGGCAAGATGACCCCATGGTGAAGAGGATTGGATTCGAGACCGTTTGGACGTCCACGATTCCTTGAATACGGCCGCTGCATATCAGCGAGGCTTTGTCTTTTGACTCACCCGACGGGTCTGCCTTGTTCAGCTCTCTCCTCACGATCCCCTCGTCCTCGGCAGTCTGACCGCCAGAAGATGTCGCAAACTCCACACCCTCTGGCCTGTCTGTCATTCGTTCCACCCGTTCCTCCTCAAGAGCCATCATTTCCTCCATTATCCGTTCCCGAATTGCAGCTGCTTGCACCGCTGCAAGGCGAAGCTTGCCACCAGAGGCCGTGGGCGGGGGCTCAGACACTCCATGCGATGGCTGCGGGGTGGTCCCACGGATCCAGCCGGTTCCCGGGATCCAGGACAGCTTGCCGCTGGTAGATCCTTGAACTTCTGGCACAGTCGGAGCCTGTGACGCATTTAGCTGGGCAAGCATGACGGCGGCTGTGCGCATTCGTTCGGAGTAATCCTCGAGACTGATAAATCGCTTCGGCGAACTAGTTCCAGGGCTTGCGGAAGGTGGCGGGGTATCGAGAAGGGCATTGGAAATGATTGGAGAGTCTGGGAGACCGGGTGGTGTATTCGGTGTCAGGGAAGACCGCCTGGATGAGCCTGCCTCGAGGCCGCGATCCCACGCAGCGACATCGAGCGCCTTGTTCCGCGGGGCGATGCGAAGTGGTGCAGACTCAGATAAGTCGGGCAGCGTGTCTCGGACTGACAGCTTAGCACCGTAGAGCTGTTCAACGAGATCCATCTCTTCTAGTTCTCGTGGGACGGGCTCGGGTGTCGCAGGCCTGACGGGAGACTGTTTGATGACCGGCGTAGCGGGGAGATCCGGCATTGGCGATCCAAAACCTTCAAAGACCTGCAAGCCCTCCTGCTTTCGCTTTTTGGCATCCTCCTGAGTCACTATTTTCTTGAGCAGTTCGCGATTGTCACGTTTGTTTGGGTCAAAGTCTAAATCGCCGACGAGAATCTCAACATGCAAGAGGAACGGTGCCCGCTCCGCAGAATTGAGCACGACGCTGTCACCGGGGGAGATCCGGACGATTCGGGAGTGGGCCCTGCCACGACGTTTGTTGGCTTCAGACTCGTGACTATGATCGGCAGAGCACCACAAAGGCATGCAGATCTAATGTCAGCTTGGTCACTCGGGTGACTCACTTCTGCCGGGAGGTTATGGTTCAGGCTTGTCAATTCGGCACGAAGCGCACTGACTCGCGCCGGCTTGGGAACCACCAACAGTCTGTTGCTGATATCCTCGAGTAGCAGCAGGAATCTGATCTCACTGCGACAGTAGTGGCTCCGTAAAAGTTGACGCTGGGCGTCTTGGGAATACGATGCGAGGATGAGCTCAGCGGTGGGAGGATTGGGTTGGAGGCGTCGGACGGCGGGGTTAGCCTTTTGCGCGGAGAACTCTGGAACGGAGTAAAAAGGGCTGTAGTCGGTGGTGGGCACTGGCTCCTGCCCAAAGGGATCCTCACCCTTTTGGCGCGGCGTGGAGAGTGACGGCGAGTTGGTAATGTCTACGAACTGGGGGGAGGAGACCGATGGGGGAGAGGCGATAGGCGGAGAGAGATGGGCAGTCGATTGTACTGTCATTGATGGCCGCGACTCGTCCTCCGATTGGACGTCGTCCTCGCTAGTCTGCCTTGAAACGTCTCGTTTCGGAACGCCGTCTGCCCCCTCTGACCTATCCAATTCAACTCGGTCGCGGGACTCCTTGCGGTCGTCCACCACTCTCCGTCCCTGAATGACTGCCCATTGTCCGGCGAGGTCGGCCAATGCTGGCATCGCGGGCGTCGCGGCCAACATGACAGACATGCCGACCATTGCAGCCTGCACGTGGGGTTTGACTTTAGTCGGGGGCGAGTGGACCTTGTCTCCATCGATGGGCGTGGTCGGTATAAGACCCGTGACAGAGGCCGTGGGAGACTGGGGAAGCGAGCGATAGGGGGATTTTGAGGGTTCAGGCGTATCGCCAAAGATGATCTGGTGACATCGGTGCAGGACACGTTGGCAGATGAGGAAAGGTCGAGGATTGGTGTTGCGGGTGGGGGTAAGGTCTCGTAGCGCAGCTTGCATGAACCAGAACGTCTATAATCAGTGACGTAGCTCATAACGACTCACTAGCATGGCTGAATGGGTGCTTTCCTCCGCCCGAGAGATGATGAAGGCCTCCAGAGCATTCGAAGGGGACGGGTAGGTCAATAAGAGGTGACTGTGGTCAGTGATGGACCAACTTGGGCTCACCATATCTGAGGCCAATAGAAATCCACCTCGTCCCCGGGCATGCTCTTCATCCGCCAGCATAGGTAGTGAGAAATACCTATAGACTCGGGATACGTCTTGAGGTAGTGCATCGCGACCGAGATGGAGAAGTAGGGCGACAGAAAGAGCCGCAAGCTGAATGTCAGAATGGCCTCCACACAAAACCTACAGAAGAGCGTGCGACATGGTAGAAGGATCACCTGGGGCTTTAAGTCGCTGTTCGGAGCTGGAACATCCTCTAAGGTCTTCACCCGGCTCTCCACGCCCTCAAGAAAGCGACCTGCGCGGGGGTGAAAAATGAATGTAACAGAGGTCAAGATTGAAATCCACGTCGCGCGAAAACAGGTCAGCAGAGGTATACATTTCGGTACAACAGAGCTATTCTATGCTAAATGTCTGGCGTGGGCCATGAGCAGGTTCGTGGGATTCGCCTTCGCTGTCACTGTCGTCCTCTATTGGAGGCCTGACCCGGATGGATCGCCTCGTGGATGACTTCTGAGCTGAAACTTGGTCTGGAGAGCGTGAGTGGAGCCTAGCCTCCGGACCTCTGGACCCTGGCGGCAGGCCATCGTGCACCTGCGGCAGAGTAGGCAGATCGGCGAGGGCATGCGAGGGAAGGGAGTCGGTCGAAGCGTTGTTCACGAGGAAGGAGTGGGCGGAAGGCTGACAGATATCAGCGCTGAGAATTGTGGTCACTCACCCCCTCTTCTGTAGAAAGCCGCAGCGCAGACCGTGTCGTGTAGCTTGTGTCTCTGAATGTCAGCTGGTGCCGAGCCTGTGCTCACCTGGCGAACGTCTCAGCGCGCTGTCTTCGTCTGTAGGCGAGGAATCCGGCGCAGATGATTATGACGAGCACGAGGGGGAAAGCGTAGGACCCCGGAGGGGGCGGTCGGCTTGTATCGTCGAGTATAGAGGGATCAGAAATCATTGTGAATGACTGAGAGTGCTGATCTGCTTCATGCTTGAGCGTGAATCTTCAACGACGGGATCGAGGTCGTTTTGGGATCAAGGTCGTAATGGAATCAACGTTGAAGTTGTGGCAGAAGGATCGGTCGAATACCAATGTTGGGTCAGTATCCGAACTGGGCAGAGAGCTGTGGATCGGATGCTGAGGATTCAAGCCTGGGCTCGCGAGAAATGTGCGGCAGATATGAGATCCTTTGTTGAAGCGATCCTTTGCGTCCACGAGACGTGCAGAGTTCCAGGCCGAATCGTAAGATATAGAGCGAGGAAGACAAAGTACCAACAACAACACTAGCACCATGTGATTCCCTCTGAGAGGCCTGCGGCCGGCATCCCTCAGGTACTACAGCCGCTATGACCACAACGGCCGCTTCGATCACTCTCACTACCCTCCGCCCACACAAGGGCCACCCTATTCGCCTCCGCTTGGTTTCCTACTTCTCACTTTATCTGGGGACAGCATCATGACGGGCATTGGTATAGCTGAGGTGATCAAGACCATGCATGCGTCAGGAGATGCCACGCTTGATGGTCTAGGTCTGGCAATGATGTCTAGGGACTCACAACAGTGTTACATTGTATGTTGTTAGCTCCGCTGGGTATATCCTAGCGTCGCTTATTGATGACATGCCGACCGCCGGAATTTCCGTCGTCATACCTTCCTTGTCTTCCAACTTGCACAATGTTGTTCAGAGCGAGACACCTTCAGCGAAACGTCAGGGCTTATGCTACTGCCCTTGACAGTGGACTCCGGCCCCAGGTTCTTACGCCTATTCCTGGTCCTAAGGGCAAAGCCATCAGTGCGGATATCGGATCGTTCCAGGACCCACGACATCATGTGCTAGTTTGTGGTGAGCGGGATTGATTGAAACCTCTGACCGAAGACTACCTCAAGTCGAAGGGGAACTATCTAGTCGATGTGGATGGCAATACCTTCCTGGATGTGTATGCGCAGATTGCGTCCATCCCAGTGGGGTGGGTGAGCTGAATGGCCGCACTGATGCCAGGTACAACCACCCTCAGCTGCTTGAGCTTGTCAAGTCGGACTTGTATGCGACCTTGGCCATGTCGAGGCCGAGTCTGGCCGTGTTTCCACCGGAGGAGTGGAAGGGCATGTGTGGTGGGTCGGAAGAGAGGCGATACTGATGTCAGAGGACGCGTTCCTTAGCGTTGCGCCGCCTGGTCTAGACCAAGTGTTTACGGCCATGTGCGGATCCTGTGCAAACGAGACGGCATTCAAGGCGGCGTTCAGTGGGTCTCTTACTAGCTGTGCTGACCTCAGTGTCGTATCCCGCTCGTCAAGCTGGCGTCAAGGCGTCAGAGCTCGAGTTTACGCAAGAGGAGCTCGCATCTTGTATGAAGAATCAAGCCCCGGGATCGCCAGAGCTGTCCATCTTGTCCTTCACGTCGGCATTCCATGGCAGACTATTCGGTGCCCTTAGTGCGACGAGGAGCAAAGCTATCCACAAGATTGGCATTCCTGCCTTTGAATGTGGGTCGACATACGAGTCTCGCTCATGTCAGGGCCTGTGGTCCCTTGGCCAGAGATCAAGTATCCGATGAGCGCTTACGCAGCGGAGAACAAGGAGGCTGAGGCAAGGGCGCTTCAGCAGGTCGAGGAGACGATCAAGGAATGGTGAGTCGCAAGCATCTCTACCGCTCAGCGTTAGGAAAACCAAGCGACCTGTCGCGGCTATCATCATCGAGCCCATCGCCTCGGAAGGAGGGGATCATCACGCGTCGCCAGACTTTTTCAGAGGCCTGAGAGAGATCACCTTGAAACATAAAGTGGCTTTCATCGTCGGTGAGTCCAGCTGCGCTACTCACCCTGACAATAGACGAGGTGCAGACCGGCGTGGGCGCGACGGGAACGTTTTGGGCCCACGAAAAGTGGAACCTCGAGACGCCTCCCGACTTCATGACGTTCTCAAAGAAAATGCAGGCCGCGGGGTTCTACCATAGGTTGGAGACGAGGGCCCCCCAGGCGTACAGAAACTTTGTAAGGTGAGGAAGACGAGCTTCACTGACGTCAGAACACCTGGATGGGGGACCCTATCAGGACGTTGCAAGCGGCGGAACAGGTCAAGATTATCAAGGCCGGAGACTTAGTCTCGCATACAGGATCAATCGGGGACGACCTCTATGCCGGACTCGAAACCCTGGCCGAGCAATCCGACAAGATGTCGGGTCTACGGGGTAAAGGTCAGGGGACGTTCATCGCTTGGGACATGCCAAGTCCCAGTGTGAGGAACTCATTCTTATCAACGATGCGATCTCGCGGGGTTAACATTGGAGGGGTGAGTGTGAAAATGGCCAATGCTGACGTGACAGTGTGGCGAGGCAGCAGTGAGATTGCGACCGATGCTCATTTTTGGCGAGAGACAAAAGGAAGAGCTGCTTGGTCATGTAGAAGAGGTCATCAAAGGCGTTTGACCGTCATCGTCCTTTGTACAGCGGAGTCATGGAAAAGTTTCGGACCACCGTGCATACAGAAGCCCAAGCAGACACTGACAAGCACCTATCCCCACCATGACCACAATCACCCTGTTCAACTATGGAGCTATTGACCGAGCGCCTCACGCCGAGCTGGTGACAGATGAACTCCTCGAGGCGACAGAACGGACTCTCAAGATTACGCTGCCATCCGTGAAGACTGGCGCTCATCACCTGGAAAAGACTGTTCATCTGACTACTGATCGGTCAGACGAGGGTATACGATTGACCGAGTTGATCTCTTCAGACCTTGACCACGCAGTGTACCCTGCTGTGCTTCAGCAAAGCTTGACAACGCGCGGTGCATATGTTGTACGATCTGTGGACAAGCACTGCGGGCTCATCCCAGACTTCACACAGAGCGGTCGAATCTTGACCGACGGGACCACACAAGAAGAGCCTTTCTGGGCTGATCTGACAGCTCTAATAGACACGATCGGAGGTGAAGGTTATGAATTCCAGCTCGCAGCTATCACTGCAAATCGGGACAAGCTTTTCGAAGACGAGACAGACATCACTTTCGCCTACGAAGCGGTTCCCCTCGCCGAGATCCTGCCTTCGGACCAACAGCAGGCCATTGTCATGCTTTACCCCGATCCGTTGATTCGTGGAGAGGAGATGGAGATGGTGGTGCCGTGGTCTGAGATGACTCAGGAAGGAGGAGTGTACCATCATCACCCGTCAGAGCAGATCGGATGGGCCGGCCACGATAGACGAATTTCGAATGGGTCCGCTTTGACGATGGCATCAATGACCACCGCAGACACTGCAAGTTCTGGGACACAGCATGATCCTACAGGTAGTCTGCCTGGGACGCCGGACACGGTGATAGACCTAGCACCTTGGCTATCGGATGCATAGTGTCCTTTTAGGCCCAAGCGATTAGGGCAGACTTGTTGAGATCTATTGCGGTTTCGAGCCATGCAGTACCTGTCTTCCCCTCCCATTGGGACAAATTGCAGCACAAGTCCCCACACCTCACCGCCACTGGGCGATTCTCGACATTGAGAATTTTGACTGATGTAAGGAGCGTTGGCACGTTGTAATCCCCAGATGACAGAAGGGCGATCTTTCCTCCACTCGCTCGGACCTCGACCGTGGTACATGGACCTGGCGTCAGAAGAGAAACCCTTAAAAGCTCACCATTCGTCAAACCGTCGTCGACGTGGTACACGCTCTGCGCCTCTCCTTCGGCATTCAGATGTATGACGAGGCCATAAGACCCTTCTCGGGTCTCCTTGAGGGTATACTTAGGCTCGTTGTAGATCAGCACGACAGATCCCGAGCGGACATGCACCGGGATCTCGCCAAGAGGTGCGTCGAGCTCTGCAGTGCCATCGTTGCCGGGTACAACGAGTTCGTGAGTCCACCAGTGTCGCCACTGGGTACCATTGTCACTGGGGAAGTGACCGCGGACTTTTGTAGCCCCTTCGTGGAGTACAGGGGTGACCAAGAGTGATGAGCCGACAAGGAATTGTGCGTCGTACTGCTTGACTGAAGGGAAGTCGAAGAAAAGCGGTCTGAGAGGCGGTGTGCCATGCAAGTGCGCCTCTTTGAACAGCGTTTCCCAGTATGGCAGAAGACTATACCTCGCCTTGATGACCTTGCGTGTGGCATCCGCAACGCCGGGCCAGAGGTAAGGGAACTGATCACCCGCGCCATCCGCATTGTGATTACGGTAGAAGGGATAGAACGCCGCGAGTTGAAGCCAGCGATTGGCGAGCTCTTCTGTGGCGGTTCCGGCGAATCCACAGGCATCGGGACCTGTCATGGGCACCTGGTACAGTTGGAATTGGAGGACTCCTTGAATGGAGTCGCGCATTGACTGCCAGGTCGAGTAGTTATCACCGAGCCAGTGCGCGGAGACTGGTGTGAGCGGATCTAATGACAGGCAACCTACCTTGGCCAAGACCCGGGAAGGATGACCGGGATAGGATGAACGGCCGATCAGATAGCTCGAGCAGACCTTTGCGCGTAGCAAGATTTTCCCTGGCGTCAGTGGTGCTGATTTTCAGACTCACCTATAACCGTATGTGTTGTGCATGTGATAGTGGCGACTCCCATCGGCATTCTTCGCTGATGGATTGATGGACATGCGCTTGAGTCCTTTCCATCCATCGTGCACAGCGTACGGCGGTGAGTCTAGGTTGTCTTCGACGAGCACTGGGACACCTGGTGCAGGGTTGGAAAAGTTTGCCGGTTCGTTCATGTCCAGCCAGAGACCGTCAAAAGGCACTTTGGCGTGGAATTTGGCATTTTGTTTGGTCCACCATTCGATGGTTTTGGAGTGTGTCCAGTCGGGAAAGACCGTCGCGCTAAGAGGGTCAGCTCGGAAACGGGAGGAGGAGGGCGGTCTTACCCTGGCCAGACGCGCCCCACAAATTCGGAGCCGTCCGCAGTGTGCACGAAAACGTCGTCCTGAGCTCCATCCTCGTAAGGCGCATAGCCTTCAACCTTGCCTACGGCCACATCGACTAGCGGGACGAAGCGCTGGTGGTGGTCGTGAAGCCACTCGACGAACTCCCTAAACTTCAAGGGTCTGATATCAGCGCTATCCAACAATTGACCCACTCAAAGCCGTCCGGATTGCACGTCCAGTTCTTCCTGCCATCCATATGGTCAAGATCACTCCAGATCACCTCGTACGGGATGTCGGCTTTGCGCATATTCTCAACGACCTCTTTCACCCCGTCGATGGTCTTGAATGCACCCTCCCAGCGAAGCATGTGGTATCCAAATGCCCAGTAGGGCATCTGCGTGGGTTTGCCAGTGAACGCAGAGTATTGTTCAACGACAGCGAGGGGCGTTGGACCGGCAAAGAAGTACAGGTCGAGCGTGCCACCGAGAATGCGGTATTCGAGGACTCCCGAGCGCATGATAACGTCCATGCCGTGGCTGTTGCGAAGAGCCACGCCGTGACTCTGCTCACGCACATCTAGGTAGAATGGATGCGAGCCGTAGAGCGTCTGGTTGGTGGGCGAGCCGCCAGAGTCGCGATTCCACATCGTTGCAATGGTGAGCTCGTCATCGCGCCGAAAGCCAGAGGACGAGATGACTTCTCCGAGACCGAAAATGTTGGCTGGGGAGGGAAGTGCAGTCGAGAGCTGGATGTATTGATCGGAGAAGATCAGCGGGTGGGCTGGCATCCGCGTGCGAGTGTCGTTACCGTCGGCATCGATAAACGGGATGTCATCGTCGGGATCAGTGAACGGCTCGGCTGGTGTTCCACCGGTGGTGGTCACCTTGACGGCGTCTTTATAGATGGGGATATTGCTCGGACGAGTGTCAAATAGTACCTCAGAACCTCTAGTGATCCAAAAAGTGAAGGGCGAGTGCTCATAATTGAACGTCAAATCACACGAGGAGAATTCGACCGACCCAGTCGGCTGCGCCAGAACGTCCTGCGGGATCTGGTACTGCTTCTCCGCCTTGTCGTAGATATGAACGTGGAGTCCTAAGATCAGCTGGGTACATTCATCACCTCACGCTTTGCATCTTGAGCCTCCACGAGCAGGACGAGCTCGTCAATGTCCTGTCCAAAAGCGTGCTGGGCAGCGGTCAGCCGGAGTTCTCCGGTGAGGCTGGTTTTCCCGCACTTGACATTGGTCAAGTTGTATCCGGCATATCCAGTGATATCGCGGGAGCGATAAGGCATCACGAGCAGCCCGTTGAACGAAGTCTGTGGATGTGGTATGCCTCTCGACATGGTGGATGCGATGTACAAAGGTGCAATGTTTCCCCCCGTTTTGCCCCACTTTTCGGTCTCCTTTGTCTATTTTTGGGCGGCACGTCGGATCGGGAAAGTCATAGAATACAGCCGACGAACCAGAGTTGAACGCAGCGCACGAGAGACATGCGGGCGAGGTGGACGCCGACAAGGGCACCGACGAGTCCTGTGCGATGTATCAGGTGTCCAGCTAGCCCTCATAGACTGCATGCGTGCATCGATCAGGACCTCCTCGTATTTGACCGCAGAGCCGTTGGAACTCCTTACGCGGCGAGGCTGCCGATTGTGGCATCTATGGTATGACTGAATGTTGCGACTCGTGTAACGCATCACTGTCTATCGAGAGAAACACTCGTCAAGAGACAGTCGAGTCCACCTGAGACGTTGTCATCCGCTTACTCCTTTCACCTCGAGGAGTGTCAAAAGAGGCAACTCTGAGTCGACTCGACACATTTATCACAGCCTGGAATCATTCTGTTATGCTCTCCACTCGTCACTCCTCAGCCACTCCTCAAACCCAGACCATCTTGATCCATCCGCAGATCCTCATTCCCATTGCTGCGCGTACAAATCACACATCTGACCGTCCATACGCTATCCACGATGAACCAGGCCCCCGCCGCGACCCAGATCACAAAGACGACCTTGACCCCGCAGCACGCCCTCACGCCCACCCGCATCCGAATCATACCCTCTCCGGATCTCCTACGACTCGAGCCGGTCAAAGATGGGGACATTGAAGCCAGGATCGTCCTCCGAGCAGCGAAGCGTGAGCCTCGGAAGGATATACCAGAAGTTGGCGTGGCAATGACGCTCACCGTCCCGACCAAGTGGAGCCCACCGCTCTACGATGAGGACGCAGAACCAGGACCAGAGATCAACCCATATGACCGGGAATTGGTCTTGCCGGTGATACCTGGTCGCCCGACACCCAAGGTCAACCTGTTGAATACATTTGTTCCTCCAGAAGATACTGACACGAGCAAGATCATCATGGAGAGGCGTGAGGGGAATGCTGGGAACTTTCAGTTCTGGTCAGGAGGCAAGATTACGATGTTCATGCGTCAAGCATCGTCCTGGCGGCTAAGCATGGGTACAGGCTCAAATTGAAGGAAGGCATTGTGAAGGACGTCCAAGCTTTCAGCCAGGGCAGGGATTGTCAGGTCAAGATGGTGTTCAATTTCGTCTCCGTCAAAGAGTAGTGAATGCATCGATACCTGGCAGAATGTCAGCGACCAGTGATTCATTAACGCCGCTTGGTCCATGTTGCAATCAGATCCCCTGATACATTGGGGACGCCCTATGTTGTCTGCGTAGCCGAAGCTAAGATTAAGGATGACAATTGAAGCGAATTCATCAGGAGGAAGCGTGAGGAGAGTATAGTGGATGTTGGATGTCCGAATGTCTTACGGATGTGCGACTCACGTTACACTATACGGACCGGTCGATAGAGATGTCAAGGAACAACATCTATCATGATACGCCGGGGTCTGATCCCCCGGGGCTCCCGCGGCGATATAGAAGTGCGATGATAGGATGTGGCACTTTTTGTGAGGGAGGGCCACCGGCGGGATGACGCACCTTTGAACACGAGTTCTGTCGCTGGCAGCTGTCACTCGGCGCAAGCATTCAATCGAAAAGCACTTCATCTCGCAATCCCTTGAGAGCTCGTCCTGTGGTCGATCCAGATCTGTGGTCAGTGCCAGAGCCTTCTGCTGCTGTCTCTCCCCCTCTCTTTCTCGGTGACGATCGTCTATCCTCGGCACAAAACGAAGTAGAGTCAAGCTCATCTCTCCACGATCAACCTTTGGTCTCTCAAGAGACATTCCTCGTCCTCTCACCATGTCTGTCGAGCTCAATCCCTCCAGCCAGCTCGGCTTCCCCAGTGAGCTCGCTCGGACTATCGTTCCGACCTTCTTGCTGATTTCCGCTTGTTCCCCACTCCATCAGGACCTCTCACTCAACTCGTCAAGCGATCCATGACGATCCACAATCCAAACTCCTCGCCTATCGCTTTCAAAGTCAAGACGACAGCGCCGAAGCAGTATGTGGTGAGGCCAAACTCGGGGAGAGTGGAAGCAGGGGAGACGCTGGAGGTGCTGGGTAAGTCGACTCTCTGATCTTGCGATAGCGACGGATCGATGGATGGGTGCAAGAGCACGCTGCTGACGTGTCTACCAATCTTCTTGCTCTTCCCGCCGTTGCCTCGACTCGACCCAACTGCCTCTTCCACTGCCCAACAATGGACTCTTTCACGGACGCTCGCCCGCTTGTATCGATTCCCCTCGCTCCCCCGCCCTTGCTTGACTTGTCTCGTCGCTTCGCTTAACCCGCCCGCCCGCTTCGCTTCAACAGTCCTTCTTCAACCTCTCTCGTCCGAGCCACCACCCCACGCCAAATGTAAAGACAAGTTCCTCGTCCAATCAGCATTCATCTCACCTGATGAGGAAATGAAATCCCTGGCGGAAATGGTGTGTGCCCTCCTCGACTCTGCTGACAAGTAGTGGTCCGAGACCGAGAAGAACAACAAGAGTGCGATCAAGGAACAGAAGATCAAATGCGCCTACTTGCCCGCAGAGGACGGCTCCGTGCCGAATGGCATACCTGAGGAGAATGAGGAGGCGAACGGTGATCAGAGCAGAATGATGGACGAGTCGGTAAGTGGCTACGGCCGATGGACGACCTCTTCGTCTGCAAAATACGACCCAGACGTCTTTCCAAACGCTGGATATACCCATTACGAGCTCCACACTGGTCCATATGTTGGTGCTGCAACAACTCCCGCTGTGCATAGAGTCGATTCTCATGAATCATGCTCACATCCTTGTAGCAGGTATTCGCTGCGCCAGCGTCTCCTTCCCACCCGCACACCGATCATGTCCCGTCACCAGCGACAGCGACCTCCTCAGAGAGCCGTTCAGCGCCTCCGTCAGCTGTCAAAGCAGACGATCCACCCAGCCTCACCGCCGAAGATATTGCGACATCCGGCGCCTCTCCCACCAACGTTGCCCTCGAGCAATCCACCGCAACAACCTCCTCACCTGACGACAAACTCAATGTTGCTCTGCGCGAGATCGACCGTCTGCGTGAAAAGCTCGCCGAGCTTGAGGGTCCCACCGTCACCGGTCTGCGTAAACGTGGAGGTGCCGCTGCGTCAAATGCCGTTGCAGGTGCCGAAGTGGCCGTGGAAAAAGTCAAAGAAGTGGCGGCAAACTCTGGCGTGCCGATCGAGATCGTAGGGGCGTTGGTGCTGGCAGTGTTCGTCTTGACCTATCTGTTCTTTTAGATTGTAGGGGATATCGATGCATGAGAGTTTGAAACGTGGGATCGAGATCCGAGAGATACGCATGTTCGGGGTTCGGAGCGAACAGAGTTTCAAAATGTTGAGACTTTTGAGCGTCCGTATATCTGGTCTCATCCTTGTCAATCATCATCTCTCCAGTGCTCTAATTGCGACTCGTCTTCTGACCTGGCATCGTCAGAGTCCCACGCCTGCATTCACCACCCACTGTCTCTCTCCGCCCCGCTCCGAGGTCGTCTCCCGTCAGCATGCCCGGGTCCAAGCGGCGTCTGAAGAAAGCCGCTGCCGCCGCAGCTTCCCCTTCTGAACCCACCTCCCCTGTCGACATTCCTGAATCCCATCATCGCTTATCCAATCCCTTCAAGCACTCGTCTAAAGACTCTCCTGACAAGTCCAAATCACCTACCTCCTTCCTAAGCGATATCCTGCATCCACACAAAAGCCGTCAAAGCGAGGTTATGTCCCCTGAGAGTGATAGTATAGCTTCAGATCCAGGCAATTACATGTCAGACGAGGCATTGAATCAAGACCTGAAAGTCGAAGAGATGATACAGCGGGGGCAAAGCATTGGTTCAGGTCACCACCGCCTTGATGATGGCGTTGAAGACCTCAACGCAAAAATGGACAATATGACCCCGCCTTCTCGTGTTTCCAGTATCGACTCTACGCCTGCGCACAATCCCGGCAACGCCACTGTACCAGCCCCTGGAGCGGCTCAATATACAGCTGCAGAGCTCATGGGTGCGCCGCGCGGCAAGAAGAAGAGCTCCAAACAGCGTTTCGCTGAACGTCAGGTGAGAGTCAAGTTCTGACCGGCGCTGATTTTAGGCCCGAAAACAACACGCATTCCTCAACTCGCTCCCACCCGTCGACCCCAGCTGGACCGCCAGTCTGCGTCAAGAAAGGGATGACGAGATACAGGTAATTACGGAGGCCTGCGATGTCCTCGGCAGGGAGATTTACGAGGTGGGTTTGGGCTTTTAGGATCTAGACTGATGATAGATCGCCCCTGATGGTCACTGCATGTTCAATGCCATTGCAGACCAGCTCCTGTGCTTGGGCATGCTGAGTAAGGACAAGGTGGGTCATCTGCAGTGCTTGGTCTGCTCGCTAACGCTTTTCCTGCTCGCTTCGCTCTCCAGGCCGACGCCAAGCACATGCGCCACGAAGCCTCCTCCTACATGCTCAAACACCCTGACGACTTTATGCCATTCCTCCCGTCCATCACAGGCGAAGACAGTGAAGATGCCACTAGTCATGACGGTTTGATGACCTCGTCCGAGTTTAAGAAGTATTGCAAGTTGGTTGCGGAGACTGGCGAATGGGGCGGGGAGCCAGAGGTGAGCGCTAGTTTGACAGATCACATCAGATTGGTGTCTATGATAGTAGTCTGAGTTCGAGCTGACCCTGTCGCTCGACAGATTCAAGCGCTCTCTCGTCGGTTCGAGATCCCCGTGCATGTCGTCCAGCGTGGTCCACCTACCATAGTGTCCCACGGCGGCAACGACGACAGCTTTGGCGGCGCACTGACAGCTGAGAAGAGTGCTGCTCAAGGCGATCGAGTGATCCGGATCAGCTATCATCGGCGGATGTACGGTTTGGGAGAGGTGAGCCGCTGTATCTGCAACGCTGACTCTCAGCACTACAATTCGCTTCGCAAGACCGAACCTGTAGCATAGTGTATGCATAGATCTGACGCAAGAGGCAGGGACAGGGCGAGCTGATAGCATGGTGTCCAAGATCTTCCCCCGCTTTGGACGTGACACTCAGCAAGACTGACTGTACACCATCGTTAGACCAACTCAAGGGACAGACTAACGAACATCATTTTGTAGAACTACATCACGACCCTATGAGCATCAGCTGAGACGTGTGGGGCACCACAGGTCCGATCGTCGGTGACGATTATCGGATCGATCGTGTTGATCCGCCTAGCTGCTGTTGTGCTGATCTGCTGATCTGCATCTCGGTGCAAACTTCGCAGTCGAAGATGCCTGCCGAAGCCCGCGCCATCTACTGGTTCCGTACAGACCTCCGCATCACCGATTCCCCTGCCCTGACCAAATGCCTAGCCATTCCCAACCTGAAATCCGTCAATTTTGCATGGTGCTGGGATCCAAATTACATCTACGGTCACCGCGTAGGGCTCAATAGGTTCTCGTTCCTTCTGGAATCAATGCAATCGCTGTCCGATGAGCTTACCAAAGTCAACAAGTCACAAAAACTCCAAGTCGTCCGTGGACCCCCGGAAAAAGTGCTGCCAATCATGTGGGAGAGCTGGGGGATCACCCATCTGGTATTTGAAAAGGATGCGAATGAGTATGCAAAAGTACGAGATGCGAGAATAAAGAAGCTGGCAGAGGAGAAGGGTGTGGAGGTGATAGAAGTGCATGGACGGCATCTATATGACCCAGAGCAGGTGGTCAAGGTGAACGGGAATAAGCCGACAATGACGTTACATCAGTGGCAGGGGGTGAGTTTGGGAATAGCCTCAAGCATACTGGGCATTGTCCAGCATCTGGGCGGTGTCAATGCACTAGCCTAGCCCATATCCACTAACTCTCCCCAGGTCGCCCAGAAAATCGGCAAGATCCCTCGACCCTCCGAAACACCGAAGAAGCTTCCCGACCCCAACTCGACAGACCTCAAGCACTCCAAAAAGGACGAAAAGTACAAGTGGCCCGGCGAAGACCTCAACGCAGAGATTCGTACAGGCAAGGACACGTGTTATGGTGGGTGCCAAAGCCGGCGACGTCACTCAGCGATCAGACCGGATGTCCGGGCCAAAGGGTGATTACTCTGTTCCCACCATGACCGAAATGGGTTTCTCCGATGCCACGACCACCATCAAGGGGGGCACTGTAGAAGGTCACAAGCGCCTAGACACTTTCCTCGGTAATCCAGAAGACGTCGCGACATTCTCCAAGCCCCATACAGCCCCGACATCCCTTGAACCCTCGACCACTTTGCTCTCCCCCTATATCAAATTCGGTTGCATTGGCATCCGCGAGCTCTGGTGGGGATGCAAAGATGTCATCGAGGAGTGGAGCAAGACCGGCAAGGGTAAGAAGACGAGCGAACCGGAGAATATGTTTGGTCAGCTGGAGTTTAGAGACATGTACGCCGCGGCAGAAACTGCTCAGGAGAATTTCCAACAAATCCGAGGCAACGCCGTTTGCAGGTGAATCGGATGCTCCAGTCCCACTCACTTACCCTCAGGTATATCGACTGGGCATTGCAGAATCAATACAACGACAAGGGGGACTTGATCCTTCCTCGACCTCGGGACGACGACGAAGAGGCCGAAGAACGCTTCGCGGCGTGGCGAGAGGGCCGAACGGGATTTCCGTGAGGTGATTTGTTGAGTCATCGCTGACTCTAGGTGGATCGACGCCTGTATGCGCCAGCTGAAGCATGAAGGGTGGATACATCACCTCGCTCGGCATTCTGTGGCGTGCTTCCTGACCCGTGGGCAATGCTACATCTCCTGGGAACGCGGAATGGAGGTTTTTGATGGTGGGTGGATGAAGGGTTTCAGCTTCGCTGACGCCAGAATGGTTGATCGATTGGGATCCGGCGTCCAACGTAGGTTTCGCGCGTGACGTTGCTGATGACAGCCCGGCAACTGGATGTGGCTCTCCTGCTCAGCTTTCTTTGCCCAATATTGTGAGTACCCCCGCCGTTGATCCCGCCTGACGCAGATCGTGTGTACGGGCTCGTATCGTGGCCGGCAAAGACCGACAAACATGGCGAGCTCGTCCGCAAATACTGCCCCGAACTTAAGGATTTCCCTGATAAAGTGAGATCTCAATGGACTCCCGCTGATCCCAGTACATCTACTCGCCTCATCTCGCACCAGAATCCGTCCAGAAATCGAGCAACTGTATCATTGGTAAAGACTATCCCTTCCCGATCCTCGACGAGCATGTCGAGAAGGACCGCTGTATCGCTCGACTCAAAGACGCCTACGCGGTAGGACTGCATGGAGACGCGAAAGAAGTCCTCGAGGGCACGGCCAAGCAGATGCTCGAGGACAAGCATGCCGAGACTGGCGCGGGAGAGGTCAAGAGTGACAAGGAGAAGAAGGATCTCAAGGCCGCGGAGAAGCGGAAACGCAGCGGGGATGGGAACATTGAGGACTGGACGACAAAGAAGCAGGGTAAAAAGGGTCTCGGCCCGGTGGAAAAGAGAGATGGTTGATGCATGTCTATCCTTGTTTCTGCGGGTCAGCGAGGTCGTCTCATTCACCCACTTGTTTGTGTTTTGGATTCGCCTTGCAGATGATTCTGAGGACTCCTTTTCTGCCCGATCAGCGCCATATTCCACACCTTGGCTCACCTCTTGACAATCTGACAGCTCTCGCACATCTTCTTGACTGAGCTCCTCACTTTCATCCCTCTTATCGGCGTCCACGCTGGGGCGATCGGGAGGGTGATGGGTGTGCGAAGGGAGGCGATGGTGGATGCTGGACGTGTCATGGGTATCAGCGGGATGGCCACTCTTGACGGGCCAGCCGCAGCGGTGGAACATCCAGCGATACAGCTACATCGACGCAGCGTGGCTCTTCCTAATCTGAACATGGTGTCTTGGTGATGGTGATCGATGACCAGTAGAGAGTGATTGCATGAAAATCGTGAGTTGGGGGGTGCCACAGTATACAAATTTCCGCCCACCGCCTTTCTTGCCGCCCTCTTTGACGGAATCAAAATCTGAGAAGCTGGGCAATTCGCCACCAAAAGCAGAAAGAGGAAGACTTGGCCCCCCCCGTTTTTCCTCTCACCTCCACCATTCACGGCCACCTCGACTTGGATCACTTGGTATATCGTCCACAGCCAGTGTAGAGGTATCAAAATTACCTGCAGATAGGTCATAGGGGGTCATCAGGGGCCTTCAGGGCGTGATATTCACCAAAACTCATCGTATTCATCGGTATATACCATCAGCTTACCTCAAAGTGGAGGTCGACCAGTATCTGAACACATTATAACCACACATTTCAGGACCATGCCCGGTCGCAAATCCTTGACAGATAATCTTGACAACAGGTCAAGAGCGGGCAATGGAAAGGAAAAGGAGACATTCGGCTGTCCTTACCCCGGCTGTGGTCAGGTGAGCACGGGCCTTCGAACATGGCTGATTCCTAGTCCTATAGCCGAATGGAATACTTGAAGCGGCACCAGCGAAAACGTGAGCAATTCGAGCCCACTTTTTCTGACTTTTCAGATCAGGACGATCGCCCGTTCGCCTGCAAGGACTGCTCCAAAGCCTTTGCACGCAGGTGAGATGCCATTCACCTTCCCTCGCTCACACGTAGTGATGTTCTCCTACGACACCGCCGACGATGTCACCCTACACCTCCCCCCGTCGACGTCTCCGCCCACTCTCCCCCTCAGGTCCACCGAGGATACCCAGGAATGCCAGTGTCCTCTTCACGTACCGATCCCCGCGAAATGTCACCCGTCCGAGGCCGCAAACGCCAGACCAGCCAGGGGAGTAGCGACCAACCCGCCCTAAGCCGACGTCGCACTGAAGAGGAGGATGACGACGAGGATTCTGACATTGGCGAGACGAGTCGTTTTGCTCGTCAAAATGGCATGGGTAACGGAGGTGTCTATGTCAGCAATTATGTGCCAGAATCATCCACCTACACCCCCCACCTTATCCCAATGTTCCAAAACCAGCCCTTCTCTAATTCTGACCCGAACCACCTCGAAGACGCCTCCGTTCTCTTGTCCATGGCATATGGCGGTGGATCCATGGAGCCAGTACCCACGGTGCAAGGCCAACGCGTGGTGGCTGATGACTGGGCGCCGGCCTCCACCATCAATATGATGATGGACGCCAGCGAGCCTCCATCGAATCAAATCGTCAGCAACCCGTACTTACCGGCGTGGGGTTCTACTTGGCTTGGTGAGGAGGCAAAACCAGACAATGCGTTTCTGGGTTCCATGTTCTCGCCCACCGCTTTTGATTTATCGACTTTGGCTCCCGAATCCCAAGAAGATGTCACTGTAACAAATATTCTGGACCAACTGTCGAAGTACGAAATCCCGCAGAGTCAACACAATTTAAACCCAGAACGTCCATTATTGCGTCTTCAGCATGAAGAGATTTATCAACTTGCCGGAGCGGAGATGTACGACAAGACGAGCAAATTCTAGTGAGTCATTCTGGTTCTTTCAGGTGCTGACTGCAGCCTACCCGCCGAGCGATTCGCCGGATGCTATCAGATCCCCCACTGGGGCCTACCTCCCCTCCGTGTCATGTCTGTCATGGCGAATCGCACGTTCAACACCGTACTCAAGCACTTTTCCATGGTCCACACGCCAACGTTTCGCCTGATCGACACCGCGGCTTGTCTCGCATTTGCGATCTGCACCGTCGGCGGTATCAAATCGAGCAGCTACAACTGGTTCAAAAATGACAAGATCAGCAGTCTACTGGTTGGATCAGATCCCGACATTGAGGCGATCGACGGTCCTCTACCTCGAGGCGAGGGCTGGCAATCTATGTATCAAAAGAATTTTGGTATCCTCGGCGGCGACTCGACATCACAAAAAGTCGACGAGTGGGAGACCGCTCACATTGTCAGAAATGAGAAGAGCAATATGCTGGTCAAGGTGAGCCCGATTGCCGAGCCACACTCACGCTAGTCTTTCGGTCTCGCCAAAGGCGTCCTGATGACCGAATACAACGTGGCGCTCCTCCAAGCTTTGGTCCTCTACAACGCCCCGTACTTTTTGAGCGAAGACGAGAGCGAACGAGTCATCGCCAACATGTTCCTCGGTACAATCGTCAATGTGAGTACGCCCCGCGACACGCTCTGACTCCAGATCGCGCGCCAAGTCGGCTTCTTCACCCCCGAACTCGAGCACTTCGAAGTCGAGGTGCAGAGGCCTCCCGAGCTTTGGACAGGGGCCGAGCTCGATCTCTATTGGCGACGATGGATCCAGCTCGAGACGAGGCGCCGAACGGCGTATCTCATCTATCACCTCGACATTGTATCTGCGCTCGAATCCCACATTCCCCCGATTCTCACGTCTTGCGAAATGGCTGACATGCCGTTACCTGCTCCCGATTCTCTCTGGCTAGCGGCGGATGCTGAGGAATGGTTCGAGGCGTTGAAAAAGTATCGCTACATGACGTTAGATGAGGCGATGAGGCGAATCTTCTACCTCCCTACATACGGCGCGTTTGACAAGCTTCATGAGCGGTCCGACACAAAGTATTACAACCTCCTCAATACGACCGAGCTCGGACCGTTTGCACGAACGGCGATCATTTCCAGCATTCTCAGAGGCGTAATCGACATTGGCGAGGGGAAACGCGATCGAGGAGACTGGAGAGATCTGACTGATCTCTGGGTGAATTGCAACTGGCTCAAACCCGGGGACAAGTGTCTCGACTCGGAGGGCAAGGACCTCGGACCAGTCACCCGCGAGTCGCTCCGTGACCGGTTCTCACAAGGGCTCGAGAGGGTAGGTCGATGTCGTGACTTGGCTGACGTATAGTGGCGCCAAGGCTGGGATTTCGACCCGACGTGCCCCAATCCTGCGAATTACCCCTCGCCATCTGGAGACGGCATGAGCGAGGTCACCAAGTTGGCATACGTTGAGGGTGAGACAGAGGTTATGTTTCTTCGCTGACATTCAGAGGCATTGCCATTCTATTGGCTTGCTCTCCATCTCATGGACATTCTCAAGGCGGCGCCTCCGCATGAACCCGGCTGGAATGCGTTTGGCATCAATGGAGCACAACCCGGTGGAGTCCGCTACGGGAATATCCTGAAGAACGCCCGACGATTCACCCGCATGGGCGAGGGATCGTCCAATGTGTTCACTAATCCCTCACGTACATCTGTGAGCTCGATCAATACCCCGAATAGCGTCGCCAGCGGCTCGTCGCTATCCGCTGGCAAAATCGGCGTCGGCTCGGGATCTGTTGGTATGTCATCGACTCAGGTTCCCGTGATTCCCGGTGTCGATCTCGATGCGTTTGAGGCGTTTGCAGGCCTGGAAGGGATCTTGTAATGTGCTTACTGTATCAATTCTTATCGTTTGTATTTTGGTTTATGCACCTGTGAGTGGCCAGAACGTTTCTTTGCCTCTATCGAGAATCACAACTCCGAGCGGGTTCCATCGTGGGGCGTCAGAGAGCGAGCGGTCAGGGAGGATAGGGATCATGTAACGATCCATGCGATTGGTTTCTATGGGATACTCTTTGATGCCGAAACTCGTGGCAGTGCCACCAACATTACCCCTGGACCCGTTTCATGTCGTCAGACATAATGTTTACAAGCGAACATAGACTTCAGCAACTACTCATCTCTTGACCTTCACCATGACTCTCACGACATAGCAGCCATGCGCCTCCCCGCAATTCCTCACTGCGACCCTCTCGATCTCCTCAGGAAGGGCATCGACGAGGATGGTCACTTTTCTTTATCAGGCATGATAAGTTTGATGCCTCCGGAATGGTTGCCAAAAGGCTTGTTCAATCATGAATGGATGCAACAAGCCTTCGAGTCGGTGCCGCCTTTACGTATGTCCGACATTGAGTACCGTGACCAATGCTACCACCTCTCCTCGCCCAAGGGTCTCTACTCATTCATCTGGACGGAGCAGGAATTTCCTCATCGACATCCCGACGAGCCATACCTTGGGGCGGACACACCTCCCTTCGTTCTTCAAGTCTGGTGGAACATATTATATCACATTGAGGTGCGACATCTGTTCGTGAACGCTCCAAGCTGGGGCTCTGCTGTCAGCGAGCTACTGTCCATCCTCGAAAAATTTCAGGCGTATTACGACCAGGCACTTCTCGGACTATGGTCACTGAACTGGTTTCGTCTGCTCAGCAAGGCCGTTGATGAGTACGATTCGGCTGTGACCTCTTCGAGGCTGTTCCAACCTGAGAGACTCCTATCATGGGTGGAAGGAGGAGGCAAATCTGACATACTGGTGTATCCCCTGGGGCGATGCGATGTGACCAGGCGGGAGACGGTCATAAAGGTGGGTGAAGCTGCTTAAATATCGCGCTGATGAAGTCAGCTGAAAAGGGGGGCGAAGCCTCACAACATGCAGCTGGTCGACGATTCGGCCTTTGATCAGGCCATGCAGGTGACTGACGGAGCCTACTTCACCAAGGTTGGCCCATCCCGACTAGCTACGCTGATCTCAGCTCAACATTCTCCGAGCCTCGTCTCCCCGGCCCACCTATCCCGTCTACCGGACAGACGTTGTCGATCGTTTCAAGCGAGTGCCCATGCCACCGAGCCAGTGTGTCTCGCTTGAGCAACCGGGTATCTTGATCACTCATTTCGGAGAGAACGTAAAGACGTCGGGTGGAGTTCCTTGGGACACTCTACGCCGGATCTCTTTGTCTCAGATGAAATGTCCGAAAAAGCACATGGGTGAGGACCTTGGCTTGTACAGTATCTCTGACGCCAGGCCGAATGCTTTGCTGCCGAGTTATTACCAAGCCCTGCATTGGCTCGGCTCTGGCTTGGTAAGTGTTATTCATCGCTTCGCTAAGTCCAGGTGTGTCGAGGACGAGGCGGGACACGCCATTGGCTTATCCCTAACTCATCCATTCGCGCGTCCTGCCGTCTGCCTCGACTCCAAGATATCGAACAATCTATACCCCATCGGCACCGTTCTCGCTATCAAGGAGCCTTACGTCCATTATGGCACGAGGACGGGCGTTCCCGAGATTCAAGTGTCCATCTCTACAGATATGGAGCAGAGACCATCCAGCGAGTTCAAATCGCGTTGGACCATAGCCGTGAGCAAGCAGTCCGCCGAAAGCCTCCAGATCGAAGGGAATCAAGCGGTCAAGTCCGGCGACTATATCGTGAGTCAGATTTGTACAGTACCTACCTGACGCCAGTTGGCTGCTAAGCACTACTCACTCGGTATATACCTGGCCCAAGATCCTACCCGCAAGATCCTCCTTCTCTTGAATCGCGCCCTGGCCAATCTGGAGCTCGACCGCCCGGGCGCCGCCCTCACCGATTGCTTCGCCGCCAATGCACTGGTTAGCCGCCATCCCATCCTGACGCCCCCTCAGCAGCTCAAACTCGTCTATCGCCAATTCATCGCCGCGTACGCACTTCGGTTGTGGGACCTGGCTGGAGCCACGCTGATCTCCTGTGAAGAGCTGGGGCTAGAACACGAAGAGTTGCGGCTACACCAAACAAATTTGAGATTACGTGCTGCCGAACGACGAGGTGTGTACCAAAATCTCTGCTCAAATACTCCTGGCGCGGACTACATTGGAGCTCTTGCCGTCCGCCGCATTCCCGGCAAGGGCAGAGGACTCGTCGCCACGAGAGACATTCCTGCAGGCACACTCATCCTTGTCGAGCACAAAGCTTTACCTGCGTCATGGCTTGCCAGTACTGGTGCCTTTAGCCAGATTGTACACCCCGACAGCACCCTATCCGTCCCGAATCAAGTGTTCACTCACACTTCCATCGAGGCGATAATCGCGGACCCGAGCAGAGCCTTGATGTTCAATGCAGTGTCTTCAAAGGGCAGTCCCTTGTTAAGCGAGCTCGAGCGCCTAGACGCAATACTCAAAGGTCCTCCGGCCCTGTCAGTTGAAGACATCCACCAGGTGCAGCTCCGTTATCACATAGGTGCCCGCAACGCCGATGCCCACCTCTATCCTCTTTCAGCTATGGTCAACCATTGCTGCCTTCCCAACATGGTCCGCGCCGTCAGGGGAGAAGTGAGTGTCGGCCTAATTCTCGCTGACATACAGAGACTTGTGTCTGTGGCGCGGCATGACATCAGAGCTGGTGATGAGTTGACACACAACTACCTTCCCGAGTTTTTACGCTATTCTGTGCGACAGCGAGCCCTTCTGTCGGATTGGAACATCGACTGTCGCTGTGAGCTATGTAAGGCCGATCGAAATGACGGTTACGTTCTACGAGAAGCCATGATGGTGGAAGAATGGCCAGCAGTCCTGGAACGGGCGCAGAAGGTGGACATATGGAGCTGCGTGACGGATCCGCCAAGACTCGGAGACACATCGCCCTCTCCCAAAAGGGCCCAGCTGCTCGTTGAGAGCGACGAAATGGTTCGGCGACTCGATACTGCCTTCAAACCGTTATACAACTTCATGAGAAAGATCGATTCGACATACACTCCCGGTCGAAAAGTAATCAAGCTCGAGCTGGTGGACATGATGATTCAAACTCGACTGTACATGAGTCTTGGGGGATCCAAAAGCCCGATCGAGGCAAGTGTGGGCATATGGCATCACTGACATTTTAGGGATACGAGGAGCTCTTGCGGGCGCAAGGAGGCGTTCTCAGCAACAGATTGGAGCTCACTAAGACTGGTCGAGCACTGGCAAAGCTACCGGATACAGGCAACTACTCGGTGATTTGCGAGATTCTCTTGAACCTTTCGAGGCTTCACCGGGCAGGTGGACAGGTGAGAGCCGCCCTTGCACGGCTGACAACAGGTGAGGAGAGCAGATACGTGGAGTCGCTCCGCGTTTTGGGCATACCGCATTCTGACATGCGGAGACGAAAATTTGAACGTGTTCAAGGAGTTGTTTGCTCCCGAGTTGGAGGATCAACAGGGGGTCAAGTTCATTTGAGAAGGTGGGAACATCGACGTGACTTTGGGAGTCTCAAAATAGCTGGTTTCGCACACTGCTGAAAGCTGTATATAAAGGCTATCTCATGTACATACATACATAGATCTCATGCCCTGACCTTGATGCTCCTCGTTAGAGGGAGCCACACATCACTGGACGGCAGAAGCATGATGTGATAGACAATGTGGCACCGCCACTATCGCTGAGCGAAGGTCAGCATCTCGCTTAGAGATGAAGGCCATGCTACCCATCAAATTTTCCTTGGAGACCCATGCATCTCTACTTATCACCAAAGGTTGGTCTCAAGATGGATCGCGTCGATCTGCTCGATGCTGTCCCGCCGTCTCTGGTCCCTACTGTCCTCTCACTGCCCGCGACACGGCCCGTCTTTCTCGATGACGACATCCCTCTCGCCTTCACGACCAGCAAAGCGCTCACCATGTCGGACGTGAGATGGGATACAGATGTCCAAGCCTATCGACTCAGGACTCAAGACTATGGCTTCCGCTGGACGGTCGACGCACTGCCAGCGAAGATCCTGGGAGAGCCCGACTTTGGCCCAGACTGCCCACCATTCGTTCTACAGGTTTGGTGGAATATCGTCTGTCACGTTGAGAAGAACCGTCTATTCATCAGCAGTCAAGGCGCTTGGGAGACCGGCGTTGATACGATTCTTGGATTCTTGAACATACTCATACAGGTCTCTGCAATGCCAGGACACTGGATGTTCAAGTGGCTCAAGGTGATGCAAACGGCCAAAGACTGGTACAAGCAATGGCTACAGCGCTTTCGAATGTTGCAGCCTGAAAAACAAATGGAGGAGATGAAAGGGGGGACGGAACGGGCCAAGGAAGACAGCATGAAGTATCCGATGTTGGGAGATATTCTGGCTCGCGAGATGCCGCTCAAGGTACGTCAGATTGTCGGCTCTTTCTGATGACCGCAGCTCCACGAAGATTTGTTTTTGACAAAAGATGTCAGGGACGCCCACTTCAACTTTATTGGGCAACAGTCCCAGTGGGACAATGCAAAGTTCGCTTCCGATGGTAAACACATCGCTAGGGTATGAATCCGTTCATTGCATTAGCTTATGGCAGCGTAACCTGTCTGAACGGCCTGGACCTATCTTTCCCAATGGTCGGCAAGACGTGGTGTCATACTACACGAGCAACCCCATCGTCCCCCATACACCTGCGAGTGGAACGAATCCAGTATACTTCCAAGTCACTTTTGGAGAGTCGAAACTCTCCTCGGGATCAGTCGACATATCAAGTCTGAAGGAGATTGCTATCAAGGATTTGAATTGTCCCATGAAGCATAAGGGTGAGAGATCATTGACTACTTCGCTGAAACCAGGGCGTGTCTTGTATTGCCGCGTCCTCACTCTACCCGTCGTCGGACGGGGGATTGCATTGTGAGAGGTAATGTAGACTCGAACTGACGCCAGCGCCGTTGAAGATTCTTATGGCCATGCCATAGCCCTGGCGGTAGACCATCCTTTGCCAATCCCAGCCAGGTGTGCCCCGTTCGAACGTCTCAAAGCCTTGTACCCGAGGGGCGCCATCTTGGCTGTCAAGGAGCCTTATGTCCATTACGGACTTACGTCAAATATTGCCGAAGTCCAAGTGGCGATGATCACCGATGTAGTGGAGCTTCCCTGCCTGCCCGGGCCTCCCTGGCGATACCAAGCTCTGGTGAGTCCAGACGTCTTCTCAGCTGATGTGAAAGATCGAGGAGCCCTATGGTGAGGTCACCGTACGAGCGTTCAAAGACAGAGGGAACGAAGCCATCAAGAGAGGTGACACAGAAGTGTGTGGTCGTATGTATATGCCGAGCTGATGTCAGGCTGCCATCAAGCAGTACTCTCTAGGGCTACTCCTCGCAGACAAGGGAGACGCAGATCTCAAGATCATGCTGCTCCTCAACCGCGCGCTCGCCAACCTGGATATTGATCGCCCCGGTCCAGCTCTGGCCGACTGTACGGAGATCGAGAGATTGAGTTTGCAGTCTACCCTTAGCGACGCCCAATGTCTGAAACTCGTATACCGCAAATTTCTTGCCCTCAAATCTCTCCGCCTCTGGAGTTCCGCACGCGGCGCCCTGGCCGACTGCGTCAAGCATGGTCTGGATCCTGCCAAGATCAAGGCTCACGGAGAGCAGCTTCGAGATCGAGATCTCGAGCGTCAAGGCATGCCGAATCACCCGGGTATGTTCACCTTTGCTTCAATGGAGAATTCGGGCCGCGCCATTGATACCTCGAATGGTGACTATGTTGGACCTGTAGCGGTGCGCAAGATCCCGAACAAGGGTAGAGGACTGGTTGTCACTTCCAATGTCAAAGCCGGGACCTTGCTGTTCTCTGAGACCGCCGCGATCCGTGGTGGATCTTCCAAACAAGGGGTTTTGTCTTCGATCTCAGAGGTGTCCGGGGTCAGGGATCGTGTCGATGTTGGCCTTGCAGAACGCGCGGTTGAGGCTTTCATCGCTGATCCGAGTCGAATCCTGGTCATGGACGCTCTTATGCCCCGTCCATCAAGGTCGAGCCCAATATTGACAGACGAACAACGACTAGAAGTCATTCTAGCCGGCCCTCCACCGGTCGATATCCAGGACACGGTGCGCAGGGTGACGGTCAATTCCTTCGGTGGCAGTGTCGAAAAAGGGTCCTTGACTTTCGGCCTGGCTTCAATGGCAAATCACTCGTGCATCGAGTCGACGGTGTTTCACAATCAGGGAGAGGTAAGTGATCCCCATACGTATGGCTGAATCAAAGACCCGCTTCACTTACGCTCGCTTTGATCTCAAAGCAGGCGACGAAGTGACTTACTCTTATGTCGATCCCTCAAGATCCTACTCGTCAAGGTTGACATCTTTTAATGTTACATGGGGCTTCACCTGTAGCTGCGAACTCTGCACTGCAGACGCAAAAGATGACTGGAAGACTCGAGAGGCGCTAATGCAGCGGGATTGGCCCACGATCAAGGCCATGGCTGAAGAAGTCAGCACTCGAAGTCCCGGTTTTGGTCTTCCAACGGACTGGCGAGGCAGCTTTGTCTTAAACACGGCACAGGTAGCGAGATCCGCCGAGCAGCGATGGGCTTTCTTCTGTGACTTTGTAAACAAGCTGGAAAAGACTTATGCACCTGGCCGCAAAGTCGTGAAAAGCGAGCTTATCGAAGTCATGAGCGGATCGCAATATGCAATTGGATTCGGCCCAGACCACAAGGGAGTCTTCCAGGTAAATTCCGAATGACTTTCGCCCCAGCTGACATTTCAGACGTACGAAGATCTGGTGAAAGCCTGGGGAGGTATCCTTGGGAACAAGGAATACATCAGGAAGACTGGAAGAGCCCTTAAGAAGATCCCTGACACTGGCAACGTGCTCGAAGTTTGTCGCTTCTTGCTGAGATACTCAACCCTCTTGCGGACCTCCGGTGATGTGAATCGTGTCAATCTGGCTGAGCTGACCTCGAGATCGAACGAGCAAACCTTTGGTCGCGCTCGGGCTATTGGGCATTCAAGATTCTATCCTGTGGGGATTCGGACACGAAGATGGTCGAAAGGCTATTTCGAGAGGAGCTATTGACGGGACTGCTTGGTGACAATACGAGCGACGTAGCCAAGTTCAAGTCGTTTGATGAGTGACGGTCGGCTTGATGGATATGGGTGATTGGATTGAATGAGTTTTAGACTTTGGTCGCTGGAGGAGACAGTGGACACCAAAAGCTTGACTTATGACCATGCATATACGATAATCATCGCGGCCAAGTGCGAAGCCCGGACCGGAACGCCGAGCCGCCCAGTGTGGTCGTCGGATCCGAAGACATTTGACTGGATCGATGTGGGATTCATGGCTTCTACTCAGCATCTTACCATGTCTCACAAAGCACCTATCAAGCTCGAGAGCGACCGTCTGGTCATCTCACGGTTCCTCCCCACTGAAGAGCATGCCGAATTCCTAGTCAAACTCTACAACACGCCAGAGTTCATCGCTGGAGAGGGCAACACCGGGATCGACACAACTGAGAAAGGCCTGAAAGCACTTCATAGCATGAGCGATAGGTTCGACAAGTATGGGCATGGCGTCTACGTCGTATCGCTCAAGGATACTTCTACTTTGGTCGGCTCAGTTTCACTCATGATAGGTGATTACAGAGCTCCAGATATTGGATTCGCCCTCCTCACGGAGTACACCAAAAAGGGCTATGCTACTGAAGCCGCCAAACGAGTCATGCAGCATGCAAAGGAGGATTTAGGGTACGATGGAGTCTTTGGATTTGCCTCGCCGACGAACGAACACAGTCGGAAAGCGCTTGAGAGGCTAGGAATGGAGTACAGGGGCACGTTCTCACTGGAGGCGTTTGGGAATCAGGATAGCGTGGTGTATACCATGCAAGGGATGGGAGAACTGGAGCAGTATGGGATCAAGGGGGATCGCAAGGACAAGTCATGAGAATGAAAATGCATAGACTTGCTACGTCTGGATGTATTTTGACCGATAAGCGGACATTCAATCTGTTGTTGCACATTCATTCACGTTGCACTTCATCTCGCTGATACCGCCAAAATCCCGCTTTCAGCGTCCTGGCTGGACGCGGTGCTCTCTCCTTTCCGCTCCCCTCCCAAAAGACCGCGCTACATCAATCTCCAGGCCATGTCGACACCGATCCGTGGTCTCCCTGTCCCGTTTCGGGACTCGCCAGCCCCTGCGTATCGAAGGGAGCCATTGCGAGTTGCATGTGTACAATTTGATGTGAAGGTACGTCTTAGGCTTAGGATGCGACTGACAATGACCAAGCGAGGGGAAGTCAAGCGGAATGCAGAGAGCGTCGAGGCGATGACATCGAGGTACCTGCGGGGTCTCATCGCCGAGCTGACATTCCCAGACTCCAGCCTGACTCGCTAGATCTCCTCGTCCTGCCTGAAATGTGCCTTTCAGGATACATTTTCAACTCTGCCACTGCTATCCTACCATATCTCGAGCAACCGCGTATCGGTCCCACGTCGCTGCTTGCTCGGAGTCTAGCTCGACGACTGAGATGTCACGTCGTTGCGGGGTACCCAGAGGCTCTGGTAGAAGAATCTGGAGAAGCACCCACAGCTTCGTCAAGCTCTTCCTTATTGCTGGACTCGAGCGCGGGCGTGGAGGAGACTGGCCCAAAAGCCATGAAGGCTCTTGAGGGAGAAGGGGAAGGCGTCGGTTTCAACTCTGCCATAGTAGTCGGACCTGAGGGAGAGATTGTCGGCAACTATCGAAAGACATTCCGTTTCGACACGGACAAGTGCTGGGCTAGGGCAGGTGAGCAAAAGCAGAGGTCACCTTGACGACGATAGGTAGTGGCTTCATGCACTTTGACCTGCCGGAGCCCTTGGGTCGTACTGCTATCGGAATCTGCATGGGTATGTGCGAGGCAGAATGACGCGACTAATTCAAAGACATGAACCCAAAGGACTTTATAGGTAAAGAGTTGTCCGCGGTCTTCACTAAACCTTTAGCTCCATGGGATGCCTTTGAGCTCGGATCATACGTCAGAGAGAGCGGCGCAGACACTCTCGTCGTGCCGTCAGTATGTGTCTCTGTTCGTTGGCTGATGCGACAGGATGAACTGGCTCCAAGCTCCTGTGGAACCTCCCAACCAGGGTCTCGAAATGGATCCCACAGCTCCCGATGAAAGCTCGCTAAATTATTGGGCAGCGAGGCTGCAGCCTCTACATGACCCCACACCGGGTTACGTCTCGCCATCTCCGAGCAGCGCGATGGACCCTCAGGGAGGTAAACAAGTCACATTTGTTGCGTGTAATCGTGTCGGTGTCGAGGACGGCAAGTCCCGGCGTTTGCTCATTCGGGTCTAGCTGACATTTGAGATCCTTTGGACCCTCCACAGGCAAGCGATACGTGGGTACGAGCTGTGTCATGACATTGTCATCAGATCCTCGGAGGATCGAGCTGGTGGAAGTGTGCAACATGACAGAGGAGAGGGTTCTGGTGGCCACGGTGGTCTAGCAGATGACACGATGAGGAGCGGCCAGTTAAGCGAGGCCATGGCGTGCTCAGCGCGTGTGGTACTCTGCCTGATGGATCACTTTATAGTGTCTATCTTGAGTTCGGCTCGAGTGTACAGATCTCAGCTCGGCTACCATCTCCGTGAGGCCACAATTGAAGTCCTGTTTGCATGATTAATGAACTGGAAAGGAAGGGAATCGGTGTCCCGATCAAAACGAAAGGAGGAGGACAGGCAGAGGAGAGAGTCATCTAGCGCCGGTGGTTGTCAATATGCGCGGGATAGACTGTTTCATACCATGCACGAGGATCGTCCCACCATCAACACGCTCACGACCGAGGTGTATTTATACTTTGATGCAGATCGGGGCCTTTCCTCCCCTGATCATGTTCTTCGCAACCTCGCCCGTTCAAGATCCGGTCTTAATCACAATCCTCCTGTCGTTCTCGAAGGCCAAAACTGAAGTTGAGCCCCAGCTAAAGACGTCAGTCGGTGACTGCACTGCCTCAACGACCCGTTGACATTCATGAAAGGATATCTGCTGTCTCCTGACAACTGGCTATGGTGAATTTTAGTATGGAAGCAGAGCTAATACATTCTTAGCGGCTACAGCGATTCACAATGTACTTGCGCTCCGTACTGCCGGTGCAAGACCTTTGAGCCATGTTGCATATCTTGCTGCTATCGAGTCCCTTCAGGTCTACATCATGTGCCCGAACACATTCTCCGACAATTACAAGGTCTCCCTCCGACCAGTAACATGGGCTCATCAGCTTATTTGACGAGTAGCGCGGGGACGATGATGCCTGGTTCGGATGAGAAGGTCAGCAAGGGGTGTTGTATGGTCATGTGAGACGGGCGGAGTGAATACATGATCGCGCGTTCTCATCGCCGACGTTGACAACGTTAATCATAGGTGTGATCTCATCCTCCCGTATACAGGCGTCAGTCTGTATCAACGACACGTGTCGCCGAAAGTAATGTTACTGTGACATGCAATGATTCTCCACAGGATTTATGATACAGTTGAGGTTTTATTGTCCGTGACTCATGAAGACGTTTCTAGACGACGATAGCGGCTCCGAGGACGGCGCCTACAACACCGAGACCTCCAACAATGGCGCTCCATCCGAGGTCCTTGGCGGCACCAGCGGCACCCGATCCAGAAGCTGAGGCTCCTGAGGCTCGAGCAGATTCCGTGCCAGATGCCGAGGCGTGAGAGGTGGAAGACCCACTAGATCCGGAGCTGGTAGACTGTCCGATTGTAGCAGTGTCCACGGCAGTGGTCGCAGGAATGGTTCCAGTAGGTGTGCCATTCTCCACTTGCATGTAGGTGGCAGCGACTAAAGCGCCGAGACCAGATTCCTGAACATACTGAGAGACAAAAAAGGTGGAGACAGGAGTATTGGCAGTCGACAAGTTGGCTGGGGCCTGGAAAGAGTCGGGCTGGTAGTAAACCATGAAGACATATCGGTGGGGTCCGGATCCTCCAGGAGGAGCGGGTCCAGCGTAGTCAGTGCTGTGTCAGGGTCAGCAAGGAGCTCAAAGCTTGGATTTGCACTGACATTGACGTGGCGTTTGTATATGTCACGGTCCAAGGTGCCGAGCTGGTGTCTAAAGAAGCACCGTTGACCAGCCAATGTCGGGTCTGCGCTTCGGTAGATTCGTCGGTTCCGACAACATTGGCGTCGGCGAGGATGACCGTGTATCGCTGAAGAAGATGAGTGACAGTCTGAAAAAAGACAGGCAGCTCACGTTGTCACCACTGATGTCCGACGCGTTGGATGAAGGCAGAATCGAGAGTGAAGGAGTGCTTGAAACGGCTAAAGGGAAGAGGTTTCAGCCTACGATCACCTGATCAACCCGTTAAAACCTACAGCTTTGAGACAGGTTTTGACCCGGGGACAAGGCCGATCCACCATCGTACTCGACGTTGAGGATGCCTTGAGGTGAGAAGGATGAGATGAACTCGGGGACCAGCTCGGCGTCTGCGTTGCGAGTCAGCTTTTGTCACGAAAGGAGAAAAAAAAAGAAAACTACGACTACGACATACTTTGGAAGTTGGCCTCGATGATCTCAATGTCCGTCTGACTTGCAGAGGAGGAGTCTTGAGCAGCAACGAGAGCGAGAAGAGACAAAGCAGCGTATCGAGCGAACATGTTGTCAATAAGTGATATGTCTAGAGTTGAGAGTCAGTCAAGGGGACAAAGCAAGGATTTAGGTGCTGGGACAAATGGATGCCAAGCGAAAGGAGAAAGGTTCATCCCTTCTGAGACGGATGCGGCATGGAGGGAATGCGACAGCTGCTCGTCCTGATCCATGATACTCACCAAGATATGTCGATGCGAAGAGATGAACGAAGTGTGATGTACAATGTCAAACCTCAATGCCGGTCCGTATATATGTCTTGGCTCGTTCAACTGCGCATCAAAAAGAAAACAAAGCAAAACAAAGCACACACGGACCTCCACACCGAGTTGATTACATAATATACATGTTCGGACCTCGAAATGAACCCAGCAGCCAAAGAAAAAAGAAACAAGGTGCGTCTGTGGTGACCCTACGTCAGTCACGACAAGCTCTATAGGTGAGTAGCTTGGACGTGAAAATGTTGGCGAACGGTAGACTGACTGTGTCATTGTAGCTAGAACTTCCTCATGTCTGCTGCTTCGGCGTCATCGAGCTCAGGAGGTGGTGAGCTGGAATACCTAAAGTCGTTGGTGTCCCAGGTGAGTATGCACGGCATTTTGATTGCCTCGGACGGAGGCTCTGCACAATATTGCTATGGCTATCCCGCAGACTGTTCAAGACCGCAGCTTCTTGCTGACCAGCCCTCAGCTCCAGGTCAAAATTGAGCAGCTAGAGAAATCAGCCTCGAATGCTGTCCAATCTGCCAAACAGGCCGTTACTGGCGCCGCTGATGGTCCGAAGCTCGTTTTGATCGGCCCTCCGGGAGCTGGTGAGTGTACTCAGTCATGTCACAGTTGTGGAACTGACTCGCCACGCTCCAGGCAAGGGCACACAGGCCCCGAACATTGCCGAAAAGTACTGCGTTTGCCATCTTGCTACCGGAGACATGCTTCGAAACCAGGTCGCAAAGCAGACTGAGCTCGGAAAGCAGGCGAAGAAGATCATGGACCAGGGTGGTTTGGTATCTGACGAGATCATGGTCGGAATGATCAAGAAGGAGTTGCAGGAGAACGCCGACTGCAAGAACGGGTGGGTATAGTCACGCAATTGAGGCTGACTATCAGGTTCATTCTCGATGGCTTCCCGCGAACTGTTCCTCAGGCATCCAAGCTCGATGCCATGCTCGCGGATGACAAGAAGAAAATTGACCACGCCATTGAGCTCAGGATCCCAGATGCTCTCTTGATCTCTCGAATCACTGGACGTCTGATACATCCCGCCAGTGGAAGATCCTACCACAAGGAGTGTGAGTGGGGTCATTTTCCGGCTCTGGGCCTGTCCTGACGCCCTTTCTAGTCAACCCACCCAAGAAACCCATGACCGATGATATCACCGGCGAGCCTCTCATCCAACGTTCAGACGACAACGCCGAGACTCTGCGAAAGCGCCTCGCAACCTACCACTCGCAGACTGGACCCGTCGTGGATTACTACAAAAAGACTGGCATCTGGACTCCTGTGGACGCTGCTCAGAGTCCCAAGCTCGTCTGGGGAAGCATCGGAAGTATCTTGAGCGGGTCCAGCAAGGCTGCCAAAGCATAGAGAGTCCGGCATCAAAGCTACTTGAACACAGCCTAATGCATAGCATACCTTTGGTGATCGTGGGAAAGCTAGCGGGCGCGACTGGCTTTTGATCGTGCCTTTTGAGGATATTTTGATTCCGTTCATGAGCGGGATCAGGAATTTCAACGCGTCAAGGGGCTTCATCCTGTACTGGTTCTCTACCTTGTTCAGTCTCTACTTAGACATCAAAGTCCACCGCCCCGGGTCGGTCCCTATCTTGAGGGTCTTGTGAGGTGGTGAAACTTCCAAGCAAAAATAGCATATACCCATGAGCACACCGCTCGGCGAGCTACCGATAGGGGAGCTGGCAAAACGAACATTAGACAATGACGAAGAGGTGAAGTGTCCGGTCGACTAGCTTGATTCGATGCTTTGGCTGACGGAATCTTAGGAGCCGTCCCAAGATTACATCGATGCCCTTGTCAAGCACAGGAACCAGAACCCCTTGGACCTCAATTTTATCGTAGAGTTGAGCAAATGCGGTCGCAGTAGAAGTGGGGGCAATGGTTTTGGCGTGGCGACTTGTGAGTCGGAGGAGGCATGCCAAGACTGACACGGCGAAGGTATGGAGGACTATTGCTGGACAGTGAGTCAGGTCTTTTCCATGAAGTTCCTCGCTGATACGCCAAAGGACGTGATCCTCGACGCTGACCCGGATCTGCCGGAAGGCGGCAAGAAGGCCGGTATCGGATCCCTGTACAATTACAAGGTAAGTAATGGGCACAAACAGACACCACGCTGAAAGCTGGTATCAGATCCACTGTCTAGAACCTGATCACGTCAAAGGGCGTACTCAGCGAATTGCGAAAGAGGTGAATTCATTCAATCACCACGCCTCGACTCACGCCTATCAGGCCAAAGCAAAATCCGCTCCCACACCCAAAATATTCGAAGCAATGGAGAAGCATCATTCAACTCCCACGTCTGTTCCTAGCTCCGCGTCGAAGCCTCGAGTCAAGCAGGAGAATCTCGGCATCTCTAGGAAGGGATCGAACGCGAGCATCGGGGGAGAAACTTATACCTCCTCTCAGGCATCATCCCGTGCATTCAACACTTTGTCTGCCAACATACCTCGTGTTCCTGAATTCGATCGCAAAGGCAAAGGAAGGGAGCTCAAGCCAACCGCTTCCCAACTGTCTGCAGCTCTGCGGCCTCGAGGCAATGGATCAAGCGATGCGCCTCTTATCGTCTCAGACGCCGAATCAGAGGACGAGGTGCTCCCCCTGAGCGAAGATGAGATCCCACTGAACCTGAGGCGAAAATCGAACAAGGATGCGCCGATCGTTCTCGAGGATGATGACGAGAAACCTTCGTCGTCGTCTCGCTTTACTTTGCCTCTCGCGGATATATTCACGGCCAAGACCTCAACACAGGCCAAGGGTCTTTCGCGTCACGGCTCAATGTCAACGATTAAGGCAGAGGTGAAGTCTGACGTCTCGAACGAGAGGTCTGGAAAGCCCCGTTCTGTCATTCCCGACGCCAGTGAGTATAATCTTGTGTACGAATGATGACTTTCAAAGTGAATCACGTCGATGCATGGCGACAGGCGACGATACCTCCTCCCCCGGCCTCCAGGCCAGACGCTGGCCTTCGACGATTTGAAGATCCCGTTGGGCATCTCAGGGCTCATACAGCCGCTGTACCTACTCCGCAGACTCAAGTCGATATTTACCGCAACATGTCGCCCAGTATCAGTCTCTTCATGGCTAAGAGCGAGAGCATATTCATCTCTGACACGCCGCTCCTCAGATCGTGGGTCGGCCATTAAATTCTTAACGACTGACCTCGTAGCAATCTGCCTCCGGCAATCTTAGCTCAAATCGCTGTGCGAAAACATCACTGCGATCAAATCGTCCTCTACAGAGGCAGGATTGCGTACATGTCACCACCTCGAACAATCCTGGATGCGGTTCCTTCGCTAGCCCGCTATCTGGCTGCTTGTGAAGCTTCTGCCCGCTTGAAGCTGGCTCGCCGAGCTAACAATGTACGTCTTACCAGGAGACTGAAGCTGATTCTATCCAGTCTGCCTCAAGTGCTGCCTCAAGTGCTGCCTCAAGTGCTGCTTCAATTACGGCTCCTGCTCATCCCATGCCCGGTGCCTATGATGTCAAGCCTGTCGTTTCGGGTTCCAACATGGGATATCTTTCTGCCGGAACGTCCACCAGGAACATCGACCAGCTCGACGAAGATCAGCTCTTCCATCCTGCAATGGAATACGGCACGGAATGGGGCAGACCTCAGAGCTCGGAAGCGTGGGTCAGCAATCGTACGATCAGACTGACACCTACGCAGCCTCACTCAGCTCTTTCAAACCACTTTGAATGACTTTCACGAGGACATCAGGGTTGAAGAAGCTGTAGCTGGCATTGGTTTGCAGTCCCTCGAGGATCGTCTACCAGGGCTAGAGGTGCGACTCATGCCCCATCAGGTGAGAGGCAGTCCTCGCTCAAGTCTAACGCGATCAGATTATTGGTGTCCACTGGATGCTAGAGCAGGAACGCAAGACAGGATCTCCGGGCGGGATTCTTGGGGACGAGATGGGACTCGGAAAGGTTGGTGACCGCTTAGACTTCACTGACCATCGTCAGACCGTGCAAACCATTGCGACTATCGTCGCAAATCCCAGCACGATGCCAAAGATCAAGACCACCCTCATTATTCTCCCGGCCGCCTTGATGCAACAATGGAAGATGGAAATAGAGACGAAATCCAACTTGTCGGTCCTCATTTACCACGGCCCGAAGAAGACCAGAAGTGTCAATGCTTTGAAGAACGTCAATGTGGTAATAACTACCTACGGTACTATGACTGGTGAAAGACCGCACGATCCAGTGAGCACACTTCCTCTGCCTCTTGCTCACTCGCACAGGATGACGCAACGGAGCGCAAGAAAAAGAAGAGGAAGAAGCAACCCGGCGACACAGGCTGTGACTCATTCGTTTCAGACGACGAGGAGGCTTTTCAACCCCGCCGTAAAGCTGGAATCTTGTTTCAGATGGATTGGTACCGTATCGTCCTGGACGAGGCCGCCATCATACGCAACAAAAACACTATTGCATCCAAAGCTGTAGTCAAGCTAAAGGGTCGCATTCACTGGTGCTTGACGGTGCGTGATTCGCGATTGGCTATCGCTGAATCTTCTAGGGAACACTCATCTACAACAAGCTCGACGATATCTTTCCGTACCTTCGCTTCCTCGGCACCATCACATGGGATGACTTTCGTCCCAAGGTGTCGGCCCCTGCAGCACGAAGACCAACATTGGCTGCCAAGCGAGCGCAGGTGGGTCTAGCCATCCTATTGTGCTCACTCGCCCACTTAGGCGCTTTTGCGGACAGTCATGCTCCGCCGGACCAAAGAAAGCGAACTGAACGGCAAGAAGATTCTCCAACTTCCGCCCAAGACAGTGGAGATAGTTCAACTCGACTTCAGCTCCGAAGAACGAGCCATGTACGCCAGTGTCGAGAGACGTGCCCGAGTCAGGATGAACAAATATCTTCGAGCCGGGACTGTGCTCAAAAATTATCATGTCATTCTCGTCATGCTAATGCGACTTCGGCAGCTCTGTTGCCATCCATGGTTGTTGCGAGCGACGAAAAATCAAGTATCACCGGATGGTCTGGATCTGACAGTCACCGATGACGAAATCTTTGGCGACCTCGATGCCTCAAAAGGCAATGACGAGCAAGAATTCGGCCGAGCAGTGGCGCTCTTGGGTCAAGGATGGGTTGACAAGGTGTCGGATATGCTAAAGAAGCGTTACGATACGATGCTTCAAAATCCCCCTCCCGGTACCCAAGCGCGTACTGATGATGATGAGAACGACTACGTGAGCAGAATGCTGCAAGGCCAGGCTGACACACAGAATTGCCCAGTCTGCTTCGAGCCTTACACGGACGAACGCATCACCGCTTGCCAGCACTCGTTCTGTGAGTCAGATTCTGCGCCCCGCTGACGCACAGGTGCCCAATGTATCGAAGACGTCCTCAATAGACCTGCCAACGACCATCGAATGACAGACGACCAAGTCAACCGTGGTGTCTGCCTTTGCCCTTTGTGTCGAGCAGAGGTTACGAGGCAGCTCTTGTTCAGAGCTTTGGCCCTCTACAGACCTCCCGAGGATGACGAAGACGAAGACGAAGTAGAAGAGGATATCAAATCTGGCTCCAGCTCCGGCAAAAGATTGGTATGTCATTCGTCATGGATGCTCCTGACTCGCGCCAGTATGATGCTGGGGACATCAAACCGTCGAAAAAAGCCAAGATTGACAAAGGCAAGGGCAAAGCCGCAAAGAAAGAGATCGATGAGCTCGACGAAGACGATGAGCGCGGGATCGATCAAGTGGTACCGAGTACCAAGATGATAGAGATTGGTGAGCGAATTGATATGATTGCCCGTCAAATCCTGACGTGATGGTAGGGTTCATTCTAGATTCCATTTTCGAGGTAGAGGAAGCCCAAAAGACACTCATTTTCTGCTCTTTCGTCGAGATGCTCGATCTTGCTGCCTTATTTCTCGAACGACGTGGTATCCCGCATACCGTGTACACCGGCAAACTGTCGCAAGATGATCGAAGTGCTGCAGTTGCGGCCTTCAATGACAGCAAGGATCCCAACAGTCCGCGAGTCATGCTTATTTCGATGAAATGCGGCGGAGTCGGCCTGAACCTGACTGCTGCGAACAATGTCATCTGCTTGGACATGGCTTGGTCGCCTGCTGCGGAGCTGCAAGCCATCGACAGGGCGCATCGCATTGTGGGTGATGGTCTGCTCCGCGAAGACCCGACTGATCCCCTGGGAAGGGCCAGACGAGACCAGTGTCTGTAAAACGCTTGGTCATCAGAGATTCGGTGGATGAACGTATTTTGGCTCTGTGAGCGGATTGCCCGAAGCTGCAGAAGCGTGTTCTGACCTTGTCAGGCAACAGAAAAAGCAGAGTCTGGCAGATGGTGCACTTGGAGAAGGCGGTGGTGGAAAATTGGGCCGTTTGACAGCCCAGCAATTGGTCGCACTTTTCGGTCGAGACGATGAGTAGAATGTGCTGAGCCAGACTGTTTGCTTTGAGAATCAATTGCTCCGGAGGATATCGAAATTGGTCGAGAGGGCCGTACTGCCGGCGAGTGCTAGAACAGAAGGAAAAAAGATATCACACGGTGCACGAGACCTGCCCAACGAGAAGCTGGGCAATTGTATAGACCGATGGCTTCCGAGACTAGATGCTCACGTCTCTTGTACATACATAGCTAGATCGCCGACATGCCCTTTTTCATGCAATCCAATGTCAGTATCTCAATATCTGTGCACAGTCATGGGATGCAATGGTCCGTATACAAGGAATACAATCACTCTTCGGCACTCAGTCATCGTCACTGTCATCATCACTCTCGACGACTTTTCGACGCCCACCTTGATTCGGCGTCAGCGTGGACGAATCGCCTCGTTTGGAGATACTCACCTCGTCTTGGTGGAGCCGCTTTCTGCTTCATTGCCACTCCCGTTCCCCGTGTGCCACGCTTGGCACTTGTATCTGCCGCGGTCTCAGCGTCCACACCGTTATCATCCTCTTCATCGTCGTCGTCATCGTCGTCTCCAGGCATCGTTCTTCTCCTAGACTTGGCAGGAGGACGCTTAGCAGCTCGCCTCTTTGCAGCCTTAGTCTTCTTCAGCACATCGGCTTCAAGAGCCTGTTCTTCGAGACCCTTCGCTTGATGCTCAGCTAAAATCTGACACGAAGTCAGTAAATAACCGAGACAAGATTCACCGACACTCACCGCTTCAAACTCGTTAAGCTCTGTGTCGGGTCTATTTGGACTCTTGTTTGCTCGCGCCTGGAGGACAGTGTCAACGATGACGACATTTTTGAGCCGTCACACTTGCCTTGCTCAGGATCTCCTGGAATCTGCTGTAGAGGACTGGCTCGTGAAGTTTATCTTGGTAGAACGGCAAACTGGGGGCAAATTAGCGTTGCCATCATGGCGACTCACCCCTCGATGAGCTTCTTCATCGATCGCTCAGACTTGAATGGCAACAACGAGAGACAGAATGAAATGTCTCTCCATTGTCTCTCATCTGTCGCTAGCCTGAATCGCTGGCACAGCTTCTCCACGATGGCTTCAGCCTGTTTCTCCTGATATCAAAGTCAGCGTCAAGCATCAGCACGAGGCTTGTTGCTGACCTTCTCAATAAAGGTGAAAATGAACCGCATTGTCCGCTCAAACGTGTCTTCGTCGACAGCATGTGCGCCGATCGACAAGTGCGAAATGACATCCTGCAAGTTGTTGTAAAGTGCATTGTCTTTGGTCGATAATTCGGTGAAGAAGAGTTTGGCAAGGTCGGATATCCTCTGATCTGGGTCTTCCAGACATTTGGCCATCTCTCCGAGCTGACCTTTGACCTTGATCATTCCGTTCAGGATGAGATGCGTCAGAACCATGAGCGTGTTCTTCTTGACCACCAGGTCGGGGTCAGCAAGACCATGATATAGTCTGTCCGAGTTCTGATCTGTCAGCAAAAACTCAAGTAATCCGACTCACATCATCGATGATCGATCCGAAGCAAACTGCCAAGTCTCCGAGAGCAATGACAATATTGCTCCTCACAATGGGATCCTTGCTGGTCTCCAGGATCTTGAATAAGAGTTCGAGATGCGCCTCGCAGAATTGGGCACTGACACACATGAGCTTAGTCAAGGCCAAAGTGGCCGTTTGGCGAAGGGCAGGGGACTGTAGCGAAGTCAGCATGCCAATAATCCTCATGTTTCTCCCACTCACTCTATATCGCTTTGGACTGGCACAAATGTGGGCAATCATCGGTCCATACATAGCCAACAGACTGTGTTCCCCATACAGCAACTCCTTCTCTCGGATAGAGCTGATGAGGTCGCCAATGTCATCCTCGGCGTTGCCGGCGACTGCGTCAAGGTCATTCCCGTCTTTGTCTGCAGCCTTTTCGGCTGCTTTTTCTAAGAGGCATTAGTACTGCTGGCCCCCCATAGCATCGACCAACCCTTTGCCTTTTCATCCTTCCTACGCTTGAATTCTCGCTCCACCAATTCCAGATAGACGATATGCTTGATGGCGACGTGTCCGACGACGAACACGAGTTGAGCGAGGTTGAATGCCGGAGTGCCATCTCCTGCCGCACTCTGTTGCGATTCCGAGCGCGACATGCCAGTCGACTTCTGAGGCGTGGGAACGGAAAAGTCCAAGTCTCGCGCTGGGGTCCCTGGGGCAGGAAAAATCGGGCCAGAGGCAGGAGGAGCCAAGCTGTCGCCGGAGGGAATCGGAGACGCTTCCGCTTCAGCAGTTCCAGCATTCATGCTGTCCGCCGTGTCTGGCGGTGGTGCAGAAGATGACGATGGTGCGGAGAAAACTCGGTTGGTGAGGTTCTTGATTATCTGCCCACAAAGAGCATCTGGCTGCTCTCCCAAGAGATAAATAGTGTTGATCGCCTGCTCGGCTAGTCCGAACCTGACGGGATTAGCTATGGCATAAGCGGTGAGATTCACCATTGCGGAGACTGCGGCGCGTTCTGAATCATCTCTTGCAGCTTGAGGAAGATGGGGCTATCCATCGGTAGTCGCATCGTCTTGTCGGTAAGAGATCCTAGATAGTGAATCGGAATGCGCGATGTTGCACTCACCCTTAACCTTCTTCGCGCTCCCTCCGAGTCTCTGCAAGGCGATACACGTATACCTAGCCAGCACAAGGTCGTTCTGAGGATGTCTTAACAACGCCTTCTGATGAAGCCCAGCGACTCACCATCCCATGTGGTCCCAGACCGACTTTCAATAACGGTTCCACTCTCTCGCTGACCACCTCCCGCCTGGCAATGGCCAGCATGCCGAGGATGATGATCGCGCCTTGACGCTGAGGTTTGGGAATCTCCTGGTCGGTGCCTTGGCGTTGCATGAGTTTCGGCTCAGTCCTGCGGGGCAGGACTCACTATAAACTTGCCAAAGCTTGTTGATGACATCCGGGTGAACACCGCCATCCACTACCATAGTTCTCATCAATTCTTCAAGACTGGTGAGCTCGGCCAGTGTAGCGCCGTAGGTACGCCTGATACTATCAACATCGTTACGCATAAGGTATGACTCACTCGATCATGTTCTTGGCGATTCGATTGACCTGTTGTTTTGGTGCCAGATCCGGGACTACGTCAAAGTACAGATTGCGATAAACTTCGATCAAGCTCGCCCTGATACCACGCCCGTCCATCCCCTCTTCCACTGACGAAGTCGTGTTGTTGTCCTTGGTCCAGATGAGGTGCAGCATTGTCTTGATGCCAGTTTCAGCGCTCGATATGTTGTACTCGTAGGCAGTTCTGAAGAACCGCATGGACTCTAATACTTCTGTCTTCGTAGTCGAGACCAGGAGCTGACACAGCGTAGGCACAGCAGACTCAATCTGGTTGATGAACTTTAAGGCATCCGAGTAGTACTTTTTGGTGAGTCGAAGCTTGGTGACAAGGGCAGGGTCGAGGGAAGTCTGCTCGGCCGCTACGGCTGCCAGGTCCGCAGCTGAGACTCGAGGTTTCTTCTTCCTGGAGGGCGAATTAGTTGCCGAGCCAGGCTCTTCTGTATCGGCAGACTTGTCGGCGGAGTCCTCTCCCCCTTCTTCGGCTTCGTCTTTGACGTTTTCCTCGTCCGAGTCCTCATCTTCGGACAACCCTGCATCTCTCCTAGCCTTTTCCATCTCGATGGTGTCCACCTTTTTCAGCTCCTCGCAGACCTTATCGTACCTTTCTTGCCATTCTTCAAGATTCAGTGTGCCACCATGCAATGCACCGAATGGATGGGTCTCGAGCAGTTTGCACAAGAGTTGAATGGAATATCGTCTGGCGGAAGACGTCTTGTCCTCGAGTGTCCGAATAGTGAGCTCAGTGATTTGAGCTCTCTGTTTCGGAAATTTGGTGGGCAGGCTGGAGAGAGTGAGCCGGACTCGCTAGAGAGCACTCACTCGCACTGCTTGATTATCGTCGTCAGGACCTTGCATCTGACCCAAGAGTTGAGGTCGAGGTATCTTTCCATCAGCAGACCGAAGAACCGCTTGATCTGCTTCTTCTTCTGCTCTTCGTCCCCCTCGTCAGACGAGGAGATGTCCTTGATGAGCAGACCGATGATCTCGACCAGAGCCATTCGCATGGGATGCGCCTGATCAAGTCAGCGTTAATCATTATCCCAACCCACTTCGCTATCGAGATGCGCAAGGAGCAGTGGCATCTGTTTCTGGACGACTCGTGGAGACAATTCTGCAAGTCGGACCAAGAATCGGGAAAAGCTCCTTGGACCCTTGGCATCATTGTGCGCAAATGTCTTGCTCGAGACCTCACGCAATACCTCTTCGCCTAGCTGAGGGAAATCGAATTCCTTTTCCAAAATTGCTAGAAGCTCCGCCATGGGTTCGGACAAGTGCTCAAAGTAAGTCAGATTCTGAATGACGGAGGTTTGGGCTCCAAAGGCGTGCCCATGGAATTTAACGGCAAGACAGATGACCTTGTAGACACCAAGTCGAATGTCCTGAGATTTGAGATGCTGCTCCGACTCGCAAAGTTGGTATGCTGGCCTGACAAAGCACGAGATGAACGCTTCCTTTTCCGACGTTGTTCTCCAAATCCGCGAAGTGGGGAGTCTTAGGGCTCGATGCATGGCTCCAAGAACCGGAGGAAGATGGTCCGCCCAGACGAATGACGTGGTCGATGAGGAAGACTTCTTCTTGCCCATTCCTTTCTTCGGCCGTGCAACTTCCTCGCCTGCTCTTCCAGCACCCTTCTCAGCGACAGCAACAAACCATTGTAGCAGAAACGCCCATCGCTCCAAGGGAGCTTTATGGACCAACGGCGCATCCGCATCCTCATCCATTGATCCAGGAGCCGTCATACTAACGACTGCCGAGGTATGCTGTCCTAGTCCAGAAAGAATGACATCGAGTAGTTTTGTCATGATAGTTCCTCCCACGCATGGCGATTCGGCATGTTTGAGGGTTGAAGCAAAAACATCAAAGGTGATGTTTGAGGCATTGGAGATGGCATCAGGATCATGAATCACAGTCTCTATGGCCGATGAGAGGTGAGCGTCGAGAGCTGATTCCGATAAGGATGGCACATCGAGTTCAGAGGCAATGTTGAAGGACGAGACGTCTGATGCGAGGGAGAGGAGTTCCTCCTGGAGATTGAAATCGTCCGCCATGGTATGTGGGGCTTTTGATCCTGACAGAGGCTCTCTAAGGCCTCTCACAGCGCTGGCGAGGCTGTTGAGTGTCGCTCTGACAGTCTTAGGGAGCGAAATCGAGATTGAAATGAGTTGATTTGTTTATTCGACGCGTCTGCAATTCGTGGTAAAACCCACGTGGCAGGTGTCATAGGCTATTGCACATGGCCTGTAGGTTGGAGCATACATCGACTTCGCAGCTATGCAAAAGATGTGGCCATGTGCAGCCTTATGCGACCCATACTCTAGATCTCTCCGTATTTTCCGTCGCGGAAGACCTTTTCCATGTGAGCCACAATGTTCTCCAAAGCCGTCAACCATTCCTCCATTTTGACCTTGACAACGTCCTCCGGAGAGCCAAGTTTGGGGTAAAACGTTGCACGGTATGGACACGCTTTCATTGCGAGCTGTATTGCAGACGCCAGACGTCCCCCCGAAAGAATAAGATGGAGGCAGAGAAGGCTCATGTTCAGCGCACTCCGAGAAAGGCACTTCGCACTCACGTAAAAGACTGGTCGGATCATCATTCCATGCCACTTTTTCAAGCTCGCTTCATAGCCCTTGGTGAAGCTAGTACTGAGTTCCTCCTCTGGATTCTGCAGGTTGGATCGCAGGCCTGGTTACCATGAGCGGAGTGAAAGCCTGCCGCGCGTCTGACGGCACACTCACCGACAGCCGTGAACTTCAATCCTCTCAAAAGCCACATCAGCCCCGAGGTCGTGTCTCTGTCCTTCTCTTTCGGGTGCTGAGCTTTGTCCGTAGCCAAAAGGGACTCGAGCGTTTTGGCAGACTCGGGGTTTGCAGCGAGGAACTTTCGGATTTTCTGGAGGGGGAAGCGGTCAGTTACTGACAGGTTGATCCCGATGCCGTCGAAGGTGATACAGATGGTCGTCGATGGAGATCGCTCATGTGACTTGGGACTCACCGCGATGTTTCCGGTCAAGTCATTGACGACAACGCTGAAAGCGGGATTGCCAAAAAGCCCTAGATTGCGAGGATCAGAGTGTTTCCTCGGCTGGAGCCTCATCCTCACCAAAGATCTTGACCAGGTTCTCACTAGCCTCGCAAAAGGCAGCTGTGTCCACTCCATCCTCTGTGATGGGCACATCCACGTAGGACTATAGGAGCGTCAGTGAGGTTCAGAGAGGTTTCAGCTGGAAGGGAGTTCAGTGGATTGGGGAGTGCCAGCAGCCTGTGTGTATTGGAGCAATCGGATATCGCGACTAGCGCTGCCTGTAACCCAACCCGGCTCCGCCAGACGACATACCTTGGTGATAGTCTCGAAGAATTGTTGGTTCTCGCTCATGGTGATTGGTGGGATCTTATCCGGCAATTGAAGACGCAGGTGCGGATCGAAGTAAATTGAGTCCGCCTTGGCTGACCTGTACTGCGTTCTCGAGGGAGCACAACGAGTCAAGACAATGGTAGAACAAAGCAGCGGACACAATCTGTAGATCACTCGCCGCACCCACCCTTGAGACGCGGTCAGGCTTGGTCAAGCCTCGCCACGTGCTGTTTTGGCCCAGGCGCCTATCGCCTCTCGGAGAAACTCCGAAAGGGAGTTAGGCAATTTAACAAGGTGATCGCTGTGTGGTACGGGAGACAGCAACAACGAAGAGAGAGGTCGTCTTCTGACAGTTTTGTTTGGACGAAAGCATTGAAGGTTGGACAGCCAACGCACCTTAGATACCCCCATCAACGACCGTATACTTTCCCATTCCGAGCCTTCCCCTCCAGTCCAGTAAAGAAGTGACTCCGGCGTAACACGCGACCTCGCAGCCGATCTCGAAATCTAAATTGAACGCTCTTTAAGCTGCTCAGGACTCGCTTCGGTTCTGGTCTGCAGAGCATTACTCTGCCCGCCGAACCGACCAGCTCAGCTACTGTACTTTAGTCTATCGACCTTCGCCACGGATCGTTACCCTGGATTCTCGCCCACATCATTGCCATGACATCTACCGCTCCTCCTCCCACTCGCCGGACGACCTCCCTCAGTGGCTCCGCTAGACTGTCACTGTCCGTAGGTAGGACGGAAAGATCTCCCTCAGGGGCTTCAGCGGAGCGTCATCCACTCAGACAGGAGTGAGCTACCCTCTTGCCTTCAGATGGCGTTCCTGACGAAAATTTCACAGATGGTCAATATCGTATGTCCACCGGCCGCCAGGTGCCAAGGTAGATTATGAGAAGGAGATCAAGCGGATTGCAAAGTTCGGATCTGTCAGTGATATCTCTAGTGATCCGTTCGTCAAGCTAACGGCCTCACGTCTCCGCTTTTGACCTTTAGATCGAGTCCTTTCTGCACCTCTACTCTCACCTGACCCCGCCGAACGAACTGCCAGCGGTGACCGACCTGCTTGTCTTTGTCGGACGTATAGGCAGACCTGGCGTCTGGGAAGAGATGCGAGAGTGAGTCGCAGACATGCAAGGTAACCTGATATTGACGTCGACCGCTCAGTGGAGGAAAATTTACCCTTCGGCTAGCTCATCCCGTCACTCCTCTGCTCTTCGAGACTCTCCTGTTTTCCCTTTTGGGCGACCAGTTTGACGACGCGGATGCCGTCGTGGGCTGCGTGCTCAGTGTGAGACAGACCGAGGATATCATGAGCGTTTGGGTCGAGGAGGAAGGAGAGGGCGTCAAATCTGGCGCTCTGAGGTGCGCTCCGCGATCCGCAAAAACTATTATGGCTGAAACTCCGCAGAGAGAAGATCTTGTCTCTACTCTCTCTCCCCCCCGGAACCAACTGCGAATACAAATCCAACCGAGCCCTCCTTGACGCAGCTTCCAAACCTCACGTACCGGCCGCTGCCGATGGTAATGCTCATCCTCATCACCAAAACCACTCTCACTCACATCGTGAGGGACACATCAGTAGAGATCATTCGCATCGCGAGAGGGATAGGGAGAGAGACAGACCGAGAGAGGGAGACAAGGACCGAGCGAAAGAGCACACACCATGGGACGGTGGCATTCCCGGTGGACATCTCGCGGGAGGAAATGGAGGCGAGTTTGACCGAGAGCGCACACCTTCCAGCAGGCATGGACATGGCTGGAATCAACATCATCACACACATAATAATCAATGGCATCCACCACGAGACCGTGGAGATCGCGAGCGAGGAGAACCACGAGAGGGTCGAGAAGGTGGTCGGGGACCAAGAGAAGAGAGGGATAGAGAATCCTTTGTACAGAAAAGAGAGAATGGATGGTAAGGCTGACGGGGTCGGTGCACGTAGGCACGCGAGATATCTGCTCTCTGGGTCTTTAAATGGGGCTCACAATGCACATCCTGAGATGCCCACCTGGTCCGCGTCGCGGGACTTTGTGGCATTTTGTTCAGAAACAGCGGTGTGACGTCTTTTCAGTCCAGAATGAGATGAGATTGAACTCTGCCACTCTTTCCGTTGCTTCGATTGATTAACTTTGGTTTTCGACTTCTGACAGCTGTACATCATGCCGCAGGTGAGCAAGTCAAACTTCGCCCTTGAGCGCCTCATCGGCGACCCTCTGATCTGAACAAGCTCGTCGTGCATTAAGATTGATGATACCGATCTTCCAATTGCACTCTGCGCTCCCAATCCCTTGTGGAGCCGCCTGTTGACGCCTGTTGTCTGAAGATTAAATACCTCTTGTTCGACTGCGACAACACATTGGTCCTTTCGGAGCCGTTAGCCTTCGAATCATGTACGGAACTTGGCAACTTGATCCTCAAGCAACACTTGCCAGCTGATCCTGCTCCCTTTCAATACACCGAGTCCGAGCTCCAGGAGGAATTCGTCGGTCTCAACTTTCGAGGGCTTGTCACAACGCTTGGACAGAAGCATGGATTCGAAGTGCCCCCTACCGAGTTAGACGACTGGGTCTCGAGAGAACTGGAGTCCACGACGTCGAAACTCGCTGCACGAGCTGTTCCTTGTGAAGGCGTGATGGAGGTTCTAGACAAGCTTCAGTCCGAACACAAATACGGTCTCGCTGTGGTCTCTTCCTCCGCCATGTCTAGGGTCCAAGCTGCTCTCAAAAAGACTGATCAAACAAAGTACTTTGGCGACAGAGTCTTTTCTGCTGCCTCTATGGAGCCACCCACTTCTAAACCAGACCCTGCAGTCTACCTCCACGCTTGCGAAAAGCTGGGAGTCAAACCCGAAGAATGTGTCGCCATCGAGGACTCCAAGTCTGGAGCAACGGCAGCTATGAGAGCTGGCATTCACGTCCTCGGATACGTTGGACCTTACTATGACGACGGTGGCATCGAAAAGGTCAAACAGATGGAGAAGACCTTGACGCAGGATTGCAAGGCTGAAGGAGTGATGCATCATTGGAAGGATTTTGAAGACTGGATAAGGAAGATTGAGGCCGCTTGATCTAGCGGATTGAGACCAAAGGAGGATATCCCCTGGAGGAGTGTGAGATTTCAGTCTCTTAGCCACACTCATAGACATTGTATGGCATCGTAGCAGGGGACCAATGCATTGTTCCATCACGGAGTCCAGCAAGGTCCTCGAGAAACGTTGCATCGCGGGTCCCTCGTTCGGCTTCCGCGATGACGTTCGGGAGCTCCAGTTTTCGAATTTCCACGTCGTCAAGTCCTGCAATTCAAGCTTTCCTTTGTCGAGCTCTCACCACAGCTCGCCTCTCAGTGAAGCAGCTTCTGTGCTGCTAGGGATGTCGAACGGAATCGCTCCGAGCTAGAGGCGGAACTGAGAGTGACTCTAGAAGAACTCGCGTCTGTCAACATGGCCAAATTTCAGCGAGGTCCGACCCAGCATTCCCTGCTCTCCATTGCATGCTTTCCTCTCCTGCTCCTCCTTCACCTGCTCTTTACACTATTTTCTCTCTGCTTGAGGATCAGCGAAGTTTTCGTCAAGCATAAAAGTTTGGCGCACACGCCTAAAGATCCGCCTGCACATGTAGCTGTTGTCTTTCTCTGTGGATCGGAGGTGGATGAACGGTCAGAATTGAGTGAAACTCCCAGGCGGCGAGGACGGCAGCGACATGCAGGGATGCGACTTCGACGGAAAGCGCATCAATATGACGGCGCATTGATGGAGTCCGTCGCGCGAGTCATCTCATGGGCTAGCCTAGCTGGAATTTCAGAGCTCAGTATTTACGACAATCACGGTGAGCTGCTTGACCACAGTTGATCTCGGTCCATCAATGCTTACCTGTCAAGGGGTCCTGGACGACTGTAGGGATGCAATAGTATCCCAGTATCAACGACTCCCGGTCTCTCCGCCGGACTCTCGCTCTCCGTCCCCTCGCAGATCCGCCAAATCGACTTTGGTAAGTCAGCCCTTCTCGGCTCAAATTTGTTCACGCTTGCAGCAGGCACCACAGAATGGCCTCGGACAGACAAGCTACGCAGATGTGGTGAAGAAAGATACTGTTCACGAGCCATTCGACCCTGTCACTTCGTTCACTGTCTTTGCACCCAACACAAAACCGCTACATGTGCATCTGCTTACGTCGGATTCGAGGGAGATCTTGGCGCATATTGCGAGGGAGGAGAGGGCAGCATCACCACGGGAGACGATTTCGCAACAAAGTCTAGACGAGCGGGTACGAGGTGAGTGACTATGTGATGGCGTGCCTCGATTGGCAAACTGTTAACCCTTGAGTCAGAAACCCTCCAACTGAGCTGTGATCCCGAGCTCCTCCTTGTTCACCGGATCAAACGACCGTCGTTTTTGGGCTCTCTGCTGGCTCGCGCTCCGCCAGAGCTAGGTGGCTTCCCCTGCTGGCCGCTTCGCATCACCGAGATCTAGTGAGCGGGATTCTGACACTCGGGAGATTCACTGAAGCCCCGTCTAGCATGCATCCGACTCCATTACCTATACCCAGCATGCTCATGGATATTTTTTCACCCTTACTGCAACGTTCTCGCACGTCCTCCCTCTCCTTGCTTCGGAAGACGGCAAAGCGATTCCCCCGTCTCGCAAGCCGCGAATCGAGTGAATCTGGCGTGCTGCACAAATCAGAATGGGATGGAGCAATGAAAGCGTGGCAAAACGTCGAGCAGAGGCTTGGCAAGTAGGTCAGATAGGTTCTTACTCCATATCATGCCGCCTCTCGCGACCAGGGAGAGCGATCTATCTCTGGGGAGACATCGCCCTCGGATTTATGCAAAGCATGCATTCCCTATATGCATCTAGTAGACGTATGCAAGGATCTTTCCACCAGTCTGGAAGGGGAAAGTCAGTTTCAATCTGAAGCATTGCAGGCCACACTCACGTGCTTTCGCCTGGCCTCCTCGTGGTCCATGATTCCAGCAGAGGTAGTGAGGATGATCTTTCCGAAGGATCGAGCGGGAAGGAGCAAGTTGACCCACTTCTCGACTGAGTGACAGGTCAGTAGGCATCTTGAGAAGCGTGGACATTCGACTCACTCTCGTCGACTCCGACGTTGAAGCGGGGAGAGATGACGCCACACTTGTTCAATCGTCCGTTGAGCTGGATGACGACCTTGCCGGATCGGTGATCGTCAATGATCTCAAATTCGCCAATGTATCCTGCATTCAAGTCAGCGTTTGTAACGATCGAGGCATGACCCGAGGCAAGTGGCTGAAGCAAGAACGGAAATAGAGAACTGCTGTCCTCCCCCAATCAGCCCCCAAGACTGTATGCCCGGCCGTGCGGCCTTGACTCGTCAAGAGGGATTAGTATGAGGAGGGCAATCCCATGAATGAGATCCTTGATTCACTCTTCCGGAGACTTAAAGCCTCCACTCGGTGGGGTAAGAGTGCGAGAGGTGGCAGTTATACTCCGGAGGTAGCCTTGGAGGAACGGCAAAGATATGAACTCCCACTCACCGTGCTTCTGCATGACGGATAAGACCTTGACGACGACCTTGGAGCTGGGTCGGATGAGAACCTGACGTTTACCCCTTCGCTCGGCGTTGACGATGTTGTTCTGAGGCGAGAAATCAGTTCAATGTTCTTGGCTCGTCCCAGATCTCAGCAAAGTCCGCCTGCGTGCTCGCTGCCTCTCCAATGCTCAGTTGTCAACTCACCATGGCATCGTTAAGAACGGAGACTCGGACCATTTTGAAGGATGCCTAGTTGAAATAGACTGGTAGCAAGGAGCTTTTGTGAGGGAAAGATGCGATGCGCTTGAGCTTGTGGACTTGATCTGCTCTACTCGATCCGGGTGTGCCTTTCGACAGCCGCAAAGAGTTTTGTGAATGAAGAGATAGAAAGAGGTAGAGGTTGTTACTTCAAAGCAGCGACGAGAGACCAGCTGAAATTTGGCAACTCGAAGAATTGCCACGCGGCTTCGGGAGTTTCGTACAAGGGAGAAGTCATATTCCCGATGGACTGGCTGATGTGGCACCTTTTCCCGAAGCGGCGGATGCCGCCGAAGCCGGCCGCGGGGTGTCTGAAATGTTCGAGTTGTAATACGCGATATCGCTCACTAGCCGACTAAGAATGACAGCGACGACGACATCATGACAGAGCAGGCATTAAAAGGCCCGAAAGCGAGTGGAAAGGTCTTGTCGAACACAAAGACTCGGGGTGAGGCTCTGGATCGAGCTAGGATGGACAAGCAGGTTGTCAAAGCCGTTATGGTTTCACCTTTGATTGTTCCCTGGTGAGCACAATAGCACGGAATGACAGTGCGCACAAGATACGACTAAGGCTGACGATGTGCCTCGCCAGGCCGTCCATACCGAATCATCTACAGAAAGCTGTCCTCTCTTCCCTACCTACCCTCATACCAGACAGTATCCCCGCATACCACGTCGACAGAGCCAGATGCAAGCACTTCAACCAGGCGCAGAGAAGAAAAGAGAAGAAACGGCAAAAGGCAGCCGTGGACAAGCAATTAGAAGAGGAGAACCATGGAGAGGATCCCAGACTTTCGACGCCCCAACGGCCGAATGATAATAGCTTTCGAGACAGTCAAGCAATCGGGAAAGCAGACGACAAACCTGCCCATCCTCCTCCTAAAATCCCCGAGGCTCCGGATGTTCTTCAACATTTGATTTTCGGTATCAATGAGACCATCAAAGTATTGGAGAGGTCCATCGATGATCTTAAACTGCGGTTGATGCTCATGGCAGATGCGATCAATGGGAACCTTCAGTTGGCCACTACGTCACTCCCCTTGAACTCCAATGGTTTGTTGCCTACGGCACCGTCCGACTCATCAGCTCGAACACAAGGTATCTCCATGACCGAATCTCTCGGGGCTCGTCTATATCCCCCAGCCTTCATTATCGTCCCGCTTCTCTCTATATCTCCCCAGACGCTCGTCAGTGCCATCCCGCAGTATTGTGCGACATACAACGCACTGGTGTATCAGTGGATCCAATTGGGCAAGATCATTGAGACCAGGATGAAGAAAGATCAGCGGACAATCATTGGAGAACCCAGAGAGGAAATCAGAGTCGTAGCGTTGGGTGATGTGGAGCTTGAGATCGCCAGAATGGTCGGTCTCAGGCGAGTCGCGTGTACCGCTGTGCGGGTGAGTTAGTCTGGGCTCTGTCTCGTTCCTTGCTGATTGGACGTAGTCCTCCCATCCCGATTTGAAGATACTATCGGAGCTGTTGCCCAAGTCCGCGCTTCATCCCCCGAGACATCAAATCACACTCCCGCACCCGACATCGAATGTCCGAGTCCATTGTGCACAGAGGGATCGAGGACCAGCACAGAGGGGGCAAGGCCCTGGATCATCAGCCGCCGTCCCGGACGAGGCGCATGATATGAGTCCATTGATACCGGAAGTCCACTACACCCCGCTCACCATCAAAGGCATCACGACATCCGCTCCTGTCGATGGTCAAGCGAGAAAAGCAAAGCGGCTGGAGGAAGTACGAGCGCGGAGGAAAGTTGTCAAGGAACGCAGAAGGGCAATGAGGCTCAAGGAGATGAAGCTCGGTGTGAAAGGTCTGAAAGTGGCGTCGAACTTGAAGAGCAAGCAGAACGGAAAGACGAGACGGAGTAAGCCTGCCGCGTCTGTTGCCTAGACCTCCGCGGACCAAGCATGCGTCTTAAGACCCATGCATGCCTCTTCCTACACACTGTCTTCTTCTACTGCGTCTGTGGTCCGTAACCCCGGAGTCCCTCTGCAAAGCCCCACTCGGTCTCTGAGCTCTTTGAGTCAGAAATTTTGACGCCGTCATTGGAGATCGTAGCGATTTGGTACTACCCGGAGCGTCAATCCTGGCACTTTCCATCTCTGCCTGCTGCTCACCTTGTTCAAACTCCTGGCATCACGGTAGAACAAAACCTTCATACATGTATCCAGGAGCTCTTCGGCCTCTTGACCTGTCAACAAAGGGCCTTTGCCATCGACGCCAGCCTTCGCCTCGTACGCTTCACGTAGAAGAGGCTGGGCGATATGAGCGCCAATTCCAGTGGCTAGTGTCGGAGCGGAGTAGGTCGTCCCAAGGAGGTCGACGTAGGCGAGGAAACTGTATCAGAGTGAGGAGACGGCTGGAGATTATCACACACCTCTCTTTCTTCTCCTTGTCCCAGCCACCGACGAGAATCGCATTCCACAACGGGTTCACTTTGCTCCTGCGAGCATAATACAGGTTCGAGAGGTAGGTGTAGATATTTTGAGGGGAGAATGGTGGATGGGTGTCTGTGAGAGAGACGGAACGATCTGCGCGGCTAAGCAGTGCTGTCAGCATAGCCGATCCTGAGCTAACATTGGGATGGACCTACAGCGTGGCATCAAGCAGCTTTGTCATGTACTGAAAATCGGACATATCCCCCGCGACTGCCAAACAAGTATTGTCGCCGAGAGGATGGAGACGCTGAATGTCTTTGAACCGAGCCAAGGAACCGTACGAAGCTGAGGGGCCTCGCATCAGTATTTGTCCGATCTCCTGTCAGGAAGTGGACTGACCAAGATTGTCCGCTGCAAGCATGACTCCACCCTCGTACTTGATCCCCAGGACACTGGTACCAGTCACGATCGGTTGTCTGGGCCAGTGAGCATGGCTCAATGATCAAAGTGAAGAACTCACTGTGTATGAGCTCGGGGAGCATGGGTTGACTGAGGACGAGGCGGTTCAGGAAGTGTAGAATAAGCGTCAAAAGCATTGCGGGTGGATGGCACAGCTTGAAAGCTGTGAAGCTGATGAGACGTATCAGCGTTTCCTCTATCCGATGGTATGACTGTGAACAAGAGACAGAGTTGCGAGATGAACTGCACTACAAGTGGTCATCACTCACTTGGTTCATGTTGGTTGAGGGGCGATTTGCGTGAAAACCTCACAACTGACAGCTGAATGTCAGACGCTGGGTAATACGTGCTCAAAGAATGAGTTTGAGGTCTGACTTGATCTGTGACTCAAAGCAGCCGTTCAATGCTTTACAACAACTGATCAATCACAACGCATACGGATGAATGGACGCGAATGCGGGTTGCATTGAGCCAAGAGTGACGTGGCGCGTTGAGCGGTACGCTGATAGCATTGATTCCGCCTCACAGCCACACTATGTTTTGGTCTCGTTCGGGGGAATTTTGACGTCACAAAAGCCCATCCAACTGATCGTCGCCCATCCCTCAATCTTGCTGCGCTCGCTCTTTCCAAGTTGAACCCGTCAGACTCATCTCAACAAGTCACGAATTGCTAGACAACACAAACTGGTACCATTCGAGCAGTCCTCATAAAATTCAACATGGACAAAACATCCTATCCACCTCAACCATCCATCGAATCCACCTATGTGGCAATGCAGCCGACCAAACAAGCGACCATGAGTGAGTATGAGTGGGTAAAGACGAGGGGCGAGGACCTATCTTCGAAACGGACCTCATTTTAATGTCTCGGATCGTGGCTCTCACTGTCGCTGACACTGCTGTCAGACGCTGCTAAGCCTTCCGACGGAGTATCGAAGCAATCCGAAGAGACATTGCGTCTTCGAGGAGGATGTCCCGGTGCGTTCGGCTCAGAGCAGACGGGAGAAGACCCGCCTTGTTGTTGGTGCGGATGGGCATAAGCTGACTGGGCGACCGTGTTTCTCTCATTTGATAGGTCGTTTGTGTGGTCTGCGTGAGTTGATTTCGGTCATCGCCAGAATGCACCTGTGCTGACGACTTCTAAGCCATTTTGCCCTGCCAGTGAGTCTCGGCTACAGTTCGAACGCCCTATTCCGTTCTCGTGCACTGAAAACAATCTAGCTGCGACATCTGCATCATCCCCATCCCCTGCTGCTAAGGCGGTAGGAGTGGAGGCACGAAGTTCGCTTGGGATAAGCCCAATCTCGATCCTTCAATTTTGACGAATTCCGCCGAAAAGCCAAGCTGTAGCTAATCCTGACATCTATACATGTATCTCTTCAATGATCTACTGGCAGCAACTCACAGACCCCTATACGAGTTCTGGCTTTAAGTCATTACCTTTGTCAAGAGGGCGTAAAAAAGAAGCCAGAGTCGTCCTTTCAGCTTGACTACTCCAGTTTGAAATCAACCTTCATGACTCGCGATCATGGACGACTTTGACCGAGTGACATTACACTTACAAGGTCGCCCCTCACCATGCGACTCAATTCGCGAGGCACGATTCCTGAGCCAGACAGGGAAGGTTATTTGACTTGGTATCCGTCAGCATTCCCCGATACACTGGTCGAAACGTGGTATAGGATCAACGGATCCCTTGGACAAGCTGGAACGAGCTCCGGAGCTCGTGCCCCTGTCGTTGTTCTTCACGGTGGGCCAGGTGCATGTCATAACTATCTGTTGGACTATCTGGAGCTGTTGGGTTCTGGTAGGGCCATTATCATGTACGAGTGAGTCCTCTTTCTCTTCCCCGCTGGGTGGGCGTCCCTCGTCGCTGATCACTTTTGCAGCCAAGTAGGATGTGGACGGTCTACACGCTTGGAGGACGACACGTATGCAGACCTTTGGGTCAAAGAGACATTCGTAGAGGAGCTTCATCGACTCATCAGGTGCTTGGGGCTGAGTCAAGGTGAGTACATTGACCTGCACTCGGACTTGCTCAAGCTTCATCATCCCCGCCTGTAGTAGCATTACTTGGGTAAGTCAGCTGGAGGAGATGTCAGCTGGAGGAAGAGAAGTTACTGCCGCTGATCGCGCTGACCACGTCAGCCAATCATGGGGTACGTGTCTCTTGTGATGTCTGGAGTCTACTGACCCCTTCCACGACCTACAGGCGGTGATCTTGCCATGTCGTACGCCTCAGCTTATCCGGAACATGTCACCTCCCTCGTCGTGTCGTCTGGCCTCAATTCTGGCAAAGATGCCGCCCAAGCCTGTATCGGGCGAGTGGCAGAACTCCCAGCAGAGCACCAAAGTGCCATCGAACGAGCAATCGCGACAAGCGAATACGAATCGGAAGACTACACCAAGGCATCTCAGGTGGACATTGTCGCGGATCGTAGTCATCGTCGTGCTAACCAGATTACAGGAATACTATGATCGATTTGTCGTCGATGACAACACTGCGCCGGATCATGTCAAGTTCTCATTCCAACAACTGTCCTCACATGTCTACCGTGAGTCTGGACCCCATAGCGTGATTGACTAGGATCAAGGTCGCAGTGAGTGCCACTACCGTTCGAAGCTCCTAATCTGCGGGGAAATCCTGAAGCGCCTTGCCTGTCTCGAGGCCATTGCTGATGTAGCCAAGTGTGGGGCCAGTCGGAATTCGCTGCAGATGGCAATCTCCTACGGACTCATATCGAAAACATTTGGAGGATTACCTGTCCAACTCTGGTCATCTATGGGTCGCAGGATGAGCTCGCTGCGAACCAGCCGAGACTATACGCAGCCCTGACGGGGTGTAAGGAGAAGCACATGGTCGTGATACAGGGGGGAAAGCACCTGACATGGCTCGATGATCCTGATGGCTACTTCCGTAAGTGGAACCATGGCTTGCAAGGTATGCTGACCATAGGTCAGGGGCCATTGAGACGTTTTGGATGCGTCATCCATGAGACGCGGATCACACGTGCACTTATGAGCGCTATGCTTTGAGCTGACCGTTGCTATGAAGAAATTAGATGCATATTCCTTCCGCTCAGTTTCTGATCTCCCAGCCCTAGTAAGACGTCAGGCACAGATCATTTAACGAACAGCCTACTCACACCCCAATAGCCACCGAGGCCAGGACGTCCAGGCAGCCTCGTGTGGACTGGATACCCAGTCAAAAAGCTGAATGGATTAGCTTTGGGCATGTATTGGATACCTGGCTCACCCTCCTAGTCCACAGTATCGTCGCCAAGCTGCTGCGGTATTGTCGATACCCATTCCAGATCCCCAGGCTAGGGGCGTGCCTAGAGGATGCGGCAGACCCATGCCCTGGATGATCAGTGATGCTCCCATTTGCTCGTACACCCACCCCTGCTCCAATCCCAACATTGGGTCCAGGGTATCGAGTCCTGACGGCGGGATAGATCGCTAGTCTTCCTCCACCCGGCAGAACAACGGTTGGAAAGGGAATTCTGAGGGATCAGGGTTCTACTGTTGAGGAGGAGGTGGCAGGCTTACTCTTGAGGACTCACATTGGGGTGATGTATCATGTGAGGATTGATGTTCATAGGCATATCGGAAGTTGTTCAGGATGGTTGTTTGTGCGACAAGTCGAAGGTTAGAGATGAGGGGTTAGGGAAGAGACGCTCGATTGAGACCTTTCTTGTGTCCCTGAGCACTGACAGCGATCCTTTGTCCTGGCAGACTTCGTCAAAGTGCCTTTGAGACGGCAGGATCATCGCCTGAAAGGAATCTCAATCCTGGCCCATGATCTAAAGAGCTGCATTCAGGTCGACAGGAGCTTAGTCCGCTCCGGTGCTAATCTGTCGTCGAACTCGTCTTTCAAACAATGACAATGGCTCGGTACCCTCGAAATCCGCCAATCCACTTCCAATCATCGTAGGATCTGAGGGAGCTTCTTGCTCTGATGCCGATTCCAACAGCTTATGCAGTGATGGTACACTGTATCTCGCCGCTCTGCCCGGTTCCTCGGCTGTCCTGGTGAAGTCGGTCGAGCCCATTGCCTTCTTGGCGTCTGCTGATGATTGTGTGCCGTTCAACGAAGGGGTAAGTCTGGCCTGAGGACTGATATTGTAGACGACATTTTCGTCGTAATCCGATGGAGCGCTGTCCATGTCCGCGGATAAGTTGTCAAAGTAGAGACCTCCTTCAGGCAATTTGAGTCTCTTCGCACTCTCGCTGTGATATGAACCCTCGTCGTCGACACTGAGCTCGAAAGGCGGCGAATCCATCCCAATTCGTGGCGGCTCTTGAACCGTACCTTCGACGTCTACAGACCCGACAGATAAATGCGCAGGTACAAGGGGAGTTGGGGAAATGACGAGATCAACAGGTTGAGGTCCGACAGGAGGAGACTTTGATACATTTACTTGTTTGATGGGATGTGGCACGATCGACCGGGCTATCGTCATAGGTAGTCGTGCGGCCAAGTGAGCTTCCGCTTCAGGTGGAGTTATTGCCGAGATTGGGAGAGCCTCATGCGATCTGACCAGAAGGGCCGAGTTGGCGATCGGTGTTGGCGGTCGAATGGCCGCTTTTCGCATCTTCCGTTTGGAGTTTTGGTGCTCTTGTAGAGACTGCGCGTATCAGCAATGAGGGTCCCAAGGCGCTCACCAGTGGCTTGGGCCTGGTCTTCCCTTTCTCGGAGCCATGAGCTTCATGGTGGGCCGGTTTGGGGTTAGATCTCTTCGCTAGAATCCAGAACAGGGTGCCAACTTTGGTGGCCCACCATAGAGGGAAACACCGATCGATATGCCACTCGTCCACCCAGGATTCCGCCATAACAATGCCGGAAAAGATGATCCAATAGTCTATCCATTTGCGCTGAATGTGGGTCAGATCAACGGGAGGGAGTGTGCCGCCACGGCGGTGCTCCATTGCCTCTGCTCGGATATACTTGAGTGTTCCCCAAACTGCCGGTAAAAAGGTGATGATCTGAGACAGCAGAGGACCACACCCATTTACATTCAAGACAAGAATCGATCCAACAAGAAGAACGACAGCGTTCTGCAAGACGTGAGGAGGGCGGTGAATTTTCTTTGCTGTCGCTTGTATGATTGAGCATGTCACCTGCTGGTGGTCAGTGATACTACACCATTCACGCGGAAATAACTGACCGATTGAGATTGGTATGTAGGCGCCAACACGTATTGCACAATCCTGGTCGATATCGGCTGGTACGACATTCTGCGCAGTGTCAGACGTGAGGAGCCAGATCAAGTCTCGCCCCATTGCCAAAGATCAGATCTGTATTCCATCTCATTCGTCCTTTGACGCTACCCCTAGTTGGAGCGGTCGGATCCTTTGTGCTCTGCCTGGGATCCCTTGTACTGCGTAGCCAGAGACGAGGTCTCGACGGGCTACTGATCAGAGATGGCAGTCGATCGGAAGTTCACTGCAAGCTCTCGATGCCCAGCGATAAACCTTCAGGCGCCTTGTCGTCCTCTCCATCGTCGCGATCAAAGACGAGATTGAGCGGATCAGATTACGATAAGCATTCGGGGTTCATAGACTCCTGCTTGAAATCCCACGCTGAATATCTGGCTCAGCCAACCTTAATTATCGCCCAATCACTCGGTGTTAGTCCCCTGCACCTGTCATACGGTGTCGGCGCCGTCATCCTGGCACTGCACCTCGTTCTCCCGGCGTTCTTGCTGCCTCATTTCTCAGCCTTATTTACGCTGATACCGCCTGTGCAATCGAGTCTGCAGAGCATCACGCTCGAGACGAAAAAGTCTGGCCGCGATGCGAGGGACGCCGCTCAATGGTGTATCTATTGGGTCATCTACACGTTCTTCGAACTCGCTAGAGGCTCTGTCTCTGTCTATCTTCCTGGTGTTGTTCCGTTCTTCGAGCTGAGTCGGAGCGTCTGCTTGATCATTTGCGGAGGACCATGGTTTGGCAGAGCGGGACTGGTGAGTGCATTCTTTCTCGCCGATTTTGCATCACCAACTGACAACTTGCAGCGTCCAGATGCAGCCAGGAAAGAGGATGACAAGACCCCGGAGAAGCATAGGAGTAAGCGATCCAAACAGAATGGTGGCGAGTCTAGAGCTGGGTCAAAGAAGGACGAGAAGGAGAGAAGAGACACCACGTCGAAAGATAAGGCTGGATAGGCAGTGATCAGGCTGCATCTGCAGTTCATATGGAGCCGTGAACCATGAGACAGAGAGACCTGCAGATATTTGTACCAAAGCACGTCCACTATTTTGCTTCCGTCCTCACCGGGTTTCCATTCTCAGCCTAAAATTGGGCACGCGCAACAAAAACGCACAACCTCCCTGCTATCACTGTTCATTCTCTCATTGCTGCTACTGCTGCCGCTGCTGCTCTGCGTCAGACTTTGGATCGAGAAATCGCAGAGGTTCGGCACGTCATAAAGATCCTCATATCGACTGGCTGCTCTTGTCTCCCCTTCTCCAATGGCAAACTCCCTTCTAATCAGCCCTTTGATACTCGCCATGTCACTGTGTTCCACGCAGTGAACCCAGAAACAAAATCCCATCCACTTGGCATCTGGTCGCACAGACCAACATCGAGTTGTCTGTGTGAGAACATCGCATACGACGTGGAAGAGGCCTGAGTAGCTCTCGACTCCATCTCATACTCTCGTTTCAGCAATATCATCACTTCACGCGATCTCCAAATATTACCCTCCTTTGCTCCACTTCAGGGGGCACATCGACATCTAATGTCTCTTTTCCAATCAATCTCCAGCTTCTTCGGAGGAGGAGGAAACAACGCTTCATCGTCTCGACAAGCTAGAAGAGCAGCTGTCAACTCAACATATGATGCGTTCTCCTTGCCTCGAACCGATGGCAAATACCGCGAAGGATCTTTGGGTCCAAGCATGAATGACGGAATGGTGAGTTTGATTCTGGGCCAGTTCGTTGACTGGGCCTGCAGAGCGATATCTCATCTCCAGGCCCGAGCAGAAGGGCCAGTACAGCGTACACCTATCCCCCGCGCGAGAGCTAGTGAGCATTCCGGTAGCATCCACTGCTGATACCCGCAGTCAACCCTCATCCAACATATACCCGCCTCTCTCTCATACCTTCAATCGACTGCGCAGAGCCCTCAGCGACACTTTCCCAGAGCTGCTGGAAACTCTGAACGGACCTGTGGACCCGTCGCTTTTGGCTGCATTCGAACAGGAATTAGGGTATCCTTTGCCTCCCGCCGTTCGTGATACTCTCTTGATTGCCGACGGTCAAGACCTCGATTCCGGTTGCATCGGACTATTCTACGGACTCTACCTTTTACCCCTGGAGGAAGTGATCCGCGAATGGACGTTCTGGCGGACGGCCGAGTATGACCCCGACGCGGGTCAGAACCCAGTCTTGCTTGCTACCATGGCCAGTGTCCCTCCGTCCTGGATCAAAGGACTTTACGCGTGTCGCGGATGGCTACCACTGATCAGTGATCGAGCTGGAAACTATGTCGGTGTAGACCTCGAGCCGGGTCCAGGCGGTACATTCGGTCAAGTCATCGTGTTTGGACGTGATTTTGACCGCAAATGTGTTCTGTGGAGGGGAGATGGTACCAGCGGATGGGGCAAATGGATATCGGGATTCGTCGACGAATTAGAAAGTGGAGACGGATGGGAGGCCGACAAATCCAACTCCTCGGATGAAGAGGAGGAGCTTGGCTACAGCAATTACAATGGAGGAGCTCTTGCAGGAGAAATCGGCAAGGGATTCCGTCTCGCCGGAGAGTACCGAGGATGGAACGTCCTGGAGGCCTGGTGGGATCGAAGTGTAAGGCAATGGGAGAATTTAGGTCTCGGGATGGACGTAGAAGAGGTGGAACGAGGCCTTCTAGAGGCTCGGCGTCTAGCTGGGTGGGATCAGTCAGAGCAGAAATTATCCAAAGAGGGGTCGAGTGGGACTTCCAACGGGGTCGAGGTCGCAGGTGAGCAATTCGACGCTGTCTTAATCGAAGCGCAGAACTGACACAGTTTAGTGCTCGCCTCTCCGCAAGTAGACACAACACCTTCCACACCTACACCTGCAGATTCGGACATCCTCCTGCCGCCGACGTCACCCGATCATCCCATAAATCATCGACACCATGGCAAGACGCCGATTCGTATGGTCACCCCTGCAGCTTCCACCCCTTCACATCCTCTACAACGCGCCCTTCATCCCTCAGATAACAATCTCCTGACCCCCTCTGATGCGAGACGGCGTCGTGCCCCGCCTCCAGCACCCGTGGCGCTGGACCTCCCCACCCGTGCCGACGTCCAAGCGATGAGTGCCATTGCTCAGGCAGAAGTAGGTGGACTCCGAGGAGGATGGATCATGAACATGGACACGACGGGATCAAGACGTTACCGACCGAGCGTGGAGGAAGAAATGGTCGACATTGACCTCGAAGGGGGCAGGTCTGAAAAGTTTGGCGCTTCAAAGTGGATGCGAGAGGAGGTCAACAAGGACCGAGATGGGGCTCGCGAAGTATCTGCCGAAGATCGCAGCAAATTCATGCCTTTAATGACGACAAGGACTCCTTCGCCTCTATCACGAGGACCGTCTGTGGAGTCTCCTCGTATCGATTCACCGAGCAAAGTTGATTACCCCGACAATACGCCTCGTGCTGCTCAACGAGACAGTACTGGTTTGAACCTCGGCGTTCAAGGGGCCTCACAACATCTTCAACGGCCTCCGGCTGCTGTCAGTGGTACGAGCCCGAGTCGCGTCAAAAGCTGGCAAGATGATGGAGACAACGTGGTCATCCGGAACGGAGGCACGACCATGAGCAGGAGCGAAAGAGAGTCGTCTGTCATATCGACAGGCAGTAATGATGGTTTGCTCGACGGAAGATCGGTAGCATCTCGCAGTGCTTCCCCCGCACCTTCAGAAGCGCAATCAGGTCATCGACGGGTGTATAGTGGTGATCTTTCCGATCATCTGAACTCTCCTGCGACTGTCAAAGCCGGAAGGAGCGCCGATCCTGACCGGCCGCCGCCGCGGCCAACTCACCACTCGAAACGATCTTCTATGAGAATGTCGGCAGCGAAACCCATTAGCAGTCTAGAGGAAGGAATGGAGGATGTGAGTCTAGGAGAAGATAGGCAAGGCCAAGTGATGGGCTAGTCCATCAAGCATGTATCGCGTATCTATTTACAGCCGAACTGGAACCCTGCTTCAAACACCCTCGACACTTGCATTTCATTTATAGACCCTACTCCAAGTCATACGGCAGACCCCAAGCAGGCCTACCCACGGAGCTCAAAACTGGCATTCCATGAGGGTCTGCGGGCATCGCCATTAGCTCTACTAGCCAGATGAACCAAGCTCCAAGGGTAGTACGCTTTGAATGCTGATCCGGTACGTATAGGTTGCGATCTTGTCGGAGTGCCTCGACTCGATGAGCTTCAACCCTCGAGTCTCGGGTTCCCCATTGGTGTGGGTCTCGAGAGGCATCATATTCTCGTATGGCTGCGATGAGTAAAGGGTCCCGCATGAGTGTGCAAGGCGTGGCTGATGGGTGAGACAGGGTCACAGCGTAAGGAGGTGGTTTGACGGAAGGGTTCCATGCATTCAAAGAATGGACTTCATTCTGCTTGTAAGCTGGCAGTGCGGGCTCTGAATGGCGTGACATTGCGCGTGACTGAATGAGGAATTCGAGAGATGGTTCGAGACGTTGCTGGGGACACCGGAGGGAGTTCAATGCTGTGGTTGGTCAGTGAGAGGGGGGATAAGGAGCACACTGGAATGTTCAAACGGATTATAAAAGCAAACCGGAACTGGAGCTGCTCAAAGGAGGATGAGGATCAAAGGACTCGCACTTGGGTATGGGAGAGATAGGAGGAGGAGGTCTCTTGTCTGACAAGCAGCACACTCATGCGTCCGACTAGCATGGCCTCCATGTCCATAGTCGGATACATGCCACAAGACCAAGGCAGCCACAACCTCAACGATGATGATGATGATGCTAATCAGATAAAAATTGGGCCGACAGCCTTTTTAAATGATCCCACCGGTTAATCGCGTGTACCCGCTGCGAAAGATCTGGACTCACGTTTTCAGAGGCTCATAATGATAAAATAATAATAAATTATTACCCGAGAAGGGAATAAGAACCGCTTCATTTTGATTCCATCATCCCCCCTCCTCCCCTCCCCGTGTGCGCATCCCATTTCTCGCTCACCCCGCAGGTCTCTCGCTCGCTCTGGCTCTCGTCAGAACATCAGTCAGCTGAAGAGGTGCAGCAGGTTGCATTCATTCGTAGATCATGACAGTCATCCTCGCTATCATATAGTCCTTCTCTCCTCCTCCTCACTGGCTACCAGTGCGCCGACGCACTCGGATCCCCTTCTCTCTCTACGTCACGAACGCCTCTTCTCGAGTCCAACCCACCCCCAATCCAATCCGATCCAATCTCCCAAACCCCTCAACATGACTTCTTTCAATCCGTCCCCTGGCGTTCAACCTGACTTTGGGGATGGTATGAATACACCTAGTTATGGAGGTGCCGTCCAGACTGGAGCAGAATATGAATTCGTAATAGATAAACATGGACGACGGAGGTGAGTTTTATGCTGATATACATCGGTGTCAATCATTCATGGTGTTTGGCCATCTTCACAGTCGCACGCCATCTCGATCTCCTCATCGAGCCTCAACAGATTCGGCCTTTCGTTCCACCTCTTTGCGATCACCTGGAGATCCAAATCACCTCAACGGAAACGCGTATGTCAGCACATCTCATCAAGGAGAACCTACCACGCCAACGGCCTTTCCTTCTGCGCAACCTCACGAACCCACCATCCGAGAAGAAGATGTTGAATCACGCAGACACGCCATGACAGAAGATGCAAGCAGAGTCGTCGGTCGAAGTGTGCGTTCATCTCAGTCTCAAGATGTGGGACCAAGTAGAAATGGGAAAGACAGGAGCAGGAGGATGATCGGCGATTGGCAACTTCACAAGACCTTGGGAGCCGGTAGCATGGGCAAAGTCAAACTGGCCACCAATGTTGTCACCAAAGAAAAAGTGAGCCAGCCTACCCTTCCTTCAAGCCCATGCTGATCAAATGTGCAGTGCGCCGTCAAAATCATACCGCGGCATACGGAAACCCATCGCAAAGATTTGTCGTCTCTCTCACCAGAGGACGCCGATAAACTTCGTCAAAAGGACGAATCGAAGGAGATTCGAACAGTGCGGGAGGCTGCCATCTCTCTACTTCTTCACCATCCATACGTTTGCGGCATGCGCGAATTCATCACCCACGTCAATCACCATTACATGGTTTTCGAATTCATAGATGGTGGACAAATGCTCGACTACATTATCTCCCATGGAAGATTACGCGAAAGAGCAGCTCGAAAATTTGCTCGTCAGATCGGCTCTGCTTTGGATTACTGCCATCGCAACTCGATCGTCCACCGAGATCTCAAGATTGAAAACATTCTCATCTCAAAATCCGGAAATATCAAGATCATCGACTTTGGTCTGTCAAATCTTTACGCCCCGCATCGATATCTCTCTACTTTCTGTGGCTCTCTTTACTTCGCGGCCCCAGAGTTGCTGAATGCCAAAGTCTACACTGGACCCGAAGTTGACGTTTGGTCATTCGGTATCGTCCTTTACGTCTTGGTGTGCGGCAAAGTCCCCTTTGATGATCAGTCTATGCCGGCCCTGCATGCGAAAATCAAGCGAGGACTGGTAGAGTACCCAGCGTGGCTGAGCAACGAGTGCAAGGCGCTACTTGGTAGGATGTTGGTCACTAATCCGCTGGAAAGAGCCACTCTCACAGAGGTCCTCAATCATCCGTTCATGACCAAGGGCTTCGATGGTCCCCCTGACTCTCATCTCATCCACCGAGAGCCGCTCCGCGCCGACGACCTCGATTGGGATATTGTCAATGCAATGGGAGGATTCACTTTCGGCACGCCAGAGCAGATATACGAGGAGCTACGAAACGTACTCCTGTCCGAAGAGTACTCATCGACAGTCGCGGCTTGGGAGACAAGGCGTAAGATGCGTCCAGCGGCATCAGGAAGCTCGATGAATCTAAGCGACCAGAGCGACTCGCCGAAGAAGAAGCGCTTCAGCGGTTTCGACTTCAAGCGCAAGTTGTTCAAGGAGGAGAAGAAGGCAGATGAAACAATCATCAAGGAGAAGGAGCCTCTGGATCCGACGAGGGGATTCGACCCTTTAATTTCGATTTACTACCTCGCTCGCGAGAAAATTGAGCGCGAGCGCGTTTATGGCAAGGGTCACTTTGCATCGTCACAGACATCTGTCGAAGCTGCCCCAATCGCAACCGGATACGGGATGGCAGTTCCAAATCTTCCTCCACCGGCCTCCGCTCACGCTATGGGCCATGACCAGGTAGCAGCTGACTACCGAGCCAGGGCAGATGATGTTCCCAATGCGGTTATGCAGCATCCCCTTGCCGATAAGGAGACTACGGAGATCGCCGATGTTCCTGTGGCTCATCACCGGGGATCTCAACCTATTCCGTCGAGCCCGAGTCAACCGCAAGAACGCCCAAGGAGATGGCCTCTTGGTCCCAGTCGGTCTTCTTCGACGGCAGACAACGATGTCAGCAGGATGGGTATCGAGAACCGACCACCTGTCACTAAGCATGAGCGTCGTGTATCAGTCGGAAGCATCAGTAGTTCCATGGGTCGGACCTCGATCAGTCGTCGGGCATCTCAGCGCAAGCCCAGCACACCCGACACGCATCAGCTCATCACGGCTCGGGAAAGTGAGCCTGAGCCCGAAGTGGAAGGCGAAGCGGAAGAGGAGGCTGCTGCTGTCAACCCAAACGACGTGAAATCTGTATATCTCAAGGGCCTCTTCTCAGTGTCTACCACCTCCAGCAAGTCTGCGTCCGTTCTCCTCAAGGAGATCGCCACGGTCCTCGACAGGATCGGAATCAAGCATCGGCCAATCAAGGCTGGCTATGAGTGCGTTCACGTACCCTCGATTGATTTGGCTAGCGTGGTCAATGGAGACGAAGCCTCAACGTCCTTGAGCACTGCTCCAACGGCTGGCGAGAACGGCCCTAAGAGGAGGAAATCCATCAAAAGGAAAACGTCCAAATCCCACTTTGATTCCCGAGGAGCTTCGCCGATGCCGGAACAAGCAAACTCGAGTGGCACAGCGAGTAATGGCGAGCTGAACGGCACGGCCCCGGTCACACCGACGAAGCGAGCGCCCGTCGCTGAAGATGGCGATGCTTGGGCCGTGGCGCAGTCCGGAGGCGCTGGATCTGCGCTCATCGTCCGCTTCGAGATCTTCGTGGTCAAGGTGGGTTCAAGCACGTCTGTATCTCGCTGACACGCCAGGTACCCTGGCTGCCTCTGCATGGCATACAATTCCGACGCGTTGGCGGTGATGGATGGCAGTATTCTATGCTGGCCAAGACAATTTTGAAGGAAATGAGGTTATAAGGCGTTTATCAGTGGAGGTTGAAATGCATGTTGGCGTCTTGTCGAGTTGGATCAGTGACAGAAACACACAAATGAACACAACATCACATTGTCCATGGATCGATGGTGTTTGTCTAGGCTATGAGAAGCATTACAGGTGATGACCGAAGGAAACTACAGATCGAGCCGATGTGTTACAGTCCAATCTTTCAGCGTCTGGCGCGATTTCATAAACAAGCTAGAGCATGCTAGAGCCATGCTCGAGCCGCCCTTTCCATGTCCCAACCAAGAAAAGAGGTTGGTCATGCTCGTGCCCCTTTTGGCCTTCGGACTGCTCGGACTGCCCAGAGTTGGTCGCTTCGATATGATGTTGGTATCTACGGACAAGGGCATTGAGGCCCAGCTTGTAACCCCTTCGGCTTGACCAAGATGCACACAGAGGGGCAAGAAGACTCTTGGCTCGCCTCTGACAATGGCGATCGTCAAGCCTCCGCGCGGGTCGGTACTGAAAATTTGCCCCGATATAGTATCGATGACTGGTAGGAGGGGCTTGTATCCTGTTTGAAGCGGAGAAAGATAGATCGGAATGGCGGTCGATCCGGACCCATAGTTACTGAGGGTGGAGAGTAGCGGCGGTTTCGTAATGGACACAGTGTGGTTGTCGATCTGCCTTGCACTCATGAGAGTGGTGAGGAATAGCGGATTTGAAGCGATTGCAGCTCTCCGAGCAGCATTGAGGGACCGGAAGAGGTGATAGAGAGGCTATGAAGTATCTCAGCGAGATTTCACAGAATCAGACCCACCGTGTTTTCAGGATAACCTTCCAGCCAGATAGCCTCCCGATTCATGGGATCTTTACCTCCTCGTAGGCCCTACTCAAATCAGATGGAGACTCTAGCCTTGTTACCCGGACCCACATGCTCCTGTCCGGAATACATGAAAGGTATGCCGTCGTTCACGAACGGATACACCGCAGCATTCTTCACAATCTTGAAGGAATGTCAGCCCCAGGAACTCTGCGCCATGACTCACGACCTGATCGTTGACCATACCAGCGAGCCGCTCGAAGTCATGGTTGCTGCTTTTTAGCTTGTGTCCATTACGCTTGTACTGACTCTACAAACGATCCAAGCAGTGTCGGATCAAAGAATAGCCGATGAACCCTGGTGATCATCTCGACGAGAGCAGCCATGTCTCCAAGAAATCCCGAGAACGCCCGTCTGCGCGGTCAGACCAGGCAGCTCGGTGTGTGCGATTCACCTCAGATGGAAAAAGGTAGCAAAGTCGAATATGCTGCCCACTGACTGCCGTTGATAAGGAGCAAGATAAGCGGGATCTGCAAGTCCGTGAGTTCATGATCGTGAGTGTCACGCACCTCCGTGTAAGACTTCCCCAATAGCTG